CGCAGATCTATTGGTTGACATCGTCCCGTCTCTTAGCGCGGCTCTCTGACAAATAGTTTATAAAATCCTAGTATTTTTAGGCTTTATAAACTAGTACTAGAGGTTTATTATAGATTATTTTTAATTACTATAGTATTAACTAACCTCCTTTATAAGCTAATAAATAGGTTAGTAAGAATAGTAAAGAATAAGGCTAGTATTATAATCCTAGATATCTATAAAGTAGTATAGCTTCTTAAGAAGAAGTTTAGAAAGATAATTAAGTTAAACTACTTCCTAGAAGACCTAGTCTTATAGATAGAGATAGATATATCTAGAGAAGGTCTAGGTAGAGTCCTAAGCTAGAAATATATAAATAATAATTAGTGTCTTATTATATTCTATTATAAAAGCTAAGTATTATAAGTATAATTATATTATAGGTAAATAAGAATTACTTATAATTATAGAGTACTTTAAAGAATAGAGATACTATCTTAAAGGTAGTTATTAGAAAATTAAGATAATTATAAATTATAAGACTCTTATTATCTTCTAGTTACTAAGTAAGGTACTCTTATAAATATAAATTTAGTAGTTATAGTTCTTAGCTAGATTTAGATTTAAGATTATATGTTATGTAGAGATATTAAACCCTATAAATAGGTCCTTATATAGGATTAACTATCTAAGAGATAATCTATATAAAGAGAATTATAAAGATTAATAAAATAAAGCTAAGTATAAGCTTCTTATCTAGCTAGGCTTTATAATAATAAAGAATACCTAGGAATCCTCTACTAAGATTATAAATAAGAATATTACTAGTATTAAGATAATACTAGCTTAGAGTAATAATATATATACTAATTTCCCTAGAGTATCTAAGTAAGAGATACTTATAATAGTAGCTATAATATATAATAGTCCTCTTATAGAGATTAAGATTTCTATAAAGAAAGTTTACAGAATTTCTAAGAAAGAAGAACTATTTTAGATAAATCTATTATAAAGACTACTAGAGAGCTTATTATAGATAGGATTTAAAGCTATTATCTCTAAAAAAGTAAAGAGACTAATCTTAGGTAAAGCACTATCTATATAGATAGATATATAGGACTTGCTACCTACCTAAAGGGTATAAAAAATAAAATAGCAGCAAAAAACATATAATAGTAGGGATTTACATGTGGTCACCTACCATACTACTAACCTACCGGCTGTGGCTTAAGTATGGCTGAGCAGACGGGAAGCCCTGTTCACCACACCCTGTGGTCTACAAGTCGGGCTTTGTTGATGTTGAAAATAGGACATTGGTCCAGCATATATTAAGGAAACCAAAGGTGTCTTTATTATCGCTCTGTTCACCACAACACTCTTCCGCCTGGAAGATTGCCTAGCCAAAGGAGCTTCCTAGAAGACCACACCAATCTCCCTGCCTTGGAGGTCTATCAACAGCATCCTTAGAATATTCAGCTAGCGATCTCTCCATTGTCAAAACGAGTATTCACAGCTACATGTCATTATTTATAAAAACGTTAACCCGATCTCTTGCTGACAGTCGTACACCAGAAAACCTGTATGGCGCCTTGGCTTCTCCCTGTATACTGCTTCAAGAAAACCCTCGTCCTTTCTCAGCTTTACTAGGAGGACCGCCTCCTCCGCCGGCCAGGCCATACCCTTCCTCGAACTTCTTTGGGCCGTCTTGCGAAAACCCAGACTTTATTCAATCGCAGCCTAGGGCTTGTGTGATAAGTTGGCCGCAATTCTCCTTCTTCACATGCTGTTAGTGAAGTATTAGACATGTAGTGGGATAGTGCACCTTTAAATAACTAGGAGAGAAATTATAAATAGTTATTTAGTAATAGGTAAATAAACTAAGACTAATAGGCAGGGAAGGAACCTTCCCTGGGTATTAACATAGACTAAACTTAAAGTGGTTTAGGAATTCCACTGTCTGATTTTCGTGTCTTCTACTTATAGCTTCTAGGCTCTCCCATAATTTGGTGCTTTCTATGGATACCAGGGAAAGGTTGGTCCGGATTGGTACTGGGCGAGGAGGGGTGTGCTTGTTGGCAGTCATAACGACCTTTCTGAATACCATCTCTTCCGCCAGGATCTCCTCCAGGGTTGGTTGGTAAAGTAGAGCCGCTGGCCCAGTCATGCTAGTAATTGGGCCGTGCTTCGTAAGAGTGAACTTAACATAGCCTGGAGACAAAAGTTGCCTGTTTTGTCTTGAACAGATACAGATCACCCAGGGCTGAATATACCAAGAGAACGCAGAATCCATCGACGTCCCGGCTCCTGCGACGATGCAAGTCGTGATGTAAACCGCGGCCGAGGGGACTTGAGTAGATAGCAGAGTGCTTTGGCGGGATAGTTCCTACTAAGCCTCGAATAGACTGATATCGAGAATGTTTGTTGCCCCAGGTGGTCCCAGGCCCACTCCTTGTTCCCAATAGACGATCGTTCCTTCCCCAACAGCCAATCTGGATAAGTTCAGGAAGGTGGAACCACATTACGAATCTTTCCGATAGGTGCAAACGGAACCTTTGAAGGAGCGGCCTTAATGTCCATCCAATGGAGAAGGTACGAGAGTTGCTCTTCCCTGACCACCACATATCTGTACTTAATGCCAAGGAAGAAGCAACCAATGAAGCCATCGTATTCGGATGGTGCGACGGTGGTTCCTTCCACAGCAACCTTCCACAGCAAACCCTTCCAATAATATCGGAAGGAACGACTAAGACACGCACTTTCTTCCGGTAGTACTATATACGGGCACGGAAGGAGCGACTGGCTTACTGTGGGTATTTGGGTAGTGTGCAGGCCTGGGCCTAATCGGTCGGACTACGTACATCATCCGGGGCTTCAAGCGGATAGCGACGGGACTTGTAGAGCCTATGGGTTGTTTGTAATTGTCTTTCCAGGCAGGATGTTGGTGTAAAACCCCCGCCGCGTCCCGTCCTCACACACAAAGGTGGCTGCAGCAGAGGGTCGTCTCCCGGTCCCAACGCTGCTCCTTCTCCATGTCTCGGATCCCTCGGGTTTGGTTTCCGCAAAGTCGACGATACCTGATACATGTGGCTGCGTCTCTAACTTCAAGATGTGGTTCCCAATAGTCTGGAATTGATTATCCCGTTGTCTACTTTGTCTTCTTTTCTTTTCTCCCCTGCGGCGTAAATGGTGGGTGTATTACCCTGGTGTGAGGTCAAACCTGCGTTTGCGGAAATCTGATATGGCCATATAGTTAATCCGGAGGTCATGTCATCAGGGGTCCAAACAGGGTTTGTAGCTTACGGCTCTAGAATCCGAAGTAGATCTGGGTCGACGTGGAGTCATTCCATTTATCTGAGGAGGGCTGGGAGACCCATGGATCCGGGTCGCCATACCCGCTGCACCGACAAATGACTGCCGGGCCGGCTGAGCGATCCGCCGATGATCTAACCGCAAGTTAAGGTTAGGATTGTGTCAGCATGAAACAACCTTCGAAAGCACCACTGACATCCCATTCTTTCTAAAAAAAAAAAAAAAAGAATGGTACAAGATGGTATGGTTCATCTTCCTGCCCAAGTTTGGTTCCCTGACCGGATCTGCACAACACGAACTGTATCTTGTGTCTAGACTCTAGAACCATGTGGTGCCTAAAATAGTATCTTACAATCTTGATCTTTCAACTTTAATTCGTATTGGCTTGCGGAAGGCTGCAAAGCCACTGACGTTATCCATATAAGGTCTCGTTTTGTCCACGGCGAAGGCAAGGCAACTCTATAACGCTATGTACTATAGCACCAAGGACAGTTGCAGCTCTGCACATGTAATAATAGCCATTCATTTATGAATACTGGATCCATGGAAAAACAAATAACGTTGTCTGATGCACCTTTGGATTGTGTCTTATTGGTTTATTTTTCTTGGCAATTCCCATGCCCATACCAGTACACCCTGCAATCCGTGCCCTAATGGATGCTGACACTGATTCGATGGATTGATAACGCGACGTCCTCCGGGATGTCCGCATCGGGGTTTCCCCAATGGCAAGTTGGTTTTCCGCTAGGTATATGATTGGTTTATCCGATACATCGAATGGCGTGGATGGGCAGCGTGGTGGTTCAACCCTCTCGCCAGGTGCCCTAGTAACTTCTTTGTCTTTTCCCCGCATCCGAATGTGATAGTCCCGAGCTGAATTGGCTACCCAGCTGGATAGTCCAGTCAACACTTGAGACCCCCGTCCTCGGGCCTTTGGAAGGTGTCCAACCAGGCGGGCTAGCTCTGAACTGCGGTCCAGTGTAAACTCGTTCAGGCGGCCATCCTAGCACTGGTTGAATGAGCTCTACCCTTCATTTTGAATTGACCGGACTTCAACGCCGAAACTGGGATACTGGAACCTATGCATCTGTTACCCGTGACCCTATCAACTCGGGTTCGAGAGTCATTCAACGCACTGGCCCCATATCTTTGTTCTGGACGCTGCTCGCCGTTCCTGGAAGGGAATGCATGCATTTAGATGTAGCAGGATCTATACCAAACGATCACGCAACCGGGACCTCCAATGGACTGCGTTCCCACAGAAGGTATACCCTCCGATCCATGGGGGGATTTTGCTAAATCTGTCCCTATGACCTGAGAGGGTATGGCTGTTTTCGGCAGCTACTGCTCCTACGGCATATCACTCCTGTCGTCATGAGTCTCTAGGGGCCGAATAGGGTCCGGAGTCCTTGGGTCGACTTGGCCAAGCCAGCCCCTCCCGAACGTCGCGTCTTAGGCCTAGTGATACCAGCGAATATGAGACATTTGCTTTGAGGTTCATTCTTGGCCTAGGGTCGTTCGATAGCATTGTCTGATTGTCTAATCAGGATCTTGACTAGTTCGATGAGTATCTTTGATCATAATGACATATCTAGAGCCAGAATATCTTGCCACTTCTGAAGATAAAAGGCGCGCAGATACTCCTCCTGTGAGCAATTTTCTGGCAACCCAGATCACAACCAGCAAGAACAGTACTCAACTCTTCTTTTAATATGAAGTCCTCAGTCTACATGCTCGGTGTGCTGCTGCCAATTGCTGGGCAGTTAGCAGTAGCAGCCCCGATTGCAAACTCGGACGCCGACTCTCTGGAAAAGAGACAAGTTAACCCCGCTGCTACGGCCGGTGCATACGCCAATCCCACTACTGCTGCCGTGGTTGCCGCTCCTACTACTGCGGGTGTGGGTATCGCTCCTGGTAGTGCTAGTGTGGCTGCTACTGCTGGTACTCCTAGCCCGGCCAGTACTCCTGGCAGTGCCGTCCAGTCCGCCGCCGAGGCCGCCGCTTCTGCTGGTCTCCCCTCGGGATCCGCCGTGGCTAGTGCCCCGCAGACCCCGCAGTGGCCGGAGAACGCGCCTAAGCCTGAGAGCCTGAGCCCTATCCCTAATACCCCGTCCGGTCCCCCGACCATCGTCGTCAACTCCGCCGTTGCCATTGCCATCTCAGGCGGTAGTGGACAAGCCGCCGCAGCCGCCGCCGCTTCAGCTGCCGCCTCCTCTGGTGGATCAGCTTCTGCCTCTGCTGCCGCCTCTGCCGCCGCAGCCGCAGCCTCTGCTGGTGCGAGTGCAAATGATGTCGCTGCCTGTGCAGCTGCAGCGGCCGCCGCTTCCTCTGGAGGTAGTGGAAGCGCTGCTTCAGCTGCTGCCTCAGCCGCCGTCTCCTCTTCTGGTGGAACAAGTGCCGCTGCAGCCGCAGCCGCAGCTGCTTCCGCCGCTGGTGCAAGTGGATCAGATGTTGCTGCTGCTGCTGCTGCCGCCGCTGCCGCTGCGGGTGGTTCTGGTGGACAGGGTGCCGCCTCTGCTGCCGCTGCTGCCGCTGCTGCTGCTGGTGGGGGAAGTAGTGCCGCCGCCGCCGCCGCTGCCTCTGCTGCTTCTTCTGGAGGTAATGGATGGGATGTTGCCACCGCTACCGCCGCAGCTGCCGCTTCCGCTGCTGGTGCTAGTGGAAGTGATGTTGCCTCTGCTGCTACGGCCGTGGCCTCGGCTTCTGGTTCTGGAAGTGCTGCTGCTGCTGCTGCGGCTGCGTCGGCGGCGTCTTCTGGTAAGAGCGGACATGATGTTGCTTCTGCTGCGGCTTCGGCTTCTTCTGCTACTCGTCGTGACAATGGCTCTGGCTCTTGGGGTGGACACCACGATAATGGACACCACGATGACGAACACCACGATCATGGCGACCACGGCTGTGAGATCCGTGACGCATTCTGGTACTACGACGAACCCAACCGCTCCAGCCATCGTTGTGGCAGGGCTAGGGCTGGCTCGTACTTTGAGTCATTCTGCAAGGACCAGTAAGTTCTAAATCAAACAATTGTACCAACTTGTGCTAACTTTATATCCAACAGCGACTGGTATAAGACTTCATTCGGATGGGCCCATCAGGACTATAAACCCAAGGGCTGCTGTAAGTTATTCTATTCTCTTTGAACTCTCTAGTACCAAGTACTTTGCTGATACGTTCTGCAGATGTCTCGGTTCAAGCTTGCTAATAGTGCTACCTATTTTTACGGTAACTGCTATGAGAGAGTATAGGATTATGGCTAAACCATGTCAACGGGTTGCCGACTGTGCTGCGCCATTTCATTCAGTGCCTGACATTCTTGGTAAGGACAGTACAGGCATATAGCGAGTGCGCCCTCAATTCTTCACACGCAATAAAGAACAGTTTGAGATAGAATACTGGATTGAGATGATGCTCTCCTCTCGTGAAATCGGTGATATGGGACAGAACACCATCTATCGCTGCAGTGATGTACGTCGACAGGAGGAGATAAATTAAGTACTAGGTGAAGTTGCACCGGATAGACAGAGAGCGTAACATCCCTGTTGGGTTAGTCCAGACGGACTATAAGTATACATATACGCATTATCGAGCCACTAGAAGCTCACTTCTGCACCCTCCTCACCACCAACCAAGTAGGAATTATCTGAATAACCCAGAGTCCTAATCTGTATTCAAGTTAGTCCCGGCCATCAAAAGAGACAGCATCAAGGGATGTCAAAGATCAACTGACAGCAACGCCTCGGCGCCCACCATACTCCATTGCGTCTGCACCGCATATCCCAGCGCCGCGCCGCCCGTATTTACGGCCTTCATATACCCCGTGTATCGCTCGAGCTCGTCAACATTCTCTGTCAACGATCCAACAAGTGCGTACATGAATGTCTGGAATGCATGGTCGACGAATCTACCCCCTTCAGTCAGCTTTGATTCTTCATGTGCGAGCAAGGACGTGTCGGAAAGACTGAATCGACGAGAACATACCCATCAGCCAGCATCAACAGGAAACTAGCATAAAACTCTCCTTGCGCCCAGTCTAATCCGACAGGAGCAGTCTTCTCATAGTACCACTGCACAACCGTATACCACAACCACACGAGAGTATATAGCGTGTAGACAACGATAAAGGCCCATCGAAATTTGGCAGACTTTGACAGCCGTGTCGAATCCAGAAAGACGCCCATTGCAAATGTGCCGGCAATGCCAGCGAATGCCCCTGTGAAGGATGTGAGAGCGCGACCCCGGACGGAGTGGTATACCGCAGTGAAGTTGCCCTTGTAGGAGAGGAACCATTGGGAGAAGATGAAGAGTGGGGTTAAGAGGAGCATCTGCATGTTTCATTAGCATAGCTTGTTTGAGGGGGGTCATGAAGCTAACCTCTCTCCGCTGAACAGCACTAAAGACCTTCTTCGCCTCTTCCCACGCATTGGGCTGTTTCTTAGTCTGGATCTTGACGCCATCGCGACGGATCACTTTCTCCGGGTTCGATAGCAACAGTGCAATAAACGGGCCGCAGGCGGCGATTGCGATCAAGGGTATGTATGTCACTGGAAAGATACACTTCATGTTAGTTCCGATTGTATTAGGGTTGACTGGAGAAGGGACTTCGCTACATGCCTGGTGATATCGCCCCTGCCTCGCGGTTTTTGGCATTGAAGCCCAGAGCAAGGGCGCCACCGATCGAGTTTCCGGCCGCGATTGACCCGTACCAGATGGAGACTAAATAATTTCAGGATGGATTAGCATACGGCTCTCTGAAATGAGCATATAAACGTACTGAATTTGCCTTTGAAGTCAGGCTCTGGGTAAGCGAGCATGACCGAGGCCTGGACAACCCTAATCACCGAGTTACCCATGTCAGTCTATTCATAGCATTAAAGAAAGGCGCCCTTCATTGAATTGTACTCACCACAGCAAGGCAGTCGTAAATCCCTGCAACGCGGACGCAAGGTACATGAACCAGATCGTATGGAACTTGTTATTGCAGTATAGCGACGCCCCATTAATCGCGAACCCGAGCACACCGATGCTCAGCACGATGCGTTCCCCAAGGATGTTGACAAAGACTCCCGTCAGGAGGGCAAATATCACGTTGAGCCCATACGATATGGCGCTCGTGATGTTGACAAGGTGAGGGCTCTTGAGTCCACCGGCCCCGAGCGCATTCAGTGCCCCGTACATTCCAGGACCGCAGAAGAAGACGCCGGCTATGACTGCTGCTTGGAAGGCTGTGGAGCGGCGCCATGGTATCTTGGTGAGCGGGATAGCATCCTCGGAACTGATTTGGCTATGGCTTTCCGTGACGCCATTCTTGGTGTCTCCTTGTGAGACTTGCTCGATAGATACTTGGGTTGACATGTTGCTTGATACTTGCCAGGAACTGATTTAGATGAGAGAAAGGGGGTGGTATCTTGGTAACTATTTATCCAAGTCCTTCTCAAGAGAGCTTCGAAATTGAAATGTACAAGGAGATGCAGACAAGCACGCAATACAGCTTCTCGGGCGATAGAGATGAAGATAGGGCTATTGGGCTGTGCCATGTGGTCGGCACAGGTGCCGAAATTCCCCAATTGGGAGAGGACGAGTTGGAGTCAAGCAACTCATCAGAGGCTGATATGCCACCACCAATTTGTACCAGGCCCCGGATTGGTTCGACTGACTCGTCGCGATAATCACATCAGTTCCGGCAAAATGACAAGATCTATGTGGAAATAATTCCGCAAGGGCAACAGCCAAGGCTATTTAAAACACTAAGGAAGCCACAACCAGAGCGCCAGAATAGTTGACGGACATCCAATCAGCATGGCAAAACAGCGTACCTTGACCGTCGCCGGACAGACAGTAACTGAGCTAAGCGACACTCAACCCACCGACATTGAGTATCCCGAGACACCAGACCACCCAGCCGTACACCAGCGAGCTCCTCCCCTCCGGCCCCTCGGAGACCACACACCCCAACGCGGCCCTCGCGAGCCCGTTGCAGTCCCCAAAGACCGCGGACTTTTCGCCAATCCTGACCTCCCTAATCTGTTTGCAGACCCGGCGGTCACCCGGCTAGATCTTACCCCTTCGCTGGGTACTTTGATCAAGGGCCTGCAGCTGTCCTCTCTGACGGATGCACAGAAGGATGAGTTGGCACTTCTAGTGGCGCATCGCGGAGTTGTGTTCTTTCGAGACCAGGATATTACGGCGCAAGGACAGCGCGATTTGTTTGATTATTATGGTATATCACTCCTATTACTCTACTTTGGTCCGAGACGGGCCATATGGCTAACCGACGTAGGAATCCCAGAGCTCCTCCCTGACCCAGAGGACGAGAAAGCAAAAGGAAATCCCATCATTAACAACATTCAAGAACAGGAGCAGTACGTTTATCCTTGTCACCCGTAGCAGGTGAAGATACCGGCAATTGACTTGCCGCGAACAGAGACTTCCGAGCCACATACGTCCACTTCAAGTGGCCGTTTGCCGACTTCCACGCGGACAGCAGCTTCCAAGCCAATCCGCCCTCGTTCTCTCTGTTGAGGATTGACGAGTTGCCACCCACCGGTGGGGATACAAATTGGTGTGTAGATTATGAGTCTCGACACAAGAAGCCTAGTGCTAAATAGGGCTGGATAGGATATCGGGATACGGCACATATGAGACCCTCTCGAGACCCCTGCAGGTCTTCGCTGACACTCTCAGTGCGTGGCACAGTTCAGCGGTATGACCATGGCCCTTGGAATACCTGTTTGAATCTGGCACAGTTATACTAACAACAAAATACAATAAACAGCACGTCTACGACTCTGTTCTCAACCACTGGAATGCCAAACCCGGCGAGCGGCCCATCGAAACGCTGCACCCGCTCGTCACAACACACCCAGTGACCGGCTACAAAGTGCTGAATCTCAGCTCCGGCTTCGTGACACGTCTCGACGGCTTGAAGCGCTACGAATCGGATAAGCTGCTCGAGCTACTGTTTACACATATACATACCGCACAGGACCACATGGTGCGGTTCCGCTGGGAGAAGAACTCGGTTGCCCTTTGGGATAATCGGTACGTTTACTTATCTATACCTCTTTTTCTCTTATGCGTGCTTTTATCTTCAGCCTGTTTGGCGCTTGGGGGAGCTAATATAGTATGATAGGGCAACGACTCACCGCGCGACTCATGATTATGCGCCTCTACATCGGCACGGGGTGCGCGTTACAATCAAGGGACAGGTTCCGCGGCAGGTACCTGGAAGTCTGAGTAGAAAGGAAGCGGTTGTACAGGCGCTCAAAGACGGTAACGTGCATGCTGTGCATGATGAGAATACACGGAGGGGGAATTATGAGGAGAGAGGGTATCCGAAGGTATGAGTGGAAGTGAGTGGGTGAGGGCAATACCTGGATCGCCTCGGGATGCCAAAACAGGGGAATGGGATCATAGAGTCGACAGGTTCTCATGCCATGCTTCGAACAATGGGCATACTAGACTGTACCTTCAGGCTATCTCAAATGCCGCGAAGATTAGCCATGGTTCTATTCTTGGCCAGCCCAAGTCGGGTCGGGTGGAGGTGGGGAATAGTGGCATCGGCTCCACGAGGGGCCGCCTGTATTGTCTTGGCCAGCCTGGGCACTGGTCCTGGGCATTCAATTCGTTCCCCAGATATTCCAAAGATTTCACTTTCTCCTTTATATAATCCCTGTGGTTCTCCCCAGGATTCCCCATAACTCTCCACAGATCCACTCCGCACTCATCATCCGTACTAGGACAAAATGAGCCCGTCGCCAACAGTTCGCAAAACCGACAAGGAGGAGGTTGAGGTTGAGCATGTCTCTCATACAGAGAAGCAGAACGTCGGCGCCCTCACCAGCGAGGTGAACGAGAATAACAACGAGACACTCTGGCATTCCATCAAACAGAACCCCTGGGTCCTCGTCTATACCTTTTTGGCAAACTCCGGTTCTCTACTGTTCGGATACGATGTCCTCGTCCAGGGTGCTATTACTGCCCTTCCCATGTTCTCGTGAGTCCCTCTCTACATTTGCCCTACACAGGGTTAAGAGTCGATAGTGCCTATTTCGGATCCCCTTTCGGAGACTCCTTTATCCTTCCAGCGTTGTGGCAGGGACTTTGGCAAGGGCTGAACGCGTTTGGGATCATGTGTGGCGCCGCGAGCAATGGTGTGCTTCAGGATAAATTTGGACGAAAGGTGATGTTTTTCGTCGGCGGTGCCATTTCCGCTATTGGTAGGTGGAGCCAATGATGTTTGTGTGTGATGCATCTGACACTCTCTAGGGACTGCAACCACATTCGTCGCTTCAGATGTGGATGCACTCAACGCTCGACGTGGTCTGCTTGTACTCGGCAAGTTCATTCTCGGGGCTTCCATGGGGATCCTCATGTCGACATGCCAGACGTATGTATCGGAGATATCGCCGCCGCGACTACGTACAATCTTGCTTGGTCTCTACCCTTTTCTCATTGTGAGTCTGACCCTCTACTTATCAATCACAGAGAGGCCAAGCTAACAGCTGTAGACTGTTGGCCAGATGATTGCAATCTCGGTCGTCTTCTCCCGCATAAATGGCACCACAGACGCTGCCTTCAAGGTCCCCTTCGCTTCGCAATGGGCTTTCTCGGCCTTTGCCATCATCGTCTCCTTTATTATACCCGAGAGCCCGCTCTATCTTATCGCAAAGGACAAACTCCCCCAGGCTGAAAAGTCACTCCTCCGTCTCGGGTGCCCCACCCCTACCAGGCGTATCATGGTCATACAAGCAACAAGGGAACAAGAGAGAGCCTCGAGCGCCGAAGAAGCGACCGTTGCCGAACTGTTCCGAGGGAGCAACCTACGACGAACGCGCATCGTCGCCCTGTTAAACTCGTTACAACAATTTATTGGCATTTCCTTGGTGTCAAACTCCACATATTTCTTCATCATGGCAGGCATGGACCCTTCACAGTCTCTAACCATGAACCAAGCCGGTGTCGGGGCGAGTATGGGATGCACCCTCATCTCCTGGGTGCTCATCACCCACTTGGGCCGTCGAACTGCCATCCTCGGGAGCTTTGTTATGGCTGCGCTGTTCTTCTTGGGGATGGGGATTGCCGGGTTCTGGCCGCACGATCCCAAGGCTCTTCGGTGAGCCTCCCCCCTCCACTTTCTCTCTCAAGCAAGACGTACTAACCCCAGATTACCAGATTCATCGGCGTATCCCTCATCCTCGCCGCCTGCTGCAACAATCTCGGCGTTGGAACCGCCTACCCAATCGCCGCGGCTGAAATCCCCTCAACGCGACTCCGCGCCAAAACCCTTGGGTTCGGCTTTTTGATTAATGCATTCACAACCTGGGCATTCACACTGTGTGTTCCGTATATGTTCAACGCCGATGAGGGGAACCTCGGCGGGAAGATCGGGTTTGTCTTTGTTGGGTTCTGTGTTGTGGGGTTTGTTCTGTCCTGGTTGGAGATTCCAGAGACCAAGGATATTACCTACGCGCAGATTGATCACTTGTTTCAGCAGAGGATCCCGACGAGGAGGTTCAAGGATGAGAGTCTCAGGGAGATTCCGTTGGATAAGTAACTGGATAGCTCCATTTACACAGTACGGGTGGGGGTTTCTGTAGGGGACCAGTTATTGTATGACAGAGAAGTCATGGTTAGCTCCATTGTTAAATGAAAAGCCTCATTCGAGTTGGCGCTTCATAAATGATCTTGTCATACATGCTTGCTCATAACCTAAGAATCGTGATGAAGTCGCCTGTAGGGTTATCATCTCTGTTGCCACGCAGAGGGGATATACCGTCGGGGTTGAGGTAGCACCAGGCATCCCATTGAACGTCTCTCACCTAATCGAGGGGTATGATTGTGTACTCGTCGACATCAATATAGCTATCGTACTCGACGAGCTGCTCTACCTCCCCATATCCAGTCTCGTCCTCACTGTCCGACGGCTGCCACTCATACATGTCCTTGATTTCCGGCCAAGTCATGGCTCTCGATGCGAGTCGTATGTCATCTTTATGGCAAGGCCACGCGGTATCCTCCGCTATTTCAGCATGTTGCCCACGCCGGACAATTACCAGCAGCTCTTTCCGAGCGTTATCTTCGTGCATAAGCTCCGGGTCTTCATCAACTCCAAAGCTCTCGAGTCTTTCACCAAGTTGTAGCTCCTGCTCGAACCGTTGACGATTATAGGGGTTGGTGACGGCGCCTGGTGTGTTTGTTTGGGTGGATCGATATATGGTGACGGAGGCGCCAGAGTCCACCCCATCCCGCTCAGCCATCACGCGGCTCCAGGTGCTAGGCTGGGGCATACGCCCGTATACCCCATTAATGGATCGCAACCTTCGGAAGCCAAGCATCTTGGAATCCCCTGTGATGTAATGTAGCTCTCTCCATTTATTCCCGCAGTTGACTAGATCGTCTAGAGTAATGTATGCAACGTCAGGCCCATGGTCGCCGAGAACCGTCAGTGTATCAAGGCGTAAGCCAGGAAGTAGCTTCAGGGCCCAGACAAGCCTAACGAACACGCTATTCCCGTACTGCGGGGGTGACGGCAGTAGAATCGGCTGTGAGCCAACACGGATGTGACGAATCTGCTCAACGAAAGGCCTCGGTATCGATGAGAGCTTTTCAAGCAGGTCATGGAGTCTCTCAAAGGCGAACAAGACGTGGCCGAGCCAGGAGCTTCCGATCTCTCGATTGATGTATCGGCAGGAACGAAGAATGGCCAGAGAATTGGGCGCAGGCTTCATCATCTGGTGCATGGCGGAAATGCGAGTGATTGGTCGTTGGCCGTGGGTAAGGCGAGTTGACGAGAACAGATAGCGGTAGACCAGCAGGCGGACCTCTGGTGGAAGCAGAAGGAGCCGAGAGACCTCGGTTTGTCTTTGCGGCTTGTCCATTGCGCGGGGCCTAAGCAAGTTTGTGATATTTGAAAGAGATACTGTCGAACACATCGCGAGACGCGGGAAGCTTGTGTTGATGGCTGGATGGATAGTCGGAAGCGAGATCAGTGTGCCTAGTCCACCCCACCAGCCATATACGAACAGCTTGGAACCGTTCCACGGTTGTCCTTTACATAAGGTTGAAGTCGATGTTGGGCCACCATCAATCCTGAACCTAATGACAACGAGACCACAAGGGCACTCTTAAATGCACAGACCTAGTAAGGTGTGGGAACTCTTCGAAAATATGCCCGTCTGCCTAAGTTAAAGTACCTCTATAAATGCTGTGACAAATTAATATCTCAAAGACAACCTATGTCACGTACGTGGTATACCGGGACAAGAATGTCTGATCATGCGTGAAACTATTCAAGAGAAGCACAAGCCTTCCTAGAATAATGATATTCATCCATATGTTGAACAGCACAGAGAGAAATTGCTTGTTTGCAAATTGCCTGATTATTACTTACTACCCCGTGGTAGGCGCCACAGATCAGTCGTGATGCTCAATCACATCACGGGACGTCTCAAGAGGCCAGAGCATTGCTGCGCTGATCCTGTCCTTCACCTATGCACCCAAGCCAGCATCTTCTATCCTTGCGCAGACAAAATCTATGAAAACTGTGCAGCTGGTCCGTACACTCTTACCTACTCTCTCCTTTATCTTGGTGCTTTACAGTCTGCCGGTGAGCAGGTTGTATTTTCTAATCTGACAGTCACGAAGAGCATGATCCGAGTGAATGAATGTGTGGCATTTCTCGACGCGGTAGGGACTCCATAATTTATTCCCAGACTCATCGAGATCCGAGGAGAAAATGGAGCCAGGCGGGCCCATTTCATGTACTCCCAGCCCCTTGCGGAAGATTTATCCGGACTCTTGTTGATTTGACACCTCAGCTCGAAACCCCAACATTGCGAATTTGCGTCCCGGCAAGGTAGGACAGCCATAGTCTCGAGTAGCTGGCATGCCCGTTGCAACTGCAGGTGCTTCCTGCGACTTCGTACTCTGAACCCTCCAGCCACGCCAGATTCGGTAGATAAATAGGCCCGTTAGGCACTGTGTCTCCGCCCTGTCTTAGGCACACATTCTCCCTAGCCAAACACTCACGCCCGCACTCCTACAGCGCATTCGCACCATGAAGCTCGCAATCATCAGCGTCGCCTGGGTCTGTCTTCTCCCTCGAGCCCTTGGCTTCTCAGACGCATGCCGCCAAACCCTGGTTTATTGCGGCTCGACCCTAATGAAGTATAACGGTCCGTACTAAGCAAAAGTCTTGTCCATCGATGCGCACTTATCACGAATGCTAAGATATGATAACAATAGGGTATACTTCGGACGAGCTTCACCAGGCTATAGCGTCAGCCTCACCCGACTCTGCTCGCTTCGGCGCCCTTTTACGCCCAGAGGACGCGCGGTTTACGTGTATCAACACTGTGGGAGGCCTGAAGCTGAATGACTTTTGCGCATTGGGATGTACCAATCCTCCAAATGGGGATATTTGTTTGTAAAGAACGGATGGAGACGTGAACTAGACTAGGTAGCACGAGTTGTTGACGAGGAGGCTATCTTCAAGCTAGTCGATCTATGTTGATCTCGGGAGGTGATATAAACTGACACACGCTAGAGTTTATTATGGATTTGATAGTTAGCTGGACATGAAAGCATTAAAATAATCTATCTTATACAATCCAGTATTCCACACCAAGCTTCTATGACAGTGCCTTGCGGACTTTTTCATCGTCTCTCAAAGAGCAACCAGTAAGGACCAAGCAATAACCAAATCCTTGCAAGATACAGATACTGTGAGATGTATGGCAGACCTTGGAGACATCAAGCGTTTGTTTAAGCTAGCGGAAGAAAGGCCGCTTCTTAGGTCTCATACATACTATTTAGTGTGACTCCTTCTTGTTATGCCACTTGCGCCAATCCCGATCCTGCCAAAATATCTTTCAAACATTGTCGACGAGCATAGTCCTTAATTATTCAGGCGTCCAAACCTTCACAAAAAGTGCCCGATGGTAATGGCGCAAGGACTGGGAAGCAGGACGGAGTTCGTGGAGCATCTTCAAATGCCCCTGGCTCGTTTTGTCACTGAATGGCAGAGAATGTTCGGAAGCTCGACCGTCCCGGAGCTCGTACAGAATTATTAATGTACAATGTATTCCATTGAGTGATGGAGGAAGTCTTTTGCAAGCCCTTCATTCCAGCCAGCATTCTGCCCCTTTCCGACCATCGCCCTCATGTTCCCGCGAAGGCTCAGTAGAATAGACGACTTCCGTCTGTCCCGAATCAAAGATGAGGCGTCCTGGCCTGTCGCGGGCTCGAGGATGCAGTGCTACCGTTCTATTTGCATTGGAAGCAGTTGGCATCACCTCGCGTTATTCATACTCCAATGGTGTCATTCTTCCCAGTCGGAGCTCGAATTTTTCAAAAGCTTCCAAGCCGAGCCTGAAATGTACGCAGTCAAAGTTCAAGCCGGCGAAGTCTCCATGTTCACAACACGGAGCAAGATTACGTTTTCGTCTAATAGCCACGGGCCTGGGTGAAAGGTTGGGAATCGGCGGTCGGTGAAGCTGTAGATGCACTCTCTACCATCCATTCTTCGAGTATCTAGACCAAGTACGTTTAGATGTAGCTTGCCGGCGTGTGTGGTCGAGTAGAATGAATTGGTAATAGGATGAACAGCTATGACTTATTTCAATAAGAAGGATGCGCGGCATATTATGAACTCATTCAAGAAGGAAATTTTGCCGCCCGTCAATGGGAAAGCGTACGCGACAAACGACTGGATGGATCATGCTTATGCAAAGGGTGTATAGGCCTCCTGAGGCCCTAATGGACCCAAGTATCTAGAGACATTGCAAAGCCTCATGTGCGGACATACTCACTCTGCTAGTGCAGACGGAGCTAATTGGTGACAAGGCTTTGCTGGGGTCAGGTTGCGGTCAACGATGTGATGCAAATGTCCAAGGGCTACCAGGCGGATATGGCGAAACCGTGACTACGCCGAGAACAAGTTTGAAAAATAGCAAGTCTTGGTTGGCAACTGTCTTCTTCGAAGGCTTTGCCTGTCTACTAATTTTACGAAGCTCATGGACAGTTCAGTAAATTGATTGGTATTGACTAATGTACAAGTTCTTCAAGTGGAAGATGATATCAATCGTAACGCATCACTCATAAAATTACATAGGAGAACCAGCCTAGTAGCCGTGGAAATTGCCAGAGCGCATCTCGCGTTCACCTTGCTGAGCAATCATGTCGTTCTTGGCGACACCCTGCTCATGACCAAAGGTCTTGTCGACAGCTGCGGTCATACCTCCACGGAGGGACTCGCCCATACCCTGTGATGGTTAGACAGGACTCATTTACAAGTATCGGGCTTCAGAGGGACTTGCATGAACCTGAGCCGCGGCACCCTTGACGCCAGTGCCGACGTCCTCACCGGTGCGGGTGGCGCCAGACTGTCCAGTGTAGCCAGTGCTACCGGAGGGGTTGGCGGGGCTGTGGCCGACGCCGCCGGATCCATAGGTGTTGCCCTGGTGGCCGACGTTGGAGCCTCCCGTGGAGGAGCTGTTGTGCTTGCTGCTGTGCATCTCGCCGGTCTTGCTGTCGACGCGGGGGTCAAGCTTGTTGAGGATGCTCGAGCTGTGAGGGCCCTTGGCGCCGCCGGAGGACGAGGTTGAGGTGTTGTGGGTGGTCGAGGGCTGGGAGTGAGCACCGCTGGTTCCGCTGGTGATACCGCTGGTGGCGCCAGAGTGGGTGTTGTGAGGGTTGTGGTGGACGTTGTTGCTCGTGGTGGAGGTGGTTCCGGGTGCGTACTGGGCGCGGGTATCACGGTCGCTGTCGACGCGAGGATCGGCCTTGTTCATGAGGTTGGACTGGTGGGGGCCGGCGTTGCCAGTGGTGGAAGTGTACTGGTTGCCGCTGCGAGTGGTGCTGGGGGCATACTTCGAGCGGTTGTCAAGGTCGCTGTCGACGGTGGGGTCAACCTTGTTCATCATGTTGGAACCGTGAGGGCCAGCGGTGCCGGTAGTGGCAGTGTGATGGTTGCCGGTGGTGGTGGTTCCAGGGGCGAAGCGAGAGCGGCCGTCGACGTCGCTGTCCACACGGGGATCGACCTTGTTGGCGAGGTTGGAGCTGTGAGGGCCGGCATTGCCAGAGGTAGCAGTGTACTGGTTACCAGTGGTGGTGGTGCCAGGGGCGTACTTGGCGCGGTTGTCGACGTCGCTGTCCACGCGAGGATCGATCTTGTTCATCAAGTTGGAGCTGTGAGGGCCAGCGGAGTTGGTGCCGGTCGAGGGCTCGTTGTTGAAGGTCTTGGTAGAGGTGGACGAGGTGCTGCCAAAGGCGTTGCCGTGCTGGTTGTGAGTCGGGCCGGTCGCGCCAGCGGATCCGTACTGGGGGTTGCCGTACTGGGGGTTGCTGAGGTCGCTGTCCACGCGGGGGTCGAGCTTGTTGGCCATGTTGGAGGAATGGGGGCCGGCGTTGCCGGAGGCGGAAGTGTTGAAGTTGTTGTAGCTAGACATTATGATTGATTGTTGTTTGGTTGTTTGTGATTGTGTTTGATTCTGGAGAGTGGAAAAGGGACAGGTGTGTTGGGGGTGTTATATACGGCCGCAGGGCTGATGCTCGAGGGGGAGCTGGCCGGATGACGTCACACTGAGCGCAGAGCTCCCCTACGCAATTCCCCACACAAGAACAGTCTGTTTCTATTAATTCTCCGTCTCCATAGGATATTCTCCCGCTACATGACATCAGCCCTGTCACTAAATGTACATCATTACACAAACACTCGTCATGAACCACATACCGGCTGTTACTGGCAGCCAATGCTGCAACAAGCCTGCGTGCTGGAGTACGGAGTAGGCAGCACGATGAAGCAACAAAGACGCATTGCAATTGATCTGCACAGGATTGACGTGATTCTACTCTGCAGTATTCCTGCCGGTTCTAGATCTGACGATCGCGGCCATTATCTGATCTCGACTTGGCCACACTCACGTTGTGTTGTTGTCTTCGGTCGATACTGTACTTTGGACAGGAATTCAGGAACACACGGACGGGCCCTCCCCATTTGGATCCAGGGGTTCAGATTGATTTATGACGCAATGACCCTGTATTTCGCCAAGAATTGTGGAAAACTTCTCCATTCAAAACATGAAATGCCGTTTCACCTGGAGAAAGAAGGATCGCTCTGCACCAAGCGTGGTTGAACCATTTCTGCGGGTTTATCACCGGTGAACCTGCAACAACAAGGCAGTACAATGTAAACACTCATTACATCAAGCCCCATTGACAACTCGATTAATCTACTAAGCACTGTTGACGTAGCTAAAAGCTCCTCGTGGACTTGCTCTAGCCAAGCTGTTCTGTGAGCGCTTACGATGGAAACACAAGCGACCTTCTGCAAAATATCAGGTTTTGCACCTCAATTGTAGATAACAACGCACCCATTCGGACGTTTTGAGCCAGGAACCAGGGAAGTCGGGTGGCGAGGCCAGGCTAGGGCGAATCGTACATTGGAGAGCTGTAGATCTTCCAAGGGAGGCGATGGTCAATATCGTCTAAGATCATCACATTGGCCATAGTCAAGGATCTCAGGCTACTTTCAGTGGACCTTGTATCATTGAGCGAGCCTTCTCTTTGAGGAAAATTGCTGAATGTTGCTTTTACCTATCAACTCTTTGATAACAACCAGAAGCTCTTCCATGTTTCCTAATCTTTACTACCTACTCGCATGTTCCGTCGTTCCTTTCAAAACAAACCAAAGTAAATCCACACAGGAACCATCCTCCCAAATAATACGTTGAACTGTACCTGGGTACCAGAAATGCTGAACCAGAGTTGCGCGTGAGCGACCTAGGTCCGGCCCCTGGGAGTGCCTGAGTGCCTCCAACGCTTTGCCAGTCGGAACGAGCTATACGGCCAACAAGCCCGCCGAACCGATTCAAGTTACCCAAAATCACGGGCGATGAAGGACAAGATGGCTGTCTCCATTCTAGTGTCTGAATGTCCTTCAACTAACCCGTAGCATTGCGCACTGAAATTACCACCCGTCCACAATCTATCTTTTCTTCATGGTAGGGGAGATGCATCAGCGGTAATATACCTGTTGCGGGAGTACTTCGCGAACAATAATCAGACGTCGAGCAAGAAGCGACGGATATTAGGACCGCGTTGTGCCAAGAATGAATCCACGGTCCAAAGGGTGGCCTCGCTCAAAAATATATACATCTGACGGACAAGGTCGAAATCGATTTATTCAGCAACCACAGATAATCAAGACTTCTATACATTCAATAAATGCAGAGTCTAGCATTCACTGCACCTAGCTACCAATCACGTTCTTGGTGCTCCGCGATATCTCATGGTTGTCTGGGTCTACGGATTCAGCCCTTTTGAGTCCGGCGGGAGTAGCCTAGATGGGATACAACCATGCATACAATGCTTCAAGCGAGGACGAATAATAGCGGAAAGATGAGTAATGTGAGTAAGACTGTGTTTATAAATCAGCGGAACGATTCCTGCGTCTATCTAGTCTATTCCGAGCAAACAAATACCCAAACTAATTTGGATTGTCGGGCGTAAGCTTCGACAATTTCCTCAAACGCGGCCCATACTTCATGAATAAGAATGGAATCGGCAGTAATACGGCAGCTACAGCGCCGATGATCGACACCGCAGGGCCGACATCTAACGCGTCGATCATCGGGTGGGCGGCGAGGGGGAGACCGGCAGCCATGATGCTGCGGAGGAATGTCACCGACGCGGTCGAACTTGCCGCATAGATACCGTACATATCGACGAGGAAATTGAGGCACTGCTGGAAGATGCAATTGAACCCGACGCCGATGAACAGCGCCGCCAGGCAAGGTAGGATCCAGTGATGAGGAGGTTTTGCTGTCCACGCGAACCAAAACGCACCGACGACAAAGAAAATGGCGCCGAAGGCCATCGGCGGTAGCCGAGCTTCCGGCACAGGGTTTCCGTTGGCATTGCGGGCTATCTCGTTGTAGCGGTATTGGTTCCAAATGTTAAGTCCGACGGAGGAAATGACACCGATAAGTAGCGCGAGGAAAGGAAGGGTAGCCACGACTGGATGCCAGCCTCGAATCTCTTGAAAGACGATCGGGAAGACCTCCAACGTGAGGTACATGACTCCGTAGACAAACGAGGCATAAATAGCGATGCAGGTGACGATAGGCTCGGTGAAAAGCATTATCATTGGTCGCGATAGCTGCTTCGTCACAACCGAGTGGACGTCGAGTTTTAGATGCTCATGAGGGTGATAATAGAGCTGGTCGTTCGTCTCCTTGCGAAGCCGTTGCGCTTTCTGTTTAAGCAAGACCAGTGGATAGACTTCGGGTAGAAAGAAGAATGCCATGGCCCAGGTGACAAACACCCAAATAGCTAGAATATAGCCAGTCCAACGCCAGTTGAGATGCGGATTTGTGACGAGTGCAGCGCCGATAACAGGACCAAGAGACGGACCACCGTTCACAGCAACAGCATACAAACTGACTGCGATTCCTCGAGTCTCACGGCTCCACATGTCGCCCAACGCGGCAGTGACGTTGCTAATCGGAGCTGAGCCAAAGAATCCGGTAAAGAACCTTGTGCAGAAGACTGCAGCTGCGTTGGTGCTTCTGGATGTTCCAATGGCGAAGAGTGCCTGGCAAAAGACTGCCGGTAAAATACTCACCCGTCTGCCCCAGATCTCAGACACGGGGGCCCAGATGATCGGACCAAAGACGAAGCCAACCCTATCAAAGTCAGTAACAGATTCACAGCAGAATGCTAAGACCCACAAGTACAGAGAAACATCTAACACACCGACTTCACGACTCACTCCCACATAATTGGTGATAATACTGTCAGCCGGGGTCATGATGCTAGAACCCAGACTCCCCGCGAGGGCCAGCATACCCAGCTGAAAGGTCACCCACCACTTATACCGTGCAGGCCAGTTTTGAGGATTCATCGGATCATCCACATCCCATTTAACCAGGTAATCTGGATCGAGTTGTGCCTGCCCTGCCTCCTTTTCACCCCTTGATATGCCCTTCACGGCCTGACTGACCGGCCAAATTCCTCCCATGATGCCAATCTCGAGCTCTCCAAGCCCAAAATGCTTTCTGAACAAAATACCGACCGTGAACACAGGGGATGACAGGGGTGGAAACCCATTTTAAGGGCGATTATCGACCTCGGCCGAGAATTCCAACTCCAGTGGGGCTTCGGATAAGTCGGCGATAATTTGTCAATCGCGCAATCTGGCAGATCTAACCCTAATGAGCCATCTCGACCGACTAAATGAGGGGTTGATGCCTTTGCTTACCTCGAGGTCGTCGGAGTCTACCGTAACATCATCTTCAAAAGACCGGAAGGCTTAGAATCAACATCGATATCCAGATAATCCTTGAACTATGGCTTCTCTACCTTCGGCTTCTTGCTGCTACCAAGGTGTGAAGCATGAGGGAACCGCGAAAGGCTCGTTGTCGCGCGTCGGAGACTTCGAAGTCTACACTGTGCAGCCTGAAGGCCAAACCTCTGACAAGGCTATACTGATGTAAGCCCATCGCTTTCGCAGATCATGTTTTCGTGTGATCAAGATCAAGCTGCTTATATCGTCAGTCTTACCGATGTCATCGGCCATAAGTTCATCAACGTCCAGCTTATCGCCGACCAGCTGGCCGCAAATGGCTATTGTAGGTTGCGCCCAAATGAACCTAGGGACGTGAACTTACTGGAATAGTCGTGATGATCCCCGAGCTCTTTGATGGCGATCCGATTCCACTGAATCGTCCGGGCGACTTTGATATCGTGGCTTGGCGTGATGGGAAATACCACCCGCAGGGGAAAGCCCATGCCCCGGAGAACATTGATCCCATCGTTGATGCTTGTGTCAAAGAATTGCGAACCAGATACGGATTCAAAGTATGTCCCAAGTGTTTCACATTCTGGGCAGGTACTGACCCTTTGCAGAAAATCGGGGCTATCGGCTACTGCTTCGGAGCGAAATACGTCGTTCGCCATCTCCGACCAGATCTCGGCAAACTCGATGTCGGGTTCATCGTGCACCCCAGCTGGGTAGGGGAAGAAGAATTACACGCGATTAAAGGTCCTATTGCTGTCTCCGCAGCGGAGACTGATGCCATATTCCCGGCCGAGAAGCGGCATGAGAGCGAGATAATCCTCAAAGAAACTGGGGTGCCGTATCAAATCGCGCTGTTTAGCGGAGTTGCGCATGGGTAAGATGTCTCAATTTCCACGAGCTAATAGCACTCGAGGGACTAATCCATGATTGTAGGTTCGCGGTTCGCGGTGATCCGAACAATCGTAGTGCTCGGTATGCCAAGGAGAGCACCTTCTTCCACAGCCTCCAGTGGTTTGGGGAATATCTGAGAGATGAATGAGGTCCTGGCTGGTGGGGTATCTGCAAGTGGGAAGACAGTTTATCGTAACGACTAATGGCTCATGGAAGAAGAATGTACCGTCATTGGCAGCAGCACCATATCTGGAGGATTGTGATACGCACTGTCTGGATTCTCTAGCTCACATAGTAGTTCGGTTCCTATGAGTATCGACGTTCCTGTTGACTGTATTGGTCCGAGGCAGTTCCTCTAATATGCGGATAAACTGTTGGGGTAGAACTTCTTGTAGTCCATTCTCAAGACCGGCGGCCGAAACATGTTCCTTGCTCGTTTCAAGATATTGTTCCCGAAAAGCGTTCCATATGGACGAGTGTTGGTCGGGTCGTGGGCAGAACGGGGCATTCTTCAAGAAGGCATTGGCTGCTTGTTGAACTCCTTCCTTATCCATGGTCATGGGTCATGCCAGGTCAAAGTCGAGCATCCACATCTCATGCAAACCCAATGCATTGTTCCAAGTTCCCCTAGTGCCACCATCGCAGATATTGCTCGGTGCCGCAAGGACGAATTCGATATCGTTTCCATCAATCCGGGCGACCCAGTGTAGAAAGGCTAGCGTATCTGCCATGGTTCGGGAATAGCCCATTATGTCCTCCTCTGGGATCCCGATTTCTTCCATCTGGTCGAGGTGTAGCGGATAGTTTCGCAAAGAGAAAAAGCCTCTGGACCGCGGGGTCTCTGAGGCTCGCTGTATCCGCCGTCGACCCAGGTATGGGCGGATCAAACAGTCACGGTTCGTTTCGCTTTTCGTAATTTGAGACTTTAATCGCGCCGGACAGTATTTCGCAATGAGGAGGTTCCGGGTGGTTTCGCTGACAGGAGGGATTCGCTGCATTTCGGTCATGTTGCAAGGCTTGTAATCGGGCGGGAAACGGTCGAGGTTGCCGGTCCACCAGGTATCGGTTGGGGATATGAAGCTGTGACAGAGAGGAATGTTGATGTGGTACCTTACCTCTGCTACTGGTGAGGTAGTATCTGGCGGGTACTCCAGTGCTGTCCGACGCATGCACTGTAGGATGTGTTGATGTGTTTCGAAGTCGTGACGGAGCGACCGATCTGGCCCTCCATCTTCGCGCTTGTAGGCAGAGCCTGTGTCTGAGGCTGCCCATACAGTGCCACAAAAGCCAGTACCTATTCTTCGTAGCGGGGGTCTAGATTCGCTCATTTGGAGATGTTCTTGATGAAAACGTTGTTGTGTTATTCCTTCGTTGAGAAAAATTGGAAGCTAAGATGGTTTGAGCAACGGACTCACCAAGTCTCGCTGCCACCAGAATCAGGATGAGCACAATTTTAAGTTTTTCTTTTTTGAGTTTTCTGTAGAATGGGGACTCGCAGTGATAGCAAAAAATTGGATCTAAATCTGTTTCATCGATTGCTTGGACAAATCGCCTGGCAAAATACATACGTACAATATACTCGGCCTCTTCAACATCATTGAATCCTGACAACTAATCACAGGCAGGACTTTGACGCCTTCAAAGGATCGGGACTGACATTGGGGGCAAAGAAGCTATTTTCTAGGTTTCTCTGTTGACAATAACCAATGCTTCAATGCTATCGTACTTGAAACCTCATCCATATAACCTCTAGACACTGGAAGGCGCCGCTGTGCCACTCGGAGCTTCACCAGAAGGAATGGCACCCGAAGGAGCAGCACCGGAGGGAGCTTCGCCGCCGCTACCGCCACCAAAAGCACTGCTGTCGGTGTTCTGGTGACCGCCATTCTCATCGAAATAGGCCGCAATGCTGTAGTAAGAGTTGTCGGTGTAATCGGCAGAGGCGTTGATACCGATTTGGATCCAGGCAAATAGCCCGTCCGACAAGCCTTGGCCGAGGTAGACATACTCAGGAAACGGATCATACTCATCGCTGGCCTGCTCAATACTCCACATGTCATCCGCATTGGTTGTGATGTCCTGAGTGTTGGTATTGTACGGAGAAGTCTCCTCAACTGCAGAACGGAGAACCTCATTCCAGAACAGCTGGCCAATGTGGGCGACACTGCCAGTTCCGACCTCTAAAGTACCATTGTTTCGGTTGACGCTCGAGTTCAGATGGGTCAAGAGGTGGGTGTGAGTCGCGCGTCCTTCGTAGTGCCCTGGGAAAATGGTCTGGAAAGTAACGATGCCGTCTTCATCGGATTCCTGAATGCCTCGAAGGTAGGTCGAGTCCCAGCCATCCGCTGCCTCGTTTCCTGTTGCCACAATACCACTGATATCATTAGCATTGAGCGAGTAAACGCAGCTTTCGGGAAGCCTACCTGTAGATACCTGTGGCATTGGCATTCCAGATGTCAACGAATGCCCCCTGCACGGGACGGCAGGTGTTGACATCGATGTATTGCACCTCGAGGAACAGATCCACACCATCGCAGTATTGGTCCTCCCTCACATCCTGGCGCGTAATCTCACCCCAGACGTAGTATGGACCATCGGTAATGGTGGGAGCAAGAATGGCACTAGTGTTGCCGCCGAAGATGGCCTCTTCAGGGGTGTTGGGCGAGAAGTTGAGGATACCAGTCTTATTGTGGTCGATAGCCTCCCACTCTTCGAGCGCCGCGAGGTCTCTGCGCCACTTTTGAGGGTCTGGTCTGTTAGCCATCGTCAAAGTCTTGCAAGACAGGGCACTTACTGGCGGTAATTCCTCGGTTCTTGCGAAGCTCACGGGTGGTCTGGGCACGGCGAGCAATGTTGCGTTGGTTCAGCTGAACGGCCTCGTTGGAGCTGGAGCAAGCGTCCAGGGCCTGTCTAGCCTTAATGGCCTGCACATCGCGCGCGTGAATATCTCTCTTAAGGGCGGCAGGGTCGTGCTTCTCGCCGGGGTGGGCGAGTGCCAGGGTGGCGGCAGTCAAAGTAAGGAAACCAGAGAAACGCATGATTGCTGATTCAAGAAGTAATGAGTTGAGGATGACGTGTTGCAGTGAATGTCATTTTCGTGGACGCCTTTGCCTCTTTATAAATCCGAATCTTACGGGATGTTGTTCGTCGCCGCGTCACCAGCTTGCATAGCAGTTTCATATTCAGGCACTCGGCGGCAGGGGCTGCGTAATCCAAAGGAGGCCATAGGCTGCTCTAGGACAAATATAGGGCTGGAGGCTGTGGTCCTGTGTGTTGCAGAAAATGACACTCTTGGCGCCGCGTATGCTTTTTCCAGAAGTGCTTGGTATGAGCTTAGCTGGATCCACTCTGTCGTGAGTGGATGCCGTGGGCAACACTCAACCCGTCTGCAAGATACCTCTGGGGGATAGAGACTGCACGGGGAGTACGCACAGCACACGTTCAAGGAGACGAAGTGCTCTTGATAGTTTCTGCTGATCGCCATCGACAAGTCTGGAAGCAACTCCCCAATTCTCCCAGCAGTTGGAGTGAATCCGGCGAAACACAGTGACGACGACCAGTCTCCAGGGATCGGCGGTCTCGACTGATGGTTCCGGAGGCCAGACTCCACAGTGCACTGCTGTCTCTGTTTATGCTGGAGACCTTCACTATGCAGAGAATCAACTACTACTCACACCCATCATTGAAGCTTACAACCTCGAATGGCAGGCACGACGCGCGATAGCACCTTCCTTCTACGAAGAGCCCGTAATAGGCAGGCGCGCTCTACTGGGCTGGCGCTGCCATTTCGCGTCTGTAGAAGTAACATCAGAATGACCTCCCAACTGTTCATGCCCTCTTCCGACCACATTATACCTTCAAGCAGCTTCTATTCACAGTATATAGAGCACTATGGCTAACAGCCCTTCGCTCTCTAGCCCCACTTTCCTGAACAAGATCGATCAACTGTTCGGCCACAATGTTGGCAAGTCGATCGAGCCTGCGCAGCTCGTTGTCGTTGGAGACCAGGGGAGCGGCAAAAGCTCCGTGTTGGAAGGGCTGACGCGGCTTCCATTCCCACGCGATAGCACATTGTGTACACGCTTTGCGACACAGATCGTTTTCCGTCGAACCATGCATCAGCCTCGAACAATCACAGCGAAAATCATCCCAGCACCGCAGACAAGCGCTGAAGCCGAACTCAAGCTCAAGTCCTGGGCAAGAGCTATGCCTGGTGATGACCTGGATGCGCGAAAGTTCTCGGAGCTGGTGCAGCAGGTAAGTAGACCTCAGACTCCAGTTCAAACTCCAGCTTATTCGGCGGAATCTTAGGCACATGCCGCAATGGGCGTTCGAACCACAGTTGACCAAGCCAAACCGACCTTCTCACAGCACGTCTTCTACCTAGAAATCAGCGGCCCTGAGGAAGACCATATTTCGATCATTGATCTTCCTGGACTATTCAGGGCTGCCGGAACCGGAGGCTCAACCAAGTATGACTCTGAGATGGTACTCAATTTGGTCTTGAAGTACATGATCGACCCTCGCTCAATTATACTTGCTGTGGTTCCTGCCAACGTCGACATCGTCACCCAAGATATCATCCTTAGGCTCCGGGAGGTGGATCCAGTCGGGAAACGGACCCTCGGTATTCTCACCAAGCCGGATCTTGTTGAGAATGGGGAAAAGAAGCAGGCTCTGGACTTGTTGACGGGTAAGGCTCTGCCGCTGCAGCACGGTTGGGTTCTAGTTCGCAATCCTGGAAAGAGCGAAATGACCGCAAACGACGAAGCTCGCAACGACCTCGAAGAAAAGCTCATTCGTCAGGACTGCTGGAAAAAGGTCCCCCGAGAACGGTTTGGTATGGAATCACTTCGACGACGTGTACAAGAGGCTGTTGTAGAGCAGACTCGACGGCAGTTTCCCGAGGTAAGAGGTGACCCTCAAATTCACAATTGCGATCCTGACAAATTAGGTGCGGTCGGAAATCAACAGGAAGCTTAACGAGGCAAAGACAGCACTAGCCATCCTAGGTGAGGAAAGGAACAACCCGAAAGCACAAGCCGATTTCCTGCTGGATATCGTCGCCAAATTTCAGGACGTTCGAGCCAAAGCCCTCAGCGGTAACTATACTTCGAGAGACCTTTTCGACAAAGCCCAGTTGGCTCGCCTGGCAACAACTGTACTCACAAGAAACGAGCAGTTTCAGCACGACATGATACGGTTTGGACACGTTTACGCCTTTCAGCCCAACGAGACCGATTTTAGTGGCCAGCATCAGTTGACCGATCAATCTAGCCCGGCGAGCGCACAGCAGGACACGCAACTCCGTACGCGTAGAATTGACACACATCTAGAGGTCAGCGATATTCTGGTCGAATGCGAGGTCTTCAGCGAGCCAGACCGTGAAGATATTCTTCGCTGGCTTGAAGATGAGTATAACGGCTTGCGGGCGTTTGAGCTTGGTACGCTCAGCACTTATCTGGTGCCTCATGCAATGAAGAAGCAATCTAGCAGATGGGAAGCAATTGCGTTAGGCTACATTAGCGATATTATCGCAGTTGTGAGCATGTTCATGGTCGACATCCTTACCGACCTATGCCCTAACCCCCGCGTGTCTCACGGCCTGATGGCAATCATAACTGATGAGCTTTATGCGCATTACCAGAAGGCGATTGACCATACTCGGTTCCTGGTGGATAATGAGCGCAGCGATACACTCATGACCCTCCAACAGTCATTTACGGACAATGCCTATCTTCGGTGGGTCTATTCGCTCGGCGTGTTCAGGGTACGGAGCTGACGACTTATAGCCCGGAGCTGAAACTGCAGAAGTTCATCGCCGAGAAGACTTTCGACTACAGCAACAGCCCTCTCGGCAAAGTTGTGCGCGTGAACGACATGATGACTGTGCTGCCCCATATGAGCAGCACCCAGTATACCGTACGTCAAATCCATGATATCCTCCAGTTGTACTACATTGTTGCACGGGCACGCTTCATCGATAATGTCTGCATGCAATGCACAAATTACCTACTTCTTAATGGGCCCTCCAATCCCCTGAGGCTCCTGTCTGCTGCTCTCGTTTTTCGCTTGTCCGAAGTGCAATTGCAGGACATTGCTGGTGATGATTCCATCTCGCAAAGAGAACGTCAGCAGTTGCAACAAGAAATCGAAGATTTTGAGGCTGCTCGCCGACTTCTGCTCTGAGGGTCTCTTCTAGCTGCTGGGTAATTGGGAGTTGTCTATTGTGGTTTTACTATCCTTACACTTCAAATGCTGTAACAAAAGTACAATTCACTCAATCTATTGCTTAACCTCGGCGGCTATGCGCCTCGCCAAGATACCTGCATCTTCTCCGACTTGTGTAAGAGCATTCATAGCCATGCTGCTCCACGGCGCCATCTGTAGAAAACCATGAGACAACGTTTCGTAATGACGCCAAGTGACATCGTTTTCAGCGTCTTGTAATTTGCAGGCAAGCTCGGCACCAACATCCCGGAGACAATCGAAGCCACAGGTGTAGACTCTAGCGGGTGGCAGGTCCTTCAACTCGGTGGTCGGTAGCTGTCCCGGTGAGATATAGGGACAGGAAGGTGGCACTCCAGATGGTATATAGTTTCGTGCAAATTGAAAGATTCCGTTGCCTAGAGTAAGTCAGAGTATGCCGTGGGATAATTTCCAAATTTAAGACTCACAGTTCAGATAAGGCCCAGTATTATTCTCTGCCGCAGCCTTTGTATCGAACGGCAGTCTCGCTTCGGGGTAGAGTAAGAATATACCGGCCAGATTGTGTCGTTGTCTGTCGCGTAGCCTCAGTGTAATCGCAGCCGTCATATTTCCACCTGCACTGTCCCCAGCGCCAAAGATCAGATTCGGATCAACCCGACGCTCGCTGCCTCCCTCGCCCGCCAGCCACTCCAACACAGCCTCATACTCATCCAACTGCGTCGGATACGGCCATTCCGGCGCCAGCCGATAATCGACAAGGTAAACTTGGACACCGGATTTCTCAGCGAGAATGCGACATCCGTTCTCAAATTCGTCTCCCGCGCCGACCGAGTACCCGCCTCCGTGGAAGTAGATCAACACCGGGGAGAGGTTAGATTTTGTGGAGGCATGATGAGACTTGGATGGGTATAGCACGCGTAGATTGATCGTCCCATGCGGACCTCGAAATGCCGTGAACTCAACTCGCCCTATAGGGGCTTGTAGTTCCTTGGGATGCGCCGTGAAGCCGAAGATCTCTGCGTGGATGCGACGCTCCTGTAGTAGATCGCTTTCCCCGAGGCGCAGCTCTGGGTGCCCTTTGGTGAACTTTTCGACACAAGGATCGAGTGTCGTTCTAATCGCGGATTCCGGAGTCATCATGTAAGCGAAAAATGGCTGCTGGGATGGTATCCGTGGGAACGCAAGCTTATATGCCAAGAACTGCGATCCAGATCTACAACGTCATAATGGCGCTAATTATCCATGAAGACCACCTTAAAGCCGATGATCTGCGTCCAGTCACCCCAATCAGGCGACTAATTTGATCTCCTTCGAGCAATGAGTGAATCGATTGCTCATCCGGTGACCTCAGATCATGATTACTACCTGGCGCTGCCGTTTTGCCCCAATTCATAAAGCGAGCGACGGACAGCAGACCATTCTCCACAACACATCATCTTGGAAGATCTTCACCGCAGCAGGAACTCGACCCGACGACGCCGAACTCCGAAATGCAATCTGTTCTCCACCCGATTCTCGGCCCGAAGAAGAGATGCACGATCTCACGGGGCCCGTTGTATCTGTTACCGGTGGTGCTCTGGGCATTGGGTCCGCTTACCTCGTTACTTGCTCTTCTACATATCGCATGGAAGAACAATGCTAACAAGGCAGATATGAAATTTCCCGAGCATTCGCCCTCAACGGGGCCTGCGTGATCATGACCAGCCGCAAGAAAGAGCAAGGCGATGCGGATCAATGAAATCAAAGAGGAATCCGGCCAAAAGGCGCAGATCGAGTGGGTGGACAAGGACAATGGAAATTTCAATGAGATCAAAAGCGTTTTCTCGAGCATTAGTGAGAATGAGGAGCGGTTGGACCTCGTACACCTTTCCCTTTTCAAGAAACACTGAATGAGAAGCCACAGCTAATGGAGAGAACAATGCTCGACGCCGCCATAAACGCAAGCCAATACGCGACAACGCACGACCGAATCGAGTGTCTCTTCCAAGTGAACTAACTCGGAAACTTTCATCAACAGACACAACACTCAAGCGTCTGCCAAATACCTCTGAGGGGGAAAAGCACCTGAATATCTGGATACAGCGTGCGCTGCGGGAGGTGATATATCTTTAAAGTCTTTGCCGGTCATTATTGAGGAAACCTGAAGCGACTCTCCCATTCTCCGGATGGGTGAATTTAGACTCAGTAACACCCGGACCGAGGACGACTGGTCTCCAGTGATTGGCGGTCTCGACTGACGGCTCCAAGGGGCAAACCCCACCGTGGATTACAGAGTACTGTCTCTGTTTATGCTTGAGACCTTAACTGCTGCAAATAATCAATTTTTATCTACACTCGTCATCGAGGCTGGCTTGCAACCTCAAATGGCAGGCATGACACACGATAGCACCTTTTATTCTACGAAGACAACCCGCATTAGGTGTGTAATGATTTATAGTTGGTGATAGAGCTGATGTCATGTAGCGGGTGGTTCCCCAATGGGAAATATCATGTGGCCGATCTGACTCATGGATACTTTGCTTTCGTCGCACTTTCCCGCCAACGCAGCAAACGTCTCTGTCCCGGCAACACAACTCAAGGAAGGCGCTTCCGAGACTAGAGCGCGATCACAAAAGAGAAACGTAAGGCTACAGAGTCTACTAGTCCTATCCATACCAGTCTAACGCATACACGCCATGGCAGAAATCACTCCTCTTCGTCAGCGACGGGCGCAGATCCCGGGCATCATGAGTGGCTCTGTGCGCACCAGTTCGTCCACTGATACGGCCCGATCATCTGTGTTCAGCGAAAGCGTCACGTATGAGGTGAAGAACAAAGCTTCGAACTCGTGTTGGGCTTGTCCTAGAGGCAGACCCCAGGTATGCCACGTAGTACCACGAGATGATCTTCAGGTATCTCAACAACTCCCATTTCTTATCAGCTCAAAGTGTCTAAGCTAATTATCCGGTCTCGAACTCAGACGCAACTTTGGATTGAACGAGGTCTTATCGATTTCCGTATATCTTCTCATTTGAATGGCATAGCACTCTGTGGCTCGTGCCATACGGAATTTGATGATGCGTATGACCCCTGGTTTTCTTTCATGCCGGCCGACCTTGATTTTTTCATCAATTTTGAGTTGCGTGATCGAGAACGACGACGTCAAGTCGCCCTTTCTGGACAAGCTCCTAGACGTCGAGTACCTAACGCGAATTCCTATAAACAACATCAAGTCGACAGTGGTATAATTGACTCAGACTCAATTGGAGGGTTATACACGCCATACTATTTGGCTCCAGTATCGCACCGTGTATCCACATTCTCCACGCCGCGGCCATGGCATGGCGCTCCTCTGGCATCATTGCGCCGTGCATTCCTTCTACTCGGGTCTGGAAGAGCGCAGTCCATCGACAAGGATCAGCTTCAGAAGCTGTGGCGATTAAAGGAATTGTATTTCAGTGACGATGAGATCGCAGTAGCAGAGAATTCCCCGGTGGAGACACCCTCCACCCCGAAGCGACCAGCAGAAGAGGCTTCAGACATGGGTGGCTCGCCAGCCAAGCGTTCATGCGTGGAAATCAATCGGCCAGGTAGCGGTGAAGCTATGGATGTGGACAATGTCTTCGCATCGATTACAGAAGATAATCTGAAAGCACATAACATGTTCAACTCCTCTTTCACCGCCAACGATCTCATGAGACGATTCACATCAACTCTACGCGAGAGTCCGCCTGTCTGATCACAGTACCAAGCAGCTAGAAGAGACTCTCAGAGCAGTTGGGATATTTATGGTAGTGGTGAATGAGACTGCGCCGCAGGAGTCGTAGACTTATGCGTTGTGTCTTTTGTATCCGTTGGCAGATTTCCTTCCTCCCTCACTTCATCAAGCACTGAAACTTGAACTGAAACCCTCACAATGGCCATTCCACTTGTCGCGGTGCATCAGATGACGGATGGTAGGTCTGCAGACAATGATTTACTTGTTCTTTCTTTAAAGAATTGAAAGTTTCGATCAACTAACGGTGTTCTTTCAGACCTTCCAAGTTACACCGACAGTGACGTGAGCCTCGAATTCCCCGACATATTCGCTCTCCGGGCCAGCGATGGTTACTTTCCTAATTCGCGAGGCGGGTTATCATCGTCGGAGGTCACATTCTCATACAATTGGCGGTGAATTGGCACATTATCGAGCAACAACTAAGATATTTCAATTCACTTCGTTTATTATTCGATTTCTCTTAGACTTGTAGTTTTTATACTGGGAAGTTAGTTCTTTAGACTGATGACGACTGTAACAACGATGCGTCGGTGAATATGGGCTGCCTATTCTGGGCAAGTAATCGGAGGGGGGATGTCTACGCAGCAGGAAGATCTTGCTCTATTTCGGAAGATGCGCCTTTAGGTGAATTACGAGATTCTTTGTCAAGTTCCCCCGGGTTTGCGCCTAACCCAAGCATGTCCAGTCTGGTTGTGAACAGGATTGTTTGGCATTCTTCTTGGATCGACCGTGTCTCGTGATCAACACCACACCAGTCGGTAAGGGTTTCTCATCTTATTTTAGCCATCACGCTCATGATTGGGTGGAACCCCCAGGATGGGCCTCGACCCTCACGCATGGTGATGTGGCCGGCGTCCAGCAACTGGGTAGCCCAGATCGCCAAGAGATCACCACATCGGGGGCGGAGGCGCAGCAGCTCTCGGCCTGTTCAACACCCGGAGTATACTCCAATTCCTTTGTCCACTTATCGCTTGATTATCCTGCTGCCTAACCAGCGATATTTTCTTGTGCGACAGAGATGTTACAGACCAGGTTGTCCGTCAGAACTGCCTGAGAATTATAAGTCGCCATTGCCCATCATGCATTTGATTCAGCGACACCACGTCAAGAACCACTTCACGAGTCATGCCTAACGCAACCGCAACCCTCGGCTGGACTGTCGCAAACTGGGGTGATGCTCCGGCAACTTATACCCTTGCTTCAGACTGCACGGCCTCGACCGACCTCCATATTGTCCATACCAATGGTCCTTCCGTCCCCATCTGGCCGGAGACGTGCACCACCACCGCCGCAGTTGAAACCTGTTGGCCAACTCCGACGGACAGCGACTTGGCGTCTGCTGCAACCAACCGCTACAGTGGGGCTTATTGGTCTGGCGTGAATTGTCCGTCAGGATGGAGTTCCATTGGCGAAGCTGCGCATCCAACTAACGGGCCTGTTACCTCGTCCGGGGTGTTTACTATCCAGGCTCGCCTGGATGGAGACGACGATGACTACGATTGGGATGATATCGATTTTGATCGTGACGACGATAACGATGATGATGACTTTATTGTCTTCGGCTTCCAGGATGCTCTCGGTGCACTCCTTGAGTTCGGAGAGACTGCGATAGCTTGTTGCCCACGGTACTTCTTCATTCGCAGTACAATTGGGCTGTAAACTATACTAACAACGCCAAGCTCCATGTCCGTCGGCCGCAACGGCTTGTGTTACACGACCCTTCCCAGCCACACAGTAACAACGGCCTGTGTTCCCAGATACTCGCCTTTTGTCCCGAATCTAGTCTCAACAACGTATGTTCTGGACGGCACAACTCACACTGGACGGATCTTCGTTCCGGCAACAGACAACGACCCCCTTCTGCCCACAAGCACCAGCACGACGACATTCCGTTCGCAGCAGACGAACGACCTTGTTGCCGCTAGTTTGATCACGCCGATTTATGTTGTGCATCGGGACGGTGATGAGCCTGGGCCTTCGCAAACCGGCGGAGCGAATGAAAGTGACAATGGAAGCGGAAGCGGGAATACTAATCCTGAGGAAACGAACGGAGCAGCGACCCTTCATGGAGGACCCGGTATGGCACATTGGGGTCAGATAAAGGTTATGGGAGGAGTCTTGGGAGCATCGGTTCTGGCAGGGATGTTCTTTGTCCTGCCTTGGTAGGTAGGTATTCTGAGTACTGGCCTTTTTCTGTTGATGGTTACTTTCGGATTGAGTAATATGTTGCTACCTTGACGCTTGTCTGTGGCCCGCAGTTCATATAGTTCAGGTTGAGAGTTCTATATGCTGTTTGCAGAAAAATGAGAGCTGTAAACGGGCAACCTATCACATTAACTTCGTGAGCCGTAGAAATTAGATGCTACGCAGGCAACTTGTTTTGTCGTTGCCAACGTAATGGAAGACCGGACAAGAGGGTTTATACTATTAACCTTAATCTGGGAAGTCTTCGCCGAAACTCAGCCCAGGCACAAAACTCGGCCTTCCAAAACCTCCCCCTCAAGCTATTGACTCATTTCCCTTCCTCATCTTCTCTCGTCAACACACATCGTTGGGTCTCTTCCATTCCAAGCACCATGGCCCCCATCCCACGGCCCGACATCAGAACACGCTTTCTCGTCATTTCAGACACCCACGGCCACCCGCTACCCTCCGACTATGCCCCAAAGGCAGACGTTGCAATCCACTGCGGCGACCTGACAACCGAGTCGAAGCTCCACGAATTCACATCCGCCATCGACCTCATGAAATCCGTCGACGCACCGCTCAAGCTGGTTATTGCCGGAAATCACGACTTCACGCTGGATATCCCCATGTTTCGACGGAAGGTTGAGGAAGTAAATCCGCCACTAGATCCTAATCTCGTCAGGAAGGAATACGGTGACTATGGAGAAGCTAGGAGCTTATTTAATGAAGCGAAGGAGAGCGGGATAACCTTCCTAGAGGAAGGCACTTATACCTTTACTCTCGTGAACGGTGCGTCATTGAAGGTATATGCAAGTCCATACACACCTTCGCTCGGCGACTGGGGCTTTCAGTACCATCCGCAAGCGGGCCACGATTTTGATATAGGAAACGATGCCGACGTCGTTATCACACACGGCCCGCCCAGAGGGATAATGGATATGACATACTCGGGGACACGAGCCGGGTGCCCTGCCCTCTTCAAGGCCGTCGCTCGGTCAAGACCACGAATGCACTGCTTTGGTCATATACATGAAGGATGGGGTGCAAAGATCATCACATGGAGACGGAACATCAGCGACAACCCATCACATCTCACGGACATCGACAACGGAAGCTCTACAGTAATTGCGAAACTGTCTCAGATTACGCCGGGGGTGGGTATCCAGCAAAGTACAACGAGCCATTGCGCGGAAGATCCGATTCCACTCAAGGGTGGCTCGCAGACACTATTCGTCAATGCCGCGTTTGAAGGCACAGAAGGTGTCCTAACCCAGCCGCCATGGCTAATCGACATTGAACTTCCACCAGCTGCGTGAAAAGTGTCCCCTCCACCGCGAGATGGATATACTATCAAGAGTTCGCTTTCGACATGGAAAGCGCCAAACATTCGAGGTTCAGCCTCGCCGTTCTGTCTGCTTCAATAATGGTAGCCAAGAATGCGAGTCTATCCTCGAGATATATCATCTCTGGAGCTCTGGAGCGCTGACGAGATCTTCGTCATGGTTAAAACGGTTAACGTAGAGAGAAGAGAAGAGATTTCCTAAGTACAACCCGAAAGAAACTCTTACATGAGTACCAGAACCTTCTGCCAGCAAATAAAGACATTGCCAACACTTTTTACCATACACGCGAAGAGGCCACCACATAGTGAACATCAAGTATGTACAGCATCATTACTCGGCCATTTGCGAAACAAGTCTGCAACCTGATCAAACGGCGCGGTCATCAAACCCACGGCTGTCTCAAAAGGCGGCCTATTCGGCGCATGCGGATGGGCTCGCGAGGGAACGAAGATCTTGGTGCGATTGAACGATTTCGAAAGGCTCTGGCTGTCATGCTCCGATAGAGACTCCTCGAGATATACCAGGTCCTCATTTTCTTCTTCTTTGATATGCTCCGAAAGATTCTCCATCAGCGTATCGAGGGTCGGAAGGAAATCTTGATGGGCAGGGTCTAATTGCTGGAACGCCTTCAGTTGCTCTTTGACCTTTGAGAGAGAATGCTGTCAGTTGTGAGATACTAGGGAGGAGTACAGTAGGAGGAGTGAACCTTTTGGTGTTCCTCGCGATCCTTCTGCGCCATAGCAGCTCCTCCCTGAATATGTTTCTCGAACGCGGGATAGACGACTAACTCTTCGCCGACGGCATGGCGGGCAAGTTCCCAGACAAAGAGGTTCTGGAATCTGATCTGCTCGTCGCGGCTTGTGGAGCCTACGATGTGGTTGTAGCACGCTTCGAGTGCGCGGTGGTCTTGTTTGATAGTCTCGCTGATGCGTGGGGCCATTGCGAGTGAATTCTGTCTCTGTTGATACCTTTGTCTGCAAAAATAAGGATATGGGGGGGCATTCAGCGTCGAATCCGGGAATTTCTGGGATCGCGTGGGGATCGCGTGGCATAGTTAAGCTGCTTCGCACTTTGAACGACAATGTCATGACGCACGATTACCTCCATATTTTTACTCGTGTAATGAGATTGGTCTAGCAGGATCGGTTCCTCTGGGTCGGAATTTCCACGTCAACTTGAAAACGACCTCATCCATGGTTCCGAAAGCAAGACCCAGTGGAGCATCAATAGAATCGAGATGGAATCTAAAGGACCTCAAGTTAATCGAGATTGGCGGTTGACAACGGCTCTCTCAGTAGTAAACGTGAACTAGTTTTCTCTCCCTTCTCAGGTAGTTCCTACAATTCTGCACCACCACCCTCGTCGATCAAATCCGCGCTCTGACCGGTTCTTCTCGTTTACGGACTTAATTTTCCTTCAAGGTGCATTCTACAGGTGGAGACGCAGCTGTCAATCTATCCCAAGCGCCGATCTTTCTCCATGTTTCAGGATTTAGCCGCGACAGCTGGGGCACGAGTCATCAACACTGACTCTTAACTGGGTGCTGAGACAGGCCGAGCCCAGATTGATTGGCGGTTAATCTATTCCCTGCATTCGTCAAACCTCCGCGAGTTCGCAGTTTCTGCAGCAATCGGCCTCTTCTCCTGAACTCGATGGGTGTTACCCCCGCTCGTCGCACCATGGCGAACGTCAATCTATTTCTGGACTTATAAGGGTCCCCTGAACCGCACGTCCGCTCTCTCCTCCCCTGAACCGTGTTACTGTTGACCAGTTGATTTGACCAACATGCAGCTCCGTCATAGCCTTCTCGTCGCACTCCTCGCCCTCTGTCGGTCAACGACGGCCCTCCTCGCCTTCCCTGGCGCTGAGGGATTTGGCGCAAATGCAGTCGGCGGTCGAGGGGGAGAGGTATACGTTGTGACAAACCTCGAGGACTCTGGCGAAGGCTCGCTCCGTGACGCTGTTTCCGAGACCGATCGTATCGTCGTCTTTGCCGTGGGTGGCGTGATCAACATCGAGGATCGCATTGTCGTCTCGAAGCGTGTTACTATCCTTGGTCAAACAGCGCCCGGTGATGGTATCACTGTGTATGGGAACGGCTGGTCCTTTTCAAACGCAGACGATGCGATCGTGCGGTATATCCGAATGTAGGCAACCGGTATCCCTTCTACTTCCCTTTTGGACAAGCGGATACTGACCGAAGCAGTCGAATGGGCCGCGGTGGCGACTCAGGAAAGGACGGTATCACCATCGCTGAAGGAAGCACCATGATCTTCGACCACGTCTCCGTCTCCTGGGGTCGCGACGAGACCTTCTCGATCAGCGGCTCGGCTGAGAACATCACCGTTCAAAACACCATCATCGCACAGGGCTTGGAGACGCACTCGTGCGGTGGACTCATGCAGACGGACGGCGGCGTCTCGCTCTTCCGGAACCTATACATCGATAACAAGACGCGTAACCCCAAGGTCAAGGGTGTTAATGAGTTCACGAACAATCTTATCTATAACTGGGGTGGCGGTGGTGGATATATTGCTGGTGATTCGAGTGGGCAGTCTTGTACGGACATTTCCCATCCGCTCATGCCTTGACTACGCCAGCTTGAGATGAACAGACGTGTGCTAACGATACTAGATGCAAACATCATCGGCAACTACTTCATCAGCGGACCCTCGACAAGCGTCACGGCCTTTACTCGCGGAAACGCCAACTTCCACGGCTACGTCGAGAACAACTACTACGATCCCGACCAGGACGGCACATTAAATGGGTCCCCGCTTGGCGAGGAGTCCTCGAGCTACGGCGGGATGGAGATCGTGACCGAGAAGTACGATTACCCAGCTGTAGAGCAGCTCCTGACGCCCGATGAGGTGGTCACTTATGTGACTGAGAGTACGCGGCCCTTTCCCCAGAAGCGCGCCATAGAATGATCAGCTGCTAACGTTCAGTAGACGTCGGCGCCTCCCTAGTCCGCGACAGCGTCGACTCTCAACTCATCGAAGAAGTCCTCTCGTACGGCACTGACGGCGCGCTCATCTCGGACGAGGACTCGATGGGCGGACCTGGTGACCTCGATGGAGGCACAACCCCGACGGACACAGACGGCGATGGGATCCCGGATGATGCCGAGGCGGAGTTGGGAACTGACCCGAATGTGCATGACTCCATGGAACTAGATGCTAGCGGGTATACATACTTGGAGGTCTGGGCCAACTCGCTGGTGCCGTCGACCTTTGCAACTGGGGCTTCTAACAAGCCAAGGTGCTCGAAGCGGAAGCGCCGTTCTTATTGAGGATTGTATCTAGTTGCTTCCCTGTATATAATCTTTCAATCACCTGTACAGTCTCGCAAAGTCTCTTGAAAGTCCATCGGACGGAACTATATCTGCACACATATTTTCTTCACTGGATTGGATTGTGGTTGTCACTAATTAAATACATACACTTGTCGATGGGAAGTTCAGTCCAGCTTTACAATTCCCAACTTTTCATTCTCTCCCTTGCTCCTCTGACTCCACTGAGGAGCTTCGTCTTCACCAGCCTCTTCCTGTGCATCGCCCTCTTCCTTGGTCTGATGCACCGTCCGCGGATCATGCTCAGCGGGCGAATAAATGGTGACGACCTCTAGCGGGACACTGCCAACATTGAGGAACTGATGCTGCGTTCCAGCCGGAACAATCACAACATCCCCAGCCTTGACATCTTGCTCTTTTCCACCTACGATCGCACGGGCGTCGCCATTTGTGAAGAGCAGGATCTGATCGACAGAGTGTTTCTATTACACTCAGACATGGTAATCACACGGGAAGTAGATCGGGGTTGCATACCTCGTCGCCAATATCTCCATTCACAGGGATCTCCATCGCGACGAATTGTGAGTAGAGGCCAGTATGGATAACTTTGCGGAAGACTCCGAATTCGCGGTTCGGGGATAGGATCCCCGGGAGATGGACCATCTCATTCGGAGGCGGGTTGCTAACCATTCTGCAGCCCTGTAGTTCTGAAGACGGGGATTTCTGATATATTGCTGAAGAAACGAAGCAGCGAGCTGATTGTCGATTTATCCCAGCGATAGAGGGTAATTTCCTCGCACACTTAAATACAGCGAGTCTATTCATCATGAGGTGGGCGATTTGTGATACCCGGTGGGCCCGGCCATGGTTCTTGTTGTCGGGATGACTGAGCATTTGCCATCAGCGGTCTGGCTGGCTCGCGGGAAGCCCGGGTGTGACGTCGACTGCCATATCCGGACTGGTAATTATTCAGGTCAAGGTTAAAAAAATCGTAAGTAGGCCCATGTTGCTCGTACACGCTCCAGCTCGGTATGTGGCTGATGGCGGCGAGCGCAAAGCTTTTGTCAGCTAGCTGTGTCATTCGCCATGTTCCAGAGGGATCACATCAGCACGAGTCTTTAGTACAGGTCGGCGCCGTTCCGATCTCGGAATGGTGCATCGCAAGTACTTCGATTGACCTAGTCGGCTCTGGCTTTCGGGCGAGCCAGAAGCGCAGAATGCCCGATATTGTGTTAATGGCTGCAGTGTTCTGTCACATTATCATCCAAGCGACTTCCCGTGTGCTGCCGATTGCCAAGAGCGCCGTTCCTGTATAGCCTCCGACGCAGCTTGACTCTGCTCAAACTGCGATACTTCTGGTTTCAGGAGCCCTAGTCTCTAGAGAAGGTGTAGTCTCGGCCATAGTAAGGGGTACGGAAGCCAGGAGCGGGGCCGAGGTTAACTGGAGAAGAAGCGATGTAAACACTTGCAGAAAATCTCCTGGCGCACTCAATTAGAATAGGCTGTAAAGCTGGATGGTAGATTTTGTAGGCAGACACCATTGTGACAGCCGGAGCCATACATGATGTACAAGAGTCCTAGCAAGTACTCAATATCTATCTTCGTATGTAGTAGTGTGGATATCTCAAGGGTACCTACCCTACCGCGTGCTTGGAGCCTGGGCCGCGAATCGCGGCCAGAGGCAAACTGGATGACCTCCTTGGTTGGAGACTTTCCAAGAGATAACTTTTTGAGGAGCTCTTTTGTGACGCGAGGTGTGCTTTGGAAGCCTGGCGCGCTCGTAGATAGCCTCGCGAGATTGAGAAAGGCCCTGACCTTGAAGAGAACTGGTCGGCTTCGTAGACAACAATTTGGCGGATAGTACCTAGCCCAGTGCGACCACCAAGGCGGTGGATTAAGAATTTTTTAAGGAACAATGAAGCGCAACCTCTGTTTGCACATCTCGCTCCCGTTTGGTCAGTCACTGAGTATAAATATCAACACAGGCTTCAGTGCCAGATTGACTGCTCCCAACCCATTCGCACCTCCTCTGGACAGTTGAATAATCACTGCCAGCACTCTGAAAATCTTGGGGACTTTATTATTGCGTCAATCTGCACAAATATCCCCACTTAAGAATGAAAACACGCCAGAATAGAGTAACACCAGCGCATCCGACTCCCCAATCATCAAAGCAGCTAACCCACATTTCTCTCTGCAGGCCGAAGACCCCGAGCCAGCATGTGGCTCGCACAGCTTCCTATGGCACGACCGGTTACCTGCTGCGATGAGAGAGGCATGGTTGGCCTCACCGCAAGATACCCCGACGCCAGATCGCCGCTTTGATCTGGAAAAGATGTACCCGCAACGCGTCAAGCCGGAGGACATCGAATGTCCCCGAGACGGATATGTTTATCTTGCCTGTCCCGGACCTAGAAGGAAATGCCCATATCACGGGTATCACGTTGGCCACGACGATTGCTTCGTGATAGCTATTCACGGCGACTGTTCGAACAACGGGAAGCCTGATGCTCGTGGATCGATCGGTGTCTACTGCGGAGATGAAAACGCATACAACGTCAGCGATACTCTACTCCTGGATGATGAGCGGCACACAAATCAAATTGCGGAGCTGGAGGCATGTTCTCAGGGGCTTGTGGCGGCGATGAGAATCATGAAGGATCGAGTAGCTCATGTAGGCACGTCGTTCATTTTCGTGATCAAGTCGGACTCAGCGTATGTGGTCCGAGGATTGACAGAGTGGCTTCCCAAATGGCAAAAGAATGGTTGGAAGAATTCGCGAGGTTCACCGGTTGCCAATGCGCATTTGTTCCAGACGATCGAAGGTTACGTTAAAGGGCTGGAAACGATGGGTATGGTCGAGTTCTGGCTGGTACCTCGGACGCTCAATCAGCATGCTGATAAGTTGGCGAACAATGCGCTCAAATAATACGATGGGTTTGGGATTGATGCTGGGCAGGAGGACTACCTGTATGGGTAAGGCTATCAGGCTGTTAGGCCTATCTCTCTTGTCCTGCTAGTGCTTGCAACCGCTGCAGCATCAGTACATAATCTTGTGTCTCTAAGCGAAACAGAATAGAATTTGCAAATTCTAAAAGCCCCAGGTGACGATAATCGCCAGCGTGTGTTACTTTGTGTAGACATATCCACATCACAACCACAAGATCCACTAGAGATCTCTCTCCCCGTCAAACGAGCTCCCGCCCAGCCATCACCCTGCTATTCACCCGGTTACCTCTCGTGAAGTATCCCTGATGTACCATGCTTCAGCGCCACTTCCGCATCATATTGGGCTCATATAGCGTCTGCACAAGCATCATGCTCGAATCCAGGAAATCAGAAGCACGTACAAATTCAGACGGCACCTAAATATCGAAACGATAGGCCCGACTCAATAGTAATATGCTTCCTCAAAACCCATACAAAACACCACACTCCGCATACGGCTCCCCATGATGCTCTGTTGCTTGATCATGAGTTCGGCCCGAGAACCGGTTTGCAACTTCTGGTTTCACGACCAACAACAAGGTCGCTTATATATAGGTTCCTCATTCGGGCTTCTTCGTAGTCCAGTGGCCGCCAGGGTTGAGGCACTCAGTAGGTGGATCTCACTCCCGTGCTGGGTAGGCGATCCTGCTTCGCAGTGAAAGCGATTTTGAAGAGAAAGAGGTTGAGTGACTTCTCAACACTTGACCTGGGACAAAGAAATCCATCAAGGGCGCTGGAATACGCAGTTACAGAGAGTACAGCTTTTCATTGGCTTTGACTTAGTACATCATGTCGGGCCGTTCCTGCTAATGACTGATCCTGGTACTCCTAGTACGGATACAACGAGGCATTGGTAGACGCATTGAAATTGGTAGAAGTTTCCCCCGAAACCCCTACTTTGAAACAGTGGAGACTATTCGAATGTCGGTGAGTACGGATACTGATCTCTGCTTCACCAAGATTCGGCTATAAGGAGGGCATACAGGCGGTGTTAGTGCCAATTCTGGAACCGATATTGGTCAGCCATCTTCAAAGTTATCTGGAGCTCACGTAGTCACCGCGGGTGTTTTTGCTCTCGTGGCGATGATCAGCTAGAAAGCCTGGGAACTTCATTCCACAGGTGAAAGGCGTTGTGGATGGCAGACCCTCTCAAGCACCTCGCTTTTGCAAAGACAACACTTGGGAATACAGGTTGTTCACATCTTGTATACCCTTGCCGGCCGGCAATGCCACAACCGTTCCCATTCCGATACCAAGGAAAAAATATGCCATTTGCAGCACGCCTAGCTCAGACCGGAGGCATTCTTCCGAAGTGTCGTGGAGCAAGTCCTCGATCAGAAGCTGTCCTCCGGACCCGAGCAATATGGAGAAGTGGGCCTGGTGGGCGCGACGAGCCTCCATGATGGAGACCACGATCGCTACCATACAGTGTTCGTTGACGGAGGTCAGCTCATCTGCACCAAGATGTTTTTGACAGTCCTGTCAAATCTCCAGCCTCTTTGGAGAAGAGCTAAACGGAGCACGGTCATCCGAGATCAGGAGCTTGGGCTTTGACCCCAACGAGCATGCGTTCGTGCACCAATGATCTCGATATCCTGGAGGGTTAGCGCTGCTCCGAAGACGGGAGGCGCTGCATGGTTCTGGATTGAATTTCGCTGCAGGATCCATTGCATCACCATGCAGAGAGCGAATTCAGATGTCTTGCCGCATCCTTGTGCATCCTGTTCAGCGTCAATGAAGTGCTTCGTATCCTGAGCTCCCTTGGTAGGCCTGTGAGATGCGAGTTCCGTCCTCCCAGAACGCAAGCACAGTGGGGCTGCTCAACCCCAGGCCGCTGGTCGCTCTGAATGTGGAGCTATGTCGCACCGCCGAGCGATTATTTCTGTACAATGAGAAGAATGGCTGAGACCTCCATATCCGAGAGGGGTTATACAGTATCCACCATCAGCGGGATGACGTCGCATCCGCCCGCGAAGGCTGGCGCCACCAATCATGCTAAAAACGCCCCAGCATCTTTAATTTCCTGGTTAACCGAAATTGGAGCTGGATCAGCTTGAGATTCCGATATGTTTCTTGTGTGTTCTCGTCGGAAACGGCGTGTCTGCCCCTAGACTCAAGATTTATCGAAAGATAGGCCCGTATGCCCTCCGACGCAGGTATATTTGCCGCATCTTCGTTCACGCCATGGTTTGGTCTTATCTTTGGTGGCTTGGTTGGGAACGAGGGATCAATTATTCTGTCGGACGCTCAAAGGAGGAAAAGTCAGCAGTAATCACAAAGTAACTCGGCAAAGAGGGGAAAAGAGATCATTGGTCACCTCCGTCACCTGCTTCAACGCTGTTGTCGAGTAACTCGCGAAGGTTCGATGGTGGATGGCCAGGGATGATGGCAGAGGAGAAGACGCCAAGGAACGCGTGTTGCTTTTTCAGGCACGCCAACAATCACGGCCTCAGGTTCTTCAGCAGTGCATCTTCCCGGGGAAAAAGAAGCTTCTTCCCTGAATCTCCTTCTTGTGTGTCGTTTTCCACTGTCCATCCTACGCTGGGTCTATCTTAAAAAATCGCATCCACCACGATGCAGCTGTCAATCCCCCAGCTATTCTCCAGATTTTCTGTCTTCCCCCCGCGCTCTCTCGCTGATCGGTCGGTCCACTGTGGATGTGAAGCAGTGGCAGCGAGCAACACACCATCGCCCGCGGTGGATTCGCACCGGCCAACGATGTCACTCGAGGATCCGACCCATCTGCACGGGCTTAATCTCGCTCGCTCTCATCCCATACATGCCCCACTTTCAATCCGAGACTCAGAGAGAAAAAGTCGCAGACCACCATTACCTCCATGATTGGACCCCAAAAGCACATCCTTTTTGGAAGGATTGGCGAGATGCCCAGGGGCGCGGAGATGGCGATATAAAGGCTGCGGCCACAACCCCCCCATCCGGTTGGAATCCTTCTGGTCAGTTCTGTTCTGGTCTGCTCCATATAGATACTAGATTCAATCCCCGCTACTCGTGTCGTTTATCTGCATACCTATACCTACAACATGATTGCCAAAACAGAACCTGACGTCCAGACCAACTCTGGAGTCCCTGTGGCCCAATTCCTTCCTGAAGTACTCAAGGATTCTCTAGATGAGAAGATCATCCTCATCGTTGGTATGTCCGCCCAAACCTCGATGCGTATCCTTTTCTAATCATCTCAGGTGGTGCCAACGGCATTGGAGCTAGCCTCGTTGAAATCTGCTGCGAGAACGGCGCTTACGTTGCCATTGGTGACATTGATGGCGCTCGCGGAGAGCAGGTCGCAAGGAAGTGCATTCAACAATGGCCGGTTTACTCCGACCCCGCTCTCCCTCCCAAGCCTCCTCGTGCGGTCTTCCAGAGGACAGACGTGACCGACTACCAATCCGTCTTGGACCTTTTCGAGAACACCTTCAAAAAGTACAAGCGCATCGATCACGTCGTTGTCACCGCGGGCAGCACGGAGACTGAAGCCCCATGGTTTGACCACGCGTTGAACCTCAGCGACATCCGCAAGGTAAGCTGTACTGAAACACTTATCGACCGTGCATCTGACAATCTCATCAGGCACCTTCCCGGAAGGACATTGATGTCAACCTCATTGGCACCCTCTATGTCACCCGTATTGCGAGCGTCTTTCTCCGCCACAACCGGGGCCCAGGGGTTGACCGTTCTATTCTCCTCTTCTCATGTGCCGCGGGCTTCAAGGAAACTCCCGGTGTATCCGTCTACCAGGCCGCCAAGCACGGGGTACAAGGCCTGATGCGCTCCCTGCGCAACAACTTCTCCTCTCCTTACAAGCACAGCATTCGCATCAACACGATCTGCCCGTGGATGACACAAACAGGCAACTCCTTCCCCAAGAAAATTGAGGACCGTTGGGCAAAGGAAGGCCTTCCCATTAGCACCGCGCAGGACGTGGCTAGGGTCTCAGCCGGAGTGATGTGCGATGACTCCCTCAACGGAGCTTCCATGTTCGTCGCGGGCACCCGCGCCTGGGAGATCGAGGGCAACATCGACCGCCTCGAGTCTCAGTGGCTGGGTGAGGAACCCGCCCAAACCCTTGCACAGGGGCAAAAGGTTCTGCAGGAGACTCTTGCTGCGTAGTAGGCTGGCCTACGTTCGCTGAGACATCTCCAGCATATGATGTTAAATAGATACCCACCTTCACTATAGCCATGAGCAATATGCGACGAGGTTTCTCGCTTCTGCTCGCCCACTCACGTCCAGACTCTTTGAGAATCTGCTAGATTAATGATTGATACTAGACTGGATACAGGATTGGGGGTTAGATTAGGCCGATCCGCATACAGAGTTTACTGGATTTCGCTCATACTAATGTAAGAGCTCTTACTTCACTACTTGCAATTGGGTGTGTGCAATCTCAACTTATTCATATTTGGGCACTGTTCCACGTCCCGGTGCCTGAATAGGTCATTCCTACCTCCCTCAACTGGGCGTCGCCCGTCAAGCTCGCCATCTGCTGCAACAGCCTTGTCAATGCTATGGCAGCGAGCTCCGGCAACTCAGCTGTCTAGACTCGACGGTATGCATATCAAACACGTCCTTCGATGTTCACTGCGTGCCTTCCCTAACGCTAGGTTCAACGCACGAACTCCGTTTTGTTTCTCTGATGTCAAACAAGAAGTTGAAGCATAGCTACAAAATCGGATCGTGTTGTAGATGGTCTAGAAAAAATAACCGGGTATCTCTATATAACTCAACACAAAACGCTCATTGCAAATGTCCAACACGAGCACGCCCTGGCCCTGGGATCCTAGGTGTACACCAAACCAGTGCTGAGGGAGGGTAACTCGGCGACACACCTAAGCTCTCAGGTCCTTCGGCAGACTCCACCTCGAGGACTTGGAACTACACGAAAAGTTAGTTATAGTTTCCAAGACCCTTGGTACCGCTTACATCAAACTCACGCAACAGCACAACAACTGTTTTCTTCAGCTCTAACCACGCCGATTCGAGTTTTGGATATTCTGCGAGACACACACTGAGCGGGACCAAGCTCTCATGCATGAACGTCAGTTGCGGGTGGTCTGCAGAGAGCCAACGCTCCGGCTTGAATGCACCCGCGTCCACGCCATAGACACTGTCGTTACATAGCACGGCGAACGGATGCCATGAGACTATCGTTCCACGTGGGATACCTATACCTGACATGTCGAGCGGACCATCTGTCAGACGCATCCCATGTTGATTCTCGATGAGTAAAGCATGTCTCATTGTCTCCTTCAAGACGGCATCGAGGTAGGGTAGTCCAGCTAGATCGCTCCAGGAAGGACCCGCTGATTTATCCCTAAGCCGCGGCGCAGAGTCAAGTTCACTTCGAAGAGTAGAGAGCACAATAGGCTTGCTTAAAAGGATTTGGAAGACGGTGACGAAAGCGGCGGTGATGCTCTCTATACAGGCAGCCAAGATGGGAGGTTCACCGCGCTCGCGGCCCATAGATGTATCTCTAGTTCCGGAAATTCCATGTATTGAAGGTGTTGACGCCTTTCCGAAATTATAGCACGACAGCCGCTCCCTCTTCAGAAGGGACGCTGGGCCACGCAATAGCTGCTCCTCGATTATAGACAAGAGCGAGGGCTTGAGCCTGTTATCAGGCGGGTCGCCGCTGGATAGACGAGGGAAGCTGTCGACAAAAAAGTGAGATAGAAAACCCTCCGCGAAGAAGCGTAGGGACGCGGTTAGATCAATGGTTCTGTGCCTTCTAAAGGTTCCGATGATATTCCGCAGATCGTCGTTAATGGCGCCTTCGTGACAGGTGAAATCTTCCGGACGACCTAGTAGCTGCTCTTGGGAAGCGCTCCGTCCGAATTGCCTCAGCTGCTTGAAGTTAGTCGAGGGGTATCTTTAGCTGAATATGGGCAAAACTAACCTCTTCCCGAAGCTTTTCGCGGTATACACGCGCGATCTCCTCATAATCACAAATGCTGACGAAAGACGGGCCTAGTCGCACAGCATCTCCATGCTTCCGATGAAGCTCAGCTAGGTGTCGACTGTATCCGGGGGCTCTCTGTGCATAAAGTCGCCAAATGTCTGAAATCGCAGCGAAGAAAGGGCCCGGGATAGACTTAACGCGGGAATGGTTATAGAGCAGGTGGAGACCCCCAACGAGAGCCAACACAATGGCAAGTACGCACGCGAGCATCCTCAAAACATCGCAGTTGGAATTGCCAACCGTTATTTGTTAGCTGGTGCGCTTGGGACATCAAGGCCAGTTCCAGATACATTCGCGAGGGTGTGTGGCATGACTATTATGCCGATTTATTATTGCCGATTCCTGTGTCGAATGTATTATGCCGACCGCGAGATGTCTGCGGCTGGGGACCCGGCAAGACCCGAAATTGATCAAATGGGTTATGCTTATCATCGGACGCCCGGGTACTTGTCCATCAACCTTGTGTTGGTGTGATCTTCGAGCTGCATACCTTCACGCCTAATACTACCCAACCGCTTGAAAATGAGACGAGTGAAACTCTATTGACTCTGTCGATTGCATATATCCCATAGATCCGCATGCACCCTCGACAACATTTCCCTCCCTCTTCTAATGCGATCGAATGCAACGCTGCGTCAGTCTGAATTGAGACTCGCAAAACATACCCCTCCAGTGAGAGTCCTAACCAGATCATTTTCAGGGTCACCTTTCCCATCAGGCCAATCAACAAAATTTCTAGAGCACCTCCAGTGCGTAAGCATGAAGAACACAGACATAACCAACCCCGGACCTGCAAGACCAATGCCTAAGTAAAGCGCCCGGCGGTACCCGCTTAAAGCATCATGGTCGCCATCGCTCAGTCTCGACTCAACGATCCCAGCGAACCTAACCCAAACGAGATCGAATAGTTCACCATTGTTATCACCAGCGACGCCGGCAACCCTTGGGGTACCCGTGGCATAACATTGCTTAGCATGAGCGTTCTGACGGAAAAGACATTGTCCCTGGTCAAAAACTGTTAGCCTTGATCCAGCAATAAAAAGAGTGAAATGACCAGTTGACTCACATGTCCCAAGGCGTAATGATACTAACGACGAACGCCTGCGCCCAGTATATCGGACCCACAGTGACTGTTGCAGAGATCGCGAGTCCCATCGTAAGGGCAGGCATGGCACAGAAGTGATAACACTGGGTGGAAGACGACTGAGTAGAAAACCAGTCAATAGAGCCACAATAGCCCGAACCGTTTCGCGGTGGCTAACAATGGTATGTCTCCTTCGATCGTTTTCATGAACTGAAAGAAGTAATAGATGACAATACCAAGTTTGGCGACCCTGCAGCAATACATCCTAGTACCTAGGCCAGGTCGCCGCTCATGACGTACACGGGAAACAACGGGCAATTAGCTGAGCGCTCGATGAACACAACCCCTGCAACGAGAAGGAGACCCATGATGAGCAAGACGTATGTGTAGGACGTGGACCAGCCTACCACTGCCGCTTGATTCCAGGCAAAACTAATGAGAGCCAATGCGGAAATACCCACCGTCGCTCTAGAAGATCGAGTCTGACCCAGATAGAGATGTCATCTTTGAAGTGCGAGGAATAAATAACGCCCCAGGAACCACGAAGACGAAGCAAGCCATACCCACTCCGTATCCCAATGGCATTCCTCCCATTTGGGGGAAAGTGGAAGAGAACACACCACCAACTATGAAACTACTTGGAGCGGTGGCGCCGAAGAACCTGAAGATAAGCTTCTGCGCAGTCCCAGCGGGTACGCACGGCCTAAGATCGCAAATGAATTTGGTAGGAGCATGGCGGGGCCGATTCTTTGAAGAGCGCGAGAACAATCGAAGAAGACATGGTCTGCCCAGACACTAAAGTCTGCCACCAATGACCAGAGTCCGGACGAGGGAAATCCAATGATGAACATCAATCGGTGGCTGAATACATCCCTTAGGCGGCCGGTGGCAAGGATGAAAGTACCGACTGTCGAACTGTAGGCAGCAGCGAGCCAGCTCATCTCGCCAGCGCTCGACGTTTGAGAGCTGTTACTAATGAGATACATCGGGGCGATTGACATATAGAGCCCAGCTTGGGTCATGAACTGGGCCATGCAAACGACCATAACAAACATCAATTCCTTCGAAGTGTCCTTTGTGGGGTGTACTGCCGACTGGGTAGTCTCTAGCTGGGCAAAGTATGCTGTTCGTCGCCGTCCCGTGTTGATTCTTTCTCAGAGTGGTCCCCATCCCTTTGGGCTTCCGAGGAGAATCTTCGGCAGCACTCCCGCTCAAATATGAAGCTAGCCCAATGACACAGAAATGCAGCACACTGAAACGAGAGATTCTGAACACGTGCCCCTCTTCATATAGTCATGCAGAAATGAAAATCACTGGCTAAGGGCCTACAGGTGGCCACACATCGTCGAGTATATCTCCGCCACAGTCGTAGCCATGGAGGCAACATATCTCTGGACGCAGGACAGTAACCTTTCTCGTGAACACTATAGTATTCGAGGTCCCACGGATTCGGAGCGGCGGATTGACGGAAGTATCCGACGGAACACAGTAGAAAACGTGCTCGGAGTAAACCCAGCCCCCAGAAAGAGCTCTCGATTGGTGGTTGAGGCCATTGGGTTACAAGATAGCATGAATACTACAAGAATATCGTTCATCTCACTTCGAATTTGCTGTTCAGTAAAGGATCTACCCAAGAATCACAAGCGGCCGTCAAATCGCAGGAAGTATTTTGCAGCACCACTGCAGCAGGCGTCAGAATGCCGCACGAGTCAAATCAAAGTTTATTGCAAAGGCTTTCGACTCACCTCCTTCGTCTTCTAAGCGCTCTCGTCTTCGAGTTCCGACTCTCGAAGGATACATCATTCACCATGGCACACCAGAATCTAAGGCTCTTTGAGCTAGAAGGGGAAGCCTAGCCCACTCGCGAGATGACATAAGCCAGAGAACAATCACATGCTTCCAAGAGCACCGCAAAAACGCCAAGAGCGAAGTGAGGAACAAAAGGCCGCATTTCTTTTGTTCTTTTGCGATGCGGAACAGCCTCGAGTCTCCATGGCATGGTGGAACTCGACGTTGGAATAGCGTCCTTGCTTCCAAACCATGCAGGTAGCTGACCTGTCATCATGCCACCTCTTGTCTCTCACTTCCGCTGATTCATGTGCTGCAGACCCCGTGTCTCCCTGCCTCCGCGTCCAACCTGGCGATGCCTTGACCATACCTTACCCCGCCTACAGAAACACTCACCAGTCACATTGAACCTGTCAACCTGCCACTCGGCGGGCTTTTGTCGCTTTTTCCATTCCGCGCAGTGCATGAGTGCTCTGTTACCTCTTCCTCTCCTGAGTCAATCCACTTTTCGCGAGTCCAAGCAACGATGATGGGCAAGCCTCCTGCTGCCATATTCATCGCTAGGTGAGTGTGACCACTGACTCTGGGGAATACTCCCGAGGCTAACGCTTCCATCTTACCAGGCACGGTGCCCGTCTAGACGCTGCTAATAAAGACTGGCACCTGACGTCCGCAACTCCATATGACCCTCCTCTTTCCTACGGCGGCTGGCTCCAGTCTCGCGCGCTCGGTGTGCGAATAGTCAACGAGCTTCGGACTTTGGAAGATCAACTGGACCAGCCCACACAGGGGACCGAAGGGGCCAAGTTACAGCCTCACCGCGCCCAAGAGCGAAAATCGAAACGCAGAATCATCATACATACCTCGCCTTTCCTTCGTTGCGTACAGACGGCCGTCGCGATCAGTTCTGGGATTAGTCAGAACTATGCTGACATCGACACGTTCCGTCCTACACAGGCTCCTTCTTCGGACCAGTCGAATGGCGCGGTCCCTGCATCCGCGCCAACAAGCAGTTCCGAATCCGATCCTCGAAATACCCAACGCTGTCTTCTCCGCGTAGATGCGTGTCTTGGAGAATGGCTCAACCCCGGCTATTTCGAGAATATAATCCCTCCTCCGAAATCGGAGCGAATGGTTGCAACTGCGAAAACGGAATTGCTGCGTCGGGATGCAGGCACCGTTCCGGTAGCAGACATCCAGAACAAACTATCCGTCGGCCACTTTCCGGGAGGCTGGGGCAACCTCGTCTCTAATAAAGGCGAGGAGGTTAGTAACAGTGAACTGGAGTCGGCTTCAACTATAATCAGACGGTCAAGCCAGAGAAATCGCGCCGGTAGTTACGACTCTCTAAGAGCCGTCGATACACCGTTGGGTCGGAGAATGCTCAAAATAAACACAGATCTTCCAACAATCCCGGACCTGGCGTACAGTCCTCCTGTTCCCAGCTATGCCATTGCTTCCTCCAGCCCTATCCCAGATGGCTACGTAACACATGCGCGTGATGCTTGTGTTCTGGTAGACTATCAGTGGGACAGCATGCGTGAGCCACAAAACTTCGGCAACGGGGGTGAGTACGGCGATGAATGGAGTACGATGCATACTCGTTTCAGAAACGGTCTTGAACGGATCATCCAGTGGTACCAGAATAATAATACGTCGGTGGCTCCTTCGCACCGACGGACACGTTCACAGTTGCAATTTTTGGAACAGGATGAGGTAGATGACTCGGCCAGCGATACCATCTTAATCATCGTAACTCATGGAGCTGGTTGCAATGCCTTGATCGGTGCTTTGATGGGGGGGCCCGCATTTGTTGATGTCAACACAGCTTCACTAACCCTCGCTCTCCGCAGGGATTGCGTGAAAGAGCCCGTTCAGGACGTCGACAGGTCGAAGCCGCACGAGTTATTGAACGGCCCATCTAGCTTCGAAGATTATCGCCTGGTGGAAGTTGCGTCAACAGACCATCTACGACCCGGGACGAGCCCAACCACCTCCGTCCGCTCTCCTTCGATCAGCAGCCTACCTTCCCCATCATTTCCCTCATACCGCCAGCGCTTCTCATCGCGGGCGTCTTTCTCATCAGGCCCCGGTATCCTAGGGCCGTCGCTCAAATCAAACTTGCAATCATGGACTATGCCACGAGCATCGTCGGGACTCTGGAATTCTGTGTCTGGCGACGAGGAAGCAGTGGAAGACCTTGTTCCCGACTTCGGGGCGCCGCTTACCACCACGTCTATTCCAGGTAGTGACATCGCCGGTAACACCCTGACTTCAAAAACTGGCAGTTCTACCTGGTCGGCGCAACTGCCGCAACGAACATTGTCTCAACGCGGCCTCTGGGGAAGCGCTCCACTAAACAAAGAGCGGCAGGCCAGTTCGAACCGCCGCTGGACAGTGGCTGAACGACCGATATAATGCCGCCTTATTCGTCAGCTCCTACTTTTCTGTCAGTATTTTTAGCATTTCCTGCAGTATACTCGTCTGCGGCAAGGCGTTCTCTATAGCTTAACGACAATTTACGTTTGATGAATCCGCAAACTCTGAAATCTCGGGGATATTCGAGTTGTTGGCGGGACCCCATGTTGTTGCCCCTTTATAATCCGTCCCAACTCAGTGTTGTACAAAAAATCTTTCCAATAAGGAAATTATGCGTTATCCGCCTACCTCAAGTAGCCATTGTAGCCAAAGCCCTCAGCATAATAACCTTCCTATACTAAAGTACCTAGGGCACCTAGCTCGGTCGATCCTCCGCAATCGCCATTCGTTTATTGGCTGTGCCAGATTTGGTGCCTGGGTGCCTGACAGCAGCTTGCCCCCGGCCCCGCATGTCTGGCCAAAACAAAGGCCAGCTGATCCCTTTCAATCTCATTCTCACCCCTTCCTTGTATCTCCAGCTTCTTCTCCATTCAATAGACTACCTTTCTACAACTCTATAGAGATCCAGCATGCCTCCAATTGAGACCGATGGTTTCTCCGTGACTTATTCCTCTGAAAGGACTGGCATCCCCGATCTCCGCCTTATCCATTACAATGACGTGTATCATGTCGAGTATGCAATTGCCCCGACGTCTCGAGCCCGTTTATGGCGCATCAACTAAGTGGTTGATAACAGGTCAGGGTCTGCAGAACCAGTTGGCGGAGCTCCTCGCTTCCAGTCCTTGATAAACCACTATCGATCGCATTCGGATTTCGACGGACAGCCTGCCCCGCTCACCTTCTTCTCCGGCGACGCATTCAATCCCAGTCTCGAGAGTACTGTAACGAAAGGGAGGCATATGGTACCCTTCTTGAACAAGGCAGGAACAGATGTAGCTTGTGTCGGGGTATGTACGTTGCTGCGCCATGCGCGGAGACTCCTTGCGGGGTAAATGCCTGACTCTAAACAGAATCATGATCTTGACTTTGGTGTTGCACAATTCCGCCACCTGCGCGACCAATGTCAATTCCCCTGGCTTTTAGCCAATGTTCTCGATCCAGCATTAGGAGAGGATGTGCCAATTGGAAATTGTGAGAAGACTTGCATGCTCACATCGTCGAATGGAATCAAAGTCGGAGTGATTGGTCTTGGAGAACGCGAATGGTACTCCGAAATCACTTTATCAAATTATCAATCGAAGCTAACATTTTCTTTTGTGAAGGCTGGGAACCATTAACTCTCTTCCTCCCGATCTTATCTATAAGTCTGCTTCGAAGACCGCCATCGAGCTCGTCCCTAAACTGCGCGAACAAGGAGCAGAGATAATTGTTGCAGTTACGCACCAACGCGAACCAAACGATAACAAATTGGCTGAGAACATTCCGCATGGAATGATTGACATCATTCTTGGAGGACACGATCATTATTATAGTCACGCTTTTATAAACGGCGTCCACGTTCTTCGGTCTGGTACCGACTTCAAACAGCTGAGCTATATCGAAGCCTTTCGAAAGGAGAACGGTCCTGGATGGGATTTCAACATAATTCGGAGGGACATGGTTCGCGCCATCCCTGAGGACCCATCCAGTCTGGCACTAGTTGCTAAGCTTACCTCCAGTCTAAAAGCTAAGTTGGACAAGCCTATCGGCTATACCGTTCGTCCACTGGATGGGCGCTTTTCGACCGTACGTGCGGGAGAATCAAACCTAGGCAACTTTGCGTGTGACCTCATGCGCTTCTACTATCACGCGGATTGCGCAATGATGGCCGGAGGTACCATCCGTGGAGATCAAATCTATCCCCCGGGCGTACTCCGCCTCAAAGACATCCTTAACTGCTTTCCCTTTGAAGACCCCGTTGTTCTGTTGCGCCTCAAGGGTAAAGCTATTCTTGACGCCTTGGAAAATGGTGTCAGCCAGCTTCCGGCTTTAGAAGGCAGATTTACTCAGGTATCGAACATTGCGTTCAGTTTCAACCCGTCTGCGCCTCCCGGCTCGCGCATCAACTGGGCCAAAATAGGCGATCACCCGATCGACTTCGAACAGAGCTACACGCTGGCAACCCGAGGGTATATGGCGCGAGGAAAGGATGGCTTTGCGTCCCTTCTTGTCAAGTCAGAAGGTGGAGAAGTCGAAGAAATCGTTGACGAAGAAAGCGGCACCCTCATCAGCACGTTGATGCGGCAGTACTTCCTGAGCATGAAGGTCATGGGTAGATGGCAGCACTTGGGCAAAAGTATGACCAGACATTGGGCCGACGTGCAGAAGAATTTCCAAAACAAAGGCTTCCTGAAGCCGCCCTCCGCGCTCCCATCACCAGTGCAAGAAAAGGTCCCAATCCGTCTTCAGCGTCCGCCTCTTAACCGGAAGCAACATTACTACTACGGCCGCTTTGCCGAGACCGAGACCGCAGACGAGAATGGCGCCGAGTCATTGCCAGATGACTCGATGGACTCTGATTCAGACTCTGATCCGGAAATTCTGACTTTACCCAAGCCAATCACCAACTACGTGACTCTTCCAGCGCGGTCAGCTGAAGATGAGGAGAACCGCCTACGACTTGCGCGGTGGGCAACGCGCCGCTGGATGCGCAGTGCGGGGATCAAGTCCACTGTTGACGAGACCAACGGTGAGGAACACTTCACGCCCACGTGGACGCCGGGTATTTCGCCCCGGCTTGAAGGGAGGATTGTCGTTGAGACGAGTGCATGAGTACAGAGTATACAGTCGGGTTATGAGTTATGACGCTATGAGGTGTGCGATGTTTTTCGGTAGATTGTCTGTTAAGTTTCTATAGATGGGTCGGTCGGTCTGGGTAGCGGCATGGATATCATGAAAGCAGGATTTAGTCTATATACATTTGTACCCGAGTCCGGCATCCTGAATCTCGTGATAGGAGCTGTTTCAGGCGGCTTCTTGTAGGACTAGGGAACCTATTGAACCCCGACTGGTCTTGCACCAGAAAGATTGACTACCCGACCTCCCCCTCCTAGCGCTACAGGAGCAGCCACGGTGGGCGGGGGGTTAACCCAACCCGGTACGCCCATATCCTCCGATTCCCGCGCATATATCGTCTGCCATACATTTGGGAATCCTGTAGGCAAGGCACCTCGCAACCGAGCGCCTGGAATTGCAAATCGAGGATTTCGGTGCGTAAGGTACCCCCGCATGAGACCTTGGGTAAGAAGAGAAGCAAAAATCGATTCTATTTCACGCATAAGCGGTGAAGGCTCATTGATGGCACCTTCGGGGTCCTCCGCGTATGGATTAAGTTCGTATTGGCTGTAGTCGGTATTGGGGGTTCCATCGATTAGGCTCCTCGTTGGGTTTAATTGCCACTGGCCTGTTGCGTCAAAGAAGCCATCAGGGCACAGGTAATCGGCGTACTTCGCTAGCACAGTGGCGTCTGGTGCTGTCCCGCTCACGGCTTGAGTGTTCAAGGAGGCGAAGTCGGGGTCTGCTATTATCGACACAATCTGCGATCCAAATTGGCTCTTGCTTGCAGAGGCCTTCGTGTTCCCGGGAAATGGAGACGCAGCTGGGAGAGGGGATGAAGAGGGATGTTGAGATTGTAGCCACCGCACAGCAGTTTCGACTTTAGTGAGGTACAAGAACGGAGGCGGGCCTCTTTGAGTCTGGCCTTGAGGATCTCCATGAAAGCCGCCGTGTATGAACACTTTTCGCGCAAGAGACCGCCACACCAGTACCTCACATCGGTTCCGTAGTGGAAGGAGAATTCCTTTTCGCGCAAACCATTCAGTAGTGGGTGACTCGACGGTAAGGTGTCCCCTGAATGCAATGTAATCCCCGCGGACAATAAGTTGACAGAGTGGAACGAACTTATCAGCCAGTCCCTGCGACTCTGGTCGCTGTAGAAGGTGCACTGAAGGAAAACGTCCGAGTATGATGTTGCAAGAGATGAGGTATGTGAGGATAAGCCGCTTCTGATTTATCGCTTCGCGATGGCACTGGTCATAGGCGGCTTGCAGTGCGATTTGGGCTGGGAAGAATAGGTTGTTGGAGAACAGATAACGTCCAAGATAGTAAAGGTACGTGACCCTCTGGGACGCAGGAAAGTATCTCAGAGGTGGAGACTGCGCAGTGATGCTTGCGAACATCTGCTCTGCGTTCCTCAGTTTACCGCACTATGAGCGCTGTCAGCTATTATTTCCTTGTCAGATACACCAAGATTATCGCATACCTGAAAAAGTAGCTTTAAGCACAAATTGGCCATCAGATAAATCCCAACCCGTTTACCCTCGGGTTTTCCGTGCACCCCAGGCGTTCCACTGCGATCCGTGAGGCATTTGATAAATGCTTCGCGTACTACATTCGCAGACTTCTCCACCAATGTGACCTTCTCCGTACTTTCTTCTTGGTCGGGGCCACTCTCAAGTCTCAACAAGTGCGCAACCAGCTCAGGTCGGCGATCCAGGCCCATAGCCAGCTTCGCTAGTACCTTCGATAGGTAGAGTACAGTAGGCAAGACGACGATTCCGAATTGGCTGTCACCGAGTGCTATTACGCATTGGCTGGAAAGGCGAAGCATGTTAGAGGATTGGTGTTAAAGAAATGGTAGGACACCAATAGATAGCAACAAGAGCAAACTTACTTCAGCAGCGCCTTGAGCATATTGTACGTCTCAAGCAAGTTCTCAACATTCACGTCTCGTAGGAAACAGAAGTAGAGCTTCATAAAAGTTGGAAAAGCAGTCCATGAGCTACCTCCGGCAGACTTAGGTACTAAACCTTCGCAACGCCGTTGCAGGTCCGCCTCTTTTGGCGACGCATTAGGGTACTGTTGCCGCAACTCGTCCACCATTTGTCCGTACACGTCCGGTAAAGGGGGTTCGATCTGCAGAAAGTCTTGTAATTTGGCGCCATCGCGGTCCCTGACTATCTCAGCGAGCGAGGCCAGGAAGCGATCAAGGACAGAGTTTCCGTGGAAAGACATTTTGTCATCCGTAGGAGGCCGAATACGGGGTGAAGATTGTAGGGGGACGCGAGGAACGTGCGACTGGCATAAGAGCTTCGATTTCGCGCGGATTGTGGGGTTGATGGACTTTATCGTGGCTGGGACATGTTCAGGGTCACAGTGTTTTAACAAATGCCAAACAAGTGCTGTAGTCGACAAACGAGCGGTGACTGTTGAAACGGAAGATCGAGCGGAGGACAGTTGAAGAGTCTGGGTTCCGGAAACACAAAAAGCCTCCAGCTCCGGGTGCGGGGCGCTAGTCCCAGATAGGCGCATATAGTTGAAGCTTCGCTGGAAATCACATGCAAATGAGAAAAGCTTGGAAAGCATTTACCAGGTTTCTAAAAGTTATGAGACCTGACTAGCAGTGTTAGACCAGCAAATCAGTACATACAGGAATACCCCGAGGTTCCTCGTCCAAGTGATCCAATCGTCCCTTCCGGATATATATCGCAGCACTGCGCCGTGTCGACAGCTACCAACTCAATGAACGCTCATTTTTTCATGAAACTATACTAAAGGAAAATACACTTCTAAGCGAAATAGATAGCAGATTCTTCCAGCTGAGGAACGTTATACATACCAGGATCATGCTGCAGGCAACGTAATTTGTGCCGGCGCTCGAAAGCGATGATCCACCCTATACGTCATAGCAGATAGAGCAACAGCCCATGGCTTCCGGTTAGCTATTCTTGATTGTCTCCTGCCTTACAAAAGGTCGGGCGGCTTCTCATTCCAGCATCTTTTCTCCTGAGAGATAGAATTTCTTTGAGGCTGCACCTGACGAGTACTAAGATACCGACAACTTGAACACATTCGCTGTCTTCTCCTGGGATTTTCTCCCACAACCTCACCACCTACTATCTGCGACACTCGGAATCACCATGCCCGACTCAAGTCCTCAGTCGATGATCCCAGCCTTCATCAGGCATCCTTTTCTTCAAACATTTACCCTCTTCTATGCCCTCTTTCAGAACATCATCAATTGGGTCTTCGCACCCGGGCCTCCCCCATCTGGTCCCATCGTCAACAACCTTCCCAAAAAGAGAGTAGCTGTCATCGGGACTGGGTTGACAGGCGTATCTTCGGCAGCCCACTGTATCGGCCATGGTTTTGATGTCCAACTCTTCGAAGCGAGACCGAAAGACAAAGGTCTAGGTGGTATCTGGAGCGTGAGTTGACCCATCGCCGTTGCAGGGCGAGTCTGTCACTAAAGCCCAAACAGAGAGTCAATTCCACTTCTGCTCTTCAGATACATAGTATTATGTACCGTTTCCATCCATCAGTGCACTACGATGCTGCTTATCCGAGCCAAGAAGCGATACGCGGCCAGATCATTGACCTGTGGAAGAGATATCAACTCGAGGATCGTACTGTTTTTGACACTCCGGTCAAGTCGGTGAAGCAGAATAAAGCCGGCAAATGGATTATAAACGACGATGAAGACCAATGGGGCCTCTTCGACGGAGTAATTGCCTCTGTTGGAGTTTGCGGTGACCCTAAGATGCCCCCACTGCCAGACCAGGAGAACTTCAAGGGCCAAATTTACCACTCATCGGAGTTGGACGGGAAGAATGTCAAGGGCAAAAAGGTGCTCATTATCGGTGGCGGAGCCAGCGCTATCGAAGCCCTGGAGTTTGCTGTCAAGTCTGGAGCTTCAGAGATTGATGTCCTATCACGGTCTGACAAATGGATTATTCCAAGGAACGTCATAGTTCAGTCTCTCCTCGCACTGAACATATTCGGACAAGAGACATTCCTCTCTTGGATCCCCGAAAGTCTTCTACATAAATTCTTCTACCGCGACCTGCAGGATATCGCTCCATCTGGTGGATTGTACACGCAGACTCCCATGGCGAACAGTGAGCTCTTCGAGCAAATCCGAGATGGCAGGGCTCGATGGCTACGTGGTGATATTCTGTCTGTCAAAGAAGACGGCGTTCTGTTCAGTTTCCGATCTAAGGGCGTGCCGAAAGGCGGTCCAGGCCGTGAGTCCGTTGTTCCAGGGGAGGTTATCATCATGGCGACTGGGTTCAAGCGTCCTTCATTGTCGTTCCTGCCGGAAGATGTGTTTGAGGAGCCATACGGTCCGCCCAACTGGTATCTGCAAGTCTTCCCTCCAAAGTACCCGAGTCTCTGCGCCAACAACAGTACTTACGTCAACGCCATTGGTACTGTCGGAAACATGCACATCGGTATCTATACGAGGTTCCTGCTCATGTTTCTCGTCGACCCTCTTTCACGCCCTACAGAAGGGCGCATGAAGACCTGGATTGACTTTACCCGCTTGATGAAAAGCTTTTCGCCTACCGGAGCGTTCGACTTCTTCACCTATGCAGAGTTGGTCTATTGGTTCATATTTGTGATTATTGTTAACCCCTTCAGATGGAAGTGGGCACCTTTCGTCCTGTTCGGCATTGGTCGGGGTGTGCCGGCCGAGGTGGTGAAGCAAGAAGAAGCGTTCCGTAACGAATTGAGGAAGCAGCACTCGAATTCCAACGAAAGCAAGGCGTGAGCCGATGAGCTACTTATGTGGCCGTCTAGGTGAGCTTTATAGATTTTACGACTTCCTATGAAACGTTCTTGTCGGCCAGACCATGGGTCATTCAAGACATTGACGAAGTTGTATGAAATACTCAATATAGACTAGCACATTCAGATCAATCAAATCCGACATCTTAGAAATAAAGGTTGCCCTTACGAGACCTTCAGATCCGGGACATGGTTATTCACCGCATCGAAAACTCCTTCTCTCGCTGCCTGAGAGTGCGAGTAATTAAAATACCCCCTGTCCTCTGCCCAGAGAATCGGCCACAGGAGAAATACCCCAGCAATTGAGAACAAACTGGCAAAAGCATGCCATATCATAACAAGAAAATGCCCTCCGATCGGCATAACAAACTTGATAAATTCCGATGGCTGGTAGAAGTCTTCTTGCTTCTTGATGTAATATCTCTTCTTGCCCTGTGTTGCGGCACGTCCATCACCAGGGTCGGTCGTCAGGTCCAGAACAGTCGTCAACGTCACCGGCGCAGAATGAAACGGAATAAGCCAGATTGAGAAGATCTGAAAAATGGTTACGTAAAGCCTCAGGTTCTCTTTATCGTATGCTATGTGGCTGTCAACCAGCGTCCCATTCTTCCCTGCGAGGAGACGAGTAAATTATCGGAGCACCACATACCGACAGATTTAACTTCGAGGTCTATGTGCGGTGACATGATCTTGTACCACTGGTATATCTTCGTGACTGCCCATCGACTCCCATTGTAACTCCAGATGCGACAGAACGGGTGCACGAATTCGGCAGAAGAGGTGAAGAACTGGTTGATGGTTTCTTCTTGGAGAGAGGGAGGAGTTTGAGTGAGAAGCCGGATGACTCTCGGGACTTCGGCGACTGGAGCAATAGTTAGCCAGACAGATATTTCTCAAAGAGGAGAATTGTTCGGGTTCCTGGGCTGCTGTGCTGGGATATGATTGAGAAACGGGGCGTGGAAGACAGTAGCTGCATTGACAAGAAGTTTCGCTAATGGTAAAAAAAAGTAAGGCCCAATATAGGGTACTAACCTGGATCTTCCATATTGACCTATGGTCTTTAGTTTAGGGTTTTGAAGGTATTGTTGTTCCACTGCTGAGGATTGGGATGCTGTTAAATGGGGAACATCCGAGATGATGTCATGATGGTCGATTCACACATGCAATTCAGGAACAGGATCCCAGCGGACCGTCTTGTCTGCTCGAGAATCCAGAATGACGGATACGCAACGGGAAAGATAATTTTGATAGACCAAAACGTATATTTTCTATCAACCACGTACAAGTCGTCGGCGGCGGGCAAAGCGCTATGCAAGCCATAAGTATAATATATTCCGACAAAATCCTACACATTCGTGAATTGGAAAACCAAATCTGGTCAACGGCGAAGGCACTATTGCTTCTTCCACGAGTCAACCTTCTTCCGCCGCTTCTCGAAGATTTGTCCGACCCCGACTCCGTCACCACGCTGGCCGTCCTCCGTGGGTTTGCGTTTCCGGCTCCTCTCGAGGGCATTGCCACTTCCCTTCGCCCTCTGCGTAAGTCTCGTAATTCGGTCTGCGCCTTCAGCGAGACCTTTCCATTCTTCTCCCCCGAATGTGCCTTCACGCCGGCGGGATGCCGCTTTCTTCGCCAGTTCCTTCTTGCTTTCATTCGCCAAACGAATAAAGTGAGTTTCTTCGTAACGGGTTCGCTCGGCCTCGTTCTCCCTCTCCTTCCTTGTCTTGGTGTGTCTCCCTCCGGATACAATTGTGCTACCGATGCTGGGTTCGGCCATAGGGGCGGAGGACATCTCAGCGCTGACAAACTCATCAATGACATTGGACCGGCGCGTAGGTCTCTCTTTTCGCTCTTTACGTTCGGTCGTAGGCATCGCGGTCGGCATGATCTTCGGTGGTCGGTAGATTCCATCGCTTGTGGCTTTCCGATCCGCCTTATCCACCTTCGCTTCGAGACCAGTCTTCTTTGAAAACGCTGAAACGTTGGGTCGATATGCCATTTCATCAATGTCCTCGTCTTCCTCACTTTCATCCTCGTCCTCGCTGCCGCCCCTATCAGAGGCTGAATCATCCTCGCTCCCACTCTCCATTTGGTCCTTCGCGGTAGCCTTGGCGGGCTGCGCTCCTTTCTCGGCTCTTTCCACTGCCTCCGCCGCTTTGATGACCTTATCCACTTGGTATTTTAACCTTCCTTCTAAAGGCCGGACACCACGGTCCAAGTATGTGCGCAATTCGATAAGTTTGTCTGTAACTTGTGTCCGAATGGATTGGGTGGACTCGGAATCTTCATTTTTCTCCCGGGTAGTATCTTTCGAAGGTAGCTCCCTCAGCTCGAGAAGCGTGAGAAAGACGAGGTTCTGGAGATAGGAGAGGAGCAGATCGCACTTGGTATCAAGTAGCGAGATGCCGTCCTGCGGTGGAATAATCGAAACTTCGGAAGCGGTGTCACGCTTGTTGCTTGGCAACGAGGTCCCAGTAGCGTTGAGAGATGTTGAAATTGTTTCAAGTAGATCTGATATATTGTGCAGCTCGGGCTGCTCCTGTTTTGAGGCTGCCAATGCCATTGTCAATTGGTATGCTGGGTCTGCAATTTTTCTCTTTTGCGACGGAACGACGACGACGGAGACAAGAGAAAAAAAAATGGGTATCTTATCAGCACGTGATATGGAGCTAAACTGGGTCACGTGAATTTATGCTGAGTACTTGGCCTTTCGCCGAAGTGTCTGGTAGCAGCCTGCTTCATATACTCAAGCAATTCGACTTTTCAACTCTCTTGCTATCTTCCCTTGCTCTGCAAGCTAGTGGTGCTCTCGTTAATTCTGCACCATACCCATGAGATTCACTCTGCCAGTGGAGCGGCAACTGTAGACTGTATGTTGACCAAGCGTTATTGATCCCTCGCCGGCTAAACATGAAATCGGCCGTACAAAGCTAATCACGCCCTTTTTACTTTTCAGAACACAACAATCCGCCATGAGGCTCAACAGGCGGACTCCGTCCCTAATTAGCCTCATCCTCACCGCGCCCACCTTATCCGCAGCTTTTTACCTGCCAGGCGTAGCACCCACCTCATATGATGATGGCCAACCCGTGCCGCTCTACGTGAACCACCTCACCCCCGGCATCGCACAGCAAGATGAACAGCTTCATTCCGTATTCTCTTACGATTACTACCACCCCGCGTTTCGGTTTTGCGAGCCCGAAGGCGGCCCGAAAGATGTTCGAGAATCACTGGGTAGTATTCTATTCGGAGACAGAATCCAGACATCCCCCTTCGAATTGAAGATGCGCAAGAACGAAACCTGCAAAGCGGCTTGCGGCGAGGTCATTTTCGATTCCCGAAGTGCCAAGTTCACAAACAGGAGGATAGCCCAGGGATATAATATCAATTGGCTCGTGGACGGGCTGCCTGCCGCTCAGCAAAATGGAGGAACCCAGCCCCAGGCGTACAGTCCGGGCTTTACGCTAGGCACGCTGGATGAGAGCGAGAAGCCAATTTTGCACAATCATTTTGATATCATCATTGACTACCATCCTGTGAACTTTGGCAACAAGGAGAAGTATCGAGTGATCGGTGTCCTCGTTCAGCCGGGTTCTCGGCGCGGCTCAAGAGTCTCTGAGGATGGGACCGCAACCTGCAATGAAGACGGCCCGATTTACCTGGATGAAGACTCTGAGACAGCGGTGACATGGACCTACAGTGTCAGCTGGCGAGAGTCGTCTACCCCATGGGCAACCCGCTGGGACAAGTATCTGCAAGTTCAGTATCCGAAAATCCACTGGTTCTCCCTTGTTAATGCGGCCGTCTTTGTTGTCTTCCTCGTCGGTATGGTCAGTATGATTCTCGTTCGGGCTCTTAAGAAGGATATTGCTCGATACAACCGTCTGGATATGATCAACCTCGACGATTTGGATGGGACGTCCGCGGCAGTTGAAGACGGAATCCAAGAAGATTCGGGCTGGAAGCTGGTGCATGGTGATGTCTTCCGGTGCCCGAAGTCACCGTTACTTCTAAGTGTCCTGGTTGGAAATGGAGCTCAGCTCTTCATGATGACTGGTGTCACTGTTGGTATGTTTCCGACTCTTTGAAGCCTTCTTATCCGTGACTGACTCGGAATTAGTTTTCGCCATGTTTGGCCTCCTCTCTCCGGCAAACCGTGGTTTCCTCGCGACTGCAATCCTCCTGATCTACACTCTATTTGGGTTTGTTGGAGGCTACGTCTCCGCCCGCATCTATAAGGCTTTTGGTGGTGAATCCTGGAAGCGCAACATTATCATGACTCCGCTGCTTGTCCCAGCTTTCATTTTCAGCGTATTCTTCCTGCTCAATCTTTTCGTATGGGCTAAGGGTTCAAGTGGCGCTGTACCGTTTGGTACAATGCTCGCTCTGGTGTTAATCTGGTTCGTCATTAGCGTACCGCTCAGCGTGGCTGGTAGCTGGGTTGGTTTCAAGCAGCGGGTAAGCTGATTTTGTCCCCTTAATTGAACGCTTCACTAATTGATGGACAGATTATTGAGGGACCAACGAAAGTCAATCAAATCCCGCGCCAAATTCCGCCTATGACCGGCAGCTTGAAGACGGTACCATCGCTACTTTTGACTGGTATACTACCCTTCGGAGCTATCTTCGTTGAACTTTACTTCATCATGACATCGCTCTGGACCAACAAGATTTACTACATGTTCGGATTCCTATTCCTGTGCTACGGCCTGATGATCGTGACCACAGCGGCTACAACTGTTCTGCTGGTCTACTTTTTACTTTGTGCGGAGAACTACAGGTGGCACTGGAGGGCATTTGCAGGAGCAGGAATGACGGGTGTATACGTCTTCTTGAATGCGCTGCTGTTCTGGGCTACTAGAGTAAGTTTTGGAGGCCTAATTGGAGCTGTTCTATACATGGGCTACTCCGCCTTGATCGGGTTTACTGTTTTCATTCTTACCGGTATGTTGTGACCACGCCCCAATCCTGGATGTTTTCTGATCAATATATAGGTTCTATCGGCTTCTTCGCTAGTTGGGCCTTTGTGCAACGCATATACGGCTCCATCAAGGTCGACTAATTCGCATCACTTTCCTTCTCCGCCTTGTGGAGTCTCAAGTGTCCGTTGATGGCACCGGCATAAGTTTTTTTAGTGTTTTTTTTTTTTTTGGCTTGAGATGTCATGGCTGTTTGATAGTATGGGGTTTTTGAAGCGTTTCTTCTTTTTGGATTATTTACCTGTTCTAATCTTGCTCATGTTGTTCTGTATGCCATACCCTGTACATAGGTTGAGTGGGCGGGAACGGGGTTTCGATCCTACTAGTTGAGGAGCCCAGGGATGTTGACAAGGGATCTGTACGATACTCACGGCAAAACGGGCTTAGATCGAACTATTTGGCTCTGAAACTGTAAAAGCTGCTAAGGCTGCAGCTCGCCAGGCCGATGTTTCTGCAGACTCGAGGAGTCGATGAGGATGACGGAACGCCTGAGACCGCCAAGGCTCCCAGTGGTCTGGAATCCTCAACTTCGGAAGCTTCAGCGATCTTGTTCCGTTGCCACACTCCGGACACAACAATCGCTACTTACACTTCGATCGCTGCTGTTATACTGTGTTCCAGCCATTTCATTTTGCTTCACCTGCTTAGTTCCACTTGCAGCTCTCGTTAGCTCTCCGTTCCCTCTTCAGATCCCTACCCCTCCAACAACTGGCTCATTATCAATCCGGCCTTCGCTACCCCGCGGCTCCCGCATATCTGTCGCCAACCCGACATTGTCGCATGACAGACCCTGAGCCTCAGTGAGCCCGGATCATTCTCGACCATATTTTCGAATTGCGCTTGGACTGGGTTTTTGATGATATAATTGAATATGGGAAAGTCGTAAGTAGTTGGTTTGTTTCCGCGATTCGCTCCGCTTCTCCTTCGCCCCGTACTCTTCGAGTGCCGGAGCAAAGAGTTTCCAAGCACCGTGTGGGGAACATTTTGACTACCAGTAGAATAGTCGGACCTTTTCTGTATCTCTTGTGCTATCGTGTACTTTTAGGCATTGGCTAATTATTTCTGTTTCCTCACTCAGACAGTCAAAGCTATCCCCCTCCCAGCTCGAGGAGCTCCAGAAAGCGACGCACTTTGACAAGAAGGAGCTCCAACAATGGTATAAGGGTGTGTGATGGCTCAGGGACACTCACTTGCGGTTTCTCTTGCTGATGGCGATGTCTCGTTAGGCTTCTTGAAGGACTGCCCATCCGGCACATTGACCAAGGAGGAATTCCAAAAGATCTATCGGCAGTTCTTTCCATTCGGCGATCCATCGTCATTTGCAAATTATGTTTTCCGGGTTTTCGACGCAGATAACAGTGGCATGATTGACTTCAAGGAATTTATTTGTGCGCTCTCGGTCACATCGCGCGGAAAGATGGAGGACAAGCTGGACTGGGCCTTCCAACTCTATGACATTGACGGCGATGGGAAAATCACGTATGACGAGATGCTAGCTATTGTCGAGGCAATCTACAAGATGGTATGCCAGTCCGCGCTCTTCATCCCGCTATATGTGGTCTGCTGACCTCACTCTACAGGTCGGCTCCATGGTGAAACTTCCGGAAGATGAGGATACGCCAGAGAAACGAGTCCGGAAAATCTTCCGCATGATGGACAAGGACGAGAACGGTAGCCTCGACATGGAAGAGTTCAAAGAGGGAAGTAAGCGTGATGAGACTATTGTTAGTGCTTTATCGCTCTATGATGGGCTGGTATGATCATTTCCATCAGTTCTGCTCCTTTACTTCAGGCAGGCCATCTTTTGTCTTTTTTTCTCGGGCGAAATCGGCGTGCATATCTATGTCTTTTCTTCCTCCCTCTTGTCCTTTCTTGTCATGATAACTCATGTTTTTCTAAGATTCCCACTTCTCAGCCCAGTGCGTATCAGCCAGATTCTGATTGGTGCACATGATTGGGTGTCGATATCTTGATGTATGTACTAGTCCAGGCTTTACTCGTACTTTTGCGTGAAGAAAAGAATAGGAACCCTTTGGCGGCTTGGTCCCGCCATATGAATACTACATGGGTCCTCCGAGGTTGGATTTGGGGATGGAAGATACTGGAGGGATGAGATGAGAATCAGTCATACTACTGTCGTATGCGGCACAGCGACCCTGAGCGACTGTGTGACCAGAAATCTTGCAAATGGCCTGCAGGGGGAGAGCGGATCTCATGTGCTATCTAGTTCTTTTCTCCATTTGGAGCTGCTCCCTCGTCATGATCCCCTGCGGTTACCGAGCTTTCTTCATTTTACTCTCTGACACCGTTCAAAGGTTCAAGTGGTACTGAGGTGTACGTAGATCGTCCGAGGAGCCAAGCCCAGAGAGGCCGAGAGCGAGCAGATCCATCAGGCCATTGGCGAGTCATGCTTGTCAGAGTTGGGGAGCAGAAGAGGGATTCTGCAGTCGCAGCTCTTAGCTGCCGGGATCTCCCTGGCGCGTACCTACTTGTCGGGACAGTGGCACATGGCATCATTTTTTTTTTGGAATTTGCAGGGCACACACCGCAGCTAGTCCGATGATAAATCGACGATCAGCACGAACTCAGATGGAGCGGGCAGGGCGACAAGTGGACTGGGCAGAAGAGGCCATTCATGGTTTGGTCGGAATGGTCCCCGATCGCCGTATGTGAGTCGGCTTCTGGAGTCCTGGACTGCGCTACAGTCTCCACCGCTACCTCCTCGCCTCTCTGGGTCTCTGCTCGTCTTATCTTCCCCAGAACTTCCTCTTTCCCTCTTTCTTCACGCCGGACCCCATTCCCCAGCTCTTTCTCTCCGGGTACTGCGCCTCGATGTTGCTGCTCCCGAAGACCCCTGATCCGGCTGTGTTGCTCATTCCAGTCTGTAGCCAGCATGGTCAGAGTGTCTCGTGGCTGCCAGCCCTGTGTTGACGCTCATCTTCAGGTTCGTATTGCCCCTTTTGCTTCCCGTCTGGCCTGCCGGAGAAAGCAAAAAAGCCTTGGATCGCTGTCGAGCAGTCGAGGGAAAGTGGTTGGTGATAAGCGTGCTGTGCGACCGCTCCACACCCTTGCTGCTTCCCCGCCTCTGCAAGACAAGAACACCACCGGCGCTTGTCCGACTGCCCCTACATACCACTATTGTTTCTTTGTTTCCTTGAAGATCCTCTTTGTCTTCCAAATCTGAATTCCTCATTCTGCCCCCAATCAGACATCAATAAGCAGCGGAGTGGAGTCCGCTTTGTCCGTTGTTCATCCCTACCTTGGTTCTAACCACCAACCTAGTGTAATGGGAGATCGCCCTGCTCCAGATGCCGCATCCTGAATATCACTTGCGCGAACGGTCATCGGGTCTTCCAATTTCGCGACGAAGCTCCCGCACTACGCCAGCGCTACCGCACAACACCGTCGCCCTCCCCCTCAAAGTCTCCGTCCCCTTCCGACCCGTTAGACCAGCCCCTACCCTCGCCTCAATCCGGTGAACAGATCGAACTCCCTTTGCGCCCATCCCCTCGAGCTGAATACAAAATGGTTTCGCTCAGCATGGACGAATATGTGAGCCCGTCATTAAGCGCCAAAGCCATTTCTTCCCAACAGACTCAGATCTTCACGAATTACGTCCTTGCTTCCTTCCCCTGTTTCTTCCGCTGTACGGAAACACGTGTCCCCATCAACTGGGTTGAATATGTCGACCGAAGGCGAGGTTCCATGAACTCTTGCTTTGACTGGGCCGTACGAGCATGCACAGCTGCATACCTGGGGTTCCTACATGACGATTCGCGATACCTGCTTGCTTCGCAGGAATTATATAATCGTGCTCTTCGTGGTCTCGCACATCTTGTAGCCAATGAAGCTACCGCAAAGTCGGATGAAGCATTGGCCTCAGCAATCACGTTAGCAGTCTTCGAGAAACACAATTGCAGCAGCCCAGACGCATGGTTGCGTCATGCATCTGGTATTCGAACGCTTATGAAACTTCGGGGCCCCAAGGCGCATCTTCAAGGGTTCGGACGAGCCATGTACATCGTGTATCGGAATTTTCTCATCAGCGCAGCTCTGGTCGAGGGCGAAGCATGTTTCTTGGAAGAGCCCGAGTGGCGAGCGCTCAACGAACAAATAGCTGCAGAAAACGCAAAACTACCGACCTCCTCACTTTACACTGATGTGGTAGAACGTGGATTTCTCGAGGTGTTAAAGCTTCCTGGCTATGTGAAACGGACGAGGGAAGTACAAACGCGGTCCCCGAAGGAAAGAGCCAAGGTTCAGCCGGCCGTCCTTCAAGACGTCCATGCAACTCGTGCTGCACTTCGAGGAATCTATACAGAATTCGGCGTCGCAATATCAATGCTTCGCTCTGGGCAAGATGGTGATGACGCTTTCGTCGGCCCGGTACCCCATTTCTTCTTTGAAGGCTACTCCTCCCTATTTGCGCGCGGCCTTCGCTTAGCCCTTCTGATTCTCAATTACTTGATTGTGATCATGGACCCGAAACAACGTACGACAATCGACTCTGATAACTTCATGCTTCTGAACGATATGTCTCGAAACGAACACCTACCGCACCCAAACTTCAAATTCAAGCTTCCCCTGACGCCCCCGAAATCACCTGGCCGCCCAAGCATTGTTATACGATCCTTGATCACTGCGGAAAACAGACACCCGCCCACTACCGACTGGATGGACCGCATCATTACGACAATGGGACTTGAAGCAGTCCACGTCTGTTTGGTCGGGTGACGATTGAGCAGTGTATATTTTCCGCATCGTTTATGTATTTGGATCACCGGAGTTGGCTGTTTGTAGCGTTTTGATTTACGAATTCCCTTCCTGTCTCTACTTTTCTTTCTAGGATCTTGGGAATGATGCCTCTCCTCATTCCCCATCTCTTACAGCCCCTTCTTCTTTCGTGTACCTAGTTTTCTTCCTTGATTTGATACCCATGTATGGAGTGATGACGGTGTTATCGACTTTCTGGACTGGCTGGTTTGTGTTGTGGGCAGGCCAGGTATATTTTCAGCACTCATGTACAAACTAGAATTATATATACTTCACCACTGAGAGACTGACCATATCAAATTATTACATTCGACCAACGTCCTACCTTTTCCTATAAGTCCCCCGTCAATCGTGATACAACATCGAAAACTACAGGAGGGTTCCTCGCTGGTAATCATTGCGAATTGGGCTGCATTCTATTAGGATTCATGTACAAGGGTATCTGTCGGAGCCTATGCCACCCGTAAACTCCTGAAGTACAAGAGGTAAGTAACTCCAAGGCCCTTATTCAACCAAGGGATTCCAGACAAGCACAATAGTAACGTAAGTTTGGTACGTCTCAGCTTGCTGAGCGCCGGCCTATGTCCTAGGGCGAAAGACACGGGAATTGTGCAAAGAAAAGCGTTCTTGACCCGACACTTCTAGCAAGCACCATGGCTCAATAATGACACGCAAAAGAAAAGAAGAAGACATCAATGGCATTTGCATAAGGAGAAAGAGGTATGGTACGGTATGGCATGGTGTATCTGATCTCTAAATATCTGCAGGAAAAGGAAGGGGAGAAGATGGAGACGAAGAGGGATAGAAGAGCCAGCAAAACAGGAAGATTCGTGGATCATCGTCTATCAAAAAACCAGCTTGTGCGCTTGTTGCCAGTGTCCTGGGCCTGGACGGTGGCGACGGGCTCGTTCCCGCCACCCCCGCCACGGAGCGGCTTTGCGATGCGCGAGCCCACGAAGCTGAAGCCGCTGTTGCTGTCTGGGAGGCCTTTTGTCGAGCCTTGCTTGGCGGCTTCGAGCCGTTCTTTGACGGCTGTGAGTTGGGCCTCGAAACTGTTGCAAGAACTAAATTAGTATACTTGTGACGGAAAAAGAGGATATAGATATCCCGGGGTGAGCGGGGGTATGTACCGATGATTGGCTTGGGTAAGTTTCTCCTGGCTCTCCTGGAGCAGGGCTTCCAAGCTTGCTATGCGCTCGTTTCTGGCGATGAGCTTACGCTCCGCGATCGCGACTTCCTTCTTTAGGCTGCTGTTTTGCTCGACGAGCTGCCTCTGAACGTGAGTGAGTTGCTCGAGGTTGCGTTCCAAGAAGGCCATCTTCTTTTGCTGAGCACGATTGTTCGACGAGCGGAGCACGTTGTTGTACTGCTCTCGAGCGTCGTCTAAGGAGATCTCGAGCTCCACCACCCGCTCACAGCGGTTCTGCAAGTCACGCATCAAGGACTTTTTCATCGCGTCAAACTCGGCGATCTGCTGCTGCAGGCTCTTACTGGTAGCCCCGTTGGTCGGGCCTCGTGACTGTGAATCTGCAAGGGATTGACGTAGCTTCGTGAGTTCTTCATCCTTGCGGACAAGCTCCTGCTGTAGTTCCGAGGCTGCTTCGAGTTCGGCCTCTTTCCTGGTGCTGTACACCTTCTCTAGTCGTTCCTTGATCTCATCGAGATCTCCCTCTCCCAAGTTTCGGGCTAGAAGACTCTCATAGTCCTGCTCGAGGTTAGCCAGCTTCTCCTCGAGTTCCACCCTGCGGCTGTCCTGCAGCACGTTCAGTTCGCTCCGGTCATTCATTGTGAGCTCTGCCTGTCGAATGAAGCCTTGCGTCTCCAGTAGGCTTGCCCGAAGCTCTAGAATGTCGTCTGGGGCGACGCTCTCGCCAGCTTCGCTGACCTGGTGCAATGAATCGATGCGCTGGATGATATCCTGAAGCTTGCGTTCGTTATCGGAAAAGACTTCACCACCGAGATCAAAACCGGCCATCATCTTAGCCATTTTCTCGGCCTTTTTCTTCTCCTTCTCATCGAGCGCTGCGCTCGTTTCCTTCGCCTTCATCCTAACGTCCAGAAGCTGTTGCTTAACCTCGTCTAGCTCCGCGGTTAACTCTGAGTTGGCTTCCCGAAGGCTGTCCATAGTAATCGCAGCTTCCTTGCTCTCGTACGACACCTTCTCCAGTTGCATCCGTAGCTCATTAACTTCGGTATTAAGCTTATCGTTGTCCTTGCCTGATCTTGCTGAGTTCTCCTTTAGGCTCCTGAGCTCCTCCCTTGCCTCACGCAGACCCCTTTCAACGTTCGCAATATGGGATTCTTTCTCTGCAAGCTGGTCTTGAAATTCGTTTTCGCGTCTGAGAAACTCCTCACGCTCATCTTTCTCAAGAACAATGCTAGGCGTGCTAGAGCGGTCGCCAAGGCGGGAATCTGGTCGGGGCGTCTCTGATCGAGAGACGTCTTGCAGGCGAGAAGGAGTACCGGGGCGCGGACCACGGGCCTCAGCCTTCGCAGCACCAACGGAATCGGAACTCCTGGACGGCGTCCACCTGTCTTTGGGGACTGCTTCGCCGCTTCGCCATACGGTAACCTCGGATTCTAATGCCGATATATAAGTTTCGAAGTTAGTCACTTGGCTCTGGGCTTTGCGCAGCAGCTGCTTCAGTTCCGCGGGACTTAATTCCGCATTGACCTTTGCCTTGTTCTTGATGGCCTTCGCTCGTACACCAAATCGCAAAGTCGAAATTGTTTCTGCATCGTTATAACTGCTGGGCGAGCAGTTGATAATCAGGGTTGTTCTGGAGTTACCTCCCAAACTCTCCTGTAAGATTCGAGTAAGTTTAGAATCACGGTACGGGATGTGGGTTGATTTCCCGTCTGTGAGTGCATTGATGACCATTCCGAGAGCACTCAAACTCTTGTTAATCTTCTTGGCCTCCTCCAAGGTCTGGCCACTAGCTCCAGTCTTGCCGACTTTCTCACTACCTGCCAAATCCACCAAGAAGAGCTGTCCACTCTTCGCGGAACCGGTTTCCAGGTTCTTTTGCGTAACAGTGATGACGAAGATGGAGTGTGACCGGGATGATTCCTGGTTCATGTTGGTCGCAGCAACGGCTCTTGCGGCTCCTCCACGTCGCATAACCTCATAAACTTCTTGCACGCTTGAAACGTACACCTCAAGTAGACCCTTCACGTATACCCCTCTCGACTTCTCCTCGTGAACGGGAAGGTTATCGTTATGCGGCACCAGTAGATCTCGAATGCGCTCCATATAAATTTCCATATAACTAACCCGGACGGTATATTCGATGTTGCTCGGACTCGTGAGGATGCTGGCGAAGATCTGCTCGACTATACGTGGTATTATACCCTTGCCCACTTCGTCGTCAATATCGGAACCCATCATGGTGAAAGACTTTCCGGCACCGGTTTGACCGTACGCGAAGACTGTTCCGTTGTACCCATTTAAAATGTCGTCCACAGTGGGTGCAATCGAGAAGTTGAATATGTCGGTCTGCTTCGAGTCCATGGGAAATACGCGGTCGAACGTAAACGAGCCGGACGCTTCTTTCGACTAACACTAACTTAGTATCGCCAGAGCATTGTACACCAGAGCCGCCAGGTACCACCTGCACTCACGTTGATAGAACATGTCTGCTCGTTCTCGAAATCGACAATCGGCTGCCCTCCAGACCCCAACTCAACCTTGTTTTGAGGCCGAAACCTCGCAACCACTATAAGTCCATTAGATCCGAGCGATTGTAGTATACGAGGAGCGTGGGGAGTAGGAATGCGCACCCTTGATGGTGTTGGAGGGGTTGGAGCTAGATGACCTGTTATTTAATTGATCTATCAGTTCTTTATCCGATGCGGTGAGGGACCGAGGAAAGCTTACGCCATATTTTCGAGCTAGCCCGCACTCAAGAAGCTTGAGGAAAGAGACGAAGGGACATGCGACGCCCCGACGAGAGGGGTCCAAGTGGTGACTTTGTTCAGACCAACAGGAGGCGGAGGGACGAGCTGTTTGGGGACCAGATTGGTGGGCGGCGTTGTTTGGGTCAGGGGTCCACGTGCCGACCGAACAATAGAAGATGCGGGCGGGGAGGAAGCGGGTGAAGGAGGGGAGGCGCTGCACAAGGAAGAAGAAACCGACGAAGCCCGGATGGGTATGGATGAATGCTGAACTCAGTTCAGGACTTCTTGGGCGGAGAGGTCACGGGCGCGGAGAAGAGGTGGTTGTGTTTCCGACGCTTCAGTCCTCGCGTTTCAACACTGGCCGTTAGAGTCATGCTTGGCGCCCTCCACCCACAGCAATACACTACGCAATCTGGAATGCAGACCTTCGCCCGCGGCCATGCAGGACGTGTTATTCCGATGCTACAAAGAAGGGATGTGTCATGCATATGACGTACGAGCAAGAAGTGGGTTTTATGTTATGTAGAAAACTAAACAAAGCGATGCAGCTATACACAAAATAAAAAAGCTCAAGAACATTCATTACCAGGCGCCATAAACCCCGCGCTGTGCATATCATCAAGAGTGGGAAACCTCCTCCGCCCAAAGAAGCACCGGAATCCTCGGCCGTGGGTATCATTGAGTATTCGCGGTAGCTTCCACTGGGATTCCGAGAGAACACGCGCCATTGTTTCGTCAAATATTCGTGGTTCAAAACATCCTTCCTCCTGCTTGATCTAGTCCTCCCAGCTCTTCTCTACGGTCTCACGCACGCGCTTGACGTACTCCTTGCGATTGTCTTTGTAGAGGTTCGAGGCCTCCACGTTCGCCGGTGAAGATGTGTTCGGGTCGTTGAGTAGACTGCAAGTGGCAAAAAACTGGTTAAATCGTCCTCTTGGTGGTAGAGATGCACAGAATGACTGACCTTTGGATGCTGGTAAGGATCGCTGCGACGTCATAAGTTGGGCTCCAGCGGTTCTGTAGAATATCAAGACAAAGCTCTCCTGTACCATACACGTTCGGGTGGAACATCTGGCTGATGAATTTGACGCCTGGAGGTTTGTTCGGGTATTGTTCTTCGAAGTGCATCACGAGCCGGAAGGTTCCATCTTCGAACGGAGTATCAGCGGGGCCAATGATGACGGCGTTCCTAATGACAGACGTAAGTAGAAAATCTCGGAAGCCAGCGATTCTGAAGCTTACCATGTCATCACGTTATCGGCCACTGGAGATGCTGAGACGCCCGCCGGAGGGTCGGTTTGCATGCGCTAATAGAGCCAAAGCGAATTAGCCAACTGCGATCAAAACCGCGTGGAGGAAGTGTTCAACAATGATGCATGAGGATATAAAGATGAACACCAAGAGCCAAGCTGGCCAGGACGCCATAAAGGCGATATGAAAAGCTTACCTTGAAGTCACGCATGAGACGGCGGCGTGCGGAGGTAGACATAGTGGCGGGGCGTGTCGGAAGAAAGATGGATGCTCTGATAATCGAGTACTGGGAATGCGCAATCCAGGTAGAGGCAAACAGTTCAAGAGGCTGTCAGTTTGACAAAGTAATGAGCGGAAGAAGAGTAGAAAGTTGAGGAGTTGGGAAATCAGAAGAGGAGAAGAGCACGAGAGTTGGTATGATAGCACGACTGGGGCGGGAGAGGAGCGGTCTTTTTTGGGCCGATATCGAAGGAGTGGCTCCGCTGCAAGCGCTGGGACCGTTGCTTCTTTGTCTTTCTGCAGGATGTCCCGGATTAACCCGCTGGATGGAGAAATTTGCGGTTTAGAGGTATATTTTATCACGTGATATACGTGCATCTAAACCCAAATCAGGTGTCATGCATGGGCCAGGCTCCGTTGTTTAGTAGGTTCCATTGGCACCACAACACATTCTTCCCTGGCTCTTCTTGGCCGGAGAAACGATAGCTTGCTTGCTATTCAGTATTACCGCAGAGATACGTAGGCTATGTCAAGGTACTCAACTCTTACCTGCAACAGAAATGCTTGAAACACTTGAATTGCAAGTATTCCCGTCCTCTTACAATTGTATATCATGGTCTGAGGATGGCGAAATCGCGGTGGCGACAGGGGAATATGTGCAGGTACTGGTACGTACTATCCTTTAATCAACAATGGTAGGAATTCAACTGACTTTACTTTGACAGACGCCAAAGCCACCGTCTGGACGGGAAGCAAATGGCGCCTCGCCTCACTTTCTCGCCAACGACTGGCATCGGACTCGGTTCCGGGCAAATATTTTCACTATCAACGAGTGGCCTGTTATGTATCCGCAACCGCGAGATCAGTTTTCGGTCGGAGCAGAGCAGTCGATGAGTACCGTGGTGTCTGTCTCATGGTCACCGCCAGGACTAGTCAAGCACAGGCGCAGCGTATTGGCTGTTCTCACAACCAACCAGGTCCTGTCGATTTACGCATACGCCGGTACTAAATGGACGCGGGTAGCCATCGTGAACAAGGCGCTGGAATCCCATTTTGGAGAGAACGTTAATCCCGACACGCCCAAAACAAGAAAGACTAGCATTCGATCGTTTACGTGGACGCCACCCCTCATTATTCCGGCTCAAGATCAACCGCACCCTGGTCCCGAAAGCCGATGGGGCATTCCGTTCCTCGCAATTACTACTGATGCCAACGACGTGGCTTTCGTGCAGTTCCACACTTCCAGCGGCCAGCAAGCCTCTTCAAATATACTGCATTGTGAGTTGGTCTCTGTCGTGTCTTTGCACAATGCGGTAAGTTACGATCAAAAAATTCAACCCGCCTCACTCTTCGCTTCCGCGCTCCGGTCTGAGATCAAGATTCTGTCTCTGGCAAGTGGGCCTTGGCTCTACCAAGCGCACCAAATTGCGGGAAGTGGCGCGGGTACGTGGTCGGCGGACCTCAATGTAGCCGGTACTCAAGGACCGAAGCTTAGGGTTGCCAAATTGCGCGTTGGCATAGAAATGCAGGAGGCTGGCTCGGGAAACGATAGGCCCTATAAGTTATCATTCCATGCCGAAGAGAATAAAGCTGTACCCTTTGATCCCACTGACGAGCTTCAACTTACTGGCCCTGTCGAGTACGTACATGAGGTATGTCAAAAAGCCCAAGTCGCCGACAACTTTATAGTTTTGCTAACAGGCTATTTTAGATTGGAACAAGGAGGATATCAATTGCCGTGGGTGCAGTGGCTGCTTTAGTAACAGTCAACTTGTCGGAGGATCTATATAGAGGACAGGCAGCAGATGGGGATGTAAATTCGTATATCTTCCCGTTGTCTGTCGATTGCACGGATCCTACAGGCTACGAAAGAATAAGTGGTGGGTTTATCCAAGGATCTTACGAATCCCCTGCTTACATTTCATAGGAATGACGGTTGCTATCCAACCTGAATCAAAGACACCAGTATTGCATTTGGGCACTATCGAGGGCCACGGAGCGACCAAGGCGTTTGTGTATGGCGGAGAAGCTGACGAACCCTCTCGAGCTCCATGGAAAGATCAGATAGAAGACATTAGAGAGCGATTTGACATTGATCGTGATCTTGGGGGGTTGTCAGTTTCGAGAATTCGGGGCCTTACATCAGTTCAAGGAATCGTTGCGACTGCCGTAACACTACATCCCGGGGATATGGTCGAGTATCGTTCGAGCGCGGAAGACCGACTGATAATATTGTTTTCCACTTCTGACGGGCAACTTACACAAACGGAGCATGTGCCCTTTCTCCGCAGGAACACAACATTCTCGCCAGAATTTCTGACAAAGCGTCGGGACGTTGTTCTGCGCTACATACTTCGCTCTGGAAAGGAGGCTAAGCAGGCGCTATCCTCGAAGGTCCTCTACGCAGCAGCTTGCTGTGCAATTGTGCAGTCACAATGTTTGGATCTACTTTCGAATGCCCGTGAAGTTCTAGAGAGTCTCGCATCGAATCACGGGGTTGACCTGACAGACGAAATTGCAAAGTGCTCGGAGCCTGGAAGTTTCATCGACGCCAAGCCTGCGGAGTTACTAGACGCTGCCAACGATAATGTCTTCGAGAGATGTGAGATTTGTGGTTCCGGAATTGGTTGGGACTCAGCTCAAGAAGCGCAATGTGCGAGTGGCCATGTTTTCGGTATGTCCATCCTAATTTGCCGGCAGACAAATCACGACATTGCTAATCAAATGAATAGTCCGATGCAATCTGACAGTCCTGGCGATCCAAGAACCTGGTATATCCAAGTTCTGCTCTAGGTGCGATAGCGAATATCTTGATGAGGACCTCATCGGCACCACGTCGGAGAGAGAACTTCAGCCGAGTTGTAAGACTTTGTCAGGCATATTCGACACCTGCATTCTCTGCAATGGGAAATTCCGCCCTTAGCCCAACCTTGTGTGTCGCGAGAGCCTTACAGGGCAGCCTTGACTTCCAGCTTTTGAACCCCATCGCACCAGCATTCACACAAGCCCAAACAGCTTCCCAGCTTTCGGAGTCCATTCGTCGTCCCAGCGATACGAACTCGCGTCTCGTGCGCCCGCGCGGAGACTTTCCAGCTTGTCTGGGTTTCCAAGAAGGTCGATAAGCTGTTCTACCAGCTCATCAGAGCTTCCAAAGCCCTTTCCGTTGACACCCTCAGTGACTAATTCTGGCCATGCTTCAAATCTGCTCCAACCAAGCACGGGCAGCCCGGACCCGAACATATCCACTACCTTCATTGGTAGATCCACACCGCTACTACTGGTGTGCAGGCTGACCCCTAGCGAGGCGGATGCGAGCAATCGTGCGTAGTCATCTGTACTCAACCAAGCGGTACATATGGTAACTTTGCGGAGTTCTCCGTCCTTTTGTAGGTTAGATATTCGTTCCATATACATCTCACGCTGCGGCCCTTTGCCGGTTATGATTGCAAGAATGTGCGGCAAATGTGGCTTAGATGTGTTTGATAGTTCAGAATACTGACACAGAGCATCGATCAAGAGCGAAAAATCCTCGTCTGGGGTCCAAGACGTCGAGCTCACGATGACCTTGAGTTTATTCTTCTTTATCAAGCCGCGCACCGGGGTTGTTTCAGGTAGTGATAGGAGAAATTCGAGACGTTCTCGCTCCTCTATCATGGGTCGAAAGTGGCTTGCTGGTCGATCATGCAAAGGCACAATGGGTGACCCAAGTCCAAATTCGTTCTTCAAGAATGACGCCATCGCTTGGGTCACACATAAGTGGGCGACGGCAGATCTGCACAGAACTCTTTCGTACCACCTGGAGACTTTCACCAACGGATGGCTGTCCCCAAGCTTCAGAGCCAAGATGGTGTATCCGAAATTATGCCAATCGATGACTAGCTTGGTTTGGCGGAAGAAACATACGAGCGACGCGATTGCCAATGTCGGGATGGAAGGAGGGTTCTGTACGATGCTCGGTCAGGTCACGACAAGTGGCATAGCCGCGTAGGGAATGATCAACCTGGACAAGAAGCCATTTGGCCGGCTTTGTACGGTAGGCCAAAATCCACCACAGAGAAATGATCTGGAAGAGAACCTTCAAAGGACCAAAGACAAGGAAAAAAAGCCTGTTGCTCGTTTGTAGCGAGGAGGGATGCGAAGGGAGAGGAACAATCGAAACATTAGGGTTCGAAGAGATATCGGGATGGACCTCCGAATCTACAACACCACACGTTAGCTGGTTTGCGAAAAGAAGCAGAAAAGCACTGGTTACCGTGATAGCCGATGAGGTCCACCTTACCACCTCCCTGGGCGATACTCAAAGCGTGATATTGCATGCGAGGGCTGCGACCGATATCCCCTAAAACCAGGACCTGCACGCTAGTTTTGGGCTCATTGGCAAGTTTGCTATTTTGGTTTCGCGTCGGTTCATATTGCGATGGAAGCATGAATATAAACAAGGTCACCGCCGTGGATAAGTAAAAGGTGACCTCGATGACTGTTTCAATCATTTTGAGAGGACGACGGGAAGCTGGGCTCGAAGAATGAAGAGAGGACTACTGAGCACCGTATGCGGCAAAGAATGGATGAATCATGAAGAAGGCCTCGAAGCGTCACAAACCTCTCAAGCCGCGCTGGTTCTGAGAATTTGAGCTTGAAGCCGTTCTCCGCAATGGTGCGGAGGACACGCGGGATGGGAGATTGTTTTTGCCTGGCGGTCAAGGCAGAAAACGCGATAACGAGGCCATAATCACGTGGGGCAGTCGTTATCGCCGCGAGATCGAATCTCCAACACACGAACGAGCGCGACGCTCGCACTCCTCCACGCAATCGCAAAACGCACGGCTTCAGTGGCTCGCTAACCGAATTGATATTGTCACTTTCTTTCAAGACGCTATGTTACCCTGTTTGCGCCAATCGCCTGGCTAGTCAAACGTCCTTGACTATCTGAATCTCCGTCGCCCCCGTTCTTGGCCGCTCCGCCTGGCAAACAACCTGTCCTCCTGTCCTCCTTTCCACATACCGCCCCGCTTGACTGTGCAATTACCTGCAAGTCTGCTGTCGCACTTCGTGCAAGCTTGTATACAATGCTGACTGGCAATTCCATGTCCTCCACGGAAGCAATTCCCTCTCTGCCGCATGGACACGGTCTTGGCCATTCCAGAGGCCGAGGCCACTCTCGTCGCTCGACACCTCTCTCCCAGCCAACCCCAATCTCCTCTTACGCATTGCCCCCCGCCCAGCAACGCTCGTCGCAGTCATCTACGGATATAAAGGATCTTAATGGTCATGCTGATGACTCTAAACACGGAGGCCACCATCATTCGCATTCGCATGCCTCTGATCATCATGATCACTTTGAGCCGCCAGCTATTGCCCATTCACATGAATCCAAGCAGCCTGGAATACAAGCGGAAACTACCCCCAAGACGCAGTGAGTATTCTATCGATTACATGCTGCTAGTTTTAACACTTTCTTAGTGCTGAGGTAGTTGCGGGACTTTTGATTGCCCTGCCGTGGATAGCTTTGACCTGGTACTACCAGCACTATGCGCAATGGTTGCCCTCCGAACCTGATTCCACTGTGTCTATCGGCAATTTGGATTGCATAAATTCACGGACGTCTGGCCTGACCGCTGCGACATTAATCTTTTATGGAGGCGTTGTCTTGATCCGCCATGGCCAGCAGGTTGGTAGTGATTTGGCAATGAAGATGCCCAAACCAGATCTGGCATTCGCAAACAATATGCTTAGTCAAATACTTGCTGTTGGTTTACCGATATATGCGGCATTAAATGTGGGTGGCTTTCTTGTCGCCTTTGCCCTGGCCCTGGCCGTGGGTTCTGGACTACCCACTCTTATCCGAGGTCATACCGACAGCAGTACTAAAGTGGCGCTCAGTCAGAAGTACTTGACTGCTGGTCTTCTCCTAACGGCAATATTTTTGAGCTTCTTTGGAATGAATGCACAGTGGGTTGCCAAACCCATTCTTGGATATGTAGCCTTGCTGGCTTCAATCTTTGTCCTCCGTCCTCCTTTCGCATCAACATTACATTCGAGCTCTGTATCAGGGCATGGCCTTGGAATTTCCCTTACTAAGCGTCCGAATGGCTCCACGCAAACGCTATCAAATTCAGATGTGCCACCTCAAGATCCGATGGGTTCGGCTCTATCGGGCCTGGTATTAGGATGCCTCACAGTCCTTGTGACGCGGAGCTTTTCCATTGGTCTTTCTGATGTTGTATATCTAATGGTGACTGCAGGATCCTTTGCCACATGCTTAGCATATCTGGAACAATCTGATGTTCAGTCATACCGCAAGTTTGGCGTTGCTGTTGCGACAGGGAGCGCCGCCCTATTTTGCTCGCCGCCTGTCGGCGTCGACATATACACGGTCTATATTACTCGAGCTGCCCTAAGCGCAGCCTCTTTTTTCGCCTCTAGATTTGACGATAGACGTGAAGGACATGAACATCACCATCATCACTCCCACTCAACAGCCGAGTCTTCCCGTGCAACGAAGCTTATACTCCGCTACAGTGAGCCGTATCCACTATTGTACAGCATACTCAAGGAACGCGACTCACGCCGCATATTTTACTTTATGAGGTATACTCATGTCTATCATTATACTCTCCATATCAGGCTAACCACCCTAGTCTTAACTTCGGTTTCATGCTTGTTCAGCTCTCTTATGGCTTCGCCACAGGGTCCTTGGGTCTGTTGAGTGACAGTATTCACATGTTTTTCGACTGCCTTGCGCTCGTGGTTGGGCTCTGTGCTGCTGTCATGAGCAAGTGGCCTCCGAGCACAAGGTTTCCTTATGGTTATGGTAAGGTAGATACGCTATCAGGATTTGCAAACGGAATCTTTCTCATGTAAGAGCACCATAATCTCAACTCGTTACTCTAACTCTAACTATATACAGGATAATCAGCGTTGAGATCATTTACGAAGCAGTGGAGAGGCTTTCTTCTGGTAGCCAGATGCATCGACTCGGAGAACTTCTCGCCGTCAGCGTAGCAGGTCTGCTGGTAAATCTCGTCGGGATTATGGCCTTTGACCACGGCCATGCGCATGGCCATGACCACGGGCACGGCCACTCTCACGGTAATGAGAATATGCACGGTATCTTTCTACACATCCTCGCGGATACCCTCGGTTCGGTTGCTGTTGTGATCTCGACCATCCTTGTTCATTACTCTGGCTGGTCAGGCTACGACCCAATTGCATCCTGTATGATCGCAATTCTAATCTTCGCCTCCGCTGTGCCCCTTGTCAGTAGCACCGCCAAATCCCTGCTGCTCACACTACCAGCTGATGTCGAGTACAACGTCCGTGAAACTCTATCCGGGGTTAGCACTCTGCGGGGTGTCGTTGGGTACACTGTTCCCAAATTCTGGCTGGACGATACCGAGTCAAAATCAGCGGGACATGGACACCATGGTCATGGTCACGACCATGGCCACGGTCACACGCATAGCCACAACCACAGTCACAAACATGATCACGACCATTGCCACGAACACACCCACGATCATGGCCACGACCATGACCATAATACCCACCATAATCATGCGCACAGCCACGGACACAATCACAATCACAATCACAATCACAATTATGATCATGATCATGACCATGACCATGAGAAGCATAACCCTCCAGTCCTCGGCGTAATTCACGTCACAGCCTCCCGAGCAGCCGATTTAGACGATGTCCGCCAACGAACCGTTGCCTACCTTCGCGAAAAAGGAATGGACATACTCGTTCAAGTTGATCGCGAAGGAGAGGGGCGCTGTTGGTGTAGCGCTGGCGGGAATAAGGCCTCCTAATACCCCTAGTAAACTAGATATATTTCGTACATCTTCGGCTTGGTCAACTTCCATCTCGCACTTATACCTATGTCCCATGCGAGATGAGTTGGTTCTGTGCATATTTGGGTACTGTATGTAGCTCTTTCAATACTATCTGCACCTTTACACGCCTCTTTGTGAGAAGAACTCAATGTATTTGGATCGCATCCCCAACAAGAAATAGCCTGTCCATCACATGTAATCTAAGGCCTAGCTCAACTAAAAGAAGCCGATATGAAGGGTTCGAATATATTATACTTGTGTCACCTGTTCAAACTTTGCATGTAGCACGAGCACCGGTCGACGGACAGTTTCGAGAGGTTTGTGGCCGGATACTTCTTCGGAAACCGAGGATGGTACTAGACTGCGCGGGCTGGGGGTGTCCGATCCTAATTTGTGAAAGGGAAAAGTTGGTAAAAAGGAAGGTAGCTATGAGCCCTCAAAAGGATATTGAGTGGGGGAGAGCCTCAGAACCGATTCATCCTTCCAGCCTAACAGGGTATCGTGTTTCGGACCTAATGTTAAACAACAGATCCTTTGTGATAAAATCTCTTCCAACAGATGCACCAAGACAGTTGGCTGGTGACTAGACGCTTTGGCCCTTGCTCAGTCAGGGCCTTGCCTGTAGAACCGGGGTATAGCCAAAGGTATGCTGCTGAGAATGTGATGAGGTTGAGAGGTGGGGAAGTGGCGCATATATGGCTCTAGATGTGGGAATGAGGAAGCCAATGGGACGTCCTAGGCCAGATCTAAACCAGCTGAGTATATAGCCAATAGAGGACCAAAGCGACTTGTCTTCGCCAGAAGGATGCATTGTGGTCGTACAGAGAACTTCAACCTCGGCGACACATGGGCTTTATGACTGTATATACGCCGTGTCGGTGCTGTATATCTTTCGCTGCAATCTGGCCAGGTTCATGGCCTCCCCTTCCTAGGCAAACTTCCATCGAGATCCAGTTGCGCACTACCGGATCCGAAATCCACGACAAGATGGCCCTTCCGGCATCTTCCTCCTTCGAAGATGATGTGAAGAAGAGGGGTTATGCAATCGCGTTTGAAACCCACACAGTGTTTCTGACAGGAAGCACCGGTTCTTTGGGAGGTTGCCTGCTGTACAAGTTGGCGCTACAGCTCCCGACACGAAAGATCTTTGTCCTGGTGCGCGGATCGTCGGAGCAAGCTGTGAAGAAGTGGGAAAAGACGATGCCGAATCAGACGCAGGCAATTCTCGCTTCCAACAAAGTCCATTTCGTCATCGGGGACATAACAAAGCAGAATTTTGGTATCAACGCTGCAAGCATGAAGCAGTTGCGCGAGCAGGTTACGCTTATTATGCATACCGCAGCGAAGATATCTCTCGACGCCGACATCATCGAGGCCCTCGAGAACAACTGTTTCCCGTCTCTGGAACTTGCCAAGATGACTTCATCGTTTAGAAGGCTCAAAGTCTTCGTTCAACTGTCCACTGCATACGTTAATAGCTTCCTGCCGGACGGGCATATCGGGGAGCGGCTATACAACCTCTCGGACGCAGACCCTGAGGACGAAATTGCATCCATACAGCTATCGGGAGGCGCAACCCACACGCCACGGTTCTCGTCATCGTACACACATTCAAAGCACCTCATGGAGCATTTGATGCTGAAACGCTTTCCAACTCTTCCTCTTCTATTCATTCGCCCCACAATCTTCGCACCTGCCCTTCGGCACCCGTACCCAACATACGGACCTGATGGCTCGCATCCATTGAACAAGTTCGCAGACTTGCTAATTTCAGACCGTGGAGGAAAGCAGATTTGGCATGCAGCAGAGGGGTATGAGAGTGGTGCAAACATCTTGGACGAGATTCCTGTGGATTTCGTAGCGAATGCTTGTTTGTTACATGCCGCAGCAAGGACGCTTGGGATTGTGCATATTGGATCCCAATTGTACGTGCTGCGGACATATGACGCCTTCCTTGAGCTCTTACGAACGCATGCTCCCCCGGATATTAGAGACCCACTGCCCACAATCACGTTCGTGCAAGACAGAAGTATCCCGCAATCGTTCCTAGCAGAACTGGTGAAAGTAGCAAGCCGAAACTGGATATTCGACTGCGGCAGGTCGTACTGGTTGAAGGGAATTGGGGGGCCGCTGAGTATACAGGCATGCGAATATGATGCGGACAGGCTCAACACCGCTCGTGTCGCGGATATCTATAAGAAGAACTTGAGGAGGACTACAAAGCTTTGATAGCAGTCTAGATGAGGGTGTATGAGTTATTTCTCGTTGGCCTGCTCTCGCGCTCGTTCGGGTTTCTGAGTTCATGGCCATTGATCAGTATTGAATTGTCCAAGATAGTCCATATACGTACCAGACAAAATAATTCTCAGCTATCGATATGTAAGCATAAGCCATTGCACCATTACCTTGACGGCAGTACGATGCAACGAGAAGCCAGATTGCTATCTCAGTTCGTCTGATGCGGTGTTTCCAGCACCATTCCATCAGGCTGAGTGGATTGTCGCGGTGAGTCAATTCTTTGTCTCGGCCACATCAAAATACTCTTCCACCTAGGATAATAGGAGTGTAGTTCCACAGACAGATCTGAGACTAGTGCCGAACCCGAGTTTTTGGCCCACCATACTCTGCCGTGAAGTTCATGAAGTAGGGCACCCCAGTACATCAGGATGAGCAAGGCCAACGGCTGGCGAGATCTCAAAGCGTCGACGAAACCTTTCTTGGCTGCTGCGGTCCATGCGAGGATTGACGCGACGTCTCTCGAGTTCGCGTATCTAGTAAAACATTGTCGCAGGAGGGCTAGAGCATCCTTCAACATGCTTTGTTCATCTGAATTGCCCACCTCGTTTAATAGTGTGGAGAGGTTGTCCAATGCTGCCTCTGTGTCTGCGTCTAAGCCAATATTCGACCGTTCCCAGAAATCGCCCCCTGAGCTGAAGAGTTTTAATTGCATCCATGGACGACAGATGCGAAGAATGTTGCTCACACCTTGTAGCAATTCAGTAGCAAGGATTATCTTCTCGGTCATACTGACTTTTTCGTCTTTTTCTGTAGTCAGTTGTGGAAGGGCTATGCCAATAATAGTAGTCACCACGGAGTGAGCGAAAACTGCGTCACAATTTTCGTAATTTATGTCGTCTATGGCATGTCGGAAGGGTGTCAACGTTTGATTATGGTATTCAAGCGCCGTGTTTATATAAGTGCTTGCCCCCATAGGATCCATCGATGAAGCCATGTGCAACGAAGCAATCGCCAGGATGCCGTTCATGAGAAAATCATGAGCCAGTGCTTTCCGCGGAACAACCATCTGCCAGATATAGAAGTCCGCCGAGGAGTTGCATAGACTCTGATACGTCTCCGTGGAGAATTTGTGCATTAATTCCAATTTCCGAAGCTCCGCGCTGGATGCACCACCAGATACACTGTTGATATCCTGTGCTTGGCGGTAGGGCTGCGCGATATAATGGGGCGTATGTTGGCCTGGTGCTGGCGTCGAGCTTTCTGAAATATTCGTCGAGTTGTGAGCCGCCGGAGTCTTGGAATAAACGCATTTCAGCTCCCTGTTCGTGCAATTGAGACATGGCGGGCCTTGTTCGTCGCACTACTGGATTGGTTAGAACAGCAACAGTCAAGACCATGAACACGATAAGTCAATGTAGACGGCCATGACTGCCAAACTACTGAAGTAATTCAAAGCGCAAGTTTTCTTTAGGAGATAGAATTGTTCCTTACTTTGACACGTCTTTTCTTGCACTGATCACATCCATATCGCGACTTTGTATGAGACCTCCGAGGCGGCATTTCGAACGAGGTTCGAGCCGTAGAAGGCGCATATCGCAGAATCTCAACAAGTTCCAATCCTAATGACAGCTTTGTGCCCCGGTCAGACGAAAATTGGTGAACAAACTGACATGAATCGTTGAGGTTGAAACTTGAATCTGACATGGAGCAACAAACACGTGGATCCACGTGGTTATCGGCTTATCGGCACGTGACTATGATTTCTGCCAGAATTCAGACGGGCGATGCCGCCCGGCGCCACCCATGGCCCGCTCCAAGTTCCAACGCCCAGCCTCAGGCCCTTAAGCAAGCAGGATTTGGTCCAGTCCATGGTCTCCAAGAGTTGTCCAGATCTTGGTCGAATGATGGCGAGTTTTCTGTTCCCACGAAGACGACATGTGACTATATCTTTCGGAGTACAATACAGACATCGCGCCAAGCAGGGTTGAGCTCCTCGATCGCAACAGAGCTGTTCTTTGATAACTCAATCTGAGATCGGCATTGAAGCAGCCAGCGCGATCTTTGAAATAATGTTGACAGCATCCTAAACCTGTTCCGACATCCGAAGACGCGCCGAACATTCTCACTTTCTATGGAGTAAGCGAGATGAGCGGCTTGCGAATGCAGATTTTTGCCAAGATCCATACTTCCCAACAATAGAGATATCGCGCGAATCATACCCGGACGCGAAGATGACATCGAACCGAATAATCTCCAGGCAAATTCTCCTAAGCGAAGTGCAGTTGAATTGCCTCTCCGTCGTTGGCCGGTTACCAAGTCTTGGACCGAGGATAAGAATCTGATGCTGGGTCAGCGGGGCTTCGCGAGAACGAAAACGATAACGATGGCGAATACGGCCGGACTAGCCAATTACAGACTGTCAGCGGAGAATTTTATACTACTCGCTCAGATCCACCAACGGATACCAGCGCCTCATCTCCAAGAACGGAGGGGAATCCGAGAACCCCATTGCAGGGGTCAAGCCGCGACTCGAGCGGCTTCTGTCTCACACAGAACAACCCGGATCACAATTAGTAATTCGAATGGAGCAATCCTGGACACCCTATATGTCCCTTGAGGGGCGTGTCAACATTCTGGTTTATTTCCTTTTTCTCTCTTTTCCCCCTCTATCAATACTGCTCGGCGCCTTACCGTCCCGCCTACGATCCTTCCCTTCGAGCTCTCGATGGCGAGCTACGAGAACGCTAGTTACGACACCTGTCCCAGAGTCGGCCCAGGGTGTCCGGTTGAGGCAACAACATACGGATATTATCCCAATTTCGCCGGAAATGTGTTCTTCGCGGTTTGCTTCGGCTTGCTTGGTGTGCTACAGCTCGGTGTCGGAGTATACTACCGATCATGGACGATAATGATTGCGCTGGCATCCGGGGCGTTGATGGAATTGGCGGGCTATATAGGTCGCGTATTAATGAACGACAATCCATGGAATGGTGACGCCTTCAAGTTGCAAATCGTCTGTCTCGTTCTTGCCCCGACTTTCATCGCCGCCGGTATTTACCTCACCTTGAAGCACATCATCCTCACTCTCGGCCCCGAACACTCTCGCCTAAAACCCAAGCTCTTCACATGGATCTTCATCAGCTGCGACGTGGGTTCGCTGGTCCTTCAGGCGGCCGGAGGCGGTGTCGCGGCTGCTGCAGGGAATGACTACGACCTTCTGAAGGTTGGTGACGATATCATCATTGCCGGTATCGCATTTCAGGTGGCGACCATGTCCGTCTGCGGACTCCTCGCGGTCGAGTTCTTCTGGCGAGTCAAGAAGAGCGGGCCTGGCACCTTTAGCGAGAAGTCTGTCGGCCGAAGGAGTATACATCTCATCATCTTCGCGGAGGTCTTCGCTTACGTCACCGTTTTGATTCGGTGCATCTACCGGTACGAGCGTCCATGCAGATACATAGGAGGGCGATGCGCATAATGAGCAACATGCTAATTCGATGACCTGATAGTATTCCCGAGATGGCTGGTGGATGGGGTAACCCACTGATGCAGAAGGAGAACGAGTTTCTCGTCCTTGATGGAATGTGAGTCGGATAACCCTCTTGATTTGCTCGGGCATCAATTGTTAACGTGGTAAATCCAGGATGATTGCACTCGGAGTCTTGTCTCTCACCGTTTTCAACCCCAGCTTCTTCCTTCCTTCTCTACGAAAAGGTGTAAAGAGCCAGCCGTAAGACTTTGAGGCATATCTATTTATATATATTCAGATCTCGACGTATCTATAACCAAGCAATAGATACACTCTTGTACATATTTTTAAGATTTCTGTCTGTTATTCTGGAGCATAGTCCAACCATCCATTGGTAGGCGTGGTTTTGGTCCGACAATACTTCTAACTTACTATTTGCGCGTTACCTACATCTGCCAAAAATAGTCAGAGAAAGTCTTGTCCCAAGTTGCTCCAGTTCGTTGAGAAGCAACATTAAAGGCCTTCATTCGTGTAACACGTCTGGCTCCCTGACGTAACGCTGAAAGATATATAAACGTGCTATGTAGGCAACACAGACGAGCAAAGATAGCAGAAGAAGATTCAAACGGATTCAATGTCCCCAATAGACCCCAAGCCAGTAGATCGTAGTGAAACCGAAGAGAAAGAGCCGCCACACCTAAGCAAAGCAAAGCGGGCCGGAGAAGTCTATGTAGCGAGGGCGGGCAAGGGACGGGGGATAATCGGAGAGATGGATGAAAGTCGAATTGTATCCAAGTAACGCCCTAACACCAGTTGCGTTATATGGCCCAGACTATGATTGCAGCGAGATGGGACGAAAGACTGTGGCGTTCGTGTAAAACCAATCTGAGGCCAGACTCATTCCTCCCCAAGACTCTCCCGAACACACTGGCGAACGCGCTTCTTGAATTCCTTGGGGTCCTCCCGCCACAATCGGGCGGCCTCTACGTTCGCGGGACTCTCGTCGTTCGGACTCGACAGCATGGAGATGACAGAAAGGAGGATCGTTTCAGGGGTTTGCACAGGGGACCAGCGCTCTGCGGCGGATTCGTAGCCGTACTTGTCTTCCTCTGGTGGGTGGAGAATCGAAATGCAAACTTCACCGTTCGGGTAGACTGGAAGTGTGTAAGTAATCTGTCGGCAGCTCTGTCTTCTGTAAAGTAGGGTTTCTGCAAGGTTCAGACGAACTGTTTGGGTGGAAAAGTGGTGACTCGAATTTCATCTTTGGGGGCATGTGAGGGTATTCTGAGGGAAAGGAGAGTCGAGCCCGGAAGAAGCCACCTGAAAAAGAAACACTATTAGCAAAGACCTCTTTCAAACAATACAACCTGAGTGTCATCCTGACTTCAACGCCTGAAAAGACCACCTGCGGCTACTCACCACCGTACAACTTGACATCGTCCGAAATCATGAGCATGACCTCCCATTCGAAGACATTATTATCCACTAGGCCACAGCTGATCCCAGGGATATCTTTATCCGACTGCATCTGTTGTAGCTGGCGAGCCAGCATGCGGCCTGCCGCTGTTGTGGCCATGGCGATAAGCGGGGGCGGGGTCCGGTCACCGTGGGCGAACGACGAGGACGAAGGGAGAGCGGATGCGGCACACGAGGTATCGTCCTATCAAGAACAAAGGATACAGATGAGACGAGACCCCTTGAAGGTGGAAGAAATAAAGATAAGAAAGGGTGGATTGCCTGCAGGACAAAAGGACGGTCACGAAGAGTCTGTCAGTTGATCGTGAAATAACCACAGACTCGGGCGGTGTGGCTAGCTGAGACACGCTATTGGTCAAGATTGGGCGGGGTTTTGCAATTTCCCCCTCATCAGCGCTCACTGCCACAGGGGTCCCCGGGGCGAAAATGGAGAATCATGGCGCTTGTCATACGTGTTGTTTATTCCCAGTCATGATGTATTCAACCGTTGCTCAAGTTGAAAGCGAATATAGCTCGGAGAAAATTATCCCGAGTGCTAAACACAGCATGAATAGCACGACGTCAAGAGCTACTTACTACAGTATATATGTCCGCTTCGCCGTGATTAGTATTAGACAACGCAATGCCAGTATCAACATCTTAATGAGAATGAATCAACTATTAGACCAAGAGATATCCCAACGCGTAGATACATTAGGAAGTAGTGCTCCTGAGCGAACCAGAAACCAGTAGCCATGCCCGTAGTGGAGGTGGAGAGATAGTGCACATCAACGGTAGACCAACTTCAGCCCTTAGTTCTTGTCTCCGGTCTTGGGAGCAATCGCGCCACCCATGACCTCAGCGACGATGATGAAAGAGAAGAGAATAGTGACGGCAACCTGAAGAGCCATGGCCTTGCAGATGGCCATAGTGTAGCGCTTAAAGCCATCGCGGTCGAATGTCTTCCAAGCATCCTTGATGGACAGAACACCACCGCCGACAATGTCGGGAAGAAGCTTTCCGCCGAAGCTGCGGTCGAAGGGAACAATGGCCTCATCCTCCTCAGGGAGCATAGACGCAGCGACACGGATGAAAATGACACGAGCTGGGATGGAGGCAAGCCAGCTCACGAAGCCAGCAATAGCAAGAATGTTGGCTGCAGCACGGTAGCCATCGGGAGAGTGCTCCTGTCCGTCGTTGATGAAGTTAATCTCCTTCAAACCGTGAACTTGCTTGATAACGAACAGAGTGGCATAGTATGCGCCATAGGTCAGGAGATGCTCGAAAGCAGCAGCAGGAACAATCTTGCGCATGTTGCGAATGCTGGGAATGCGCTTGTAGAAACGCTTGGGGGAAGGCTCGGAGATGACGATATGCACCCAGGCAACCTGGAGGTTGGCGAGGAGAACTGCGGTAATCATCTTCACGACGAATTTACCCACAACCGACTCAGAGGAGAAAGGGATAAGAGAGGAGAGGACGCTTTCAGCGATGTTGTATGTGATGAACATGCTGAAGCCGCGGAAACGGGACAAACGACCAGCGCGAGCGCGAAGATGGCGGACAGTGGTGCGCAACTTGCTGGTGATGGGCCTGAGAGGAGCGGTCTCAACCTCCATTTCTTGGCCGGCGGGATCACCGGGTTGCTTGTTGGCAGGGTCGGCTTCGACGCGGACATAGAATTCAGGGTTCGAGTCTTCCACGGCAGCGAGGGCGGGAACGAGCAATCCATAGGTGTATTCGATCTGGAACAAATGCAGTCAGCAGGCTGTGGGGATAACTCAGAACAAGCAGAGCTTACAGCGAACAGCGCAAACACAAGCGCAAGGACGGTGATGAACAGTAGCGCAACTAGCCAAGCAGGCCCCATCTCGAGCTCGATCGTGGGCACATCGCCCCCGGCCTCCTTCAGGGTGGAGATGGCCTCTACGCCGCGACGGACAAAATGAGAGACCGCCATGACGAATATATCAGCACGAGATGATGATATTGATATTAGAGTGATGGAATATGATGGAAAACGACCAAGAGAGGGACAGGAGTTGGATGGAAGAGAAGGAAACAAAAGGAGCGACGGGCGGATAAGCGTGGTTCTTGAATCCTGTGGAAGAGCCTGGGGAGAAAGCCAGACTCGACCCAGGCACCAGCGGCGGCGGCTGAGCAGCCTAAGACTCCAGAGGCCAACCAATAGGCTGGGAGCTCGGCCTTAGCGCGTTAAAGAGGCTCAATTATTACCTAGTAATGGTCTTGGGCAATCGACCGTGATTAGGTCATGAATTGGGCGGCAGCAAGGTTAGAAAACATGAAGAAACACGAAATCACGGTCAACTTTCTCCGGGCTCATTCTGATTCTTGTTGCATCTATTTCAACTTCACATCGAGGCCCTGAGGCTCAAATCTTGGTTGCTGAACTGGTGATGTTTGCACTATTTGCACAACTTGTCTCAGCTTGTTACATCATCAGCCAATCACTCTCCACCATGATCGGGCTCCATGTGATGCAATTTCCGTTTCAAGATAAGCGCTGCGACCTTTGTTCTCGCCTCGAATCACAACACCCACCCTCCCCAACAGGATCAGAAACAGGGACCGGATTCCTTCGCTCTGCTGCCTCTCTTTGGACACGAGCCGGATCTCATTTAAAGCGTATAATACCAGTTTTCCATGCCCTCGATGCGGGCTCCCGTCTCTCGCGCCTTCTTGTTCACTTTCCAGAAATAAATGTCCATGATCACGGTCAAGCATATGCTGACCATCGTGATACCAAACGTGACCCAAATGCCAGTAATATAGTACGGACTTTCGCTTGACTTGAACGAGACACTCGCGATGATCCCACCAAGTCCTCCACCGATCAAACAGGTAGCAGATGCAACCCCGCGCTTCGAGTGGGATCTGATGTTGTTGGCTTGATACGCAAGGACACCTGGTATGCAAAATTGCAAGGCTCCCACGCCTATCAATATGGGATAAGTCAGTCGCACGGCACATCTAGTTTGCTGCACCAGACTTACCGAGGAAAACCCCAAAATATCTTGCCCCATTGGCCTTGCCGTACGCCGTGATGATCATCCCAATGGCGGTTAGCAACTGATGCACAGCAATGACGGGCCCTCGGATTTGATATCGATCGGTAAGCCATCCCGACAAATAGGTAAGTGCGGCGGCTAGGATATAAGGCGGCGCGCTGAGCAGTTGGCTCTGGTTTCCTGTAAACCCCATTCCAGTCATGATGATCGTTTTAAAATAGCTAAATGCATAGCCAGGAAGTGTTGACGCCATGAGGTTGAAAGCCCAGAAATACAATTTCCAATCCTTGAGGTGATGCATGATGCGCTTCGCTGTCATTGGGTCTTCCTCGGCGTCTCCACGGTCATGGTTTATGCGGTCAATCACGAATTGCTTCTCCTCAGGCGATAAGAAGCCGTCTGCCTTGGTTGGGAAGTCGATGATGATGAACCACCCAAGCATGCAAACTCCCATTGTTATCGCGCCTTCGATTATAAAGATCCCTAAACACAGGGTTAGCTGAGACTTTTGGGTCTAGCGAGTGTTGCGTACATCTCCACCCGTTTAGACCATGGGTTCCCTTCAAGAGAGTCAAAGCATACGCAAAGATGGCTGCGAATGCATTGAGAACGACCGACATCAGCCAGAAAGCCGCAAGCCTCTTCCCGACTTCAAACCGTTTATACCAACATGTGATCAGATAGGTGCATCCTGGTTCTGTCAGTTTGTCGCATCGCTCAGTGCACTCTGAATGTGGTACCTGGAAGAAAACCGGCTTCCATTATTCCTGTTTATCCAGAGAACTGCATTAGCTTCGCCGCGATTTCAAGGAATACAGCTTCCTTACCTAGAAGCGTCCGACAAACGGCCATTGTTGCCCAGCTATACGTGAAGCCCATACCGATCAAAATAGCACCAAAGCTGATGCCGAGGAATGCAAGCCAGTTTGCAGCACCGGCCTTCGGCAGTATGATGTTCTAAATTTGCTTGATTAGCATGGTCACTTCTGTGAGGGTATGGCGCACAAACACTTGGGATTTCAAAGACACTATTACGGCCAGCCGTCAGATAGTCGTCTACAGATACTCGGGCGGTTGGGGCCTTACATGTATGCCACGAAGAATACCATGACAATGATGGTATACCTCTGGCCGACGTCGAGACCAAGGTCTTCCTCCATTCCCGCCACGAAGGCAAGCCCGAGATTTGTCCGGTCGATCAGGGAGATTGAGTACATGATTCCTAGTATGGGCAGAAGACGAAGGTCAACCCGTCGCCTGGGGCCGAGAAAGGTTGGTCAGTGTGGTTCATAACCCGCGCAGGAGAAGGCGACGCACATTACTTTCTTCTGATGAGCTTCATCGATGCCGAACACAGGAGCCCCGTCATCTCTGCCCTTTTCAAGTTGGACGGACTCCAAATGATCTGCCGCTGAGACCTTTTCTTCTGTGCTGTGTTCGCGTGCCTCTGTCATTGTCATGGGTTGCAGGTCGAAGTGCCAAGAGACAATATCTACGGTTTCAAGGACAAGGAAGCAGTGGAGCTGTACTCCTCGTGTCTTATAATGGCATATACCTCTGGCCGAAGAAGGCTTCTCACTCTATAACCTTAACTGTGGAATTGCTGCGTTTAACCGAGTTTAACCTGGGGACATGGTCTCTTCCACCCTTTCTCTAGCCGGTTGACCGCGGCGAAGAGCTATCAGGCCACACAATCTTGAGATCTGGAGCCGCTACCCCGCATGTTGAGCTCATGCCAAGACGTCTAGAGTTGCGGAAGATGCTTTCTCCAAGGTCTTCAGCCCCCTCCATCCCGGAGCATCTCCGGTTGACAGCTACAGACTCAGGGTTTGTCTCGGGACATTCAGTTCGCACCAAATCCTGCTCTGTTATGCGAAATCTGATATCCATTGATATCCGTGCGTTTTCTGCGCAATTCTGCTTGACCCGCAGACAGAAGCGGAATTCAGACTCTTTCATGCGTGGCGAAAAATTGGATCTGGGGCATGAATCGGCCTTCAGCGCCTTGGCACAGCGCGGGGAGTGTTCTTAGGACTTGGCATCGTGGAATTCCCTCCAGTCAAATCGCATCGAAATGCGAGCCTTCTCCGCGATTGATGCCAGGACATGGAGATTTGCCGAGTCACAGGCCATGTCATGATGGCGTGGACTCACTTGGCACAGCTCCGTTGTCAATCAAGTCACCACATGGCCGAGACAGGGTTATCACGACACTGACGATAACCTTGAACGGAGTAGAGAATGATAGTGAACCCTCGGCGTAAATACCTTGGTGTTCGCAAATGCCAGAAGTGCACGCACTGGGAGCAATCGCAGCGGAGGGATGAACTGGGTGGGTGATCTATGCTCTTAGCCGAACTCGCATTACCCGAACATTGGCCGCGGAGATTCTGACCAGTCTACAAAATTTGGAATGTGGCTTTCGCACTGACACGCACGACGGCCTGTGACTTCTCAGATGGCCTTAGGCCTGCATGATGCTTACGTTCGACGCCACACTTTCTTCCGTCTTTCTCACGAGTTGGAGCCTGACGCCTAGGGTTTACTCCCGAGAAACTCGTAGCCCTTGCTTATTCTGCAGAAGAAAACGTGTAGGAGAACTCCATTTTTGCAGAGAGACGTGACATATAGACGAGGAGTGGTCTTATCCGCAGATATTCGTTTCTATTGAACTATTGCCCTAGTCTATCAATGCTTTCACCAGTTTTTTACTCGTTAGGCCCCTCAGTATACGAGTTGGAATATTCCACACGCTCGTCGTACTCAGTCTCATCCAACCTCCGCAGGAACCCTCCCTCGATCAAGCCAAGAACATTCGTCGGTGCCACGAACTGCGTCCCCATACCTGGCTGCTCGAACCATGGCGCGATCGGACCGAGGCCGACGACAAACTCTTTGATCACTTGGTATACGTGGTAATTGAAAGGATAGTTGCCGTCGTACGTGATCAGGTTACTCGGCGGCAACGAGCGCTCGATGTAAGGAGCACCAAGTGCCGCGAGGAAGGTACCGTATTCGGAGCCGAAGCGATCGAGTTTCTGCCCAACGGGCAAAGTGACATTGCCAATGATTGGGACTTCTTCGTCGTCTACCACGAACCCGTTCTCAGGGGGGTAGATGTATGTTCCCTCCGGCGCAGTACTTGTGGCCCATTTCTCGAGGAATTCGGCGGGGCAGAGGGCGCCGAAGCGGGCATAGGTGCGGAGTCCGTTTCGAAGAGGGAATCTGCGAGGGTATCTCACAGGTCCCAGGCGAGAGTCACCACACACATAGGTGGCGTTGCTGAAGGTGATACCCTCGCAAGGGTTGGGGAGGCATCTGGCTGGGAAGAGGTCCTTCCATAGGACCATGTCAGCCACTCACTCGATGCCATTGGACTGAAAGTTACCTCATGGAAAGCCGGCGCCGGTGCAGCCCAAACCGCTGCAGGCGCTAGGACGTTCAATGCGAGAATGAAACTGTGAAGCCGCATTTTGGGATTAGAGAGGAAGATGCAGTGGCGGCGGAGGATGAGAGCATTGAGGCTTCTTATACCCTGCCCAGCTGCAGGTAATGGGCCGAGTTTGTTCAGAATCAAGCTACTGGGATCTAGCCTTGTCGTGTATGCAGCCTACTCTGGAGGAGGCCCCTGATCGCCTGATGTTTCTTGGCGCATTGATGCAGGTTCTTACGCACCGACGTGGATGTTTCCTCAGTTGGTCGCATGGCTTTCAGCTTGGAGGCTCAGCCCTAGAGCCAACATGCACCTACTAGTAGCACAAGTCCCAGTCAAATTCGACAACTGCCAGAATCTACTTCGGGCACCCGGCGTTGAGGGGAGCCATGGAGTTCGCAGAACCACCACGCAGTGCAACGAACTGAAGTTCATTCCTCAGAAGAGTTGCAACCAGGCTGATCAACAAGCTCAAGATCCAGCCTGCGAGAAGGATCGGACCGATCCAATGATCAACACCAAAATATCACCCAGAACGGCTTAGGCGATTTTACATGGTCTCTGCGTGCAGATCTTGGCGCTCCGCGATTGGATACAGCATCTTCCACAGACACAGCAAACATTTCGCGATCAACCAGCTGAGATGCAGCCACTTTGGGCCCAGGCTGAATAGTGCTTAAATGACCAAGTCTCGAAGAGGCTGATTGGTTTCTTTGCTCAATGCGAGTCTCAACATGGACTTCCATGCAGGAAGGTGGAACATTTTCCGTTTTTGTACAGCTAAAGTCTTGATGGGCAACTTCAGCCGAGCAACTCCGACTCAGCTGGCCCAGCTGAGGCCTGATGTAACCAGGACCAGTGGACCAGAACTAGAATATCTGATTGGGTGAGCATGCATAAATCAAGTCGTTTGTCCTTTGCTCCCTAATCCTGGATGTTGATCAGGCGAGAAGCCAAATACGTTTCGGTCCATTGCGGATTTTCGATAATGGCTCCCCTGGTCGAGTTGGAATACGAACTGGCCCTGCGGCCAGCCCAACACCACCCCACTTAGCCTGACGATTGCGAACCAGAGGCCGAAAATTGCCGGACCTGATTCTGATTCGAGATTTCTCGTGAATGCCGCGAGGTTCAAGCTCAAGAGCACTATGGTTAATCGTTGCTGTCTAGAAAGTGGTATGGGCATAAGATCCTGGATTCCCTACTATCCACACTGCGCTCGGCGATCCGTGAACCGTCATTGAAAGTTGGCATCATTCAATGCCAAAGAGAACCTGGATTATCGGATCATTATTACTCAGCTTACCTCCGGCTGATATTGCGGTCGAGGAGGTTCCTATTGCAGGCAGATACTTAAACTGCTTGCTAAAGACTTATATACCTCTGTGATTCAAGTCATTACTGGATCTTGAATCGATAAAAACCAGCCGCAGGATCTCCACTCAAGGCCGTATCTGCTTCAGGCTTGACAAATACAACCAGCAATTTTTGATCACGTTCGGATCGTATTGTGATTTCAGTCATCTGAGGCTCTTCATCTCCTTGTTCTGCTCGAATGGAACCTCGAGATTCCCCTTCCGAGGCCTTTTTTAAGGAGCTTGAGACTAAGCTTTAGTTAGCTGCCCTACACACACTGTGGGTCAGGGTCGACCAACAGCTGGAGTTATAGATTCGCTCACCCGAGCCTCCAAAGTCAAGTATCTAGGACTGCATCTTGGCTAGTTGGATTGCTGCGACGAAGCAAGTCTCACCTTCTCAAATCCCAAAAGGAAGTTGAATTACTGCATATCCCCCTCATCCTGGCCCCGTCACGGATTGAATGTCAATCATATTTTGGCAATGTGAGCTTGAAACATCGACAGATCGACGGCACCATGTAGAGTCAGGCATCTCATGAAAACCGATATTCTAACTCATGGAGTGGCATCCAACCAGATCGAGCGATCTCCGTACTATCAACTGCTTGAAATATGGCACGACACCAAACTATTCACAACCACAACCCCTCAAGGAAACCGCATAAACACCTTTGGCTCCAAATTCTGGTCAAACCTCTGATGATACTCTGGCGCCTCTTCAATGCCAATCATATTGCCCACGATAAAATCCAAATTCATCCTCCCCAATGTAACAAGCTCCTCCAACCTTGGTATCAACGGGTCCCGCACCCCCGGGTCAACCACTTCTTAGAGAACTCCACAGTGGGAAACTGCACGAGGCCCGACAGGTCTCCTGCGCGCGGTGTGCCTCTCGATTTGCCTGGCGCCGCGACAACTCCTATAGCTCCCTACCTGCCACGCTGCGCAGCGACACGCACCATATCCAATTTGATCGCATTCTCCAGGCGGTCTAACGTCAGGTTGACGGCCCCATACCCCCCCACACAAGCCACAGCACGGGCTACGTCACCCAGTTCAAGGCGCAGAATCTCGGCTGCAGGGTCGCCGCCCGTGCTGTTTGTTGACAGAGAGAGGAATCGCGCCGATAGACCCCGCAGGCTCCAGACGAGTGGGATGCACCGCGTCGCAGGGCAAAGAAGGTCGAAAGCAGGCCGACAGGACAGCACCAAAGATAGCACCAAAGATAGCGACAGTGTCACCTACTTCAAATCCCTATTACGTGAGTGCCGTCCAGCCCGTGGCGAAGAAGTCCGAAAGGAAGAGGTAGGTGATTTATTGGGTAGCGTTCGCGTGAGTTCTCCACGTGTGGGACGACGAGGTATTCAGCTGGAAAACAATCAAGTTAGGCAAGTGCGTTCCAAGTCAAACGGTTACGGGGGAAGGTGCGTGCATACCTTAGGCGCCATAGACACTCCCTATATCTCCCCAAGGCCAATCGAGCCTCCAAAATTCGCCTCTGACTCCGGCGCGGGCCATATTCCAAGGTCCTGAATCCAGAGTATCAGGGATAGCGATGTGGTCGCCGACCTGCAGGGACTCGGCGCCTGATCCGACGGACTCGATAACTCTGAGAGCTCCATGGCCCATGATCCAAGGCGGACTTGAGCTGCCATAGATGCCGTGGTATGTGCGCAGGTCTGTACCGCAGATAGCGGCTGCGGTAACGCGGACACGAACATCTGTTGGGTTCGAGATGGATGGGACGGGCACGTCCGGGACGGTGACCGTCAATGGGATTCCAGTCCAGAGAACGCGCGCATCGTGCTGTTGAGATTTTCCCCCCTGCAGAGCGACGAGTAATAATCTGGTAAGTTGTACTGTTCCCTGATGTTCATTCTACCCGGCCTTATAAATGCGTGGTTCAGGCAGCATGGTAAATGTGCACCTGCATTAGGTTTTTCGCCGTGCGAGGAGGTCGTCTGCGTTAATCAGGCCTTCTTCCTTCCTTGCTGTGGCTAGAGCAATCGAAGAACATTTTCTGTCCGCATAGCTTGAATCGTGGTGATAGTGGTGTCTGCACTGGGGATCCACACGAGCAACATCATACGAGACAATTGAGCCGTGACGGCCCAAAGAGAGAAGCCGTCTGATTCTGGATGAACCGGCAATATGCTGGACTTAACGGGGTAATCCAGACCGAAGCCGGCGGCTTATCTCCCCGTAAGTCGCTTACATCGTATGCATCCACAGTGAGGATTGAAGATGATAGGCAGAGCGAGGAGTGGGCTGAATGCTTATTTCCTAGCGTTGATACGGTACCGCTGCAGTTTGCATGGAATCAGCCCATTTGCTTCGAGGATACTCGTTGCATACGCCGTGGAATGATGCGATGCAGGGGTGAGTCTGAGCAAGCACTATACTGTACACGTTGTGCATTGTGCATCTTCATCCCTATCAGACTGGCCACAAAGAGGCACCGGATACCCAGGGACAGCTGCAGTACCGCCAGTATAGACACTGAACCGGAGTACTCCGGTAAGGAAGTCCTCGGTGCCGACACATACGGAGAGGCTGACGGAGACTATTGCCACGGGCGTTATGAACCATGGAAACGGGATAAGCCTCGTGCATTAGCGCACGGGCCCACCATAAGCAGTTTAACCCAGAATTGGCCAATGGAGCCGGCTCTCGGCATCTTTAATTCCACGCAGAGTTCTGATGCCGATCTCTTCCCAGCGCCCCCGGCCCACTTTTTCGAGATCTTTGACGGTGGTGACGACACTGTCGACCATGTCGATTTGTAAGCTCCCAGCTTTGCCTCGGGAGGGCGCGGCTACCGTTGGAACCCCCTCATCCAGCTTATACAGTGTACCGCGAAACTTGGCGAACCAAACCAGCCACAACAATGCCCAACATGAAGGAAGCGATTGTGCACAAGGGAGCCACTGTCGAGATTGTCAATAGCCCCGTCCCAACTCCCAATGCGGACCAGGTCCTGATCAAGGTCGTTGTGAGCGGGACAAACCCAAAGGATTGGTATGTCAGCACTTAGCTGTATTCGGGTCGAAAGTAAGCAAGCTAACGCTGAACACTGCAGGAAGCTCCCAGAGTGGCTTGACAAACCTGGCAATCAAGGCGACGACATTGCAGGGGTCGTCGAAGCCGTTGGTGAGAATGTGACCGAGTTTAAGCCTGGAGACCGCGTCGCGGCTTTCCACGAGATGACCACGTCCGGTGGCAGCTATGCCGAGTATGCTATTGCCTGGCAGCATACTACCTTTCATCTGCCAAAGAACACCTCGTTCGAGGGTGAGTTTCTTGGCCCCAGTTGAAGACATGTGCTAACACCAACTAGAGGCGGCGACGCTGCCCCTGGCTGCCTTGACTTCCGTGGCTGTCCTCTACCACCACCTGGCTCTTCCTGAGCCATGGCGTCCCGCTACATCCAAGATTCCTCTCGTCATCTATGGTGGCGCATCAGCCATTGGAGCGTATGCCATTCAGCTCGCTCAGAAGAGTAACATCCACCCTGTTATTGCCATTGCCGGCCGAGGCGCTCCCTTTGTCGAAAAACTCATCGACCGATCCAAAGGCGACACCATCATCGACTACCGAAAGGGCGACGAGGCGGTGATTTCCGGAATCAAGGAAGCCGTGGAAGCATCCGGCGCAGACGCCAAGCTGCTACACACATACGACTGTGTCAGCGAGGGCTCCAGTTATGTCAACCTAGGCAAGGTCGTCGCACCCGGAGGCAAGATCGTCGTTGTCCTTCCTGGAAAGGACTATCCCGGCATTCCGGATCATGTTCAGCTGGTGAAGAATACTGTAGGCTGCGTTCATGCCGATCAGAAGGATCTGGGATACGTTTACTCTAGATACCTGGCCAAGGGTCTACTTGATGGGTGGTTCAAGCCGCATCCGCACGAGGTTATCCCTGGTGGACTAAAGGGAGTGGAACAAGCTCTGAAGAACCTGAAGAACGGAAAGGCCAGCGCGGTCAAGTACGTTGTACGGGTTGCCGAGACTCCTGGTCTCAACTCCTGATCTCAGTTGCAATAGCTGGTCACAAATCATCGCATTCATCAACTCGTCATCAAACTGGCACTCAAGCGCACCCACTCACTGTGAACATCACCGTACATCGTAGTCTCATCACTCATGACTGACCTCCTACTCTCTCTTTCTATACTCCTCCTCAGTAACAGCCTCATGCCAAACCGTCTTCCCGATCCCCACAACAAAATGCGTCATGACACTCCCCTCATCCGCCCCATGCCAATGCGTTGTGCCTGGCGGCGCCCAAACTGCATCCCCGGTCTTCAACTTTCTCGGTACACCCCCCTTATCGCAGATCCAGCCGGAGCCCGCAATGACGCGAATGACTTGGCCTCCCTCGTGCGTGTGCCAGTGTGTACGGGCACACGGGGTGAATGTCACATTTGCGATTGCGGCCTCGGGGTTTATCGAGATGGGGTCGAGGTAGACGTCGCCGGTGAAGGTGGCGGTGACTTTGGTGGTTGAGGTTGTGGCTGTGGAGCCCGGGTAGATGATGCTTTCAGGCATTGTGAGGAATATCTTGCACCTAGTCAACAGTTAGTATCGCAAAAGTGTAGCCATGTAGGTAGGGGTTTGCTCTGTGTTGCCCAACACTGCGTACCTGGGGCAAGGTATGTCAATCAAGGTTCGTCAATTCAAAGCTATCTCTCCTTGCTGATAAAGCATTCGGCGACTTTCCTAGAAACTGAGAGCGGGAAGTATATATAGGATTATGGATCAAACCTGAAAGTGGGAACAGATCTACTCCGTACGTCCCAAAGCCGCGCCTTCCCAGCATTAAATGTAGATATATGCCTCATCGATACTACTCCGTACCACTCAATAGGCAACCTTGCCGCGTGGAACGTCCAGACGGAGCCCCAAGCCGTGCTGACCCGCATAATCACGCCTGTTTGACCACAATAAGTCGATTACCCTGTGGAGTTGAGCGGGTGGCAGGGGGAGTGTCAGCTTCTCCCACTCGGCCGGCGGGATGAACGGACTTGGTTTTGGTCCGTGGTGTACAACTGCCAACCATAGTTTTGTTGATATTGCTTTCTCATCATGCCATGGGATGCCTGATAGGCCAGTCTGACTGTATACGGCTGGAGGTGGATCGCGAGCAGATGGGCACATGCGCTAGCATCATCGCAGAAGCTTATTTACGGACTTGACTAGGAGGATAAGCATGCCGCAGAAGCGCTTATATCCGACCCGGACTTCATCATCTGCTTGCAATTATGTAGTTGCTTTGCTTCACTATTACTGCCACTCACCAGTAGTACGTACGTACCAGGAAGTGGGCCCCGGAAAGAATTTCATCGAAACGCCACGGGCAGCAGCAACATTCTGGCTCAGCCAATGATTCTCCAAGATTTGGCAGCTGCACCCCAGAATTAAGTCCGTGGTGGACTCAGGGACCCAGGTGTAAGCCGGACCCAAACCTATTTTTTTCTGCAGCCCGTCCCAAGTTTCGGCACGCCTTGCCTGCCACGAGATCCTGCCGCAGAGCTACGCAGTTACGTATTTACGGTGTGGCCACTACTGCTACGTAGCTCTGAGCCTGGAAACTGGATCGATGGCGATCGGGGCAGGACCGTTGACGGGGAGCCTGTGGTAAACCCGGTGCGTGGCGATAGGCCTGCCACTGCCACGAGGTATAAAGTCTGAGGGAGAGCGCCTCCCTGATCTGCTATTCCTTTCTATCTTCGTTATCCACTACTTCTCTTTATCCTGATACCCCTCCTCTACTTCTTCTTCAATCAAAATGAACACCGACTACAAGTTCGAGGGCTGGGTTGGCCTTGATGCCAGCGCCGCCGAGGGCAAGATGCAGTGGCAGGAGTTCGAGCCCAAACCGTGGGAGGAAACAGACGTCGACATCAAAATCACACACTGCGGAATCTGCGGATCGGATTTGCATACCCTGCGAAGCGGATGGGTACGTCTTTCATCTCTTTCGTTGTCATTTCCCAACTTTCCCCCTTCTCCAACGCATGAATTTCCCCATCTATATCTTGGCTTGCGACTTGGCAGCTAACCAGCAGAATCACAGGGCCCCACCGACTACCCCTGCTGTGTGGGCCACGAGATTGTCGGCACAGCCGTCCGCGTCGGCTCCCAAGTCAAGCACATCAAGGTCGGCGACCGCGTCGGCGTCGGCGCTCAGGGCGAGTCATGTCTCTCGCGCAAGGGCGATTGCGAGGACTGCGCCTCTGGTAACGAGCAGTATTGCACCAAGCACTTCTCTGGAACATACAACGGCCAGTTCATGAACGGCGGAAAGTCCTACGGCGGATACGCGCGGTATAACCGCTCACCTGCACACTTCACCTTCAAGATCCCCGATGGTCTCGACTCTGCCGCTGCGGCCCCAATGATGTGCGGTGGTGTCACCGTCTACAACCCGCTCCGCCACTACGGCTGTGGTCCAGGCAAGACGGTGGGTATCATTGGAGTGGGAGGCCTCGGCCACTTTGGTGTGCTCTTCGCCAAGGCCCTGGGCGCCGACAAGGTCATCGCCATCTCGCGCCGGTCCGACAAGCGCGAGGACGCCCTCAAGATGGGCGCGGACAAGTACATTGCCACCGCCGAGGACGCCAACTGGGCCGCGGAGAACAAGCGCACCCTCGACCTGATCGTGTGCACCGTCTCCTCGTCCAAGATGCCCATTTCCGACTACGTCTCGCTGCTCAAGAGGGACGGCACGTTCGTGCAGGTCGGTGCCCCTGAGGACGGGGCGCTGACTATCCCGGCCCATGTCTTGGTTATGAACGGTGTCAAGCTTGCTGGGTCGTTGATTGGGTCGCCCGAGGTTATTCGCGAGATGCTGCAGTTGGCTGCGGAGAAGAAGATTCAGCCGTGGGTTGAGCAGAGGCCAATGAAGGAGGCGAACAAGGCCATTGTCGACATGGAGGAGGGCGTTGCCCGGTATCGCTATGTGCTGGTGAATGAGAACTAGATCTTGTGGGATGAGATGAGCGATGTGTGACGAGAGACGAACGATGTATATTATAGACTAGACCTCAATAGCCCTGTAAAATGTTACTTTTGACTATTCAGACCATGCTTTGATGCGCTTGTAGTCTGTATCGCCAATTAGCTTTCTCCTTTGGTACAGTTCCGGTTTCCTAGTACATACCTATAGGAGCAGCCCACCTAGTCACCGAGCTCCTTTGGTGATTAGAGCAGGATATCCCGATAGACTGTACAATTTTAGGCTCGATTGCCGCATCAGGTAAAACGAATAGAGTTGGCGCGGTGTGTTGTAGTCTGGGGATCCGGCAGAGATAACGTAGATGCGGAGACGATAACAGCGGGTTCCTGAGTGGGCATGCAGAATTGGACTAGGGCTCGAAGAAAGCCATTGCGATATCCCTGTGGTGTGGAACCAGGAAAGCTGTTGGGATAGGGGGAGGGGGTGGATCCGGACTCAAGGATCCCCCTGTGGGAATCTGCGCCTCCGCATCTCGAATTATGGAGAATAACCGGGAGACTCCCCCCATGCGTATCCTCTGCAGGACACGAGACAGCAGACGAGAGACAACATGCTGTGTCTTATGGACCTGAATCATACCGAGTCGTTCATTTACCCGCCACTCCCCCGTGCTCAGCAATAGCCACCGATATGGATCTCAGTCGTCTCTGCAGGCCTGAGGAGTTTGGCAGGGGTTGAACCCGCGGACGCAGCTGAGCTGTGAGACGGGTCTAGAGGAGGAAACTTGGCTGGAATGCGCAAGGTTGGAACATCGAAGTCTCCCATGTCTCCTTCTAGCAATTAGAGCAAAGTGAGGAGTGAGGATGCTCGTCTCTGGATGACTTCGGAAGGAGCAGTCTGGATTCGCCTGACAAGGCAACGATCGTAGAGAATCCAAGCGGAAGCAGCAGCAGCTTTGACAGTTTGTGAAGATCCTTGGGCGCGACACTCGACGAGTTGGATGGAAGACATGCCCGGGGATTTACTTTCACGCACCCGTCGACTGGAGAGGCTGCTGAGAAAGAATGAGTTGGAGCTGATATACCTACCCATGGGAGCAAGCAGCCCGTCTGTAAGGCACACACGATTTATCTCACAATCCAGTCCCTGGTCTAATGATGCTGACGACAGCACGCAGGCCTTGCTCAGCCCTGCCGACGTTCACATGTAGCCCATAGGTTGCTGGCATGGTACTGAAGGCCTCGCTGATTTTGCACGACTTTGTCAAACCCTAACTCATTTAGCGAGGGAGCAAATTGCAAGATTTATGGATGCAACGATACCTAAGAACGATATGTTGGTATATAGTGGTGGGACTGGGTCCGGAATTTAGTACGGCTGGCGATGGGCTGCAGCTTTCCCCAGCTGCATATCCACCAACCTTCAGTCTATCATCCCTCAACCTGCCTGGCCCTTCAATTCTCATCAATTCTTTTGGGTTGTCTTTGTTGAGTTCCCGCCTTCACCAAAGTTATCGCCCAGCAATGCAGTATTTCAAGATTGGACCCTCGCGCTGTATAGACGAGCCCCGCGCTGCTGCCCCTCCCACCCCCGCTCAGGCACAATCCCAAATCGACGAATGGCTCCACATGGGCAAGCCCCTCTTCCCAAGAGATGCCATCCAAGCCATCCATGACCAACTTCGTGACCCTATAGCCAGAGGGGACGAGATCCTCGTGAAAGCGCTCGACGGCGCTACGATGGCGTTCGAGGTTCGAACCGGCGACATCAAGGAGAGTGAGCAGCAGCGGGAGACCATGTAGGAGCTCTTCTTTTTCTCCTTCAGGCTTTGGCTAAAGATTCTGAGCAAGAGGGAAGCCGTCTATCAGGTACATCTGCTACGAATCCTTGCGATCCGGACAAGAGCTCAGCAGCCGTCGTCCGCATCTGGTCTACTGCCCGATGATAATCCGACATGAAGCAACGACATCCAACCTAATGACTGGCGGTGCTCTGCAAACCATCCCACGCAGATCCATAGACGACATATATTACGTCTTCAACACCGCTCTCCACCTCTGGGAAGAAAGCGACACCTGGATCCAGATCAAAGCAACACTCCTCTCCACACAGGCCACAACTATTGTCAAGAAGATCATTGCATTCGCATGCGGAACAATGTCCCACCCCGACGACATCCCAGGCGCTTCTTACAACTCCATATTCCAGCATGCATTCCTCGTGACACTGCAGCGTCTCCTACAGCAAGAGGCCAACGGACAAATTGCCTGCGCGGTGCAAGACCCCGCATACACAGATGCCGACCGAGCTGTCTTGGAGACGTACGGCATCCGCGTCCTCGATGATCCAGAGGGATTTCTTGAGGTCGATGACAGGTCGTTGGTACTTTCCTGCTCACCAAATGTTCCGGTGAAGCAAATTGTGGTTGATGTCGCCAAGCCCGCGGTTGTTATTTGGGAGAGGGTTGAAAATGGCAACTGTCGTGGGTATGTATGAAATCTCGGCGAGTCCGAGTCTTGATCTGAAGACGCGAATGCTAATATACATGTTGCACAGAACTGACCCGGATTCACCGAGGGTGAGGCAGGTAATGACCCAGTTATATGATGCGCTGGAGTTTCCGTACGAGGAGCATTTTGGGGACATGGTCATCTATGTCCGACGCGGGTTGGAGGATGCGAGGGGTATGGGTGCATCGACTGAGGCTATCAACGAGCCCCATGTACCAAATGCTTAGCTATTTCAAGCTCTGGAAGCGAGCTCCTTTGAAGCTGATCTAGCTCTTTGTGGTTGTCGTGAGGCCTGAGGCCTGAGGCCACTTGAAGGATCGCCGGGGTCCCGAAACGGGGACTGCCATCAGTTGGGTACCCTCCTAGTAATGATCAAACCGTCATGGTCAAGTGACTAAGGTACTGTGGATACAAAGCCAAGGGTGACTCGATCCTGACTATCGTCACAAGCATTCTTTGCCGCCATAATCCTGTTGCACCGTGGCTCCTCCCTAGTAGGTAGCCCCAAACGCGACTAGTCTAATGACTCAAGTTGGGCTCGCCTACCCTCTAGCTCAGCCCCCTCGTATCGAGCGTCGAATTATCGTGAGTCAACTTCGGAGCACTGCGCCACAGTTACCTATGATCAGGACTTCAATTCTACAAGAGACGCAGCGAGCTGCACAAGCGACAACGAGTACATAAACCCATCCGCCATCACTCGACGGACCACCCAACAAAATTCAACCCCAATGACCCTCTACAAAGCCTCCTAACTCAAATCCACCCTTATAAATCTATTGAAATCAACCCAATGAAGCACCTCGCCGCCTACCTCCTCCTCACCCTTGCCGGCAACACCGCGCCTACCGCGACAGACATCAAGGAAGTCCTCGACTCAGTCGGCATCGACGCGGACGAAGAGCGTCTCGCGCAGCTCCTAAGTGAGTTGCAGGGGAAGGAAATTGACGAGGTTCGTTACATAGCTATCCCTTTTGTGCTCGCTGTTATGCATGCCGGGTTGGGTCGAGTGTGGTTTTGGGTGCTAACGCTGCGCAGCTCATTGCCGAGGGCTCCAAGAAGCTCGCAACGGGAATTGGATCCGCACCTGCACCTGGCTCCGGGGCTGCGGGTGCAGAGAACGCTGCGGACGCAGAGGTTCGAGATGAGTTGGAGATCGAGGGTGGACATGGAGATGATTGCGGGTGTGACGATGAGGACTTTGGATTGGGCCTGTTTGAGTAAAACGACCGTCGATAAGAGTGTGGTGTATACCTCAGGAAGTGAGAATATTATCAGCAACCGTGCGGGTTTCTGCGCGAAAACTTGTCCCTCAAGTCGTAGTTTCCGATGTGTAGTGTCTCCAATATATTGCGAGGTACTCGCCAGTTCCAGGGTCGGCGGCCTGCGGAGTCTTTGTGCGTATCGCTGGATGAGAGAGCAAGGCCATGCATGGGGCGCCTTAAACGAGCGAGAATAATGGCTGCTTCAAGTAGGACATATTGGCCGCGGGGATATATTATCAAGTCGCCGTATAGATTGATTTCACTTATTTCTCACAGACTATGTTCCTGCCATCTGCTACCAAATCCCATGTGTATACGCAAATGAACGATGCGGGCTGTCCAGACCGTATTATTCATCTCACTGGACGAGCAAGGGTGCCGTCCAACATATCAAGGTTTAGCCTATCGCTTGTTTCCAGGTCAAGCCCCAGCATTCTTGACCGCACAATTTTGTGCTAACGGTATCGGTATTGCGTCATCCGCGATCTGCTTGCTGAGGTCCAGATCAGAATCGAGAATCAACTGAATCAACCTGTTCGTGCTCGCCTCGTTCCGCGTGATCGCCGCCGCGAGACCCTCTGATTTTGACTCATGATTCAAGTGTCCGTGAGCAAGGAGAGCTTCTGCGACAATGACATGACCGCGTTCAATGGCGCGGCGAAAGAAATGCTCACTACTTGCATCAACCTTTTCCCTGTCCAATAGGAGTAGCGTGATATCCAGGTTATTTGTCTCAACGGCTGCCGCAAAACCTTCGGCTATAGACAAGTCGTTTAACCGGCCAGTGCCAAGGAGATTCCGTGCCAGATCTGTATACCCCTTCCGTATTGCGCGAGGAAAGGGAAGTGCCAGATTGACATTTAGGTCTTTCCGGCGTAGTAGGAGCTGCGCAAGACAAGGTTGGCGCCAGTCAATGGCGTATGTTAGTGGCGTGTCAGTATCGGCGTTCAAACCGTTGACATTTACTCTCTCGCAATCAATGAAGACCTCCAATGTCTCCAGAGCCGCGCTGAATATCGCGCAAAAGATTGGCGTCCGCCGGTCATGCACGGAATAGCACTCATTCGGCTCAACTCCGTAGTTGAGAAGAAGGTGCGCAGCGAATGGATTGTTACATGTAGCTGCATGGACCAATGCCGGCTGATCCAGGGTTGGATCTGCTCCGGCGATGAGGAGGTCCTCGATGATTTCATCTTGACGGCTCGAGATCGCCAGGGTGAGAACGTACTGGTACCAGCCATGAGGCCCTTCATTGACATCGAACTGACCGGATTGGATCAGGTGTCGCGCGGCATCTTGGTGCCTATATCTAACTGCTTGCCACAGAAGCGATTCACAGACCAAGTAATGTAGTCTCCTTGTTGTTCTCCTCGACTGTACTCTTGCTCCCGCATCCAGGAGCTGCTTCACAATCGACGCGTAGCCCTTTTGCACGGCGATCTCCAGCGGCGTATCCCCGTGTTTATTCGTAGCCTCAATATCGACCCCCTCCTTCTGTAGAAGTATTTTCACAATCCGGTCTTGGTTATTCTCAACAGCGACAATCAGTGGTGCCGTTTTCTTCAGCGGATTGTGATACTTCAGCGCCACGCGCATTGTTTCCTCCCGGCCCCTTTCTGCAGCCCAGACAATCGCAGGTCGTCGCTTTTTGCGTTTTATATCGCGCACATACAAATGTGAGTTGAAAATCTCGTAATAATAGCGGTTCGTTCGAGCGAAAGCGTTCAAGTCTCGAGCGGAGATGATTTGTTGAGCGATTAGGTGCAATATCTCGGGCGGGAGGTCGCCCAAAAGGTCAACCGGCTCGTGTCTGGACATCTTGGTGGCTTTGAGGAATTTTTCCGAGTAAATGACACGGTTCCAAGTTCTTTGCGCATCGTTTGTGTTTTGGCTGGAGCTGGAGTGGTGTAGCAGACACCTTCCAAGGGTGCGAGTTGGTTTTCCAGGGGAAAGAATTGGAGTGAGTCAAAAGGTCGTGCTAGAGCAGTGAGTCAGTCGGCATGGGCCTTTAGCTCGTCTGAACTGGCGACTGACATTGAACAAGGCATAGGCAGAAACGGGCTCTCGTTCTGGGACAGCCGCTGATCGACGCCGTTCCCCACTGAGACTGAGAACCTTCAAGTTTGAACCTTGATTTCCCAGCCGCGGAAGACTGGCCTAGATTAGGCAACTTCAAAAAGAAAGTAGTCGAGCCAATTCAAAAGGGAAAGAAAGACAATACGAATCTTAGCCATGGGTATTCTAGCTAGAAAAGAACCAAGTCTAAGCAACAGGCTATTCAATGCCAAAGACACTCTAAACGCAAACCAAGATGTCGAAACAAGCAACGCCGTAGCAACCAGAGTAATCGTGACAAGCCTCCAACTGTGTAGATCTTCTTCTATATACAGACCGACATAACCACCTTTTAGTCGAAGAACTTCTTCATGAACGTATGGGCCAGTTCGACACCAGCGCTGCAGAGAAGTTAGTGCAATCATTCTGGCGGAAAACAGGAAGACGTACAATGTAGCAGCGTTCGCAGGAACAGCACGGGCCAAAGCGGGCCCAAATCCAGGGAAGAACGCCTTGAACCCTCCGTTCGCGTAAACCGCGCGAATGGTACCGCCGATCGTGGGTTTACCGGGCGCACTCTGCAGCCGGGACTTGATCGTGTCGACAGGGAAGACTGGAATCCACATCGCAATACCAGCAGCACCACCGGCAGCCAGAACAGCAGGCAAGGACAGGTCACCGGTGACGTTGCCTTCCGCATCCTTGGGAGTCAGCGAGCGCTTGATGTACTCGTATGCGGCGAAATAGGCAGCGGAACCGGGTCCGTCACGGGCCAGCGTCATTGCACTTCCGCGGAAGACGCTTCGGATTCCACCCTCCTTGTACAGCTGTCGGACAACGTCGACACCGCCGGAGTACTTGGGCTTCTGGCCGGGGGGTGGTGGGTTCTGGCCTTGAATCTGGAGGAGCACTTTTACGCGCTCAAAGGGGGCTGTGATGAGGGTCATGGGAATCGCAGAGAAGAAACCGGCGGCAGAGATCTGGCCAATTGTGTATTGAGGGGTGTTGTTTTGCACTTTGACTTCGGAGACACTGCTGACGAGGGTTTTGCCAAGGTCGTAGCCCTGTCATGTGTTAGTTGGTGTGTGTACCGAATACACCGGATACGTACCCAGAAGCTAACGGCGACTATCGCAATGTCAGTAAAGTGAACTCAATGGCTTGAAAGAGGGCAAACCCACACATAGGCGTCACGCCAACCAGAGGAGCCGAAACACCGGCATAGAGACCCTACGTCCGTCAATTGCTTGCCACAGTAAACTCTAGTATCGCAAACGTGTCGCAAACATACTCGCATCAAGCCCTCACGGGCTATTGTCCTCTTGACCACATCGATTGCACCAGAGTAGACACCCTTCTCAGCCGTCTGCAGTCGGACCTTAACCAGATCGAAGGGATGGCCGACAACAACCGCGCAAACACCACCGACACCGCCAGCGGCGAAGGAGCGAAGCTGAGCAGCGGTCTGGTTGACAGCCTTGGTCTCGGCGGCCTTGAGCGACTCCTGGACGGTGTCAGAGGTGGGGGATTCGGCGGAGGACATTATGGCGGGGAGATGCGGAGAGCGGGTGGGAGCGCGGGATGAAGGTTGCAGCGAGCGAGAAGTGGTTGGAAGGGGAGGAAAGGGGGGTGGGAGAGGTTTTTTCTTTTGACGGCAAAAAGTGCTGGCTCAGGAGTTATTCAAGACAGAAGACACGCAGGATCAGGAAGAGGAGAGGAGAGAAATTTAGCGCTGTGCCGGTGACGCTGTGTTGCTCTGCCCCGGAAGCCGAACGAGGGAACAGCGCAGGGACCGAGAGAATGTGCCTCGGCTCGGCTCGTATCAAAGTTTTCCCGTGGCCGTCGTCCAGAAATATCCGCGACCGGCGGAACAACTGTGGGGATCACCACCGCCAGCGGCCAGGCGAATGTCTCCGGCGCAGAGATACAGTCGTGTGCTCGTCCGATTCAGTTGAGCTTTTTGATCTTTCCTTTTCATTCTATCTTCTCTCGACGCTGCTAGCTATTGACCCTGACAGCATAAGCCATCCACCTAAAAGACAACAGCATCGGATGAACGGAGCTCGACCTCATTCCTCCCCCTCGAGCGTGCCTTTGCTCCGTGACCGCTGACCAGGACCCAGAGGCTCAATTCACCGGACGACGGGAATCTAATCCACCCAAGCTTCTCCGCCAACGGCACAATTCCACTCCACGCCGTCAACGACCGCTTCGCCCACGCGTCATCGCAAATAATGCCAAGGAAATCACATGAAGAGAAAATCACAAGACAAGTTTTGAATCGAATAAAATTATTGGCAAGAATCGAACCAATGGCTTGACTACGCGATTATATACACAGAACTCCCAAAGCAATTGTCCAATACTCCAACCTCGACAGCTTATCGTCTCGTCTCCGATAATATACAAAGCGCCCACTCAATCAAATCACGAGTTGTTTATTTGCACTTGCCCTGGCTGGCGTGCACGTCTTGCTATAAGGGGGTCAGTCAGTACTTCGGGGACGTATCGGTAGGTGAAGCAACATACGATGCAGATGTTGGACTGGCAGATACCCATCTTTCCGTCCTTTGTGCAAGGTGCGCCGGAAGGAAGCTGAGCAAACAACTTGTTAGCATTACAGATATCATGCAACGTGAGAAGGTTGGACGTACCTTGGCCTCTTGCTTCGCAGGCATGGCCATGGCAGCACCGAAGAGGGTAAGAGTGGCAATCCAGGAGAACTTCATTGTGGCGATGCGAAGGTGGAAGGTTAGGTATGTTCGGTTTCGGTTCGATGAAGACTCAAGGTAGGAGGAAGGATGCCAGAGGGTGATTGTTGTCTTACTCGAGAATGTCTGCCCGCGACGTCCGCATCTTTATACTATTCAGTGTCATTGACAGTAGATCCCCCTTTTAACCCACGGTTCATTCCCCCGTGGAAGTTTTACGGAAAGCCCCAATAACACTCCCAACCCGGCGATGATTTTCACCTCGATGACCGGTTCAAAGACACCAGGCGGACCTTGTGCCAACTATCGATGTCTCCTGATTGACAGTAACTGTCTATCACAGTATAAGTGTTCAGGTACCCTTCCAATGACGTTGAAGGACAGGTCGAAGTGGACATCAACCACCTCCACCAAAATCCAGAGTGGAGGTCAAAACGGCTACTTCGTACTCATCTCCTGCACCCCAATGCTACTATCGAAATGATACTGCAGCTCATTGGGCTCAATGGACCGGAGAACAAAGAAATCCCCGTGTATGCAGCAGAGCCGCTCGGACTCTCGACAAGGCGCACCTCCCCGTATACCTCGTTCCCGCAATGATCATCCTTGGCATCTAAACTATTCTGCAACCCCTGAACGTCAGGTTTGCTCTGCCAACCTATCAAAATATGAGTCAAGACGATGCACTTTGGAGTGGGTCAATAGGACGCTCCCTAAGATCCAAAAACTGAGAATGAACCATAGTAGTCCCCTTTTTCACCTCATCAGTCGCTTTGAGGCCGTCAAGAAAGAGTTTCTCGGCCGGTAGATCCTCTCCCTCAAGATGATCAGCTCGAGCGCTCAAAATATATATTCGAACACCGTCCCTCGATGATCTGTTGGTAAGATCATCGGGATCATGAGTAGAAGATGACTTTTGTTGCGATGACCTCAGGCTAGGAACACTAAACTTGTCTCTGACACAAGTGACAACGGCCCTGAGATTTGGCATTTGGACTGGTCAATAACCTCGATATTAGGCTTTACCATAAAGCTGCAGTGCAGGATAGCTCGAGCAGATAATAACGGAGTTTACGCCAGTTGATACCAATCTAGAAGACTTTGTTCTGAGGCGGGTATCGTCACGATGCCTTGCTTACCTGCACCCGAGAGAAGAGTGTGCGTAATAGTAATCCGACTAAAATATTTATTCAAGTTGCGTAAAGCAGTCATGGTATTAATTATTGACCTGGACTAGTATGTATCGATGGTCATCTCCACATCACCCTTAATAACATATACATTAGGGCCCAATAGTAGTAGCATCATTGGCCATGCGTCATTAGCGTAATCATCATAGGCAGCCCCAATGGAGTCCCGCCGTAAAGTCATAATATAAGTTACCATTTAGAGAACGAGAAGGGCGGCAAGACCAAGGGCACCCGCAGCACCGGTAGCGATAGCCATGCGAGGAGCGGCGCCGGTGGGAGCATCGGTAGACTCACCACTGCCGGGGCTCGTCGAGGATCCATTCTCGGAGTCGTTGCCAGATGAGGTGGAACTCGAGTCAGTCGATGTCGATGTTGAAGTCGCGAGAGTAGTGGTGTTGGGAGTATGCGAACCGGTGCTGGTAGACTGCACGGAATTAGTGTATTATTCCACGTCATAATGAGCAATAGTGACTTTACCTGTCCAGGAGTCGAGGTTGCGGTGGCAGAAACACCAGGAGTGCTCGACCCGAGAGGTCCGCCCGGAGTAGTGGTCTCGCCAGAGCCAGAAGTCGTAGTCTCCCCGTCGGTGCCAGTGGTACCAGTGGTGCCAGTGGTGGTGGTGCCAGTGGAGGTGGTGACTGCAACCAGAGTCGTGGTGCCGTCAGAACCAGTGATGATGGTCGAGCTAGCACTCTCGGCACCTGTAGTGGTCTCGGTCTCGGGGTCTGGGGTAATGGTGAGGTCGCCGCCAGATTCGCCTGTCCCCGATTGCATTAGCTGGGAAGGCATTGTAGCCGGGCTTGGGTGTTCATACCAGGACATTGCTGAAGAGCCACGTTGAGAACAGCATACGCATCGTCTCCAGGGCAGGCTTGAGCGGTGCAGTCACGAATACCGTAGCGGTAGTCGGGGGTTTCGCAAAGACACTCGAGGTCGCCGTCATCGCATCCCAAATCATTAGCCAGGGCGAGCATGTTGCTGAGACACATGTTCTGGGGCAACTGAATCAGTATCTCGGACCCCAAACGACCAGAAGGTGGGAACTTACGGCACACTCGCTGACACTTAGCTGAGCTCGAGCAGCGCCGACAGTGGCCAGGAAGGCCATGGGAAGGGAGAAAGTCTTCATCGTGGGGGATTGTTGTAAGCTCTAGAGCGGATAAGAGTACTGAGTAACGCGGGATAACGAAGCGTGAGCGATGAACGCAATTCAAAGAGCTGAGGGGAGCAGTTGAGATGAAGGTGAAGAGAGAAAAGCGAGGCGAGTGGGAAGAGGCAGGAAAAGAGCAGGTTTTAAAAAATCCAGGAAAGAAAACAACAGACGCACAGCAACAACAACAGGTCGTGCCTGCCACCCGCTGCAAGCCTGCAAAGCTTTTCCGATCGTCTATCGGTGTTTCCTCCACCCGGTCGCGCTTTTTGCTCTTTCTTTGCTTTTCTCGCCTGGTTACCCAGCTCTCCGGATCAACGTCATTGGACAGTCGCGATAGCTTCAAGTCTCCTCGCAGCTGCTCTTCTTGCCTCTGCCAACGTGGCGAGCACCCAGAGTCCCACCACAACTGAGAGACTGAGGTCATTTCCCCTTGACTCTCGATCCACATGCGCCATTCCCTCTTGCCATTATTGGAACTTGAGCATCGTGTCCCCACGGCTGCCTTCTCTTGGCCACCAGCAGAAGAAGAATTTAGATTCAAGCCATAACCAGAGCCAGGATGGTTGCAGCTAGTCCTGGAGCTAAGATCAAGCGGGAAAGCTGTGCAACCAAGCTACGCCAAGCTCAGCGTCATCGCACTCGGTGCCCAATTCCTGCCAGTGCGGATTCTGCAGCGTCAACACTGAGCAGATCTGACATTTCTTTTCCTCGTGTTTGTACCTCATCTCAACGATGCTATTGATCAACAAATGCTGGATCATTCCTCTGGACGTCGTACGACTGAAAATTTGCATGTTGGGAGCTGGGCTGGTTGACCGCCGATCGGGCGATCGCCGCCCGCGACTCCAAATCGCCAGCCACACGATCGATCTTGAGTGGCTGGGCTTTCGCTGCTAATCGACACTATTGCCTGGCAACGCCCATCATTGATTTTTAGGGCTGTCGCTGAGTGTTCTCGCCACCTCCGGCCGAATCTCTGAATCATCGTATTCCTCTCCATCGCTTCCCAGGTTACACCGACTTCCAGACAACAATCGGACTAATAGATTTGCTTGGGCTCCAGAGTGGTTTGATTTCTTTTTGCAAACTCACAGCTGAAGCTGTGCCGAAGCTCTGATCTCAGATTTCAAGCAAGCCAGACCCTGATTGCATCATAAGCGAAATCGATGCAAGTGATGCATACCCCCGTAAGCGGCGTGAGCGCTGGACCAGAAAACTCCGCAGTGTCCCGGCACTGCATGCCTCGATGAGAAAAAGTGTCTCTGGTTTGAGCCAGCCATTCATGATCGGGGACCCGGAAGGAACTGCGTCTGCGCACCGGAACATCCGTCTCAGCCATCCACAGTTTCGGCCCAGCCCATCTGTCAACCCCTACCGTCGCCCAAGGAACAGACCCTTCAGTAACCTCGTTCTATTAGGAAAAGGCCAAGCCTACGATCACCACCCGGGCAACAGCAATACCTCCATTGACTTCCGTCATACGCGTTCCGGACTACAGGAATTCATAACTCCCCCATAAGGATGATGGAAAGATGAAGTGCCGTACCAGTTTAGTCATTTCAGTCCACTTCCTCCCAGATACCGGTCACGGACGCACGGCCTCCATAGCAAGATCAGCCAAGTTCCTGCATACTCACTGCATGATAGCCACAGCCACTCAATACTCGGTTAGGTGCAATTAGGGTAGGGAGAAATATGATATCGTTCACTAGCGGGGTGACATCGAACACACCCCACGACCCTCAGGTTGCTATCATTGAGTGGCGCAAGATCATCATTTCGCCATTTACAAGCGAGACGAGGATAAGTTCGGCAAATCTTGTCGCTACAGGGCGCCAATTACAGGCTGACTTCCTGCAGGGGCAAGCCATGCGTTGAACTGGACTACTGCTCTCCTCGTGATTTTTGAACTCATCATTCATGACGATAAAGGAAACTTCAGCTCTGCCTCTAACGACACGAGAGTCGGTAGATACTACGGATCTGTAGATAGCACGGCTAGGTATGTGTGCGCTGGACCAATTGTGTAGTGAGATTGAGTGGTATACTTGGTTGATTATCTATCCTGCACGTCAGCTTGCTGGTCCGAAATCTAGTAGAGTATGGGCGACCACGCATCGTCGAATGAACGAGCAGTTTATACGAATACCTACTCTCTTTGTCGGCATTCGTCTCGTGATATTCAAGCTCCCGCGGTGAAAAATCACCACTCTCCCCCATTGACCCAACCCTCCTGCTGCATGAAATACATATCAACCTCCTCCAGCGTCGCGCCCCCAGTCTCCGGCACAAACCCGTACAAATACGGAGTTGGAGAAGATGGTTGGGCCGAAGTAGACGACCGCGTTGATGCCCGTGAACTGTTGCAGGAATTGGGGCAGGGCGCCGAGGATGATGCGCCGGGGAATCTGGAGCTTGTTGTTGCCGAAGAGGTCCAGCCAGCTGCCCTTTAGTCCAGCTTCGTGCCGCGCGCCGTTGATGATGAGTTGGGCTTTCTCACGTACGCGTGGGGAGTCAGCCGTTGCGCCATTATCCTCGGGCTGGGCGAGGACTTGGTGGACTTCTCGCTGCGGCTGTACGTGGCAAGCCAGCGGGGGGACTGGGGATCAATGGGATGAGGATGAATGTACCCACGGGGAAGATGGCTTGGAGGGCCGGAGGGACTCTTCATTGCGCTGATTCGTGGACAGTGCCACCGAAGACGAAAGCCAAATCAACCCAGCTGTTCTTGTTAGGGCCACCCGGGATGATTTGAGGGTGGGTTTAGACTTACTTGGACAGTGGAATTCCGAATACCGTTGAACACTAGCTCGGTCATCACTGCCGCACCACGACTGGATGGAGAGGACATATCGGCCTGGTAGACTGGCACCGTTGCCGTGTTGATTCCATTCCCAGTACCTAAGCTGAATCAGCTCATTTCCAATAAGTGGAAGGGTTGATCTCACCAGTCACGATGCGTCCTACAATCATGTGCGCCACAGTATGGGAAGAGGCCTGGAGCGGAGCACCGATGCATATGTAAGCAACACCATGACTTAGTTACCAAACTGAGCACACCATTCGACCAGGCTGTAACTCACCAATACCCGCCTAAGAACAATACTTCGTCGTCGGCCGAGCCAGTCACCAATAGACAGCATGGACAAGGAACCGATAAAGCATCCAATATCGTAGATGGCAACAATAGTATCAAGGAGGTCGGACGGTGGGTAATTGAATGATTCGAGAAATTGTAGAGTGGATGCCAGCCCAGCTAGAACGCCTGGTCATATCCGAAGAGTACAAAGGCGAAGCAGCAATTGGCAGAGATGGTCCGCTTGAGGGCCAACCCGGTGAGATGCATGGTGAATGCTGTATATGGTATACAGGAGATAATGCACTCTATACCGGGGGAAGCGACACGACGCTCATATGACAGCATGGGCAGAACTCATGGCGAGGGCAATCTGGACGGACAATCGTCGCTGCCTTTGCAACTGTCGGCCAGAGGCGCGGATTTCCATATTCGACATGCCTAGGCACCACCCTGGGCCTATAGGCTCTGGGGTCCCCAACGACCAAGAATAAAGATGCGGGATTCGGGGTTCGGATTGCGGAGTGTGGGGGTGGCGCGCATACGAGTCAGGATAAACCTTCTAAATGGCATGTGAAAGCCTTGCTTCCAGTGGAGGTGCTGGGTGCGATTTCCTGACTGATCTATCCGGGGCTCAAGTTGCCGTACGTGGTTGCTCAGCACCGGCAATAGCCCGAAAAGACAGTGCAAACGGAGCCTAAGACAGAGCAGTTGAGTGGGAAAGGATACATTATAGAGCTTCGTGATTAGGTGATGAGCAATGAAGATGAAAGATAGATCCACGGCAGTACAATCGTCAGCCCGTTCTATGATCGCCCTCTACTCGATTTGAAGCTATGTAGGAGACATCCCAATAACCCCACCGCACCTGCTGCGTACAATTCTCCGCAGCCAGACGGCCACCCAAGCAAGAAGAGGCACCGCGATATGGAACAGGGTAACCACAGCCCCGAAGCTTGCTTCAACCTACTCCTGTTGAAAAATGATGGCAGTAGATCAGAGAAGATCTGCAGGTCCAACGAAACGTTGAAGGGGTAAGATGCCTCCTAAACCCCAGGGTGGCCATCGGCATTTGCCCGATTTTCCGGCCGGCTCGTGCTTTTTTCCATCCACACCACACTGTGGGTTGGGGTTTTGTTGCTCTTTTCAAGTTTCCACAGTGACGTGCAGTAGCAAGGGGTGAAATTTCCGTGCGTTGTGGGTGGGAATTGACCTCAAGGTGGGAAAGATACGCAGAATATCAGATCCTGAGAAGTAGTTCCAGTTTGTAGTTGCTGCCATTTCAGAGATCTTCTACACTCAGATTTGCCCCAGTAAGATAGTTTCTCACGTGTGTATAATCTGGTATTTCATATTTCTCTGGTCTTTACTATCCTAGCTACTGTTCAATCTTAAGACCTAACGGTTACGCTCGCTCCAGTTGCGGTCAAATACTGTGATCGATCGTTGGGCTATAGGCATACTAGGTTAGTTACCAAAGTATAAACGATAGCCAGGGCGGGACACTCACCCGACGGAACCACATCCATCGCTTTCACAGAGACGTTGAGGGGCTGGCTTAGCATGTAAATGGCTGCTCGAGCAATATCCTCGGAGACAAGAGGCCTAATTGCAACCGCGCCAGTCAGCAAAGCACAGCACTATAACACGAAAGCTAAAATTGGGGGAGGGGAGGAGGAAGAGAACGCACTCAAGCCCCTCAAAGAACTTGTCATATTTCTCCTTATCGTGCCCAACGCGCAGGGAGTGGAAGTTGGTCGCGACACATCCGGGGCGCAGCGCCAGGACTCGGATATCCGTCCCGCTCAGCTCATTGCGCAGCGCGTTGGTGAATGCTTCCTGGAAGGCCTTGTTCGCGTGGTACACGGCCTCGCCCGGGAAGGGGGGCACCTCGAGCCCCGTTATCGAGGTGATGTTCAAGATCGTGCCCGTGCCGGATCCGCGGGGCAGCATGGAGCGGTTGAGCACCGTGTAGGTGACGTACATGAGCCCATTGATGTTCGTGTTTACCATGGTCGTTATGTCGGGGATACTGAGGTCCGGGAAGCGGGCTGGGGCGCCCAGGGCGAGGCCGGCATTGTTGATGAGGATGTCGATGGGGCCGAGTTCATCAATTGCGGAGGCGATGGCTGCGTCTACGGCGGGTTGGTCGCCGATATCGACTGCTCGCCAGGTGATTTTGATGGACGAGGTTTGGCCTGACAGCTTTTTGGCTAGGGTTGCGAGTTTGTCCTGGGCGCATGCGTTAATCAGGGTCTGATCTCACGGGTGGAGGAACGAACCTCTGAGCGTGAGATGAGGATGAGATTGCAGCCTTGTTCTGCGAGCGAGGTCGCGATCGCTTCCCCGATGCCCATCGAGGCTCCAGTCTGGAGATGTGTATTAGCTTGGTCTTGAGGGAGCAAGGCGTGTCCATCAGTCTACCAGGAGCGCAGTCTTTCCAGCAAGGGTCATCATGAATCTGAGAATATCTATCACAGACTACGGGTTGTAGTTGACAGAAATGTGGTAACAGGTCGACAAACAATGAAGATTGATCTTGTCTCAGTTGGATTAGTAATTGTCGACTCTCGACACGACGTCACCAACCAGCGCCCCACTACTGCCAGAGGTATTTCCCCTTGACAACCAAGACTTACAGTGCCAGACGCTTGCAGTTACCTTGTTCAAAAGGCTTATCAAAAACTAATATGTCACTTTGGAGAAAAAAAAGGGTCCGAGGGTGGCTAAGCCAGAGTTGCTGGACCTGCATCGCCGGGAAATCGGCCGAAGCTCCGTGATTGAACAACACAGCTCCATCGAGTTAACCACTCACCAGCAGCCTGTCGCAGGACCTATTTGGGGCGCAACAGTCGTTGGAAGCCGTGACGTAGCTGATTACTCGGTGATTACCTTTCCAAGACGATTCCTTGCCTCGTGGAGGAACGAGCAAGAGGGACATCTGCGTGACACTCTTAACTAGGCTATCGAGTTGATCCAAACGGAAGGCCGAGCCTCTGAATACTCTAACGGGTGAGATCAATTATTTCCTGACATCATACATAAATAGTCGTTGCATGCTTTTTCAGTCAGCCAACTCATCATTCTCCTCATTCTCATCATGGCCAAACCGCTCGTCAAACCCTTCCAAGTTGACATACCCAAGGCCGAGGTCGACCGCCTCAAGGGAAAACTCAACGACACGCGCCTTCCAGGACGCAGCATCGTCCCGGACGCAGGGACCAATTACGGTTCGTACCTCTCATTCACCCCTCTCACATCTCCAAAGCTAACATTGCACTACACCAGGTCCCACATACGAATGGGCATCCAGTTTATACGAGGCCTGGAAAAATGACTTTGACTGGTACGCCGTGCAAGAGGAAATCAACGCCTTCCCGCACTACACGACCGAGATTGAAGACATCACCGTCCACTTCCTGCACGCCAAAGCGCAAGGGAACGATTCCGATTCTAAACCAGCCATTCCACTGCTCATGATCCACGGCTGGCCCGGCTCCTTCTGGGAATTTAGCCAGGTCTGGCGACCGCTCTCCCAGCCCGACTCCCCTCATGACGATCTCGTCTTCGACGTCGTCGTCCCCAGCATGCCGGGCTTCTGCTGGTCGTCGTGGCCGCCACGCGCGGGGTGGACGCTCAAGGATACTGCGAGGATCTTTGACGTGCTCATGCGGAGGCTCGGGTACGAGACGTATATGGTGCAGTGCGGCGACTGGGGCCAGTTTGTGGGTAGGGAGCTGGGCGCCCAGTATACGGAGTCATGTAAGCTGGTTCATTTGAACTTCGCGCCGAGTCCGCTGCCCGAAGGGGTCGAGTATACAGAGCGTGAGAAGGCTGTTGCGGCGAGAGTCGATGACTGGGTGGAGAATCATATCGGGTATGCCGTTTGTATGCGCACGAGGGTATGTCTGAACTATACTGTGGATATCATCACCCTCCATGTCAACATCTCACTTCGTATTCCAACACACTGATGATGTTTTAGCCCCACACAATCGGCCTGGCCCTGCACGACAACCCCCTCGGAATCCTCATGTGGGTTGGCGAAAAGTACAACGAGGCCGCAGACCCAAACACGCAAAAAAACCCCTTTTGGACCAAAGCAATCCTCACCACAGCGTCTCTATACTACTTCACGGGTTGCATCATCCCCTCAATGCTGACGTACTACGAGAACGTACGGCACCACGAGTTTGCAGAGTACGCGATGCGTCCGGAGAACCGCATCCAGGTGCCCTTTGGGTATACCTCGTTCTTTTGGGACACAGAGCCGTCGTCGAAGCGGGCGGTTGAGAGGACGGGGAATCTGGTGTTCCATAATGGTATGTTTGTGCGGTGTTCCCCATAGTGTTGGAAAATAAAATGTAATACTGATTGATTGTCTGTCATCAAGAACGCAACGATGGCGGGCACTTTGCTGCGCTAGAGCATCCGACGGGGTTGATGGAGGACATTCGAGCGCTTGCGGGGCAGCATTGGGATAAATAGAGCCGTCTAGGTAGCATCAGTGCGTATCTTTACACTGACAGTTTAGTAGGTCCTCTGTAGAAGCCATATATCACATGTTATCCACGATCTCCCCTTGACTAAATATCTACAAAGCGCTGGGCCCTATCCCCGTAGCAGTTCATTGGATAGTGACCACCACTCTATTCCAGGCATCATATATCATGACTATATTAACCGTGGATTGCTTAGTGAGGATCCAAATGCTGTATAGAATTCAAGAGATGAAGATTGTTTATGTATGGATTGGATTCACAGCCGAGGCGCGTCTTACAGACATATCCTACCATGACGCATAACTAAATTGGCTCCATGAGCAAAATGGCATCTCACTATCCGCACTGCGCAACCGACACGCAGAGGCTTGGAATCTATTTTAGGAAGGGGCATCCTCGACCTAGACCAGGGTCGCACCTTCTCTGCCTCCATGGTCTGCCACCGGGGCAGGTGGTATACAAGGGAAGAGCGGTGGACCAGTCGGTCTTTCCCGCATTGACAGAGGACTCACTTGCTCGCACCTTGCTCATTCAGTGATCCAGTAAAAAGACAGATACATGATCGTCTGGTTCTTTATTGGGGTACTGTTCCCTCCGCCTCAGATCTGGTACCGCGCCATTAACCCACCATCTCTCGCCCTCGCAACGCTATACACCCGATCCATACCCTTTGCATCCTCATCGCCATCATCAACCGAGTCGCCATGAACCTCTTCATTCTCTACAGCCATCATCGCCCGATTCTCCTTCGCCAGTAGAACCCTCAATAGAATAGTCGAAGCTATACAAACAACCATAAGCGACAGATTCACCGCCCACGCCGTAACATACCTCGGCCCCTGGCTCTCGGGATAGAGATACGGCGTCCAGACGAGTGCCGAGTTTCCAATCGAGTTGTTCATCGCAAGCCCGATCGCGCGCATCTTTTGCGGTCGCGCCGCGATGTTCGCCATCCATGCATTCGAGATCATCATGCACCCATATGTCCCGGGGAGCATGAGGAAGATGGCGAGGTACCGTGCTGCAGTGTTTGTCGTTGCGACGGTGATGATTATTCCTGTGCAGGCTACTGCGGAGGGGATGAGTATCGAGGGGGAGCGGGCGGAGGTGCGGTCCGAGAGCCAGGAGTTGAGCAGGCAGACGGCGGCGGTCAGGACGTAGGGTGGTGCGGTGAGAAGGAGGGTTTCAATGGTCCCGAAGCCAAAGGTCTGCACGAGGGTTGGGAGGAAGTTGGTGAGGGAGGCGACGGCCTGCAGACAGACTTGACCGAGGATGCAGAGCCAGATGTGGGGATTTTTCACCGCGAGTTTGCATGCATCCCAAGTGGGCGTGGACTCTTCTTCGTCGCCGGCGTCTTCAATGAGGCGGATGATGCCGATGGCGCGCTCTTCGGGAGAAAGCCACTTCGTCGTGGCGGGCCAATCTGGGATGATGAAGCCGGTAAGGACGGCGAAGAGAACAGTGGCGGCTCCTTCAATTATAAAGAGCCATCGCCATGAGGGGAGTGAGTGGTTCTTGAAAGCGGCCTCAATTCCAGCTGCAAAGAGACCGCCGAAAGCGCCGGCGAGCATGGCGGCGCAGTAGAATATAGCCAGACGTAGACCGAGCTCCTTGCGCGTGTACCATCCACTGAAGAGGAATGCGCAGCCGGCGAAAAAAGGGGCCTATTGTGATGATTAGAAAACGAATGCTGCCGTGATGAACTGGTCAACTCTCACCTCTGTGACACCGAGGATGAATCGACAGGCCGCAAGACCAGAAAAGTTATGCACCGCCCCGGTAGCTCCACTAGCGATGCCCCAGGCTACCATGCAGCAGGAGAGATATATGCTCGGGCGAGTCAAAGACAGCAGCAAATTACTGGGCACTGCACCGTGTCAGACCATAAACTGCAGCCGAAGGATTCACCAAGTACCGTCGACGTACCTTGCATCAGAATGTAACCGATGAACGTAAGACTGAGAACGATGTTGTATTCATAGCCCGCCAGGTTGAGGTCCTTCTCCAGCCCCTGTACACGAGCCTGCGGAAGCGCATTGCGGTCGATATAGTTCATGACATACATCACCATCTGCCCGCTATTAGCATTTCTCTAGATGTGTGGGTACTGGTGTGTCCTCACCAGGATAGGAAGCAACCGGACATCGATCTTGCGCACAAACTTGCGTTCCCTCTCAGTACGCTCCTCTGGGGTCCAAGAATTCACTACAGAGGCGTAGGCAACCTCTTCAGGGGCCTGTAGCCCAGCCTGCTCAGCTGAACCCATGCTCTCTGACTTTCAAGGCGACCAATTGCGTCCACAGTGGTTGGTCAAGTAGATGTAGATGTGAAAGTCGAATTCTCAATAGTATACCATTCGCTTCCTTTCGTATTGTGAAGCTCCCCGAAAGGGATAATAGAGCTGCGACCGCTCACAGTTTATAAAGGCTCGAGCAACGAGCACGGGGTGCCGGGTGCTCCAACGGCTTCCCCGGTCAGGCAAGCCACACAGTCCCCGGATTCCCCGCTGCCCCGGACGGCCTTGTCTCATGGCTGGGGTTGGAGAAAGCGAATAGTAGCTGGGTGTCCCCGGGGCTCGAGCACATGGACAAACATGACACCGGCGTTGTGCCTGGCAAATTTGCGTGGCGATGAGCGACCGGAGAATCGGCTGAGGCCCGATTTACCGTGTGGGCCGTGCGAAACCAGGAAACTCGGGAGAAACTAGGGTTGTGCGGCACCTGCCTCTGGTTCATAATATTTGCTAAGGGTGAAACTGCGTCGAAAGCAGGTTATATACATCATTTGTTGGGTCGGTGTCGAATGCTTGCCACAGCAAAGCGTCGTTCATGAGCGCCGACTCTTCGCTAACAAGAGGTACATTCTCTTGCCCTTCTACATGGAATGGGTACAGATACGGCATTGTTCCCATCTCTTGCATCCCACCAACGTGGGAGTTAGGTGGTAGAGCCTCCAGGCTAATCGGACGCGACTCCGGGACATCTTGCAGTCTTGGTGTAGCTTGGGTAGTGGACGAACCGCGCTGCCATCCAGAAAGAGGGCCAACGGGGCGAGCTTGGCTAGCCAACAGCTCCGCATCGCTCCTAGACTTTAGACGATTCAGCATTTCTTCCAACCCGCGGGCAATGTGCTTGAGCAGGTGGCGTTCCGAGGTGACGGCGTTCTTCAGAAGATCGACCATTTTTTCTATAAGCCGTGAGACGAACGCATACTCGATGTTGAGTGCCATCAGGCGATTCCACTTGGTCGCCACTTTCAACAAGAATGCGCTTGCCACGGCAATTATCGTGTGTACGTATAAAGGTGTCCCTACTAGCGATCGGCGCATATCTTCTTCATCCACCAACATGGTGAGAATATTGACCGCGGACGACACAGCCATGTTGGCAATCTCCTTGCGGTCTGCTGATAGTCGGCCCGATAGGACGGAGATACCACGCACGGAGAGTGAGTTGATCTGGAGTTTTGCAAAGTAAGTGTATAAAACGATCCCTCGATGCGGGAAACTGCCGATGAAAGGATTCGGTGGCTGTCGTGGGTACCATCGCATGCGCCACTGGTCGATCTCAAGATTATACGAACGAAGCTCTTCCAAGTCGGCTTCCGAAAGCATTGCCGCGTTTGCATCGCCATTTCTACCTTGGGCGCCGTGACCAAAGTCTGCACCCGATGAACCCACGTTGCCTCCAGACCGGACGTACATAAGGTCCGGTAGACGTCGCTCCGAAAAACGATCATACACACGCGTAAGTATTTGCATTAGATTGACCTGGCTCAATATGCGTGCATCTAGGATGTCGGAAAGCGGACTGGCCAGAAAGAGCTCATGCTCGCGGATCTGAATGCTCTCCGAAACCATGGGCGGCCTGCCATAGGCGATGCTGAAGTGGTGGTCGCACACGTACAGCATGTACCACAGTCTAGCTCTGAGGAAATGCTCTCTGTCACCTTGCAAGGCGCGCGAAAAGGATTGGTGAAGGTTGAGCTCCGTAGCAATCCGAATGGCGTGGCCTGACAGCTTCCATGAAACCTCCGACAGCCAGAAGGCAGCTATACACAGGCCCCTTACATCGTCAATTGAGTGGTAGCGCGAAAACATGGAGGACGAAATAAGTGCCAGAAACTCCTTGTAGCAAGCGTCGAACGTGGCAGCTGATGTTGGAATGTGGAGGGCCGTGACGGTCAATATCGTAGCTGCGAGGAGCTCCGATGACTGACGGACAGAGTTGAATGACGAATGGATCTGCTCCAGCCCGACCCAGAGATAGTGGTTGAGGGTGTTGTGGAAGCTGCGAAGCATCAGTTTGAATATTCAGTTGATTACAAATGAGCATGACTTACACACGATAGAGCTCTTCTGCCTCCGCCGCTGCAATAACTCCTCTTGAGATAAAGTCCTTGAGTTCGCCGTTGGTGCCCGGCGACGGCCTGGCGGTCTTGGCCTTGTTGCTGCGAATGTTTCGTAGGCGCGTCACCTCGTAGAGACTTCCCATCGGCTCCTCCAGAGTGACTGGTTCGTTTCCGTCGCTGTTCATCGTAGGCTCAAGAGAGTTCTCTCTGGTCATGGCCATCTGTGTGTTGTCGTCATCGGCGGAGGGTAAAGCCACACTCTTCGCTAGGGCATCCGCTTCCTGGTGTTGACCCAAGGCCTGTAGCGCTGACACCTGCCCTTGCTGCAAAGGGCAGCGGGCTAGAAGAGCATCGAGGGATGCCTTCATGGCCTGGATTTCTTGTCGCAGGGCATCAATCTTCTGAGACCTACGATTGAACCGGTCAACGACCCCTCACAGTATCAGTAGGATTTCATAACTCACTCCTCGCTAGACGCCAAGCTGCCCCTCAACTCGCCATCATGCACCTGCGTGGTGACTGTGTGGTTTACGACGCAGTCTAGATCCCGTCGCTGGCAGTAGCGACACTTGCGGCTGCCCGAAGGGAGCTCACATCGTATCTTTAGCTTCTTGCATTCATGGCCTGGAAATGTCAGAACAATGTTTAATGCATACCATTTTTCTAGATCACGTTCTACTCACAAGCCTTGGATTTTCTTCCTTGCCCCGGCCTCGTTCGAATGAGCCCCGGGTGCCTGGCAGGGGCCAAGTCAGTAGTATCCACCAAACTACCGGTCGCCGTCTGCGACGGAGAGGCAAGTGTGGTGCCGTCAGCAGCTGTAGCCATCAGTGTAATCAGTATGGCTGTTAATGCGTCGCTGGTGGTGGAAAATCGGCGAAAGGACGGATGCGCAGGGCGAGTCCCGCTTTTGACCCTGCGCCATCGGCTCAGGCCTTCTCGGCGTTTTCCCGATTTTCCGGGGATCCAGAACCACAACACTTTGGATTTAAGCCCGTTGCCCAATCCAGTGATGCGACATACAGACGGTATACACCAGTTCCTCCGCACAATAATGGGTAGTTTCGAGAGCCCCACGCACGTTGGATTCATTGGCCTCGGGGCCATGGGCCTTGGAATGGCCAGCGACCTCCAGCGCAGACCCCAGTATACAGTCACGGGGTTCGATATTTGGCAGCCCAGTCTCGACAAATTTGTCGCGTCGGGTGGGCGTGCTGGAGGGTCGCCTCGCGATGTTGCGCAGACCAGTCAGTTCCTCATCTGCATGGCAGCTACTGCCCAGCAGCTCGATTCAATCCTCTTCGACAACTTGGCGATCAAAGGTACGCATATCGTGTCCTCCACATTATACCCTCACGGCGCTGACCCTATCGAGAACTACCAAAGGATGCTACAGTCGTGCTCTGCTCGACAGTCCCACCAACCTACTACGACACACTTCCCGCGCGGATCGCCAATATTGGACGCCCTGACGTTGCCGTTGTCGATGCGCCTGTGTCGGGCGGCACCCTTCGCGCAGCCAACGGCACTCTGACTATCTTCGCCGCAGGATCATCCGATGCACTCGCCCGTGCTACGGCCTTGCTCCATGACATGTCGGAGAGGCTTTACATCATTTGCGGCGGCCTTGGGGCTGCCAGTAAAGTGAAAATGATCAATCAGTTACTAGTTGGTACGCACATTGCGGCAGCATCGGAAGGGATGGCCCTTGCCACCAAGGCAGGTCTCGATACCAGAGAAGTGTTCGAAATCATTAAATGCACATCGGGAAGTTCTTGGGCCTGGTCAAACCGTGTACCGCATATGCTCGAAGAGGACTGGACACCTTTGTCTGCTTTGAACATTTTCGTCAAAGACATGGTATGCATAGCATTGCACGGTGGCTATTCGGAGATCAGTATGTTGACATCTCAACTAGGGTATTGTAGTATCAACTGGTCGGGCTGCTCAATTTCCCTTGCCTATTGCGGCTTTGACAGAGCAGTTGTACATTTCAGGTTCCGCCCAGGGTTTCGGCAAGGAAGATGACGCTGGGCTGCTGAGGTTGTTTTTACAGGGACCAGGAGAGTCAACAATCGGGAAGAGCAAGTCTGCGCCCTTCGGTCCAACCGCGATGGAGTCTTTGAGTGGCGCAGCCCCCAAGGTCGCCGTCATTGGGCTCGACGAGGTGGGGCGCAATCTAGCAGTTGCGGTTGCGCAGAGTGGCTTCGAAGTTCATGTCTTTGATGCCGATGACAAGGACATTCAAAAACTCGTTGCGAGTAACAGTGGGGTTCGCACCCACAAAACGCCCACCGCTGCTGCACAGGCCGCCGACATCCTGGTTTTACGGGCCAGGGACATGGACCATGCATTGGATATTCTCGTTGGGCCGCCCAAAACCGCGGCAGCGCTTGCTCCTGATGCGGTGGTTCTGTTGAGCTCGACGTCATCTCCCTCACAGTTGAGGACTATTGAAGATCGACTTGCCTGCGCATACCCCAGCATTGCTCTACTCGACTCCCCGGTATTCTATAGCGGTTCTTTGGAAGGCAAACGGATTTCAGTGGTATGAACAGCAATTACGTTGAACCATACCTGTCACAACTAATCAGTTGAACAGATGCTATACTCCGGCTCAGACACCGCCGTATCACGAGCCGGCGGTATCCTCCTCACGGCTAACTGTGGCTTTGATACTGTCCGACGAGTAAGCGGCGGGCTAGGCTCCGCATCCACCGTCAAACTCATCGACCAATTTTTAGCCGGCATCCATTTGGTAGCCGCAGCGGAAGCGATGGCATTTGCAACCCACCTCGGCCTCGACGTGTCTCAAATATTCGAGTTACTCCGCAATGCAGCGGGGTGGAGTTGGGTGTTTGAATCTCGTGTCCCGAAGCTGCTGAACGGTACTCACGATCTTGATTGCCCCTTGCCGACTTTTGCAAGAGATCTAGGTCTGGTCCTAGACGAAGCGAAGGGCTTGATGTTCTGGGCTCCGCTGACGTCGGCTGCACATAATGTGATTCTCTCGGCGATGACTAGGCCTGGAAAAGGCACTTCGCTACTGGTGTAATGTCGTTGGTATGAAGTGTACAAATTCGCCTAGATCTGTGTCAGGAAGAGCACCAGTTACTTTAGCATTGTCCTCCTCATACCAAAGCACGTAAAGAATTCAGCCATATTTTCCACATCTCTTCTCGTTGATCCTCGCTCGACTGTCCTGCACAATAATATAGTTCTAACATGGGTTGCAATCAAGGTAGTGTTGTGTGCCGTCATCGCAAGAGCTAATCAAGGAGGTGAAGGAGAAAGTGTTGAAAGAAAGTCGATGAATGCCCTATTGATCTATAGTGAAGAGATCGAAAGCCAATGTCGTTCACCCAAAACGTAGAAGAGCGGATTGAGGTGGAGGCGCGGGCGCGCGGCAGAGAGAGGGCGAGCTTTGATGCTGCAGCAGGTTTTGGTCGTCAAAAGAATCCAAAGAGTTGTGTATCCCGCGGTGATCGCTGCATGAGCCGAGCAAGGATCTTTATCGGAACCTCGGACGTAGTGCGCGAGTTCTGTTGAGCCAGGCGCGTGTGCAATGGCAAGATGGTGAGGGGGGTCACGTCCGTTGGAAGCCTCATTGCATGGAATCACGTGACTTAGATCAAGTCGGTTCCATGTGTCCGAGTCAACCATGGATCTTCTCGACTGCGTATCCACGGTTGTTAGGATCGTCGTTTGACATCCACTCTCGGTTGAGCTTTCAGCTGTCGTCGGAGCTGATAGATTTGTTGATTGTACAGCTTTCTCAACGCGCCACCATGATCGCCAAATGCACAAATATATAATATATCTATCTATCTGAGACGGCGAGCATCAGACGCGGAGCAACATTCCTCATCTCAGCGGAGTTCTATACCCGCAGACGTCATGATGAAAAATGGGCGTTTTAAACTTTGCGATTCCATGGAAACATGCCCTCGACGCGTGCTCTTAAGCTTCCCCAAGCAACGCCCTTCCAGAACCACCATCGCCTCTCGACATCCACAGAGATAAATCGCGACTCGCACCCCAGGCACCCTCAAAACATGCCTCGCACAATCCAATGGCGTCCGACGGGACCCCCAGCGAGTATATCAACCTCATCATCACCAGGCCCGAGACCTATGTCTTTACAGCCTTTGCCAGCGTCACTCTCTGCTATTCCATCGAGCTGATTGTCCTCACCCTCGCCACCTTCAAGCGCTATGGCGGCGTCTACTTCTGGAGCCTGCTCGTCACCTCGTGCAGTCTCATCGTCAATACAATCGGCTACCTCCTGTTCTTCTTCACCAAAGTCTCGCCCTATCTCGCCGTCACGGTCATCATTATCGGCTGGTGCTGCATGATAACGGGCCACTCGGTCGTCCTCTGGTCGCGTCTGCATCTCGTCCTGCAGAATTCGCGACTCCTCCGCGCGATCCTATACCTCATCATCTTCAATGCGGTCACGATGCATACCACAACAATTGTCCTTATGTACGGCTCCGTCTCCACAGACACTCGCTCCACCTTCGAAAACGGATACTATGTTATCGAACGCATCCAGCTCGTCGTCTTTTGCCTGCAGGAACTGCTTTTGTCGGGTCTATACATTTTCGAAACGAGTCGACTCCTCCGCCTCCGCCCGCGCCGCGCACACAAAGTCATCCTGCTCCAGCTCCTTGCGATAAACGTGATAATCCTGTTCCTGGACCTCGTGATCGTCATCCTCCAGTTTGCATCGCTGTATGAGGTGCAGGTGCTGTTCAAGCCCGTGGCGTATAGCATCAAGGTGCGGCTGGAGTATGCGATCTTGGGGAAGCTCGTGCAGATTGTGTCGAACGGTGATGGTATTCAGTCTGTGGCTGATGTCGGGGGTGCCTCGCTGCCTACGATGACGCCGATGACGGAGACGGAGACGATGCCGTCGTGGCCTGCTGTTGAGAGTACGGATTCAAGCTGTAGAAGGGGAGAAGTGCAGGTTGCGGAGGGGGTTTGACAGCGTTATTCTTTTGTAGATGTTAGACTGATTTACCAATCCATTGCTACGCATAGAGTACTATACAATGCGCTTATAGAATCTTCACTGAGTCACATCATGTCCCTAAGGTATTTCTTCTTTACCTTCGCTGAGTGTCTGACGGGTGTAGATCCATTCCAAATCAGAAGATAAAAACCAATGGTTCTTGGGATTAGTGAACCTAAAGTGCGGTTTACTATTCAACCGGATGGGCTAGGCGTCGTAATAGTATAAAATAAGCCAGAGTGTTCCAAGCAACTTGCGTTGAGGATCATCATACTTTCGGAACTCCTAACAGGGAAAAGCCGCCCCCCATACATCCATTGACCGGAACCGTTCTAATCCTTCAATAGCGCGCAGTAAAGCACCCAACTGCATCCGAGGCTCAGATAGAATACGTCAAGAACCGATCCAACTCCCCCTCCCAATTCCGCTGCGGGTCATTAAACGCCAACCCGATTCCATGCGGGGCGTCCGGGATAATCAGCGCCTGATACGGCCTCGACTTCTCCGTCATAGCACTGATGAACCGCAACGAATTCTCCACGGGCACAGTAGCATCGTTTGCAGAGTGGAATACTAAAGTCGGCGGCGTCGAGGATGTAACGCGGTTCTCGGCGGACATTTCTTTGACGAGTTTGCGCGACGGGTTCTCGCCGAGGAGGTTCGTCCGCGACCCCTCGTGCGTTATCGCGCTGTCCATGGAAATCACGGGGTACGCGAGGATGCCAAAGTCCAGAGCAGCCTCTGGATTCGTCAGCGTAACCGCCGCCAGATGTCCGCCGGCCGAGTACCCCCAGATGCCGAGTTTCTCGACGGGGATCTGCGTCTGGGTGCGGATGTGGTGGACTGCGCAGAGGGCCTCGTTTTGCGGGACCGGGTACAGTGGTGTCGGGGATGATTCGGCGACGGAGTAGTTTAGCACCCAGGCGTCGTAGCCGCGGGCGTTGAGGTAGGTTGTCGAGTTGGAGCCTTCGCGCTCGAGGGAGACGTGTGAGTAGCCGCCGCCGGGGAGGACGAGGACGGCGACGCCTAGGCCGTTGTTTTCGGGGGCGGAATAGAAGGCCAGTTTGGATTCGTCGAGGCTGTAAACGTGTCAGTCAGATCGTGCTCTAAACAAGGGAAAAAGGCAGGGACAAACGTGATATTACGACATGGACGACCGGCAGCCGCCATGGTGAACAACGAAGCTGCAATTGCCAAGAGTCTCATCTTGCTTTCACGATGGGTTGACCTATAAATAATCAACAATGCCTTCAGAGGCCCACTGTCAATATATAATACACCGAGAATGCCCCTCCCCCAACCCCGCATTCTGCCGGCGCGAGCTGATTGCGGGAAAAATGCTAGGGATGGAGACAAGCTTCGGCTTAATTCAGGCCGAGCCTTTCCATTAACCCGGGCGAATAGAACTGCCATTTCTTGTCGATCCTGAGTAAAGACTGCTTAGTTGCAGGTTTAGGGCAAGCAGTCTACAAGAAGCTACATGCTCACCCCGCAGTTACACTCGTACTTGGTTAATTATCTGCTTCGTTTTAGGCTAGGACCCTTTAACCAGGGAGCGCCTTCATCTGCCGAGATTTTCCAGAAATACGAAAGGAATGAGATGGAATCGCAGCCCATTCCAACGTAATTCACGGAGGTGAAGCTCCCGCAGAAAAGAACCTGGAAGTAGAAGAGAGAACTGTTGCTGTATAGTTACCGAAAGCCGCCGCATACTACCAGTAGATGAGCATTGTTTTCGGATTGAACGTTTATTCCAGCGATACATTGTACGAAACAACCTCAGCAAAAATGGATGCGGTTTGATGCTCATTCAGTGGTCTTTACTGTTGAGGCTAGTCTTGACGCCATTAATAGATCTGACTACTTCGCTGCGTCGCCAGTTGGCGCAATAGCACCTCACGGCAGGGCTGGCATGGCCTGTTAATCCCTCTCAAGGTTACTAGTATTTTTGAACTATACATACTATTTCACGATATGAAACACGTGCACTGTATGTACCTCTTCCAGTATTGTACACCGATACTTCTATAACACGATAACAATCATTTAAGCAATGGCAACAGCTGCCGCCATCCCCATCGCGACAGCACCCGCAGCCCAAGCCATGCCGGTAACCTGCGCCATAGCCGCATTGTCACTATCAGTCTCCTCCGCCTCCTCGAAATCCTCGGCATTGCCAGAGCTGGGAGTTGGGGTAGGCGTGGTCGAGCCCGACTCCGAGTCGGTCTCGGTAGCAGTAGATGCCGAAGTCGAGGTTGAAGTCGCGGGACCAGGGATCGAGATGGGGACACCGGATCCTGATGTGATGGTGACGGGGTACTCGCTTCCCGTCTCGGTGTAAGCGTCGGACCAGTCCTCGTCGCCGATCTTGATGGAGCAGGTTGCGATTGCGGTGCCGACCTCACAGGCGAGGGTGTATGGTCTGTGATACCATTGTTAGCGGGTGCAAGGGGAGACTTCCTCCAAGTGAGAAGACATACTCGTTATACATCGAGGCTCTTATTTCGTGGGTAGACGGGCCCTGGACGAGGGTGGCGCCGCCAGCATCCAGATCACAGCTTGTGACGGTGTCTGCACAGGTAATGCTGTAAGAGGTGGTGTCCAAGTGCTAACGAGAGTTAGAGAAGTCGATAGGTAAGAGTAGACGCGATGCGATCAAGGAATACGTACGCCGCCGAGGACTTGGCCGACGAGAGGTTGCGTGCTGGCGCCGTCGGCGACGAACATCGTGACGATCTCGTCGGCGGTTGCGACGGTGGCCATGAGGCCGAGGCTGAAGAGGACGGTCTTGGAGTGCATTATGGCGAGATGGTTGAGATGAGTTTGGAATTAGGGTTGAGGAGTTGGAAGGTGGACGATTCTGATGTGGTTGTCGATGGGATCGATGAGCGATAGTGCACCTTTTATATGTTAACCAGAAGATGCTGCACTGAAAATAGATTGTAGCAATTGTACCTCTCTTGCTCAGTCCTGTCCCTGGATATTGGATTCCTGCCGAGAAAGGGCCTTGGATGAATTCGACCTTGTCCACGAGATACCGAGTCATGGCTCCCACCATGCGAGGGTGATGAACTGCCTACCAACACGGAGAGTACTGCGAATGGGGCCGGAAATCCGATTTCATATTCCTGCCTTCTCAACGGTTCTTCACTAAAACATCTTGAAGCGGGGCCGTTGGGAGGGTCGGGCAGATACTGTCAATCCCCCCCTAGAATAGACTGGTCTCTCGAGTGATGTTAATGAAACGCGGGACGTGCAGAAAGAACAGGCAAGCGAATCAACGCTTGTACAGTGCTAATCTCTCAGCCTCAGCCTCAATGGAGTCGAGGCCAGGATCTCACTAGCGATTACCCTTAATTGAAGTTTGGGGGCGGCACCTTGGAAAGACAATTCTGCAGCAGAACATGAGTCGCTAGCTTAACGCAAGATTGCACGAGATTATCCGTCCATAGCCGTGAAGATTATCTCCCTGCGAGCGCTTTTCGTGTTCGGACAGACCTTCTTGTCATCCAAGGTTGGGCTTGTTGGGTCTGTAAATTGCTGAGGAAATAAGAATCTCACTCAAATCAACAGGACCACTTGGTCCACGCTAGCCAAGACTTCTCGATGAGTACTCCAACTTGGTCTCTCTACCGATTCGTTACTCGAGAGGTATCTCCTCAATGCCTGGAGTGCCGTGCCTCCGCGCTTGGGCCAACGGCCGGTGCGCCTGATCGTGGAGACTGGAGAGAGTCTATCTTTAGTCGCAACTCGCCTGAAGCTAAGCACAGTTAATATACATCGTCTTCAAACTGGTATTGCCAAGAGACATGGAGCATACTTCGCGTGCCTTGGGAAATGGTTAGGCGTCCCGCCCACCGGTTTTCTCGACGCTGGGTTAGGGCAAGCGCACCCCTTTCTTTGCTTGGTCAATTACCGCCAGATAGCCTCGCAAGGCGCCGCCCTGCCCCCAGGTGGACTTGCGCTTTGGACCTACTACTAGATAAGTGCTCTTAGGCGAATTCTGGACCCTTTTGCGGCGGAAAGGACCGACGCCCCCTAATTACTGTAAACAGCCGAGGAAGGATTCGGAGGTCAACTCGCAACTTTTGTGCGAGCTCCCAAGCCTCCCCCCCGTGTAGACTCAAAAGAATCAGCATCAACCCAAGGCCAGTATCTTTTCTAGCAAGGTAAGAGGGCTTGCTCAGAGAAAAGCATTGGACCGACTCTGTACAGAATACTCAGGCAAGGCAGCTATGGATTCGTCTTGAGGGGCTGGGCTACATGAAGGGTCTGGGATGGCTGCCCCTGTCCCAGCCTAGGTAGAACAGAGCCATTGCAGTTTAGCATTCCTGCAATATCAGAATTCAGACGCAAACGCACTCACTCCACCTCACCCCTCGCCATAAACCCCGTCACCCCGAATTGATGTCCAAACATGGTAAACCGAAACTTCTCCTCTATAACCACATACTCAAATCCCTTGCCCATCCGAGCGCCCTCATACAACTCCCTCATTTCCTGCTCCGTAAACCCCCGCTTCCCAATCGTCTTGGCAACCTCCAACTGGCTCGGCTCCAACACACCTTCGATATCCGGCGCATCATCCGTCGGAACCATATCCATAACGACACAGACACCACCAGGCTTAAGCAGCTCCTTGAAGCGCGCGAGGAGAACACTCGGTTCCGAGACGTGGTGTAGCGCCATCCCAATGACGATGACGTCGAATGGAGCGAGGGTGTTTTCCGGGAGAAGGGAAGTAGTCGCCGAGTCTGATTCTGTATCGGTACCGAGGAGATTATACTGGTACGCGTGCATCCTCTCGATACCAAATCCCATCTCCAAGGCGGCCTTGTTGTACTCGGCTACCATCCCCGATGAGAGGTCGAGGCCAATTGTCTGGGTTACGTAGGGGGCTAGGGCCTATAGGTACAGTGAGTTGATTATTCCACCCGTGCCATTGCAACCTTGAGAAGAAAAACTAGGATAGGAACGACTATAATTACTTTACCTTTGAGACCGTCCCAGCCCCACACGCATAATCCAGCAGTTGAAGTTCCTTGGCCTCTGAGGCAGGAGGGTCGTTGAGCGCAGGGGTGATCCAGCCCCGACGGGCCTTGAACTCGCGGATCGCAGCGTCGATGAGCTCGCCAAAGTCGGTTTGGTGGGTTGTTGCGACCTTGCTGTCTTGCGTGTTAGGAACCTCTGCGATTGAGTATGATAGGTGTTGGGTACGCATGTACTTACTCGAAGTGTTGGCGGTTATGTTCTGTTATGTCGGTCATTTTGTGGTTTTGGACTTGAACTAGTACTACAGTGATGATAGATTGTGACATGTGCTGTGTGATGTTGTGTACTGAATATTGTTTGGGAACATGTACCGTGGACTCGGGGCGTTGATATAGATCGATTTGGCGGGGGTGGGTACCCTGGGCCCTCGGAGACTTCGGAGAGTTTTACCAGGTGTGTGCAGCTGTGCTCCAGAGCAGCCAATAGCGCAGGCTCAAGAGGATATTGCATTTGCACTACTAGTAGTAGTGTAAGGCTGGACCAGTCTACCAAGTCGCTTTGCAATGACAGTCGTGATCAACCTACTTAGGTAGGAATGCACCTTCCCTACCCAGCGGGAAGCAATAAGCTGGCCCGGATTAAGCTCAAGGCTGGTCACGAGGGCTGCCCCCATTCTACAGAGACATATCTGGGCTGTCATGAAAGTGTCCCTGTTTGGGCCTAGATCATCACTCTTGTATCGTCTACAACAATGGCCATGTGTCTCGGTTGCTGAATCTCAAGATGATATCCCCCAAAGCTGCTGCTTGGCCTTCTCATGCTTCATGCACTATTTGTACCTGGAGGCGACTGGGAAGTTTCGAGGCCTAGCTGCTGCCATGGACACCCATCGTTTGACCCCAGTCAGTACTACTACCGTTGCTTGGTTTGGATAGCAGCATATCTATCATTAAAACGCGGGATCATGCCACTAGATCTAGATCTATATACAAAAGTTCCCACAACATAGCGGACCATTCCCATATTTACCTCCATCTCTCACTGCCCAGCAAAGCAAAATAAAGCCCAGACTCCTCTATAGATCCATCATGTCCAAAACACTCGCCGTATAATTCCACAAGGGCGTCGAATAATCCGTACAGAACGTATACCCGGTATAAAACGTGCTCCTCCGTCCCTGAAGCCCATACAACCGCTTATAAAACCCGTGACGGATCTCCTCCACATCAACCGTAAGCGTCTCCGGCGAATGCGACGCAAATGCCGCAATCTCCATCTCGTCTGGTGTTGTGTCAAACGTCCCGGCCTCGCCCATTGCGCGGATATTCGCCACGATGAGATCTTTCGCGTCTTCTGCGGTAAAGTTCTCTGCTGGCCCGACGATCTTCGTCATGAAGTAGCCCGGTACGCCGGAGTACTCGAGTTGCCAGAGGAAGGGGGGCAGGGGAAGTTTGCCGGGGTGGTTTGTGGGATCGGTGTTTGCGATGTTGAGACCGTCGGGGATGCCCGTTTTGGTCACGGCTGCGGCGTAGTAGCTTACATGCGACCATTTCGAGAAGAGGGATGTTTCTTCCTGATCGAGGTCGAACCCCTGCAACTGCAGACTGGGCAGCGTAGGCGGGTGCGCAATAAGCAGTTTCTTCGCGCGGATTCGAGTCTTCTCCCCCGTTTCCGAATTCTGCACGACGAGGTCAACCCCCGATTCGTTCCGTCTCGCCTGAATCACCGACGACGAGTAGAAGATATTCAGCGGATCGATATAATTCGCCGCCTTGGCGAAGAGTTCCCCCGTCCCGTTCTTGGGCCTGATGTATCCGCCCTGCAGGAGGGCGTCGATCTGCGGGATACCAAAGTTCATAATCACATACAGCAGCGGTCGCTCGAGGAGGTCGCCGACATTCTCGGCAAAGGTGAAGATGACCTCGAGCGCGCCCCAGAGCGCATGGGCGTCGACGAATTCGCGGAAGGGCCGCAGAAGGACCTCGGGGACTTCGTCGGGGAGGTAGTATGCGCCCGTGGCGAGGTAATCGAATTGCTCGATTGCTGCGCGGTAGAGTGTCGCGCCCGCAAGGGTACCCAGGATTCCCGCGGCGGGGAGAGCGGACTTGCCCGTGGAGAAATCGACATGCTTGGTGAGGAGGGAGCCCGGGAGGAGGAGCTCGTGGTCGACGTCGAGCTGGGCGAAGAAGGACTTTGTGAGCTCGTTGTTGAAGTAGCCCTCGACGCCGTAGTTGACGTAGTCCCCGTCGGGCAGATAGAGGGTCTCGGCGTGCCCGCCCAGGTATGCCTTTTTCTCGACGAGGGCGACGGATTTGCCCTGCTCGCGGAGCTGCACTGCCGCGTAGGTGCCTGTTGCGCCTCCGCCGAGGATGGCGACGTCGCGAGTTACGACGGGCAGGTCGGCTGTGGGGATGGCCGCGGCCGCTGTGGCCAGAGGGAGGAAGCTGGCGAGCCTCATGGTTGGGATGGAGATGAGCGAGGGCGTGTTGTGGGCGTGCGAGCCGCGCATAGCACGGGGAGCACCCACTTACTTATGTGCATGATAATGGCGATCCTGGGGCTAGGATGAATTTTCGCGCGCTTGTCGATTCCACTCTTGGTGCCGGAATCTTGGAATGGCTCATTCAGCTGCTCCACTGTCATCTTAAGGTGGGCCCCGGGGTGAGAGTCTCAGTCGCACTCATGGCGGATTCAAGCGAGGGCACGAGGGCTTCAGCGTCGCAGCCGTTGCAGTCTTCCCCATGGTAGTCATCTGTAGATTTTTTTTATACTCGCGACGACTATGAGGCTTGTCTGTTGAAGCTTTCCTCGATCTTCCGATTCTTCCTAAACTCCGATTATCCGATAGTTCGAACGGTGGAGCAGCTCCACTGGCGATCCCTGCTTGATGCAGTACAAGGCTCGCTGCGCGCAAACAGTTGGAGAGGAATGTTTTGCCAATCAGAGAGAGCAAGTCGAGTAGTGGTGGGGATCCTTGTACTGTATCCAACAGCGATTGTACGTACGGACTCACGGGTAGAAGCTGTTTTTTTTATCATTGTGCAGATCATTGTATAGATCACGTGATGCAGCAAGCTTATCCGCCACTGTACGCGGGGCAGACCGAACAGGATACAATTCAAGATCCCATACCATACAGTATACAAGATCCAACAGCGCGATGAGCGAGAAATTCGTACGTAGTCGAGTTTTCCACAACCGCGGTAGTAATCTTACAAGATGATACCTCTGCAAGCCTAGAACTTTTCCCAGCAGAAAAATCCCCGCCAAGACCAAACCTAGTGGAGATAGTTAAAACCACTGGTTTACTCATCATCAAGGTCCCATATCTCGATACTCAGGCCCTGAGGGATTTCCACCCTCCTCAACTCGTCGACGTCAGTTCCATCCGGGGCAATCACTCTACCTTCATTAGCTTTCAACATCCAGATACCCTCGTTCAAGCGCGCGATACGTACTGCATGAGGTTGACAGGTGGACTGCTCATGGTGCTGCGGAATTCGTCTGGAATGATGAGGTCCCTGTTGCGGTATATCTCGCGGACGCTGTTTCTGGTTAGTTAGCTCTCGATTATCGGATGACGATGGATGGATAGATGCTGGGTGTCGTACGTTTGAGACAACTGCTTCCCGTCGCCGTAATATTCATGAGCAAGCTCATCGTCGTAGCGGATATCGAATGTCTGGGACTTGTTAGTGCATCGTGGAGGCAGTATCAGATACCGCAGATCACACCAAGTCTATGGTCATTTTGTCCTTGTGTGATGAGGATAGTGATCAGCTGTAGAAACTGTAATAGAAGCTGGGGAAGGGTGACAAGGGTGCGCGTTTTAAATATCATAAATAAGTCTACACGTCATCAAATGAGTCAATATGAAGCATGCTCAGTGGTGATGTTACGACGGCCACTTGTAGTTGATTAAACCTTTCCATGGTTCCATTGATGCTCTCAAGGTTCATCTAGAACACTTCTATAACCAAGATCCAATCAACATTGATGCTCTCGACACGCCTCATAAGATCATATCTTATTGCCCTTTGCACAAAAAACTAATGGGCAGTAGCATCCTGTCTTCGCGTCAGCTGTACTCGCGGAGTATCTCCTGCCGTAGAACATCACCCCCCCCCCTCTTTCAAGAGCTCAGCGACCGAGCCAAGTTTGGTACAAGATTCTTTGTCGCAAGCTTCGTATCACTGGGGAAGGTGCACGACAAGCATAAAAGCCTCGTCGGTAGGATCCAGCATCGCTCAGAGCTCCAGGGGCAAGGTGACCAACGCAACAGTAATACTTGAGCTGTTGAACACGAATTCGATCTTGACTGCTGCACCAAGGGTTCCAGAGAGAGAAAGCCTCGACATACCATTGCAGGACACTAGAGAATGTCTTGCCTCGGCTTCTTTCCCAGGTCAGTATAAACTACCTCCAAGGCTGCCTTTTCTCCTAGAGCCACTTGCTGCATGATGTTCATGCCGTCCGTTTCGCAAAACGCGTGCATAGATAAAAAATCACTTGGCACAAATGAGATTAAGAGTCTATAATCTATAGGTAATTATGAGTGTAGAGTCGCTCACTATATATACAATTCCTTCGCTTATCGCCTTCCATCAAATGCATATACTTGCGGACCTTTAGGCTTCAGCCTTCACCCCCTTTTCAACGTCCTTTTCACCCCCATTATCCTTCACGCTGTCCTCGGCAACTTCCTTCTTCCTAACATCCTTCCACCCCAACCCCCAACTCGACGCAAACTGCACGACACAAAGCGCCGCAGCAAGATACAGCGTCCAGTCCACGGCCTTGGCATATCCCCTCAACACCCCTGCAAGATCCTCCGCTGCAATAACATCACGGAACCCCGTTGCACCCTTCGCAATAACGTTTTCGGGGTTCACATGCGGGGCGTACCGCGGGATCTGGTCACGGAGGCCGGCGGTAAAGATGACGTTGGCAATGGCGAGGAAAATCGATCCGCCGAAGGTTTGGCTGAATGTGAGGATGGCCATTGCTGTGGAGACGTCGTCAGGGCTGATGTTGCTCTGGACGGCGAGCATGGGCTGGTTGATGGTTAGTTACATCGCAAATCTCAAGGGTAGGGGTGGAGTGGGGGGAGGAGAGGCGCACAGCTTGTGTCGCCGCACCGCGGCCAAGTCCCAGGATGATTTGGTACCCTGCCCACGCGGCAGTTACGGTTGTAGGGGAGAGCATGGACAGGAGTCCGGTGCCGACCGCGCAGAAGATAGCGCCACCAATGGCCCAGGGGATGTAGAATCCCAATTTCCCAACTGCGCGATGTAATCAGTAAGAGTAGAGTAATGCACGCGTCAACATAGGGGAACATACTAAGAAGTCCAGACGCAACGGCCGTGACAAGTTGGGCGAGAATGTTGGGCAACATGTTCACTCCGCTAGTCAAAGCAGAATCGCCCTTGACAGCTTGGAAATAGATGGGTATATAGTAAGCGATGACCATGGTCAGGCCAAAGAGCACGCACATATTCAGGTAGCTGAAGTATGCAACGCGTTGTGTGATCAGGTGAAAGGGAATCATGGCGTCTTTGCCAGTACGGTATTCCCATGCCAGAAAGACGATGGCTGTAGCGCCTCCACCGACGAAAAGTCCAATCACCCGTGAGTCGCTCCAGGGGTAATCATTGCCACCATACTCGAGTGCAAGAAGGATCATTATAGCTGCCGGGGCGAAGAGAACGAAGCCGATCAAGTCGAAGGATTTGAAGAAGGTAGGGAGGACATCGACGGCGCGGCCTTTCTTGCGTTGCTCGGGAACTCGAGTGAACAGTAGGAGGACGGCGACAAGTCCGCCAATTGGTAGATTGATATAGAAGCCTAGGCCGCATCAAGCGTCAGTTCATGTTCCCAAGTCCATTAATGTGTGATACATACACCACCTCCAGCTTGCTTTATCCGTCAGAACGCCGCCGATTAAAGGACCGAGGACGAGACCGAGCTGTGCAACTGAAGGCTATCAGTAGGTTGAATTGTAGGCGCAAAACTAGATACTCACGGCCCATCATGATTCCAATAAGAGCTAGGAAGTTAGCATATATTATCCGGTGGGGTGTAGGAAGCATACCTGGTCGTTTGTGCATTGGAACGGATCCAGCAATAATCGTCAGCGCCCCGTTAACCATCCCTGATGTGCCCATGCCAGAGATGGCTCGACCGATGATCAACACCTTGGACGAATTGGCAACACCACTAATCAAAGATCCAACCTCGAAGAGCAGAAAGAAGCTCAGGAAGACCACCTTATACTTTTAGCTCTATATCCCGTGCTTGGAGGGAAGAATGGGCGAACCTTCGATTTGAAATGCGTGTAGAACTTTCCAGTCAAGGGTTGAAGCGCGCAGCTAAGACAAATCAGCTCAACGCTCATTAGCCTAATTGCAGTGCCATACCTAGCAAGTGTATATGCACTGCCATACCAAGCCACATCCTGCAACGAGTGGAAGTGGTTGGTGATTTTTGGGACAGCCTGGGGTGATTAGCCTCGGAGTCTCGAAGCCAGCGGGGAGTCGTACCGTCGCCACGATCGAGGTATCTAGTAACATCAAAAAGACCACGAGCGTTACCCCGGATACCACCATAAAAAGCGGGATGCCGCTAATCCACTCCTCTGGCGCCGGGTTGTCGCTCTCGGCTACTTCGGCAGATTTCGATGGTTCGTCTGACATCTGCTGCGGCCCGGAATCTACCCGGTTGGTCTGCTGTTTTACCAGCGATGATGAATAAGATGAAGAGGACGAGCTGCTCGGTGGCATATCGGCTTTGTTAGATGAGCTTGTGCGAGGTTGTCGGGAACTCTCTTCTATTGAATGTTTGCCGTCCATGACTGTGTGTAACTCGGTAACCTCTAGCGATGGAATACGAATGTCATGCTGAGATAGGGGATAATCAATCCGTTTTAAATTCGAGAACCCCTGCCCTTGGGGTCCATTTTATTCGCGGTGTTAAGCAAACGCCCCCGAATCTCCATAGGGCGGGTTAAATCCGATCGGGATATCGGAGCGGAGTTGGGCCAAAATCGGGGTTGTGACTCAAGGCCGGCGCGGAATCGTGCTCGGTTCTCGCTAGGCTGTGTCAAACGGCAACGCTAGTTATATTATTCATTATACGAGTCGTGCTAGCTTGAAGTCTTGGGTTTGTATGTCGTAATAAGCTTTGCCATTAACCGGGTCCCCGCTGGAGCGAAAAGTCCGTGAACCAGGTGAAATCTTGCGACGCGAGCCAAGAGTTGACAAGCTCCTGATCGATTTCAGGCAGCTGCGGCACATCAGCCGTTTGCATGGTCACTGGCTGAATATTAGGGAATCTGATTGCCCAGCCTGCTTGAAGACCCATGAGGGCCTTGGCTGCTGTTTTGAAGGAATCCTCCTCCCCTCCGCTGTTTCGCAGGCCCACCGTATCGGCCAGCTGAAAGAACTTGTCGGCGATTTGGCGAGTGAGTGATAAGAGATCGGCCGTTTGACGGACAGCAAGCAAGTCCCAGCCGGGGTACTCGAACGTTGACAGGCGGAAAAGCGCGACCATAGAGTGTGCCGTGTGCATAAGAGTGGTCGTGGCTAGATAGAAGAAAACATCTACTGGGAAACTGAGGATGAGCTCAAACCTCTGTCTGATTGCGCTTAGGCAGGCGTAGAGGTGATCCAGATGGACAAAGTCTAATCCCTGGTTTGGTGATGGAGACTTCGCTACCGCTGTTTCGTAGATCGCAATTTCAGCATATGCTAGATGTGAAAGGACGACGGCTATGAAGTCAGTGGAAGTCCATGGATGCATCATGGTCAAGGCTTACTATTCTGGAGGAGTTCTGTCGGCATCCCGGCCCGGATCTCGTCAATCTCTGATTGTAGACCCTTGAGATAAAACGATAAGGGGGCGCCGGTGTTATATCCATCCTCGACACCGTCAAATCCGTTTCCTAATCCCTTGATGACTTTGTCAACGACGCGCTGCGCGCGAACAATTTGGACTAGAACAGCATCATCGAGCGTAGCTTTCTTTTGAGCGAGGAACTCAAGACACTCTGTCATATGCGGGGTCCACCGTAGATAATCGGTACGAGAGAGCGTCTGCGATATTCTACAAGCAGGATGAGTAATGATTTGGGTATAAACTTGACAACACTCACGTGGAGCAGATAACGAAGCACCCTAGCACCGCCCGTCGCTCATCCATGGTGCGTGATAGCGAGACCCAGGGTCTACAAGGTCCCGCTCCAATCTTGATGAACTGGCTGCCTGTATTGTCCACATATTGTGGAGGCGGTCTGTTGAGCCCGATATCGAAAACTAGACTGGTAGCCATTTGCATATATGGCCCTAGTGACACTTTCCGCGGCTGGGCTTCGAAGCCGATCCTACAATTGTCAATATACACTCAGTGTGACCACAAGTTTATGACAAACCAGGCAAGGTAGACGAGGACGCTCTGCAGGAGATCAAGACTCCTCTTGCAGTCGGCCAGTAATGCCTTGGCAAGCGCCTCTTTGAGTTCGGTATGTAAAGCATCCCGTCGTGGTACATCTTTGCAATGGAGTGCAACCATGCAGCGCCAAAGAAACGGAGAGTCCGCCTTGATGTCTGACGCGCAAGAAGAGGGCTCGATATGTATGAAAGGGAAATAGTGAAGTCTGGCGCGGAACGCCGCCAGGATCTCATCCTCTTCGGCAACCCGATCTGTTACGGCGACAGATCTGCTGTCTGTCCGGGACGTGCCGCTTGAGCTTGGCTGCGTGGATTGCTGCGACGGACCAGATGTTCGGGATTCACTAGTACTGAGCCCCGAGTCCGAAGGAGCAGGGCCGGGCGTGGCTGCGACCGCAGGCCCTCGGGCAGTACTTTGGAGGAGCGAGGCGAGCTCGTCCAATCTCCGCTCCAGCTGTGCAGTCTTTTCGGCGGCGGACCTCCGCTGAGGGTTCACTTTGCGAGTCCGAGTGGCTGGGCGGCATTCGCGGTTCAACCGGCGGCACCTGAGTTGTTAGCAGATGGGCTGGTGCACAGCGTTGGGTACGTACCTCGCACAGCTGCCGCCTTGCTCAGTAACCAAGCATTTGCATTTGGCCTGGGCACATCCAGCACATGCACGGCCGTATGCAGCGGTAGCCCAACCTTGGTTCTCCATATCCCGAAGGTGGAGCGGGAAATTCGTGGCCGGAGTTGGGTGCAGGCCGCGACTCGGGCTTAAAAGGACGGGCGCGACCGTCGGCAGAACGTGGGCGTGTTCCATCACGTGATGCGCGGGATTGGGCCAACTCCGTCTGGCCAACACTGACTCACCAGGCACTCCTCAGCCTCTCGCGAAAATACGAAGAGGGGTGGGTCAACTACGAGTGACACGATGGTCGGATGACGAGCGATTTGCCCAGACAAGGAATTGACCGATCGGATGATGCCAAGCATGTCTTACAAGGTCTGGAAAATTCTCCATTCGAGAACCTCTACAAGCCTAACACCGCCCCAGCGACCTTAGTGACCTCCCCCTCAGTCACCTCTCGCCCCAACAACCAACCGATACCTATTGGAATGTCCGCCCGAAACTTCTTTGAGAGCGCCAAATCGGGATGGAAAACGTGATGGCAATGAGGAACACCAGGATAAACGTCCAGTCGTGTCTTCACCCCGTGGTCTCTAAGGTACCGCTCGTAGATCAGCCCGTCGTCGCGCAAACAATCCAAACCGGCGACCTGAATATAAGCAGGGGGTATCTGAGGGACGATGTCTTGATGCACGAAAGGCGAGAAGTCCTCAGACGACAAGTCAGGCTTGTATGCGATTCGGCAATTCTCGACATCGGACGGGTCCAGGACTGGAGAGTTGATGTTTTGCGCCCTTGACACCCAATCCTCACGGTACTTTTCGGGAATACCATCTAAGTTCGCAGTGACTACAGGAATCGAAACCCATATACCGGTCAATGGTGGGGACAGCTTTGCCTTCACGGCGCGCTGGGCCGTTACAGTGGTCAGGTTGCCTCCCGCTGAAAGACCGCCGATAATAAAACCTTTGGAGGGATCGGCGCCGAGCAGAGTTGCGTGTTGTGCAATCCAGTGGAGCGAGTCCCAGACATCGTTGGCAGCCGTGGGGAAAGCGTACTCAGGCGCAAGACGGTAGGATATACTGATGGTTGTCGCGTTGTACAGAGAAGTGAGGGCCCGCGCAAAGGGCACATTCTGCATGTTTGTGCCGACTAAGAAACCGCCACTGAATATCAGAACGATCAGAGGGCTTCCATCGTCGGGAGGAAAGGAGGGCCTGATGATACGGATCTCGCTTTCGAATCCATCGCGCATGCAGATATTGCGGACCGATTCCTTCGTTTCGAGTGTTGGAGTCTTATCGTACATCTGCTTTTCGAAGTTGAAGTGAAAGTCGCGAAGTGCGTCGATGGGGCCAGTGGTGAAACCACCAGACTCGGGCGAGTCTTCACCGAACAACTGCCGATAATTAGTTGCTCATTCGCGGGGTAGGTTTGGAGATGAAGAATACTGCAGCATATTCAGGATCAGGCTTGCTCAGGGCAATGAATTCGTCCTTGAATCCATGTTTGACCTCTTGATTGGATCCAGAATCACCCATGATGACAACAAGTACTTCGAGCGACGTCGCCTTCAGAAACACGCCAGGGAGAACTCGGATGAGGGGCAGAGCAAGTACATTTGCTCTTGTGGCGGGCGGTAGACAATGGCATAGTCTAGCACAATAGGAGCAGCTTAGCGCCTCCAGAGGTGCATGCGCAGTGCGGCCTTGCGACTCGATTGGATACACGAATGCAGCTCATGCAGAGACACTGATAGGCTAGACACCAGAAACCCAAATCTCTCCAAACCCCACCACACTCAGGCTTCCAATGGCTTCTGGGCACTGATTATGTGAAAGTCAAAGATCGGATGAATATCGTTGCGCACCGACTCTGCCCGAACACCTGCATTCAGAGCCTCAACCTCCTCTCTCGGCCATTTCAGCACCTCTCCAAACAGCGCCGCCGTGAACGCCTCGACTCCTTCTACGAGGTTCGCCCGCATCAGCACCCCGCACTCCTTCAGCCGGCTGTCCTTGGGCCACACTCCCACCGGCAGCTTCACTGTTTGCTTCGATACCTTGTTGAACCCAGCCTGGTTCACCCACTTCTCAAACGACGGTGCAGGGTCCATCGTGCGCCCGATCTTATCGCATGCCTCGATCAAACCATCCATCATCTTGTTTATATAACTGTCCGGCTTGAGACTGCCATCCTCCGAGTACGGCCTGTTCGTGGTCTCCTGCAACTCCAGCCAGCCTCCAGGCTTCAGATTCGCGTAACATTGCTCGATCAGTCGCGGCCAATCTTTGATCGATCCAGCCATATACCGGCAGTGGATAAAATCATACGGCTCGCCTTGTACCCATGGTTTCTCGACGTCGTCGATTATGAAGCTGACATTCGGGGGAACCCAAGCAGGTTGAATTGGACTGAGATCGTTCCCGAGGATTTCTGCGGCTTTAGGGTAATGGTCACCGAGTTGAATCGCCCAGATCCCAGTCCCAGTTCCGATGTCGAGAATCCTTTTTCCGTCGGGGTTAAAGGGAGCGAGGAAGAGCCGGTTGTTCAAGCCGCGATAATAAACGTGGTGCACCATGTCCAATCGATCTTGCTCGGGTTCGTCATTGGGAAACGCATAGCTGCCAGCCTGGTACGCGTGATAGCGACGCCCGTATTTGAACTCGTACTGCAACACGCTCGAGGCTAAGGACGTGCCAGTGGTCGTCGTCGTGCCAGCCACCGACGCGATCTCCTCGTCAACAGCAATCTCTAATGGTTGATCAGTCATCATCAACGCAACACTGTTTGCTCCAGTTGAGTGTTTGCGGGAAGAAAAGTTTCAGGGGACACGACACTGGACAAAGAAATCACCCCCAGCCCAGTCAGAAACGCGGGGGGATTCTCTTTGTCACCCTCCAGGATTCGCACTAACTAATTTGACACTAGGGGTTGATCCCTCCTTGGCCCGCAAATGCAGCGCAACAGCAACAGCGAGAAACCACCGGGCTTATCATTTTGGATATGTCCTACGTCGCTTACAGATTTGCAACCTCGATAAACCAATTGAACCGCCTGGCGAATAGACCTCTGAAGAGTCCGCTCGCCAGCGCTTCGCGAATGTGATCTTCAGACACTCCCGTCTTGAAAGGATTGGCTGCAAGCTAATGCAGTCATCTCCGAGCCATGACGCATTCGGTTTCAGTCATGTTTTATTTTTATTGGAGCGGCTAAAGTACTTTGCCTTCGGGGGAAGCGGCTCGTTCCGGCCACGCCTCGACGCAAAGTACTACAGTCGCAGCTCGATTTCCGGCACGGAGTGCAGACGGGTGAGTGGTCTGCACGTGGCTGCCTCTTGTTGACTCCATGTGGGCGTTTTGAATTGGTCTCGCCGCTCGGCTACTCTCTACGAAGTGGCCTGACCAGTGTCCCAAGCCATCACTTTCGCACGGAACACTGCCGTCTACTGTGAAGACATAAGGGGCCATTTACATAACCGGGATGCTACCACGTCAAAGCCGGACTTCCCTCATCGTGAGGGACCAAGTTGCCATGATAGGATGGCGCGATGATGGGGCGCGGCCCTGGCTCCTTCCACCTGGAGTCATCCTGCATAAATTGCGTTCGCCGAGAAGAAATACCAACATGCAACTGCAGGACGTCCCTTCCTCGCAAAAAGTCCGGGCAATCTATATAGACGGTCCACTTCAGCTTCAAGAGGGATCTATGGAGTAGTTGTATGCGCACCTGCGAACTGAAAAACGTCGATGCGATGCTTTCTCAGCAGGTAGCATGACGCCTAACATGGCAAACTCAAACTATTTGCAGCACTCTGCTTGTAACAACATTTCTGGGATTTTGTGGCTCCAGGCGCCCAAGCAACGGCCAGGTATTGTATGAGCATTCGCAGTTGAGATCGCATCTGACGGCCCTATGCCCTACAATGCCAGGCACAGTGTCAGATCCTCTCGTGTTATTCCGGCGTGATTGCGAAAGGGAACCCTGGAACGAATAGCACCCTCCGTTGCCATTGCTGGGTTGTCCTCGCGTCTTGAACACCAGTTTCTCTCAGGACGGTACTGGTACTGACTTGTACTATCAAATTCTAGATGAAAAATTCACGTCGCAGGCATTGAGTGCAATAATAATCGCCTATTCCAGGGAAGCCCTCTGCGACATTGTGTAGAGATATCTGTTGGGGTTGTTCTGGGACGTCCTGTGGCATGTCCTTTGGCATGTCCTCATTATTCCGCGGTTTGTTCTCCCCCAGATCCGGCAGGAATTAGGTTCTCGGCAAACCTGTCCCGCTGCACTGAAGCTTGAAGACAACCGGTTCTGTATAGTTTGCCAAGGGCTCCACACTGAGGAATGGGAAGATCAATGGTTGAACCGGATGAAGCGTCTGGGGTAGATCCGTCGGTGGATGTAACGATGATGTAACTGACCCTGCTGAGCCGCCCCACCACTGAGAGAGACGATTTTCTATCATTCCATAGCATAGGCTACAGAAGCCTTGCGGTGCGCCTTTTCCATACCAATCGATCCGGCCAATCTTCCACGCCTCCCATGGCGGGCGGCTTCGTGCAGTATCATGAACCAAGCAGTGCGTCTCCGTCAAAAGCAGCAGAGCCACCAGCTGACGATGCGCAGTCGTTCAAATCCTAGTGATCATCTCTTTCTTCTTCTTCCTATCGCTGGCTGAATGGCTATCGGCGAAGGTTATCCGTGCCGGCATCATCGGCCAGATCGCGGTCGGCATCATTTATGGAAAGCCGCTGGCTGACATTCTTGAGCTCGAGTGGCAGCATACTTTTATCGCTCTGGGATATGTCGGGTTGATCTTGATTATTTTCGAAGGTACCGTAATAGACATGCGACAACACGCGGGTTGCTAACTTATCTCAGGTGGCCTTGGTGCACGCATTGATCTCCTCAAACAGAACTTCTCCCTTAGTATGATCGGGGCTGCCACGGGCGTCTGCTTCCCGATCGGTCTCTCGTATCTGCTGCTCTACCTGGGATTCGACTATGGAGCCGTTGAGACCTTCATTATTGGTGCGGCCCTGTCTGCTACTTCTTTGGGTATGGCATCAATGGCTGCAGCGCGACTTGATAGTCTGACAAGACAGGAACTACGTTCGCCGTGATTGCTTCAGCATCACGCACCGTCGACCTTAGCCAGACCCGCGTCGGCTCTGTTCTCGTTAGCGCGGCCGTCATCGACGACGTTGTCGGTCTCGTCATGTCAAGGTCAAGCCTCCTTAGTCGCTTCATCATTCCATGACTAACGTCAACAAGTGTAATATCCGACCTAGGCAGCCTCAGCTCAGGCTCATCCGTAAACCTAGGCTGGCTCATCGGCCGTCCAATCGTCGCCTCAATCGCAATGGCCATTTTAACTCCGATTGTCACAAAATACCTCTTTGCTCCGCTCTTCCGCAGCAACATCGAGCACCACTTTGCGCGGTACGACCACATCTCCAACATCGTCCTCATGATCCTCGTGCTATGCGCATTTATCTCCATCGCCGCATACGCGGGGACATCGGTCCTGTTCGGGGCCTTTCTTGCCGGGACATTTCTATCGTATATCCCCAGCAAGCACCCCGAGGCCCCTTTTGTCGTAGCCAGTCGCGAGGAGGGCGAGCGTGAGGCTGATAAGAGCCCAACGTTTGTGCATACATTGAGCGGTATCTGGTTGATGTGCAGAAGTACTTGATGGAGCCGCTGTTCTTCGCTAGTGTGGGCTTTGCTATCCCATTTGTGCAGCTGTGGACGGGCAAGAGAATTTGGCGCGGGGTGGTATTCACACTGCTCATGGTTTTCGCGAAGGTAAGCCTCCTCAGCGCCAGAGAGGTGATAGCTATTCAGTGAGCTCACAATGATACCCAGTTCGTCGTTGGAATCTGGATCCCCATCTGGCAAGTCCTATTCCCCACCAAGTTTAACAATCGAAACCAGGCGTCATCTTCCAGCAACAAGAGAGCCAAGAAACCACAAGACGAAGAATCCAACAATTCCGAACCCACCAGCACACACAACAACACTGGTCCTTCAGTGTCCCAAGAAAAACAACGCCCCAGGCCACCAAACCTCTCGTCGAAACCAAGGAGCACAACCTGGCTCTCCGCCCTCCTCCTGGGCTCGGCAATGGTCGCGCGCGGCGAAATCGGCCTTTTAATTATCCAGATTGGGTACAATGAGACGTCATATGTTACGGAAGATGGTTTCATCACGGGCGTGTGGGCGATTCTTCTGAATACGATCATTGGACCGGTGACTGTGGGATTGCTTGTCAAGGCGTATGGGAAGAGGATCGGGGAGGGAGAGTGGGGGTTGCAGAGGGCTGAAGCTGTTGGTGGCGCCCGTAGTGATAATCGTGCAGAGGGGACTGAGTCTGCCGCCTGACGCCGGTGAGAGCGAGAGCAGGGAACACACAACCAGACATGACAGTGTTGGGCGGAAGCTTCGTAGGAGCCTTCCTACATACAATACCGATTCGAGGACGGAGACGGACGGCCACAGCAAAGGCGTGACCATAGGTTGTCGGAGTCATTACTCGCGAATTAAGCTTGATCAAGATGTGACTGCCATCAAACAGAGGATGGAGGTGTCCAATTAAAGCCGGATTTCCGTCGCGAAGTGATTCGTGCCCAAGTGCCGAGTTCTGATTGCTGTGGACCAGGAATTAATCGAAGTGGCCTACAAGTAACCAGGCAATATATTGTCAGCCCAGCCTACCAGAAAACTCGGAGCTCCAATTCAAGCGCCTTAGGGTATCAAGTGCTAATCGCTCAGCGGGTATCCCTCATCCCTCGTCGAACACACAATAGCCATCTCCGCCGGCCCGCCGCAAGTCAAACCGATATAGAGCCTTGGCCGATGGATGTGTTCAGGGGCTCGCTGCTGCACCCCGTCGTCCCGAGCGGTGGACCACCGACACTGAAAGAGGCTCAAGGTAGGCATAGGCCCGATGCTTACCAGACGGATTCCGAGTTCCCTCCATTGTAACTTTCTAGCTGGCACATATTACAGCTACTAGAGTGCTAGAATGTGAGAGGCGAGCAAGATGTTCTAAACAAGTTTATTCTTCAAAAAGGCTACGGCCGTACATTGGAATATCGTCATGAAGAATATGGGGAATTATTCGAATCCCGATCATGATACGCCTCCATCAGTCTCGCCTTCTCAGAGGGCAGCGAATTCGTTGCAAGGCTCTCGATGTCAGAAACCGGGGACGTCTCTCCACAGGCAAAGAGGTAAACCGCGACGACGAGCTTTCCCACGACGAATCCAGTCACACACGCAACGATCCCTGCGATGAGACCGAGCAGTGCAGGGAGAAGAACCGGTCGGACGTGCTTCATATAGTGGCGGTCATGCGACCAGTCCGCGAGACTCTGGTGCTCGCGGCAATGCGAGACGACGCGGACGTCCGTGTTCTTACCAGCGCCCTCAACGATAGCCGAATCGCAAGATTTCGACCGCGAGTGATCCTGGAGATACGTGATATAGTACGACTTCCACGTCTTCACGCGCCACCAGCTGTCCTTGCTGGTCTCCCTGTCCACCCCCGGCAGCTCGTGGTGGTACAGACGGTGCGTCGACTCCTCGACGTGAACGAGCCTGACCGTCCCATCTGTCGAGCGAATCATGCCGAGGGATACGGCGCGCTCAGTCGCCGGGCGACCCTGCAGGTCGACGAGGCTAAGCTTCAGGTGATAGAGGTCGCCCAGATCGGCATCGGGCTGGTGCGGGAGGGGCTGCATCTCGAGGGCGTATGCTACGGGGACGTTCTCGGTGCTGTCAGAGTCCCAGTGGCGCTGGGCGAAGAATTTCATGGGTATGGAGGCTGGGAAGATGATGTCGTCGTTTGCAAGGAGGGTATCATTGTTTGTGGAGAAGGTGATTGACTGTGCTTGTTAGTATGGAGTAGATCATGTGGGTAATTATTTTGGAACGCACGAGGTATGAGTTGGGGTGGACATTTTCGGAGCATTCACTGTAGGAAAAGGCGCATTCTGCGCAGGAGAGATTGAGGGTGTAGGGCTCGATGGCGGAGAGTGAGGCTATCGACGAGTCATCGTGATCGAACGGGTCCGAGGCAGCGACAAGGCGGGCCAGAGAGAGCGCCGATGCGATGGAGAGAAGCCGGCGCAACATGGTGGAAAGTGTGAGGAGGAATACGAGGTGGAAAAGGGACAAAATCGTAAAAACGAGGAATTGAGCGAGAGGGGAAAGGGCGAAGGGCGCAGGGAAATATAACCCGAGCCCGGAGAGCATGTCAGAATGACCACATCACGCTAGCCACTGCAGGTTCTCTGAAAGCGAGCAGATGTTTTACCTTGACCCTTGTTCCTGAGCCAGAGCTCCATGTTCGGAGCAAAGGAACCAGTCACGGCGCAGGGCCAAGCGATGCAGGGCACTGGCAGGTATCGTGGTTGCCTGTCAGGGATCTTCGCTGCTGGCGCGTCCACTTGAAAGAAACTTTGGATGCTGATGTTTCACTCGCGCATCCACAGTTATTTTTGGGCCTTCTCCATTGAAACCAGTCGGCGACCCAGCTGAGTAAAGCTTAGCAGTTGAGTTTATCGCCCGGAGTGGACCACGCCTGGAATTGAGTGATTTACGCCTCAAATCATCGAATGCGTCTGCCTGTTCATTTACTCTAGGTGAAGATGATGCCCCCATCCACCACCATGGTCTGTCCAGTCACATAGTCCGAGTCCCTGTCCGCCAGGAACCCTCCAACCAGCCCTGCCACGTCTTCCGGCGTGCTGGTCCGCCCCAGCGAAATGAACCGGTCGGAGTACAGTCGCAGACTTTCGCCCTTTTCACGGCCCTCGAGCTCCCCCAGACCACCGTCAATGTGCTCCCACATGGCGGTGCCGACGATCCCGGGCGCATACGCGTTGACGGTGATTTTGTGCGGCGCCATTTCCATCGACATCGCCTGCGTGAGGCCACGAACCGCCCACTTACTCGCGGAATAAATGCCGAGCTTGGGGAAGGGCTTGTGGGCGACGATCGACGCCGCTCCCAGAATCTTGTAGACATTGACCCCAGCCGCCTCGGTCGGATCGCCCTGTGCGATCATCTGTCGCGCGGCGTGGGTGTAGCAGTTGAACAAGCCTTTGAAGTTGACCGACATGACCTGGTCGATATCTTGCTCGGTCACGGAGAGAAGAGGCTTGACCTGTGCGATGCCAGCATTGGCCACCATGAGGGTCAACGGTCCCAGCTGCTCCACCGTCTCCTTGACTAGGCGCTCGACATCCACCGACGAAGTAACGTCGGCCCCGACGCCAATTACTCGGGAGTCGGCAACCTGACTGCGGATCTCTTCGACTGTCGCGAAGATTACATCCTGCGAGCTGGGGATATCGTTGATGCAAACGGCGTATCCGTCCTGGGCGAGTCGGAGGGCGATTGCTTTTCCACTGATTGGAAGGTCAGTCTCGGCTTACGGTGGCTGAAAGGATCCAGTCTAATCCTTTCTTTAGCGCCTTCTGATAACGTTAAACTTACATTCCCCGGGCTGAGCCGGTCACGATGGCGGTGCGGCGAGACATGATTTTCTTTGTTCAAGATGATTCTCGAGAGTGTCGAGAGTGTTTCTGCCTCTCTCAAGGGTGTTGTGTTACTGTGTCCCTCGGAAGCGGGGTAAGAGGGGGATAGTCGACAAACGACCTCTCTCCGCATTCCAGTTTGGTCGTTCTGCATCTGCAGCACCGAGGGGGACCATCTCAAGCAAAATGTAACCGCAATGTTTTGCTTGAAGCTGGAGAGAAAAGCAGGCCTCCAGTGTGCTGGGAGCACGAAAGCGTTCCTTAGCCCCAGATAAACGCCACTTTTCCATCACCATATTCGCTTCTGAATTTCTCGGCAAGGCCAATTTGTGAGCTTCGACTTACCCCTACCTGGCTCCTTCCGCATGAGGTTTAGAGTTGAATTCGCATGCAGGATGTCACATCTCCGAGGCATGGATGAGTCAGTGCACGACTGAGCCACGTCTTTTCCTCGTGGTGAAAGTGAACAGTGAACACTGTCCGGATCGGGTATCCTTGCTCGAAAGCATGACTCGATCGCCATCCAAAGCGTACGGAACCGATCGCATATTGGCGGATTCCTTGCTCAGCCTCTGCCGAGGTGCGATGGATGGCCCTGCAGGCTTGACCCCGTCTTGGCCGATACCTCCAGGGTAACTCATTCCTGGCAAAGAAGGACCCTAGGCTTTGGCAATCACCCCAGCTCGGTCACGTTAGCTGAGGATCGGAACCAATTGGATGATATAGAATGGCTGGTGTGATTCTGAGCCGCTTAATGATCGTTTGCTAAGGTTCATTTTCTCCATGCTCCGAAGACGGGCGCCTCGGACCGCCAGTCAATCTATAATTTCAGCCGTACCGAGACTTGCCTTGCATATGGGTAGGATCACCTGACAGCCCGTGTTTCAAGTCTTCACCACTGGCATACATCGAACGTGTGGACGTGAGATGTTCTGACCCTCTCGGCACCCGCGGGCCCCGGACCACCGATGTTCTTTCCAGACGGACAAAAATTCGAACACGAACTTGGGGCTGTGGCAGTGGGTCAATGACCTGAAATGACAAAGTTTTACGAGCTAAGTCTCAGCCAAGCTCTGTGAAGCTCGTGGATCAACTGGTGCTGACTTAAAATGAGCTTTTTGCTTGTGACACCTTCGGCATCCTCCGAACGCTGGATCCAGCTCAGCATATCCAATCGCTTTCAATCTCCTGATCGACCGGCACTCTCTTGGTGTATGCGCTGTGGGCGCATTTACCAAAATGAGGATCGCATGGTTGTGGCGATGCAGGCTTGAACTTGGCAGTCGGCCTGGACCGTCCTCGTTACCCACTGCGCTCTAGCCTGCTTGACCATCTATTTGATCCAGCCAATGCAACCCTGGTGCGCGCATCAAAATGTCTCAGAAAATTACGTACGAGCTGATCTACGCCAGTTAGCGGATGGGACTATATGCGTTCCGAATTGGCCGACGCCGGACGGTAATTGAAACAGTCATACTAGTGTTGAGAGCCTCAGACCAGCGAAAACATTTGGCAGTAAAAAGAGCAGCTAGCGTTCTTTGAACCGTCCAATTGGCTCTGGGAAGTCTATATATAAACTGGGATGTCTCGGAAATTTACGATGGGCTGGAACCAGCCCACGTCAAGCATGAGCTTGCTCACAGGCAACAAGTGCTATGGCACGATGTGCATCTCCGAGCTTGCAAGCAAATGTCAGAGTAGCATGAGGATACAGGCCTAACGATTTCTCGGTACATTTTTCCGGTTAGATTTCGGGGGCCATCCAACAAATTCACGTCGGCAACCGACGCCTTACCCAGGGAAGCGAGATGTTTGTTTGCAGGTAGACTGAGGGGCCCCCCAAGTTTTTAATCCCGAGAGGTTATTTGACTCTTCTCGTGAGTTTCTGTGCGTCTACCATCAAGTAGATCTTGATACAAGGAACACGAGTACAAGGGCACCGCCTTGGCTCTCTCAAGCATAGGGAGTACAGAGGTTAATCCAATTCAGAGGGCGTCGACTAACCCAGCTTACTATCATCCTAACTCAGACGGTCGCCAAAAGGCCTTCAGGAGGTGGAGGTTCCCGGCTGTCTGGAATTAACTGACCACTACAAACGGCTTCGCATAGTTTTCCACTTGTCCGTCACTCCGGTGCGGCTCTGGATGGCCAAAAGAATTCATCGCATCATCAAGTCTACTCAAGCTTGGTGCTCTTGGGCCAATGTAGTAATGTGTCCTCATCAGGGTATTATTGCTCTTTTAATTCAACCAGAACAAATTGCTTCGAAGCAAAGCTGTGCCCTTGATAGGTGGGATGATGTAGAGATATATAGTTGTGCTTGTCGATCAAGTAGGAAATATATTTCTGCTAATCAAGGGTCCTGGCCTTCGACATGGAAAAGCAAACTCGCAAGAGCGAGAGTGCATTCTTTGCCTTTATATCAGGAATAAGCAGCGCAATAACGGGGCTATTCTCTGTTCGTTTGTATAGCGGTTTCGGATCTATGCCTCTATCCGCAAGATGACGAGCCCACAAACATTGCGAAGTTTCTGTACGGGTGATTGTCCGGGGAGCTACCACCTTCTGAGCGGCATATCTTGGACTCCCATTCATATGTTCCATTGCTGAAAACCCGAGAGCATGAACGCAATCCCTTTCTGCTTCGAGATCTGGTGCCTGAGGTGTCGACACTGGATAGAGCTATATCCGCTTACATAATATGCGGCCTGTCCAGCGCGAACTTGTTGAGCGTGGTCCCCTCAACACCGACAAGCTTCAAGAGCTCTCGAAAGCTGCAACAGAACCGCTAAATTACAACGACAAACGGACCAGCCCTGAGTGGAATATAATTCACTCTATTTGAATCGCACAACCCCCCTCGAATGCTAGTAGCCGTCTCCAACCTAACCTCCCTTCCACCCCCTCAACCCTCGACGCTCTCAAAATGAACACAACCTTCCAAACCGCCCTAACAACCTTTGAAACCTCCCTCAACGCCCTAATAACAAGCCTCACAACCTCCCCAACAGCCTCCGGCGCCCCCACCGCAGCGCTAAACCTGCTCTCCGCCGACGACTCGCTCACCACAACAATCGACACGCTCAAGCAACACCAGGCAAACTACGCACGGATCCTCGCTCTCCGCGCCGAGGCACAGAGCCTCGAGGAACGCGTCAAGGATATTGTCCGACTCGCTGTGCGGTATGAGGCCGATGTGAGGCGGGTCTGTGGGGATGACGAGGACAGCGAGGAGGAGGATGAATATGATTCGGAGGAGTTGGACGGGGATGAGGTGCGGGTTGGTGAGAGATTGGATGCGGTGCGGGCGAGGAGTAGGCGGAAGGAGGTTGATTATAAGCTTCTGCTCGACTTTGCGCGCCGGATCAGCAAATATAACCACGAAGCCGCGGCCGATGCAGCGGCGGCGGGCGCGACGCGCGCAAGACCATCGATTACAGGACCCGGCGCAGGCGGCGGCCAGGATACAGAAATGACCGGGATGGGCGCCAACGGTGCGAGCCCCGACGCTGAACCCGTCGCGGCCGTGACGAAAGACGCGACATCGTGGCTCGACGAGTCGGCAAACATGACCCGACAGGCCTACATGCTCCCGTACCCGATGGAAGACCGGATCCGGCTGGGGCTCATGGGTCAGATACAGCTTGCGGCGGCGGAGGGTCGGCCCGGGTTTGACGCGGATAATGAGGTTGAGAGGCTACTTCGCGAGGCGGAGGGGGTCGGCGTTGCGGATGTCGTTGTGCCTGCGCAGACTGGGGAGGAGCCGACGCGTGTGAATGAAGCCGCGAGGGCTGCGGTTCATGCTGGGTCTGTGGCCGCGGGTAGTGGTGGAATGGGAGGAGGGGCGGCACCGAAGCCGAAGCCGAAGGCGACGCTGGATTTGGACTTGTATGATCCGGATGAGGATGACGACTAGCGCGGAATCCCACTCAACAACATATCGAGTTACTACATCTCGCGGCCACTATCTACAACTCAAGCGCCGCTACTCGCTAATACAAATCTACCTACATATCATGAACCGACGACTTGGCCGTCCACCTGCGCACCCTCTTCCCCCAAACATAAAACGGCACCGCACACAGACACCACAACACCGTAAGCCCCGTATTCAGCATAATCGGCTTGACGAACCCGTCCGCCTCAATCCATTTTGTGATGAACTCGCTGAACCCGTACCCCCACAGGTTCTTGTTCACCGTGATCGTCACGAAGATCGAGCCCGCGACGGGCTTGTAGCTGTCTACCGCGTATGTGCTGACAATTGCGGGGAGGGCCGCGACTTGGATTCCGGCGCAGGTGTAGCCGATTAGGACGATTATCTGGATTTCGAGATTCGAGTTAGCATCACTGTTCAGTCCAGTCCGGAGGGAGCGAAGGGAAATGCGAATGAAGTCAACAAAGAACATACCTTCCAATCCCACTTATACTCATAGCCAAACGCCACCACAAAATTCCCCACAATACAAACAATCAGATACGGAATCATAGAGGGCAACCTCATCTCGGGCTCTCTAACCCCGCGATTCTTCAGCGTCGCCCTCATCGAAATCCAATCGCTCAACGGCCCGTTCGTGAATAGCCCAATTAGTGCCCCAACCAGAATCGCGAAATTGAAGAATCCAATCGTCTGGCTCGAGAAGTTATACGGGGGCGCCGCGAACGCTTGACTTTGCGTGAGGTTTAGCGTCAGGAAGACGCTTGCGGACCAGGAGACGACGAAGGCTGCGAGCTGGATTATCGGGAAGAGGTGCAGTTTCCAGGGGATGTAGAATGCCACCGCGAGGGTGCGCAGGGTGGAAGATTCCTTGGGGAGGTGGTACAGCGCGAATTGGGACTTTGAAGGGGTGCCGCTGCCGACGAGGGAGCTTGAGGGTTGATTGGTGCTTTGGGTCTCGGGGTCGCTGGGGGAGGCGTTCTCCTCGAAGGTTTCGGTGGGCTTTTCTGCGGACGCCTTGGTGTCAGGGGTACTAGTAGTTTCGACGGATCTCGCTTCGGTCGCTGGAAGGCGAGTCCACTTGGTCTCGGGGAAGAAGAAGATGACGAGGATGAGCACGACAGCCAAGAGGGCCGTGTTGAACCAGAAGAAGTGCCTCCAGCCAACGTGCTCGGCCATCGGGCCGGCAATGATGGGCCCAACCATGAGAGAGCCAAAGTACGCGGTGAAGTAGAGGGTGTTGTACGCGCCTCGCTCGTGCAGGAAGAGGACGTCGGCGATGATCTCTGGTTGAGATGTCTACCAAGCCTGGTTAACAGCGTCTCCGCCTCTGCGGGGGATGTCACATACCTCAGCCGGTCCAGCCCCGAACCCGTTCAGCACACACGCTCCCATATAGCTCCCATACGACTTTGCGGTCGCGCGCCAGATGTTGCTGACGACGCAGATGAGCGTCGAGAAGATGAGGACAGGGCGACGACCGAATGTCGTTTGGATGGGGATCCTAAGCTGATTAGCGATTTCCTTCAGATGCAAGAAAGGGCGAATTTACCAGAAGAAGTTACTGAACCCCAAGACCAAGATGCAGACACCGGTGAACTTGACGACCGCCGCGAGGTCGGCATCAAACGATTCCATCAGTTGCGGGAACATGGGGGCGAGAGCGAGGGGTCCGAGGCCCTGGCTGAAGCTGACTGCGGTTGCGATGGACATGACCACGAGCTTGCGCATTCTGCTCCAGTTCTATCGTCGGCTCTAGTTAGTTGGGTCGCCGGAGGTAGAAAGGACAGGCAGGCACATACGAGGGGATCATGCGGATCATTGGATGGCTGAGGAACGAGGACGCGATCGGGATGGGTGGACGACTTGACAAAGTGGTGGGTGCCGACATCTGTCATGATCTCCGTGCCGGGGTAGATTTCTGTATGGAGCTCGCGCTCCAACCTGCGGAATTAGTTGCAAGATACTGGATGTCGTGTTGAGCGGAAACTTACTCGTCGCGAGTCTGCCGAGGCAATGTCAGTTCCTGCATCTCATCCCATAGAGAAGTAAAGAAATGAACCTACCGTATCATGCTTCAATTCCATGATGGGCGAATCTGCCAAATTGCTGGATGCTGCAGAGTCTAGACGCAAAGCTAGACTTACATCCCAGCTCCATTTCCCCCCGACGAGCCCCTAAACCGCGTTATATACCTGACCAGGGGATTCTCCGCAAGGCGGAATATCCCCGTCTCGACCAAGCAAGATTAAGCGAACCCCTGCAGTGCTTCTGGCATAGCGTGCGGGGGAACCAGGGCCATCGCCGACGTCTGACTGGCGGACAATTTCCCCAGATTCCACCTCCCCAGATTTTGCCTGTCAACCTTCCCATGCGCGTTTCCACGGGCCCAGGCTGTCATGACGCCACCGGTAGTTGGGAGCTAGTCGTATATGCCGCGGGCCTCGCATGTTTTGGGCGCAAATGCAAGGTCGAGCCCACACGAAGCCATCTCCTTTCCGTCCAGGATCGGAGTGTGCCCTCCCTTAGGCTTAGCTTTCTCTGTGTCGATTATGTCACTACAGTAGCGCCTTGTCAAAGGCAGTTCCGACCAATGATGGTACTGAGAATGCCTCCCAGTCTCTTGGGTATGCTTATCTTTCCCCGAAAGGGTGGACACATTCCGCACTTCGGTAGTCGATGGAAGGACATATTCCGTGTCCCGCACGTGTCCTGGTCTCATACACGAGGAAGGTCTCGATAGCTGAGAGAAACGTGATTCGCTGGCTATACCATCCTCTGCATGTAGCTTTTGGTAGAATAAATGTCAACGCTTATGTATCCAGAAACTGTATTCCTGATCCCAGCTGCAAACATCGCATGCCCGGGCTGTTTCATTGACTGGCCGTGGTTGGAGTATCCGCGGGACATTAGTAGTTCTTGATCAATGCCAATGGCGTAGTTCTAATGTAGCCTTTGACAGAAATCATGGCGGAAATCATAACCTCTGGATGCCCGATCACAACTATCCCTAGATCATGGTGGACTAGCCTATTGTGACACGACTCCAACGCATACTCCTGTTTATTCGAGCTCGACATCAGCTCTTCTATTTACTCATGCTTTTTAGCAGTACCTGTCAGCACACTTCCTTTCAGTACGCATTTCACAATGGTTCATTATTGAATACAAAAGTTACCACTCACGAGCTCATGTGGCCCAATCCCCATCAACGTCCACAACAAGGCCTTTGTCTACCGTCCATTCACCACAAGATGGACCCTTTGTCAAGGGCATTGTATAATGACCTTCTTACATCTCCTTCACCTAGGACTCAGCATACCCCTATAAATATGCCTACTAATCCCACCCTCTCCATGGCCATCACCATCACCAAGCTAACCATCCCCAACAGATCTCCCCTCTTCGAACTCCATTCAACATCATCAAGCACCCTAGCAACAACAGTGGTTCCCAGCCCCGACCGCGTAATCCGCCGCCTCAGCAAGAAATGGCGCAAGCTCCGCGACAAGACGGCAAAGTACAAAGACGCCGAGGCGATCCTTGACGAGCTCGAGCTGTTCCTCCACGAGGAGATGCTTGCAGGCGTGGACGAGACGCTGGAGAGTTTGGTCAAGGACCTCAAGGACGATGACCCCGAGGTGAAGAAGAAATTCGGGGTTCTGATATCCACTCTTGCGGAGCTTATGAGAGAGCATGCGAGGAATAATGCGGGCGATCTCGAGGAGTTGGAGAGGGTTCTTGAGGTTACAAAGAGGTGGCCGAAGGAGGGGATGACGAAGACGAAGACGAAGACGACGAGGTAGAGGGAGTTGCTCAATGCGTTGTTATCATTAGCTTATAGCACGTCTAGAATGGAGGTTTTTTGAAACGAAATATGTCCTAACGGCAGAGGTTGACCGCTAGTATTCTGTAGGACCTGTATTGATATATGGCTCTATAGGGATAGGCCCTGTGTTTTCGATACCTATAGGACCAATAGACCTGTTTTAGAAATAAGATATGCCACACTTGGAGAGATGTTATGTGGAGAGCTGTCCTTGACTTGAAGAACTCGCATGAAACGTGAGGGTATATCCAAAGCCCTGGTATCACCCGAAGCATTGCACTCACCGGCCTCTCTCGAGTCAAGGGAGGGCTTTATCAGGTCCCCGCCCTTCGAAGGGTACTGTATAAAGGACTTGGATTTATCTGTACTTTCATGGAAAGCGGGGTGCAAGTACACTAAGTTCTTGTCAAGATTCAGCTCAATAGGAAAAAAAAAAGCCTTATAGAGCAGTGCTCAAAGACATTGTGTCTTTGTTTCCTCCACAAAGAAAAAACGTCTATAAAGAGGCCGAACTTCCCAGGGGGAGTCTGGTTTCGAAAGACCTATTCGATATCGCCCATAACATTTCCGCCCTCCCGTAGCTACGATTCAACCGCAAACCAAAGATCTTGAAACTGTTTTTCTACCTCACCATGTCGTCCAAGCAATTAAACGTAGCTGAGCAAGAACCCCCCTCCCAGCGAGCAAAACGCTCATGGGAGGCCCAATACCAAGAGCACCAAAACGCAAAACGCCTCGCCTCGCTCGAAAAAGTCGAAACTTGGCTCAAGGCGCAACAATGCGATGACATCCTCGACCTCATTGAGAACCAAGAAGGCACCAGCGAACTGATCGCCCGCGCCAACGCCCAGATTCGGCTCATGGCCGAGGCCTGCGACGCGGGTCGATTGGACGAGGCTGAACGGCTCCGTGCGGATATGATGGCTGGTCTCTGCGATTGGTTGAGGAAGCATGCGCAGGATTCGGGAATGGACGCTGATAGAGTGGAGTTTGTTTTTAATCTTACGGGGAGGTTTGTTAGGGATAACTAGGATTGGAGATTTCTGTGGGTTTCGGGAGTATCAAGTCCGGGATTTGTGCTTTTGATAGGGATAACATCGTATATTCCTTGACATTCACGTCACTTGGTGCCGTGAGCTTTTGTGGAGGTTAAAAAGTGGTAGATGAAAATCTTCTAGGGGCGCTTGGATGGAGGAGTAATCCAATACCCCAGGTAAATTACTTGATCTCTATATGGCTCGCGGTGACTGAACAAGAGTGCTATGAGCCTGCCGCGAGTTTCTACTGGCACTCTGGAAAGGATAGGGCCTTTCCTGGATCAGCTTTCTGGTTTCCATACATGGCGAAGAGGCACTCTACTATGATTCAGCGTGAGAGAGCATTGTTGGAAAATCATTTGCCTAAGCTAAACTAATGGAGAATACCAAATCACGAGAGCTGCTATAAACTTCAAGACATAGAGACGACAAACCAACGCTGGGTGAGTAGACTAAACACCGAGACACAATTTGAAACCAGTCAGCAAACGAAACAAAACAAAACAACCATCATTCGTCAGATTCGCAACACCTTGTAAAAAGAGACCGGTCCAGCATCCTTCCTCCTCACAGACCCAGACCAAGACCGAGGAGACCGGGCCTCCTGGACACCTGAATATCCTTCAGGACTCTGCATGGCCTGTCGGTGGCCTAAGATGATTGTTAGAATGTTCAGAGTCGAAGAGACGTATAAGAAAAGAAGCGCGGGGGGTGGTGGAATGGGATAATTACCAGTGGGACATTGACAACCGTCGCATCGGTTGTCAATTCATCAGGAACACAGCACGCAACGTAATTCTGGCATGTCACGGTAGAGCTCCCTAGGGCTAGTTAGTGTCTATAACTCCACCGAAGGCGTAAGATAGTCGGGAGGTACGAACCAATAAGAGGCGCGCAGCCAGAGAGGAGATTGGTGGGGGTCACGGCGCCAACGACCTGGACCACAGCGTTGACCAGGCCGGCTTGTTCAGCTGTCGGGGTAACCTCGGTGGGGTTTGCCTGTGAGATGCCCGAGCAGCACGAGAGCTCGAGGCCGGTACACTGGTCCTGGAAAGCCTGGCGGACCTCAATGTCCTTGGGGAGGGCCATGGCGACCATGGAGACGGAGAGGATGGTGGGGATGATGAACTTCATTTTGATTGGTGGTGTGGAGGTTGATAGAATGGTTGAAGTAATAGATTGAGATCTGAAGATGTCTTTGGAAGATGGAGCTGGAGCTGAAGCTGGAACTGGAGATGGAACTGGAGATGGAACTGGAGATGGAACTGGAGATGGAACTGGAGATGGAACTGGAGATGATGATGAAGCTGATGATGCTGATGATGAAGTTGATGATGGACGGACGATGAAGCAGTATAAATAGTATTCGTCCTCAGTATCCCATCAGCTCTCCTACCAAGCTCTTCCATTTCCTCGCAGTAAAGACTTGCCAGCCTTACCATAGCACATAGCAAATCCTCATCTTCCAGGAAGAGGATACATGATTCCAACACTCTTCAACCTCAAGTTGGTATTTCCAACCATCTCAGACAGTCTGCGTCAAATTATTAAGCCTGGCAGGAAATTTCCGATGGGCGTCCAACACGTGTCTGGAGGGTCTGGCCGGCGCCGAAATCAACGCCACATAGCCCTTACTTCCCAGAACGGAATGGAAAGATCAACCCCACCAAATAGATCTATCTAGGCCCTGCGTGGCGTCGGTAACTGACTTTCCTATTGGTACGTTGTAATTCCTGGGGTAGCCATATATGTCGATGCGGTCTTAGCACAGGGGTAGAGCAGTTGAAGTAACCAGCCCCATAGAATGTTGTCCAAGCCAATTCACATGGGACGTGCATTTCCGCCGGCTCGCTTGCCGCGCCTCGTGGTTGTCAATTATAGCTAGCTACCTGGGTTCCCCACGATTCCCTATATCTGGTTTGTGGGGGTGGAGGTTGATTAAATTCAACAGGAAAGGTTGAGTCGGTGTGCAGCAGTTGGGGAGCCTGACTAGATCAGATTCTTCGTTCTTCACCACAAAGAAGAGATCTGCGGCTCGTAATTCCTCAGCCTCATGCTGAATCGTGGCTTCTCGTCTTAGCACTGAAGACCAGCCGTCTCCAAAGAATATGTGGCGTCCACCAGTCACACCTATCCCGCCTATACCAAACTTGCAACCCTATGCTCGATTGCTTCGAGACTCCAGCTAGTCTGGGCGCTCGGTCGATTGTATCGCACCTTTAGATGGTCACATTCAGCACCCAACATGTTGTTCCTAGTAACGTCTGGGGCGCGGCGTGCATTGTAGCTGTCCAGCCAGAGAGAATTCCAACGAGGCATACAACATGTCGATGAAAACCTCTTGCAAACAACTCGGCCCGACACCCATCACCAAGCCAAAGTCGCCTGAAGCAGCTCTGCACCGTGAGATGGTGGAGCTTGTCAAGATCGCCAAAGAGCTCGGTGGCAAGCAGTTGGTCAGCGAGTACGAGAAGGAGGAAAAGTATCTCCAGGAAGTCTTGGGGCATTACCCTACCACACTCGCGGCGCAGCACTATAAGCGGATTGAGAAGCTTACCAAAGGCCTTGTTCAGGAGTTGAGGGGGAAGGTTGATGGTACTGAAGAGATGTGGCAGCAGATGACGGTGAGGGAGAATTGCAACAAGGTTATCAATGCTGCGAGGAGGTGGCTGCCGGATGAGGTCTTGTATAGCTAGGTCTACCTTGGTATGATCGTCTTGTTTGGTATTTCTTTGGTGAGTCACTGATGTCATAGGAGATATAAAAGAAATTGACAAGGATTATGTCGCTCTCCTATTTGCATAACCATCCGATATTAGATCCGACAACCCTCTACCACAGTCTTGGACTTGTAAGGTATTTCCAACCTACAATATTAAACATCTGAAACTCACTCCATCAAATAACGCCCATGGTGGCACAACGCACTAGGGCTGCGCATGTAGTAATTCAAACAACTCCCTGAACCCACTGCGAACTATATCCTGTCTCGATTGGGGTTCGGACGACTGCCGATGCGACGGACGGATCCGATATGCACAGGCTGACTCCGAGAATCGGCATATACCGGTAGCAAGGACTAAAGAAAACATCTTTTTTAGAAGCGAGGGACGTATCCGATGACTTGCAGGCGTTCTCAGTGAAGACTCGTTGCTGAAGTCAGTCAGCAACACGAAGAGGCGTTTTGAGGACGGCCCTCTTGTATTTGGAACAGCCCCATGCGGGAAGAATTTATCAAAGAGTTCGTTTAGAAAAATAGCACATATATCGATTTCCCAGACAGCATATTACATATGCTGCGGTCAGGTAATGCTAGTCAGTTAAGCAGCGAACTTGCTACCAAAGCAGAAAGCTACGACCCGTTGCCTCAGCAGCTTGGTTTGGATGTTCGCTTAACAGTAAATTGGCTGAGCGGACAACGAGTTTATGCAAGGTGCACGCGTAGTGTACAATGTTAGGAGTCCTATTTCCAGAATATCCTCCCCTCAAACAACCGTCTTGCCGTGCGAAAAACCGTCGCAAACTCCAGTCCGCCATCAGCTCCAAACGTAGCCCCGACAAGGATATTCCCACTCGCATGGCCTATTGTGATCCGGGAAGGATCTACAGGATCTGAACTGGTAACCTCAGCCACCGTACTCCCAGGCAAGCGAGCAGCAGTCACGAGCGCCAAAGCCACTGTAATCGGAACAGCCTTGTGCGGCTGTCCAACCGAGAGCGCACGAACAACAAGATCAACCCCCCGTCCATCACTCGCTTCCTTCGGCGACGAGACCATTCCAATCTTGGGCACACTCCCCGGAACCTCCTCCAGAGTCCCCGCAAGCCCCATCGCCACGCCCGCCTGCCTGCGAATGGAATCCAACCTCTCGAGTAACCCCGGCGCAGCCGTAATCTCATCAGGCGACAATGTCCCCTCCACACCAAGATCCTCCGCACGGACAAACACACACGGGTTCGCAACATCCACACACGTCGCCTCAACACCATCAAACACATCCCTCACTACCCCAGTCGGCAACATCTTGCCCGTCCTTGACCCAGCAGGGTCAATAAAATCGAGCTTGATGGGCGCAGCCGTCCCGGCCACACCATCGACAGCCAGCTCCCCGCGCGCCGCAGCCTCGCCCTCGGCAAGCGGAAACGTCGCATGGATGATCTTGCCGGTATTCGTATTATGGATCCGGACAACCGCAGACTCTGCCTCACCATGCACATCGAAAAGCCCGGCGTCAACGGCATACGGACCAACGGCGCTCACCATATTCCCGCAATTACTCGAGAAATCAACCTCGTCGTTCTTCACGCCCAGTGCGGCAAATGTATAGTCGACGTCTGCGGCTGGGTGTGTCGCCGCGCCAACGACGCAGACTTTGGACAGGCTGGAGATTCCGCCGCCTAGGCCGTCGAGTTGCCGGCCGTAGGGGTCCGGGCTACCGATTACCCCGCGGAAGATGGGCGCCCATTCTGTTCGGTTCCGTGGGAGGTCGGCCTGATTGAAGAAGACGGCGCGCGAGGTTCCGCCGCGGTAGTAGGCTGCCGGCAGGGAATTTTGGCTTGCGCGGGATGACGCGTGGCGCAGAAACTGTAAGGTCAGCTTGGACTGTTGTATTGTGCGGGTGAACATTGTGCGATGGATTGCCCCTTGTTTCTTGGGCTGGCGAGTTGTCGTTGCATTTTGATGGCGGCTGAGCCGAGGCGATCGGATGCTTCCGAAAAGCGGATCTCTCCGCCGCCGAGACCGGCACAACGGGGGGGGGGGAATGTGGTGCACGGAATCTGGGGTCATGCCTTGGATTAAGGAGGTAAAGTTATAATTTCGGCCGCTTTTCGCTGTTGGTGATAGTGGAAATCTGCAAGCCTGTCTGGCCGGCCAAAATACACATCTCTATACAGCACAAGTGCACTATCAAAGCATTGTCCGAAGCGATATTATCGATACATTTTTTTTTTCACTCAGTACATCGAGCCACCTAGCAGCAGATGTTTTCCTCTAATGCTGCTCCAATGGCCCTATAAAGTCCGGATTTGCCTATAAGACACTCAAACTTCAATTATAACAAGCCAAATGAAGCCTACGCCCCCTCATCCGCATCAATTAAAACCCCATGCCCCGGCCACCCCGGCCTCGGGAAAAACCCCAGCGTCTTTCTGTCCCCAAACTCATCAAACCCCATATTCGCAACGCTCACATTCATAAACAAACTATGCGCCTGCGACGCCGGAACCCGATTATAGACGATCCCCTTCACCTTCGGCAGCTCCACATCCCCAAGCACCTCCCTCGCAAGCTCCTCGTCTTTATACCGAAACATGTAGTCCGCGTACACGGCAACAACGGTCTTGTCAATGGCTGATGGTTGGTCAATGAAGAATGTCGGTGTGCTTGTTCCGTAGGGGACGGAGCGGCCGCGCTTGTATGTGTATAGTTCCCAGAAGACGTCCCACATGTCTTCGACGGTCCCGTCGCGGATTGGATCATCCTCGGGTGGTGTCCAGGGCACGAAGCAGGCCGTTTTGGGCGGACTCCCTTCCCAGTCGAAGTCCGGGTCGAATTTGAAGAGTTCGGCGCGAATAGCCCTGTCTTGCTCTGCGGTCAGTTTATTCGTGAGATAGAATGCCGAGACCCAGTTTACTGAACACGTTGTCGGCTGCCAGGGCGGTGTTGAGTGTTGATACATAGAAGGGGCCGTCTGGTGGGTAGAGGAGTTCCGTATCGGGCGTCTCGTGCTCGGGACGGGACCAATTGCCTGACCAGCTGGTGTTCCAGAGGGGGAGGATGTGGGAGGGTGTCAGGTGGGCGATGTAGGTGCCGCCGTAGATGCTCGAGCTGACGACTTTTAGCTTTACAGTCGTTGGGTCGTGGATCGGTGCGTCGAGGAGGAAGATATCTCGGACGACATCGTCGAGTGGGACGAGGGACTGGTATGCGTTCCAGAGGGCGAGGAGTTGGCGGCGCGTTCCCGTGTTGTGGTGGTGTTCCCATGGGATTGCGTGGACTTGGATTTGTTTTGTCGACCCCTGGCTCTTCTTTTCCTGATTATCTTTGTGGAGGGTTCTCTGTGCAGTCTCGAACGCCTCCTGAAGAGCCGATTCCGTCCTTTGCTGTTCCTCAGGCGTAGCGCGGAAGAGGAGAAAGACATTCAGATGATCATTTCCTAGAAGCTTCACACTTCCCGGAAGCTCAATAGTCAAACCCTGAGCTACTGGATCCTTCTCCCAGCTCATAACCGCGGTGGAATCCGGAATAAAAGGCCTCTGGTCAGGATCATGCAGGGCCAACCCGCAATCGGCAAACGGACTCTCCTTTCTATGAAGCGGCACGAGTTCAAAACTCTCCATCTCCCCCATAAAGTCCTCGTAGACAATCTCGTGCTCATTTTCGCCTCTCGGCCAGGTCGGGCCGGCGGTGCGTTTGGCGAGGATCGAGATTTGGTCTCCCGCAGTTCCTGGTTCTGACACTGACTCTGATGTTGGTACTGACCTGATGGAGACCATCACGACGGAGATTGTCGGGTACTCGCCTACTCGCAGAGAACCCGTAAGCTGGCGCTTGGTGAGCTCGTCTGCGACGAGAAGGCCGGTATAGCCTGCGCGGGCGGCCAGGATAGCCGCAGCATGGATATTCGCTTGGCTGTCCAGACGAGGACCTGGTTTCGCGATGGACTGGAGAGTCTCGGGCGATGGGTGCCAGGCATGGAGAGTGAGGGACTGGCCAGTCTTTCCTGCGCTATCTTGCAGGTGCTGGATTAACTGGTTCTTTTGATCTTCTTCTAGGTCGGTCAGAAATACTAGTGGGAGTTGGGATCCCTTAATCGTGTCGTCCTTTGGCGGTATCCCTGCAATAGAGACGCGTGCAGATGTGCCTGACATGGTGATGTTGAAGGAGGAAGAATCTTACGACGTCATTTTTGGGGGCAGATGTTTGTACCAGGACTGACTCGAGAACGATCATTCTCTCTTTTGGGTAATGCCAAGCTGAGGCAGTAGGTAGACAGAGGCAGCACACCGAGGTGGCATGGGAGGCCTGATAGGGCTCCATAATACACAGCATCGAGAGCAAATAAACCCTACAGGAACGCTGATTGCTGAACACGGATTATAGATAAGTATTTCGATTGGAACACTCTAAAACAACACCGATATAGTACCTAATATACTACACCTAACTACTAAACCACCACCTAACCCGTGGACCTCCCAACTACCTTCCCAGAAAATCCAAGAGCGCCTTGGCGACGCGTCCATGATACTCCGCCTCGCTAACATGCCTCAGCGTCATGTTATCAAACTTATACTTCAACTCCTCAACCTGGGGCTTCCGCGGCGCAAAGTGCGACAGCCAGATCATGGCAAACTCGTGATCCCACTTGTCGGTTCCAGCCTGGGCCCCGCTCGCGCACGCGGGGCAGTACACGTACTCGTTTGACAGGTATGCGCGGCCGCACTTGTGGCAGACGACGATCTGCCCGGATGTTAGTGAGTTTTTTGCCATTTTCTGGGTGTATAGGGTGGAGGGGTGCGGGTAGTTTTTGTGGGGGGTGGTGTTTGTGGGCATCGATGGGGGATTCTGTGATGCTTGGGATTGGGTGGTATATCTCAGCTGTGATTTGATAATGGTGTGAGATGGATGGGAATAGAACTGGGTATGGGTGTTGGGGTGAGCGAAAAGGAAAGGGTGAGAGTGGTATTATGTACTTGGGTTCCAGAATCAAGTATTTAAACTTCTCGTCCCATCATTGTGTTCTTGGGGACAAAGGCCTTTGATACGTGTCATTAATGGCGCATTGTTAGTTCTTTGGTTTCTAAGAGAATTCGCTATTATTTGTCTTTGAGAGTCTCCAAGAGAGCAATAAGTCTGTAAGTATTCTCTATAGCTTTCCTTGAAAGGCACCCATTGTTATATACCCTACCTATTTGAAACAATAAGTCTCCGTAACAAAGACGCGCCATAGCCACAAGAAGATAGATCCTTTTGTCTGATTAAAGGTTGCTCGCTCACTAGACAAAGAGTCTACTGGGAAAGAATCGGATCTGCAACATAGACCAGAGGACTCCGGCAGCATAGGCCTCGCTGAATTACCAATGCTGCAACTCGGCCAGGACGGCCTATTCGTACGAACACTTTGGAGCATACATTTACGAGACAGCACAGTCCTACCGTGGGCAACTAGGCAAAGCGCCTATTATCCCGTTGATTCTTTCTTTCTCGTCCACGAGTGCTGTTGGCAGTATGCAAGGAAGCGAGGGTTACTGGCACTGCCAAAGCATCATTATCTACGTAATGGATTGAGTTTTGGGTTCGACCGTGTGTTGCAGGCTAGTCGATGCCCCCTGTTCACCCGTGGGAGCAGATGTTCCAACTGAATAGACCGCAAGCCTAAACAATATGACAGACAAAATTCCGGGACCAAAACCGGGTTTAAGCTACGTTATATGGACATCAAAGATGGGATGAGAAGTATAAAAATGACAAATTTTTTTAATTTCTTTTTATTATTTAGTAAAGATATAAGCGAACGTAACCAATTACACATAAAGAAGAGAGATAAAGCCACAAGGAGCAGACTAGAGCATACCTGAATCACCTCACACACATCCTCTTCGCCGAACCGTCCACAACCGTCTCGCCATCGCTATCATCGAGGAGAAACGAGCGCCCGCAATAATTCTTAACACGGCGCTCCTCGTTTCGGCGCTTGCGCTGAATCTCAGAACAAGCCACAGAAAGCACGCCGAGTTGATCCTCAAGATGAAACTTCCTGCTCTTCAGAAACCGCATCCGACTCTCATAGTTGGCCGTCATGGCTTGCAACTCGTTCTGCAGCTCTTGGACCTTGCTGTCAAAGTCGTCGAGGCAGGTGATGATTGTGCTGTTGACGTAATTCAACTCCTCGGCGGCTGTTGCGTGTCGAGCCTGCGCAAAACCCATTGAGCTCTGCTTGAGCGACTCCATGTGCTCGGCTTCCGCCGCGCCCCAGGCCATGGGCGGGGGAGTAGGATACTTGGCATCCGAGTCGTCATAGCACTCGGACGGGTAGGGAACGCCGACATACTGGTCATCTATATCCTTGAGACGCACACACCAGTCGTTGACGAACCAGTCGTCTTCGAGAAACGCTGGTGGACTCTGGCCGGCAGGCTGCGGCACGGGCTCCAGAATCTCCGCATCAGCCATATAACTGGGAAGACCCACGTAGGATAGATGGGAGGGGTCAATACTTCCCTTGTCGAGACCATGATACAGCCACTCGTTGACATTGTCAATCTCCGGACCCCAGAGCTTATTCAAGTACTCACAGGGCTCCAGGCTGATCTGAGCAGGAGCCGGAGCCGGGGTAGATGCAGCGTACTTGTCCGCCTCCGCGTCCACCTCAGCACCCCCGGCATAAGAGTAAAGAACCGTCTTGGGACTGATGCACTCATCCTCGAGCTCCATCAGATGATCCAAAATTGTATTCACCGAAAACTGCTGCGGGATCTTCTCTGGGGGCAGGAGCTTCTCGTAGTTGATGGGATCCTCGTCGTAGACGACCTCCTTGAACACAACGTGATTGGTCTCGTTGTAGCACTCGAGCTCAGCGTCGTCTCTGCAACTCGCGCAATAGTCGACCTCTCCGGAAAACAGGTTTGCAGCAGTCATGTTAGTGGTTGTTAGCTTGGTACTTTGGATGATTGTGGGAAAGTGGAGAATTTGGCGTGGTCAGCTAACAATTTCTACTGCGTAGATTGAGATGGACACCGACTGTTGCACCGCACATTGTCGCAGTATTTATATCCTTCCGGACACGGTCCTTTGTCAAGAGAATCACTGGTCGCCTTTGTTTGATTGCATTGTGTGTCGACCATTGATGGTATCACCTTGTTGTTTCGGGCCTTTGTGATAGTTGGGGAAGGCTGGGTCTTCCCCATTGACCGTGTCTAATAGGCTTTGAAACATTCTTGAGAACAAAGATCGCAGACGTTTTGAATTGCAAAACTCGTCTGGAGGCCTTGTTCTTCTCTTTGTCTCGTCTGTGTCTATTGTCATCTTGAGCACCTCAATAAGTTCCTTGCTTGTATTCTTGCCTCCTGTATGACTGGCCAATATCTCGGTAGGGCAAAGAGACAGGACGGGTTTTGTCTGCCATACCACGTGTCGACGAAGACCTGCGAGGCAAGGTATCGTTCGGACAGGAGCCGACCTCAGAGTTCGAGCGAAATCTGCCATTCGTTAAAGATTGCTTGCGACGTTCTAGAATCATATACTACCTAAATAGGTGGGAAGGCCAAGACATCTTACTCGACAAGACGTCCACCCAGACTCAAAGCGCACATGGTCCTTCAAGACAGTGTCCACACTACCTGCAAGATAGGGATTTTCTCAAGGTCGAAATGGAATGGATGCCTTGACACAGGCACGAACTCATGCGCTCGATTGCCAAGTCCTAGAAAGAGTTCGTCCAAGGGAGAAAGGAGACGAAAAGAACACTTGGCAGTCGCGCTACACTCAAGGGTATCCTGGAGCAAATGGATGTCGAATATCTAACCTATACCAAGCTACATTGTGCGTGCCCAGGACAGTGTCTGCCTTGGGCGCACCCTGCAGTCGAGGTTGCCAGGTTGACAAGGTGATATCAAGCCACTCTATTGCCCGATCTGTTCGTATCGTTAGCGGCTATGTTACTCGTCTAGAGTAATGGTGTCAGGGAAGGCGACCTCGGACGGACCAGATGACCTGTTGGAGCAGCCACAGGTCTAAACCTCAGCAAGCGGTTGACCGCAGTAGTCTTTGCTTTGCCAAGGTGATAAACGATTTCCCTCCAATGGAAATATCCCGCCAATATCCAGCCTGCATGGCTCGCGCTCGATAAGATTAAGTGGCTGTCAGCCTGAATCTCCGCCCCTCACGCCTCCCGGTCCTCCCATGCGCCCTGTGGCGGGTCGACAGCCCTATGCGGCTCGCATCTTCCGAATCCTGTGACAATCTCCAGATATAAGGGGGCAATATGCTGTCGTACGAGTTCTCACATTCTTAACTCCATTTCACAGCTAACAATCAGGCGGCGACCGACCTACCCCCTCTTGCGCTCAGTTGTCTTGGCCCCTTACTTGGCGGCTGGGCAATCTATTCCCCCGTGCAATCCAAGCACTTGGTCCTCGTTGTCTCATGCAGCGGGTTGGCCACCTCAACAGACAAGAGGAGCGGGGCAGGCTGTCTGCCTGGCCTCCTCCCCCAGGATTCTGCCCAGATACGACAAGCCAGGCTGATGTAACCTCGCTATCACAAAGCGCAATGCCATCTCTCCATCTCAGTCTCACGCCATCGACGACATTGCCCCATGGGGTCTTATCTGCTCGAATCAGGGACGACACCGCGACAAATGCCAACAGGCTGAGCTCTTGTCCGCTCCCTTGGCACTGATAGGGTGGCAATGCGGCTTGCTCTCGTTTATTCTCGGAGGTTGAGGCGCGGCACTGTATATGAAGCCGAGGGGTGTCCCTGTGCAGTGTACCCCGACTTCCTTGTAGCTGTGCAACACCCGAGTTCCTCGAGAGACTTGGTGCATTCCCATTTGCAATGGAGAAAAGCGTAGGTGTCAAATCCCAGGAGGGGACGGTCGACAACGGCTCGCAGGAGTATGCCATCCGACAGCACACGACCGAAGAAGTCGACGTCGAGGAGCAGGTCAAGCGGCCCTGGTGGCATTCCATCAAAGAGCCCGGGTCAGCGTTGCAAATTGTTATAGCGGCTGCACTCGCCATCGCGATCGGTCTGTCCGTTAGCAGCACTGTCGATGATATTCCGTACGCAGCTCCTACTATTCTTGAGATCCCCGGTGCGCTATGGTTGCGTGCGTTGAGAGCAGCTGGTAAGCTATACTACCAATTGATGCGGCCATCGGTGTCCTAACAAGGAACAGTCCTGCCGATGATTGTCACCGCCATGATCCTCGCCGTCCAACGACTAAGGGAGCTGTCCAACGGTGGCAATATCCTCGCACGATGGACGATTGGATACTATGTGCTCACGACCCTCTTTGCCATCGTCCACAGTATCATCTTGACTTCACTCGTCTGGCGGACCCTCATGACCCAAGCGAGTGCCGAATCGCTCAACGTCGAGGAAGATGACAAGGAAACATTTGAAGAGCGGGAGTCGACCGACATCGCCGACGTTGTCGTGCAAATGTTCGAGTCGCTGATCCCCATTAATGTCGTCAACGCCCTGGCAACTGATAGCTTGCTCGCTGTACTTGTCACATCCATTGTGATCGGTTATTTGATCGACGGGCGTACCTCATACATCCTCAAGGCGGTCGTCGAAGTCGAGCAGATCATCCTTAAGATCATCACTGTCCTCATCAAGCTCGCTCCCATTGGTGTCTTCTTCTTGATTCTATCCAACATGTTCCGTCTCGACGTTCGTGACATTGGCCAGAATCTGGGTGTCCTGATCGGTGGTTCCCTCGTCAACCTCGCCCTCCATTTATTTATTGTCCTCCCCGCGCTGTTCTTCATTTTTACACGGAAGAACCCCTACTCATTCTGGTTCCGATGCTCGCCCGCTTGGATGACTGCGTGGGGTACAGCATCTTCTGCCGCTACCCTTCCTTTGTCTCTCAAGGTCGTCCGCCAGGCCGGTGTATCCAATACAGTCAGCAAGTTCACCGTTCCCCTCGGCTGTCTTGTAAACATGGATGGGTATATTCCTCTCTCCATCCCAACGTACTCCCGGATTTAGCCCCCTCACTAACCCGCAACTTCAGAACCGCAATCTACTTCCCCATCTGCGTCGTCTTCCTCGCCGAGACCCAGGGCCACTCACTCAGCCCTGCCGACTACGTCATCATCTGTCTCCTTTCAACGCTCGCCTCCATCGGCACAACGCCCATCCCCAGCTCAAGTTTGGTCCTCACCGTGATGATCGCGGGCAGTGTCGACGTCGAAATCACTGGAATGTACGCCGTCATCATCGCGATTGATTGGTTTATTGATCGTTTCCGGACGATGACCAACGTCAGCGGAGATTTGTTCGCGGCAGAGATCATTGAGAGGCTGAGTGGGTTTAATGATCAGGTTGGGCACGAGGATGATGCGGATAATGGGGTTCGGGATGAGAGGGAGCGCGGGCATGGAATGGTTTAATACAGCTGCGTGCGGCTTGGAGGAGTCTATTGTACAAGGCTATGTGTATCGAAGTGGATGGAGTGAGATGCATGTGCACAGGTAGCTAGATATCTACATTGCTTGTTCTATGCCACAATCTGGTTTATTCTGTACTCCCTAGGACTTGTTCAGGCCCATATCCCAAGTAGCCATCTAGACGGGCGGGCTACTCATTCGGTGTTCCCCTCTACCAGATCTTGTAGGGCTATGACCTCACGCCTAGCATTAGTGGAATTTCACATATGGCCATATAATGTTCAATATGCCTTAGTGTACTCAATAATATATACTCTCATTTATTCCTACAAAGCCCCACCCCCTTCATGTCCTCTCGTTGTTCACACTCGGTCCTGGATCTGACTTTTCGCCGGGAACTGCGCCAGGGACTCCCTGGCCCTAACAAAGCCAGCATCTATGAGCTTTTTGAACACATGTCGGGCGTCTAATTTTACCCAGGTGTCACAATGTACTTGCCTGCAAAGTTCCGAGTTCGCTAAACACGGGTTTCATTGTGCCGGGCACGCTCTGTTGGGACAGGTATCACCAGTTATACCCCATACATTTCGCTGCTATAGCCTGTAGCTCTATATTTAAATGCTTGGAGATGGTGTATCGTAGCCCCTGGAAGTGTGGGGACACACAAGGTTCTGAGACCCATGATTATGATTGCCTAACATACTTTGATGTCCTTAGGGAGTGGGTAGAGAACATTGTATGCACTACGGACTGTTGCCTCTAGGAAGAATTACATTGTTGATTCCAAGATCAGATTCGGCGAGTAGCTATGAGAATTGGCAAAGAGTTAACAATATATTTTGTACAATTAGTAGCAACACAGCCTGTGAGTATGTAGATAACCACGAAGCAGAGGTAGCTCAAAATACACGCAACCCCACCCCACCCTACTCCTGATACCCGTTAAAATAACACCAAAGCGCATCCCCAGCCTCCATATACCTCTCCATATCCCGCTCCCTCCCAAACTCAATGCTCAAAAAGGGCGCAACATGCGGAATCAACAAATCATACGTACGCTTATCCTTGTCATAATCCTTTCGGCGCAGATGACACTCCCCACGCTTCTTGTACCCTCCCTGCCGCTCGAGGATCTCTTCCAGGATCTCGACGGCGAGCCGCACCCAGCCCAGAAGCTTCTCAGCGTTTTCGCGGTCCAGGGCAGAGCCGCTGTTGTCGATTGTGGTCGTTGTTGCGGAGATGTACCACCGGCGTAGGGCGAGGGTGAGGCGTTTTTCTTCTTTGGTCATTCCCTGGGTGGGCATTTTGTAATCGGGAAAGTAGATGTTGGTGGTAATGATTGGACTCTGGCGCTTTTGGGATTAATGTAGGAGAGCAAAGAGTAGACTAGCCGATAGAAATGCTTCCAGGGGGGAGGCCCGGGATACCTGAGGTTATTTATAGTCAAACATCCATTGCATTCATCCATTGTATTGTTTTATCCATTGTTTTTATGTTCCTTAAATCCAAAATAGTTGACTGCACTTTCCTTTGTCCATTATGCTTTCCAGAGACATATGATAACGACGCGTACAAGGCTCCTTGTTGACAACCAAAGTGTGTCTTTGATAGTGGGATTACTCTATTCTGCACTTGGCAGGTGCGAAACCTTACGCATTCAAGGGCCTGCTATTGTTGGACACTAGTACTATTACCATTCACCATAATAAAACCTTTTATGGGCTATGTCTTGTACTCCCGGTATATCACCCCCTAGAGATAGAGTGTATAAAAAGGGGCTCTTGAGGGCATCTGTCGTCCCGCTTTTAACAACTCTATGGGTCTATCACAAAAGGCTCACTGAAGTGGATCATAGTCGTTCTTCAGTTGGAAGCCGCTGGTGGTCTAGGAAGCAGCATGCCATTACACGGGGAAGGGCTATAGCTTACTAGATTATTCATACTTAGCATTATGAAATAGTCGGCAATACTTATCATTGATATCAGAATTGTCCTATTACTTGAACTGCGAATAAACACTGGAAACTACCAATTTCTTTTTATATCTTCCCACAATGCTACAGATACCCCCCCGAAAATTCCGAAGGAATACCAATAAGTAAGGAAAGAAATGAAAACTAAAAACAACGAGGAACAAGTCCCTCAAAAGTCACAAGTAACTCCAAGCGCAATAAAACACAGTATAAAGACACCCATCACTACCCCTCCCCTGCAACCCCAGGGCTCACTAGCCAAAGACGTCATTATGCCATATGTAGGCTGATGGAAGTCAGCGTACTTCTCACATGCCATGCGAGGCATTGGCACACGCCACCGGCTCACAGCTCCAAAGGAAAGTCGATATCAACCTGCTCCTCGAGATATTCGACCAGGGCCTTTCTTTCGGCAGCATTCAGCTGGGTAGTGAGCTTCTCAAGGGCCTCCTCAACCCCCTTGATAAGCTGGTTTCCCTTGGCAACTTTGTTGCTGGGAACCTTGCTCCGTTTGGCGTCGGACAGCCAGATCTTGGCTCGGTGGATGGTTTGTTCGGCGGTTGCGGCTTGTCGGTTCTGCGACATTTTGATTGATTTGTGGGTGATTGTGGCTGAGGATTGGTTTCGTAGGGGTGATTTGTTGATTCAGTGTGATTGTTGATGGAGATAGAGGAGGAGATTGAGTGATGATGATGAGAACGATAGCTGGATAGAGTGGGAAGTTGGGGCTATTTATGCATGTTCGTAGCTTTGTTCGCGGCGAGTACAAGAGCCTTTGTGGTATTATGAGGAGAATCAATCACCTTTGTAAAGTGATCTCCTTGGTTTAGCATTCCGAAAGCCTCCATTTCCAAGATGGGTTATGAAGACAAGCATAACCCACTACCCGTGCAGCACGCTTTGTAGCCCGCTGCAACAAGTTCAACGGATAAAAGGACTCGGCGGAAAAAGCGCAGACTATCAGTTGGAAGATATTCAATGAAAGTCTAGTGGGTCTGTAGGGCTGAATGTCAGATCATTCAACTTCCTGTGAGGTAAAGCAAACAAAGACGTGCGTGAACAGGGTGAGACTTGAATAATATTACACGTCGCAAATGTTTAAAGCCTATCCTGGATGCAAGATCGAAGGCTGCGTATTGGTCAATATGGCAAGAGTTTGTCAATCAGGACGGTCGCAAGGAGCCTTGTCAGACGCCGATGGATGCTCTGGCAAGGTAAGAGGACTCCCTTTATCTCGCACAAAGGATCCTGCAGAGTCCACTCCACCTATGCGCTCAAAGAGACGATATCGTCTGCTAGTAGAATGGTTTCAACATACTTGGCATTGATCCATGCAGACCGTTTTTATCCAGCAGCAGTCACCGACAATTTCTTATTCTACTATCTTGGGGGTACGCGGCCAAGACCATGAAGAGTTGAATCATTGAGCATCTTTTACCGAGAAAAAATAGTCCGCCCTTGTGTTCCGAAAACAAACCCCCAGGAACCAGGATATTATGTTTGCTCGTCCATCTTGCCGCCAGGCATGCACCGGCGCCCAAGAGTGCCTAGAGAGATATCAGAAACGTAGAACAATGAGGCAGTCGGTATGCCTCGTACTCTGCATAACCAAGATACCCAGCTCCACCTTGGCTACTCGCCCTTGACAGTCCGAACAGCCTCCGCCCTCGCCTCCTCCATCTCCCTGAACCGCTGCTCGGTCATTATTCCCTCCCTGGGCCTTACACTGGGTATCTTTATCTGCTTCTTGTCTTCGCCCTTCCCAGCGTGGCATGCCGATCCCGAACTACCCTCCGTCCATGATTTTCCCCAAAAGGCCCGGTCCCACTTTGTGTCTTTGACGCAGGAGGAAGAGAGGCAGATTATGTGCGTCGAAGGCGCGCAGCGGTTTGCGCCGGTAGTGGACGCGAGACTCTGCTTCGCTGTAATGGAGGTGGCGGTGGGGATCGTAGTGCTCGCCAGAGGGTGTAGCAGAGTTGCAGACGTAGATGGCATTTTGGTCGGCGGGAAATCGTCGCGGTAGTCGCTGGAGTTGCAATATAGGAGGGTAGTCGCCTTTTAGATGATGTAGAAGCCGATTTAATTGATGGGTAGAGGGGGTGGTGGATGGACGTAGGAGTGTTGAGGGTTGGAGGGGTGTAGGGAGTTATTTCAAACTCGACTGCAGGGTGATTGTAGGTCAGACACAAAGGCCGTTGTACCAAGGCAATTGAGGCCCCCTTTTCGAACAGTGAAGGCCTTTGTGGTAATTGAGCTTCGCTCAAGACAACAATGCCGTCTATTTGTGGTTCTGCATCGCCGGGTTACCATGACTACTGTGATACCGATTGATTGTCATCAATGGCGCAAGGCCGCTACCGCTTCAGCTTCTGCACCTGCATCGCAGTAGACCATCCCAAATCCGCCTCAATACCACGCAACAAGTCGATAACAATCTGTCGCTCCTCGGGCTTCTCCATACACTGTCCGACAGCATAGAGTAAGGTAATCATCTGGACCCGAGCAGCGCCACGCGGTCGACCTAGTGCAACACCACAGATCTCTCGACAGCGATGGTCGACCTCCTTCGTCAGCTCACGGTACCCCTGCAGCCGATCAAACGCGGTGCTCGGGCCAGAGACTTCATCCACGGGGCGATTGAGTGACAGAGCGAGTCGGCCAAAGTGGTACTGTTGCATTGCCGAGGCGCAGGAAGTCAGACTGTAGAAGATTTCCGGAAAGGGCATGGGTGCGGCGTCGGGCGGGATGGGCTTTGGGCGTTCGAGGCGTAGGCAGGGGCGGAATGTTTCGGGCATCCGCTCGACCCAGGATTGGAATTCAAAGGAGAGCTTTAGCCATGTAGCCGTTGTTGGTTGCATGCTAGGGGAGGAAGGGTTTGTCGGGCTGTGGTTGGGGGACTCGGATGGTCGGCCGACCCAGTGCTCGAGTTGAGATCTCTTCGAGGCCGCAAGGAAGTTTGTAAGTTTATTCAAGAGTCGAGTGAGCACGTTTGTTGCGATGTCTTCGCGGGTGAAAAGGTGAGTGCTGGACATCAAAGAGCCATTGCCCTGGTCGTCGAGCGACAGACCCGCTGCTCTCCACAAGACGAGGTCTTCTGGGTCAAGATGTGTCGGTAGCCTGTTGTAGTACGACGCTTGATAGTCCAGCCTGGCAAAGTTCCAAAAAACCGCGGTAATACCAGGGGAAAACTGCGCTCTTGATTCGGCACTTTCGCCAACAAAGCTAAGGACCTGGCTAAACAGCGGTTTGATGCCGGTGAGATATGATTGCCAGTTTTCTCCGGGCTCGTCCAAGATCTTATACACTGTGAGAATCGTAGAGGTCGCAAGTAAGTTCTCGGCTTTCTTGGAGGTTGCCTCACTGAGAGTGTTGTCTGTTGTACGTTCCATTTGATTTAGCTGGAGGCTCAGCCATTGATTGGCGATGGCGATCGGTGATTCAAGTGCAGCTGACGACGATACACTCGCGTAGTCAGAAATGGACGAGCTCATATGTGACACGGCAAGATAATAATAATTGGCTGCCTTTAAAGACCAGTCGACTTGCTGCGCGTTTGGGTATGTTTCCATTTGGGGTGCTGATGTGAACATTCCACTGATACTCGCAGCAGTCACACCCTTCATCTTCGCAAGGTGCTTGGCGGATAATGCTGCGATCGCATTCCTTAGAAAGTCCTCATCTATAGCCCGTACTGGAACATATGCCGAGAAGAAGTTCCCCGTGTCTGAAAGATCGAGCCTTTTCAACATAAGCTTAGTGTTCGAACATAAGGGGAGGGGAACGTACCAAGCCGCCAAAGAGTCGGCATAGTATCTCACCAAGAAAGACATTTCATGTTCAGTGCCGGTCATAAGCTCAGAGAATATATCACGAAACTCCTCTTGTTCCTCGCTCTGAGGGGGAGTAGCGCCAGAGGAAGGTTGATGAACAGAGCCATAACCAGCCTGGTCGTTTCCATGTATTGATTCAGAGCGTGACGAGACATTGCTGGTTGACTGAGGCTGCATGAGCATACTCAAGGATGCATTGTTCCATACGGGAACATTAGGCCGGGCGACTGGTTGAGCTTCAACAATGCTCGGAGGCTCAGCCCACTGAGGCTGAACCTGGTCTTGGACGCTGGTCACCACCGGCGCTTCCTGCTCAGGAGCGGGCGAATGAGCTTTCGCGGTCTATTCAGGTCAGATCATATGAACATAGATTGACTCTGCAGCATACATACATAAGTCTGCGAGGGATTTCGCGCGTCGCTAGATTTCGCACTGGGTTCCTGGTAAGGGGCATAGCGCCGCCTTACTGAAGCGCCCTGATCGATGAACTTGCGGGTTTGAACGTAGCCAGGGCATTCAACACCAGCACTGACACAACGCTGGCATTGCGGGCGTCCTTCATCACACTGGGGAGGTTAGTAAATGTCCCAGTAAAGGGTTAATGCACCAACCTTTAGATGCCTCTTCTTGCAGCGCTCGCAAGACTTGTTAGATGGAACGCCCGGCATCGTCGTTGACTTGGCCGCTCCTCGGATCCAAGCAGTTCATGTGCAATCGAGCCTGGTTGTAACATGAGATCAACATCTCAGGAGATCATGAACAACGATCGTGCAGGAATTGCACTGGAAACGCCTCATCCACCGGGAAATCGGCACTCGGCAGCTGCATCGGGTTCAGGCTTGGCGTCGGAGATAACTCGGACCTGCGCGACGTCATCGGATCAACTGGATGTTCCGTTCCTTCCTATTGCGGATTGAAACACTTCCAGTTGCTCTTTCCTGATCAACCAGCGCACCATGCTTCGCGGATCTTTAGATGCTTCCGTTTCGACGGCTGCATTCCGAGAGAATTTGCAGGGGAACCATGTGCTGGACAGTGTCGGATCCCGTAGACTCTCTGCCACTGAGCAAACCCAGATATATAAAAAGTGGATAGGTATGTTGAAAAGTCAGCTCACAGGGAAAACACGCTGACATTCGCCACAGCTTCTGGCAAGCCCCATAACTTTATTTGCTCCGCATGTCAGAAGCCAGACAATCTCCTGCAATGTGGAACCTGCTCAAGATCGTACCATGCCTCGTGCTTGTCGCGGCCGAACCTCCCTCTTGAGCCCGCCCAGTTCATTTGCCCGCCATGCAAAACAAACTCTACGAACATCTTAGTGGCTTCGCCCCATCATTCTCGTGCAAGCACACCCATTGCAGGTCATTCAATGCGAATCACCAGCCCTGGAAACACCCTCCAGTCGCCGGCGCAGCGCAGCCTGCAGAGCAGTTGCGTAGTAACACCAGCTGCGAGCACGTCACTGCTTTCGGCGCCAGATGCCTTGGATCCGAGTATGCTGACAAGAGCTCGCGAGTTTCTACAGAATCATGGTAGCTTCCCAGAGCATCAAGAATTCTCACTCGAGTTGCTGTTGAAACTTGGATCGATGATGGCGGAACTGGACTTTCACCGGCAGCAGGTCCAGGAGCTCGCGTCTGAGAATTCCCATCTGCGCCAAGACAATGCCAACATCAGGGCCTACTTGGACTCGAATCTCGCGACCGGTCGGCCAGCAGGTAATCCGGTGCCCGACCGGTCAAATATTCCGCGGCCTTCTGCAGACACGTCAGGGAAATCGTGGGACAGGATTGTGATGGACTTGATATGATCCTCGGCCGTTTAGAACGCGTGCTGCGTCAAAGGGGTTGCCGACCGCAACCGTCAACGCTCTGCCTACGAACCTGGCGTAACTGTCCAACAACGCCCGCCAATTTCAGATCTTTTGAAGCGAGATTGTTTTTGATTCAAAGCTTGACTGGCCGGCGATCTCTGAGAACCATCTGGGATGTGGCCAAACGATTGATCCTGTGGCTTGGCACTATTGATGTTGGTATCCTACGCCAACCGTATCTGGCCAGATGGCTTGTCAATCGCGTCGTTTCCACGAATGAAAGCTAAGATTCGGCCTTTACCCCGGTCGATTGGGCGATCCCCCTCATTCCGCAATGCAACATGCAAACTGGAGCCTGGAGGAACGGCTCGTTTGTTTAATTGTTTTCTCCTGGAATGCTCTTTCCCTTTTCTACACTCTTGACTTTCACAACAACTGGCCGAACTACCCCACGACCATAACTCTCATTTTGAATCGCTGTCATCGCCTCTCAGATGGCACGTCTTCGCCGCCTTGGACAGGAGGCAGCAATTCTTTTTGCCGGCCTGCTGCTGAGTGCGCCTCTCATTCAAAGCCAAGATGACCAATCCGGTTTCGAAGTCTTGGATTTCATAGATCCCTTCATTGGCACGGCAAATGGAGGCCACTCGTTCGCTGGAGCGACCTTGCCCTTTGGTACTTCTTCTATATCGTCTCCACTTCGCACTGGCTAATCTTGCAGGCATGGTCAAGGCTGTCGCCGATACAGAAGGCGAGAACCAAGGGGGCTTCGCATATGACACTACCAAAGTGACTGGATTCTCGCACACCCATGACTCTGGGACCGGCGGCGTATGTTCAGCCTAGGTATATAATGCCGGACAGACCTGACTATCACAGGCCACGTCCATGGGAAACTTTCCGATATTTGTCCATCCCGGCTGTCCAGAAAATGACCTATCACAGTGTAACTGGACCTCATCCGATAGGGCGGTTGCCTGGCGACGGGATTCGCCCAAAGCCCGCCCGGGATATTTCAGCATCTCATTGGAGAATGGGGTAGATGCAGAGATGACTGTGACCAATCATTCTGCTCTTTATCGATTCAGCTTCCCGGGTGCTGTAAACCCGAGCCCAGTCGTCCTGGTCGACATTATCGATCTTCCACAGTCGCGAAACAGCGGGACCGCTTCTGTGAACCCCGAGACTGGCCGGCTAACGGGGAGTGGAAACTTCAATCCCAGTTTCGGACTGGGTACCTACAACGCGTACTTCTGTGCTGATTTTAGGGGTGGCGAGCTCCGCGACACAGGCACCTGGACCAACAGGACTGCAGCTGTCGGAGAGACCACTGTTTCTGTCGTCGCCGACTCATCCCACCCTGCTGGCCATTTCTCCGCAGGAGCATTTGCTCATTTCAACTCGGTCAATAGTGGAGTGCTTACGGTACGCGTTGGCTTTAGTTGGCTGAGCGTCGAGCAGGCTTGTTCAAATGCGGAGCGCGAGCAACCGGACTTTGACTTTGATGGGACTGCCGATGCCGCGGAATTTGCGTGGAGGAACAAGATAGAGCCCATTGCGGTTAATGCTGATGGTGTGTCATCTGATCTTCAGACGGTTTTCTGGAGTGGCGTCTACCGCACCATGATCAGCCCGCAGGACTATACCGGCGAAAACCCACTATGGGATAGTGACGAGCCATACTACGATAGCTTCTACTGGTGAGTTCGCTCAGATTATTGTTCTTCAGAGACTCACCATGTAGTATCTGGGATTCATTCCGCGGCGTCCATCAGCTGTTGACCTTGATCGATCCTTTGTCCCAGTCCAGAATGATACGGAGTCTGGTGGATATCTACCGACAAGAGGGATGGTTACCAGATTGCCGCATGTCCCTCTGCAAAGGATGGACCCAAGGCGGCTCAAATGCCGACGTTTTGATTTCCGAAGCGTATTTGAAAGGCGTCGCCGATGTCGACTGGGAGACGGCCTATGAAGCAGTGGTTAAGGATGCTGAGGTCGAGCCACCTAACTGGAATATAGAAGGACGCGGTGGTCTTCAAAGTTGGAAGACGCTCGGCTATATTCCTATCCACGACACTGACCCCGGCACCGAAGGCCTCCGAACCCGCAGTATATCTAGAACGGTCGAGTACGCGTACAATGATTTTTGCATCGCGCAAATGGCCGATCGGATGGGCCGTACAAGCGACCGTGACAAGTATTTCGAGCGGTCGCGCAATTGGCGGAATCTGTACAAGGACGACCAGACTTCGGCGATAAACGGCGTTGATACCAATTTTGTCGGGTTCCTTCAACCCCGCAACGCTGATGGCACCTGGGCGTATCAAGATCCAATATTTTGCAGCCCGTTAATGAACTTTACGTCGTGTTATCTTAATGCGGACGGCCACGAGACGTATGAAGGAAGCTGCTGGCTTTATACATTGTATGGCTACCACCTGCTGCTCAGACAACCACTAACTAACACATTCCAGCTTCGTGCCTCAAGACATGGCAGCCTTGATACAAACGCTCGGGGGTCGAGAAGAATTCGTTTCTCGCTTGGACTATCTCCACGACTCGGGAATCCTCTACCTTGGAGACGAACAAGCATTTCTAACAGTCTTCCAATTCCACTACGCCGGCCGCCCAGGCCTATCAGCCGCACGCGCACACTCGTACATTCCATCCCAATTCAACACAACAGTCGGAGGCATCCCCGGAAACGACGACAGCGGCGCAATGGGCTCATTCGCAGTACTCAGCATGATCGGACTCTTTCCTGTCCACGGACAAGACGTCTACCTAATCATCGCGCCATTCTTCAAAGAAGTGAGCATCCGCAACAGTGTGACAGGGAAGGTTGCGACCATCCGGAATGTCAATTTCGATCCATCCTACAAGGACATTTACATACAGAGTGCTACGCGTGATGGCGAACCGTGGACGAAGAACTGGATCGGACACGATTTCTTTGCGGATGGTGGCGTTTTGGAGCTGGAGCTGGGTCCGGCTGAGAGTGACTGGGGGACGAGGGTAGAGGATTTGCCGCCGAGTTTGTCGGAGTATGCGCGGGAGCCGGTCGTCAAGCAGACTTGGCGACACGCTTAGTACATATGTAGTCATTCTCCAGAGTAAAGGGCTATAGAATCAAACCGTCCCAACCACGGCGGCAGGACATTCAATGGGCGTTTGGAAGAGTAAATCACAAAACCTTCAGGACCACCAGCGGAGCCACAATGGCCCGCTTAGCCAACTTTTTCGTCAAAGAATCACTGAGCAAATACCCATCCGTGGATAACAAACAATTATCGCGGGCATTTCCCACCGACTTTCAACACATGCTAGGTATTCCGACTGCGGGGGTTGCTACTCGCGATCGGAGGGTCCGGCTGGAGACTCCAGAATTAGGAACCACCGATGTATAGTTGGAGTCCGGTTCTTATCCCATCACCACACAGGAAAACTTGAGCACGCTATCAAAACTCACAGAACCCATCGTCTGCCCAACCACCGCCAACATGCTCAAGAAAGCAACAATGTCAACGGCATCCAGCGAAGAACACAATCCCACCCGCCACGCGCCTCCGCCAACTCGTCTCCCAACCGGGCACCGGGCGTCTGCATCCAAGCGCCCGGTGTCTACGATGGCCTCTCCGCGTGTCTCGCAATTGAGCAAGGCTTCAAAGTAATGGTACACTACAACCCATTTTATCCCCCATTATAAAACATGAACTAAACCCCGGCTGAACAGTACAAGGCGTCTCAATGACAACAGCCGCACGCCTCGACCGCGCAGACCTCGCCTTCGCAGCCCTCAGCGACTTCGCATCCAACGCGCAAATGATCGCAAACCTCGACACGCGCATTTTGCTCATTGCAGACGCGGACGTGGGCTTTGGTGGGCCGCCGAATATCGCGCGCATGGTGACGACGTACCACTCGTGCGGCGTTGCGGGGTTTCATATTGAGGATCAGGTGGCTAATAAGCGGTGTGGGCATTTGAGGGGGAAGGAGGTTGTTGATGTTGAGTGAGTTGGTTATTTATCTTCAGTTGAAGGCGGGAGAGGAGGGGAGTTGGTGTGCTGACTGTTTTCTGCAAAGGACGTGGAAGTTGAGGATCTGTGCGTGTGTCATCGGCCGGGACTCGATGCATGGCGGGTGTGATATTGTGATTATTGCGCGGACAGATGCATTGGCGGTTGAGGAGTATGAGGCTGCGCTTGAGAGAGTGAGTTCGATCTGCGGCAGGATCTGCATCAAGTGTGGTATGCTAAGATCTCATAGCTCGTTGCAGCCCGCGAGTGCGGCGCGGACATGGGCTTCTTCGAGGCCATCGAGACAGAAGAGCAGATTAAGAATGCCGTCCAGTTGCTTGCGCCGATGCCATTACGTTCCCTACTTTCCCCAGGGAAACGAGTCAGCTGATAACGCCTCCAGTTGATGGTAAACCTCGTCTCGAACGGCAAAACAACCTGGCTCTCACCCGAACAACTGGGCGAATGGGGCGTCAAGGTTTGTTCACACCAGCCAAATCCTCCACCTCAGCCTTGGCGAATTCTGGCGGAAACAGTTGGCAATCTACCCCGGCGCAGCGGGAAAATCAGTACTGCACATGATTCGGCGCGCACACAAGTACCTCATGGAGACGGGCAAGGATGATGCGGAGGCGCGGGGACTAGATCCAAAAGGGTTTTTTGATGTCATCGGGTTGCAGAGGGAGATTGAGATTGATCGGCTTGCGGGAGGTGTTTCGTTCAAGAATGGGGCTTAGACAATGGGTGGATATAGCATATCGAACATCTTGTCCAAAAAGCTGGGCTCCCTCAAAGCGTATCACGAAGCTCCTCCACCTGCGAGACATCTTCCACAAACTCAGCGCCATACTCTTTCATAATCTGTATCCTCTCCTCCATATTCACCGCATAATACATTCTCCCCAAATCCCTAGGCACCTGCCTATCGCTTGCAAACCTCAACACCCAGACGCCCACTCCATCCACCGGCCATCCAAACACCAGCACCTTTTTCTCTTCCGCGGTCTTCTCCCTCGAGCCCATATCCACCCCGATCCGCTCCTCTTTACTCGGCCACCACGTCGCACCGATCTGTCGCAGGAGATTGCAGAATCTGTCTTCCTCTTCGGCACTGGGGGAGCGCTGCGCTTCATGGAAGCGGGGGAGCGAGAGGAAGACCATATCGACAAGGTCAACAGACCCTTTGATGAGCACGCCACCCGTAGATGGGTAGCCGTACACGACGCATCCGCGGACGCCGAACTTGGTTCGGTCGGTTGTCGATTCAGGAGGGTTTGTGGGGCATGATCCCTGCCTGAACGGGTCGTTGTCGTCGATTCGGACTGGTCGTCGACCGAAAATGCGGAGGCGGTCGATGTTGATGGGGAGGAAGCGGCCAATGGTTTGTTCGCAGAGAGTGGAGAGAAAGCTCGACATGCTGCTTGACGGTTCTGGTTTCTCACAGTCGTGCAGAGGCGTTGGAACGAGTAGCAGGGAAGGGAGATGGCGGACCACGTGGCGCCGTCAAGAACAGGCAGCCACCACCGACACTGGAGGCAGCCATCTTCCTAAAGCCACATTGCTCATGCACTATCAGCTGTCCCGGAATCTGGATAACTCGCACCGGTGCCCCAGGGTGAGATCAATTCTCCCGCGACTCTTTCCTCTTTGCATCACTGCACTAGCTGTCGTTGGCAAGACAAACAACCCCGTGCCGCAAGACATTATGGCCCAGCAAGAAAAGGTCCCTGTCCGGGGCCACAATAATGCCTGCTACGACACCGTGCCCAAGGAGGACCAGATACTGAAGGTCGAGTTCCTGGAGATTGCCCCGACGCCCATTATCGCGTAAGATCCTCCCTCTCCTGGACGTGCAGCTTGAAGATAGCGTGTTGACATCAGGATAAAGCGACCGCGTCTTCTTCATCTACCTGCGCGGCTACCTACCCGAATCTAAGAAAAAGGAGCTGGCACTCCCCGACGAGGGCCTCGTCAATGCGACCCTCAAAGTGAGCAGCTCTGTCATCTACGCGGATGGTACTCATGACGACGAACGATCCATTACACTGCCGTTGAAGACTACGCCCTTCAATGATCTAGCCCACCTTACTGTCCGTGATGCCCGTGGAGTTCAGGTCGAGTACCTGCCTAGCAGCAAAGAAAGTGAGATATTGCTAGATTTCCAGATTCCGACAATTTGGTTGAGGAGCGGGACGTGGACTTTCAAGGTCGACGCGAGAGCCGGAGATGTAGATGATACGTGTCTCTTTGCCATGTCGTTGACACAATGGTTGGATGGATATCTTAGGTAGTAGGATGCCCGACATAACCTACAAGCTCGATGACCTCGGCGCGTGAAGATGTTGGAGAGTCAATATCTACTTTGACATGTCGCGGTGCCTAAGCGACCACATGTATAACTTGGAATCACGTAAATTGTGGCGAGACATCATATATGCAAGCCGGGGAGTGTATTTCTCGGCCGAGATCTAGGCACGGGCACTATACAATCTCCCGGCATTCTTGTACCTATGGGGCCACACTGTTCTCTACTAGCCACACACACAGCAATCGTAAACTAAATAAGCCCTTGTGCCTGCATTGGGGCAAGCGTTTCCGAATCCTACTTATGATTGGTAAAGCTGTTGGAAAAGCTCCTGGGCTATGTTCGGACTGGCTGCCTGGGGGGAAGCCAACAACAGCCTATGCCTCGACTAGGGTCGCATGGCCTCGCAGACTGGGCTTCGTAAATTGAACAGGGTCTGGACAAGTGTTAGGAGCTATGCATGCCTGTCAATTTTGTTTCGATGCATAGAGCCATGTTGTCATCCTCGCCTATCTTGCTGAATTCAGGTGCAAGATAGTTGCCATGGCTGTTGAGAATTTGTCAACGGTATTGTCCAACTGTACGAATCCTGTCGCAAGATCAAGGCGTTTCTCGACAGACCAGAGGCCTATTGCATTGGTCTTCCAACTATCTGCGCGTTGTTCTACACTGACCTTGGTACTATGTCAATGCTGATTTATGCCAATTATCAAAATACGGGTTGTAAGATAGTCATATCAGCAAAGCCTGCAGTCATTGTCCGCAGATCAGGGACAACTACCTCGTCTTTCAGTTTGAAATCAGGCGGCAAAGTTTGCAAAGGGGGTAGGATATGTATGTGCAATCCACCAATCCACTTGATTTCTATCAAAAGGTCAAAAGGGACCGCGAGTTTGGCCAGATATGAGGTCTAGCAAATACCCCATCCTCAATCCTGCTAGCGAATCGTGTACCCCCCGTCAACCTTGATATCCGCCCCGTTGATCATCCCACTCGAGTCCTACCGAGAATCCACAACCATTAGCACGATTTACACTCTTAAAACAGGAGAGAGTAAAAAAAAAAGGACCAAACAGAAAGGTACACACCTGACACAGAAAGACAACCGCATCCGCCACCTCTTCGGGCAACGCCGCTCTGCCCACGGGGATCTTCTCAAAAAGCGCCTCCTTGACCCCCTCGGCACCCCAAGCCTTCTGTCCCAGTTCCGTCCACGCAACAGTGGGCGAGACGCTATTCGCCGTGATCCCCTTCCGTCCCCACTCGGAGGCCATGCACCGCGTTAGACCGAGGAGCGCGGATTTGGACGCGCAGTATGCGCCGTGCTGGTGTAGCGCGACGTAGGCGGCCTGGGAGGCGAGGTTGACGATCCGGCCGGGGGGTGGGGCTGTTGATCCGGTTGGAGAGGACGAGGTGGGTGTGGAAGCGGTGGAAGATGTCGCGGCGAAATACATGTTCGCGAAGGCCTGTGCGCACAGCATGGGGCCGTAGACGTTTGTTGTGAGGTGCTTCAGGGTTTCCTCTGGGGGCGTGAGTTCCATATCGCTGAGCGAGACATAGCCCGCCGTATTGACGAGAATAGACGGGAAGGCATGATCAGGGACTACAAAGTCCTTGTGCATTGAGGAGAATGCTGATTTCACAGAGTCTGGCAAAGTAATGTCGCATTCGTACGTGGAGATGTTGTCCGTGTCCGCTGACTTGGACCCATAGCCTGTTGCCAGCAGCTGGTCGCGTCGCGCGGCTTCGAAGGGGGCGTAGAGAATTGCTAGGTGGGCCCCTTGGGCGCGGAGCTTCCTGCCGATGCTGGTGCCCAGGCCACCGAGACCTCCGGGGAGGATTGCGAGTCGGCGAGAAAAAGCCATTGTGGTAAGATCTGTTGAGAGGGAGGTGAGGTGAGTTGGAGATGCGGGGTTGATAAATACGCCCGGAGCAACGCCGAGACCCCCTGGACGCTCTGGAGAAGGCCTACGTCATATCTCGATTTCTAGGCAAATGGGGCATTATCCTTGATTTATTTCCGTGACTATAACGATCAATATACCAAGGAATACAGTGATATACGAGCTACGATCACAAGGCAGTCGTTATATATCGACTGGCCGGAACCGAGTTATGATCACTTGTTTGGCTCTAGGAATCTTGCGAATATATGTACAGGAACAACTGCCTCGTATCAATTGCTGGGCTAAAAAGTCTTCCAATCAACCGATTGCTCCCACTCATATGCAACCAGTAAAATCGTCGCTTCATCATACCACTTCCCGACAATCTGCATACTCGCAGACAGCTTGATGCTCTCATCCGTCTTGGCCGGTACGAACCCAATCGGTAACGCGAGCGCAGGATGCCCTGTGGCATTGAACGCACCCGTATTCTCCGTCATCCCTTTTGCAGCCTCCATTTGAGCCACAGGGGTTGCGTCTGGTGGGGGAAGGGGATTCGCCGGTGTCAGCGTTTTAGGCATCACGATCACGTCCACAGAGGAGAGCACCTCGTCGTATAGATCCTTCAGCTTCAGCATAATATTCACGGCCTTGGGATAAACAGTCGCGTAGTTTAGCCAGGCGTATTCGCCGCTGAGGAGGCCTTCCTTGCTCATCACGCTCATCTAGCCATGGTTATTAGCAGTGTTACCCCATGAAGAGAGCAATCCTGAACATACCTTGTTCGCCAGCTCTGGCGTATACGGAAGCCCGTTCTTCTCAAACAAATCCGTGAGCATCGCCTGCCGCCGCCCATTCGCTTTGCCCAACATCCCCATATGGTTGCCCATCTTGCTCACAATCGAATACACACTCCTCGCCTGTGTATGCAACGGCAAACTGACCTCCACGACCGTCGCCCCCAGCTTCTCAACCACTTTAACCGCCTCGCGAAGCTTGCTCTCCACTCCAGCATCAATATCCCCGGGCAATACCTCTCTCAATACTCCAACCTTTAGCCCCCGTACACCCCCCTCCATCAATCTCTCATAGTTTGGCACATCCCCAGGAAACGGAACCCCCGCCCCACACCGATCATCCACCCCATCCGCCCCGGCCATAACCCCGAGCAGGACCGCCGCATCCCTAACATTGTGTCATCTGCCCCATATAGTCCAAGCTCGCATCATTGCTCACAATCCCTGTATAGGACACTAACCCACTTGTCCACTTCACCTTAACAAGTCCTGTTAAAGTCCTTTTAGCGCAGCAGGAATCCATATACTTCCGCCCTGGTTACATCCCACACCCAAATCCGCGCCTGCGCTCGCGACGCGGCTGCAGTCCCCGAACTGCTTCCGCCCACCGAGTACCCCCTCGCGTAGAATATATGCCGTAACATGATTGGATGCACGAACATGAGCGCCATCTGGAAAAACCAGTATATGAAGAACGCCAGTAGATTCGCGCTGGTGATTCCATTCAAGGGGTGGACGATTCACCGGCCGATTCAGAAACATCCCCGGCCCTCATTTAGCCTCAATTCGTTCATTACGTCGGGGTTGTTCTCTGGCATTTGTGATCAGTTGAGTTTCCAGGCAAAGACAAGTGGTCCGAGAGGGCTTGGGGCCCTTACCAAGCATCTTCCATGTTTTCTTCTCTACTCTGACGAGATTATAGACGGAGGGCGTCAAAGCGTTAGCAATGTTGATGGATCATGGATGTGTTATGGAGAGCTCATGGTGTGGGGAAGCTGCGGAGTGGGGTAAAAGATGGTGGGCATCCAACTGTCATTTGGCAGAAAGGAAGTGGTCTGAAGATAGCAGGATCTAAGTCTCGTGCAGCTATCAGAGAAGGCATCCTGACCCCAAGGCAGCCAGGTGCCCGCAGCATGAGATATTAAGCAAGAGAGTTCTTTCAGATAAGCATATTGGTAATTTGATTTCAAAATAGGATGTTTAGAATCCTAGCCCTGAAGATACAGGCTCTGACTAGGTTTTAGGGATGCCTGATTCATCCAAAATGGTAGCAGCATACTTTAGTGAAGTTAATCTAAAGTATAGCTATATCTTGTATATTCCCCAGCAGTTAGAACTATACAATTCTGTGATAACGGTTCGCAACTGCAATGTCGATGACCAATTGCCTGCCTCGACTAGCGAGTGCTGGTTGAAGGACTAGAAAGCCCTTCGTACCATGCCTGTCTGCTCCAGTATTTTATAAATCCCAATATATCTCTTCCCTATATAAGACTAAGTATGTTAAGCGCTCTTCCCTGGGGACTGTATCCAAATATATGTTTAATGTAAACGCTATAAGCTGATTATTTAGGCTTACAAACTCAGATATATCCGAAAGCCAGTGCCGTCCTTAAGAAGTAGTGAAAAAGTTATATAGCCAGGCTAACTTAGATTAGAACATAAAAGGCTTAAGAGCTATAAATTCTTTTACCATCCATGCCAGTACACCCCCCTTTAGGCATTTAATATTTAACTTAGTGCCTAAAAGAAGCTCCTAAGGCTTCTTCCCTATACTTAAGGAGAGTCCTCCATGGTTGGGTGGACGCGATGCTGAGTCTGCGTTTGTTGACTTCTTGAACTCAGTGGTGTGCACCTTCCAACTTCAATAGCTAAGATTTATGGACACGAAATACCATCAATTTGGCTTCAATTAGTGCTACCGCCAGCCCCACTCAGTGAGGCTCCTCCTCTGCTTTGTACTCGACAAACTCCAAGTCCGGCCGGTTCACAAAATACGCTGTTGCCCCGAGGGGGATGCGGTCATTCTCGATATAAGGCAGTTCTGACGAGCCCTTGAATATCGTAATGACCCCGAATCCATCCTTTCGAGTCCACATGGGGAAGACAGCAATGGCGCCTTTTGGATCCCGCTCTTCGGGCGGTAGTGTCTTCCGCGTGGCTGGGCCCTGGATCGTCTGGGTGGCGGTGGTTAATAAGGACACGGCAAAATCGGGGGAGGACAGCGGTGGAAGTCCGTCACAAAGGGGTGGAGGTGAGGGGTGGGTACTTACTACAGAGCCCAGGTTAAACCCGACTCCGGTTGCAGAAACCTCAAGGCCTGCTTGCGTTAACAGGCGGCTGGGCCGGTATTTCGAGACCACAACGACAATGTCGTCGGTGTGCCGGTTCACGACCCAGACGCATGCGGGGATTTTCTTCCCCGCCCTGACGAGGCGGCCAAGTATGCCCTGTTCTCGGATTAGTCGCCTGGTATGTGTACTCTACACAGGAGTAGTTACCTTGGAACTCGGCGCAATGTGAGGGGGTATTTCAGGGAAATCACCCGTCTCTGCCAAGGACGCAGGGGAAGGGAGGTCGGCAAGCAATGTTACGTGCTCTTGATTGCCCTTAGCATCTCTTACATCCTCTAGATCCATTACCTCTTCGCCACCATTATTCCAACCCAATGGACATAGCATAAATGGCACGTGAACGACCTCGAACATGACATCGTCCCCATCCAGCTGCCTTGACAAGTCGCGGCTGTTGCCAGACGAAATGCTAGATGTAACTTTCTCCAGGTTGGACAGTCCGCCACGGCCGGTACTGCTGCGGTGTTCCGAGTCGCTCAGGTGCCCCAAGTCAACTGGGGCGTTGGTAAGAATGAATAGCAATCGCTCGTCGACCGGGCGGTCCTTCGAGATCCGCTTGGGCCAGCTAAAGGGCAGTCCTCTGAGTGTCCCAAAGCGGTTACTGCCGATGGTATGTGACTGGCCAGGGTCTAGTCGGATACCCCGGGGACTCGAGGCGGATATCAAAGAGATTGCACCGGTCACATTGATGTCGAACACAAAGACGTAGACCGAGTCGCGACCTTTATTGCTCAGCATAATATAGGCTCGATCACCCTCGGTGACGTGATCGTACCCTCGCTCGGGCTTGAGTATCCTGGTGCGTTGGCCGTCCTGCACGAGCCCAACCTCAAGCTCTATCTGGTGTGTGAGGAGCTCTGCGGGGTCCTCAGCTCTCAATGATAATAGGTGCTGGGCGCGAGCGACCTTTTCCGCGTCGGTCACGATGTCACGGTAGGCTTGCATTCGCTCCGCGTCTTCGCCCCCCACATGCCGCTGCGCGATCTGTATGCCACGGTTTGTGACAAGAGAAACCCAGTCCGACGTCTGGTGAAAATGTACCAGCAGTGGCTGGTCGTTATAGTCGTTACAGATTCTCAGATACTGGGACTTTTCAATCTCGTCTGTGAGGGCGCTTGGATCCAGAGCATGCAACTTGACTGGCCACTGGTGAAGGGATTCTGCCTCTAGGAAGCAGAGTGCGCCTTCTGGGGGAATGATACCGATACCGTTGTCCAACCCCGTGGTGCTGGACGATAGCTCGGTAAGCGCACGAAAACCAGTGACATGAGTAACAGTTGCCTCGGCCAGGCGAGTTTGTGAATCGGCCCGACTCGCTCTCAGTGGCATGACGGAATAGCGGTTTTTCTTTCTGATTCCCGCTACAGCGCCGGCTTGAATGACCGGGATATCGTCTTCCAATTTCAGCAGCAACACCTGGGAAGGCTGCTCCTTGATCGAAAAGTGTAGCCGTGTAGCAGGGCCTTCGACCTGGGGATGCTGCCCAGGGAACATGACATTGACGAGCTCCCGAACGCGCAGGGCAGTGCTTCTCCAGGTAGCCTCCTGTCCGTCAGCCTCTTCGAGAGCCCTAACCAGCGCCTCGGTAAGGGCTCCAGTCCATTCCCCCCGGGCATTTCGATATTCCCATGCTGTCTCTGGAGGGGCGGCTGCAGCAATTCGAACCGCGTGCGGGTTGCCGAGAATTAGACCGTCTTCTTCATCACGTCCCACGCGGCCGTCCTGGAGCAGTTTATCGACTACCCTCGACAGGTTGTGATAGTCTAGTACTTTCAGGAGACTTTTTGGAACAGCATCTCCTCCCAAGCCCGGATCGCGAGCCATGCCCCCTGCGTGGCAGCAGTCCAGGATCACCGTCACATTTCGACTCTTGTTTGTCGTCCGCTCGACCAAATACGACAGTTCCACGTCCAGAATGCCGCGAAAGTCGTCAGCTGTACTCTGGTCATAGTCAACCGGGACCAGGAACTGATAGTGCCACTGCTTCACATGCTCTGGCTCGTCCGGCAGCTTGCTGCTTTCCCCGTGCTTGGGACGTGTTACCAGCCCGCCGTGTCCGGAGTAATAGATGACGACGGCATCATCGATGGCTATAGATTTGATAAAAGTGTTCCAGGCATTACGAATCCCGTCCCTTGTCGCGTCACGACCGTAGCAGCGAGTGATTTCAAATCCTCGCTTGCAGAGGACACTGGCCACTGCATCCGCGTCGGATACAGGCCCTCGAAGGCCCTGAAATGGACTGGCAATGAGCAAGGCTCTGCCTGTGGTGGTCATGTTTCTCCCAGTGTTGATGAAGCGAGTATCGGTGTCATTCGAAGCCACCCTGCGATTGTACGGTTGCTGGAGTCAGCTCTGTCAGACGTCGCGGGGCAGCTGGCGAGCAAACACAGAGCGATGCATTATATGACGTGTCGCAGCGGGAAGGAACCGTTCAGAGAGTGATCTTAATGGTTAATGCCTGCTAACATCTTCAGCTGTGACCGGGGTACACATGCAGCCAATCCCCAACATGGTTAGGGTAGTTGTGAAGGTGGTCTTCGCACCCTGAAGCACTGCAGCCAGAAGCGTTCAACCAGCCACAGCCATGGATGTCCAGCTGAATGCAGGTGTAATCTTACGCGGGGTCATCCGAAACTCCCCTCTGTACGGCTGATATCACGCCCGAGAGTCAATTTTTACTTAGTCCCTGGGGGAGGATTTAAACCAGCCGTTTTCCTAGCCGTTTCCAACCGGGTCTTGCTGCATTTTGCGTGCACCATCCCACACTGCAGAACCGAGACCAGGAGTTGTGCCTAATCAACGAGATGGATAGACTAGCTCAGATCACCAATCCCGCCTTCAAGGAGGTCTTTGACCTGCTCAGCAGCCACGGCGAGCTAGGGACCTTCGTATCAATGGGATTCGAGTTGATATTCGCACAGTCGGAGGACGAGGACCCATTCGCAGGGCTTGATGAGCAACGCCGAACCCTCAGGTCCTTGGTGACGCTTTCCGTGTATCTGCGAAAGTTTAAAGATCTAGCCCAGAGCATTCTGAAAGATGATGACAATCCAAGTGACACAATGGGCCCGGAGACTTATTTCGACGGGGGTGCGTTCATGATGGCCTTTCGCTTCATGCAGGGAAACGGGGTCGAGAACTGGAAGAAGCGCGTCTTGTCCCTGGCGGCAGCAACCAGCTGCCTCAAGCTCGCTGGATCCCTGACCCCGGCCGACCAGCCTTCCAAGCGAGCGATCCGGGCCTACTGGCTAAGCGGTATCCACGAGCACCTGTTTGACCTGAGTCCGGATCTCGAGCAGATTGCCGCCTCCATCGTGGAGACCGAGCGAGCGCTCGCCGTTGCCCCCAATCACCCCGAGAGCGGAATCTGGCGCGGTGCGCTTGCCTCCCGGCTCTTCAAGCAGCACGAGCTATCGCAAAATAAGGAGCACTTGGGCAAGGCATTTGGGATCATCCGGGAGCTCATCGCGCACGAGCACACGGCCGGAATGGCGGCGACTGCGCATCTGCTGGCTATTTCGCTGCACAGGCATTACGAGCGCACTGGGGACACCGAGTCCCTCGAGGCAGCCACCACCTTTGTAGAGCGCGCAGCTAGAGCAGCCGAGCTGTCATGGGGCTTGCCAGAGATTGGAATCGAGTCGGACAAGTTCACACGGATCACGTATATCAACTCCAAGGCCGCGGCATCCCCGCCCGTGAATCATACGCTGAGCGCAATCTCTCTATCGCGGTACATCCGATACCGCGACATGAAGGATCTGGAGAGGGGAATCTCGATCACGGAGCGTGCCCTGCGTTCGACCGCAGAGGAAAGCTCTAGATACCCGGTCCTTTCGACATCGCTGGGGAGGATGCTGTTACACCGGTACCTTGTGAGCAAAGACACCGCAGACCTCGACAAGGCCATCTCATCTGCCGACTCGGCGATCGAGCGCTACAACGCTCTCATGGAAACGGACTCGGTTTACACGGCGCTGGCTGCGGGTCGAGGCCAGTCTCAGGCCCACAAGCTTCGAGGCGATCTCTATGCAATAAAATGGGAGCTACGACACTACTTCTCCGAGGGGTACGGGGCGCGATTGCATTACCAAATCGCTCTGGGATGGTCAGCCGACGACCACGAGCACTATCGCGAGCAGTACGAGTGTCTGCATAGTCTCGCAAAACACATCAGCAACGAGAAGGGCCATGAGACCATGAGGGCGTCCGAGACGGAGGTCGACTTGCTGGGAGCTCTGTTCAGAGTTGTCGACAGCAAAGCCGCGCCGGCCCTCGTCCGGATCCAGTCTGCCCGTCTCGCTCTCCGCCTGCTCGGCCAAAACAGCAGCTGGGAAGAGGCAAGTTCCAGCGCACAGGGCGCATTGAAGCTCCTGTCGCAAATCTGCGTGCGGTTCATGAAGCGCGAGGATCAGCAGTACGCTATTGCGCAGACGTCGGGGCTCGCTGCCGATGCGTGCTCGGTCGCACTCAAGGCTGGGAATGTACAGCGGGCGTTGGAAGTTGTCAAATTCGGCCGGGGCCTGATTTTGGGATACCTTATGGACGCGCGCTCGGAGCTCATTTGGTTGCGGAGCAAGGACCCAGGGCTGGCAGACCGCTACGAGGGGCTCCTGGCGAGGGCTGCTCGCCCCATATCGACCGACTCTCGTGAGCGGCAGGAAGACCTATTAAGGCAGCGGGTGGACGCTGTTACCCAGCTTGAAGATACCCTAGAGGAGCTCCAATCCAAGGGGTTCTTCGTACAGCCTACGCCCGCCGAGCTGCAGCGCCATGCCGCCACGGGACCCATCATCATTGTCAACCTCACGGACATTGGAAGCGATGCTATCATACACGCCAGCGACACTATCCGCGCAGTGCCCCTCCCAGAAATGATGGCCGGGGAAGTTCCTTCGAGGCTCAGGGCGCGGATCGGTAGCTTCCGAGGCCTGGACATCCGAGGCGAGATAGCGGACCGTGATCTCGCAACCGATCTGGAAGACAGTAAATCCACGGATAGTGACTTGCTCAACTGGCTGTGGAGCACGTGCGTGCAAAAGGTGCTCGTCGAGCTCAGAACAATGGGGGCGCTGCTGTCTCGAGACACTCGGGTCTGGAGGATTGGAACTGGCGTCGCCAGCGGGCTCCCTTTCCATGCGGCGGGACGCCCCGAAGCAGGCTCCATGGAGAACACGCTGGATCATTGCATCCCGTCGTATACACCCGGTATAAAAGCCCTCGGCTATGCACGCGAGTGTGCGGCCCGAGTCGCACAGTCGAAGCCTACACCAACACCGACATCCATTCTTATCGTTGCAATGCCTACAACTCCCGGCCACAGCCCTCTGGCCGGAGTACGCGCAGAAACCACAGCAATCCAGGGTTTGGCGCAGACACACATCTCCGTTGGAAGCGGGGACCAAGTCCCGTACGCGACCAAAACCCTCGAGCATCCATCCCAAGCAGCCACCCTTGGCGAGATGGGAAGCCACGACATTATCCATTTCGCATGTCACGGCGCCTCTGACCCCGCCGACCCATCAGGCAGCCACCTCCTTCTCCAGAAACCGTGCGGAGAATCTGGACCTGGACAGCACAGCCCCAAAGTCGCCGCCGTCGTCGACCCGCTCACGGCATCCGCCATCTCAACCTCCAACTCCCTGGGCCGCGTATGGATCGCCTACCTGTCCGCGTGCTCCACGGCACAGGTCACAGCGGACGCATTTATCGACGAGAACATCCACCTCGCGAGTGCATTCCAGGTTGCGGGGTTTGCGCATGTCATTGGGACCTTGTGGCGTGCGGATGACGGGGCCTGTGTGCAGCTGGCAGTGTCGTTCTACAGGGCGCTCGCCAAGAGGCGCGATATGAGTGCGGCCGGGTCGGTTGCGAGTGCCCTGAGAGAATCCGTGCTCGAGCTGCGGCGGTGTTTTGCCGAGAGGCCGAGTTCGTGGGCGCCGTTTGTGCATTTTGGTGCTTGAGCTTCGGGGTTATGTGATCTGTATCAGTTCAAAATGATACAAGGGTGAGAGGGCTATACTCTTTCTGTACCTCCCAGGGATCAAGCAAAACTACACGTCCATGTTAAGCTGGTCCTCTACCCTGGTACTCTGTCGTCCTATTGATATGGACTTGTCTGAGGCCAGCAACTTCAGAGAGCTATCGGCCTAGTGCATGACGTGAATATCCAAGCTCAGGACACTCTAAAGCTCAAAAATATAATATCAATCGGTTCCAGTGCTGCGTAGTTCGCGGCGCAGTTGGAAGGCTGATATTGGGGGAACGAGTAAAGTACTTTTGAGGGTCTAACGGACCCTTACGGTACCCCTTCAATAGTGAGCGACATGATCGGCTCAATTAGACTGTTTTCGGGCCGATATTGCTTGAAATTCCAAGTAATGGTGCATTTTCAAGTTATGGGTGATCGATAACACATCCATGATATTGGACGCTGCGACCCAGGGTTTAGCAGAAGCTTGCATCAAACGCAGGAACAAAAGGTCAGGAAACGAAGAGCAAAACATACAACAGTAGAGTAAGGATTCGCATGTGGTCACCCACCATACTAGTAACCTACCGGCGTGTGGCTTATACATGGCCAGAAGTTGGGTGGGTGCCACCCCGGTAAGATTAAGGTAGGACCGCTTTAATATCGCGCCAACTGGGTAAGATCGGGATAAATGCGCAATAGGTAGGCTAAGATTCTTACTTTGAGTTTTCTTTCGGTCTTACATGGCCTGCTTATTTTAAGTAGCTGAGAGCCTTAGTACCTACAGTCTCCAATCAGAGAATTAGCTAGCCAGCTGCCGATAATGTACCGTGCGAAAGCATCAAAAACCTGTCGATATGACTCTGCCTCAAGATCTTAGCTTCTGTAACCCATGGCCATGGCTAGTTCACCTTCAAGTGTGGGCTAATTTGGTCTTATGTCGTGGCAGGCAGCTAGATATATCTTCCCCCTCAAAGTAAGGACCGGAGACGCTGCCCACCAGAACACTAAGCTTTCTGAGCATTAAGTATGGTTAATCGAGGATTACCGGACTTTCTAGCCATTTTAAACTCTTTCCAGATCCTAAATAGTGTCCTTGTCACTTTGCCCCTTGATCATGGGTAGTCTCCTGCAGGGCGATCTTCCCAAATCCCAGAATTGAACCCGCATTCGTGCTTTGAGGAAGAAGAGCAACATGATAGCTGAAGTTGCTTGCAATGGCTCGGCCTGGGAATTCATCCTCGTATATAGTAGGTGCTTATCCACTATCATGGGTGGCTTTGGTGAGGCCTCCCCCTGTGAGCTGGAATAGAATAGAAAAGTGTTGAAGGTTCCTTGTTCAGGGGCCATCAATGGGGCAGAAGGCATAAGAGATCTGTAGCGGCTACACCGACGCAGTCATATAATTGATGCTATGCGATAGATTCGACGACTTTTTCATTGATGTCCTAAGTACAGAGATCTCAGGGGTAACAGGATGCGTGCATTATTGATACAGTGCCTCTCTCTGCGCTTGGAGTGGGTGCCACGTAAAAACCAGGGACGTGCATGACTCGAGGAGAATCTTTCCGCCATCACTATACCTTAGCTGCAGCTAACGGCATCCGATGATAGGCCTGGATTCTTAGATTGACGAAGGCCACCCCTGCAATGTTGTATCGCAACCGGCACGCAAAGCTGACGTCGCTTCCTCCACTCGTCCCTTTGGCCTACAGTCCTGAGGTCGAGAACAGCAGAGACGGCGGGTGTTTCGTGGCGCGTCTATATGACTTCATGGGCCCAAACGATCCTACTGTTCCTAGCCACCGTCGCATCCGTTGTTTCCCCTCTGGGCCTATATAACTCAATCGAGCCGGCCAGTTCGCTCTCCGCACAGCCTTTCCAGTACATCCAAGATACTTCTGCATTTGGGTACGGGACTTGATACCGACAATATCACTAGAGTCCACTCCATTCTGGGCCAAGAATTCGACATTCCGAATGTCTTGAACGATTATGGAATCAGAACGAATCCTGACTTTAGGACATATTTTAATTTCACAATTGGGACGGACAGGTCAATCAACCCGTATAACGTGACAGGAGGAGACTTTTCTGCGGCAGGTACATACAGTAATTTCTCCACATTATTTTAGCCTACTAGGCAAGATAGCAATGGCATGTGCTGGAGCAACTAATGGGAGCTCCGCCAACATGAATAGCTCCTTGATCGCGTGTGGCCTTCTTATTGGCGCCGGATCGTTGCCTGTGTTCAAATGTGCGAGATTCCTAGTAAGCAGACAATCTTTACTGTCAGGCTGCTATTACCCCAGAAACACAATGTCTATGGATGTATATAATCTAAAGCGCTGTGCACTCGTCTTAGAGCCGCGGTGATTCTGCGGTGTGTGTCGATGATATCTTCTCGGAATCGCGTGCAGCAGGAATAGATCCGCAAGCAGCGTAATAACCTCCTCTGTCACCACAATTATTTCTGGCGGCTGTACGTGATTCGCAGCTAGACCAGGCTGGAGATGCTAAACGGCCGGCTCTGCACATATTGGTCCCATCCTCACATTCCTACCCCCGCTGACCGTGAAATGGTGAGTTCCCGGCGACGCAGAAATAACTTGATGCTGACAGATTCAGCGGGAATGACACCAACCGGCCGCGCATAAAACCCCGGATCATGCTCCTCCATGCCGTTGCCGGCAGTGCCCTCTCCAAAGGTGCTTGGACTGACGCCAAAGTCCCAGCCTCATGAAGGTCGCTGTGCGGTGCGCGATGTGGCTCGCCACTATCGTATGCAGATACACCCAGGCTGCTAGTGACTTGAGCAACCCGACACCAGCAGTGCTCACCCTTCTTCCCGCATGGGTAAACGCTCTAGACTCTGCCATATCCTACTACACCAGCAAGGATGCAGACTTCTCACCTATCTAGGCCACATCCAACGCGCTGATCATAACCATCAATCGCGTCCTGCGTGATATCTCAGTAGGACCCAACCTCCCCACTTACCTGAGACGCAAGCTCTGGTGCCGCAGTTTGAAGCCCTTAGGACGTTCTGCAAAACCACCATGCTGGGTCGCGTCGAGCGCAAACAGCGCTTTCTTGGGACTACGACCTGACCTCTATAATCGCCACTGCAGGGAATAGATCTATCGGGGTGGCTGGTGCGCATGGTATAGAGTAAGTAGCTGTGCTGTTCGGTTGGAAGACAAACCGCGTCGCCCAATAGCTGCTACTGTCTGCCTAGCGAAGATAATCACTACTGCAGTGCAAGTCCTAATGCTGATTGGTGCTTTCCAGGCATACACTGGAGAGCATTGTTATTGATCTTCACCGTTCTGACCTGACGGCGAGGTATTGTTGTCTGTGGTTGTTATCGGGTGGCTAAACTCGCGTCGGCATTTGCCTTTACTAACTGCCCCTTAACCTACCCAAGTGGATCACTATACATGCTGCATCCGTTGAGGTGGGGGAGATGCAGTCATTCACCAGTAGAGAAGAGAGACACGGGTCCACCAACACGAAAATCCGAGCGATAAACCCGGTACTCCACCTAGTCACAATCGCGGGATAAACACGAGGCGAGGAACGGCTCGTCGTATAATGGTGAAGAGACAGACTGGATCGCAAGCCCGAACCCTGTCTACTTGCACTACTGATGCAGCCCCAATCACCGCCTGTTGGAACAACCAGTCAGGTCCTCCTCATCGCGTGTGGAGTGCTGATGGAGCCACCTCCACACATCTGCTTACATGGTGCCGAGGTAGCTTGGAATATTGCGACTCTCGCACCAGCAACAACACCCCGGTCCACGTGGAGTGCCCAACTCCTCACCAGATTGCCCTTTCTTGCCTTGACTAGACCCCGGGAAACACGGGGTCGTGAAGCCTCGCCATTGTGCGGTCATTGTCGGGGGAAGGCACAGGAGTGACTGAGGGATCAGCTGGATCACATCCGCTTACCTAGGTACTTCGGAGGAGGGAAATTGGGTTACTCTGCCTGGTGGGGCAGACCAGTCAGCCATTGCATGAAATGGAGAGACAGGTCTTTTTTAACAGCCCGGTGCAGCTCTTGGATAAACTGGCCCCATCCCCAAACCATACTACCCTCCTTCCACCCTTCTTGTCCAGTCATACCTGGGTCAGCAGGCAGATTCTATAACAACGTCTTGTTGCACGAGGGATAGCTAGCACCTCTCCGACAATGGTTGAAAAGCCCTCGATTGAATTGGTCGACGCCTCATTCCCAGACCAATCCATTGCCTCGTCCCCGACGAAACTCCCCTTTAAGTCGCGGGTCATCGCCCACTTCAAGCGGCGATGGTGGGTGCACCTCATACTCCTGACGGTCGTGGCGCTCGTCATCACACTTCCCTTGTAAGTGAGCCCTCTTCTAAATCACCCACTGCATCCACACCTAGACACATACATACACGAGTCGAAGCAGTTCAACGACCGATCACAATAGCGAGGTATCAAGGCCTAATGGATCATCACCCTCGCTACAGAGTGTACGTCGGCTACCCGCGAATCGCCCAGAATGGGATAAACGACTCGACGCTCCGCATTACCTCTATGGAAATCTCCTCTCCAACACCCTCGGGCTTCCACCTACACCAGGTCCAAGTCCTAGGCTCCAACAGCATCTTCCACCCGAAGCTCTACAGCTTTAACGCCGGGGTTCAGCTGCCCGGGTATGATGACCCGATGATAAATATCACAGTGCCGAGCATCCAGGCGAATGACGGAGCCACAATCGAAGTCAACCAGTCAGTGGTATTTGAGGACGCACGCATCTTTGCCGAGTTCAGCAAGGCTCTTATGCTGGAGAAGGAAGTCAGTCTGAATATCTATGGCAAGCCGCGCCTGAAGCAGGCTGGGCTGCATACAATCACCGTTACCTATAACCACACAATTACAATGAAGGGTAAGCTGCCCTCCCCTACCGTCCCCCTTGGTGCTCATCTCATATGAGCCCCGTCGGCAAATAGCCAGCCCATCAGGGGAGATGATGTGACTTGGCTAAGAGACATGACTACTACTAGGGCTCAACAAACTCAAAGGCTTCCAAGTGCTCGAGCTGAAGCTCGACCCGGGCCGCGATGACGGAATGAACGCCAAGGGCTCGGTACTCATCCCCAATCCGTCCGTCATGACGCTGGCAATGGTGTGTCTCCTCCTTTGTGTTCCCCCTCTCCCCCTCTGTGTCCACACCCCCGCGTGCCTCAGTTATGATGCAATGCAGATACACACACTAACTAAGCGCATTCCATGGATCTAGGGCAACGTGACCTTCGATCTCTCCTCGGGCGGTACCGACCTAGGCCCCGCGGTGATCCGCGACCTCGTTCTCCGGCCTGGAAACAACACAGCACCGATCGTGGCGAACGTGGACGAAGTCGCGCTGCTTGGCATACTCCCCCACCACCTGCCGTTCATCATCGAGATGCAGGCGCTCGGGAACTCAAGTGTCTATAACGGCAGCGAGTTGCCGTATTATACAGTGGCGCTGGAGGCGAATCCGATCACATTTGATTTTGATGTCTCGCCGGCGCTGCCTTTATAGAGGGTTTGGCTTTACCTTGATAGATGTAGCTGCGTTTGTTGTTTTTTCTAGGCTTGTTTTTTGTTGGTTGGGGTGAGAGGGGGACTGAGTGGGCACTTTGATGGATAGGAAAGTGGTTCGTTGTGTTCCTTTTTTGACAATACGTAACGTACCCGACACGCTGTTGCAATGAAATGCGATACGAGAAAGCACACGCCCATGTGATATATAGAGACAATTCAAGTACATTCCTTGCCCCAGCGACCAAACTGCAAGCAATAATCATCGCGGCTATATTCTTGTCATGTCAGGTCGTTGAATGTGTTACGTCTTGACGGGGCTCAGTAACGCAAAATTCGAGGACAATGGTATTGGTGTGAAGTATTCCATTGCTAGTCTGTAAAGTGGGTAGGTCAATAAGATGACCATGCATGTGGCAATATCTTCGCATGTCTGTTGGATGCCCAGTTTTTCCAATCGGCGAGCAGGGGGAACATGCCTGGCCTCTTATTTTAACCTAAACTTTTGTACGACCAGGTCCAGGATGGTGATCTAATTTTTGCAAGGGCAAAGGGAATAGCACTGCTTAAAAGAGTTGCACTCTAAACGGAACAGCACGAGGTCTCAGGAGGTCGGGAATTAATGTAATAAGGTATACTAACAAAGGGTCTTTTCATGAAAGGAAAGGGAAGATGATAAAGAGATTCAAACCCAAGTGCCATGGGCGGACACATGGACAGGAGGGAATAGAAGAAAAGAAAAGAAATGACAGAAGTACAGGACCACAAATTAACTTCCTTATGTAAATAAAGACAGAGAGCACTAAGCCACCCACCACCGCTCCCATGTAAGGCCTGCTCGACTAAGAGTAGAAGACCTTAATGTCCGTAGTCCGCGTGATGCCAAGTCTGCCGGACTCTAGGGATAAGATATCCCCATCGGATACTCCGCTACCACCGCCGTGCGCGGACCTTGCGGGTGAAGTGGGATATGAGAATTTTCGAACCTTGCCTTTATGACCCAGGGGTCCGAGAGCGTCCGTATGGAAGCTTGTCTCTGTTCTCGCCAGGCTTTGCAGGTCGAGATCCTCGGCGCCGCTGCGAGTCCGAGTAACTTTGCCCAGCATACTGCTAAAGCTCGTGTATTTCACTAGACGCCGGTAGAGTGGCTTCAACATGGGTAGGCTTCCTGCGAGAACGGCGACGTTGCACTCGACTCTGTATTTTTGCTCTGTCCCGTTAGCCTCTCTCTGATTACCGCGGGAAAGGAAAAAAAAAGGAAGGAGTATCTCTCGTACACAACCCAGATGGAGAGCTCCGTTATTTCCCACAGGGAATCCTCACTATCTCCGTAGGCGTGAACGTATACTAATTTGATACATCCAGCCGCGCAGGTGCTACTCTCAGTTCGTATTAGTACACTTGGGGTTGGGGGAGGTGGGGTGCTGGAAGGTAGTCTGAATGTATGTACTAAGACGCACAATAAGCCGAGGCTGAAGATTATTGCCAGGGAGGCTTTGTCATGGCGGTCAAGTTTCAAATTCCTTTTCAACAGTTGTCAGAATCTCTGTAACTCACGGATCGAGTTTGAAGGGGGACAGGAACCCTGTACCGGATCATGCAAAAGGGCAAGATTGCGAATATGATGTCGGTGACAACGTTGAGTGCTAAAAGAAATCCGTTGTCAGTTGCCTACACCTCGCTAGAGACAAGGCCAGAGGGTGCGGTCCAAAGCTGACCCGAATATGAGTACATAAGAGCTTCCGAGACTTCTTGGGAGTAGCAGTGGGACCGGACCGAGGGATCCCAAGAACTTTTGACTTTGGTACATTGAAATATTATGGTCTATGACGTTAGCATGATTTGCGCGAACGTGTGCGGGCCACACGTACGAAGAATCGGGCGGTCGTGTAGATAAGCATTGAGACTAGAAAGAGATGCGTCAGGGGATTCCTGGGCAGGGCAGCAAGCGTCCAGGACTTACCGATGATTATCCGGATGCTCCGTCTGTATAGCGCCTTCAGGGAAAGTGGGAGTAGGGCCAGCCCGATCGAAATCTTGGCCAGCCCAATCGTCCACAGGTAGAAGCATTCGGCGAGGAAGAAGTAAAACAAGGCGTCGACAATATCATGACGCGCGACATAGACGGTATGCCTCCCCGTGCCATGAATGACAGAGACGATGGACAATGCGCCACCCACCAAGGTCTGTAAATGTAAGTAGTCCATGCCGGAGACTCAAGCAAGCGTCTTGGGAGCAGACGTACGAACAGCAATGCAACGGCCATCACATAGTCCTAATAGTACCGCGCAATGATCAGTATACCCAATTCTCAAGGGAACCAAGTAGGGTCCAAACTGACAGACTGATCAGTGTGGTGGAGCATGAAGACCCGCACATAGGCTCGCAGCGCAACAGCAATTAATGCAGGAACTGTTGTCGCGAGTATCGCAGCCATGATTATGCCGCCCCTGTTTCCATCGAATACGCTGTCACCATTAGATGCCGGATCCGAAAGCATGGTTTGATTTTTGAGGAGAAAGCTGCGGTTCTTGAGGGTGGGGAGTTTAGTAGGTCGAATATGTAGTGTATTGGGTCCGCACAATACCACATATGTCACTGTAGAGCCAGACTTAGAATGAATATATCACCGTCAACAATAACTGCATCAGCTTATGCCGTTATATGGTAAGGGGATAACCCACTCGAGCTGGCCTCCTAGCTGCCATAGAGAGAGGAAGAAAAAATTCCGATTACAGTACACAGATAGTACAGAGACTACAATATATTCCGGGTGCATGGCGCTGATACTGACGTTACGTTGATCACCCTGCCAGAGCGGTCCCTGGATTGGGCTGCGAATCCTGTCAGATTTATGGAACTCTCTGCAGACATGGTGTATTCAGCTGAAGCTGTCCTCCGGGACGCGTCCGGACGCCCAGTCCTCAGCCACTCAGCCTTCCCCTTGCATCCCCGGAACGGTCCCGGCGACAAGACGGATCAAACGTCAAATTCCTCGTGCGAGATTTTAGTAGACTTTAGTTCCTCTGGTGCGGGGCTCTGGCAAGCTATGTGGCAAAGTCTATTTGCTCAAGGGTTCCATTGTTATCAAAGCCCATATATTTTCTCAAGGAGATTTGATCATGCAATGTTTGGTTCCTGCTGCCGCGTATGGCGGTTATTGTTGGGGAGCCACTTTGGAGAGAGCAATACATGGAGTATTTCTAGCCTATATTCCTTTTCTTTACGTATCCAATTCAGACGCCAATTGGTCACCCCTATCCCGTTCCTTCACATCAGTAGCTCCTATAACAATGTTGCCCATTATCAGACCCTAAGAGATCGACACTGGGTTTCCGAGTAGCAGGATAGCTCTCCCATGGCAATTTCGGCTCCCATCCCCCTTTTTACAATAAATAATATTATTACAACAATGGAGCGAGACACCCACTACCGCTAAGCCTTCTTGGCTAGTGCTTAGCGTAAGGGTGCTCGACTGCTGCGAGGAGGACTGATACAAAGTGGTGGGAGAGAATGGCATTAGAACCCCCTGGTAATTAAGATATAAGGATGTATTTGCGCTGTCCACACCCTGCATTTAATAGTATAGCGCCCATATGCTCTGCAAAGTTGTTAATGTTGCCTCGTCACTCGTTTAGTCAGCCTCATTTCCACTATCTCTGCCTGAAACATGCATCTATCAAGCCACCTTCGTTTGACAGCCATCCTCATCGGCCTTTTCCAAAGTGGTCATGCCCATGGTACAACGCATCGCCATCAGCACCGCGACACGTGGCACCTAACCGATACACACATCCACGTGCTTCCTCCGTGCTATATCTCTGCCGTCACCGAAGCCGGTGGCGATCCCTCCGGCTTCCCGACCCCGGAATGGTCCTTGGGAGGGACCCTGCGGAGCATGAAAAGTGTCGGCTCTCAAAAGGCCGTCCTGTCTCTGTCAACCCCTGGGGTTCCCATCGTGGGAACTGGAGAAGAGGGCCGCACTCTCTGTCGCAATGTTAATGATTTCCTGGAAAGCATCACGCAGGAAGCTCCCACCGAGATTGAATTTTTCGGAGCCCTTCCCGACTGGAGAGACGTCGATGGCACCCTAGCCGAAATCGACTACATCTTCAAGACGCAGAAGGCAGCTGTCGGGGTTGGGATGTACACCGTGTATGGGAATCTGTTGCCTGGCGATCCGACCTTCGATCCTATCTGGGAGAAGCTCAACGAGTACAAGGCATTAGTCTTCATGCATCCAGGAGTCATGGATGTGGATCCTATGTTCGTCGCTGGATTCCTGCCCCAGCCTATCGTCGACTACCCACAGCAGACGACTCGTGCAGCTGTCGACCTGGTGCTTCGCGGAGTACGCTCACGCACGCCGAGCGTGGACCTGATCCTCTCTCATGCTGGTGGCACCCTTCCGTACTTGTCTGCCCGGGTGTCTGGAAGCCTCCTGGTCCCGGAAATCGCTAGCTCGGTAAATGTGACCGCAACTGAGGTCCAGGCCGAATTCCGCCGCTTCTACTACGACATTGCGCTCAGCACCACGGAGACACAGCTTAACGGGCTGTTAGAGAACACGGATACGTCCCATGTGCTCTACGGATCCGACTATCCCTACGCTCCCGCAGCCGCAATTCAAGACGCCAAGGCCAAATACGTCTCGTTTGCGAACAACCACCCAGAGCTGAGCCCGGACGTCCTGTCAAACAATGCCAAACGGCTCCTGGTGAAACATAGGCCGTCGCCTGGTGGCTTGAGGGACTAGCCTCGTATTATAGAAGCATCCCTAGCGACCGCTCCAGGCAACATACCCAGCTCTTTTCCTGTGCGAGGCTTTATTGCTGCCAAGGGATTTTGTACAGGGACACTTCATCCTCTACTTTCTTTCCTTCCAACAATCGACCCGTTCGCTCCAGACTTACTGTCACATGTCGCCTGTTGGCGATTTCTAATACCGACTTTGATTCCTTCTCTACCCCTTTTTATTTTTTATTTTTTTTTTTTTTTGCTTGCCAGATCTTCTCTAAACTATTCGTCTGAGCATCTTAATAGCTATCTACTATTCCTTACGGAACCATACTTTGTAATAACAATACCAGTAATAATTTTAGAAAACAAGGGGCATTAAATTCAGCCACCATTGATTGTAGATGAACAGAAGCACCCACTTGCTTAATGCTCGTAAATGGCCCTAGTTGTTTGATTACCGGCGGGGAATGAAATGCACGTCAACCTGGGAACTAAGGAATTGGTGTTACTGTCACGGGTATTGATCGCGCTCCCTGCGCAAGGATTGCGCTGGCTCAGTAAGGCCAAGGACAAGCAGAATGCGTTTGTGTCGAAGTAGGTTATCAAGTAAGCTAACTCATAATATTCAGAGCGCATCTTAGGACACTCGGATCAATTTGCTGGCTGAAATGTCAGAATCCGTGCTCACCAGGCTCCCCATTTCTGACCCTTTTTTTTATTCTATTGCCCCCCTTTATGGTTGGTTTCGTTTTCTTTGGATTCTGCGGAGAGAAAACAGAAGGTTATATTTCTCTGTTTTCAGCGGGGGATGCCGCCTGCATCTACGTGGGAGATGTTGCGTCTTATACAGTCCTTTGGGACCCTGTACTAATGGTTTATATTTTTTCTGTATCCATCTCCTGTTACTCTAGACCCCATATGTACCCTGTATACCTTTTTAGAAGGTTGAAGATAGGGTATGGTAAGAGGTGAAGATGACGGCCAATGGAAGCAAAATGATAGCCGGACCCGTTGCATATTACTAAAAGGGGTGGATTTAAAACGGGAAAACAAGAACTGAAAGACTATGTGGCTAAAAACATCGCCCCCAGGTTGGAACTTGTCGACGAGCGCCCCCATTCAGGATTAGGGAGGTCAGTAGCTGATTATCTGTGTGAAGCAAAACAGGTTGCCAAAGAAATAAAGGTAGAAAGAAAGAACAAAAATCTTCCAATTAGGAGCCAAGATAGCGTAAGAAATTGGGAGGTGAGCCCTCCCCTCTTCGTCGATGGCGTTTTTTGGGCCCAAATCAAGTTGAGGAAATTGGCTGGCCCTGCATAGTCTGCTTGAAGGCCTGCAACGCAATCTCGGGTTCTGTGACGGTGTCAGTAGCACGCCCCTCACCCAGTGGGCAAAACAAAAGATAAATAAATAATGAATAAAAACGGAAAGGTTGACGTACGGTAGTACGGCACCTCATGGCCAGCCTCGAAAACTCGAAGGTACGACAGATTGTCAACAGTCTTGTACGTTCCCTTCTTCTCTCCATTGACGTGATAATCGGCCAGTTTCTTGTTCGCAAATTCATTGTGGCCCTTGTAGGACACCTTGTCTGCGGTTTCCTTGAAACCCAGCCAGTTGCAGATCCAGTCTGCGTCGCCTGCCCAAAGCAAGGTTCGCACGCCGGACTGCACAACATCACTCAGCTGCTGAAGGTACGAACGAGACCCTATAGAACATGGACCAGTTAGCTGGTGAAGACCACGGAAGAGGGGATGGGGAGTGGAATGGACAAAGTCATACCATCGCCAGTCGCTGAGAAAAGCCCATAAGCCGTTGTGGGACACTCCTGATACACCGAGCGAGCGCCGATGGCCTTGACAACATCCGGGCGTAACAGATACTTGCTATACGTGCTCGGCGGGTTGGGGTCCACCGAAAGGGCGCGGACGTCATACACATCGAAGCTCCCGGTAGACGAGATCGGGTACTCGATCAGCTCATAGCAGATCTCTGATGCGACAACACATGCAGCATTTCCGCCGGTTGGGCTCGGGCATTCGTTGAGCGCGGGGAGGCACGCTCCATAGTAGTCCGCGTAGTACTCGGCCGCCTGGTCCGGTGTGATCAAGGGCCGATAGGGATTCACCAAGGCATAGTCAATGTACGACTTGTAGACGTCGGCCGCGTGGGTGAAGCCGTTGTTGACCCCTAGTGCGACCAGGTTAATCTCCTCGCCAGGTTCCTTTCCTTGTTTGATGGCAAGGTTTTGCTTCAACACATAATCTGCGAACCCTGGGCCGTAGTGGCCCCCGTACGATTCCGTCCAAATGGCAAAGTCTCGGCTCTGGTACTCTGGGAACTGGGTGTAGAATGCCTGGATCAATTTCCAGACATACTTCGCCGCAGTATCAGTCGACACCACCGTGTCGACACCGTACGAGAACCCAACTCCGATCGGCTGGTCGATGTAGAGCATGTTAGCGTACTCGTTCCAGCTGTAGGGGTTCAGCTCTGGCTCGTGGGACCCGTTGTAGAACTGGCACGGGCCGTTCTCTTGGAAAAGACCAATCATGCTGGAGCATCCCGGGCCACCGTTGAACCAGGTAGCTAGGGGGACGGACTCGGGGTTGTTGCGGGCTTCAAAGAACCAGAACCACATGTTCATGCCCTCGCCGACGGAAAAGTATCCGGAATATGTGTTGACACCAGGCGTAGTCTCGCATATTCCAGAGTTCTTGACCACCTCGATGGTCGAATTGGTAGATCGGTCCTCGAACTGATGGTAGACGATTCCATCGCGCTCCACCAGCTTTGCGTTCGCTGCAGAGGTAGGGCGAGCGACGTAGGACGCTCCAAGGTGGCTCAAGGAGAGTAAAACAAGGGAGGAGAGAAGCATTGCGACCACACTGGGAATGAATGAGGCGTATACAGTGACTTGAACTGGGTTGCATGTGTCGTGCAATTTATAGTCCTGCGTCCATCGACGGCCGTCCTGACAGGGAACGTGGTGTTATCGCTACGAGGTATGACGGTTGCGCCTCTCCAGCCTGCAGGATCTGAACTATAGACTTGGCGCATATATTCAGCGCTGGAACCGGGCAACGCGCTCCACTCAACCATAATCCGATGCCCCAACAGCAAATGCACAGTGGGTCGGGGATAAAGAGGACTTCTAGAGGCCCGCGAAACGTGCTGTACCCGGCTGGGATCAAGTCTTGATACCGAGAAGCTTCGGTGAAGCATCTGTCAACGGCATTGCTGAGGCTTGGCTGCGGTTACATCGTCTCTCGTGGGCTGATTTGGACCAGGGCTCAGACGACAAGCAATCCCACTTCTGCGTCTCGCTATTGGAGCCTGCCTTGCCTCCTCGGCTTGCAACGCCTATCTCGCGATATATCATGCAAATTACCTTATTACTGTGATCCGCCCTTATCTCGCAGTTGCAACAGACGCACCAGCACCATGATAGCACAACTTGAGGTCAACCCGGAAAACATTGTCACGACTAGACGTGCGGGATGGATATCAGGCCTGGTTGTCCCAGCTGTCCAAGTCGTGGCAACCCATTCCGAGGCCCTCTTCTCGTGCATTTCACTCCATCTCCTGCTCTGCCTGCAATTACAATGTCCATCAGAAGACTAATGTGTGGCCTTGCCGTCCCTCTATTGCTCGCTGTATCGACAGCGGCCGCCTTGCCGGAATCTGCACATTTTCAGGTGGTTCAGAAGGCGAACCTGATCTTCACCAGAGACCCTGCTGCTATTCACTTTTCCGACCTGGCCAGATTCAATGTCACCCTCAACTCCACCTATGCCGCAGCAGCTGTCGGCGTTGCAGCGAGGCAGGCCGGGGACACTCCGGCCATCCCTCTGTTGTAGAAAAGCGAATACGTGTGTCCCGTCACGATTGGAGGGCAGACTGTTCTCCTCGACTTTGACAGCGGCTCGTCTGATCTGTATGTACCCAAAAGCCTTCCCCAGCTCTTCTATAAGGAAATACGTTGTACTGAATACACATCCTATAGCTGGGTCATCTCAACTCTGACGGGTATCGAGGCCGTAGCCCACAAGGTGTATGACCCTAAGTCAAGCACGTCCTCTAAATTGCTCCCTGGCGCTACGTGGGACATCACATACGCCGACGGCAGTGGGTCCGGTAGCGTGGTCTACAAGGACCATGTTGCAATCGGGACCAGCTTATCTATCGACCAGGCCGTGGAGGTCGCGCTATATGTCTCGCCTGAATTTGCCACCAACCCTTTCAGCAGCGGTTTGCTGGGTCTCGCCTTCAGCACCCTCAACACTGGTGAGCCCCAAAACTGCTTGGCTTCGGACTTATTTTCACTGGCTGACTTATCTTAGTGTCACCGGTCCCCCAACTGAGCTACTTTGAAAATGTTCTGCCCACTGTCCAGAAACCCTTGTTTACCGCAGACCTCAAGCACGGGCGTCCAGGAACCTACAACTTCGGTTACATTGACCACACGGCCTACAGCGGGGCCATTGCATGGACGCCCGTCACAAAGCCCTACGGATACTATGCCTACTGGCAGCTAGACGTCACCGGGTTCCAAGTTGGACCTGGGCCTTACCACGAGTATATTATCAATGGAATTGCAGGCGAGTAGTGGGATATACCAAGAATAATTGTGGATCGCAACAGCTGACCTCTTTCGCCTCCCCGATGCAGATACTGGGACCACTCTCCTCTACCTCCTGCCCCTTATCACCGAGGCCTACTACTCCAAGGTGATTGGGGCATTCTTCGACCCCAGCTACGCTGCATGGCTCTTCCCTTGCACATCGCCCCTCCCGGACTTTGTCTTCGGCATCAAGGGTTACCGTGGCGTGATCCCTGGCGAATACATGATCTTCGAGCCTCTTGGTGACGACCTGTGCTACGGAGGAATCCAGGTCAATACTGGCCTGCCTTTCTCTATCTTCGGGGATATCTTGCTCAAGGCCCAGTTTGTCGTCTTCGACCACCAGGGTCCGGGACTCGGATTTGCGAACAAGCTGTGATGAGGCTTCACCAATTGCGGCTGGTATTGCAGACAAACCTCACGTAAGCTGCCTTGTGCTGTCGCTCCGCCTGACGATAGGGTCTGTGACGGAGATGGAACGGACAACGCAAACCCCGGACTCGCGTTCAGCCAGAAATGCCGCCAGTGCCATAATGGCCAGTCATTCGTTTTGAACATTTGAGTGCCTTGTAGTGTGTTTGGTTTCACCTCCCTATGTATTTATACCGACGTGCATTGTTGTGTTCACCTCGAATCTTTATCCCTACATGCTCCTCCGTACTATGCACTCTGTAGACTAGTCAAAACTCTGAATACCACATCCATAAATTGCGGCAGAATTGCATAATCATGAATCAAAGGCACATTGATATGGCCCCCTTGATGCCTAAAAGAACGAGGTCATAAAACAACGTGTCTTGTTTTACGGAGACGTAGTAGGAATGTGGCCTTTAGCTCTAGGGATCCGCATTGATAGCACCCCTGACATCGCAAGGATACACGAATGCAGCTAGTGCCTGCGACGCATATGTAGCAGGGCACGGATGCTAGCGCTGGAGCTGGCAGTATTGAGACGATTGGCTAGGATCATTTGAAGACGGTCGGCCGGCAGCGGGTGAATATGGAATAGACCGAGGTCGGCCCCGAAGGATTCACTGTCAATCGAACTCAACGGTCGCCGATGCATAATGACACCATGCATGTCCCGCACTTGATTTCTTCAAACATTCGCGCATGGCCATGATCATGGTCGCCTTACTGCGGATCTTAACTTCAGAGCTTGGAGGAACCGCACAGATCCATTCCCGGGAGTCGCTCAGGGACGACCGTAGCCAGTCCCTGCACACTTCCTGCACAGACACCTGATTAATTGACCCGTTCCCTGCTATACATGTACGGTGGCTTGAACGCTTAGTCCTGGTCATGGTCCCTTGTCCGTGTGGATATCTAGGTTATATAGGCTTTTCCTTGTTGTCATCGAACAAAAGGAAAACCAGGGGGGGAAGGAAAGATTGTTGGCATCTACGTGACTGCATACATCTAGGCCGGACCTACCAGGTGGTCGAGCTTGCATAATAATAACAGCTTGTCTCCAACAAAGGTCAACAATATTACGTATTCTTGATTCAGGTAACTCTGCAACTATAATACACTAAGCACAAATACTAGGAAGATTCGCCCATAATTATCCATCACACCCATGGTGGCATAGGTAAATAAATGTAGGTGGCAAAGGAACATTACATAAAAGATTGAAGAGTGAAAATCATAAAAAAAAGAAACTCAGGTAAAGAATGAAGGATATGAGAATAGTTTCTACCTGCACCCTGCCCTCACTTTATAGATATACAGAGGCTCTGGACGTCTACACTTTTGTTGCATTGAGTGCAATGACCGGGCCGAGGGTAGGACCTCCATTAAAGGCAAGTCTGTTAAGCGAGCCAGGGCCCTCGCCAACAACAGCACCTTTGGTAGCCAGTGTCGCAATGCGCGCGGCGACGGTCTTTCGATCGGGCAGGAGCTCCAGAGACTTGAGGTACACAGCCAGTCCGCAGACATGCGGGCTGGCCATGGACGTCCCGGACATGGTCGTCACGGCGACAGGAGATCCAATGTAGGTGGATAGGACATCCACGCCCGGTGCGAAAATGTCAAGAGCAGTTCCCCAGTTCGAGAACGAAGCTTTGACATTTCCAGGGGCGATCGCCCCAACTGTAATGGCGTGAGGACTCGAGGCAGGGCTGGTGGTAATTGCCGGGACCTGCATAGTCGCGAAAGAGAGAAGAGGAGATATTAGTTGCTCGATCGTTTCTCTCTATACTAAAGAATGTATGGGGATGGGATGGGGCAAGAGACGTACGCCTTCATTACCAGCGGCGACAACGGTAGTTACTCCAAGGGCATCGGCTGCTGCGACGACAGCATTGAACGTTTCGGAAAACGAGCCGCCTTTCCCAGCGGCGGGGTTAGCATTTCTTTGAGCAGTAACCCGCGCAGGGGTATGATTTACCTATACTCATGTTGATTGCGCTAACAGCCTGACGATTCTTGGTGACGATGTCGTTGATAGCCCAGGCGTAGCCGAGCAGGATGATGGATGTAGATGACTTGCACGATGGTTAGTCAGGTCAACAAAGATCTTTTCGATCCGACTCTGGTGGGGATCAGCTTACGCTTTCTCCAAGGAAGACCTTGACAGATATCAACTGGGTCTTCTTGGCGACACCATATGCGCGAGAGCCGATTGTGCCGGCAACGTGTGTGCCGTGCCCATAGGTGTCAATATCGGGCCCAGGAACGGCAACGAATCCAGCATGAGCACGACCTTCAAACTCGACGTGGCCGTAGTTGATTCCTGTATCGACAACATAGGCAAATGTACCTAGCCCTCCCCGCTCGTCAAAGACGTAGTTGGGGGCGCCGGGCTTGCGATGGGAGATACTGCGCAGACCCCAAGGCGCTGGCTGCTGGCTAACTGTGGCCGACAGATGCCAGACATGGTCCGGCTCGACCCGCTCAACCTACAAGAAAAATTATAAGCGTACGCTTCGGCCTATGTAGGACGGGTTTCATACCGCAGAATCCGACTTGATGCGGTCGATCACAACGTCCGAGAAGGATCCGAAGTAGGCATTGAAGGATGGGACGGTGATGACGTTTTCGATTGCATCGCTGTCAGCAAGGATACTAGACACCCAGCTCCGATGCTGAATGATATTATCCGAGGAAATGTCCTTCTTGAAGGTGACAATGTAGCGACCTGGGATCGCCTCAGGCGCGCTGGTCTGATTCTGCGCAACGGGGGCAGAGAATACGAAGGCAAGGCGGCCGCGACCAGCACAAGACAACGACGAAAGCCGCGCATGGTGAGCCTGTTGACTGAGGGACAACAAGGAGAAGTCTGATTATCCTGTCTTTTCTTGTTGAGTACCACCCAATTTATACAACTCGATTGTCACAATTTGCTTCCATTGCGTGCTCGCAAGAAAACTACGATCATCTATAGATGGGTCGGAGAACTGCTCTGCGATCAGCAGCACAGGGGTAGACAATGTAACATTGTTATCCCCTGAAGATACATGTGATTGAGAACGAACCACTCGGGAACCAAATCCACCGTTCCCCGAGACCTCTACATAATTGCCAAGCTGTCGCAGTCGAGCTTCGGGACGATAAGAGCCCATTACCTCCGCTGTTTGCCGCGAATAGCCAAGGTTACCCAAGGGCCAGGTGTTCGACGGCTCAGTATGGAGGGAAAGATTCGGGCGTTGAGAAAACCACGGGCACGTATTACAGCTGGAAGATGCTTCCAGGACTGCCAAGATCATCCATTTCGGATCAGGGCTGCAGGTGCCTGCAGCCACGGCAAGCCGGAAGGGACTAAGCCGGAACCACCTCAGTGAAGGGATCCTAGTGTAGCGGGCTGAGCGGACCATCTACAAGCCGCTGTCGTTATCAACGGGCCCTATGGACTGGGATAACGGTTCCTGCGTCTTGGCAACACTTGTGCAGGGAGGATTTGTAACGACAGCCCTAGGTCTGCCCTCCTTGAGGGGCTCCTCGCTGACCAATGAAGTCGAGCAACGAGTCGAGCAACGAGTCGATCACGGTTAGATGAAGTAGTAAAAGGACTCGGGTTCCTCTCTAGTACCAACCTGGCTACGATTGCAGAAGGCCCTGCGTGAATTGCACCGGGATGATGCCATATTAGGCAGAGCGTCGGTGGAACTGCTAGATTGCAATCGGGCGAACCGCTGAAAGAACAAGGAGGATTTGCCATCCAGAAACTCTGACGCAATGATCAGCAATAATGACCTCCGTTGGCAAGCATGCAGGCATGCATCATACAACGCACACCTTGACTGGGTCTGGATAGTGGCCAAGAAATCATGTTACATCAAGAATATCTGGGCTGATCCACAGCCTTGTTCCGATCGCCGAGGCATACAGGTTTCGGCATACCAGTCGCTATGCCAAGTCCCCTATCATGAGCTGTACTAGCCCAGCAGGGACCTTCCCATTACGGTAAGGGCGAAGAGATGTCCGCCATATGCTTGTCAAAACATATAAATTGACTGCTATGGAACGGCTTAGATGCCGGTTTCCAGTCACTAGAAGCCATTGCAATTCCTTGCCCTCCCTTCACCACCAACCCTAGCTGGCATAATGCACGCGCTGCAACTCTTGGCCGCCGTTCTGTCTATGGCGTCGTATGCCGGAGCTCATACCTCTCGCCGGTCATGGATTCCTGAAAAGACGCTCGATCTGGCAACCTACCGCCTGACCACCCGCTCCAACTACACCTCGATTGACGACACGTCTAAACCTGCCTTCCTCACCAAGGGGTATAACAGCTATGTGGACGCGGCTGTCAGCCTTGCGCAGGGCCTCTATCCTGACGTGGAATTCCGTGTTGTTCAGGATCACTACGTGGACGTCAGCGGAGTTGCCCATGTTCACCTCAAGCAAATCTTGCATGGGCTTGACATTAGCAATGCAAATCTCAATGTGAATGTAAGTCACATACGTGAGCGTGGGTGCCATGCCTTCAAACTTACCCATTTCCTAGGTCGGTGCGGATGGCAAGATCATTTCGTACGGCAGTTCTTTTTACACCGGTGCCGTTCCCTCTATCAACCCCCTGAAGAGGGGCAAGTTTGCCACTCCTGTCGCGGCCCTCAAGGGGGTTGTTAGCACGCTTAAACTGCCGATCACCTTCACCACCTTGGTCAGTAAGCCGATTGATGGCCTTCAGCGATTCTCCTTTGAAGGAGCCACTGGAACCCTCTCGAATCCTGTTGCTTCGCTCGCCTACTTGGTTAAATCCAATGGCGAGATTGCCCTTGTCTGGAATGTCGAGACTGACATTGGGGATAACTGGCTTTCCTCATATATTGATGCTATTGACAGCAAGGCCGTGTACGGTGTCATCGACTACGTAGCATCTGCAACTTTTGAAGTCTAGTGAGTCGGATGTCCTACCCCTGTTACTCTCCCATAGATCGCAGACGATTAATTCGGCGCTATTCTATGACCTTTCTAGCCCCTGGGGTGTCAACGACCCGGACCAGGGTAAGCGGGAGCTTCTTACAGATCCTTGGGACATAGCGGCCTCGGAATTCACTTGGCTATCTACCGGAGAGACCAACTACACCACCACGTGGGGCAACAACGGGGTAGCTCAGATTAACCCGTTGGGGTATCCTGGGTACCTCTTGAACTATCGTCCCAACAGCACCACTTTGGACTTTGAGTACCCCTACCAGCCCACGGATCCCGTGCCCCTGAAGTATGCCAATGCATCCGTGACCCAGCTGTTTTACACTGCGAACCATTATCACGACCTACTCTATCGCCTTGGCTTTACTGAGAAGGCCGGGAACTTCGAAACCAATAACAACGGGCAAGGTGGACTTGAAAATAACATGGTTGTCCTGAATGCGCAGGATGGTTCCGGGTTCAATAACGCCAACTTTGCCACGCCCCCTGATGGGCTCCCACCCCGGATGCGCATGTACATCTGGACCCAGTCCATCCCTTTCCGCGACTGCGCGTTTGACGCCAGCGTGGTTATCCATGAATACACCCACGGCCGTATGTTCTCCCCACGTCAAGTATACAAGTCCTCGACATTCACACAAGCACCTGGATAGTTTCTGTATGACTAACGAGCACGCATCACAGTTTCCAATCGCTTGACGGGAGGCCCCTTGAACTCGGGGTGTCTGTCAACGACCGAAGCCGGAGGTATGGGTGAGGGATGGAGTGATTTCTTCGCAGTCGCGTCCTATGTGAAGTCGAGTGATACCAGGAACGATGACGCAGTCGTCGGGGCTTGGATCTATAACAACGAAGGCGGCATCCGTACCTACCCTTACTCCACCAAGCTTTTGACGAACCCTTACACGTACGCGACCATCAACGTCTACAATGAGGTACACGACATCGGCGAGATCTGGGCCACGATGCTCTACGAGGTTCTCTGGAACATACTGGACAAGCACGGCCACGGGGACGAGACTCTTCCTGTCGTTGTTGACGGCATCCCCACCGACGGCAGGTATCTCACCATGAAGATCGTGATGCTTGGCATGGCTCTGTGAGTGCCTTTGACTCTTATGCTTGTTATTATGATGATAGTTATTTGACTAATACCTCCTTCCCAGCCAACCCTGCAGCCCTACCTTTATCACCGCCCGAAACGCCATCCTGGACGCGGACAAGATCCTCACTGGCGGCGACAACCAGTGCGAGATCTGGACAGGCTTCGCCAAGCGGGGTCTTGGGGCGGCGGCGGTATACCTTCCCTCTAGCGGGCTTTATGTCAACAGCTTTACTGTCCCCGGCTGGGCTTGCTAGATACATAGGCTACATTTGCGGGAGCTTTTAAGGGTGCGGGTGGAAAGGACGATAATTTGGCCCTTCAGGTGGAGATAAGCCTATTAATAGTTATTATTCATGAAGAAGGAAGAAGGACAGGTTCTGCTACGTATTGAAATTGACTTCTAACAACTAGAGCTTTATGTTTTTAACTCTCCTTTTTTTTTCTGCTTTCGTTGTCCTTTTCCCCTTTGAAGAATACAACCTCAACATGAAATGACGGATGAAGGAACAAGAGTCCCATAGCATGCTTGGGATTAGCAGGTCTAGCGTAGGTAGTGCAGGTAGTGCAACCTTGTTATGTCAATGGTTTATTAGCAGTGCATGGCATCTTGTTGAACAGGCAACTTTGTCATGGTTGGTGACAAAGTAAGTATCACTTCGTGACCTAGCAACCGTGTTACACAATTCTATGTTGAATGCACTGGAAGAATATTGAACTAGGCATATTTTCGTCGGGTTCATAGAAGGAGAGACAATGGTTGGTTGACCTGCTGCTCGCATTGTGTTGGCAATACTCTCCTTGGATATCATGCGATTATGCGGATCTGCAATGCGACCACATAAGAGGGGGGCGGGCAGACAGCCCCGGGGTATCGCCATCAGCCATACATAGCCTACCACTAGGAACTCAGTCCGGCGATCCCTGCCTCCTCCAGAAACATCGAGTATGATCCGCGACAGGAAACTCCGTGCTGGCACAGCATCATCGGCCTGTACTGCTCAGCGCATCGCTGCTCATGTGGTTGTTCGACCCGAAAGCTCATCACCCTTGTTCTAGCTCCTATGGATATTTAACGCGGTAATTCAGCTTATGACGTGCGCAGCGTGCTACCTATACTGTTTAATTGCTCTTGAAGCTGAGGTCGCGTACGAGGTGCTTCGCGCGGTGATATTGATATCTGAGCATCTGATATTTCAACAAGTCGTCACCCAGTGCCATACCTCTTACCGGTAATGTTTTTTTTTCGAGATTGACACCGCAGAATATCCTGTACGACTGGCAGGCCGTGAACGAGGTCGCCCCGTGGAGTGCCACGCAACTCGTTTTGCGTTCGCAGCAATTCTTGCATGCCCTCCTCGCGCGTCTCCAAGGAAGCGTTGATGACCTTCGGCCCGACATCATGGCGACCCGCAGCATGGGGATGTCCTTCGAGACACGACCCGCCTGTTTGCCGGAGAAAGTATCTTGGTACAGGCAGGCAGGCAGGCCTTGAGCTCACAGATATGAGTCAGTTAGAACGCTAGCTCCACCACCCCTTATCGCAGCATTGATGAATAGGCCCCTCCAACACCTGCTACCTGGTATTCAGGACCACTGTTATGCAATAATTCCCCCGGCTGTTGTCCGGAACAGTCCCGGAAGCATCCCGGAGCTCATGCCTGGCCACGCTCGCCGAGTGGAACCCGGCTACGATTATTGCGCACGAGACCTAGCGATTTGTTTTTTAATTTCACCTCGGCCCCGTGCGCCCCTTGCCAAAGGGGTGCGCAGAGAGAAGTAACGTTGTTCGTTATTGGCCGTCGCCCTTTCGACCACTGCTCATTTGACCCACAAATGGCATGAGCTGTCGGAAAGCACCCGGGGGAACTAAGCCTTATCCATGACAACGTGCTAGTGATGGATTGGGTCCAAGTTGCGTTGCAGGAAACCCTGTTTGAGATAGTAATCAATTAACAAGCGCGAGTAGTGGGTATAATTGCGTGATGGGATCGGAATCGCCCCGTCATGCCAATCTAGTATTATCATCTTAAACATTCACGGCCTAGTGCTGCCTCTCTATCGATCACACTGCTGGACAGAAAGTCTGTAAAGTCAGAATCATAGAAAAATATCCCCCCTGAGTAAATAGGCTACATACTTCATCCATGAGCTATGTATTAATAAAGATTTCTAGAAGTTACTGCGCCCTCCTCTCCGCTAACTCTGAATCAGAATGGTCCCGTGGGCAACTGGGATTACCTTGCAGTGGTCCGTGGCTCAAGCATTGCCGGCGCGGCCCACGGCTGCTTCCCGCCCTCGCTGGGAGGGGAAAAGGGGGAACAGCTCGAAGGAACAGAAAGCGACAGGGTGTCCCGACCTGGAAACACTCCAGAACCACTCTCAACATGAGCTGAGTTTCACTACAAGGCAACCAAAAGCCAAACACAATCCTGGGACACCTGGGCTTGGTCCCAACCTCCCAGATTTATAAACGCTCGACGAGATGCACATCTGTCTGCCGCTTCTGAAATAAATCCCTCCGCGTGGGCCTTTTTTCGTTTCTTTTTTTTTTTTTGAGTCGCATCCGAGACGCTTGTCAGTCAATATAATGCCTTCCTTAATTAAAACAAGTAAACTCAGCCTCACCGGCAGCTGCACTATACTGCGGCTGAACATGATAACGCCGTCTTCGGGCGTGTCCTTTTGACGAGCTGCTGTATCCCCAGTGCAGCGGATTCTTAAAACTGTGAATGGTTCTTGACGTCGAGATGTATGTTGACCGGGACAATGTTGGATTGTTCCTGAATACGTTAGTTCTCTAGGGGCAAACAATGCTGCTTATACTTGACAGTGTTGTCTGCTATCTCCCCCACCAAGGGCTCTAGGCTTCATTTTTTCTGCAAGCACCTTAAAATCCCTCCGTGTATGGTGACTAGCCATGGAACCCGACCTCCTGATTAATGATATCGGGTCGAAAGCTGACTTTCCCTACATCGGGCACGGCGCGGATACTAAGACCCTGCTCGGATTGAATAAACCCCCAACGTAGACCAAACTCTGGGTCCCTGGTGCTGGCAGTGCGCCTGAGTAGACCTTAGCCGTAGTAAGTACCACATTGCAGAGAAATCCGGCGCAGGAACCCGAGCCGGGTGGTCCTATTACGGCCATGATCAATGAACGTGGTCTGAGGGACGATTTCGAGAGGGCCCCGTGAGTACTCCGGAATCATTCCGAGATAACGTTAGTGGAAGGTGAAGGAACCTTCTCCGAAACTTCTTCCTTCGACCAGGTATTTTTGGGATGTGCCCGCATCTAATCGGCTTGTCAGACTCTCTCATGTATCACATGGTTCCTCGGTTGCCCTAACTCTGGGACCTCGCGGCTCCTGAATCTTAACTTATTGGGCTCCTTCCAGCAGATAGTCGATGGCTCGTAGTCTACCAGGGACTAAGAGTGGATGGCTACAAACCTCGTCTTTGGCCTGGAATTAGTAGCCATGGGCTCTCCACAGCATTTCTTCACGAACCATGGGACAATAGTCAACCACGTGTGGCCATGGGCTGCTCATAATGATCATCCCTACGCGGCAGATTACAGGGGGCACGGCACCTCATCTTATTGCTTTGGAAGGAAGCCTCATGCCGCGTAATGAGTGTTGCCCATGGCTTGGTAGGAGCAAGGTAGCGCTGAGGTTACAGCTGTATATAAAGGGCAGTCTGGCGAAAGCAGTGAAGAAGTGTTCGTTTCGTCGAGGGCAGACACCTTCACAGTTCCTGCCCGCAATATCAGCAAAGGAGTATCCCCCAAATGAGGTTCACTACCAAAGACCTAATTTTGGGCGCGATTCTTCTCCTCCCTGGTGTAGAATGCACAGAACCGAAACATACGGCTTGTCCGTCCATGAGCCTTGTCAGAGATGCATCGGGCCTTAACATTGACGAACTCGAGTTTCTTGAGAAGCGGAAGAGCAAAGCCGATGCTGCTTTGAGGAATTGGCTGTCCAAAACAAGCGACCAGTTCGACGTTGAGGACGTTAAGTTACCAACAGTGAGTGCCTGAGTTTGCCTATTATGGCGTTTACAGCGTGAAAATAATATCGGCGCATATTACTAACAGATATATATGTCTAGATTGGATTGACCACAAGTGGTGGGGGTTACAGATCCATGCTTACTGGAGCGGGTGTCATCCAAGCCATGGATGAAAGGGACAGCAATGGAAGCACCAGTGGTCTATTCCAGGCATTGTCCTATCAGGCCGGCCTCTCTGGTGGTGGCTGGCTGCTTTCTTCCTTTGCCGGGAACAACTACCCGACCATTTCGAAGCTGCGGGAAGATCTTTGGGAAGAGGCTTTTCAGAACGGGCTTTTGACCCCGGAAAATAGGAATGCGCCTGAGGTCTACAAGCAGGTTTCCGCCGACGTGGCTGCAAAGAATGCAGCTGGATTTGACACTACCCTCACCGACCCATACGGCCGTTTGCTGTCCTACCAGTTCTTTCCAGGCCCGGCTCATGGCGCGAAGCTCAGGTTTTCGTCCGTGGCGACCCTATCCAACTTCACAGACTATGCTGTACCTTTCCCCATGATAGTTAGTCTCGGCGTCAAGACGTTCAACGGGGAGAGCCTTCCAGGCCCCAACGCGACAATATACGAGTTCAGCCCTTTTGAATTTGGCTCGTGGGACAGCGACGTGAGCGCTTTTGTCCAAACCAAGTACCTGGGCACGTCCATCACCAGCGGCAACCCAACCAACCAAAGCGGCTGCGTGACAGACTACGACAATATTGGATACGTCCTCGCGGTTTCCTCAAATATCTTCAACTACGCCGCCAGATCTATGCCCAAGAGTTCCCTCCTGACCACTGAACTCATGACGAATGCGCAATCGCTCCTAACCGACGTACATGAAACGGCCATCGAGGACTTCTTTGCAGTGTTTTCCAACCCATTCTATGGCTACGCGTCAGCCACCATGGATCTGAACACGGCGAATCTGATTACGGAACAGGAAAAGCTGCACCTTGTGGATGGAGGCGAGGCACTGCAGAATAACCCTATATGGCCCATGTTACAGCCAGCTCGCGGCATCGACGTCATTTTCGTCAACGACAACAGTGCCGATACCAACGACAATTGGCCAAACGGCACTGAGATCTTGACGACCTACGTGCAATCCTTCAACCACGACTTGACCCGCATGCCTTACATCCCAGAGGTCGCCACTTTTATCAAAAAAGGCCTGAACAAGCGCCCAACGATTTTTGGATGTGACGAAGCTGATAAAATAACCATTATCTACCTGCCAAACAACGCTCAGACCTATCCGAGCAATATGGCCACCGCAAAACTCCAATATTCGAAAGTAGAGACTCGGAAAATGATCGAAAATGGTATGGCAGTGGCCACGCAGAATGGCGATGAGGCTTGGGGCGCATGCTTGGGTTGTGCTATTCTGAGAAAGACCGATACCAAGTTGCCACGCGCGTGTGATATATGCTTTAGAAAGTACTGTTATGGAGCTTGATACTGGTCTGTTCGCCAAGTTGGATCTGTCGAATTGTAGGCCAGGTGAGGCCTGAGAATCGAACCGAATAGAGAGACATATAATACCTGGTTATCCTTTACAATCTAGCTCACTTAAGTTTATAATCACTCTCCCTGACAGAAATACTTTTACTAGGTATTTTGATTCAGAGAGTAGTGCCCAACATGTGCGTACATTGAATCTTTGCTGCCCGCTCATGCGCAGCAATACATGCGAGAGCCTCGTGAAACATCTTCCTCTCATCCTCCGGCCAAGCCTGCGAGTTGTGATAGATATCCTCTAACATCCCGCGCAGGCGATACCTACGACTGGACTTCTGCGACCCGTGAGCCACGCTGTCGGCTTTGAAGCTCGCTGTATAGTACTCGACCGTCACTAGTAGACGCTCGTCTGTTGAAGAAGACTGGGAAGGGCGCCCCGTCTAAAAGGAAGATCTACTTCGGAAGCCCATCAAGGTTGGAGAATGCCGCAAACTTACTTTTCTCGATACTCTCATACCCTGCGTGGTGTATGCTGTTGAGAATGTGGATAAACCGCTCCTGACAACTCGCCCCCTGGGAAGGATGATCCTCGGGACTGACGGTGAATTGATTATCCCGCGTCGCCTGGTGCGGAGCCGATGAACTTGATGCTCTGGGCGATGACGCAAAAAGTGCGCAGGGCCATTGAGGCGCTACACATGCGCATGGGCCTACATGTGGTTGGGACTCGCTTGACAGCGAAGATGAGGAATAATCAAGATTTTCAAACGTTGAAGACAGAAAATCAAGGGCCGAGCTTGGTGAGACTCCAAGGTGGTTGTTTGACTGGGCAGGACTGATCGGCAGGCATTTCAAGGCCCCCAGGCTATGGTCTGATTCTGGAGCGCCGATTTCCTGATCTGGTACCAGACCAACGCTCGTGGTTTCTGTAGCGTATGCCTCAGTCTGGATGTTCGTGGAGGGGGGCGAGTAAGCTGCGTCGACCTGGTCCTTGAGTTCAGAAAAGTCGCCAATGTGCTTCTTGAGCTCTTCGAGTTCCCGGATTCTCTCCTTGAGTCGTTTACCTACAGCTTTGAAGCTCTGCAAGTGAAGGCAGAGCCGGAGCGGTGGGTATCTGACCGTGAACAGCTTACGGTATTTCTGTTGTACCACCCGGGTCTGTAGCCTTTTCTTCTCCGTTACGTCCATGGGGTCGGCACCGCTCGCCCCCTCCATACTTATTGACGATGAGATAACTGCGCTGCTTCGGCCCTCACTACTACTGTCTCTATATGGTCTTTAAATAAGCGACAGCAATGCTACAGAAGCATCTGACCAGCAACCTACTCGCCCGAGGTCATCAAGAAGGAAGCTGCATGTGAACTACGCCATGCCGAGTGAAACTTCGCGAAGGCTAAAGCAGCACATACGCTGTATGCAGCAAGATTGGAGGATAGCGAAGGCTTACCTACGCGTGTTTGATTTGCCGCTGTCGATCCCTGCAGGGTTGGTTCACTGCGATGAGCTCAATTGGCCTGGGTTCCACGCGTCGGAGCGCAACGCCAGGGAACTAGCCCGGGCGCCAACCTGAACATCTTTTTTGTGTAATCCGACTGGCGCAGACCAGCTCGATGGCTAACTTCGGCCGAGTGAAACCTCACCTCTTTGAGGTCATGACCAGGGGGTAAAGAAGATCAGCGTACATCCAGTCAGCACTAATGCATGGGACCAAGTTTGCCCCGTTTGCAGTGTTTGCGTTTGCAATTGTATACCGTCACTGGTGATGTGATTGAGGGCTAACCTCGGCAGCGTGGCATATTTAAAGCTGACTGATAAGAGCATGCGTTCCAGTCTCGATGCAAACTTCCAGCATAGGCGCCATACACAAGAGCGCTCTCGCTAGGAATCAGAATTACAATCAATCTTCTACCCATCCAGAAATATCGATAATGAATGACAGCAATGTTGACCCGGACAATACGACCGGAACACAAATGGGCAAGGCGAGGTGGTCTCTTGCTTGCATTGCATTCTATTTGACGGCGTTTTTATACGGTGCGGCTTCCAAACCACATTATTCCAACCCTTCAGCGCGGCATTGTGCACATTGCAACCCATTACTAACAGTAAGTCTGTAGGATTGGATACTACAATAGCCGCCTCTATTCAGGGCGAGATATACCAGGCTCTAGGCGAGATCGACAAGCTGTCCTGGGTGGGCGTTGGATTTCCGATGGGGTCCGTGGCTACTCTGGTCTTGTTTGGCCAATGCTACGGGACGTTTCAAATGAAATGGCTCTACTTTAGCACGATCGCTCTCTTCGAAGTTGGCAGTGTCATCTGCGGCGCCGCACCAAATATGGAGGCTATGATAGTGGGACGAGTGCTAACGGGCGTTGGTGGTGGCGGCATGTATATTGGGTGCGCCATGCTTCTCTTGCGCCTCATGTCCGAGCGAAACTAATGACACTTTCTATAGCACCCTCAACTATGTCTCCGGCTTTACACGCGTGGAGCAACGAGGCCTTTACGTGTCCCTAGTGGGTGGATTCTGGGGACTGGGCTGTATTGTTGGCCCTGTGGTGGGAAGCGGGTTCGCCGCAAGCAGAGCAACCTGGCGCTGGGCCTTCTATATTAACCTAGTCATTGCAGCACTAGAGCTGCCATTATTTGCCTACCGCTTTCCGCCACTGGACTTAAAGCCAGGGCTCTCCTTTGCGCAAAAGTCAAAGTCCATCGACTGGGCCGGGTTCGTCCTCCACGCTGCGTTCTTCTCCATTCTTACAATTGCTATTGCTCAATCTGGGACAGTCTGGAACTGGTCCTCTGCGGGGGCCATCATTCTCTGGGCCGCAGCAGGGATAGCCGCTATCTTCTATGCCGTACAGCAGACATGGTGGTTCATGACGACAAAAGAGAATCGTATCCTTCCTCTTGATTTCCTTCAAAGCCGCACCCAAGTATTGCTCTACCTTGGTACGGCAACGTCGATTACCGCATTCTTTGTGCCAGCCTACTACATTCCGCTCTTTTTCCAGTTCACCAAGGGAGACGACAGCATGGCAGCAGCAGTTAGGCTCCTGCCATTCGTTATCGTTAATATTGTCTTCAATATCGCTGCCGGCGCTCTGCTCCCTCGCTTTCGCTACTATAAGCTCTGGTACCTCGTCAGTGGCATATGTATTGCTATTGGCAGCGCTCTCATGTATACAGTCACCAACACAACCTCAACGAGTGCCATATACGGCTATGAGGTTCTGATCGGAGCAGGATCTGGCTGCACCCTACAGATCGGGTACGCCGTAGCGGCCGCCTATTTGCCTCCGTCGCGAACAGCCCAAGTCATCCGCTTCCAGAACGTTTCACAGATCGGATCCACGACAATTGCTCTCGCGGTCGCTGGGTGTATTTTCCAGAATATCGGCTACGACAGACTGCAGCGCGCACTTGCAGGCTCGGGGTTCTCCAATACTGACTTAAGAGCTTCTCTTGCCGGTGTTCAGTCTCTTGTTCTGCACGAGGGAGACATGGACACTAGATCTCGGGCTGTAGCAGCCATTGTTTCTACTTTGGGCGACTTGTATGGACTCGTTATTGCAGCTGGAGCATTAATGATTCTGAGCTCGTTGTTGATGAGATGGGAAAGGATGCCGTTATCTGACAGTGTAGTTGGGGGGTTGTAGTTCCGCGTAAAAAACCATAAGAGGTAAAATAGGGTGGGTAGGTCACCGTTTTTAAGGCCCTTTTCCTTTTAAGGTACTCATACGTTGATTTATAAAAATCGTTTCTGAGGTTCAGTTGACTAGTTATAATTCTCCGCGCAGTCCAAGTGCCCCCTATGAACGTGGATCCATTTGATTTACCGAAAGCTTACCAACGTATATGTATGCCCTACTTGCTATTTCGTCCTATTCTATCTCTTCGAACTAATTGTCTCACTTGCAGGGGCTTCCCTAGGGAGCGGGTCATACGTCAGTCTATTCTTAGGGGGTGCTACAGGGGCCCTCTTGAGAGAGCAGGGTTAAATTCTTCGTGCTTGAATCAATTATAATCATTTGTCTAACATTCGACATGCTGGAATCAGATCGAGGATCAGCACGTTCGCGTTGGCCGCCCGGCCGAGGTGCGCGGCGAGCTCGCGGTGGCTGTTTGGTGATCCCAGACTGAATCCCCCGCCGTGGATATATATGATGACGGACTGTTGGTGGTATTGGGTGATGTGCAACATATATTCTACTAGAAATATTCCCAACATACAAGTTAGAAGTTAGGTGCAAGATCAACGTCCTTTACTAAATAACACTTATAGCATTACCAATTATTTTGATTTTTGCAGGCTCGGAAATAGGCTGCCCGCAGCTTGAATTACTTAATACTTAATTACTATCTTATTAAGCCCAGTTGCTCCTCAAGATATTTAGATTAATTTAAGCGATAGTAATGCCTTTCTTATAATACAGCACTGCCGTGTGCTAATTCCTGGAATATATTATTCCTTACATCTCCAAGGCGGGACACCTCTTGCGCTAATATTTATAGAACTGCTATAATACTTTCTTTAGATTTATTACCTACTATCTGTTAATGTAAGTCTGTGCATGTTTAACCAGGCATATCTTGCTTACTTAGGCTCGACTAAAAGCTTACTCTACTATGCAGGCTTGAATTGGTAGAATGTCATGTTAGGGGCTTGAAAAGGGTCGCCTGAATCACCTTGGAATGGATGGGTTTCCGCAGATATATGGTCAGGAATGTAGATAGTCTGGGATAGCAGGGCAGCTTTTTTGACGCAGTCGTGCGCTGCTTTATAACATTCGCTTTGGCGTCATCTTATCACCGAACCTTCACCGGTGCTTGTCACGCTATTTAAAAGTAAATATTTTATAGATTATCTTTAATAACGTTATCTTCTTGCCTCTTCCATGCTGCCACTAGAGCGAGTGTTATAGGCTCTACAATTAGAAGAGCTAATGCTATTATTCAAGTGACCACTGCTCCTGGACAGTGAGCTTGTCCACTAATTACTAGCAGACTAATCATGAGTAGCAAATCCTTTTAAAGACTAAGCCCACTACCGAACAGCCGCCCTTGCTACTCAAACTCGCCTACTTCGTTTGATTACTTCTTCTTTAATTCCCACATTTATATTCTGTATTTACTGGAACGTGATGTTTTGCCCTGTCTTTCCCAACACGCCTACAAGAGGAAGACTTTATCGCTCCACATATATCCACAGTATTATTAATCTAGTAATCATGTTGGCAAAGGGTAATTAGAAATATCAAAAACTTCGTCAATTAGTGCCCTGACCTGCCTAGTCCTGGCGAAACACTCGAACCTTGAATCTTCAACGTGTTCTTATACTCCTCGAATTCCAACAGCCTGGCAGCCGGACAACTCCCTTCGCGATTCGATCGCTCCCGCAACAAACCCAGAATCACTCCCCGAAAGTTCTCGCCTAGATCCTCCCAAACAAAATCCGGATTCAGAGCGCTGACGAAAACACGCATTGCAGATGCCGACACATTCATAATACGACAGACATCTTCAGCGGAGAGGCTCTTCTGCATCGTGGTGATGAAACTAGACCGGACCAGGGACTTGAATGGTGCAAAGCCGTCTTCGGGTTTGGGTTTTGTTTCAGGTAGGGTTGCTGGCCCTGAATCAACCAAGGCAGTGGGGGGCTCGTCCGCCATCGTCGTTTCTCCCGTGAGCATCTCGTGCACGAAACCCTCGTCAAGAGGCTCGATGCTCTCGCCGAATTCACCATTTTTCCCAACCTGCCACGGCACACGCGACATCTCAGCATCCGCCAAGATTTTCTTGCGGAAAAGCAAAAGCTTCTCGGACTTTGTATTGTCCTCATCAATCTCCTGGTCAAAGTCTGTAGTCAGAAGCTCGTCGTAGACCTTTTTATTTTGCACTTTGAGCATTCCCGGCTTGACGCGCCAGAGAGACGCCAGAGCAGCCTGTTTATCCATGATTTCCTGACAGAGACTCTTCACCTTAGCCCAGTCGTCGCTGTTGAATGCTTCGGCGACCTGCGTCTTCAGTTCGCCAAAGGCAGCCGAGCGCGCGGTGTACGTGCTCGCGACGATAAGGTCGTCCATGAAGCGTCGCTCGCCGCCCGCGGCGAGGTGTTCGAGATATTGTCGCATTCTGGAGTATCCCGAACTCTGTTTCTCTAGTTTGCGTGGAAGCTGCTCGAGCAGACGAGCTGCGACGGCTGGGACGTCGAAGCCTGCGTCGCCATCCTTCGCCGTAAGCATTCGCATGAGAACAGTGATAATGGAACGCGAATGGAAAAGCTGGATGTTTCGCAGCTTGCAGAATTTGATCATCTCTGCGGCCTTGGTTGCTCTCACCGAGGCAAGATCTTCGTTTGTTGTTACCACGTGGATGATGGCTTTGTCCAGGAGCCTCTCCAGGTTCTCGTAGAACTGCTTGCGCGGCCAGCCCGTGTACGGATACAGCGCGACGACGGTCTCGTACCAGATCCAGTCGGCGTCGGTCTTGGGGAGGTCATTTTGCGAGTTTAGACCGAAGAGCTGCCAGACCATGCTGAGGGGGCGGACGCCCGAACCGGCGATTGTCAACAGATTGCCGAAGAGGCCGCGCATCAATCGTGTCACGGTATCAGTGGCCTGCGTGGATTCAACAGGGGTCGTGTTCCTCATCGCCGCAAGCTTTGACATGGCGGACATTAGCAGTGCGCTCATAAGCTTCCCGGTTTCGAGACTATTGGGTTGAAGATGATGTTCTCGAGACGCGACTGCTTGGCTGAGTGTTGATCTCATGATAATCCGCAGCGCGGCAATGTGCGCGTCGTTGCATTTCTCCATCCAGCGCACGGTATACGGACTCTCGAGGTTGACGAACTCGTCCCAGCAGACCCAGGCTAGCATTGACCCGGTCCCCGATTCCTGGCTCAGGTAGGGTAGTGCGAGGATGGGGTGCGAGGGTCCAGACTGGCTAACGAGAGGACCATCGTGGTGGCCTTGGGACTGCTCGATGATGATCCCTGCGTCGAAGCCTTCAAGGTGGAGGACTCGGGGGTCGAGGGTGCAGCATAGGCTGGCATCGGGCGGGCGATTGTTGTTCAAATCCGCCAAAAGCCGGGAATAGGGCCTTGTCTGGATGTTCAGCAGCATGACGCCCATATCTGCGGCGTAGGTTTCTAGGTATCCGGCGAGAGTTTCAAAGGTCATGGACTTGACGGCCTCGACATTGCCCTGGATCTGGGCCTGGCGGACAAGGCGCTTGAGATCGTGTGTTCGCTTCGAAGTCGTTTGGGCAGAGATCATGTTGGCCAGGCTGGAAATCAGCGGCTCCAGCGCCACCTGCATCTCCTTGGTGGTCTTTCGCAGTTGTCCGAGCATATTGTTCTTTGCCTTTACGGCTTCCGGGTCTGCCCTGTTGTACTCCTTTAGGAACTCAGTATAGCTGATTCTCAATGGAGCGATCGCGTCGCTGATTTTCGCCGAGAGTGTAGACACAAGGGTCTTGGAGAGTGCTTGCAAGTCTTTCTGGTTCATAAGAACTTGGAGCTGAGGGACTGCGGCGGAAATGTCGTCTTCGAGGCTATGAAGCTGGTCGATCGAGAGGTCTTCAAACAGCCTCTCGAGGTCCTGGAATCGAACTCGTTGCCCCGAAGATGGTAGAAGGACTGAATCCGTTTCGCCGAGCGTGACTATTTGCTCGATCCTCGGGTCCAGGATGGACTCTGCACTAACCGACTCGAGTATGGAGGTCACATCTGCGCCGAATTCCAGTCTACTCGTGTTGACATATGCCCGATTCGCAATACCCCGATAAAAGTAGTATTTCTCGCCGACTTGAACTACAACCAACGACTGCGGCCCTGCGAGCGCTGTCACCGCATTGATGTTCGCCGCATTTAACAATGACAGGACCTCTTCGGTATTCGTTGGTGTATCCTCTGGGCTCAATTGCACGATGAAGAGGGCGTTGATTCTGTAGGCGGTTGCGAGATTCCGGGCATTGTCGGTCATGCGCTCGTCGACGATCACCATAGCACTCTCTAGTTGCTTGTAGTACTCCCGGAGAGCGAGTTCGTCGGTGAAGGGGACATTGCAAGGGACCGTACCTGTTGCCAGCAGGATTGGGCCTTCAAGCTGGGCGCCGAATATGCAAGGCAGAACAACAGCGGATGGATCGGGTTTTGTGGTGGTGGTCTCTTCGTCTGGGCGTTGAAATTCAATCCCAGTTCCGAACCGGACCATTTGTGTGGTGTGTAGTTTGAGGAATGATGGGAGATTGGTTGAGCCAGCAGTGGCGATTACTGCATGTTCTCTAGTGACATTGTACAAACTTTCTGAGCTGGCGGCTCTGCTCTGAAGCGTATCCGACATATCAGCCCCCAGCAGTTGCCCGCTCTGACCCGGGCGCGGAGGCGCAGAGAGGGTAAAGTCTGCGCGCTCAATTGCTTCCTTGAACGAATCGCTGTTTAATGTGCTGCCGGAGCACATCTTTTCCACATCTGTGGTTGCCATCGGAAGTATTGAACAAACCAAGGAGTCTCCGTCTTTCTGAATCACCATCGGGCAACAGATGGTAGCGGCTCCGATGGTGGCCGCGTCGAGGGGAACCGGGATGAGATAAAGGGCTTTATCCACATGGTCGGCGACAAGCAAGGCAGGATGCGTTCCAAGAAACTCCGTGATCCGAGTGTAGTTGTACCCAGATATGAAGACGCAGATTTTCTCCTCGGTGAGCGTTTGCTGGTCGAGCTTCACGTGGGCCAGGAAGTCGGGTCCATTGGTGATGTCGCCACTATGACTGATTCCTCTAAAGGTGTTTTCCGCAGCGAAACAGCAGGTGTTGCATTCTGCGTCTGCAAAGCAGAAATCGTAGTAAGTGGGTGTTCTTTCAGAGACGGCGAAGATTGTGATTTGGCCGGATACGATTGGGATCTTGAATGTCGGAGCCGGTGCTTGCATGATGTGAAAGTCCTCGAATACCCCTGCTAAGATTAGTGCGATGGTTCTGTAAAGAGGGAAAAAAGAAACATACCAAGATGCGACTGGAAGCCAGCCATTCGCCTCAGAAGGGTCTCGCCCATCTCTCCCAGGTCGACGGCATTGAAGAAGTAGTCTTCGGGGTATGAAGAGGTGTCGATTTCATTGATGCCGTTTGCTGTCCGAACGAGAAGAAGTCGCTCGGGGCTGAATGGGTGTGCAGAGCCAACTGGAAGATCTTGGAGGATCTCTCGAATCCGAGACTTGGTTGTTGCAAGCGGGTCGAAGAAGGTTTTTCGAACCTGCTCCATGATGATGGCCAAGGAGAATGATGGATAAAGGAGGAGTATGTGATGGAGAAGTGATGATCGACCGGACTATTTATGCTGCTTATTTCCCCGCGTGAGTCACTCCAGGCGGCTCAAACAACTAGACTTTAGTGGTGCAACCTTGGACGCAGCTGGCGGTAGAGCTGAGCAGTGGCCTGGTCCCATCTGGGGTAGCTGCCCAATAAATACCCTGTCGCTTAAATTGCTCTCCTTGGGTTTTACGCTAATATTCTAGCGAGGAAGATGGTTCGATTTGAACGAGACTACAGATGCATTAGGACGCCGCTCTACAGATGACTCAGTGCGTGCCTCAAATAGGCTTCAACAACACAAAGCCCAGTCGTGAGGCTCCTGAGCAAATGATCCAGGTACTAACCCGATTGGGTCCCCGACACGAACCTAAAGTAGAATACAACCAACAAAAGATATCTAAACCAGCTAACCTTCAGCAAAACGCACCTACGCCTTCTGAATGCATGACTACGTGTAGATGTACACCATCCGACTAACTAACATACATAGTTCATCTTATTGACCCTGAGAAGATCTTCCTTCTAGAGTAATACTCGCCGTCATGGGGAGGATCCGAACAGCCTAATAGTCAACCTATAGAGCAAAGTCCTACGGATTTCGGCTTTAGGTTACTTCTATTATAGCTAGATGCTCCAAAAGGGCTAAAATATTTTTTTTATATCTAGATGTACTAGCGGGCTATACTCTCTATTATCATTGCAGGCTATGTAGAGGGGAACCCGTGCATACATCATTTTCTAGCGTAGGCTGGGCAGGATACTGTGCAACAATAGCGAATATTTAGTAAGGCGCTGGACTTACAAGTCGAAGTGGTGGTAAGGACCAGCTCTGAGCGCACACGCCCTCTAAGTACCGTCAGGCGTGTCCAACTAGGGCCATGCTACGCTGGATTGTGAATCCGGAACCGGCCGGCCCTTAACCACAACCTTATGCTCTCCGAGACTCAGAAACAGATTTTCATCTAGTGGCATAAAGGTCCAGATATGTGCGCAGCTGCGCGTAGGGCGTCACACGTGCGAATAATGGCCGACGTCAATCCTCCAGCACTAGTCCAGGACTTGGGAACCGGCCCTACCTGACTAGAAGGAAATGGGCTGCGGAGCTTAGTTAGCGCCATACGGGTATCAGGAGCCGCTTTGTGTGATGAGAACTACCCTACACTTCTCGATGAGGATGCATAACCGATGAACGTAAGCTTCAAAGACCTTGCAACAAGTCGGCGGGACAATGGGCATTTCGGATGTGAATACCTATAACGTTAATGAAATCGGCCTAGCAATGGGTTTGATCCCAACTGCCAATATAGATGCATGACTAAGTATGCTGATTTGGGCTGACGAAGGATAATGGGTTACCACAATGAAATGTGTCAGGGGCAGCTTATTACTACATGCATGGGAACACTACGACTGGACTCCCCTAAAGCTTTACTGTATTGGTGCAAGTCACTGCCTCGCTTAGTGCCGCTTGGACATTAATGGGAAGATGCTATGTAAGGTTGAGAAATATCGCGATAAACCTTTGGCGGAGGGCCTATTCGAGACGATGGCGCTGCTCAGGCCATTGTGTCAAACTGCGATTCAGACTAAGCGGGGATTTGTGTCGAAAAGACAGATATCGGAAACAATCTTTGACAGGCCTTTGATGGTCCTTTGTTAGGCCATGAGTATAGCTTTGTTGACTCTTTGGCCGACGGTTAGGGCTTTGGCAACAGCCTTTGTCCTGCTTCATTGTACTGTTTCGGCAACCTCTTTTCGGTCTTTGAGCCCTTTCTACCAAGTCAAACACACAGAGAAAGGCACTGCACTTAGTCTGAAACATGACCAAAGCTCAACTGCGGTGGTAAAAATAACCCAAAGGGGGAAAGTTCGAAAGGTGGATGCAGAGCCTCAGTGCTTCTCCTGGTGTACTGCGTAGCTGATGCTCCCATATCATCACCACTTGACAAAGGTCAATGTACTGAAATTGAAGCATTCTAAAAAAAGCAACACGTTGAAGTTATTCGAATGCTATGTAACTGCTATCGAGCAAACTCAAGATATAATGCCTCGTCTATCCCATCGTTTGCCCTCGATTTCGAAATCATACCGATTATCGCAAACCAGCCAATCTACTCAAATCCAATAAACGCAGAGACAGCGTCTCCCAACAACAAAATGTCCAAGATAAGAATGTCCGGGGCAGTGCCCCCCAAGGACCGGCCCACACCCCAAGAGCTCCGAACAATGCAGTTCGGCGACATGCCCCCCGCGGAACAGCCCAGGCAGATCGAAGAGCCCGTACAGACCGCAGAAGAACCGCCGTCCATGTCAGTCATCGACAGGGCTTCCACCAGGCCAGTGGTCCGTCTCCCACCGCCATCGCCGACCGAAAATTCGACGACACAGAACCAAGCACCGCAGCCCATCCCAGTCCTCGATCAGCGGACTCCCATGACGCGAACCACCACTCAACAACCTTCTACTGGCCCACACCCACTGCCTAGGCGTGGATCGTGGTCGGTCGTACCCGTCATTCCACTTCGTCGCCACGAGCCCAGAACTAGTCCGGTTACCCCAAGCCCAACCGCGCGGCTAGGGGGTCAGACCCAGGCTACGCCCGCGGCGTCTCAGCGCCCAACGCAACCCCCGACTGCCCCGCGCGCTATGCAAACCTCGACACAAGCGCAGCGACCCGTGCCTGCATCTGCATTCGCACGAACGCCCACGCATACCCCTTCGGCCTCGCAGCATGCGACAAACACACCCACTGCGCCTCGGGCGATGCGGGAACGGGGGTCTCCATACGCACAATCGCGCCGTGGAACACACCGAACCCAGCAGCCTGCTTATACATCGGCTGGACCGGTTGTTGCAGAACGGCAGGAGCAGATGTCCGCCTATGGTCCGCAGCCTGGCCAGAGCCGGAGACAGTCAAGGTCCTATGAGATGCCTCCACCACCGGTCCCCTTCCCCTCGGCTGCCGGGCAATACTACTTCCACAGAAATCGATCGCAGCCGCTGGACTTGGTTCCCGAGGAGGAGATTGCTAGATCTGCACCGGCCCCGTCATCCAAAGTCCCCGTGCTATCTACGGTTCGAGGGGCCCGTGTCGAGAAAAGTCGTGCCCCCAGCAAGGCCTCGACTACCAGCTCCAGCTCTGGCGTCAGCAGCACCAAGTCGAAGAAGAGCGAGGGTTCGATTGGACGGGCTCCCAGGCGCGTGTCCCCCGAACAGCGCGTGGCCCAGCTTGCCAGGAGTCTCAACAACAGCAATCTCAATGCCGCAGCGTCGGAGTTCCAGCCCGCCGCGCAAGCGGTCCACGTTGCGCACAGGACAAACGTGAGGGTGAAGCAAGCGAGGACACAAATGGAGCGGCAAGCCCTCGAGGAACTGGTTCTCACTTCGGCGCAGAGGGACCTCGCATTCTCCGGCCTGCCCGATACAGCGAATGCAGCACGGAGGGATGGCTGGACTCGCCCCACGGAGCGTCAGCAAGACCTGTTCCGCCGGATCATCGACCAGTCGCATGGCCTCCCTCTTCTCCGGCTGAACGGGTACCGTGGCACCGACGTGGCCGACACCTTCCTTCGAGATCCCACGGACCCGCAGTCGCTGCCTCGCATCGTCGCCATGGACTGTGAGATGGTTGGTATGGAGGGCCACCCTGGAGGCCAGTACACGGTGCGTATCTGCCTGGTCGATGTCCTGACGGGCGAAGTCCTCATGGACCACGTCATTCTCCCGCCGGCGGGGGTTCGCATCACCGACTGGAGGACCCAGTACAGCGGCATGACGCAGGCGGTCATAGATCTGTACAGGCGCGAGGGCCGGACCGTGCAGGGCCACCAGGGCGCGATTGACTTTATGCGGCAGATCCTGGATAACAGGGCGCACTTTGTCGGGCACGCGCTGCACAACGACTTCAACGCCCTGGGTATCACCCACGGGAACGTCATCGACACCGCGCTCCTCACGCAGCAGGCTGTCACCGACCAGATGGCCCAAGCGAAAGAGCGGGGAAGGTGCGGGAGCATGTGGAGTCTGTCGAAGCTGTGCAAGAGGTTTCTGAGTAGGGAAATCCAGGTCGGGCACCATAGCTGCTTGGAGGACACGTACGCGGCGAGGGAGTTGCTTCTGTATTTCGCGCTGAATGGATCAGCTCTTCAGGCTGTCACGACCTGGGCGCGAGAGCAGGTCAACGGTATGACTTTTACCGTTTATTACGACCCTCCGAAGCAGAGCGACGACGAGGATAAGGACGGGGAGGACCAGCAGGGGGGGAACAACCAGAAATAATTTGCTTTGATATTGTATTTGGCCTGATGTTATGTATATAGCTTTTTGTGTTTTTTCTAGTTGTCTGATATTTTGCTCTAGTTATTGGCTCATAGAATTTTTCCATTCAATAGTTTCGCTTTGTTGATCAAGAGGCTGAGTTGTAGAAGATGTCCCTGTAGTGTTGTTGCTGTTTTTGTTGTTTTAGGTGAAATCCGAAGGAAAGGTGAAAGTGGGGGAGAATAAATCAGTGGCTCATGTCGGCGCTTAGCGATCCACACACGAACTACTGGCGAGAACCTGGCGTTTGTGTACTCAGGCAGATTTATTTGCGGATTCAAAGAGTCTTACCACGACTTACCGTCGGCCTTCACAGCCAGACAATAGCTCTTCGAATATTTCCAGATCCGAGGAGGTGAAAATGCCACTTGTCAGACCCAGCCCTAAGCCAGGCAGTAGAAATATGAATCGAACTCTATCACCCACAGACCGAAACAAATATAGCCATGTTTTCTGGGTTGAATATAATCAGTAAGATACGCCAGGCTGAGATACCAGGCTCACCACTACGCTGATCCGGCCGGGCAAGAAGGAAGCCCTGGTTGATCCGTTGTCCTGACAAATCTGGACTACGGCGTCGGAATGTCCGACGGGAGATGCAGCCGGATATCTGAGCTATCCCAGTATCTTGGATCCCATGACATGTTTGTAGGATAGCTCGAGTAGGAAATATGGATGATGTTATGAGAATTTTGTGAGGACGGCGAGAAAACCGAAGGGTGGTTAGGGAGATGATGATGAGCCGCGAGTGGGGACTTAAGGCGTGTCCTATATAGGAGCACAAACTGGCAGTGACCGAGAGGAAAGACGGAGCAGGCAGGTTTTGCATTTACAAAAGATTATAGTGAGTCAAGTGAGGCTTTGGGAAATCAGAGTCTTAGTGTTCGCACAGTCCGAAAGCTTGAACACGGCTCTGGTTGACCACGTAAACAGGACATCCGCGCCATCTGCCAGGAGAAGTGGCAATCGTCCGAGCGCTGGCTCTCTTCTTTCGGTGAAGAAACGGTCCTGCGTTGTTACCAGAAGCGCCAAGTATGTATGCCCTCAAATACGCACAGATACTGTCATGGAAGGCGCGGATGGCGGCTCATTACATCCATACGAACATGACAACCTGCACCTGACGTACTCAGCCTCAACGGTGATGTCGAATGTACCGTATCTTGTTCTGGTTAGGCATGGCCAGGTCCAAGTTTTGAGAATGGGCACATCTATACATTACTGGCTCATTGAAGCCTCCAGGATAGGGCGGGATACCTGACTGGGGTCTCTGCTCCAGCCCACCTAATGATACTGGCGCATGATCGAGAAGGCTAAACCAATAAACGAGCCATCTCCAGTTGGGCCTCTGATTTCGAGAAGTGAATCTTGGATATGACGCCCCACTAGGAAGAGAGTCGTGGATAAAGAAAAGTCTAAATGGTACCATGGATACTCCAAGTGAGAAGCACACAACCACCATCTGGACGCCGTCGAGGCCGATCTGGACCCACGTCTCTACCCCAACCTAGGGATAAATAACGTCCACATGCGTCTGCAGATTTCAGGATAAGGACCATAAATGTTCTGCTCATCCGCAGCACTCGCTCAATAAACTTGTTCCTCTGAATTGCCCAGAGATCACAATAGCAATGGCGTTCAGACATTTCCTGAGACATGCACTTGACACACCCACGCAGCAAAGCTGGGGCCCTCTAATCACCCCCTCTAACCAACCCACCCCGCTGTTCACCAGGCTCCTAGATGCAATATTCACCTACTTCACCAACGTTCCTCCCGTCGACCCCACGGGCTTCGATCCGGTCAAATATGCCTCGGTCTTTACGGCCCTGTTCTACTCCGACAACAACAATCTCAGCCGCCGCTACTACATCTTCGCCACTGAAAACCATATGCCCGCACCGGAGCAATTCGCGTATCAGGCCATGGCCATATTCTATCGCACCCACCACATCCAACATACAATGAACGGCGCCACCCCGATACTGACAAGGGAAGGATTCCACCTCATGATGCTCAGAGATACATTGGGGGATCCCGGCATACAGCATCAACGATTCAATGCGTTTCTGGCGGTTCATGGGCGCGATTTGGTGGATCCCATGACTGGTGGGCACTTTCCGCCAGTTCCCATTCCTCGGGACTCACTGCCCAGGGAGAGGGATTCCCAGACATGGTCCAGCGAGGCGGAGATGACGAGAGACTTTAATGCGGAGTTGGGTGTTTACCTCGAAGACCTGAATAGGATGGCGGGATGGACGCATGGTGTGACTATGGATAGTATGTCGCCTCGGGTGTGGACTAGTGGGTACCTATGATAGCATGGTGGTATTTTGTTTACTGCAACATGGGTATGATGCACCATGGATTTGAATTGAACGTTCTCAAGATGGATGGAAAACTAAGTGGCATGTATGGAATGAAAAGCGTCATGAGGTCAATGCGCTTTACTATTGGGGTTAATTTACTCAACTTGTGTAACAAATAGTTTGACCTGAAATATAAGTCTTGGAGAGTATCCATATGCTTTGAAATCTTGCACAGTAGATACAATTTGATATAACAAATGCAACCACTTTTGCAGTCGACAACCTCGGGCGTCGAGTTGCTTTGCATTGGGACCAAATCTGCCCCGGTTGTGGTGCCACTGACGCTTTCCGCCAAATTTGTGACAGCTACTAAATTCCAAAAAAAGAAAAAAAAAATGAAAGAAGAAAAATGAAAAAGCAGTAGAATAGTGTTATAGATCCACGCCACCATCAGCCAAGCCATCCGATCTTTTGTCTGGTACAGAGCTCCGGATCCTAGCACTTCCACATCCAACAAGAGCGAAAGGGGCCCAGTTGCATGGAGAGGCAAAGTCGAGTCGTCCATCGGCTATTTTCTCTCGTAATTCATCCAGGCAATATTCCAGGTCATCGAAATTACCTGGCGGCCTAGCCCTTGTGTTCTTGGTGGCTCGCCACAGTGCCTCTAACTCGTCGACTAGCGCACCTGCCCTTCGTTTGTCGAGCCGGTAGAACGCTCGAACGGCTTGCTGCCAGGCATCCGCCACAGAGAGTTCGATGCGTGAAGAAGCATTCTTGTGTGCAGATAGAACCCGATAGAACAAATGCATCAGCAGCATGGTTGCTCCGTCGGAGACTTTCCATAGACCTCCAAGAAACGCTTGCGCGCCAGATTGAAGTACGGCATGTGCGAACCCGACGAGGTCGTCTCCAGAGCTGATCTCGCCTTTACCACTCAGGCAGCAGCTAAAAACCACGAGGGAGGCACTGCAATCTACTTGGGCCATGTCGAGGACACGAAATCTGTTGCCGAGAATTGTCGATTCCCAGGGGGAGGAGTAATTCTCAGTCCCGTGGGATGCAATATGCATGAGTTCAGCTTCTCTCATAGCTTGCATGAAGCCGTCGGCGTTGATCAGTTCTGCGCCAAGGGAGTCACAGACTGAGACCACTTCAGGGCCCACGTAAACTATCGGGTTGTCTTCATCACAGTCTGCTACCGCGAAGATCCTGGTCCCCGGTCGGGACTGGGCTGCCTTTTCAGAGATGCGTTGGAGAACCGCCAGACTCGGTACCTGGTAAAAAGGCTTTGCCACGGCCAAAGGTTCGCCGTCTAGCATCAATGCGCCAAGAGGAAAGACATTTAGATATGAAGTAGGCACAAATATGATAGTGTCACTCGCACGGATATATTCTGCAAACGGTTCGATTAACTCGGTTGAGATCTGTGCCGATCTATAATTCAGGCTCTTCTTCAACTCCGCCGCCTCAGTGCCAGTTGGGTCCTTCTGGAAGGCTAGAATCTTGCCAAGGTAGCCAACAACTAGTCTGCGGAGTGCGTATACTCCGAGGCTGGACTGGTGAACAGATTGAATACCGGATGATGAGATGCACATAGCAATCAGGCCACTCATACAAATGCCAACTTCAATGACAACCGCGCTGGGGGGAATTGCACTGAGAAGCCGATGGATATCTGGGACGAACATGGTGTTTTTGAAAATCTGTGCTGTTGTTTCGTTTCTATATTTGAGAGCTTCTTCGACTGGATTGAAAGTATCTGGAGGGATCCCGAGCTCTTGTGCGACTTGTTGTGCTCTCTCAGTAACATTGTGCTCATCCCCAGGTTCACACTGAGAGTGGATCAAGGTGGCAAGCAAGCGATTTCGGGTTGACTCTTCCATCCAATCTTGGAGACTCTCCACACTTGCAGAGTCGTGCGCCTGAAGTATATCGAGTAGCGATCTTGCTCGGCCTCGCTCAAGGAAGATGAGTGATTGATCCAACCACGAAGATGTTGGCAGTCGGTACTCTCGTGGACTCCTGGCATCATGCCGCTGGGACAGCGCGAGTGAAGTTCGAGCGAGCCCGCAGAACAGCTCTGCAGTGTGCAGTGTCGAGTAGGCTCTGCGTCTATTGTCGGGGTTTGGGATCATCGCTCTCATGTTTTCAACCTGGTAAAGAGCGACTAGGTAGCTCTCGAGTGCGGCGCCCAGGTTCGAATCCCGTTCATGGAAGGCACCGATGAAGGTGAGTAGCAGCCAACTGTCTGGCCTTGGTTCTCTCCTCAATCTATCACAAAAGTCAGGCAACACGGTGACGATATTGCTCAGTATGGCTATTCCGGTGTCCCAAGCCTGGGCCAAGAAGCACATGGAGATGTCCTCGTCCGCAATATTCCTGCGCTCCTGTATGGCGTGCTCTCGAACATCACTTGGCACTCCTCTGCGAAGGCAGTAGCTACCAATGTCCTCTGGCGTATCTGTGGTAAACCATTCAGACAGAAACTGCGGGAGAAGCTGTCTCATTTCGTCCACCCGGCCAAGCTGTGCTAGAGTGGGAATCTTGCGGTCGAGCACTTCCCTTGCCCTCAATCCACCCTGTGGCTCACAGCTGGAGACAAAGGTCAAAAGCTGGGCGTCAGCTGCGTCCATGTCTCCTCTCTCGATTGCCTTGAAAGAATGGTCGAGAGACTGGGAATAACGGGCCATAAACTCATTTCGCGCCTCATATGTTTCCATCATGTGAGCCAGATCAGATTCACCACACCCAAATAGTGGGTTATTGAGATGGCGCCGTGCATCAGCATCCAGAGGCATGGATTCGAAGATATTGGGACGCTTTCTCGGTTTAAGGCGATGGCGGGTTGCATCCCATTCCAAACGTAGATTCTCGTTTCCGGTCATTGAGCAGACGGATCTGACCAGCCCATCAAACCCGACCATGATCGAGGTCCGTAATGTATTAAAGTGCTCAAAACCGACACCGCGAGACAAAAGGGCATCTACATGTGCGATTGCACTCTGAAGAGCTCCGGAAGGATGGATTGTCTCTCTGACTTTTGCTTCCGCGAGTGTCCAGTTGTGTGTTTGTCTGAATAATGTGATCAAAGCCTCCGCTGAAAACAGCGAGCCGAGCCGACTATCCAATGCCTGGTGATAGACAGTGGCACATTGACAACAGCCAACAGCCACGTCAGTGTTCCGATAGAGTGAGAAGTGGAAGTGGGCAAACCGAAGCATCAATGTTCCCAGAAAATGCGACATTTTGATACTTTCTGTTTTGCGCAGCTCGGTCCCCAGGCGCCTTGCTGTATCAACTGCGACAGCATATTGCCCGCGACTACAGTTAAGTAGAGCGAGATGGCAGGTAATTAGCTGCTGGTTCATGTTGTCCTTGGCAAAAAGCCTCAGCGCTCTTGATAAATCTTTCTCTGCCTCTACAAAATGCGCACAGTCAGCTCCACCCTGGGATCGAATCCCTTCTGCGTGGTGCACGCAGCCCCTGCGCAGGTAAACAGCAGCTTGGCCCCTTGGGGCGCATGCAGCCTCCATATAGAACAGGGCTTCGCTATAGCACCTTTGAGCTCTGCCGTTATCCCTGAGCGGTATGTTGGACTCCAAAGGGTCCCAGGCCACATTTGCCCAGCCATTGTCGCGGACTTCGCAGATTAAATTGAATGCTATTGGACTCGTATATGAGGGTGACAGTATGCGATCTCCTTCATTTATCTTGCACAGCCCCATCCCCGCATAGTCGCTGACACTTTCATACTCGGCCTGCAGCTGGGTAAAGCCTGGGTGGTCAGTTGAAGCTCCTTTCGCCCAATCGATGTCGGTGGACATTCTGTAAAGCATGTTGTGGAATATTGGATTCCCCAACTGACTGATGCAATCTACCAGGGTCTTGGACCAGTATGGAGCTTGCAGTTCTGTAAGATCGAGCTGCTCTTCCTGGGCCTCTGGCAGGGATTGAGTGGTAACAAGTGGTGTGAAATTAGGGTGTGCGAGGTAGGCAAAGTGTAAAGTATCCAAAAAGGACCACACGTCCAGAATCAGTGCCTGCTCCAGCCTCTCGAGCAAGCTGGCAGACTGTGCAGCACATATTGCTTGTCCGGCTGCTTTAGCTCGTGTGTGCAGGGCCTTCAAATTAGAAGTGTCTTCCCTCAGCTGTTCGTACGGATCGCCGGGGATCATTGCAAATCGAATGGTCGTAGGGCGATGTTGCAGCATGGCAGCGTAGAATTCGTACATCTGGCCACGCAGGATCCACATTCGGTCGAGCTCGTGATGCTGCGAGGCTGTGAGGCTTTGGATGTGTTCACGGGCCTTGGTGAAGTCTCCTGAAAGCGTGTGGAAAATCGCTCGGAGTAAGATCGTCCTCGCTCTCTCGTTTAGCGAAGACGACTTTGAGACCACATCCTGCTCGAGAGCCGAAATGTGACGGTCGGCATCCTCGTAGCTGCCACGATACTCGTCCGGCAGGATGGACCCTCCAAACACCTCACAGATCTCCATCAAATCCATGGTCACTGAACATGTATTTCAACCACCAACAAGCAAGGAACTGTGGACAAGACGATTGGATACAAGAGGTACTGGTCGCTGTATGAAAGAGGATCAATGATTGTTGTAGGCCGATCAAAAGGTCCGTAGCAAGGATGGCGCTTTGATGAATGTTGACTGGCTCCACCGCTGCGATCGCACAGTTGAAGCACTGCGTATGCGGTCGGGTAATCCGAAGTCCAGAACGTGACCGATATATTCAAAGACTCGCCCATGGAACGATAATATCACGAGACTTTGACGTTGTTTCACTGTCTGAGCCCTCCCTGTATCAACTGCCACGCCTGCTGACAGTGTAGACACCGTTCTAGATTGCCACAGCCGTTGCAAAATTACTCGGACGAACCATAACAGTATGTGGTTGAGAGGATCGAACATCTCGGGAGAGACGCGTTGGCAGATCTATAGCATCACGATACCTCGAATCAGTAAGACAAACAATTCAAATATAATCCGACCTTGGGATGATCCTATCCCAAGGCAGGCCGCGAGCTCTACCAATGCAAGCTATTGCAGATTCCTACGAGATGCTTTCCTGGGTGGATCATCACTTAGTATGCAGAGGGTCCTGTAAATCTAGTGCTTGAATCAATTACCGTGTGGCTCGATAAGCTTTTGTTTTAATGGTCAACTAAACCTCGCCCCCATGGAACCCGCGGAAATAGTTTGGCACTTGAGGTGAAAACGGAGTCTGGAGGGCAACGCCACCAGCTTTCCGTGGAACCAACTAGCCCGGGATCTGCCGAGCGAGCAATCGATGAACGGCCCTTGGCATCCTTGAACAGTCGTCGTTACTGGTGGCCAAGACAGCATGCAACCCAGCCACGATCATATCGACCGTCTAGCGGCTCTTATATCAACTATGTTAATTCTTCCGCCAAGTCACACAATTCTCTGAAAATGGGCCCGTACACAACGATAAAAGAACGCTCAAGACGACTCGTACTGTAGGTAAAGCCAATCCTTTCGCGGCAACTAGTCGAACGACATGCCTGGAAAAGAAGACCGGCACTACTATCTCTACGGGTACGGCAAGAAACCGGAGCAACTGCGTCTTGGTCACCTGTGCTTTGGAACATATGCCACAGCTACAGATGATTCCCTGTGGTATTTTCCTGGTGAGGAGCTTAGGTATGCGACACTCCCTTTTACGTCTGATGTGCTGCAGTCCGGCTGAAATATGTCTTAGCCCAGATGAACTTGAAAAATGCGCATATGTGGTTAACATTGACAACCAGCTGTTTGGGACGGACCCGTCCATGAAGCTATCGGCCGATATCAATGCGCTCGATCTCATTACGTTGGGATCCTCCTTTCAAAAATCACGCATGACATTCTTGTACGCAAAAACAGGACGCAAGATTGAGCTGCAAGAGTATGCAACCTATCCTCACGACCTGCGTCCTTTGCTAGAGATGGAGCTGACATGGAGCTCAGTCCCCGGGCATTCCTCGACGAAAGGGTATTGACCAAGGACAAGTGCAAAAAAACTCTCGAGAGGTGGCTCGTCGTGGCCAACCCTAGCCTCAAGACAATCTTCACCAGCCCGAAGATTTGGTACCTGACAGGGCTTTACGAACTGCAAGACACCTTGAGTTTTAGTACCGCCAAAAGCACAATTGGGGCCCGAGGTGGCATATCGGCCGACGTACTTGCGCTCCTTGGGGCACCTGTAGGCGCCCGTGCAGACGCCGAAAATGCCAAGTGCCAGATCCAAAGCGTACAGATCAAGGAGCCACTTGTATGGGCGGCAAGGTATCAGCTGCTAGATGCGAAGTATCTGTATCTTAAAAAGGACAAAGCTTTGCCTCAAAGCCTGGTGTGTCTTGGGCCCAAGGCATTGTATTCCAACGACTTTCGAGGCGAGGGAGATAATGCGAACTACGCTGAGCTTTCCCTCCTTGAGCCTGGACAAGAGTCCATCTCAGACGGCCCAGTCAGAGATGCTGAGGAGTATTGGGAAGAAATCAAAAAGGCACAACACAAATGGGAAAGAAGGGAAAAGAGCAGGAATTCCCCAATCTAGGCTAGTTGTACTCTGGCCATTGCAGTACATATCTTGAGTTTCTGCAAGGACGATTGTCGGGGACTAAGTACCTTGATTCCTCCACCGTTACCATGTGCCAGCAAGCTATTACTTCTCGGCCCATTTACAATGTGCTGACTCCTGCACTGTAGACGCATGAATGAGATATGATCGGAGAAAAATGAAGGCTCTTGTTACACATACTAGTTGAAAAAAGGAATAAGAAAAAAAAAGGAAAGAAAGCGACTCCATAATACGGATAATTAGTCTTCAGGCAATAGCTTCCAGCTAGGTTGATAAATCTCGAGAGTTAAGCAAAGACAAGCCGCAGAATGAAACCTACTTCTTGCTTACCTTCTCAAGGAGACTGTTCTTCTCCTCCTCCAATCTCTTCCTCGAATCCTGTTTCGACTTTTCATTTACCCCCCTCAACACCTCCATCATCGCTTTTCCCTCATCCGCACTCAGCCTCCCCCGAGCAACATCATTTTCAATGACCTTGCACTCCAAGTCCGTAATCTCACTGAGGGCATTGTGCACAACCCGCTGCTTTTCCGCGATAATGCGGTCAACATCATCCGTGGTCATTTCGGCATCGTTGTCTCCATTCGCCGGCTCTTTGGGCTCCGGACTCTGTCGCTGCACTTCCCTGGTGAGATTATCTTCGCGGGCCGCGACGAATGTCGCTGTAGCTGCGTCAGTAACCTTACCTCCGCTTTGCTGGACGGACGTCTCTAACCGTTCCAGGGCTCCGGCATGGCCGGTCCAGAGGGGGCAGCACTTCAGGGTGCAGTTTCCTTGCCCTGCGGGTGCGAAGACTCGGCCGCATTTCGCGCAGGTGGTGGTGTTGTTGGTGGTGGACATGAAGATGGAGAAGGTATGGCTGAGAGAAGAATGAGTTGAGTCTTGTCGCTTGATATCCGATGAAGAAGCTGGGGGAACTTGGGGTCAATTTATACATCGTCATTTTGGGACAGTCCCTTTCCGGACAGTTGTTTGTAGAACAATTCATTGTACAGGTCTTTGTGGGTGTTCATTGTATGTGTCTTGGGCCCCTTTGTATGGACGAAGGCGATTATTACTTCCATTACTAGCAACCCCAATGAGCGAGTAACGAGGTTTGTTATTACTCCGTCAGACAAAGACACCTGTTCTTAACCGGCCTCTCATCCCTTCTTCTCGGGGCTAGTCACTCGAGAACAGTGTGAGGGCTTCTCTACTGCTCCCTCACCGTGTGAGACTGGGCCTTCACTCGCATGAAAGCCGTCCCCTGGTAGGCTGCGGGTGCAAAGGCGCCTACGTGTAAATCATTACTGCTATTTCGTGGCGTTCTCTCCGGCTCCTCTTCATGTATTTTATCGAGAGTCTTTAAAGTATTTGTTACCAGGCTCTGTCTTAAGTCGATCACCCCGGGCCTTGATATCGATCCGGCTTCATGCAGATGCGTCGCCTTGCCTGTTTAACATTTCATAGACCTCTCAGCGCTCCGCGGTAAAGAAGAGGTATTGGGGCCCAACCAACGGCCCAGATACCCTACCAGTCCCGGTCCAACCTCTCCCTAATCCCCTTGACATGCCAAACACCTCCCCGCCCAACAATCCAGAGCTCATTCCTGCCAAAGCTCAGGCTAACAGCCAGATTCTCTCCACCCCCGACGCGAATCGTCCCAAGAGTGAACCCCGACTCCGGATCGATAACATCTACGCCATCGCCCGCACCACAGAAAATCCACCCGTTCCGCGAAACGCGAACACCATCGTAAAAGTACGAGATCGGATTCGACAGCAGCCGCTCATTCGAAAGCACCGCACCGGACTGTGAAATGTCGAATGCGGACAGGGCTCGCTTCCCATAGGGCGTTTTTCCCGTCGGATAGTACTTGGAGACGCCCGTGTCTGGTATATAGAGTGTCTTACCGTCGGGCGATATGGCAACGCCGTTCGCGTTGCCGTCGGTGATGTGCACGGGTTTTATGCGGAGGGTTTCACGCTCGACGAAGTACACGGTGGGGTTTGTTGGGGGTGTGAAGTCGACGATGCCTCGACCCTACGATTTCCCCATTTAGTTCTAAAGCAAAGGAGGAAGACGTTCAGGGTTTATCAACATACCCAGGCAGACTTTGAATCCGTCAAGTAAAAGTTCCCATGGGGATCGATCTCCAGGTCATTGAATCCAGCGAATGGCTGGACGAAATAGTTGTTGAGAATCACCTCTTGCTTCCAAGATTGCGGGTCGATCTTGACCAGTTGGCCAGTGCCTTGGTCGCCGTATCCGTCGGTGACGACGTACAGGGAGTGATTGTAAACGACGCACCCATGCGCATTGTAAGTTGGAGGATCGGTAGTGATCCTTCTCAGCTCATTGGTGTCAATGTCGAACAGGTACTGCCACGGATGCGTTCCATTGTCACCACCCGGCGGACCCCACTCAACGAAAAATAGCTGGTTCGTGTCCTCAATGTAACAGGGCGCTTCGTGTGATTGGAACGCTAGTTCCTGGACGTGCTCAATTGTAGCTTCTGGCCCGAGGATCTCAAAGAATCGCTTGTCGTACGCGACAAACTCTGTACTGTTCAGGTACGCGAGCCTAGGATGGGGTCAGGGATATTGATTCATGTCTGAAAAGACATGCAAAGAACTGAAGCTCACGTTTGTGATAGGCCGAAGTCGGAAACATCGTCTGTCGCCCACGGAGCTTCCAACGCGGATCGGTTGAATTGCCCAGGAAGCGCACCAAGGGCCGATAGGGAGACATAAGCCCATTTTGCAGCTGTGGCGTTCATAAACGCAGGGAGCGAGTGCAAATACTCGTACATGGTGGGCTAGTTTTTGATGCTGGTGCGGAATCTTACTACTCAAAAGTGTGTGGTTAAGGCGCATTTTATAGCATCCCCAGACGGGTGGCCTCCGCAAAAGAAATTCGTGGATCCGGGGATGGCGCTGCCCCACACGCGGAGTACTCCAGAATTCGGGCTGGCTCGCGAATAGTGGTTTCCGGATCAGGCTGTCCGTTTTTCTCTAATATAGGGGGAACGGACTACTCCGGATTTCTCCTTTCCTGGCCCCGGACACTCGCCGGCGCTACTCCAAGTCTCCAACTCGGAGAAACAATATGCCCACTTCACGATCTCATCTCCCCGCCGACTTTCTCCTCGTAGAGGCCTCCTTTCAATTCTGCACAGGGCCGAAAATTTTAAAAGAGACAATTTTGAGGTTGGTCGATTGTGAGGAGCTTACGGGGGTATGCTGCTGGAACGGCTGATCCATAGAAGGCCGGGGGTGGGTCCATATCTATGGAATGATCGAGCTCTGTTCACGGGAATCTTCCGGAAATTTTATTCCAAATAATAGAGCTGAAGGAGAGCAAGAGGTACGCAGTGGAGTGACCAGCCTTAAAACCCTAACCGACCAACCCCCGCAGATCCTCCAGGCTAACCAAGGGCATCTTTGGTCAACAGAGTACTTCCTAGTTGGTCAGCGGGTATCGGTTTACCATAATCTCAATGCGATACCAGCAAGAATTTTGAGAAGGAAGAGAGAGAAAATGGGTCAAAAGGACATCAGAAAGACCACAGCAGAGGTTTGGCCTTAGACCCCTCCGAGGATGAGGCATCGTCCCTGGTCCAAACGACCCAGGAGACCGGCCTCGTCCTCCGGAGCGAGCTTGAAAAAAAAAGCTGACTGGCACGAGCACGGACAAGGAACCTTGATTTGCAGCCTTCATTTGACCACAACCCAGCACCATGGTGTGCGACCTCGCAAAAGGAAAACATTTCCGCGCGGTGAGGGGCCAAGGCGTCTCCCTACACAACATACAGGGAGCAGACAGTGAGCCGCTGCGGAGTTGTGCTCTACCAGCACTCACGCAACCGACAAGTCCTCAAATCAGACCGCGTAGTTGAAGACCGAGCGGTGCAGTGGTGGTCGTACCTCCTTGCCTAAATTGTTCACACATGCGAGGAAGGAACAGCCAAGGGCCTGATGATTGCTCCTTTCCTCTGAGGTATATTAGGTAAACAAAGGAGGAGCGACCCAAGATCACAGTTTCCCAAACCATAACAGGGCGGAGCGGCCTAGCCACCCAGTGTTCGTGGGTGAGACTAATTGCAGCCTTTCATTTCGGGAGCGGCCATTTCCGTCGATAGGTAGGCATAACTATCAGTTAAAAGCTAAGAGTAAAAATGCGTTCTATGCTAGGAGCTCGCCATACATCAGTCTGAGGATGTCGGACGCGAGTTGATATCTGGTTTGCAGACGCACCGGCGGACCTTGATTCGGGGGCAACTAAGGATGTGGTCGCGGAGCTGCTCGCCAGAAAAGGCATCCGGGGTATTGGAGTAAAGCTTGTCTTCTGGGAACAGTTATTAGGTCCAACTTTGCACATTCTGGATCCGGTCCGATCTCCCCGCTGCCCCGGTTTACAACGCCAATAAGCATCAGATCATGCAGCTAGAATGTCTTTGCTGGGGCGGCAAAGGCCGAAAGCACTGATTGTCGCTAATCTGCATCGAGTACTTGAATTCAACTGCTTTACACCAAATGTGTCTCTTTTATTGGCTTGAAGTAATCAATTCTCTGACCTCGGGATCCTGGATGTTGGTTTATTGGTCCGATTGTCCCACCCCCTGTTGGTGTCCATGCTAGCTGAATCAGTCTGTTGCTGCCTAGCACTAGTACGAGCTTCCCTGGCTCCACAACCTCTGGGGCTCTCCTCAAGCACGGCCTGGAGGCGCTGAATGGAACTGAATCTGGAGTCAACAAATTAAGCGATGGCCTGATGCGCTACCCGAGTCAGGCCTAGAGCCCATCAGCACAACGAATGGCCATGGAGAACACCGAGACTAGGATCCCTTGACTGTCGTAACGTACTGTACCGGATCTGATAAGGCACAGTTCCCCCTCCCTAAACTTTTATTTGAGGCTGACATCCCAAGTTTCTGAGCCTCAGTTTTTTCCCCTCTCCCACACGTCTAAACATGGCTCCACGTTCGCCACGATGTCCCATCACCGTGGATCAGTCTTTTGGGCCATGGGCCAATTCCTGTCGGGGTGGATTTGACTTTACTCTCTTCTTCGAGGAGACTATTCTCGCCATTCCTCTCTTGTGTATTTTCCTTTTGGCTCTGCCGCTGCGCGGATGGCAGCTTGGTCGGGCGCGGTCGAGAGTCAAGAAAAGTCCCTTGCGACACACGAAATTGGTGCGTGCGAACATAAAAGTCTCCTTTCGAGCGCTTTAGTCATTGAAATACTGATAGATCTTGTGCTTCGGTCTGATCGTGCTTGAAGGAGCCCATCTTGTGCTCTGGGCAACATCGGGCTCTTCGGTAACGCGAACAACAGCCACAATCCCGACTGCGGTTCTGTCGCTCACTTCAGCTGTCGGTCTCAGCATCATATCCTGGTTGGAACATTCTCGGTCCATACGCCCATCTTACATTATTAACATTTATCTCTTCCTCTCTGTCTTGCTCGATGTGGCGCGAGCTCGGACACTGTGGATGCTGGGGCCCCACGGTGCCATCCCCGCCGTTTTCACCTGCTGCCTCATTCTGAAATGTGCAATGACTATTTCCGAGTCTAAACAGAAGAGGAAGATTCTAGTTGATGACCTCAAAGAGGTTCCAAAGGTGTCGACAAGCGGGCCGTTCAACCACAGTGTCTTCTACTGGTTAACCTCGCTCTTCCTCCATGGATATAAGAAGAATCTTTCTCTTCAGGACCTGTATCCACTGAGCTCTAGCCTCAAGTCCGAGAAGCTAGGGCTCGGCCTTCAAGATGCTTGGGACCGCGGTATGTCTTCCGATGCTTGGTTGAATCTCTGGTTGCTTACATATGTTATTAGTCCCGGATAAACAACGCCGCAATGCGCTGCTACTAACCTGGTTCTGGGCGTATAGATGGAAGCTGCTTCCCGCTGCAATTCCGCGACTGTTCATGACCGGCTTTACCTTTGCTCAGCCTTTTTTGGTCACCTCCGCCATACGTCTCGCTGCATCGCCGATCAATGAAGAATCTAACAATCATGCTTACGGGTTGATCGGCGCATATGCGCTCGTATACGTGGGTATAGCTGTAAGTCACGGGCTCTCCCCTATTGCGGGCCTTTATCCATGACCTTCCTAGATTTCGACCGGGCAGTATGAATACCTCGTCACCCGACTGAGTGTGCTGCTGCGGGGGAGCATTACTCCTGCTGTTTTCAAACACACCCTGCAGCTTCACTTGTCCGACACCAACGCAGAGGACTCCCTGACCTTGATCAACACGGACCTGGAAACCATTGGACAGGGTATTCGACTTTTACATGAGCTCTGGGCAAGTTCTCTCGAGATCGGCCTGGCCATCTGGTTGCTTGCTCGGCAGATCGGTCTCGCCTCGCTTGTTCCCGTTGGTTTTGCACTGCGTTAGTCACCCTCAGGTCCATAGTCCCCGCGAGGCTGACTTGACTAGTGATGATGGGATGTGGGTTCGTGATAGCAAAGCCTCTGGGAAAGAGCCTAGGCGACTGGATCCAAGCGTCGCAGAAAAGAGTTACATTGACATCAAAGGTTCTGGCGAATATCAAAACGCTGCGACTCGCCGGTGCAAGCCGACCCATATTCTCCAGGATAGAAGACCTTCGCGCAAACGAGCTCCACATCTCGGGGCGATATCGTTCCTTACTTGGCCATGCCGCCCTCTTTGGTAGGACTTTTCCACTCCATGAAGTATAGGTGGCCCACCTGCTAATGGAGCTAATCTCGTAGTAAATTGCGTTCCTATAATCAGCCCAATCCTCATGTTTGCCGCTTTCGTCGGCATCGCAGCAAAGACGGGGGATGATTTTACGATCCTGCGGGCTTTTACCTCCCTTTCCCTGCTCGCGATCCTTAACAACCCCCTTGCTCTGTTGCTTTCCAGCCTTCCTTCACTAGCTGCCATTATGTCGTCGTTTACTAGGATCCAGGACTACCTAAATCGGAAGACCAGGGATGACTCTAGAGCCCTAGAAGCAGCAGCGAATATTTTGTCGAAGGATACATATCCAGGACTCCCGACCCTCACTGGACTTGAGATGCAGACTGTCCATCACGAGAGCGAGTCGGAACTCGTGGCTCAAGTGCGAGGCCAAGTTGCATGGTCCAACTCCACCGAACACGCAATCCACATCCCCAAGTGGGATATTCAACGAGGAACATTAACCCTCGTCATCGGATCCGTGGGATCGGGCAAGTCAACTCTTCTCCGCTGCCTTTTAGGCGAGCACTCGGCATTCACCGGCGAGATCCGCGTCAACACCCGCAGCGTCGCGTTCTGCGCAGAGAATCCCTGGATTCCAGCCCGAACGGTGCAAGAGGTCATTCTAGGAGAAGAAACATTCGATAGTGCTTGGTATGGCGATGTCATTGAGTCCTGTGCGCTGCGTCAAGACTTTAGTGGCTGGCCGCAGGCCGATCGGACTCCGGTCGGGAGTAAAGGAGTTGCGTTGAGCGGGGGGCAGAAACAGAGACTGGTCTGTCCCGTCCCTATGTTTGCTTCTATGGGGCTGTATGACGCTAATGGTGTGCTAGGCCCTGGCGAGAGCTGTGTATTCTAGACGGAGGCTTCTCATTCTAGATAACGTGTTCAGTGGGTTGGATATGGGGACTCGGGAAGCTGTTCTTCATAAGCTTTTTGGCGAGAATGGTCTCCTGAGGCAAGGCCAGATAACGACTGTTTTAGCAACCTCGCATGGTCAGTCACGGAATCCGGTTCCAGCTCCACCAATACTAACATTCGGGTAGGTGCCGATTCATCTCTCGCTGACCGGATAGCTGTGATCAACAAGGACGGGGTCCTGGAAGAGCACGAAGCCTCGAGATTCAATCCACGAGGGATCGAGACATCAAGTCCTTCCGTCTCCGCAAAAGAGCATGATAACCATCTTCAGCATGAGCCACTGGATGAGCCGGAAGATGACATGATCCGGTATACCGACCTAGGTACATACAAGTACTACTTCAAGTCTGCTGGTCCGGTTCCATGCTTGATATTCATCGCTGGAACCATGGTCTTTGCCTTTTGTAACTCGTTTCCAGGTACGTACGCTGCTCTCCGTCAATGGGCTCTTACAAAAGTACACTAACATGGCTTCCGGCAGTCCTGTGGCTCAAGTGGTGGTCTGAGGCCAGTGAAGTCAATCCCAACACGCAGACAGCCAAGTGGCTTTCGGTTTACATTGCGTTGGGCGTCGTGGGTATTGTTGGTTTTGTTGTTGAAGCTCGGTATGTCAGCCTAGCACCTAACCTGATACTCAAAACCAGGCGTATGTTTCGTGAATCTGACATTCATAGCGAGCTGTTGATGGTGATCATTACCAACTCTGGTCGCTACTTCCATACGTTCCTCGTAGAAACGGTCTCCAGGTACGGGTTTATGTTGGATTACAAGAGGGCCGTGACTGATTTACCGCAGAGCTACCATGGGGTTTTATTCTACGACCAAGCATGGCTCCATTATCAACCGGTAAGAACTCGATTATTGTTGATTCGACTACTCCTAATTCCCAGACAGCTTCAGCCAGGACCTGCAACTTGTGGACATGGAACTACCACTTAACGCTACAAATGCATCCGGCCGTACGTCCTCCTTCACCCCCTGCGCATCACTCAGTCTAACAACAACAGTACTCTTCATCTCCATCGCCCAATGTATCATCCTCGCAATCTCTTCCCGCTACGTCGCAATCAGCTTCCCCTTTCTCTTCATCGTCTTCTACATCGTCCAGCGCTTCTACCTCCGTACGTCACGGCAGATGCGCCTGCTCGACATAGAACACAAAGCCCCCGTCTACTCACATTTCGTCGAGACCCTCAACGGGCTCGCCACAATCCGCGCTTTTGGCTGGGAAGCACAGAGCACAGCGGCCATGCATAAAGTCCTCAACGACTCCCAGCGCCCGTACTACCTCCTCTTCTGTCTGCAGGCGTGGCTGGTTGTGGTGCTGAACCTCATAACTGCCATTCTGGCGGTGATTATTATCTCTGTGACGACGTCGCTCCGCGACAGTATTGGGCCGGGATATATTGGTGTTTCGCTGACGAATATTCTTGGCTTCAGTTCCATGATTCGGGGGTTGGTTACGGCGTGGGTTGGGTTGGAGATTTCCATCGGCGCGATTACGAGGATTAGGCATTTTACGACTGTCACGAAGAGGGAGGGGCCGTGTTATACTCCTGTACAGGAGGACTTGGAGTGGCCGAGGGAGGGGAGGATTGAGTTCCGCAATGTTTCTGGGAGTTATGGGTGTGTTTTTCGAGATGGTTTTCATGGCACAGGGCTTACAATGAGGAGCAGATCGTCGGAGAATGTCATCCGCAACGTATCCTTCTCGATTGAAGGAGGTCAGAAGATAGCTCTCTGCGGGAGGACTGGCAGGTATGTTCCAACACATAACTCACAGGCCCTGATACCCGGGAGCGTTCACCAAATCCGCACACGCACTAACACACAAGTAGCGGAAAATCCTCCCTAATCCTCTCTCTCTTTCGCATGCTCGAAATCACAGCGGGCCAGATCCTCGTTGACGGAATCGACATCCAAACCCTCGACCCCGAATACGTGCGCACACGCCTCGTCGCCGTTCCACAGGAAATGGTCATCTTCGAGGGAAGCGTACGATTAACCCTCGACCCGACAGAGACACTAGCGGATGGCGAGATTATCCAGGCACTAGAAAAGGTGCAGCTCTGGACACTAATCGAAAGCAAAGGCGGCCTCGATGCGAGCATCAATGAATCTAGTTTCTCGCAGGGCGAGCAGCAGCTTCTGGGGTTTGCCGGGGCAATGTTGCGCAAAAGTCGGGTTTTGGTTCTTGATGAGGCGACGAGCAGGTTGGTTTCTCTCCCTAACATGGACGTACCTGGGGCCTGTCTAACGTGAAGCAGTCTGGACAAAGACACGAAGACACTGGTCGACGGCCTTGTAAAAGAGCACTTTGCGGGTTGGACGGTCATTAGTATCCTGCATCAGCTGGAGACGGTTACGGATTTTGACATGGTTGCCGTCATGGACGGTGGGAGGCTCGTTGAGTTTGATCAGCCGGGGGCTCTACTGGGGGGTAAGTCGATGTTTGCCACGTTGTATCGGCTCCACACGGAGCAAACTCCGTCCTAGACTGCAGTACCAAGGCTCAGATTTGACGCTCTACCGCAGCCTACAAGACAAATGGAAATTGCCCTCTAGCGCCTCAACATGTCCAACAATGGTATATTGTCACCACACCGCCGAAAATAAAGGTAGACACTAGAGACAATCTCTGTATAGAACAAAGGGGAAAATGAAAATTATGCGCCACCAGGCCCGCAAACGTACTGATAATCTTCACGGCTCAGCCATGAGCCATTCACGCTTGCATCGGTCTATCTTGAATATATATCGTAGGCTTTCCATTGGACATTCGTGTCAGTGAGGTGACGAGCACTGTGCCCTGACCCCGCCTGCTCTGATCAACCGGTACCTCGTAGGTTTGGAACATTGGCTTGCATCCGAGCTCTTGCAGAGACTCATACATGATTTGCACCTGGTCCTCTAACGCCAGCGCGCCTTGAAACCACGCGCAAACAATGACCGTCTCATTGTCCGGGAACCAGCCCAACGGCTTGTAGCGGTCATGTTCCGCCTTCACTAAGGCCATCATTCGTCGGACATTTCTGTCGCCCTCATGCAGATCGTCAGATGTAAGATGCAGCCGAGGGGGAATGTGTGCGAGGATTGCGCCGTGTTGCGAGGCTATGATGACGACTGAACAGGAGTTGAGGCCTATGGTGCCGATGGCTGGTTTGGTGTTGAACGCGACAAATTCCACGCCTCCCATGGGAACAATGAGGACCCTTTCTCCGTCTTCGTGCAGCTCCTTCAACAAACCGGCTGGGATACTAGCAGACATTTTGTGAAGCTGTGGAGGATATGTATGGAAGGGTAGTGGAGTGTAGAGGATCCGCAAAAGAAATGGGGAATGGATGACTTTATTGAACGATGACTGCTGGGTCAGAACGGATAGCGGTAAGAGGGATGCTTGTGAAGGAGAGGTTTGGAGCGAGCGGCGAGGATCTTATGGAGGTCGTTGGCGCCCCTTTGCTTCTTTTCTAACAATAGATGACGAGTGAGGGAAAGGGATGAGAAAACAGTTCTCTTGTAGCCGCCTTTTTGACCATGTTGGGCAAAGGGCTGTTTCAGCCTTTTGGTGTGAGCGTATCGCCCCCCACCCCTGCTATCGAAATCCAAGCGCTCATGCATCCATGCTGTACGCGCCTACGTTACAGGTGAGGGCTAGTTGATCACATGACTTATTTTATAATATCCTCGGTATATAATACACCTGTATTTACGGCAGCTGACTAAGTGTAGGCACGTGCACCCTCCTTCCGGCTTCCGCAAGTCTCCCCATTTCCCCATTTCCCTCCTCTTTCCACGACAAACCTGAACGACGCAACTATTTCTCCTCCCTGTATCGCTTTTCTCATCATGTCACTCGAGGCTATTGCTCCGCCGCCAATGAATGGGCCGCCAGTCCGATTTCTCGCTCATCCACCAGGAACGGGGTTGGGGCCCCGTGTCGATCGCCTCCCCAGCCCCGACCGTGAAACGCCGCGCGAGGTTCTGGACGAGATGATGTCAGCCTGCGCCGCTAGGGACTTCCCCAGGTTCAAAGCCATGTTCGACATGTGGGCTCCGTTTAGATTCGATATCTACGATCTTTCCAGGATTATGCGGCTCGCTATAGAGATGGACTACTCCGAGGTCATCTCCACCTTATTAGCGCAAGGGCAACCGATCCACTTTGGTCATGCCCAGAGGGCTGTGTGGCACCGGTCGAAGAAAGTCCTTACCGCCTTCCTACAGTATGGGTGGAATATCAACGAGGTAGAATGCGAGACAACGACTTCGGTGCTCGGGTAAGTCACCTTCTTCCAAGTTGGGACTCCACCCCTCGTGCCAAAACGTATTACTAACCTGGTAACCCGCTAGCTTCGCTGTGCAAGACGAAGAAATGACACGATGGCTCCTCGACCACGGCGCAGATCCGAATCAGCAATCCTCCGTAGATCTCACACCCTTATCGTGGGCCGTCGAAGATGCTTCCCTGAGCACAATCAACCTCCTCTTTGAGCGAGGCGCAGATGCCCTCAAAGGCGAACCGCTGCACCACGCCATCAACCGCAAGACAGAAGTCGTCGAAGTCCTATCTCTCCTTCTTGAGAAAGGCGCTCCTCTAAATGGAAAGCAGTATGAAAACCACCCCAACTCGTGGCGACTGTACTTCTTCATGGGCCTGGGCACAGCGCTTCACCAGGCGGCTTGCCTGGGGAATGTTGATGCGGCGCGGTTTTTGCTTGAGAAGGGTGCTGATGTGTCGATTATCGATGCGACGGATCGAACACCGCTGGATTGGGCTGTTAAGAACGGGCACCAGGAGATTATCGAGATGCTGGAGGCAGCGGGGGCTGAGAGGGGACCTCGACCTCGACCTCATCGACCTCGAGAATGATATTTATTGCGTGTTTACTATTGCGTTATTGGCGATATGCGAGCGATGTGTTTGAAATGATAGCGTTAATGTTTTGTTCAACCAGTTTTTGCTGAATCCTACTAGGTGAATTAAGCATACGTGATTTGAGGTGAGAAGGCTCAAACACAGAACGTCCTGTAGACGAAGTATGGCCACCACAGCCAGCCCGCAACAAGCGATGGTAGCGTACCCTTGGTACATATAAATGTGGCGTTGAGAAGATCCCCGCCTCAAGGCCAACAACCCCCCGGTGAACACACCAGCACAGGTCCTTGGTATCTATATATCAATATACCATATAAATTCAGGTCTCCGGCTCAAGCTCCAGCAGCCTGACAAACTCCACCTCCAACATCCCATTAAGAAGATCCGCCTGCAACCCCCCGACCCACCACGCCCATAGTTCACACGCAACCCACGACTCCTCGGCCTCCCCAAAAGCACTACATTGCGCTCCCCACGCACCCCCAAAAGTCCCCCATCCGGCGACGCATTCTTATACCCCTCGCCAACCTCAATCAAGCCCTGGCAAAGAACTTCCGATAACCCAATGTAGAGCCCCGCGGCGGGGACGGAGTTATACCCCCACATGGTTGCGTCGGCGCGCAGCTGGATCTGCGTGGTGTCCGGCCAGTTGGCGTCGTCGATGTAGAAGACAAAGTCGGAGCCAGGCTGCGGAGTCGTGGAGGTTGGTGCGTGTCCGTCTTTTATAGTCGAAGGGAGGTATGCTATGTAATGAGGGAGCCGCCTACAAAGCTGCGTTGGGTCCGTTCGAGACGAGAAGGTCTGTGTGTGCTGTGGGAGCTTGAAGTCTAATAGTTTTGGGTTGGAAAGAACAGTTGGTTATGCTGAAAAAATGCCTTGATTAAATAGCTCATGAGATGTTTACTCGATGCAATACAGATACAGATCTCTGGTAGCCACTCGGTATATCCCCTCATGCGCGGCGGACTTGACTGGTCGCCGCATGCCAGGGGATAGTTTGCGCCATGGTCGCGGCGGTGTCGGCTGCGCCAACATATAATGCTTGCCGAGCAGAACACAGTGTCGTTCTTATTATCTCCATGGATATACGAGGCAGGCTGATGCAAGGAGGCAGCCACACACTTCTTGCCTTAAACAAGGAAGTAAGTGCCCTGGCGAGGGAAAATGAGAACCAAGAAATGCGACCCTTGCACAACCGCATTAAAGGAACACCACTCCACCTCTTCCGACAGTAAGTGTCTGGACCGTTTAGAGTGTCGCGGAAGTCCCCATCTATTTTGTTGATATCTTGTGGGTCCTCAGATATGCCTATGTTCTTTCCCGGTTCTTATTGGTATGCAGAACAACGCCCATCCACGAGCGGGGTGCCTGTATTAACACTAGGAGAAGATAGATTAATCTAATTCCTAATAAATCCGTGCCGCTTAGTTCCTTGCAATGGTTACTTGGCTACGATATCTCGAGGGCTTGAGTGAAGTGTGGATCGCTATGGAGATATATATTTCCTCTACCCCTCGTATTTTTTTTCGAGTCCTCCGATCAAGACCAAGTTCCACGCCTGGAGACATCACGAGTCGATACAGGCCTTACTAGCCTATGCATTAACGGTACATATGTTGAATCCAAGACAGCATCCTAAACTATCCGTGTCGCGCACTCGGCTACGCAGGGTTATACTCAAGTACTCCGTACGCACACCCGGGATTGGACAAGATGATGTACCATCGCTCATATCATTCAGAAAAAGCCAAACATTACAAAGTGGAAACATTAATGTAGAAATGGAAATTGGTATATACAGTCCTCATCCCTCACCCCACCCACTCCCTATTTTACCTCAGCGCTCCACCACCACACCTAATGAAGCTCCGAGATCCCATGCGGCCCATTATTGGCCGGCAACTCCTGCGGCCGTACAGGCACAGCCTGCAGATGGTTCTTATCCTGCACTGTCGGGGCAAAGGCCTCCTGCTGGTTCCCAACGGCCGCCATGGGTCCCGCCGCACCGAATCCAGCACCCGCACCGGCAGCCGCAGCTCCCTCGCCCAGATCTTTCGTCCGTTGTCTCCGCCGACGGAGGAACCAGAATCCGACGAGTGCGCCGACGACGAGGGGGATACCAACCCCTAACCCGACACCGAGTCCGACGCCCAGATTGCTGTTCGAGTCGCTGCTTCCGCTGTCGGGGGAGTCGGTTGGTGTTGAGGACGGGGACGTCGTGGTTGTTGTGCTCGTTGTGGATGTTGAAGTTGATGTTATAGACGTCGATGTGGAGGAGGGCTCGGTGACGGTCGCGACGATGCGGACGGGGTCGAGGGAGAAGACTTGGGTCGAGTTGTTGCAGTCGCAGCCGGTGAAGCCGTAGCAGCAGAACAGTTCGCTGCCGCATGCGTGGACGCCGTTGCCGCCGTCTATGAGGAGGTTAGAATGCGACCTTATATTCTCAGAAAACAGTCATGATTGGCGTCGTACTTCGAATTTCAGCACACTGTGTCGGACACGAATCAACATCGCCGTCGATCCAGTCGGAGACTGAACAGGTGTTTTGCCAGTAGGTCGGGTCGCTGTCGTCCTCCAGGCGGACGCAGAGCCCGTTACTGGCGCAGAGCTCGCCGACGCCGCAGCATTGGGCGGGGTCTTCGTCCTGTGAGCAGGGGTAGCGAGTGATGTCCTCGTTGCCGTATCGATCGTAGCATTTGGCCATGGCGATGGTGGTGGTGATGATGATGTGTTGGGAGAGGGAGAGGGTGGTTGAAAGTGAGGTGAGAAAGGAGAAAAACAGACCGACTTGGCTGCGGAGAAGAGGGCGCTGCCCATTGCGCCTCAAAACATGCGCTTACAATTTTAGCACTTTTAGCTGCAGGGCTGGACGGCCCCTGACAGGCTTGATTGGTTGGTGGGAAATTGGCTTCCGCCAGGGAGACGAGGTGGGCCCGCCGAATGTGATTGTCACTGGTCAGCCCGTTTGTTGGATTTTGCAGCTGAAGTTGTGCCCAGAAGGTTTGCCTTTGCATTGGAAAAAGAGGAATGGACAGAATACTTTAAGAGGAGGACCTGGCTAAGCTACAAATGGTCACTGGCATACCCACGTGGCAATGTCGTGGAGCACCTGCTCGTGCACATTCCCTGGAACCAGGTACTCCAGTGGCGTCGACGGCCCGTCCCCGGCAATGAACAGATGGTTCAGCCGTTCATACAGCCGGAACTGGACATTCTCCTTGCCCCGCAGAGCCGACTGCCACCGCTCATAGTCCTCATTTACCGTGGTCTGATAGTCTCTGCCACCTTGTAGGATAAGAATTGGCTTCTCGAGACCCGTCGCAGTTCCGATCGGATCGAACTTGCGGTAGTCGAGCCAATATGCCGGGCCAAGACCAAACGGCAGTTGGTTCGCGGGCGTTGATAAACTGAGAGACTCGCTATCCGCCAGTTCGGCCTGCTTCTGCGCTTGCTCGATCTTTCTGTCCAGATACGGCGCTTCCGGCCCATCAAGTGACTGAAGATACCGCTGCTGCCTGACGAATGACCAATATATAGGCTCTGCCGGTCCAGCCATCAGAATAATGCCTGCCACCGGCGCATCCAAAGTGGCAAGTTTTGGAACGACGACCGTACCTTGGCTGTGTCCCACAAGAAAGACTTTGTCTGGGAGAACGTCGGGGTGTCTGTGGGCGTGGAACAGCGCATCCGCCACGTATTCAACGTACTCATCCGTCAAAGTCACATTCTTCCGGGCGCGAAACCTCTTTGGATGCGTGTGTGTCACCTTGTCAAATCGGATGGAGGCGATACCGCGACATGCCAATCCCCACGCCAGATCCTGAAGGGGCTTGTTCTCCAGCACTGTCGAGTGCCGGTCAATCGGGCCTGAACCGGCAACGAAAATGAGGCATGGAGATCTCGATCTCGACGGATTAGCTTGCGCAGAAGGTAGACACAGTGTTCCCCCGACTTGAAACTCCCCCTTCCCAAGGGTAATCTCAGACTCGACAACCTCACTGTTCACGTAGGATGGCGGTTGCCACCCCTCTCCCAGCCCAATCTCATGGAGCGGGAGAAACCGCAGACCGAGAAGACTGCCGCCGGGGGTCATTGTCAAACGGAAGCCAATCTCCGCTCGCTGGAACCGTAAGGGGATCCCGATCGAAGAAGTCCACCACCCATTGCTGATAGCCGGGGCGCTGGTACCCTCGAGCCGCCCAAAGGTTTTGGTCACGATTCTGTATCCTCGTTCAACGGTGGATTCTGGCACGAGCAGGCGAAGAGGTCCGAACAGGCGTTGCCGCAAGTCGCCCGCCCGGTCTTGCTGGAGACATTGAATGATCTCTTGGATCCGTTCAGCTTGCACAGTGTGCGAGTGTCGCCATGGTCTCAATAAATCGATCACCCACCGAGCGAAGCCCAGGAACTTGGCCCAGATAGCGTCCGCCATGCTCCTCTCGCTTTATGCAGGATCCAAGGTCTTCCCAGTGATCGAAGCTGACAATGTAGATGGGACACTGCAGAGATCGGATCTCAAATGAGGGGGGTTGCTCGCCCCGCTAGCTCACTCTTGGCGCGACGCCTTCCTCTCGAGCGCGTCATCACGCCTCATTGGGCGCAAGACCGAGATGGATGGATCAGACCACGGTCGCTTGGCAGGCCTTGGCTCCCTGGGATTAACCGACGGTGGTCTCAAAATGTCTCAGATCAAGGCATGAGGCTCAGCTGCCATCTCCACTCTGTTCGTGCCGAGAGCCGGGGGATGATCATCCTACACACCCCTACTAGGACCTTGGGGATTTTCTCATCCTGCCATAGAATTGAAAGTTGACATTAAAGCGCGGGAGACAAAGTGAATGAGACGGATCACGGAGAAGGCTCTGCCGCGGGTCCCCATCACTCTTTCCTTGTTGTGCTTGTTGTGCGCATGAACCAACTGACTCGGAAGGAAGGCGCGACCTAGATAGCGTCACAGGTGACAGACGTTCCTTCCTCTTTCGCGGAATCCCGAAGTTCGCTTATCAGGAAGGAACGACCTACGCCTTGGCACGTAGCCTAGGAAACGACAGCCTAGGCAACGAGCTTAAGGAGCAAGTAGGAGAGACTTCATCCTCGCTGTATGGATCGAAATCTCTATCTAGCCGCCTACCTCCATGAACCCCTGCGAAACGTCGGAATCATTCTCCGCTCTTGCTCAATGACCCATAGGACAGCCCAACGAAACGGCCACGTTGACGCTTTTCCAGGTTCCAGCATTTCACCTCCACGTTTTCCATCATCCATGTCCCTCCCTTCTCCTATCCCATCCCATCACACTGTCTCGAAACAACACCCGCACCATCAAAATGAGCCTAAACGCCCTCCTCAACCGCCCCGAACAAGACTCCTTCTGGCGCCGCCTGCTCAAATCCCCCGCCACAACACTCGCGAAATCCCTCTACGCCCTCCGCGGCTCGTTGGCGCCGTCGCCGTCGTCATCCCCAGATGAATCATCATCATCCTCAACAACGCCCATCCACATCGTCTGCATCTCCGACACACACAATACGACACCCTCCCTACCCGATGGTGACATCCTCATCCACGCCGGTGACCTCACGCAATCCGGCTCGTGGTGCGAACTCGAGGCCCAGATTGCCTGGTTGGATGCGCAGCCGCATCGGTTCAAGGTTGTCGTTGCGGGTAATCATGAGATTTGTCTTGATTCGAGCTTCCCAGTTCCCCGAGCAAGTTCAGGTCCTCAAGGTGAGCAAGAGGTAAAGGAAGGGGGCGAGGGCGAGGGCGAGGACGGGGGTGACCAGCCGATTGACTGGAAATCACTCATCTACCTCGAAAACACGTCGGCGACACTACGTCTCGGCTCTTCGCGTGAGATAAAAATCTTCGGATCGCCCTACACGCCGAAACACGGGAACTGGGCGTTCCAGTACCCGCGCACGCGGACCGGGATCTGGGACGAGACTGGTATCCCCGAAGATACCGACATCCTCATCACGCATGGGCCGCCAAAGGGACATCTTGATCTTGGGTTTATGGGCTGTGCGGGACTGCGCAGTGTTCTGTGGGGGATGGAGCGCAAACCCTTGCTGCATGTTTTTGGGCATGTGCATGGTGGATATGGGACAGAGGTTGTGTGGTGGGATGGGCTTCAGAGGGCGTATGAGGGGGTTTTGGAAGGGAGGAGTGTTTTTGAGCGGTGGGCCTGGCTAGCGATGCTCATTTGGTATGGGATTTTGGGGGTCTTGACTGGGTGGTCTGGTGCAGGAGGGAAGACGATCATGGTTAATGCAGCGGCAGTGGGCGGGGTACGTGATGAGAAGAGGAGGGATGCTATCTGCGTGGATATATAGGAATATAAAAGGGCAGACCTAAGAATCTTCATTATTACTTGGTGGCAGATATACCCCCATATCAAACCCCCGAATCATGCTGCTCAATCCCAAACTCCTCATCATACCCATTCCACAAATTACACGTCCTCTTCAACTGCCTCGCATCAATAATCCCCCCCTTCCGGACCTCATCATACCTCTCCACAAACTGCAACGCAAACCCTTCAGTGGTATGCCACCCAATATGACAATGCATCAGCCACGCCCCGGGGTTATCCGTCTCCCACGCCATCACCAGGTACCCGTTCCCTGGTAAGACGGCGGTATCACGACGGGGAGGGTTATTCGTCTGCAACCTCCCGTCCCACGGATTTGTCCCCTGCGCGAGGATAAAGAAATCGTGCCCGTGCAGGTGGATCGGGTGGTTTACGGGGATGGTGGTGTTGACGATGAGGTAGACCCATTCGTCGGCGTTGGGGAGGTCGATGACCGCGCTCTGCTGCTCCCACACGTTATCCTCGTTTGCGATCTGCAGTAGTGTTGGATTCTCCCAGAAGACTTCCATGGTCGTGCTGTTGAGGTACCAGCGGAAGAGGTTTGCTGGGTTTCGGCCGACAGTCGCAAGTGTGTTGTCTTGCCAGTCGGGAGGCTGCACGTTACGGGATACTTTCGGGATGAGTCTACTCGCAACCTCGTCCTGGCAGCTGTCTTCGAACGGCCAGGGGTTCGTATCTGGGATGGTGGCTTCGTCGGTGTAGTGGAAGATCCCGCGGATGTTGTCGAGGTTCTCGATGTCGCTGCAGGCTTGTTGCGGGATCGCGCGCAGCCAGAACGAGTCGGCGATGGAGGCTTGGTTTGCTGTTACGATTACATCGTAGCGTTGGCCTGTGTGTCCCTGTCAGAGGAGCTTTTTGAGTATCAATGAAGTGGATTAGTTGACTCACCCATTGCAAGGCTGACTGAAGTAGCCTCAAACGGCTCGATCGGAACGAGGTCCATGGCGATGACAGTCAGCGTGTGGTTGTCGATCATGAATTTAAAGTGCGTGTCCAGGGCTCCATTAATAAGTCGGAGCCTGTACGAGGTGTCCTCCTCGACCTTTAGTGCAAACCGCTCGCCAGTCTGGGTGTCGCCACTGCCGTAGACATTTGTCCCGTTGATCAAGGCATTCGTCAAAGTGGGAGGCCCCGAAACCTGAGCAACCCAGAACAGCTCATCGGCCGTCTGATGGGGCCAGTCATTCAGCAGAATCGTGCCAGCATCAACATCGTAATTCGCAGTCGCCGGTCCATTGATGACAAGACCGCCCGCAACGCCATCCCACGCTTGCAGACCCATATGCGAGTGATACCACGACGTCCCATACTGCTGTGCCCGCCACCGATAGGTATACTCATGCTCGGGCGTGATGGGGCACTGCGTAATAGAGACCACACCATCATTCTGGTTACTACCCTGCTGCCGGATCCCGTGCCAGTGGATACTCGTCCCGTTGAGCGTCTCATGCAGCAGATTGCGCACATGAACAACGACATTGTCGCCCCAGTCTGCGTACAGCGTGGGTCCGGGAATCGTCCCGTTGATGGCCATGGCCGGGCGAGGAAGCCCATCTGGAGCAGCAATCAGCTCGTCGATCTCCAGCCAGTATTCCCGTGTCACGCCCGTGTCGGGAATGGTGTCGTGGTAGTTGGTGTTGATGTCGTAGTTGCACCATTGGGATCTTGTATCTGGGGTGTTGCCCGCGCATGGGGTGCCGGTGGGATGGGATGTTGTTGTGGTACGCGTTGTTCTTGTAGTGGTTGTCTTTGTGGTGGTGGTTGTTCTGGTACTTGTCCTCCTGGTACTCGTCGTCCTGGTACTCGTCGTTCTCGTAGTAGTCGTCCTTGTGCTAGTGGGATGGGGACAATGTCTGTCGCCCTTTCGACACGGCTTGGGAGGTCTTCCCGGTCCACCTGGTCGACCAGGTCTCCCTGGGCCACCGGCTATCTCGATGTCGTCCTGAGGCGATCGCCGTACTAGGCCGTCGGACTCGAGGCGGGCGAAGTGCTGGGCGACGCCCGGGTCGTGCTCAAAGATCCATGAAGCAGATACGCACAGAGCGAATACAAAAACGAGCAGATGATGGAGGAGCATTTTGTCTAAACGAGCGAGAAGAAGCCCCCCGGTAACTATGGAATCAGTATACCGCTCAGAGTGACTACTCTTGCCGCGGGGTGCCTGCATACAAGTAGCCGGAATATTGTCTCATACAGCGTGATTCATCATATCTTCCGGCCTTTTTCATCCTCTTCCTCCAATGAACTGATTCGGGCATCCAACGCGACCGCCATGCAGCTCCAACTGAGACACGCAGGCACGAGGCTGCGCTGAACCATCGCCTGATATCAATAAGAGCCACCGTTTAGGTAGGCCAGATAGGGTCTATTGACTCACCGACTCAGCTCTCTGCGATTAGATACCGACCATCGTCCATACAAACATACGCAAACCACGCCATCCCCACAGGGCTGGGTCGACAAGTCAGACCTGGATGTACAAATCGGTCACCCGATAGTATACCTCCCGCCCAGGCGGCCCAGCTGAAGCCAGATTGCCTTAGCGAGGACCAATCGGTAGTCGAGATCTGGTAGCCGGTTGGCAGAGTTGGGGAGGGAATCCAAGAGATAAGTCGCATGTCTCAGTTTGCTTGGGTAGCTGGTCTCCGCGGTTCTTAGCACTTGCATTAGCGATTCTGATCGATGGAAGACCTTGGGGCAATCTCGCTAGGGCTGAAGAGCTGATTGGATGGGAATAAAGTAGACTCGAGTATCTGCCCTGCTGGCGTCCGCTGGACCCTGGCAGGCGAGATACGTAGCAGCGCCTCCTCGTAAAGGTGGGGGCCGGCGGTTGCGGAGAGAAACCCAAATGGTGCAGCTGGGGGTTCAGGGATTCAGCCGGTCAAGTCATGCCATGTTGGGAATGATGTACTTTGGCAGATTGCGGTGATGGGTTGTAGAGATGACCTCGACGAGCTGCGCTTCTCTTTTCCAAGGGTAGGTGAACCCCCGGAGTCCCCATAGTTCTTTCTCATCGCCTCCTCGTTCTAGCTCGCATCTCTCATATTCGAACAACGTCTTCAATTCCGGCTCCTAGAATGATGTTCTCGTTTCATGCAATCGTGCTCCTAGGCTTCTGGTGTCGCGCTCTCTTTGCCTACGCACATCCGCTCGACCGTCGCCAGGCGCCAGCCATAGAAAACGCCTTCAACCTCTACGCATATGGTGATTCTATCAGTGGACTCTCTGTCTACTACGCAGATGGTAAAGGTGTTCCACAATTATTACCTACAAATTCTGAAAAGCGCACAGGAAAAGCAGAGGTCGGCGACTGGACCCGTTCAACTGCCAAAGTCGCGTATCCGGTCTACTGTAAGGCAATATTCCCATCTTCGCGTTCTCGCCGAATCTAACACCACAGTCACCACATCTTCGTCTTCCTCAGAAACCTGGATCGCACACGCCAACACGACCGGGCTCGGCGACGCTTCGTATGCCGATACCGTCCTCTCGCTCCCGTCGCTCGACTCTTTCGACGGAACCGTCCAGTTCAAGCCGAAGGCTAGCTCCGCATCCTCAGCCAACGTCTTCGCTGTCTACGGTAATTACGTCCTGATTGAAGCGGAGGATGCGAACTTCTACGCGGTTCCCACCAGGACAGAGGGAGTGTACTCGTTGACCTGGAGTGCCGTGGGCTCGGACCAGATTGCTGTTATTCTGAGGACTATTGCACCGGCTACGGATACTCTCCTTTGAGTTTGTGTGTTGTACGTAGGTGGTACTTTTTTCGGTGGATAATGAGTTGATCTGGGTCACGAACCCCAGCCTAGGTCTTTGCGGCGTGGTGGATGGGAGTGGCGGGGAAGAAGCGAGCGAATGAACCCATCGGCCCGCCAAGGCATACGATGTACCATTTTTAGTACGTAAATCATTGGCCTGGCTTCAGCCCGGCTCGATGAAGCTCGTCTCAGTGTGTATTTTCTTTTTCGCTAGAGTGCTTACTGGTCGTGTGCGGCGGACGCAGTTGGACGCAGCTGGCCGCGTAGGGCATCGGGTGTAGGGCGCGGGGCGTGTGGCAGCCAATGTCTGGGGAAGCCTGGCGAGGTGCATCCGGAGCGATTGGCCACGAGTCACAGCCGCATCTGCATGTTTGCTTTGTTCATGATACGTCACAATCCCTGGCATCGTGGAGTTGTCTCCAATATTCGAGACTCGGGCAGACCGCTTCTGATTCGCCTTGGTTGGATAGAAACTATCAGCATGATTCAGCTTGGTGGCTAGATATGGGCTGGGTCCAGACACTGACGTATCTGTTGTCTAGTACCTTTGACATGCATCGTGACTAGCCCTTGTCAAGGCCTTGCATATGGGGGAAAAATCAGTCGGCTTGATCTCATTGAGAGACTCATATTTCGCTTCTCGCTCGCATTTATTCTACCCCAGAAAGTAGTTGGGTTCGACGCGCTCATATCAACGGATACGGTGAGACTTGAGGCCCAGAGAACTTGACATTCACATTATCCGTGCCCAACTACCTGTAAGTAATCTAGAAACTGGAAAAGAAAATAAAAAAAAAATTTAAATAGCGCCTGTCCTTGTGATCGATATCTAGACCCAATTTGAAGCGCACGACGATCGATAAATGGCTGGAGTTGCGCTTAGATTGGGTCACGGCAACCTTTATTTATCAAGACCCCATTAAGCGGAGAAAGCATTGCAGGCCCTCCTTATAAGTACAACATCTTGAAGCCAGAAGTCTACTCAACACTCGCTAAGTACAGTGCAATGGAGAACAACACATGTGAAATCATGAAAGAGACCGCGAAACTACTAATGGTAGTCCCGTCCCAAACTGAGGTCCGCGCGACCATAATTCTTGCGAAAGAGTACCTGGAGTTGCAGAGGCTCATAGGGCAGGGGAATATGCCACTATTTCGATTGACTTTCCAACCTTCGCGTGATCCAATAGAGCAGGATGATATGCCATCTCATGGATCGACCTTACAACCACAACCTTTTGAAACAACAAGGCCCATAATGGACGAGGTACCTTATAGCGATCAGGATGATTCGGATCTCCCTATTCATGACGAATCAAATAATTCTCAGGCAGAAGCTGCTAGTCATGAAGGTGAGGATCCAGATGGCGGCCCGACCAGAAGAACCAGCTCTGGGAAGACGCGCGCAGTGCACGTAACTTCCTACAACGAGGACGAAGAATGGGAGAAATTCGTGGAAATCGTTTGAAAAGCAGTAAAACCAAGAGACAAGCAGTTCAGCGCCAGGGCAAGATACTTTAGGTTAGAAAACTCAACGGACACTCAGAAAATGCGTAAAGAACTGAAGAAATATGGAAAACTTAAGAAAGAGGGAAATTTTTCTCAGTATCTAGAAAAGCTCCTCGAGAACAGGAAAATACGCAATGCATTGACAGAGAGTCTGAAGGAGAAGATACGGAAATAGATACATAGAGCAATACAGTGCTTCGCTTGAAGTCCTTGTCGTCCCTAGTTGATTGTTTAGTTTCCCTGGATGCCCTACGCACACTTACGGTACAGAATTGTGGCTGAAAGAAGTGCTCGATTGCAGACTATAGAACATATCTGAATGCAGGGTGCTGGCTGCTCAACTCCACTTGTTCCTCAGCTGTCATTCCTTCTAAAATGTGATCACGCTGTCCTAGTTCGCGCTGGCGATTCTCCCTTTTGATATACGTAATCAGGAGAAAACTTACTGCCCAGGAACCGAAGAGAAAGGCGAACAGAATGGCGTGGCCCTGGCGATAATTCGGGGCATCCTGTGGCAGGTAAACCCACGGGGCGAGGATGCCTCCCAAAGACCCAACGGTGAATACAAGACCCGCAGCCGCAGCCTTGACTGTAGGGGTAGCAGCATTGTTAACCCCCCAGGCAATCCAGAGTGGAAGGAAAGCATATATCCCAGGGGCTGCGAGGTAAAGTGCTGCGTATTTAGCACCGGGCATGGAAGCAGGTAGGAACTCTAGCATGCCCAAGCCAGTGATTCCAATTGGAACCGTGGCAAAGATCAGCCAGCCGCGGGTTTGAAATTTGTCAGAGATGTATCCAACAACGATAGACACAATGCATGCGATGACCTTTAATCCAGTTAGCTGGCCATTTTTTTCACCCATCTATTCCTCTAGTGGGACTTACATATGGCCCCACTGAAAGCAACTGGGCAAGCTCGTCAGTGTATCCCATCGCTCTAATAATAGATGGTGAGAAGAGAGAGAAGGATTGGGCGCATGTACTATGTATGATAATTAGCAAGGCCAAACATAGTCATTGAATCATAGAACCCACTTTCCAAAAAAGAAGCCGATTGCGCAGGCCACAATAGGCAGCGTGGTCAACCCTTGGATGACATGTCGAAGCCTGGTGCGTGAATGCTCACTTGTTCCAGCAGCATCGATCTGGAGTCTGTCCACAGCTACCTTCCTTTGTGATTCAGTTAGGAACTTTGCAGTGCCTGGACCACTTGGGATACAGAGAAAGGCTATAATGCCGAGCGCTATTGACACCAGACCCTATAGAGACTTAGAACTACCAAAGTAGAAAACGGTGCAGAGGATATATATATACCTCGAAGAAAAAAATATTTTTCCATGTATAAATGAGTCCCCATTGGGGTATCTTTGCTAGACCAATTGCCAGAAGGCCTCCAAATGCCCCGCTTGCTGAAGAGGCCGAGATATAGATACTGGTCCTTAAACCAAGCTCATGGCGGCGGTAGCTACTAAATGTCAGCCCAGGGCATTTGAAAGAAAAAAGGCCTCCTTACAATAGTGACAGAAGAAACACGAGCCCCGGTGAAATACCTCCTTCGAACATTCCTAGGAGAAATCGACACGCATACAATGCCTCTTTGGTGGCCACAAGCGAAGTGAGCATGGTGATAATTCCAAAGCAAACAACCAAACCTGGCACATAAATGTGAGGGCCTATAATTTTGCAGAGGATATTGGATGGTAGTTCCACCACACAGTATGAGACAAGTAGGCACATCAGCGCGATGTTGAAGCGGAGACCAGACAGATCTAGATCCTCTTCTAGCCCTAGAAGGCGAGCATTGCCGATATTCACTCGATCAATGAAGCTGAACAAATTGATGACAGTGAACAGGGTTAACAGTCGAAGGTCAAATTTTCGCACAATGCAGTCGACCTCTGCCTTGTTGATCGGTTCACTCGAGCCGTCCAGACTGGAGTTTTCATCCCTCACAAACTCGCTCTCCTGACTTTCGACAGCATTGTCGCTCTTGTATTCGGACATTGTTTGAAATGGGTCTCGGGTATGTATTCTTTGCCTGCCTAGTACTCGACCTGAGGTGTACTACATATTTATATCCGACAGGAGGAGCAGAGTTCCAGACCCCGGTCTCTGGAGGCTAGAGATCGATTCTGGGGTAAGCAAAATGTGGAGAGACTCATGTGATCGGTGGTCTTGAGCTCCCTCTAGGCCGATTGGATGCGTGCTGTCGGAACCGATCACGTGAGAGCAAAGCCGGTCACGGGAACGGCAGCGGTGCCAATGCATCACTCCAACCTGGAGAACTCGTCCTGTTTTCTTAGTTGTTTCCCCTCCCTCTTGCCTACTCCACATGTCATACTATGCCTAAACGGAAGCAGAACACTAGCTGTGGCCCCTGTCGACGTGCCCGTATTGGGTGTGACGCTGCGTTGAGAGGAGTGGAAGCCTGCTCTAATTGTGTCCGAAGAAACAAGACATGCACTGCTACGGTGCGTTCATTACTCGTCAACTTGAAGGAGACTTCTGATCCTTTTACTTAGCAGCTGCGCAAGGCAACACGATCTCGAGGCACATCAGGTCTTACGAGTATCACCGATATAATCGATGTCGCCCCAAGTTCCGTGCTGCCAGAGGAGGTGCCGAGTCGAAGCCTGTGCCATGAATCACGGCTCTACCAAAATCACGAGGCACTAGCATTGCATCATTATCTGTGGGATGCATATACAGCTCTCTTTGAGCCACAGTTTGGTCTCTGGATGGGCAATGACTGCTGCCCTTTTAAACATTTTCCCACTGTACAGTCTAGCCTGCCTGTCATTCATGTCTGAAACAATCACCCGCTGACTTCTATGTAGGCCCCAAAAACACTCATCTCTAGGCTGATGATCTCACTGGATATTACCAGAAGTCAACAGGCATTGAATCAGGAACCCCGCCACAAAGCCTCTAACCCCGCCGATGATATTATAATAAACAACGCTTTGATCAGAGCGGTTCATGCATTCTCGGCCCGTTGGATAGTTGCAAAGCTTCCAGGTCACGATCGACTGCCTACTATTGACATCACACGACAATCTCATGACAGGATCTCGGATATCTTATGGCACCGTGCCCGCCAAGATATGTACAAGCTCTTGGCCAGGGTGAGTTATCGGTCTAGCCTCGCTTTGTATCTATTTGGTATTACTCCCACACGCGCGCAAAATCCGGAGGCGCATTTTAGCGATGTGTGCCGAGAGATGTCGTTGAAACAGTTGAGGGAGTTGCGGGACGCGGACAGATGCCCGCCACCGCGGCTGACAACTCCTTTGAGTATCGAAGATATGAGCCCGGTGGTTGATCGATACAGCTGTGGTTCTCAGTATCACCAGATGGTAGACACAGCGTATTGGTTCGGAATAGTTTGCGACACTTCGAGATGTCTCCTGACTGGGTCCGCAAGTGTTCTCTTTCCCGATCGCACGGCTCATCTATCAGTCCGGCATATCTTGAGACGGCAGATTGAGGGCTTTCGTTCGAACTCTGAGGGGTTGTGTCAGTCCAAATCGCCCTTGCCGGAAAATACAATATACAAGATCGTCTGTCACGGTTCGGCTGCAAAGTCACTGTGCTGGCTGGCGATAGTCCCAGTTCAGAGGGCGATTATCTGCAGTGAGGCAGATACCGCCCTCGACGAGACGATCGGACAATGCATCAGGGAGATTGAGCAATTTGAAAGTCTTTTCTCTCCGTTTCTTGACATGTTCTTGAGAGACTATTTATTGCTTAGTAGGGAGCTCAGAGTAAGCGTTTGTAAGTTTACCCCCGGACAGTAAAATGAGAATTCGAGTTGACACTCCCGCATCCAGACTTGTTAACGATCCATTTTCATCTGGGGGTGCTCGTGTTTTTGAATATCCCCACTCAAGGTTCAGAGTTGAGTGGCTTGATTCCGAATTATTTGGAGCTTCTCCTGAATTCCACCCGGCAAATCGTTAACGTTATACGGATGTCACTGTGTACAAGTGGCAGTCCTCACCCGGGCAACGACCAAACCATCCTGCTTGATCCATACCCGGAGCACGTCAGTGATAGTCTCTGGTACGCTGGGCGTGGGATTCTTACACTTGCCAGAGAAAGGATATTGTCCCTCATTGCTGTCGAATCAATGCTCTCCGTTGTCCTCTGTGGCCTCTCACATTTGACAAAGATATCCTTCTCCGCAAGAGAACGTTTACCTTTGCTAAGGCAGCTGTGTGTAGCATCAGGCTACGAAGCTACGATCAACAATGTACTCCCTTGCTTTTCAGCAGATACCTCGGCACCCTCTAGCACTTCGCAATCTGCCTGGGTAGATGGAGCTGAACGGTTAACCAACGAAAGCCTATGTGACGCCACTCTCGTCACCAATACGATTTATGGATATGATAATAGGGTGGGACTCAATCAGAGGGCGCTAGGGTGGGCTAGCGACGAAGTCGATTGGAGCCAAATTGACTCTGTTCTAGAACAGTGGAAATTCTCGGTACGTTCATTGTGGTTCCCAATTTCACTCTGCTTACCTACGGTGGCTAATGGAATACGATTTTCAGGACTGTTTTGTCGATATGGACTGGTGGCCTGGAGAATAGGAGTCAATTATGAGTATGTATGCACCCATGTGGGTAGGTTTCAGCCAGAAAATACTCTCCACAATTGGGACGCACAAAGTAGTTGAGAACTTGTAGTAGATGACATTGTTTAGTGTGAGGAAACCCAAACATTCATCGCAAAGAAGATACATGCTTCTAGACTAGCATCGCGTTTATTTGTTGCAAGCGATTTACAACTTCGCACCCTCCAATGATAGAGCTGGGAGGATCCTAGCTCGACACTCACCAAACCCAAACCAGTCCCCGCTGCGAGCACTCTGACACCAGCCCTCCATGATAACCTCATCGCCGTCTTCCAGATATATCACTCCATCTGCCTTTGTGGAAGACAACTGGTTTTGAGGTAGCACCCGCTCCAATAGGCACCCGAGGCCAGTCTTTTCGCCATTCGAGTCTCGTCGCTAAACCAAACACCTTCCTCTCAGTTCTTGCCCTTCGCGTGCGCCCAGCAAAAAGGGGATGATGGCTTACATCACTTGATATTGTTCCTGTTCCGTATAGATCCCCGGTGGCAAGCCCTTCTCCCGCGCTAGGCAGATGAGCAAGTTGTTGGTATGGTGACCAGTATAGTTCTCTTAGGTTCGTTGATGTAACGTGGTAGGTCCTACCATTCCCTGTTCACAAAAAAAATTAAAATTAAAATTAACTCTGCCCGTAGGCCAAAAAAAAAGTCAAAGGGGAAGAATCGCACTTAGTATCTTTGCCGTTAGCTCAATATTAAACGTGGCACGTTCTTCCGGGCCTTTCCAGGCGAGATGAGACAAAGGTGGCGGGGACTGCGGGATCGTTCTTGAGCACTCAGTCACCTCAAGCGCCTCTAATGTGACAATCCACGGCGATATAGTTGTTCCACAACCTTTGCCGTGGAACGGGCCAAGGGGCGCCATTTCGAAAGTCTGGATATCACGGGCAGACCAATCATTTAGGATCACAAAGCCGAATATATACTCTTTGGCATGCCGGATATCGAGAATCTGACCAGCGGGTAGTGGCTTCGAGAGGAATATCCCCATCTCAAGTTCAAAATCGAGCTTCCTGGTCGGACACATAACAGGGTTGCGGCCTGGACTCGTTTCCTCCTGGATGACCCCCCATGGACGGCGTATGGGGTCCTTTGATACCTTCAGGCTGGATGTGCGACCGTTGTAGACGGTCGGGATGGAATACCAGTTTGGACTGACTTTCATGCCGAAGAGTTCCGAGCACTATTAGATAAATCACGATGGTTAGTGGTCTGTCCCTAGTGGTGGGTTGAGGAAAAGTAGATAGATACGCGGGTGCTGTACTGACATTCTCAGCATGCTCTAAAGAGCAGTAAAAATCCGAAAAGTTCGCGGTGGCCATAGGCCATTGGTTCTCCACTTCAACCAACGGGATAAAATATTTCTCGAGATCATCCTGGCTAAGGTCTGTGGACAGAAATCCAATCAGTCGTTTTCTCACTTCGGCGTGAATTTCCCGAGGTAACAGGGCAAATTTGTTTAGATTCGGCTATGTAAGGGTCGGAGACGTCAGCGGAGTAGACTTCGAGGTTACATACACATTAATCTCACCTGAGAAAACACGTTTTTGGGAAAACCTGGGATTGGGGCAAAGAACCCGTCATATTCTAACCTGCTCAGATCCACCGCGCTGTCCTCAAATGCCGTAGCACACTTTGGGCTAGGATTTTTGAGCGTTGTGATTACTCCAAAGGGAATATTTTCCAGTGTGAAAGGGCTTCTAGCAGAGGATGATGGCATTGTTCCACGCTCGAGAGAAGAGAAAAAGAAAAAGAAACAGGATTCAAGTCTTGTCAAAGTTAAATTGATAATGAAGGAGAATGGATTTTGTTCAAGTTATAGTCCAAAACAAGCCCATCTTTCGGGAGCCTAGATGAAAGTGTACTGGACCTCCTCAGGAGCCGTCGACCGGAACCGCTCCCGTGACCGGGACAGATCTTCAGTATTGTTAGGCCTCGCCGAAGAAAAGGGCGGGGCTTTCACTCTTCAAGGCAGCCCATTGGTCATCCAGGAAGGTATTTGGAGGTGCACGAGCACGGGCGGATTTAGGCGCGGTTCAACTAACTTTGGCATGAGGCAGAGCTGTTAAGAAGGCCTTTAATCTCTCTCCTCTCTCTCTCGCTCTCTCTCTTCCACTCTACAATTTGAATCACTCCTCCTACTTTAAAATTTCACTCCCAGTACCAACTATCTCTTTCTATCTGATCCTACCCCCCTGAACAAGCAAGCCATGTCGGAAACAACCCCCGTCTCGAATCTCCACCAGCCCACCACACACATCACAGCTCATGACTCGGATGGCAAAGCAATCGTCTCATCAGCCCAGCCGTTTGTTTGGGAGGAATTCGACGCTCGCAAAATGGCCTTCAGCGTTGTCTACACCACGTCGACCTTCCCCGCAAACCTAACCGACGGCGCCGATCTCAAGGCGCACAATGAGGTTCTCTCCAAAGGGAAGCTCGGGCTTGTGAACCCCAACGGGACTGTCCTACGTTGCGTCGACTTCGCCCCTGGATACTCGTGCATGATGCACCGTACGAAAAGCCTGGATTATGGAATCGTGCTCGAGGGCAGGATTGAGATGGTCTTGGACTCGGGGGAGGTCACCGAGTTGCGGAGGGGTGATGTTGCTGTGCAACGGGGCACGATGCACCAGTGGCGGAACCCTAGTGACGTGGAGTGGGTCCGGATGATGTTTGTGTTGCAGGACTGTCAGGCGGATGATATTGAGGGGGAGGATTTAGGTGTTGGTTTACAGGGATTGGGACCGAGTGGTAACTGAGAGTATTTTAGGTGAAGTATGGTAGCTTCTGCAGATTATGAATGAACTGTTATTAAATACATTGGGAGAAGACAGTTCACGGAGTCAATCTATTCATAATTTTCACTAATAATATAAGTGTTAGAATGAGCTTTGAAGCATCCTGTATCCATGCCTTCCAGCGCACCCACCGCCTGCGTCTTATGGGTATTAAGAAGTAGCTCTAACTATTCCTATCTTTTTTAATCTTAGCTATTATACTATACTAGAAGCTAGACACTATGCCTTTATATTTGAAATAAAAGTGAATTTTCTATTAGCTTTAAAATATTATATATAGATTAAATTAAACTTATACAGGTAGTATAGAGGTTATAGAATGAATACCATAGAAAATATAATAAATTAATTATAGACCCCTAGGAATAATAATAGTGGAAGAAATATTATTAGGGATAATATATTAATTGCCATTTAGCACAAACAAAGCAAGGCAGCTAGTGTTTGCTGAAGCCTCTCACAGAATAGCTGCCATCGCGAGGATACAATGTACTTTTCCAGACTGCCTGGTACATGAAACTTTAGCGCGCTTGCCAGTAAACCGAAGCTTAGAATATTTGCGTACCATTATAGTAACGCACACGATCTCCTTCGGTATATTGAGTCATGATGAATTCTTGTTACTGTCAATAATCATAATTAGGGTCTGTGTTGAAGGAATGCTTTTAAGGTGGATCCTCCCAAACGGAGACGATTATTCCTTATCAAGACACAAACACTGTCCTGCAGGATATACCCTCCTAATTACTATTATGGTGATCAGAACACGCGTCGGCCGCTTCTAATTGGAACCGTACATCTCTCAAGCCACAGTATAACACCATTTCAGCTCGGGTAGGATGCCGCTCAATATCACGCACGAATGCATGGATTATCCGCTCACCTGGCCTATTCAGAGATTAGGGAGGGTGCTACAGTTATATGTAGCGAGGCTATTCTCAAGACAATGACATTTATCGGAAAAGGTGTCCCGAACTGACGGCGGTCCTTTGCAGTGGTAGAGGCCATAACGCTGTAGCGCTGAAGGGGCGATTCACTAAAGGAGCCAGTCCTTCAACACTGGCAGCAATCAGCTGCATTCTCAGCAAAGCCGATTCGTGGCTGTTAAAAGCCTGCTTTATTAAAATCTTGATCGTCGGAAAGTAACCCGCTGCAGAGCTGTACCTCAGATGACGCGATTACCGGACCCATGGGCGGTTGTGCATGTCCGGGTCCGGAAAATGCCTCCTATAGAAGGTCAGATAAGACTCTCCATGAGAGTTCATGGGGCCCCTCTGCCATCGGAGGACAAAGCCATGCCATACCCAACAGAACTGATTTCCACTTACTAGTAGGGACTTGTACTATTGTTGGCTCTCAGAAGTATCCACTCTGAATTATAAGGTTGGGGCGAGTAGAACAGCAGCACAAGCTGCTTGACATTTCCCAAACGCCAAGTTAAAACAACCATCCACCACACATCCATATGGTCGCTCGTTGGTATGTGTTCGGTAATGCCTACAGAGATCGGCGTTGCGGCTAAAGGTCTAGACATTATCAGAAAGGGGCTGTGCGTGCAATATGGAGGTAATGGAGTCTTATACCTTTCCACAATGCTTCCAAGAACAATTGAATGTGCGTTCCCTAGCGGGAGACATAACGCGGGAAGAAGAGTGGAAGGCCCTGAAATCAAGAGGAATATAGTTGCAGTTGAAGAATCCAGACCATACCATACCAATGGGCAACGGGCAGCGATACGACTCAAGCTTTCAGTCGAACGGATAGCAACACATATAAACTGACGCATAAATGGAGGAAATACTGATGCTCGAAGATGTAACTAATTGAGTAGCAGGCTTCAAGAACAAAGGATTCAGGAAGGAACGAATGTAATAATAAATCGCGGGCAGTGCCCTAAATGAAAAAGGAAAAATTGAACGAATGAGGAGTATAATTATGATTATATTTCTCCTTAAAATAGGTAGCTCTACGACAATTCCATCACCGCTGCCCATCCGCATCCCCATCCCCTCCTTCAACCTCAACATTATCCACATCCAAATCCCGATACGGGTCCTCAATCCGCTCAATAGAGTCCTTCCGCCGTCCCTCAACGCCACGAGCAATCCGCCTCTTAATCCCGACATATACGAGCAGCACAAGAGTCGCAAACGCCACATACCAACCCACCAGTCTCCTCTCCGCACCAGCCCACAATAGCCCTACGACCCCATTCCCGACACCAACCAAGATCACAAGTCGCGCGAGCCAGCGATGCGCGTACGCGTATATACCCTTGCGCCCGACACGCACAAAGTGCAGATGCTGCAGGTATCCGAGTGTCGGGAGGATAAACGTGAGGAGTGAAATCAGCGCGAGGCCGAGGATCGGGTGCGGCGCTGCGCTTGGCGGTATACCCCACGAAAGCCAAATATAAAGCCCGATCCCGGCACCGATTAGTGTGCTTAGGACTGTGGATGCTTGCAGGGGAGCGTGTACCTTCAGGAGCGGATACCCCAGTGGAACGGAGAGCGCGAAGAGCGGGAAGAAGACGAGGAAGGTGAGGGACATTAGCACCGCGTGGGCGGTTACTAAGCTGGAATGGATGCTGCCGCCGCTACTAGCAGTGCCGTCAGCGGGACGGACAGCTCGAAAGTCGGGGTCTGTGAAGGGATCCTGATATCCACCTCCGTCGCCGGGCGAGGAGGAATGGCCCGTGCGGGCGCGGGAGAGATCAACAGTGACCCTGCCGAAGGAATCGTGGAAGTGGATTGCGGCCGTCACATCGTCTGATCGCAACGATCCTCCATCCCCACTTGCCGGTCTTTCTCTAAAGGCCCAGACCCAGTGGGTCGATGTGCTAGATGGGTCCATGGAGCCGCCGTATCCTTCCAGGCAGGTATGGCACTCGATCTCGGCCGTGATAATTCCATTATCTATTCCCGATGACGAAGTGGGGAGGAGCGAAATATGCGTGTGGTGGTTATAGAGTGGTGGGACGTGCCCTGTTGCTGTTCTGGGCGAGATAGTGATGTTGTGTGGGTTTGAAGCGGACGCGTATACGAGGAACATGTTTGCGTCAGCCATCTGTGTGCCCTGGGCGAGGGCGATCCATTCTATCGAGTCTGGGGCTTGAATGCGGAAGTAGACGGAGGAGGGAGCGCTGTTCTTTGATTGTGGGACTGTTATGTCAAATCTGATATCGGAGCGATGAGTGGGATGGAAGGATGCGGTGCGGGCGAGGATGGAAGGGACTGGACATGTTAGTTTGAGCGATGAATCTGAAAAGAGACAAAAAGAGCAATGGTTCTACTCCAAGCTAGAAGGAAGATAACAGGCTTCATGGTGTGTTGTGCTTTTTTTAAGCTAGAGAATTTATGTGGACGAGGGTGCTGAGAATATACGGTAGCTCCGAACGGGTTCGACGATTGGAAAAGGCGGGGTGAAATTGAACAATTGATGAATGTGGTGGCTCAAGGAGAGGGCAAGGCATATTATATGTAAACGGCCGAAGAATTCTACCCAAGGGTAATCTTCAGCCGAAGATGCTTGCTCTCTTATATCCCTGGATGGTAGGACAAGTTGTCAGATTGATGTCGCCATAGACTGCCTATCACGAACGCATGTGAAGCGATCCATGGCTGCAGGATATTATTACCCCTCACGCCCAAGTCACCCCACATCGAGCCCAACATCGCATCGCGAACCGAGGCTCGTTGAATGCGATTGACTTTGGCTCCCGAGCTATCAACATGATATGTAGCAGAGGCCGCCTTTACCGGGCGTGCGACCTAACTGGGTGCAAAATAAGGCTAAATCTTAAATAACTCTCTTAGTATTACTATATATAAAAGACCCCTAGGAATTACTAGTCTTCCTAATACCTAGTAATTTATTTCTAAATTAATTAGTATATAGCTTCTCCTTCCTCTTTTATATAGCTTAACATCTTGTTGCTTGCTAGAACATCGCCACCAATCCGACCTCGCCGCTTACACTAGATCTCCCCTCCCCCCATCCTTGATTTCATCATTTTCTTTCACGGGTTCATTTGCTTCAGACACCACTTCTATATATTTTTTTTTACCTCTTTATTTATCTATATAGCTACCATAATCAATCTCAACATACGCCAAGCATGCGATCGTTGCCGCGATCAAAAAAAAAAAAAACCTGCACCCCTGGGCCAACGCGTGTCTCCACTGTCCTCAGTCCAAAGCCAAGTGCACCAGGACCCTTGCCCCTACGAAACAATCAACCCAGGAATCACAATATAGAATTTCCAAACCCACCTTACCCGGTCAAACGAGCAACAAATGAGCCTTCGAACCCAACAGCTCCTGTATCCAAGCGCCTTTACTCTACTACTAATCCTTCTAAAGACTATAATTGTAAGAGATATACGATAAGTTGGTTAGGTATAAAGCCACTATACCAATAATGATATTTGTTCAAGACTAAACCTTGCTCTGCAAGGGGATTGAGATCCCATAGCGATACATAAGTGAAAGGAAGGTAGTATGCTAGCGTTACAACAGGAAGTCAATGACAAGGCCTTTCCCGCACACGGATATTTCGTCGGAGCCGCTGGAGGTCATAGCTGGTGGCCTAGATCCTCAGGCTACTCCGTAACAATAATACTACTTTTATGTATATCTCCTATTATTTTTAGGGTTCAAAGAACCTTTTATTCGTATATAAATAATATAAAAATATTTTATTCAGATTATCTAGTCAGGCACGATGATGTCTGGAAACTATTAATGGCTGGCTATATGTTTGCTTAGCTTATGTTTATTAAAAACTGTGTAGTATACCATCAGGTAGCATCATTGTACTAGTGGTAGAAGTTGTTGTTGCCATTAACAAGGCCCGTCTTCTTCATGGATGATGCACTCATTTCTTTTTTTGTTTTTCGCCTTTGCTCCTCTCTCAAGCTTTGCCATAGAGCAAAGTATAAACCTTAAGGCCAAAGCAGTTCCTTAACCCACCCTTCTTCCCCCTCACCGTTCCCATCATCCCTCCGAAACCTCACCCTCTGATGCAACCGATCCGCAGACCTCTGCCAAAACTCTACCACATCAGGCGAAACGGCATAAACCCTCCACGAAGGCCTAGGAGTATCTTCAGCAGAAGTAGTACTAGTAGTAGTAGTAGTAAACCTCTCAACACTCCCCCTCAACTCCTCCAGACTCCCCAACACCTGGCTTTGCCTACTAGCCGCTGCCGCAACCTTCGATGCCCTCGGCCTCTGCTCCCAATCCGCCTCCTCCTCCTCAGCTGAAAGCCGCACGGCAAGCCCGCGAATCCGCACCTGACGCCCGAGTTCCGCCCAGTAAAAGGTGAGCGCGACGTTCGGGTTCCCGTCCAGCTGCGTGGCCTTCGGGCCGTCGCCGCGGATCGCGAACTGCCAGCCGCGCGCTTCGTCGAGGTCCTTGAGGATCAGGACGCGGGCGTCGGGTTGCCCTTGCCCCGTGCTGTTGTTGTCGACGGTTGATAGGGTCATTGCGTGCGGCTCGATTATTTCGTGGGCGATTGCGTCGGAGAGCCAGGAGCGGAATGCGGCTGTCGGGGTTGCGGGGAGTGTAGTGGGGGTTGGTGGGGCGAAGGGGAAGGGGCCTGAGTGTGTGGGCAGTTGGCGGAGTTTGGTGCGGAGGGAAGTCATTTTGGTTATGTCTATATGGAGGAAGTGCAAAATAGAGGTAATTGGGTAGGTGAGATCTGGAAAAGGACTCGTTTGTACAAGGGAGCGAGGATGGTAGGTTTTATACACTCTGTCATAAGGCGTCATTGTTGTTTCTAAGGTGTCATTATTGTTTCTGAGTCACACTCAGGTAGTCAAGCAACACCAAATCCAATATCCGTGGTGCAGGTACTTAAATCAGGGATCCACTTCCGCCGCCCAGCAGGTAGAGAATCAAGCACTTCATTCCCTTAATATTGACCTGTGCAAGTCTACCAAGAATATCACTAAGGAGCAGACTAATGTGGCCCAACTTGCGAGGGATGCAGAGGATAATGCTTAAGCTTGCGACATACAGCGGGCGCTACCGCTTAATATTGGATGCGTAAGGTATAGAAATGGTAATCCTACTTTACATAGGAAAATATTAGCAAAGGCAGCTTATATGAATATTTATTCATAGATTAAAATGTTAATTGCGGCTAAAGGTATGATGTATTTTGTCATCTCATGCATGTCCAGTAGCAGGTGGTTCTGTTACTTTTAGAGAAAACCTTTTGAGTAGTAACACATCCAACCTTTCCCTCTTCCTCGCCACTCTCTCTGTCTTTTTACCTCCCATTCTTCAGATTACACAAATGTGATCTCGTCATCTCTTCACAAATGAAAGTCAGCAGATTCAAACAAAGCACAATGATAGATCCAGATGGCGTTGCCTGCACTATCTTATACCATCTTATTGTGAATACCCTGGCCGAACTCCCGGACGGCCATCTGTATTCGCGCCTCTTTGACTATGAGGACGATGACCAGGCCAATAACTGGGTCTGTCTGATCGATAAACTCTGCGGCATTGTGAAAATCATGATAGAGATTCCAAACTCAAAATCTCTCAAGTTATCATGGCTAGACCCTCGCAAACAGCAAATCTTACGCGAGGTCTCCAGCGCCGGACTAATATCACGCGAGTATATCAGTGGGTTCGTGAAGGCAACATGGGACCAAATCATTGGAGAAAGGCATTTCGGAGAGAGGATGGAATATGAGGTTCCACCTGTTCTGATTAACGTCGGCATGCAGCTGCCAGATCCAGATATGCTGAAGCCTGGCCTCCACCACCTCGGTCTGTTACATCCGTATGAGGAATTGATTCTGATGCACCATGGTCTTTTATACACCGCACACGATGCTCACTCGTCAGAAAGGAATCCACGATGGCACTTCCAGAAGGAAAAGAAGCATCTTGTCGTGGAACCTCTCCAGCCAAAGCGACTCGATATCGTCACGAAGATTTATCCTCAGCCAAAGCTCTTTGAACCCGGTGAAGATGTATGTGCCTGGTTCATCAACTGAAATTGGTTGCTGATAGATATTTCCAGGATTCCTGGAAGGTATTTCCTGAGATTCGCATTCCAAATTTCGGGAATGTAATGTCGCAGCTGGCAGCCAATCTAGTCAATCACTCATATCCGCAACTGCGCAGAATGCCCTATCGGCAAGTTATCACTGCCTGGGGAGGTGCAAGCAAGATAGCCAAGCGCCTCTGCGGCTATATTGACCGTGATGTGCTGTTGCTGGAAGGTCAGAAGCTTTCCGTCGAGCTGTAAGTCGCAATGATCATCTTCCCTCTGCAGTATTTATGTCCTGACGGATTAAAAGGTTAAACAAGGTTGCAGTAAAGCAGTCAGAGCGAGGTAAGCTTTGGCTACCAAGTAGTGGATATGTCGATTATGTTACGGACGACCGCGACTCCCGATACATCAGAATGTACATTGGCCAGGCGAAAGTATCCGACCGGCGTCTAATGCAGCATATCAATGATGCTACTCGCTCAGTGCCGCAATCCCTACACATTTTTATTATCCATCAGGGCAATGGGCAAAGGGCGATGAATTTTCTCAAGCTATGGACAATTCATGACCTCAACTCCATGGACGATGAGTCGGCAATGATACTACCAAATATCCTGGAAATGGCCATGTGCGCGAGCTTTCAATCACTGCCACCGCAGGTTTTTGAGACTTTCTTTGCCCCTCTGACCAGTCCTAACCAACAGTATGCTGGAGTAGGGCTTAATGTCCTATGTCCCCTCTACCAAGGAATGAGATCGGTGCTTAAGGTCCGGCAAGAAACTATAACCTACCTCGAGAGTTCTCTAGACCCTCAGATTGCAATGTATCCGACATTCCGAGCACAGCGTCGAGGGCCAATTTCCACCCTCGAGAGGTGGAAGGGCGACATGAAAATTGAGACATGGAAAGAGCATATCCACCTTTTTTGCTCTGCCGTTGGATTTGCAGGTAACGGAGACGATGTCTTTGAGGCCCCAGCTACCCCTACAACTGAACAGCTCATTTCCGGTCACCAAGTTGCCAAGAAGACACTTTCGACTGCTATTGCGGAGATTACTGGAGAGGATTTACACGAAGGCTTCCCTGTGGGCGACGTAGCTGCAAAGATTGGCATAGTCATCACAAGGTGCGTTGTGAGCATGGAAGAAGAGAGCGTTCTATGGGGAATCCGAGAAACTGGATTCACCAACAAGAACTGCCTACTATGGTTGGCAGATCCGAGGTGGCGGAAACTTACACAGAGTTGTCAAGCCTTATGCCCTATGGCCTCGAAAAAGCTCATCCAGTTCCATCGGCATATCATCGAGAATAGTGGTTTACGCGTGATTATAGTTGATTTGGAAGCATCCCAGCACGTTATACCCGGTATACCTCTGGACAAACGTAAGGAATTTCAGCTCCAATGGTATTGCGGTAATATCTCTGGCTTTGCCGAAAAGGATGACCAGGGAAGGCTTCAGCGAGTATACCTCCAATCCCCCAGATCCCTCACCAGTCTTCTGTCTTGCTCAGGCCCCGCCACGCAGACTATCAGCGAGATGTTCAAGCTGACTGCGGCGATGACTCGTACCCATGGTATCCGACCATACTACTGCGCCTCATCATCGGCTGTACACCAGATTCTGAAGATCTATGGAGAGGAACAGGACGGTGCCCCTAGGATTACAACCACGGATATCCCAGTCACTATCCAGGCCTTTCTCTACAGAAAAGGTTTCCGACGACCGGAGGACATCCAACGCCTAGTGGATATTGGGGGTTATCTATCACGCGGCCTTCTTTTGCTACTGGTCATATTACGAAGACAGCCACACAACTTTAGTGGTTTACGGAATCTACAGACTGCTGGTTCCAAAAAGAAGGCGCACAGGAGGGGCATATTTTCGAGCGATGAGATGAAAAAAGTCGATTCTCTGTTGCCGGCTGCTCTGAAACTCCCGCCCATGAGCGGAGAGTCACAGCCCTCAGTGAAAGCACTTGCTCATGTTGCTGTTGAATGCCTTGCATCATTAGATGGCCGAGTGGACAATCACGAGCTGAAAAATATGATACAGCTGGCCGACGAAAAAGAGCAGGAGTTGAGAGAATCTTTGGAAGACGACAAGAATGAGGGCCTAGACCTAGAAGTCAACGACATTGGCGTCGATACCCCCTGCAGTGAGCTCTTCCCCGAGATGGACGATGATATCGACGACTTGGAGCCCACTCGTGACAATTCAATTTTCCAATCATCAAGATGGCCCCATTCAAGTGCTCCACGGCGCCGCCCTGAATGGCATCGCAACCGTCAAAAGGACAGGAGAATCTTGTATGGTGGCGTAAAATACCGGGGTGCTTGGCAACCAGACAAGGGCGGGTTGGTATTGCATGTGCTCCCTGATCTAGCTCATATTTTGATCACGTTAAAGGGAAAAGAGCGACGTGATGATTTTGCTTCAGAGATCTTGGTAAGAGCTGAGATTCACCCTGCAAAGAAACACCCAAATTGCTGGGCACTTGATGCTATGGATACGGACCCTGGTGCAAAGCTCGCTTTGATTGTGGACGATGGAGATGGTGAAAGATTCATCAATACCGAAGGGGAAGGAAATGCTCGCAAAGCAAACACATTTGTCGATTGGTTCTCTGGCTGTTCTCTTGAGACGATCGCAAGTCGCCCCAGGAGGCATATTGACACGGGCAGCGGGGACACGGTGGTAAAAGCTTTGAAGCTGAATGCCAGCGGGACTTACTATACCGACGAGCATGGCCAGCTAAGCAAGAGCCCTCATGTATCACGTGTTCCAGCTAGTTAGGATGCTAGTTATAACCTTCAGGGCCCTCGAAGGGTGTATTTGTACTGGCAGCAAATTGTCAGAGTCATTGGCGACGTAAGGACGGATCGCGACCATAATAACAGGATTACCATATTCCATTTTCTTCTTTCTCCCTATGTCACCTGTTTAGACACTTGACGAGTTCATATACATAGGCCCCTGCTTTGGGCGGTAGGTACCGGGCTTGATTGTGAAAAAGTGTCGCAGACTTGTCCTCAGTCTAGCTCCGGCTGGCAGATCTCATTTGAGGGGCATATCAAATCTCAATCCAAGTCGACGAAGTTCGGTTATATACCGTTCAGAAGCAGCACCATTCATCCTAGCGCCCGGATGGTCTAGTAGTATGATTCTCGCTTGTGAGTAACCAATCACCGATCGCATCACCCAATCAAAACTGACAAATCCACCAGCGGGTCACACCCTTAGTCTCAAACACTGATATGCGAGAGGTCCCGGGTTCAATTCCCGGTTCGGGCCCTAACTTTTTTCTTTTATTTTTACTGTCCTCTATCGTCGTACTTTTTTGCTTGATTTCCCTGGATAGTCGGAGAACAAATTAGCTACATTTCTGACAGCGTATACAATCTACCTGGCTCGGGAAACAGTCATCCTCAAAACCTGAATCTGTATAAGATTACGCGTAAGACAGTGAAGGCACTACACAAATATATATATATCCCTCTCCGCCCGTTGTATTCATCGCTAATAAAGTGCCATTTTTGTCTATAGCAAGCGCCAGCTATACTATATATATATATCTCTTTGGAATAAATCATCACTTCGACTAGGATGGGGGACCTCAAATCGTGGTGTGCTGCAAATCTTCGCCCTTTGTTAAGGCTGCGCGCAGTGTGTCGCAATACTTCCAAAAGGATCTACATATTCTCTTTCTCTTCAACTGCTAGCTCAACCATTATTCATTATGCTAGTTAATTCTGGATCTTAGCCGGTTCATGCCACTACTTTCCTTTGGACGTGTCAATAGCGTGTTATATACTGTGGATCTATCTCTTTACTGCCTAGATGTGATGAAATTGTTCAAAAGAAGTGCCGATTGCTTCGGGGTCCTCGCCAGTGTCTTGTAATCCGTGAACGTGACACCAAAGCGCGGCCCGTATCCATCAGACCACTCTGTCTGCAGTCAGCAAGGAGCTTCCAGTGGATGGAAAGAAAGGTTACGTACCCAGGTTATCCATAAGAGACCAAGCAAAGTATCCCGAAATCACCGATCCGTCTTCTGTGATGGACTTCCCGACGGCATCGAGGTGATCCTGGAAGTACCGTTGACGGTACGCATCATTGACAGACTGCTCGCGGGTCATCTTCTCCTCACCAGGACACGGGCATCCATTCTCTGTAATGTAAATGGGCTTCCCGTATAGACGGTAGATTCTCGTGAGGTGTTTGCGGAACATCCCCGGGCATGACCGAAGCCAGTGGATGCCGCTCTCTTCGCCCACGGATTGCCCTTGCTTGTTTGAATGCAGCTCGTCGACGTTTCCGACGTAGTCTGTGTCGGAAGGAGGCTCATCCCGGTGCCGAGCGAACTGGGACGTATAATAGTTCATGCCGTAAAAGTCGGTATCGGCTTCATTCAGAAGCTTAAAGTCTGCCTCGGTGAACGCAGGAAGTCTCTGGCCCAGTTGAGCCCTCATGCATTCTGGATAATCCTTCTTCAGGCTGGCAGTGACGGTCAGATTGGTATTGCTCAGGGGAGCAGCAGCCAACTCACAATATCGGGTTAGCAAACCAGCCAATGTGAAACTGCATACGGCGCTCTGCGGCTTCTGCATCTCGCGGGTCCTGGCTGTCCCACGGCTCGTAGAAATCGCCATTTAGCGAGATCCCAATCTTCCCTTTCTGATGCGGGCGGAAATCCTTGTTGTACGCCACGACCGCGCGAGCGTGGCTTAGGATTTGCGCATGCCCTACGATCCAGGGTTCGGTCGTGGAATCTCCCTCTGTCGCCTGGTCGCTTGTTGAGCTCCTCCCCGGAGCGTTGCCTCCCGTGGCGTATCCCTTGACCGAGTCAGATTTAACAAACCTCGTCTCTGCGCGGTGAGCACTTACAAATATCGCCATGATCCAAGGCTCATTGAACGTGATCCAGTTCTTGACACGGTCACCAAATCGCTCATAGCATATACGAGCATATCGCTCAAAGTCCTTCTGCGACTCGTGCACATTGAGCCAGCCCCCGTAGCGATCATGCAGAGCTTGAGGGAGGTCCCAATGGTACAGCGTCACCCACGGTGTAATTCCGCGGTCAAGGAGACCGTCGATGAGCTTATTGTAAAACGCAATGCCCTTTTCATTGATAGGATCATCCCGACCACCGAGAGGGATAATGCGAGACCAGGAGATGGAGAACCGATACGCATTGGCGCCGTACTTCTTCAGGAGGTCCAGGTCCTCCTCATAGCGGTGGAAGTGGTCGCACGCAATGTCTCCATTCGCGCCCTTTGTCCTCGAGGGCTCAAGGTGCGTAAATGTGTCCCATATCGACGGCCCGCGGCCTTCCTGGTCGAAACCACCTTCGATTTGGTATGCGGCTGTCGCGAACCCCCATTCAAACCCGCGCGGCAATGATGGCGCCATGGTGTTATGATTGCAGCTTGGTGTAATGTTGGAAAGTGCAAGTTGAGAGACGAGGATCAGCTCTTTTTACCCGGCTCGCTTATTACCGTGACTGTTGAACACCTTTGCCTCTCTTCAAGCTGAACCAGAAACCCCGCGGCGATCGTGGACAGCCGGTTTAATTGTGGAGACTGAGGGCCGCCACCTCGTCCTCAGGGCGTTCTCCAACGATTTCTCCGTCATTAGTCGATCGCATACCCATTTCTCCGATTCCCCTATTCTCCGTCACTGCGAGCCGTTCCAACCGAGTCAACCCCGACGAGTCTCCACAAACCTTGGAATCTGCAGGCAGGCCTGGAGACCCCACGCGAGCTGCTTTCTGGGGAAAATTGGGGCAGAATCCATGATTGACGCTCGAGCTATAAAGTATCCTTGAAAAGCCAATGTCCCATAAAAAGCGCTCATTCAACTAACATTTCACCCTGGTAATTATGAGACTCACCCATAGTGCCCTCCTTGCCATCTTGAGCGCCGCAGTCGCGGCTCCAGCCCAGAGTCACGGTGATGGTGCATCACCGCCACCATGTCGATTTGCAGTGCAGTGGAGTCAGGACGAAATTCTCGCGAGAACAGATGAGTTCATCTGGGATATGCTCTACTGGGAGGGTAAGTTCCATCAGGACGGCATCGCTTACAACCAAGCCAACGGCATGTCCTACGATGGCTCTCAGATCGACTGGGTTACTGGTGAGCGCACCGAGAAACATACGTTCAGCGCCGCGAGCAAAGAGGTAAGCTTCTCAACTAAATGGCCCCTGAAGCGTACAGGGCTTGGCAACTGGCTAACTATGCTGGTGGTGATCAGGCGCTGCAAATCATGCTCTACGCCCGTGCCATTGACGGCTCACTCGAGGCCGCTAGATTTTTGAGCTCCGACAACCTCAAGGCCGCCCCCGGGCTTGTGTTCGCCTTGATGGAAAAGAAGCTCGAAACTTATCTCGAATTCAACGAGACTTATCCCGGGTTCGGCGGTAACCTACCTTGGTTCGCTGCGAGCGAGAGATACATCGCTCCTCAACCCGATTGGCAGAACAGAGTCCCTGCCTTGGATAACGGGTACGTAGTCTAGCAATAGGGGGGATATCGCAGACCTCCACGGCTGATGTGAATACTGATCTATTTTAGCGAACTCTGGTGGGCAGTCTACGCGTATATCCACGCCCTCCAAAAGACCGACCGATCAGACTACGCCCAGCAAGCCGAGGGCTGGCAACGCTGGCTCGATACCGTCACAAACAACATGCTCCAGATCTTCTACCGGGGCAACGGCGTTGTGTGCGCCGTGACCGAGATCGGAGACCCGACTCTGGCTGTCGACCATCCCGACCAGACGTACAAGTGCGAGGGTGCGGGCGTCCTCAATGATCCGTACGAAGGAGAGCTAGTCGCGTACTTCTTTCATCTTTTCGGTGACCTCTCCCCGGAAGACAAGGATGCGCTTTGGGTGGCGAAACGCCCGCAACTGGTGAGGGATGAATATAAGATTGGGGGTGTTGGCCCGATCACCGTTGAGAGAGGTACGTGCGATATACCCCCTTGACTGGAGTGGGTCTTGTCAGCGCTAAATGATGTTGGAAAGGCTATTGGTTTTCCGGCCACGAGCCCTGGAAAGTCCTGGAATTGCCCTTCTACGACGTTGATATCATCCGGTAGGTTTCCACCCGCTGCAGCAGCTTCCGTATGGACCTACGCTTATGCCTTGCTAGCCGTGTCTATCACAACAACGAGAGAGTGCGCACATGTAACTCTGTAGTGACCAAGGTCCCGGGCCTTTTCGCATCAGTCAACAACATCACCGACCCCGAGACAGACACGATCATCGGGTACATCTCGCCGGCGGGTATCCCATCCATTGCAAACCAGACGGAGCAGTACCTCGATGTCATTACCCCCTACGCAACCTGGCCAACCATCATGTTCGACAGGGGCGTTGGGCTTGCGTGGTGGCATAACATGGTCTCTGGGAAGAAGATGCAGAGTACGTATCCAATCCACGGACACTGGCGCAGGCCAATGAATCCAGACGAATCCGCCGACTGACCTACTGAAGATCCATATGGAAGTACCGAGTCGACTCGAGTAGATGGGACTGGTGTCTCTGCGCTTCTAACATGGGATAGCAAGGTTCTAACTGTTGTTTCCATCTTGGGCGGTGTTGGAGATCTTGTCCGGGAAGGGTTGAAGGCAGATGGGGTCTATGACGAGTTCATTCAGATCGCCGAGGTATGTGCAGCTGTCCCCAAAGTCCCCTACGAGATTCAGTACTTGTTGTCTAACCTGTTGGTAGAGAGAATACTCGCTGGTCTTTGGCAAGAAGCTGAAGGGAGAAAAGACTGCCATGTGCCTTCCGAAGAAGGAGGTACCGGATGCTGGGCTGGATGATTTTGCATCTTGCCAGGCGTAGGCAACTCGTGATTTATCGACTTTAATAGCAGCGTGGGTTGAATTGGCCCGTGTCATTTTAAAAGCTTTTGTCTAGTATCGGCTGTTGGATGTGGTATAAACACCTAAAGCAGTATATTTGTAACTCCCACACTTCAGACACGGTATATGGTTCTGAATGCAATATTTTTACTTGTTAGATAGCTAGAGCCTGATGGCTAGCGTTATACTGTGGATGAGAGGCTGTGAAGCGCTCAGTCTACGGGGTAACTATCTACGTACGTGGCTCACCTGGCTCACCTCAGCTCATCGGCGAAGCGGCTCTACGCCACTATGAGCCGTAACAGGTTAGTGGCGCCATTGTGTTGCTCGCAGCTGCTAATTTCTGGCGCTGGGAGTAGACCTGGACTTGACAGAGCACGGCAAGTCATCTAGCAAAGGTATGGTTGGATCATTCTTGCAGCATGATTTGCACATCTGGACAACAAGTAGGTTGTACCCATAACTTGATTATTTGCGATAAACTTGTTACAGCGGCTGTCTTTTATGATCCCGACAACCATTCTCTCAAACACTCTTGGTCTCCCACTCAGCATGCTCCGCCCTGACCTCCTTAACCTCCTTGATAGTCCGCGCCATCTCCGACTTACCCTCAAACAAAAACGTAAGCTCCTCCAGCGTCGGGCCAGAAGTTTCGACAAAGAAGAAGTAGACAATTGCAAACACGAACGCGACCCAGACACAGTAGTAGATGTAAAACTTCCACCCGATGCCCTCCAGCCCAATGGGATTGACATATCCACCAAAGATGGAGGCGACCTGGATAGTGAGCAGAACGAATGACCACGTCTTTGCGCGCATCCTGTATGTCACTAGCTCCAGGGGGTATGTGACGACCAAGTTTGTCCAGGCGCAGGTGTAGAAGCCTTGGAAGAGGAAGATGCATGCCAAGACGACGCGGCCGGCGGAGAGTGAGTCCTTGTCGAGATATTGCTGCGCGGCAATTGTCCATGCGATGAAAGTGATCAGAACTCCTCCGGATCCCGTGAGGAAGAATGTCCGTCGTTTGAAACGATCGATAAGCACGGTGACACCGAGAGAGACGAGGTACTGCCAAAGGGTCACCATACAATTGATCAGCGTGATGTCAGACTCAGCTTCAATGCCCGTGTCCTTGAGAATCTGCGTTAGGTAGTTGGAGACCAGAAGGTTTCCAGAGCTCTGGCTAAAGACGGCTGTCGCGAAGCACAGAGATATCCGCTTGATGTTGGGGATCGACGAGAAGAACTCCTTCCAGGTCATATTCTGTTCCAGCTCCTTGGTGATGACCTGCTGGATCTCGGTGTACTCGAAATTGACCAGCTCTGAATCCGGATCGCCTTCGCCGTGATACTTGACGAGGATCTCTCGTGCCTTTTCCGGCTGGCCCTTGGCCACAAGCCATCGTGGCGATTCCGGGCAGAAGAAGATGAGCGAGAGCTGGTATGCAGAGGGGATGATCTGAACCAGCACGGGGAGTTTCCATGACCACTCGCCGTCGATTCGAAAAGTACCATAGGTCGCCCACGCCCCAATAACATAGCCAAGTGGAATAGAGGTGTTGTAGAAGGTTGTGACCTGGACGCGCTCTTTCGGATGGCTCAGCTCTGTGACCAGCACTGGTGCACCCATCTGGATCAAGGAGGACCCAAAGCCAAGGACGATCTTGCCTCCGATGAACATGCCGAGGGAGGTAGCGAAGAACTGGATCAGGGCTCCAGCGATGATGATGACGGATCCAAGTGCGGTTGGCAGCCTGCGACCGAATTTGTCCCCAATCCAGCTGAGGAAGATGAAGGGAATGACGCCGCCGATCGCATTCGAGGCTCCGAAGAACCCAAGCGTTGACCCCGTGGGGTGGTCGAACTTTTCTTGCCATGCTGGCAGCACTTGCATGTTGTTAGTCCTGTGGGTGAATCTGTCAGCCAAGGTCGGTATATGCTGGGTTGAGGTGATTTATACATTGACTAGAGCAGAGTCACAATCAGCATGAAGGACCATAATGAGAGGGTGGACATGATGAGGCTAGGCACATACCCCGTCAATTCCAAGTGTGGCGCTCGCCAACAGAGATGAGGTGAGGAGGAAGTAGAGCAGCGTCCCGTTCTTTCTCTTCCAGAATGGCGGTACAGCCTTCAGGCTCGTCGAGTCCATGGGGGAGGCGACACCCTCAGTCGCGTGTGCAGCAGAAGGAGCCATGGCGACAGCTGGAGAAGAACAAGTGAGTAGAGCTAGACCTGATGATATTCAGAGTACGGGCGTCGTCACATTATATGCTTTTGCGAGGCATGCAAAGCGCAGTCAGGGCCCTGGTCAGAGTCTGCAGGCGAAAAGCTTCCCCGTTACCCCAAATTCTCTCCCCGCGTGGAATGTGGCTTGATGGGTCTCGTCGAATCAAAAGAGCCCGCTCGGCGATTCGGCAAGTTGTGCGAAGCGCATGACCCACATCGACTGCTTCTTTTCTCCTTTTCGCCGATGATAAATCGCCGTCCACCGCCCGCCTGTCCCCCTCGTCGCTTCCCCACACAGAGCATCCCAGATGGCGGAGAATAACTCGAGCCCTCGATCGACGACCTCCCCGCCGACAGACGCTCAACCACGGAGGCGGCCGCTCAGCAGCAGGAGCAGGGCCTGTGACCGGTGTCGTCGGAGAAAAGCCAGGTGCGATACCACTAGCCCTCGACATCGCTGCTCGCCGTGCCGACAAGCCGGAGAGCCATGCACCTTCGACCTGCCCCTGGCAAGGCGTGGACCAAAGGCCCGAAAACGAACAGAGGGCCTGGCATCAGCCGACTCGTCAACCCTCTCCATCGGAGCAGACCATGAGCAGACGCTGCCGTTTACGAGCCCAACAGGGAACATTTTGCCCGAATTGCTGTCCCCGGTTGCATCCTGGGACCCAACAGCGAGTCTCACGCTTGACCCTGCGTTGTCGCCCCAGACGGTGCGAAGCGTTGTTTCAGAGTCCCGGCCATCCGCGACTTCCAATGTCATACAGAGATGGCAGGAGCTCTCCAGATCCCTCGCTCTCTCCAATTTCGACGTCGCGTGGATCGTTTCCAGATGCTTGGATCTCTTCTTCCAATATCTCTATCCCCTTACACCTCTTGTTCATGAGCCCAGTCTGCGCAATGGTGTGGCATACTTCATTTCACGGACCTCATCCACCGTAACCCAATCACCACGTGCCGACCCAGACGATGGAATCGCAGCGCCAGGTCCTACCGGAGATGCATGGTCTGGGGTGTTACGAGCAGGTCACTCTGGAAGCCGGAGTATGCCAGAACCTTGGCTAGAGTCGACCTTCACCTTGATTACAGCCGTTTGCGCAGAAGCGGCATTTCTCCTACCCAAGGATTTATTTCCAGAGGGCGAGGCAGTTAGCGAAATCTTTCTCAAGGCATCAAGAAACTGTCTCAACAGCTATCTCGAAGCCGATCTGGAGTCCCCCAACGCAAGCTCGATCGCAATCCGCTACTTCCACTCTAACTGCATCCACGCGGCGGGCAAACCCAAGTATTCATGGCACATCTTTGGCGAGGCGACGCGACTCGCACAGGTCATGCAGCTCCACGAAGAATCATCACTCGAGGGCCTACTGCCTATCGAAGCGGAGTTGAGGCGACGGGCGTTTTGGATCGTGTACATGGGTGATAAGTCTGCTGCGATCCTCAATAATCGGCCTATTACGATCCACCGTTTCTCGTTCGAATCCCCTATCACAATCGCGTACCCATCGGGTCTTGAGGACGAGGCGCCAGTTGGGCCATCTCCCGGTAACGAGGCTCTCTCGACAGAAACGGGAAGGAAGTGCCTCATCAATGGCTTCAACGCAAACCTACGGCTCTGGCAAGCAGCCTCAGACCTACTCCTGGAGATGCGTGTAATACTAGACGCACAGCGAGCTGTTCCCTCCACAAACAACCTCACCAACACACCGATGCCCATCGAGCACCGACAGCGCCTCGACGAACTATATGTTCAGTTCATCACATGTCTCGACGACCTCCCGCCATACCTGCAGTCATACAGCCTAACAGTCCCGACAGAAAGTGGTTCGGAAAAGGCCCGGACTACCCAGTTCATTATCCAGAGAGCGAATCTGCAAGTCTCACTGCATTGCCTGCGGATGGTCATTGCACAGAAATTGGACATGTCCTACCTCGCTACAAGCGCTGAGCAGGCAAATCTACACAAGACGGAAATTGCGCGAGACATGCTCAAAGTTATGCACGAGGCCCCGTTCTGGTCTCTGCAGGTCAACGGGGAGCCATATGTAAGCGATCCTTCCGAATATTGTGTGTTCTCACTTTGTCGCACTGCTAACCTAAGCATCCAGGTAGAGAAGATACGTCTCATAGGCGCCAGTCTTCTTGCCATCATCCACCGTTATCCAGGGTCTCATCCACTAGCAGCCCGCGCTCGATCCGACTTTCTGGTTCTATTAGATATACTCACCAGACTGGATTCTAAGGCTTCGGATGCCCTCAGGGGAGACCTTAATTCGAATTTCTAGGATTGAAAACTATTCGTAGGGCTCTGCTGCGTGAGCATCCCTTGTACTACATTCACGCCTAAAGCAGGGAATGCAGTATGTGGTCTAGGGCACCACGCGGCCCACAAATTGGGAAAAAAAGCTGCACTTGCAGGCCTATATGATGCAACAAGCTATGCAGAGCTCTTATTTGGCAAGACTTATTACACCAAAGCAGGACTCGTGCTCTGAAGGATCAGGGGGATGCATTGCCCCCGCCAGCCTGGGCTGAGGCTGTGCAAACAAGATGCAGCTCTTGGCTTGGTGCTTAAAGCCTTTATGGATGCAAGGTGCGCATCATACATACTAGCTGATATACTCTTTCTATTGCTGGAGCTGCGCTTGACTCGCCGTGCTGAAGATAAAAGCGAAGCATTCGCTTGGTAGTCGAGGAAATCAGAATCACATCCTCTGCTCTTCTTTACCTGCTCGCGACACGGACACACTTCAACCCCATGCGAGAACCACTCACACCCGCACATAAAGAACTCATAAACCATGACCCAACCCACTTAACCATCCCCCAAAACAATCGCCTTCTTCGGCGCGTCAGGCGGCTGCGGCCACGCAATGCTCGTCGCAGCCCTCTCCGCCGGGCATACCTGCCTCGCCCTCTGCCGCGACCCTTCCAAGCTACACTCCCTGCACACTTCATACCCCGATACTCTTATAATCCGCGCCGGAAACGTGCACAACCTCAACGACGTAATGCGCGTCCTCACCCACGACGAGCGGCACCTGGTCGACGCCGTAAACTTCACCATCGGCAACAAGCCGGGCCTCAAGGCCGCAGCAAAAGGCGACAAGGGCGATCCACACGTGTGTGAAAAGGGGATGAAGACGCTGCTGGCTGTGTTGGGTGTCTTGAGGAACGAGTGGGGTTTGCAGGGCTCCCCGTTGCTGTGTGTCGTGTCTACAACGGGGATTTCGGTTAAGAGGGATATTCCGCTTTGCGTTTTATCCTCTCTATCATTTTATGCTGGCCGTGCCGCATAAGGATAAGAAAGCCATGGAGGAGAGAATTTCGGGGAGTCGGGAGCGCCTTGTGCTTGTTAGGCCGAGTTTGCTTTGGGAGTTTGCTTTGGGATGGTGGTGACGAGGGGAGGGTTGTGAGGGTTGGGGTTGCGGATGTGAGGACAGTGAGGACAGTGAGGACAGTGAGGACAGTGAGGACAGTGAGGACAGTGAGGACAGTGAGGACGGGGAGGGTAGAGAGGAAGGAGGTCGGTTATATCATTTCGAGGCAAGCGGTTGGGGGTTGGACTTTTGAGAATTTATTGCAGAGGGAGAGTGAAAGGGTTGTCTTTGAGGGCAAGGCTGTCTCGTTGACACTTTAGGGATGGAAGCAACATCCTCTTTCTTTCCACTGGACCTATTTCGGCGTTAGTATTAGACGTATGACCAGTCTGCGAATCCAGGATAGAGGGATTATGATAGAGCTCGTCTTGCGGCACTGATAGTTTGCGGATTAGGGCTAGAAACAAGAAACACCTTGATCCATATGATGGTGACCCAGCGATGCTATCAGTGGCCATTCCCGCTTTATTTCGGGCGTTTAACTATAGCACCGTGATTTGCCAGGAGGTTAGGCCATCCTGCTCACGAAACCGACACTGGAGCAGAGTAGTTCTAGGTACCAATACTTGTGTAAAAATACAGAAATGTTATGATGTCTTGATGTTTACCTTCTCCATGATTTCACGTTCATACTTTTGCCTATTGCTGATAACATCATCGGATCAATCGTGACTTTTGATAGCTCCGTCGTGCCTTCGTCCGTCTACTAGGAAGTAATACGCCACAGGGTTGCCCGCGGTGATACTATGTAACCGCAGGACATGGCCACCTATGCTTATAAAGGAGACGCGCCCGTGGAAGAGCGACATTAGGAATTGCCTATATACTTCCAAGTTCGGCTCCTCCTCGGAGGGGCTTGATCCAATAAGGTGATGTATGTGTTGGCCCCCGGCGAAGCTAGATCCTACTCACCGACCTTCCTCAGTTACCTCCGATCATTGGAGCGTGTTTGACGCATGACTACCTTTTTTGCTTTTCTGGGCGGCCGATGGCGTAGGCCAAGTTGTTTGCCCATGGTCAAGGGTGATAAGAGGCCATCGTTCAGCGTGGCACCCAATGATTGGATGCCTTGGATTATTGGTAGGTAGATAATACCTGCGACTCCCCCTCTTCTATAGTGGCGGTAGAGTACTCTTCCAAGCCCAGGTAATCTTGAACTGACTGGAACTTTTGGGCTTATACCTTTACGGGCGTTCTGAAGCCCACTATGACTTTCTGTGCAAAATGCGAGAGGGTGAAAGGGAAAATCAAATGCGGATGTGGTTCTGGTCCCTTTTGCGAACCTTGCTACAACAACGATCACTTGGGGTTTCATCCTGAGTGTAAGAAGGCCTCGTGGAGGACGAGGTGGATGAGAGGATTCTCCGAGACGCTGGCCTTGTCCTTTGGCAAGGAGTACTTTCAGCGCGATGAACACACCAAGTGGTTCGGGTATAATGTCGAAAAGGTTGACAACGGCGGCGAAGTCGGGTCAATAATTGAGACAATGAGGTTCCGGGACCTAGTGGAAAGGGCGCGCGCCGCATCCTCGAAGGCTGTTCTTTTCCCCAGTGTCGTCGCGTTCGTCGGAGAGACAGGTGCAGGGAAGTCGACCATAAGTGAGTTCCAGTACTTCCTGATAACCTCGTACCGGAGACAAGGTCAATACTTACCATTCGTCCCAGTCCGCGGCTTGATGGCAGGCACGGGACTATCAGAAAAGGAACTTACTGAGCTTGATGCACCTGCACCGGGAATGGACGGCGACCATAAGCCCACGACCGGCGAGGTGAACCTATATCACGACCCAAAGTCGCTCAGCAGCGAGAGGCCAATATTCTACGCGGACAGCGAGGGCATAGGTGGTAGCACGCCTGTATCCGTGAAGCACCAGACGGCCTGGAATCATGATCCTCTCTACCGCCGACATAACATGGAAGAACAAGCGATGGACAGGATGCGGGCCACACAATCGCTCTACCCCAAGTTCCTGTATATCTTTAGTGATGTGGTATGCATGGTAACGAACAACCGGCGAAGCCTGGCAGATACCGCGGAGAAGCTTCTTCGATGGAGCCAGGTCGGAGCAACGGGCACAATCAATCAATACTTGCTCCCGAGTTTGATTATCATATTGAATGCCCTTCCTAATGAGAGACCAGAGTACATGGGAGGCACTAATAAAGCAACACTGGACTTTTTTGACCTCTTAGATCCTGAAGTCCAGAAGAATACAACTTTCAAGCGTCTCGCAGAGAAGGTGAGTGGCGATCCGATCCTCTCCAATCGTCTTCTTGCTAAGACGATGCAGGTATCTGGTATACCCTTGGATAGAGTAACGATGAGGGATATCTTAAAGATGTTCTTCTCGAACATTCACGTACACTACATTCCAATGGAAGGGGCCGGGATGCTTGGCGGTGCCTTTTCTGTCCAGGAACAAACAGAGAAACTACAAGAGAAGATTGAGGTGGAAGTCAAAACAGTGCAAGACTTGAGGCAAGAAAAGGGAGCTTCTCTCGACTCGAGCCAAATGTCCATCGTCTTCCGATCGGCTTTCGTCCACCTCGCTGCCGGGAAGGAAGGCACGTTCGACTTCAGCATGTGCCGACGACAAATATCACTTCCTTCCTCCACAAAGGACTTCATCGGCAGGTTTTTGCATGTCTCTCTCAAAGGGCGGATTGAGAGCAATTTTCAGTACGCGGCTTCAGTCATCGCTTCGAGTCTCATTCTCGAGGTTCTCAGATCCGATGGGCCAGGTAAGACATCCTACCTCCTTGCTGGAGTAGATGTGCGCTTACGGTTCGCAGATATCGTAGGGACAGCGGATTCGATTATACCGGAGGGTGTTCTAAGTATCTGCCGACAAGCTATCGAAGACTTCCTCGACAATTCCCTTGAGTGCGATTATCGAGAACCAACAACGCACGAACCCTGCAAGAACACTCGGCGGGGCCACGCAAACGGCCATCAGGGCAAAGACGGGACCATTCTAGCCGGCGGCTCTTTCCAAAACTCCCGGTTCTCCTCCGATAAATTCCTGCAAGCCATCTCGACTGCAATAGAGACACAGCTGCGATCCATTCGAGCCAAACCCCGCGTGGAAAGGAGGGCTTTCGCCATTGCGGAACGGAAGACGCTCATGCGGTCAGCTACCGATAACAGCTTTTGGACAGATACACAGAAGATAAATAAAGGAGTGAAATGGACCGCGTTAAACGTTCCGTGCTTTGCGTGCTTATTTCGGAAACCTGAGTATGTCCTGCCCTGTGATCACTCTCTCTGTCACGAATGCGTGTCCCTTTTTAATGAGTCCGAGCACAAATATCCCACTGTGAGCGTTTTGAAGCGATGTCCCTTTTGTCCCGAGCCCCAGGCATCTCAGCGCTCCCATATTCGTCATCAAGAAATTGCCATCTTGCCAAAGCTGGCGGGCGTTAGAATCCTTTCGCTTGACGGAGGTGGCGTACGTGGCATTGTGGAGCTAGAAACTCTGAGGCGGCTGGAATGGCATATTGGGCTTGATCTACCAATTGCAAATTTCTTCGACCTCATAGTCGGGACCAGTGCTGGTATTTGCCCTCTGCACCGCTTGCCTCATTATAGCTAAATTTTAGCAGGAGGCCTCATCGCTCTCGCCATTGGGCCGAAAGCCCGGACTATCGACGCATGTATCAACGAGTGGAACGATCTCTGCAAGAGTTGCTTCAAGCAGATAGTCGGAGCAAAGATACCTGTCATTGGTTACTGTGTCAGGTATTTGTATAACTCAATGTATGATACCGAAAGCATGGCAAGCGCCTTGCAACAATCCTTTGGCGCGAACCATAGGCTATTCGGGTTGCAGTCAAGTTCAGAAGGGGATGTGTGGCGTACAACCACTCGCGTCGCAGTCACAACGTCAGTGAACAACAAACTTTGCCTTTTCGCAAACTACGACTGGGGAGACAGAGAGATTTATATGAGGTCCCGCACGGAAATCTGGAAAGCGTAAGCTGTCATGCGGCCCGTCGGTGCTGTTCCTAACGGTTCAATAGGGCTCGAGCGACTACGGCCGCACCTTCGTATTTCTTACCCTTTCGGAGCGGGTCTGATGGAGCAGACTGCTATGACGGCGGTCTGATCAAGAATAACCCGGTCCAAACGGCACTGAATGAAGGTAGACGCATCTGGGGCCACAATGCCCCAGTAGACCTGATTTTGTCTATTGGATCGGGCATCGGGACCCCAACTACGCCGCCCGAATGGGATGCCACTGACTCAGTTCCCTGGATTAAGACGCTGATGGACACCTTTTTCCAGAGCATGAATGGAGACGCGCACTGGAAAACCTTTTGGGAGGAGAATCACGCACACCACGAGCGCGCCCGGCGCCTAAATGTTGAGTATCAGCGGAAGCAGGAATATGAGCTCGACGATGTCGCAAATATCCCAACCATGCATGCCGAGGCCCGGAGTTATACCTTCAGACCTGACAACAAGTGGCTTAAATTCCACGAGGACGCCCATCCAGCGCGTCCCCTCGATTCACTCTCGGAGATCGCAACACGTCTACGTGCCAGCCTTTTTTTCTTCCAGCTCGACTCCATCGGCCATACAGCGTCCAAGGAGGCGACGTACATCAAGGGGGCTATTTATTGCCGCCTCGACCCACGCATAACAAGCTACGCCAAACTTGCCAATATGGTCGCCTGCTTCAGGAGGGGAGAGTCAATACTACGGGCCCAGAATGCTACCACAGCGGATCTCAGTCATGCCGACGACCCCGGTATTGACGACGCACCGCAGGAACAGGGCCAGCCGGAGACAAATATACCTCAGAGGCCGCTCGTCCTCGACGACCACTTGCGGGGTGCCATGAGTGCTGCAATTACCACTGGCACGGGGTTCAAGTACGATGTTGCCTTCACGTGGGTTCATACAAAAGCGAAACCGAAGCTGGATCTCCGAGTCCAGTTTACGGACCGGTCGATTGCACCGATGAGTGGATTTCCCGTTACGCTGGAGGTGAGGGTCCTTGTTTTCGTTGCCTGGCTCCTGGTTCGTTGAGCTTCGCGCTGATTATTGCTCAGGTCCTTCAGGACTATGACCAGAAATATAATATTCGGTAAATGGTGAAGGCCGCGAGACGTGCGATCCTTGCTCGCAGGTCACGGAGGGAACCTATAATAACCATTCAACGCTAGTCCGATGAGCCGGCGCTCCACGCTTCACAAGATCTATTCTTATGTTTCCTTGCGCGCTTCATTTTACACGGGATTCAATTTACTCTTGCCTCTAGAGATTGTGATACATAATTGGCCATGCGAGTTCCTGCTTTGAGTCAGATGAATGTAATTGAAGGGGATGTTCTAGTAGGGAACGCACGCTCAAGCGTACGTCCAGCGTCCATAGCAAAGGGAAGAGATGCCGGAGCCTACAGTACAGGTCTGCCGCACTGCGACATATCAGTGGCTACACATCATCATCAGGTTAGCCAGAATCCGGAAACCGGAAGACAACATTCAGCCCACAGCAGAGACACATAATGCTAGAGCTCAAAGTAATCCTTGTAGCTAACGGCAATGGGAAAGATTGAACAAGGTGCGTGTCTGGCCAAGTAACAAAGCAGCAAAAAGCGCGGGGGCCTAAGTGCAAGGCAAGTTGCTTACTTAGCTTATATACTCTCACTTCGGTTACCCCTGGCTCACTTTGGCTCGGATGCCAAGCAAAGGGATAGGACTTCTAGACAAGGTCTTAGAACACTGGCTGTGTTCAGGTTAGGGCTAGAAATAAAACCCTCTTCTTGCACTGATAGTCACCCAACGCTATTGCCTATAGTGATGGCTACTGTCAAGCGCGATAAGTACAGCCTGGCGAGCTGGCAGTGCTACTCCATGCATTGCCACATTGGCGAGGGCCCCAGGAAATGCTGATACTCGTAGCGATATCCAGACTCCCTAATTCTCCCGCTTCCCAATCGAGCCGGATTCTGTATACCCATTGGCAGCCTTGACAGTAGACTCTTCGGCTTCCTGCTTCTCGCGCTTTCCAACCCACCCAAACTCAGTGTAAGCATTATCGGCTTCCACGGTAGCCTCCTCATTATCACACTTGCCAACCCAGCCGAACTCGGCGCAGGCGTTATCAGATTCAACAGTAGCCTTGTGGGCGGCATCGTTACCATAGTTTTCTCTGACGAGGTCTTGAATTGACTATTTCAACTGGGTCAGCATCACTTCAGTCATTCACGAGGAAGGGTGAAGCAGGGGATCCATCAAGCAGACGTACCCTGGGCAGAGCCAACGCAGCTCCGAGCAGCAAGGCCGCAGTGCAAGTAGTGACGGACTTCATTTTAGAGGCTTACGCGGTTTCGAGGGTCAGATCGAGGAAGAACGAGTTTGAAGGATATGGTGCATATCGTCTTTTTTTGATGATCAAGGCCGGCTTTATACCCTACCTCTCGATGTCCTGCTGACGGAGTTGGAGGGGCAAGCTGACATCAGTATTGTCACGAGCCCGATTACGTTGAAGGGTCAGTAAGCTGGATCGATATCATTCAAGATATATTGCGGCTTCTAGAGAAACATTTGACAATGATTAGGGTTACATGGCATTCGATGTCGCATTCCATCTTATCTTAGGGTAGGTGGGGTCCGGGTACGCTCATGATTTATGCGTGTGGGCGTATTCGTAATTGAATACGGAAATACGCTCTAGATATACACCATGGACCCATGAGAACTGAAGGAGATGTGCAGACTAGGCCCTATCCGAGGGTAATCCTGCCGCCCGAGATGATCTGTCGTAAGCCTTAGGTGCTTGAGATGAATTCGGACTGTCTAGCGGCCAACAACCCTCTATTGATCGACATATTAAGGCGTCCCGTCCCGCGCACTCTGGGGTCTTTCCTACTTCCACATCACACCCGCCTCTGCTTTCCGTACCTTCTAAGAGGCTTACATCTCTCCTTCAGCCTCGATTCTTCATCAAGATGGTTATCCCCGCTAAATATCATGGATTCCCAGAGTGTGACGATAGCGCACACGAGTCCATGCTCGACACCAGCTCCCAGAGAGACTCCGGAAGAAAGGGTCACGGAACCAGCTTGTACCAGTACTTTCTCTATACTATGCTGGGAGTGAGTGTCTTGATAAATCTTTTGTCGCTGTTTGACACCATTTCCAAGTCTAAGGACATCCGTATCCCGAATCCCATATTTTGTACCTTCCTCTTTGCCCGAGACGAGAGTTTATGCTAATCAACAACAGCACCAGCAAACCACATTATTTAGTACAAAACACAGACCTTCATGGGTGGCTCTGATAAAGAGAGGACACCATATATGGGGCCGCCAACTGATGCTTACGACGAAGCGTGGGAGGATCTATACAATTGTAGGTCGTACTTCCCTCATGTCCATACTGGACTCTGTTAACAATGAATAACTACAGACGGAATTATTAAAATCCCCCAGTCCGATGCAGGGCAACTTGTCAACCATACACTCCCTCTAGCGTCGGAGCCCGGTCAATACGTTGTCGAGCTTGACGTCTTCCATCAACCTCATTGCCTAGTAAGCTCTTTACTCCGCCCTCCCTCTTATCTACTACAATCCTATCCTAACCAGATGCATAGCACTATCTCCACAAAAAAGCCTGGGGCCACGACATGGGCCTAAGCACCAGCGACCCGGACGAAGTGACCAAATTCTGGCAACACTTGGACCACTGCTCCGAGTCCCTGCGACAGAGCCTGATGTGCTCATCCGACGTCTCGACCATCCACTGGGTGTGGTCTGAAGAGCATCACCGGTGGCAGGCGGACGGGCGGGTTGTGCATACGTGTCGCGACTTTGAGGCGATACGCGAGTGGGCGTTTGAGCGGACGGCGGGGGTCGTTGATTTTGAGACTTGGGTGGCGGATCCTCTAAAGGGGAATGTCTAGGTTTGAGGTATTCTGGGCTGGATTTGGGAGCTTGCAATACTGGTATATTCAGGTACTTTTCACGGGGCGCTTTCTAGGAATCGATTGCGTATTGGGGCTCTGTAGCATGACCTCTGGCCGCCTACGCTTAATTCCTTTGCTTATGGAGGACGGTTACGCTCCCGCAAAAACTATTACGTCTGATGAAACGCAGCTGGATATTTAGGGACGAGGCTGGCAATGGCCGGGAAGATTGAGGGGTCTAGTAGTGTACACTACTAAGTTTCGAACGGGGGTTCGATGTTCGGACTCAGCCCTTTAGTCAAAACTGTACTTGGTTGGAAGTTATTTTACTATTATATCATGAATCAGTAGACAGGCCATATTAAATGAGATGTTAGGGCCGTCGATCGGCAGCCAGCCAGTGAGGCATCCGGAATTGCACGGTTAACAACAGGCACCTTCCGGAAATCGAAAAGCGAGGCTTGGGTTAAGATTGAACAATCATCTGTATATAGTAGTATTCTACCACATGTCACAGACAACGCATAACACCAAACCTCTCAACGTACGCATACCATGGCCCAACGCCACGCCCTCGTCTTCGGCGCCTCTGGAATTACCGGGTGGGCAGCCGTCAACGCCCTCTTAAGCGACTACCCAACCCCAGACACATTCCAGCGGGTGACGGCACTAACGAACCGACCTCTATCCGCCGAAGATGCCCTATGGCCAGCCTCAAAGAAGCTGAATATTGTCTCTGGACTGGATCTTCTTGCAGGTGACCAGGCCACTCTAGAGGACACCATGCTTGAGCGAGTTCCCAGCATCGATACCGTCAGCCATGTGTATTTCTTTGCATATATATTCAACTCGGAACCCCAGGAAGAAATCTGGGTGAATGTTGAGTTACTGAAGAGGGCCGTCACGGCTGTGGATAAGTTGAGCGCGAAGCTTGAGTTTGTGCTTCTTCCGACCGGCGTCAAGGTACGCCGCTCAGATAATCCTCATCTTACTGCAACAGCTAACACGATACAGGCCTACGGCGTGCACCTTCTCGACAAATTCCCCTTCAGTGCTAACCTCCCACTATCCGAATCCCTTCCCCCAATCCCGGAACCCCACAAGTCCAACCTCTTCTACTACCCACAAATCACCCTCCTGCAATCCCTGTCCAGCAACAAACCCTGGACATACTGTGAAGTAATGCCCGACATTGTCGTCGGCTTCGTCCCCAACAACAACGCCTACTGCCTGGCGCAGTGGCTGGCTTTATACCTATCGCTCTACCGCGAGATCAATGGCCCCGGCGCCGAGGTTGTGTTCCCGGGGAACATGAAGAGCTGGGGGATCAAGTCGAATGATAGTGGGCAGGATATTATTGCTCGCTTCGCGATTCACGCGAGTTTGCATCCTGCCATCACCTCGGGGGAGCGGTATAACGTTGCGGATAACGCGCGGTGGAGCACTTGGGCTGTCAAGTGGCCGGTTATCTGTGAGTTCTTTGGACTCAAGGGTGTGGCGCCTGAGAATGGGCCCGGGCCCGATCCGAGTGCGTATGTGGCCGAGCATCGCGAGGAGTGGTTTGAGCTCGAGAGGAAATATGGGTTGAAAGGTGGGAGAGTGGGGAATGAGAAAAGTCTGAGTATTGTGCCGCAGTTTCTGATGGGCATGTTTGATTTTGATCGGCAGTTGGATATGAACAAGATGCATGGGGCTTGGGGAGAGACTGTTGAGGAGACGGATGTCAAGGGGGCGTGGTGGACTGCGTTTGAGAGATTTAGGGCTGCGAGGATTATTCCGTGAACTTCTCGCAGAGGAAGCTAGAGTAGATTGTGATTGGATGAGTCTGCTGATGCCCTGCTGGAAAACGATATCCAGACCATCTCCGGGATCACTCTTCGAGCAGCTCCGTTCTTACTAGAGTAAACGTAGAGAAATAACAACAAAGCAATGACTTTATCTCAATGAACTGTCACAACTACTGTAAGAGAGACACAGAACGAAATCACCATGGCAGGCCCCCTCCGCCAACCAATCGACATTGCCTCGCTCACAAACTACCTAACCTCGCACGTCCCCCAAATCCAGACCCCAATAACCCTTGCCCAGGTACGTCTTCACCACCCCTCTCCCCACTCCACCACTCAATTACCCAATAATAACCCCGCGACACAGTTCGGCTTCGGCCAATCCAACCCAACCTACCTCCTGACCTCCTCCACAAACGCAAAATATGTGTTGCGCAAGAAACCCCCGGGAAAGCTCGTCTCAGCAAGCGCACACAAAGTCGAGCGGGAATACCGCATCCTCAAAGCGCTAGAAGCAACCTCCATCCCGGTCCCGCGAACATACTCTCTCTGCACGGATGGCTCCGTCCTCGGGACACCGTTCTATATTATGGAGTTTCTGGACGGGAGGATTTTTGAGGATGCGACCTTGCCTGGTCTTAGTGCAAAGGAAAGAAAGGTGATGTGGCGCGAGGCGATGACGACGCTTGCGCGGTTCCATAGGCTTGATCCCCAGGCGGTTGGGTTGGAGGGGTATGGAAGGGCCGGGGGGTTCTATGAGCGGCAGCTGGAGACATGGAGGGGTCTTGCGCGTGCGCAAGGGGTCGTCGTTGATGTTGAGAGTGGGGAGGCTGTTGGTGATGTCCCTGGGATAGAGAGGATGATTGCGTTCTTCTCTGATGAGCGATATCAGCCGGCGGATCGAGCGTCTCTGATCCATGGGGACTTCAAGATTGATAACCTCGTCTTCCATAAGACGGAGCCGAGGATTATTGGGATTCTTGAGTATGTCCCTGTCACTGCCACTGAGCAGCCTGCGCGGGAATTTGTGAAGATACGGAAGCTGACTACGTTGCTACAGCTGGGAAATGTCTACAATCGGCCATCCGATCGCGGATATCGCAAATGTCGTGCATCCGTGGACGGTCAATGGGTTGTCTCCGCGTGCCGCACGTGAAATCGGGCTTCCATCCGGCACAGCGCATATAGACGGTCTACCCTCGGTAGCCCAGTGCGTGGCCTGGTACGCCGAGGAAGCAGGCTGGAACTCTGCCCCAGACCTGCGCTGGGCTGAAGCATTCTGCCTTTTCAGGCTGAGCATCATATACCAGGGGATTGCGGCCCGGTATGCAGCGCGCCAGGCGACGAGCACAAAGGCTCGTGAGTTAGGGAGGGCGATGTACACATGTGCGGAACTGGCGGGGCGAGTAATCAGAGAGTTGGAGGACAAGGGAACCCAGAGCGCGAAGTTATAGATTGTATGCAACTCACTACTCTACTTAGAAGTATCATTCTCCAACTGAACCGCACATGCGCTCGTCTTCTTCCTCTTGTCGATATCCCGCGTTGTAAGCGCAACCAGAATGGCTAGGCCTCCAAACGCAACTGCCACCTCGTAGACGAGCTGGTACGACTCTGCGCTGACGACCTTGGAGGCTTCGCTGACAGCTTGTATGCTCCTGTCTGTGATTCCGGCCACGCTCTGATACGCAGCCTCTGTATTAATCTGTGCAGCGGCCAGTAGACCAGAGATGTCGCCCGTGAAACCAGAGCGACTAGCTGCGTCACGCACCCGGTCGCCAATAAGGGCATTATACCGGTTCGACTGGATTGCCGTGTAGATTGCCGTTGCAATGGCGCCGCCGATCAGTCTAAATGTGCATAGGAGGCCTTGGCTGATGCCACTGCACATAGTTAGCATGTGGTCACCCAGAGACCGAACCCCTAGATAAAATAACACTTACATATCTTCCTGACTCTCGAGTCCCAACGAAATCATCCCAAAAGCCAAATACTGCGGTGGGGTGACCGACGCCGCTACGATAATAATCGTCGCAATCGCCTGCGCCTTGTCGTCCTCCCCAACAGATCCCATCGACCCAATCATCCCCGTCTGCACGACCAGGAATCCAATCAGCTGCCAACGCTCGTGGCCGAGCCGGGGGACGATTGTGAGCACGAATATCCCGGCTAGAATCGTGCCGAAGGAGAACATGTTCGCGTAGACACCTTGCAGGGTGGAGTCGCCTGGGGGAACGTACAGCAGGGCGGATTGGCGGGGCCAGAGGCTAGTTTTGGTGGTGGTTAGATTCTTGTGTAGGTGGAGTGGGTGCGAGGGTCTTGTGGGTGGGACGTACATGTTCATGCTGTAGTAGAGCATTCCGCCGACAAAGGTCATGGCGATAAGAGAAGTGAAGCTGTTGATGGTGAGTTTTGTAGAAGAATAATGCGAGGTTGGAGCCAAACGTACTCGCGCCACTTCCGAAACAGCCTGGGGGGCAGAATGGGATATTCGAGTTTGGCATATACTTCCCAGAACCCCAGAGCGACAAAGTGAACCACAGACAGGACAATGGGCAGAATGACCCCCAGGCTATTCCACGCAAAGTTGCGCCCGCCCTACTCAGATCATTAGCACTCGATCGTATCCAGCTGGCTCATTGACAATGTCTGTACAACTCACCCAATTCAGCCCCAAAAGAAGCAAAATACATCCAGCGAGGAACAGCAGCAAGCCAACATAATCCAGTGCAGCAAGAAGCTGCCGTTTGGTCTTTTGATCCTCGCGGTGCTTCGTCTTGAACGAAGGTGGCCGATAGAAGATAAACAGCGCGATGGCTGTGAGTGTCTCGAATGCGAACATCCACCAGTAGCACGCTCTCCAGCGTAGCTTTGTATGGCTGATAAAGGTGTACCCGATCATAGGGCTCAGCATTGCGGGAATGTTGGATATCTCGACACAGCCTGGCGCAGTTAGCAGACTCCATTGGGTGGTGGACGGCTGAAAGGCGAGATGCGCACCCAAAATAAACAACCGATACCGATTCGGCACAATCTCCTGAACACTCGCAAAAAGCGTCTCGCCAAACCCACCTCCAACCCCCATGAGTACACCAGCGGCTATCATCTGCGAGATCGACCGCCCCGTCGCTCCAACCACTGCGCCCACTGCGCCAAATACCGCTCCCGAAATGAGGAACCAGCGCCGCCCGAAGATGTCGGAGAGACGCCCGCCAATGGTGACAATGACAGCGGCGCCGAGGTTCCAGCAGATTGTGATCCAGGGGTAGTTGGGGTCGGGGCCCAGGTCGGCGTTTATGCTTGAGAGGATCACGGCGGGCATGAGTTGGGTGAAGAGGTACGAGTTGTAGAGGAGACAGATTGACTGTGGTGGTTAGTCTGGAGTAAGGGGAAGTGGTTTGGATTGGGTGGGCCGAGGGCGTACGATGATGGCCATGATTGTTCTCGGGGTCAGGTGTGGCATCGTGCTGCCCCCCTCGGCGGTTATCGGGGCTGCGGCGCTGCTCTCTTCATCGTGCACCGCTTCTGGTTTCTCGGTAGACATGATTGGGCTCGAATTGACTGCAAATTGGATCTGGGCAAGTCTGGGGTACTTCCAAGTTGCCATAATGGGACGACAGGCCCCACTACTCAAAGTCTATATAGGTGTATCTGGACCCGTACGTAGTCGTTGGGTAGTCGGGAGTCCTTTTCCATCCCTTCTCTTGCACTGGATAAGCACTTCCGGAGCTACGATGTGCGTTGGGAGACCGGAGCTGGGCACAGGGGTTGCCTCCACCAATAATGAGGTCTGTATCTAATAGTATCTCCAAGCACCCGACGTGCTTCAACGCGGGAATGGCAGGCTGCCACCATGGATGCATGCCGGGGCTCCTGGGGCAATCCATCTTGCACCGGAGTGGCAAGGTGGCCAAGTGGTAATGACAACCATTCATTTCATCACCACATCAGGTGGGATTACCGCCAAGCAAATGGTGCGTTCTTAAGCCAGCATACAGACATATTTATATGTATATATCGACGTTCTAATGGATAATACTACACTCTCCCTCTATCTAGAAACCTCTTGGGCAAATCCACCGTCTTCGCCCTGAGATACTCCATACAATTCTTCCCCAGCGTATCATAACTCGAGCACGCGTTATACTCGCCCTGCATATGATCCTTGAGCAAAAAATGCACCGTGCGCAACGCCGGGATCTCGAACCGATCGATCGGCTTCCCTTTGTACTCTTCGGGCCCCAGCAGCTCGATGATTTTCGGGATCGTGAGGAAACTCCTGAGCCAGTCCCACTCCTCGTCGTGGCGCACGAAGAAGCCGTTGTTGCAGTCGGATGCTTTGTCGCCGCCGCGGCCGAGCACGATGTAGCCGAGTGGTGCGCGCACGGTCTCGCCGAAGGTGGACAGGTCGACGGGGTTGGTTGTTTCGTAGCTGGGTTGTTGGCGAGGATACTGGCGGGTTATCTTGGGAGTGGGGATGTCGATTATGGCATTATTATCGTAGAGGGAATGCACGCGCTGCAGGATCGCAGACTGCGGTAGGAGAGCCGGCCAGTATCTGTAGTAGGGCTTGCCCTCTGCCTGCCGCATGTCGTTGCCCAGTGATGCGCCGGGGACGCCCTCGAGGAAGGTGACCATTGACCGGCGGAAGAAGCCGTCCGGGTTGCTCATGCGGAGGAGATCTCTGTCGGGGGACTGGGCGAAGATGCGAAAGTCGACGGTGGCGAGGTCCTGGTTGCGTGCGTCGATGGGGGACGAGCCGTTGACGTGGAATTTGAGCAGGGAGAATTTCCTGAGCAGTTCGGGGCCCAGCGCTTCGCGGATCTGGTCTTCGGTGTATTTGGCTTTTTCTTCAATGTCCAGGCCCACCAGGTAGACGTGGTATTCGGCTTGGTAGCCGGCTGGGGCGGTGATTCTATACTTGTCAGTCTTTGTAACCTATACAGGAGGGAGGTGAGGTACATACCCAACCTTTGCTGTCGGTGGGGGAGGCAACCCCTTGACTCCAGTAATGCGCACCTGGTCCTCTCCAGCCTGCTCCATGCGAATCCCCTCCAGCTGAGCCGTGACATCCGAGTTGTAGTACAACGGCCCCTGAATCTCATAGACGAGCTGCGAAGTCACTGAACCGACAGTAATACACCCTCCCGTATTCGCCTCCTTGGTCAGCAGCGTCTCCCCATTCGCATGAATGTGCGCAATCGGAAACCCCACATTCAAATGCTTCCCAGCCTTCAATAAATCCTTAAAAGCCGAATAATACCCTCCACACACATACGACGCACACTCAATCAAATGCCCCGCAACAAGCGCACCAGCCAACTCATCAAACTGCTCCGCACCCCAGCCATGCCACCACGCCGCAGCCCCAATCGCCGGAGACGCATCGGCGACACGCCCGCAGATGACGATGTCCGCCCCCTGCCTCAGCGCCTCCGCGATCCCCAGCCCGCCCAGATACGCCTGCGCGCAGACGGGCTCAAACCCCCACTCCTCGAGCTTCCTCCCATGCACGAGGGATTCAAACTTCTCGCCTTGCTTAGCGAGTTCCGCGACTTTATCGCTGACGTCGTCACCCTCGATCCAGGCGACTTTCATCGGACACCCGGCATCCTCGCACTTCTTCTTCACCCACTCGGCCAGGATCTCCGTATCCGATGCTCCCGCGTTAACAGCAAGTTTGACTTTATTCTTGTAGAGGTGCGGAATCGCAGGCTCGAAGCAGTCGATGAAGTTCTCTGCGAACATGGCCGTCTTGACCCTCTCCTCCAGCGAGAGAGATCTCGCGTCCTGGGACTTCTGCGCCTTGTTTCGCGCTTTGCCCACGCCGTGTACTGTCATTGTCATTTCGGACAGCCAGTCGCCGACGATGATGTCGCATTCGCCGTGCTGGGCGAGTTGGGTGATTGCGTGCACGCGGTCTGAGAAGCCGCCGCTGGCGCCGCCGACGCGGACGGGTCTGCTTGTTGCTGAGGGCATGATGGTGCAGTACAGTGAAATGGTATGTGGGATGAGGATTTGGGTGCATGGTATGGTATGTGTAGGTGTATTTATCTATGCGGCTCGGAGGTCTTCTCCCCAACTGCCGGGTATCCTTTTCCAGGGCTCCCACTACGCTAACTACACATCTAGTAGACCAGAGCGAAGCTTATCAGAAATACCAGCGACAATAAAAAACTGACATGGTGCATTCTGTCTGAACTACCCTAAGGGTACCCACCAACAGCCCCCTCGGCGGTTGTGATACGATTCCTACAGCTGCGCAGCCTTAAACCCACCGACCCACCTAACCCCATCCATGACCCTCCCCAAGAAAATATTGCGATGCTCCTCCAAATGCTTCGACGGAAACGTCCACGAATAATGCGGAAACCCCGGGTACGCATCATACACGGTTGGAACCCCCTCCCGTTCCAGTTTCCTCCTCATGAGCCTCGCATCATCGCGCAACGTATCCGCACCACACTCGGCAATATATACCTTCTTCAGCTCGCGCAGCCGCGGATGAAGTAGGCACGATGTATACTTGTCATCGCGGGGAGCACCGTACGCGGCGAAGAAGGATGCCATGGCCGATGCGGTGTTTACGGTTGCGGTTGCGTTTGCTTCGTAGCTGGTGTAGAGACCTGCTGCTTTGATGGACGCGGGGACGGCATCTGGGTGGACTGTTACGGGGACGAGGGCGACGACGCCGTTGAGGAGGTTCTTGGCTAGATCCGAGTGGCGGTCGAGGAGTTTGAGCGCCGTTCCGAAGGCGAGGTTCCCGCCTGCGGAGGCCCCGATGAGGATAATAGATGAGGCGTGTAGATATTTCGACGCCCAGATTGTTGCCTCGACACAGTCATCGAGTGCCGCGGGGTACTTGTGCTCTGGCGCGAGTCGATAAGAAACGCTGACGATTGTCATGTTGTGCGATTTGCTCACAAGTCGGCAGAACCCGTCTTCTTGGTCGACGCTGCCCATTGTCCAGCCGCCGCCGTGCAAGTAGATGCCCACGGGTGCTGGCTTCGCTTTCGCATTTGGGGTGCTGGTGTTGCTGTCTCTTTTGGTGGTTTCTGGAGGCGTGTAGACCCTCACCCAGAAACTCTCCAGGGTGACATCCTCCGTCTGCACCGAATCATCAGGCGGGGGAATTTCATATTTCGCAACGAGTCTCTCGAGGATCTTGAGCCAGCCGGATTCAATTTCAGCGAGGGATCCGGAGAGCGCTGGGGATTCGCCGAATTCGTCGATGAACTGGGGTTGTTAGTCACGCGCTTGACGGACTTGGTAGTTATAACAAGAGCCGCGGAGACGGCTTACCTTTCTCCATGCCGGGGCAAATTCTGGGGCCATGTTTGCGTGGTTATTGGATGTTGATTTGTGCCGTGTTGAAGCGCAGAGGCAGGGCCGGTAAGCCGAGGCTATAAGAGTTGGTGCTCGGCCGCGGGGTTGGATATCAATATCCGCGGGCGTATCTGGAGAAAGGAGGCCCATTGAAAAGAAGCCATTCTTCGAGCTCATCTCCTTTTAAACACAATCAAGGTATCCAGGTCAACCCTCAAAATAACCAGCCATGACTACCCCAGACCCCGACCTCAGCCAACCCCCCTTCAACCGCTTCCCCACCTGGACGCTCTCGAAACTGCGCCCCTCGGCCATAAAGACCATCCAGCACGTCCACGAATTCATCGAGACAAAATGCATCCCCGCGCAATCCATCATGAAATCCCAACTCGCCCAGAACCGCTGGCGCACACCGCCACTCATGCGCCACCTCCGCACCGAAGCCCAAGCCGCCGGCCTCTGGAACCTTTTCCTCCCCCCCGAATTCCCCTCATCCCCGGGCCTCACGAACCTCGAGTACGCGTGCTGCGCGGAGCTCATGGGCCGCGTATACTGGGCGGCACAGACGATGAACTGTCACGCGCCGGAGACGGGGAATATCGAGCTCCTCGCGAAATACTGCAACGACGCGCAGAAGGAAAAGTGGCTTGCCCCTCTGCTACGCGGGGAATTCAGCTCCGCGTACTCGATGACAGAGCCCGACGTTGCGTCGTCGGATGCGACGAACATCGGAATTGAGATCCGGCGCGAGGGAGACGAGTATGTGATTAATGGACGCAAACTCTTTGGCAACGCCAAGTGGAATCCAGACGTTAGGCTGTATATCCTCATGGGCTGCACGGATCCCACCAACGCCGACATCCGTCGGCGACATTCGATGCTCCTGGTCCCCGCCGACACGCCGGGCCTCGCCATGCGCCAGAACCTCTCGATTATGGGCTACGATTGTGCGCCCGAAGGACACGGCGAGTACATCTACACCAACGTGCGCGTGCCCGTCTCGAACGTGATCCTCGGCGAGGGAAGGGCATTCGAGATCGCGCAGGGACGACTCGGACCAGGCCGGATCCATCACTGTATGCGGCTGCTCGGCCAGGGTGAGCTGGCGTATGAGCTTGCGCTTGTGCGCGCGACAGACGAGCGGAAGAAGCCTAGGGGGAAACTCATTGGGGAGTTTGATAGTAATATTGAGCGCATTGCTCAGATGCGGCTTGAGCTTGATGCGATGAGGCTTGTTGTATTTAGTGCGGCGGATACGCTCGACTCGAAAGGCAAGGATGGCCACGGCAGCAAGAAAGACCGCTATGTCATCGCGCAAAGCAAGATCCTCGTCCCTGCTGCTGTGGCACGCATCATCGACGAGTGCATGCAGTTGTACGGCGGGCAGGGGCTGACGCAGTACACGCCGCTGCCGGAGATGTGGACGTATGCGCGGTTTGTGAGGCTGGCGGATGGGCCGGATGCGGCGCATCGGCATCAGGTTGGACGGGATCAGTTGAAGGGGGCGAAGGAGGTGCTGGCGCGGCATGTGAAATATTATGAGATTGCGCTCGAGTTGAAGAAGCAATTTGGGTTGGAGGACGAACTGAAGGATGATTGCTCGTGGGAGTATATCAATCTGGCGGGGGCGAAGGCGAAGCTGTAATTGACAACCAATACGAGATTGAATAATTCATGTATTGTCGGCGCTGCTTGCATTCTAGATATCTATATCGACCATCAAAGCTTCGAAAACGTCCCACTCTGCAAATGATTCCCCCCATCCACAGGAATAACAGCCCCATTAACATACGCGCCGGCAGCACTACAAAGAAACAACATGACACCAGCAATATCCTCCGGAACACCCAACCTCCTCCTGGGATTGGCACTGGCCATCGCCTCCGCACCTCCAAGATGCTCAATCAGCCCGTTCGCCAGCTTCGAAGGAAAGAAGCCGGGCGCCACCGCATTCGAGCAGATCCCACGCGGCCCCAGCTCAACGGCCAGATTGGTCGCGAGGTGGTGCGCAGCTGCCTTGGAGACAGCATACATGATCGTCCCGTGCTCGCCGACGACGGGGACAGAGAGGCCAGCGATTGCGCCGACGATGATAATTCTTGACGGAGAGGTTGGCGTTGCGGACCGTTCGAGGAGCGGGGTGAGCAGGCGTGTGAGGTTGAAAATGCTCCGGACATTGAGGTCAAGAACTTTGGATACCGCGGAATCAGGCGTCGGTTCAAAGGCGCCGCCCCATGTTGCTGCGGCGTTTCCGACGAGGATGTCGACGCGGGGTTCGGATTTGAGGCGTTGGACGAGTTTTTCGATTTCGGAGAGGTTGGACAGGTCCGCGACGTGGCCGATTGCTGTTCCGGGGATGTTGGGTAGCGCGTTGAGTCGTTCGACTGCTTGGTTCAGGCCCTGGGGCCCCTCGGCTTTGCGGGCCACGAGGATGACTTTGTGTGCGCCGGCGAGCAGGAATGCAGTTGCGGTGTGCAGGCCTAAACCGCGAGAGCCTGTTTCATCTTAGCTGGATTCTGAGACGATGGAGAGAGAGTACGAACCGCCAGTGACGATAGCAACCTTGCCGTCAAGGCGGAATAGCTGAGTAAAATCTCGTAGTTCTGACATGTTATGTTTGTGCTATCTTGGTACTATGCTGTTGTTGACTGATTGATATACGTCTTGTTCTCCGGATCAGGCAGGCTAATGTTTTCCCCCTCTGCACATCTAAATCCTGGGAAACACGGTAAAAGCCGAAGCCTCTGGCTTTCTCGTCCCCGACTTGTTCAAGATCCTCAACCTCTTATTCCGACTGTGATACTCTCCGTCATCATGGTCCCGAATGTAGTAGGCCCAATCCGCCGTCTCGTCAATCTCGGTCTGGCTATACCCATTGCCCAACCATGCAAAGCGATTCCCTTTATACTCGACCTCCCAATCGTCCATCCGCACCTCACTCATTGCCTCGATATAATGCAGCGTCGATCCAGGCCACAGCCCCGTCACGGGCCCGTCCACATCAGCCTTGTACCATGACCGACAACCATCCGCCCACACAGTCCGCTTCATAAGCTCATCCTTGAACTCGATGAACTCCCTAACAGCTTCAGCGCGCGGCGCAAACGCACGCACATTCGTCGCCTGATACCGGTCAATCAGCTTCATCATGTAATCCGCCTGCGCCTCAACCGCAGACAAAACCGGCCCATTGCCCACGGGACTATTGGGGCCCAAGAACGTAAGATAATTCGGAATCCCCGCCGCCGCGATACCGAGATACGACTGCGGCTCGCGCTGCCAGTCATCCTGTAGATTATTGCCACTAGGCCCGATGATGGGGAACCGCGGCCGGAACGAGGTGTCGAAGCCCGTTGCGCAGATGAGTACATCGACGGGGTATTCGTTCCCGTCGTCGCAGACGCATCCGCTTTCGCTGATTGCGTCGATGTTCCCGTAGACGACTTGCGTCTTTTCATGGCCCAGCGCCTCGAGGTATCCGACCCCCGGCGTGATTCGGCGACATCCGACGGACCACTGTGGGATTAGGGCTTCTTCCAGCGCAGGGTTGCGCAGTTTGTCTTTCATCTGCTGCGTCATGTACTCGCGTGTGGAGCGTTGCCCTTCCGTGTGCTGTAGGAAGATGGCCCACTGCCCGTTCATCCCGCTCTCGATGGCCCGACGGTACTCGGTTAGGTGGGATGAGTCCTCGGCGAAGGCGCGCTTTTCCTGCTCGGTGAAGATGTGCTGTTCCAGGCCTTTTACGGGTGAGACCCAGGTTGGCTCGCGGATAAAGGTTGTCACTTTGCGGACTTGGGGGAGGATCGCGGGGAGGACTTGGATGCCCGATGAGCTGGGGATGTTAGCCAGATTGAACTGCTCAACGATAGCCATGACGAATGGTAGTAGGTAGGTAGAGTTTACTCACCCATTCCCAATCAACCCAACATGCCTCCCCTCAAGCACAATCCCATCATCCCAATTCGCTGTATGCACCAGCGTCCCTTTATATTTCTCAATACCCGGGATGGCCGGCCACCGCCACGAATTCAGGATACCGCCCGCGTTGATGAGGATATCGCAGGTGTCGACAAACTCTTGGCCACTCTTGAGATCCCGAACTCGGACGTCATATCCTCCGCCATGCGGATGTTGCTTCGTGTCGGCGCTCCAAGCCGCGTGTACGACCTGGTGATTCACCTGGCAGTACTGCCGCAGCCCATATTTACGCGCGAAGGCGTCGAAGTACGAGAAGATCTCCGCGCTGCTTGCGTATGTTCCTGACCAGTCGGGTTTCGGTTCGAAGGACCAGGTGTAGTTGTGGGAGGGGACGTCGCAGGCGCAGCTAGACTCATCAGTTGCGAACCAGACAGATGTAGGGTAGGTCGCAAAGGTTGATGGGAGGGGAGGAAAAGCAAGGTGAACGTACCCCGGATACCGATTCTCAAACCACGTCCCCGCAATCTCGGGATTCTTCTCGTAGATGACAAGAGAGAAGTTCTTGAAGCTGCGCTGCAGCTTGTAGGCGAAGAGAAGGCCCGAGGCGCCGGCGCCGATGCAGATGATGCGGATGTGCCGTTCGGTGTGGATGGGTTGCGTGAGTGACATTGTGAGTGATTGATTGAAGGCATGTAAATTTGGGAACGGTTCAATTGGCTCGGATAGCTCGATACTAGATATAGTGCGACTGCGTGATTACGATGCTTTGCCAGAGGAATGGGTGTGATGCAGCGGCGGGTGTGCTCAGGCAGATGATGTCCGGGGGTCTGTTCTCTGCGTGTCCCTCTCGAAAAGCATTTATTCCAATAGGGGGACGACAAACAAAGGAAGAAGCTACTGATATTTACCTAATAGTAATCGGATTAAACTTGATGCTTATATACATGTTATTCGAGTCTTGCAGAGAGATTTTTAGTATACCCTAAGGTGATATTTTAGTATAGCATAGTTCTCATTTGATAGACCCAAAACGATACAGACAGCAAAAGACTTGTCCGACTAACCACAAGCTCAATCCTTCATCCTCTCCGCCTGCGACCTGACCACATACCCCCTGTCCACCCTCCCGCAGTTCCCATCAATCCCCTCCCTCTTCACCTTCACAACCCTAACATTCAAATCTGGCTTCTGCCACGTCGTATACGCCTTCATGAACCTCATCTCCCCAGCCGGATCCCACTGCCACGCACCATCCGTACTCACAAACTCAAAGTTCCACACCAGCCGCGCCAAAATCACCCGCATCTCCATGTACGACAGGTTCTTCCCAATACAGCCCCTTGGTCCCAGCGAGAACGGCTGCATCCCTGTTTTGATGTCGGCTGCGTAGGGCTTGGATTGCTCAGTACCGGCGAGCCACCGCTCGGGGATGAACGAGTCGCAGTCCACAAAGTTGAATGGGTTATGTGAGGCTGCCCACCCGCCCACGGAGACGGATGTTCCGCCAGGGACCCAGTGGCCGTCGATTGTGTCGCCGGCGGCTGGGACGGTGCGGAGGAGGCCGATTGGGAGGGGCGGGTGGATGCGTAGGCCCTCTTCGAGACAGGCGTTTAGATACGGCAGGTCCGCTGTCCCAGCACGAGCGTATGTAATCTCCCTCTCAGACGCGAAAGCCGCTCTCACCTCCTCCTGCAACTTGACCATCTTATCCCCATGCCTGAGCAACCGCGCAAACAACCCAGACAGCAAATTCGCCGTCGTCTCGCTCCCCGCGACGATAAACAGCGCACTGTTCAAGATAATCTCGTTATCGTGCAAATCGTACTTCTCGCGCTGCCGCAGGATATAGTATATAAAATCCTTGTGCTCCCCCTGTCCGTTCCGCAGCCGCTGCTCAACCTTCTCCTTGCTGAGCCGGAGGTGTTCCCGGCGGCGGTGCCGCAGGTAATCCGGTATACAGTGGAGCAGGACGCGCTGCGTGAACGAGCCGGCGGGCGCAAAGCGGCGCGTCGCTTGTTCTAGCGCCCCAACCTTCACCGTCTGGTAAATAAGTGCGACCCACGAGTGAAATGCCCCGAGGTCCAGACACCCAAAGGGCTCGCCAAAGGCCAGGTCGCCGATGACGTCAAAGGTTGTGAAGTTGAGCCAGTTTACCAGGTTGAACTCTTCGCCCTTTGCCGCGAGCCCGCTGAGTTTCGCGATGAGGATGTCGACGTAATGCTGGATGATGTACTCCTGGTCCTTGAGCGCCCTCTCCGAGAACGAATGCGCCAGGGCGCGTCGCTGCCTCGCGTGGTTCGCGTCGTCGGCCATTGTCAGCGTCGACGCGTGCGGGAGCGGGTCGACGGAGCCGACGTGGATTGGGTCCTTGTGCATGTTTGCGCGGCCGTGCGTCTTGAAGCCGTAGATGTCTTCCCACGCTTGCGCGGAGTTGAAGGCGAGTTCATTTGGGGAGACGCGCACGACGGGGCCGTATTTGTCGTGGAGGGTTTTGGTGTCGAAGCCGAGCCGGCCGCGGAGGAGGGAGGCTATTGAGGGGAGGGAGCTGATGGCGCGGAGGCGGGGGCCCGGGAAACTCGAGAGGGGGTGCAGGTAGAGCCGGTAGATTGAGAGGATTGCCAAGTAAAGGAGGGTGAGGCTGCCGAGGGCGTAGAGATACATGGTGGGCATGGTGATGGATCGGATTCAGATTCAGGGTCAGATTTTGTCCATTTGACGTTGTAATGGTGCTTGGCAGAGATGATATGTTCTGGTAAAATATGCTGAGGTCCGATCCGGCTGGTTAGGGCTATCGACTTCATGCTGGAAAAGAACACCCGACAGTGGACATCGCAGCCTCAAAAGCATGAACATAAGAGGACACAAAAAAGCATCACAAGAAACTCAACGCCAGTTTCAATACCGACATCAAACAGCAAGCAAATTCTATACAAAATCCATCCCACTATGCCCTCTACAACCTCAATCCTCCCACCCCCAACCAACCCCCTAATCCGCGTAAGCTGCTTCTTCACCAAAGCCCCCACAATGAGCAGTACCGAGTTCAACACCTACTGGCGCGAGACCCACAGCTCCCTCGTCGTTGCCTCGAAAATCTTCCACGACGCCAAGATTCAGGGGTATACGCAGGTGCACAACGCCCACAATCTAAACGCCGAGGCGGCGCGGATGGGATCCGCGCTCTTGGATTTCCAGTGGGACGCCTGCTCGGAGATGTATTTCCGGACCTGGGACGATTACCGGCTTTTTGCGGAGAGTGATGAGATGAGGGAGGTTCTCGGGCCGGATGGGGGGAAAATTATGGATATGGACCGCGGGGTTAGGGTTTTGGTGACGATGGTGGATCCGGTTTTTTCCAAGTTGTGATTTTTGTTCCGTGGCGCTTCTCGATGGAGGCTTGGAAGTTCAACGGATTGGCGATGTTGAAGTGGAGCGAGAGATCGGCTGAGGTCCTCGATACCGCATGCAACATGGATGCATGGATATCCATTCCCGGGGGATCTACATCTACACATTCTTGTATATCTCACAGAACCATATATTGAAGCCTTGCAACCATTCACTCCCTACAATCAAACTCCCTCCACACTCCACATCCCATCAAGACCAGAATGATCGACCTCTCCAACAAAGTAATCGTCCTCACCGGCGGCGCCTCGGGCATCGGCCGCGCAACCGCGCTCCTCCTCGCCTCCCTCGGCGCCAAACTCTCCATTGCAGATCTCCAACAAGAGGCGCTCGAGTCCGTAGCACAGGAAATCAAAGGCGCGGGCCACGGCGACGTCCTCACGACAAAAGTCGACGTCCGCCAGGCGGACGCTGTCGAGGCTTGGATCCAGCAGACAGTGCAATGGGCCGGGAGGATCGATGGCGCGGCGAATTTGGCGGGTGTTATTGGCAAGTCGATTGGGCTTGCTGGGGTATGTCTGTTCCATTCTAGCTTATCCAGGCTGATATGAACGCTATTTAGATCAAAGAAACCGACAGCGACGAGTGGGACTTTATCATGGACGTCAACCTGAAGGGCCTGATGCACTGCATGCGCGCCGAGCTCAAAGTCCTGGCTGATAAGGGCTCTGTCGTCAACGCGGCGAGTATCGCCGGACTGATGGGATTCCCACGCAATGCAGCCTACTGTGCCAGTAAGCACGGCGTGATCGGCTTATCTCGGTCTGCGGCCAAGGAGGTTGGCAGTACACAGGGTATCAGAGTTAACTGCATTGCTCCGTGAGTACCACATCTACTCTTACTGTGGGCCAGAATCTGCGTCAGTAACGTCTGTAGGGGAGCAATTCAAACACCCATGCTGGCGCAGTCTTACGCCACGAGCGGGAATGCGGCGCTGGAAGCGGGGACTGCATTGGGGAGGCCGGGGGTTGCAGAGGAGGTGGCGAACTTGGTTGCGTTTTTGTTGAGCGATGCGTCTACGTTTATTACTGGTAGTGTGTATTCGATTGATGGGGGGTGGGCGTGTTAGCTGGTTCTCTGATTCAATGAGGCTACATTTTTAGGGCGGGGTAAAGTTATCCGGTCAGCTTGCATGGAACAATAATGTTTTATGATGTACACTTTAGAGTTTTTGCAAGTGATAAAAGCATCGTAAGCCCTCCTTGATGGAGGAGGAAGTAAGAGGCTGCTTACCCGGTCACATACAGCATGGCTCAAGTTGAAGCAGGAGCTTCCAATGCTCATGGCCCCAGGCCAGTGGTGCACACTGATGGCACTGTCGACTACATCGACGCTGATGCTATCGGGGGTGAGATGCAGGACATGCCCAAGGGCTACTTTAGGAGCCTGCCCTTCCTCGGAACAGTCGTGGTACATATAACAACAGCTCCTCTGCAACAACTTTACTAACATACTCAGGCCCAATGTCTCGGCTCCATCGTCGCCTACATGGGCTGGGTCCTCCCCGCCAACACACTGACCCTCATCAACGCCGAACTCGGCAACTCGCCCAACATCAACTGGGTCGCGACCGTATGGACACTCTCCAGCTGCGTGGGGTTCCTCCTCATCGGGCGCCTCTCCGACATCTTTGGCCGCAAGTGGATTGTCCAGGGGTCAATGGTCCTGTCCATAATCGGATGCATCATGGGCGCGCGCGCGACCTACGTCGAGATGCTCATCGGCGCCAACGTCTTCAATGGCATCGCGGCTGCGGGTCAGCTCTCGTTTGGGATTATCCTGGGTGAGCTCGTCCCGAATAAGTACCGCGGGGTGATTGTGACGATTGTGTTCATGTCGTCACTGCCCTTTGCGGTGTTTGGGCCTGTCATTGCGAGGCTGCTTATCCAGAATACGGAGCAGGGGTGGCGCTGGAGTTATTATATCGGGCTGATTCTGGCGGTGATCGCGACGGGGCTGTATCACTTTCTGTATCATCCGCCCAAGTACGCGCAGCTGCATGTGGGGGGTCAGACAAAGTGGCAGATGTTCAAGGAGCTGGACTTTGTTGGCATCTTCCTCTTCGTCGCGGGGTGTGTTCTCTTCCTCATTGGGCTCTCGTGGGGAGGGACGACGTACCCCTGGGTGAGCGCTCCAACCCTGTGCACAATCCTACTCGGTCTCGTTACAATAGCCGCTTTTATCCTATACGGTATACCCTCTCCCACAGCCGCTCTTTACACCCACTAACAGAATGATAGAAGGCTTCATCTGCAAAACCCGCCCCTTCATGCCCCCGCGCCTCTTCAAGCACGCCGGCTTCGTCGCCATTGTCGTCAACGCTGCCGTCGCCTCAATGGTCTACTACTCCTTTACAGTATTATGGCCAACAATCATCTCTTCAATCTACACGACCGACTCCATCCAGGTCGGCCTGCAGAGCTCCGTCGTCGGTGGAGGCATTCTCCTCGGGCAGATCATGGGCGGGATGGCGCTGGGGTTTCTCCCGGGGGTCAAGTACCAGTGCATCATTGCGTCGTGCCTGGCTATATCGTTTATCACCCCGCTCAGTGCGCTAGGCCCGGATACGTGGGAGATGACGATTGCGTTGGGGGTTTTGGGGTGTATTGGTTTGTTCAACACCTCCCTCCTCTTTTCCTCGATCGAAAGAGGGCTGGCTGGTCTGGACTGGTCTGACAATTATTTAGCTGTCGGCTACATCGAAAACATCACCTTCCCCGGCGTAACCCTCGTCGTAGAACCGCAAGACATCGGCCTCGCAACGGGGGTCCTGGGCTCCCTCCGCGCCCTCGGCGGCGCAATCGCCCAAGCCGTCTACGTCTCTGTCCTGGACAACGAACTGCAGAAGAACATCCCCGCATACGTCGGGCCCGCCGCAACATCTGCCGGTCTCCCCGAGTCATCCCTCACGGCTTTACTGTCTGCACTGTCCGCGTCATCCGGGACATCCTCGTCGAGTCTTGACGCCGTCCCGGGGATTAATGATGGCATTGTTGCGGCGGCGAGCGCGGCGATGAAAGTAGCGTATTCGAGGAGCTTCCGGGTTGTGTTTTTCTGCACGGTTCCGTTTAGTGTTGTGCTGATTGTGTCGAGCTGTTTTGTGCCGAATATGGGGCGGTTTACGCATCTTAATGTTGCGAGGAGGTTGCAGGGGGGTAAGCAGGAAAAGGGGGAGGGGGAGGAGGAAGAGGATGGCAAGGGGAATGTGCAGGAGTTGGAGGATGTGACTCGGAGGGTTTGAGGTGGTGTTTATTCTTGAGGGTGTTTTGGCCGAGGTGTGATTACCTGGAGTGCTAGAGCAAGAAGCATGCTGAGGGGTGTGGTGGGAGCGTTCATGGTGGGCGAGCGTCTTGCGTAGAAACGGCTATCGGTTCTGTTACTCCGTACTGCGATGGCTGAACATACAGTGTCTGCCAGGGCCTGACTTGGAAACTGAACAGGAAGAAGCAGGAAAATGATTACCGAGTCATGCCCGCATTTTCCACCTCAATCATATATCAACCCCACCACAGCTCTACAAGCGTACCAACCACCTAGTTCCTCACTCGGTGTACACCAAGTCCACCTGTGGCAACACAACCACGAAAATGACCCAATCCGCCATCCCCAAAACAATAAAAGCCGCGCAATGGGACCCGACGCAGCAAAAAGTCGTGGTGAACAACATCCCTACCCCGTCGCCCGCCCCACACCAACTCCTCATCAAGCTCGCCTCCGCCTCCCTCTGCCACTCGGACTTGATGGCCATCGCCCAAACGGACCTAACCAACCCCTTCACCCTCGGGCACGAGGGCGCCGGCTACGTCGCTGCGCTTGGAGCAGACGTTGTGGATAGGGGATTCCATGTGGGCGATCCCGTGGGTTTTCTTTATATCAACGGGTGTTGCTTTGAGTGTGAGGGGTGCGGTGTACATAATATGCATTGTACACAGGGAAACCCCGTTGTCGCGGGGTTTGGGAGGGGTGGAGGGGACTTTGGGTTCTTTCAAGAGTATGCGGCGGTCGATTGGCAGAATGTTATTGCCCTGCCAAGGGAGTTGGATCCGAAGAGGAGTTCGGCGGTGTTTTGTGCGGGGATTACAGGTACACTACTTTTCTTATTAGAGGACCCAGCATGATATGGCCGTGATGCACTGATACGGGGGCAGCCTTCCACGCCGTGGACTCGTGCACCCTCCGCCCGAACCAATGGTTCGCAGCAATCGGCGCCGGCGGACTTGGCCAGCTCGCCGTGCAATACGCAAAAGCAATGGGCTACAAGGTGCTCGCTCTCGACATCAACGACAAAGCCCTCGAAGCATGCAAGTCCCAAGGCGCAGACGTCACGTTCAACACAGCAACGCACTCGTCCACCTACGCCTCGGATATCAAACCCCTCACCAACGGCGGCGTGCACGCAGCCGCAGTCTTTAGCGGTGCCCCGGCAGCATACAAATCTGCCCCTGGGATTATTAGGCCAGGGGGTGTACTGATGGTGGTGGGAATTAGTCCGAAGCCGTTGGAATTGTCGAGCTTTGATTTGGCGATTGGGTCGTATGTTGTTAGGGCGGATAGTACGGGAACGCCGGCGAGGATGGGCAAGGCTGTGCGGTTTACAGCGGAGCATGGGATTGTGCCGCGGATTGAGGTGAGGAAGGGGCTGGAGGATGTCGGGGAGATGGTTAGGGAGATGAAGATGGGACAGTCGAATAAGAGGATGGCGGTTGTTTTTGATTGAGTTGGAGTCAGCCTTTGGTCAATAAATACGACGCGCTAAGGCACCTTGCTCATGTAGGGAAGGCATGACTGTAGATAAACGTGGAAGAAAAGAGCGACGACCGCAACAGAGGAAGGAGCAGCTGTCCGACGCAGCCAAAACGGAAGGTGCGACTACTCCTAGGGCTCCGTATTGGGAAGGAGCGATGGACCTCAGTACACCTTCGCGCCTGCCTTGCGAAGAAATGAGATAAAAAACGAGCAGCAAGATACAAGTTGCACTAAGACACTATCTATCCCAAGGGGATCAATAACTCAAGTTAATCATGACGGTCTTGGTCTCGGTGAAATGCTCCAACGCAGCCCTCCCACACTCCCGGCCCAGGCCACTCTGCTTCGAGCCCCCAAACGGGACATTCAAGAAGTTCAGACTGATGCAGTTGATCCCGACCATGCCCGACTCGAACTCGCTCGCAACCCGCATCGCCCGGTTGATGTCCTGCGTAAACACACCAGCCATCAGCCCATACTCGGTTGCATTGGCTTTGGCGAGGACTTCCTCCTCCGTCTTGAAGGAGTTGAGGATCGAGACTGGCCCGAAGATCTCTTCGCGGTAGAGTTCCGCATCTGGCTCGACGTCTGTAAACACCGTCGGCTGGATGAAAAAGCCCTTCTCGCCGACTCGCTGCCCACCAGTGAGCAGCGCATGAGCCTGCGTCCCGCGCTCAACGAACCCCTGCACGCGCTTAAACTGCGCCTCATCAACAAGCGGGCCCATCAGCGTCCCCTTCTCTTCAGGGTCATTAATGGCCTTCGCGCGCTGCTCTAGCGCAGCCTTGTACCGTCTCGAAAACTCACTCATGATCCCCGCCTGGACATACACCCGCGACGCAGCAAAGCACACCTGCCCGCTATTCGCCGTGATCGCGTTCACACACCACGTCACCGCGTTGTCGAGGTTACAATCGTCGAAGACAACCGCCGGAGACTTCCCGCCTAACTCGAGGGTAACGCGCTTGAGGTTCGATTCCGCGGCCATCTTTTGTATGCGTTTCCCTGTCGCGATTGAGCCGGTGAAGCTTACTTTGCGGATGCGCATGTGACTTGCTAGTAACGCGCCTGTTGAGCCGTCACCGGAGAGGACTTGGAAGACGCCTGGTGGGAAGCCTGCCTCGCGGATTAGACGGCCGAGGGCGAGCGCGGCAAAGGGTGTTTTCTCCGAGGGCTTGAGGATGAAGCAGTTCCCTGTCGCGAGCGCGGGGGCAGCCTTGAGTCCTACGGTGCCCAACGGCCCATTCCAGGGGACGATACCAGCCGTGACGCCCAGCGGCTCATGACGCGTAATGCGCATAAACCCATCCTGCTGCGGATAGGCCTCCCCCGCAAACTTATCGATCCATCCCGCATTATACTCGAAGCTCTGCGCGCAGAGGCTAATCTCAAACTTCCCAAAAGCCTCGTAGGGAGCTCCCAGGGTAATTCTTGTCAGCTCGCCGAGAATGGCAGAGTGCTGTTCGACCAGCGCGGCGAATTTGAGCATGATGCTCCGCCGGGTTGCTGCGGGGGTGGATTTCCATGCTGGGAAGGCGGCTTCTGCTGCGGCGACGGCGGCCTCGACGTCGGATTCGCCGGCGAGGGGCACGCGATTGGAAACTAGGGTGTTTGTTGTGGGGTTGGAGACGCTTAGGGTTGTGGGGTTCTGGGGGGTGGTGTATTCGTTGTTGATGAAGAGTTGGGTTGGGAGGTTGCTGAGGGAGAAGGGGAAGGTGGAAGACATGGTGGCTGTCCTGTCAAAATTGTATTCGGCGTAGAGCGATGCGACTATTGAGGGTGGCGATGATGGCGATGTTTTCTGGGTGAGTTATACCCTCCATCTGGGAATCGTAGAGGAAAACGTTGTCCAGGGGGCAAACGTAGGGTTTCTTTTTCCAGCTCGCAGGGGATTACGCATCTGGCCAGGAAAAGGCAACTGCAGTCCACGGATCTCCATCTTGGCAGATCCGTTTCTGAACAAATTAAACACGAGCCTGCCCCTCTTACTTTGCCTCTGTCATTGAGCATGAATCAGTCAGTTCACGTGGAGAAGGGGGGCCATGACTCGCAAGCTTCGGAAAAAGTGCGGGGAAGCATCGATCGTCTGGGGCGCCCAGAGTCTAGGGGGCGATTAGGTCCTCGCCTTCTCCCCACTCATCTGAGTCTGTTTCTGTTCTTTTGAAGAATGCCTTTCTATTTCCTAACGAACAAACATGTCCAGTTCCGGCACCGAAGCGTCCAAACCGCGCCATCGGGCGTCTGTCGCATGCACTGCCTGTCGAGAACGGCGGACGAGATGCGTCGTACCTGCTGGTCAAAGCTCGTGCACGCAGTGCGATGAGGCTGGGCAGGAGTGTGTCATCAAGAATGATGATCAGAGGAGAAAGTGCGAATACGCTGGCAATATATGTGTTGAAGACTAACATGATACTCTTCAGACCCGTCTCGAAGGCATACGTCAGCCAGCTGGAAGAGCACATCCAGCAGCTGGAGAACGCGCTGCGAGAAAAGGAGGAGCAGTCGGCTCGACTCGATCAGTTCGATACTACGATACCCGACGAGCATCCTCATCCCCATCCTCTTGAGCCGGACCAGCCGGACCCTATCGACCTCCCCCTCGAAAGCCTCGCAGATCCGGGTCCTCCGAAGCCCATCTTCCTAAAGCCTCAACCAGTTCCTGAACGGACTCAACAAGTCCCAGCAGACCCATTACGTTTCCAGCAGTACCCCGTCTTCGCAGACAGCCCCCCACGCCCCGAACCCAGCAACAACAGTAACAACAGCAAAACCTCCATGGCCCACCGACTCCTCTCCACGCGCGGCCACGTCAGCTTCGACCAACTCGCCGGGCAACAGCGCTACTTTGGCCCGACGACAAACTGCCACATCTACCTCGACATCGCCGCCTCCTCGGACGAAAGCCGCCGACAAGCGCGCGAGCAGGCACGGCGGACACAGCGCGTCCTTTCCGCCCTCCCACAAGACTCACAAGACTACCTCCTGCACCTGTTTTGGACACACTACAACTCCGCGATCCGGGTCGTCGACCAAGAGGCTTTTGAGGTCGGTCGCGACACCGGTGGAGGCGGACCCTTTTACTCGGGCTTCCTGCACATCTGCATCCTGGCTGCGGGATACCGCTTCGCTGATAAACAGCGACCGGATATGCTGCGTATTGCGCTACCGGGACGGGAATCGCTCCTGCACCGCGAGGCAAAGTACATGCTCGACTACGAGATGGAGCGGCCAGGCGGTCTCCCCTCGATCGCTGCGCTGCTCCTCCTCGGCGACCTCGAGGTCGGTTGCGGGCGTGATAACGCCGGGTGGTTATATTCGGGCATGGCGTACCGTCTCTGCTTCGACGTCGGCCTGCACCTCGACCGCCGATCGGACTCCTCGGGCCTCTCGGAGCGAGATATCGAGATCGGCCGGATGACACTCTGGGCGTGCGTGATTTTCGACAGATACTGGGCTCTCTTCCTCGGGCGCCCGACGGCGCTGAAGCCGGATGATCTCGAGATCTACGAGCTCTCGCAGCGGTTCGATCGTCTGGGGACGTCGCCGCCGGGGTCCACGCAGGATCTCGAGATGCAGATCTACCAGGCGCTCTTTGAGCTGATGGAGATGGCCGGGAAGATTACAGCGATTACACACCCGAGCGTATCTTCTACGTCTGCGAGGACGGACCATGATCGCGTCGTGTATCTCCGCATGGCGGCGCTGGATAGCGAGCTGGAGAAGTGGTACACGCGGTTGCCGGAGGCGTTAAAGTACACAGCTGAGAATGCAGCTACTGCGCCCCCGTCGTTTTTCCTCCTGCATCAGCAGTACTACTCTACCATGATCATGCTCCATCGCCCGTTTGCAGGGTACGACGATATCCTTGACGACCGCGGTGCGAGGAAAGTAATGGACACTGCCAACATTGGCAGCAGCGGTGGCGCAGCACCCCAAGCCGTGAGGCACCTCTTCGCCCTGTCCCAAAGCACATGCACCACATGCGCAGGCCGAATCGCCCAAATCTTCTGGCAGCAGCGGCAACGCTTCGATACGCGCCGGATCTTCGTGACGGGGTTGCAGCACGCGGGGAACGCAGCAACAGCCCTCGTCGCCGCAATCGCCTCCTCGACCGACGGCGTCTCGAATGATCGCAGCATGCGCTATCTGGAATGCCTCGTCGCCGTGCTAGAGGATATGTCCGAGGCGTACCACCCAGCTGAACAGATGGCTACGATCTTCAAGGCTGTGCAGCATGAGCTGAGGGGGTTGCAAGCACAGGCCACGGGACATCCGCCCAATCCTGTGCAGATTGTTCCGGCTCGCCGGAGTAGCTCTGCGGAGTCGGATCATGCGCTGGGGCCGTCGAAGAGGGGGCCGTCAATCAATAGGCCGCAGACTAGTACTACTGGGGCTCGTGCTGGTGCACAGCAACTGGAACCGCAGTCCATGTCCTGGCCCGGCGATGACTCGCTGCTGCAGCTATCGGCGATTATGCCTTCACCCGCCATGACGTACCAGTCTACGTCTGACAGGCATGCTACAGCGCGGCGGCCGCAAGATGCACCGTCTTCTCATATGGCCGGGGCAGATAGCGGCGTTGCGAATCTCGATGGCTCGTGGTCCATCTTCAGTGCGCCGGACCGCTTCGCCATTGGGAATGTCATGAGTACGCATGACCAGAATCAAACCCAGAGTCAGGGCCCGCCGTCGCCGTGGCCTGCAGCTGAGACACCATCATTCTTTCGCTTTGCGGATAGTGTGGTAGAATCCCACGCACAGGGGCAGGCACAGGGTAGTGGTATGGATCATAGCTTTATGGATCTGGTAGAGGATGCTCAGGGGCCCAGATCTGGAAATGCGATAGATGGAGTCGACTTGTCGATACCGCAGAAGCCTGCTCATACACATACAGCTGACACGGGATATTTTTCGTCCAGGGCCAGAACAAGAGGGCATTCGCGTCTGAAGCGGAAGTCGCCTCCGACAGGGAGGGAGGGGAATATCTGGACCGAGATTCTTACATGACTTGATTAACTTTGATTTGCTTTATTTCCAGCCGGAGTTTGGTGGTGTTCCTTAGCTAGTTACCCATCTCACGTCTCTGTCCCAACAATTAGCCAACACATATCCGTCCTATCTGTCTGTCATTGAATCGTAAACCCCCTACCACCAGCACGTCAGCAACAACATGAATCAACCCAGACCAAGAGACGAGGGACACTCACCCATCAGCAACAACCGCCGCCCCATAAACGTAGCTACACAGCGTCGACGCAAGCACCACAATCTGATCCCCAATCTCCTCGGGGCTGGCCATCCTCCCCACCGGAATCTTCGCTATCTCCCTTTGCACAACACCACTCTCCATCCTCCCCTCCAACAACGGCGTCGCCACATACCCAGGACAAACCGCATTGATCCGGATACCCTTTTCCGCATACGCAATCGCATCGGCGCGCGTAAGCCCCACGACGCCATGCTTGCTCGCCGTGTATGCGACCGCGGGGGTATTCAGGGATGTAGCGAGGAGGCCGTACATGGACGCGACGTTGACGATCACGCCGCGGTTATGGCGCTCGCTATCGTCGGGGCGTTTCTCCTGGGAGAGCATAGCGCCAATCTGTGCGCGGCTACACATCCAAACCCCCGTGAGGTTGACGTCGAGGGTTTTCCTCCACTCGGATGCATCGTGTTCGGCAGAGAGAGTCGGGGACCCACTTATTCCTGCATTGTTGACGGCGTAGTCGATGCGTGTGAATTCGGCTCTTGTCTGGGCGATTGCGGCGGCGATGGATTCTTCCGAGGAGACGTCGAGGTGGATGGGCAGGACTTGGAGGTTTGGGAAGCGGGATTCCAGGGAGCGCGCGGCTTCTTGGGCGAGGGGGAGGTTTATGTCTGCTATTGCGAGTTGGTGGATGCCGTGGGTTGCGAAGGAGGTGGCGGTTGCTTTGCCGATCCCTGGATTGGATTAGAGAGGGCAACAGGTGGAGAGAGGGTCAATAGGGTACCGGAGGCTGCGCCGGTTATGAAGGCTGAGCCGCGGAGTAGCGAGGTCATTTGGGATGCTGTATACCCTACTGGTAGTAGTGAGGAGTCACTGTTTATTTGAGGCTACATAGCTAGATCTTATAGGCGGCCGCCATCTTCGGCTGGGATCTGAGCGCCGGATATCCTTTTCCAGCCTTGAATTGCATGGTCTATTCTCCTCCATGAAAAAATTCGGCATAAAAGACTATAGGGTAAATCAAGCAACCTCCCACTCATGATCACTACTCCGCACGTACGTCGCCAACCCCAGGGGATCCCCCTCCACCCCCGCCTTCACCGTCCCATCCCCCAAAAACGCAAACCGATTCCGATGCCGATACTCAATCTCATAATCCTCATACCTGGGCTCCTTGATCGTCTTGAGAAAATGCACCGTGGGCCCGGGCCAGAGATAGATCCGATTCTTTCTCTTCCCATCCTTGAACCAGCTGCGGCATTCTTCCTGCCACACGGTCGTCTTGTGGAACTCGTCAAAGTGCTCGTAGATGTCGTCGACGGCGGCTTGGCTAACGGCCATGGACCGGATGGCTTCGGTCTGCATCTTGCGCATGCATTTCACGCTGTATTCGACGGTTGTTTCGATGGAGGGGAGGAGGGTTCCGCTCGACCAGGTTGCGCCGGGGCCGACGATTGTGTAGTAGTTGGGGAATCTACTTTGTTAGTCTTGTAGTAGTGATGTAAATGCGAGTGTGGTAGGCGAGTGGGAACTCACCTCGGGGCAGACACGCCCAAGTACAAGTTGACGCCATCGCCCCAGTCCTCCTGGACAGTCTTGCCCTCGCCATTGATCACGGCAAACGCAGGCTTGAACGCAACATTGAACCCCGTGGCGCAAACCAAAATATCCATTTTATGCTCCTCCCCATCCTTCATAACAATCCCATCGGCGGTAACCCTCTCAATGTCCCCAAAAACAGGCCTGACATTCGGCTGCACCAGCGCCTCAAGATACCCGTCCCCAGGCGAAATCCGTCGACACCCTGGCGCAAACTTGGGAATTATAAACTTCTTGAGCTCCTCCTGTCCGGGCCCCATCCGCCTCATCATCTCCTCGGTGATATTCTTCCTGAATGCATCGGACAGCGCCGACCCCTGCTGGTACATCCCGAAGAGCCCGTTGATCTCGGCCTCGATCCCCTTGCGGAAGGACAGGTGGTGCTCTGGGTCCGAGCGGAACCGCCGCTTGTCTTCCTCTGTAAACTCGTACTGTCGACGACCTGGGTCCGCGTCCACGCCCTTGCGAAGGTCCTGCGTGAGTGCAGTGGCTCCAAAGGGCGGGGAGATCCAGGTCGGGCTGCGCATGTAGACCTGCACCTGCTTGCATGTCTTTTGCAGCTCGGGGACGATCTGCACGCTCGTTGAACCAGTCCCAATCACACCGACAACCTTACCGTCGAAGTCAACATCGTGGTCCCACGCCGCAGAATGCATCTTCGGGCCCGCAAAGTCGTCAATCCCCGGGATATCCGGCCACTTCCACGAATTTAGTATCCCCGTCCCGTTGACGACGACATTCGCCCAGTCATCCCAGACCCTCCCCGTCCGCGTATCCTCCACTTTCAGCCCCCAAATCCCCTCCCTGGCATCCCACCGACACTCGATGACCTTCGAATTCAACTTCATATACCTCTCCAACTCGAACCGGCGGGCAAACCCCTCGAAATACCGCTGAATCTCGTCCCCATACGCGAAGTAGTGACTCCACTCGGGGTTCGGGTCGAAGGAGAACGTGTACAGGTGCGAGGGGATGTCGCATGCGACGCCCGGGTATGTATTCTCGTACCAGGTTCCGCCGAAGTGGGGGTTTTTCTCAAAGAGGGTGAGGGTCCATGTCTCGGGCGTGAGCATCTTGGTCATTTTGTAGGCGAGGCAGAGGCCCGAGGCGCCGGCGCCGATGCAGGCGACGCGGAGGTGAGAGGCCTTTGAGTGGTATTGCGGGAGGATTTTGTAGGCGGGTTTTGCGGTTGGGGTTGGGTTTCCGGTTGATAGAACTGGGGATGTTGGGGGGGAGGGGGGATCGGTGTTGGTATGGGTGTGAGGGGCGTTGGTGTCTATCTTGCTGGTGCCATTGGCGGTGCTGCTGGTGGTGGCACTGGGTTCGTTGATAGGAGGACCGGCGGTGCCGCTGGTGGTGGCGAGAGGTTCTGTGGACTGATTCATGCTTCTGACTGTCTTCTCTTGAGAAATGGGAATGATGACGATAGAGACAGATGGCTTGTGAGAGTGGCATCCTCATGTATGCACCCTATATCTAGTGTAGATGCCAGATGAGTCCCCGGAGAATGTTTTCCACTGGTCCATGCGATGTTGCATGGATCGACCGCCGTCTGGGAAACAATATCCAAGGCCAAGTCTCTGTAACAGGACGTGTAGCAGTAGAACAGCGTGCGCTAGACCATCACCAGGTGCAAGAGGGTAACCTAGAGGAGCTTGTCATGGATTCTGATTTCTCTATTCAGTGTTTCACAGTGCTGTATCACAACTTGGCCCGCAAATCCGCTGCATCCCTCTTTGCCCACTCCTTGAGCACCTTGCGATGCAGCTTCCCACTCGCCAGCCGGGGCACCTCCTCTACAAACATCACACCCCCAGTCAACAGCTTATGCTTCGCGACCCTCTCCTTCATATAATTCTGCACATCCGCTTCATCCAACCTCCCCCTAGCCCCCTCCCTCACCTGCACATACGCCCTCGGCCTCTCCTGCCCATCAACGCCCAAAACGCCCACAACACCGACATCCGCAACACCCTCATGCCCCAAAAGCACAGCCTCCAGCTCCGCCGGCGAAACCTGCAAAGCATTCACCTTGATCAGCTCCTTCTTCCGATCCACGACCCAGAACCGGTCGCCCTCGACGCGCATGACGTCGCCTGTTTTTAGCCAGCCGTTGGCGTCGAAACTGTCTTTTGTGGCCGTCTCGTTCTTCCAGTATCCCAGACAGATGTTCGGTCCCCGGATGTACAGCTCCCCCGCCTCCCCCGGATTAACGGGTCTCCCCTCCTCATCGAGGAGTCGAGCCTCGCAGTTCGGATCGAGCATCCCCACACTCCCCGATTCATCATAGTGGCCCCCCGGCACATGCATCGCACCACAAGTGACCTCCGTCATCCCCCACCCCTGCACGACATTCGTCCCCTTGAACCGCGCCTGGATTCGATTCTGGAGGTCCCGTGAGAGCGGGGCCGCGCCGCAGAGGATATTCCTGACGCTGCGCAGGTCGTAGCGCGATGTTTCAGGCCGCTTGTCGAGCATGATGAGGATGGGCGGTGCGACTTGGAGGTGCGTAATCCGGTATGATTGGATTGTGGATAGGAAGTCGGTGAAGACGAATTTCTGCATGATGTAGACGGGGATGGAGAGTTTGGGGGACATGATGCAGGCGTATAGTTGGCCTATGACATCTCAGTACTTCCTTCGCACAATAGATATGACACCGTACGGTGTATAAATGAAAAGGACGTACCATAAGCATGATAAAGCGGCAAAAACCCAACCCACCTCTCCTGCGGCCTGGACGCCGGAACCGCCGCATGAGGCGTCCCCTGGTCGCGCATGAAAATCGTCTGCTCGGCGTTGGCGACCAGGTTGTAGTGCGAGCAGCACACGCCCTTGGGCATCCCCGTCGTCCCCGACGAATAATTCACCGTCGCGATGGTCGAGACCGCCGTGTCGCCAGTAGCCATATCATCCCATTTCCACGCGGCGCCCTCGGCCTCGGACCCGATCATGCGCTTCCAGTCGAGGATGGAGGGGTAGGCCGCGCAATGCTGGTCTGTTGCGTCGTCTGAGAAGAGAAAGATGCGGTCGCGGGCGAGACCGACGCTCTTACCGGCTTTCACAGCCGTGGAGACCAGACTCGGGTGAACGAGAACAACGCCCGCCCCCGTATCGCGGAGCTGATGCTCGATCTCGAACTGCGTATACGCCGGGTTCGCACCGCAGAAAATCCGGCCCGAGCCCACGATCGCCTGGTACGCGACAGGGACGAAGATGTGGTTGGGGGTGAATATGAGGACGACGGATGCTTTGGGGATATTGAGGGCATCGAGGCCTGCGGCTAGACGGCGGACCCAGGAGAGGGCTTGTCGCGGGGAGAGGCATTTGGTGGGGTCGCTGGCGTCGATCCAGAGTGGGGTTGAGGAGGCCGTTGTGTTTGGGGGATAGAGGTAGGTGAGGAGGTTGGTTTTGGGGATTGAGAGGGGTGGGAAGGGGGATGTGTAGACTTGTGTCATGTTGGTGGTTTGCAGTTTTTGGTTAGATGGGTGGTGAGGTGAGGTGGTTGTTTTTGTACATGTTCCTGGAGTTGCGGATAAGGTTACCCAGCTTCACCTAAGCCGGCCGAGGTCGTCGCGGACCGATGTTAGCCGTCGTAGCTGGGTTGAGTGCAATTGGCTCTGATTGAACGGTGGCTGTTCATATGTACAGTATAGCTACAGCTTCATATCTAACATTGTATCAACAATCCTTTCGTCCCCATCCACTAAAGAACCCTCCTGACGCCGCCGGAGGTTCAGTCGGAGACTTCGACACACCAGGTGTCAAGGGTATTCCAAGCAACGAGTTCCGATTGTCTGACGTCGAACTCCGCGAAAGCCCGCCACGCTGTGATCCCCCAACCAATTTTCGTAACGAGTCGAGCTTTGCCTTGACCTCTTCCAGCTCCTGCTTCGCCACAGCCTCCGCGGTCTTCGCATTCACCAGTTCCAGGAGCAGCGCCTCCTCTGCCGGCGGTTGGTTATCTTGCGTTGCGAGCACAGACTGCAGGCCGAGGCTGCTCGATCGCTTGTTGAATGTCGGCTTTTGGCTCTTTTGGGATGCCGAGCGGCCGAGCTTGAGTTCGCGGAGGCCGCCGGGGCTCAAATTTTCGGCGGTGTCACTGGTCGGTGAGCTCTCTGGGGTTGTGTCAGGGGTAGGTGTTTTGATGGCGCGGAGGTCGCGCACGGTTCGCTCCAGGCGCTGTCGCTCGCGGTAGCCGTCTTGGATCCGGCCACGTGCTTCGCGGAGTTGTTCGCGAAGCGAAGAGTTTTCCTGCTCGTGCTCGTCGATTCGGCGCGTGAGGTCGAGGGAGCGGCCGGCTTCGACAGAGTACATGTTCTTCCATCGGTCAACGTCCTCGCGAAGTTGGTGTTTCGTTTGGTCCAAAGAGACGTGTTTGCTGGAATCTGCGGCTGCGAAGCGCTCTTCGGCTTTGCTGAGCAGTTCGGCGGGTGCGGAGTCGCCGCTGGATTCTCTGATGTATTCGATCATTGATCTCGCGAGGGCTTGGTCTTCCTCGCGCTCTTCTCGCTCCTGTTGCAGCTCTCGGGTGAGATCTGCGTGTTGGCGCTGCAGGTCGCTGAGTGCCATGAGCAAATCTTCAATCTGACTGTGCAAGTCGCGATCTTTGTTCTGGGATATGGTGGATTTCGTGCGCGACTTTTGACCTTCCACGGACAGTTCGGTGGGTGCGGTACTAGCGTCGGAGGCGGATTCAACCGAATTGAGTGTTGACGCCATGCTTTGTTTCGATGTTGAGCGACGAAGGTTGTTCGTGGAGCTGGCTTGGTTGGGGTTGAGGTTGCTCGACCTCACGGAGTTGTGCGATCCTGCCCAGAACCGGCCCAGGAATCGAGATGCCGCAGCTTGCATTTGAGGAAAGGAAATGCCTGTCGGGACTCCTTGCGACTGGTTGTAGCTAGCCTCCAGGGCTTGCAGACAGTCCTTGGTCACAAGCGAGGTCAACGAGACAAAGTCGTTGACAAAGTCATCTGCATCAAAGGCGTATGTATCCCAGAGACTCCGGGACAGCAATAACTGCATGACGTCTTCGAACTCTGAGCAGCCCAGAATGCGCTTTTCGTTGCGCTGCATCAACGACAGGGCGACACGCATCAGAGTTTCACAAGCACCTTCCAGGAAAATCACATCGAAGATGCGGAGAAGCATCGGGAGAGGGCACGAAACAGCGAAGAACGACAAGAACCACTGAGAGACGTAGACAGGTTCAACGCCGAGTGTCTCGAGGTGCTCGAATAGGGCGGGCCGGAGACGGGAGAGGAGATTCTGGAATTGATAGACGCGGAGATGCAGGCCCGACAGATCCGGAAGATAGCAGGTCCTTAGATCATAGTGATCCATAAGTCTGGAAGAATTAGTTCTCGCGTCACCATAGATCACCCATCTCAAGACACTTACCGTACGAGCACACAGAATGCTTCCGCGTCAGACATGTGCATCAACAAAGGGCCAACCACGAAGCCTAAGCCTTGGCAGTACCCGATCTTTGTGTCGTAAAGACTAAAGCATTTCAGCACCCTGGCAAGCATCTGTTGTCCTTCACCATTGGGATCGCGGAACATCTCTACGTTGGGAAAGCTACGACCGATGTCCTTCCCGATCAATCCCTCATATGGGCTGGTCTCGCCGCAGAGTCCCTGGTACTCGGTCAAGAGCGACGGGTCCCGGGCTCCGGACAAGCTCGGCCAGACCACACCTCGCAAGGGTGGCGGGATTCCCCCTCTGATCTTATTCGACGTCAGGGTCGGAAGTCGCTGTACTGTTTGGGGATAGTCTGCTACGAGTGCAGCCCAGAATTCGAGTTCTGTCATCGGCGGAGGTTGAAGCTGAGAGTATCGGAGCGAAGATCGCGAATCCTCATTGATCAATCGCTTGATCTGGTGGAGAGATTGAGACCGCGAGACACGCTGCTGCTTCTGCTTCTCCGCCACCTTCGCGAGACCGGATTTTGGGTTTGTAGCCAGGGCGTTATTCTCTTGCTCCAGGCGAGCTAACAAAAGGGCAGTTGTCTAGAACGTCAGTGGAATCCTGTTGCTTCCCATCTGGGTGATTTCCTACCTCATCTGATCCCTCCATGCGAGGTTCTTGTTCCTCTGTCTTTTCCAGCTCTTCCCAATCCACGCCATCGCCTTCTGTTCTGTCGACATCTTCGCTGATTCGGGAACGGGCAAGTTCCGATTGCAGATCGGGTTTTGCGGAGGTCGGTGTGGCCTTTGGGTCAGTCTCATCGTCTGCGTAAGCGGTGGAATCGACCGGCGTCTGGGGGATTTCGAGTGTTCGCCATTCGGGCTGTGTGTCTTCTGAATTCGAGGAGAGTGGTACAGTCACCATCGAATCGGTGTGGTTCATGGCGTGGCTTCTTGCATGCGAACTGGCTCCCGACGAACTCCGATCGGAATGCTCCATTGTGGCCGGCGGAAGCTATAGATAGAGATTGCAGAAGCTGGAGATTTATTGAACGGCGGCTTAATGGCGCATTCCCTGAGGAATGCTCCGCGAAAGGGCGTGCGTGGGTCGATTGAATCGAGGAGGAACGCGGGTTCAGGAGGGGTTAAAGCAGGGCGACGCGATAGGGGGACGGGAGAACTGCCGACGGAGGGACGATGGCAGACAGCGGCATTGCTCGACGGCGCAGGCGAGAGAGATGAGCCGAAGAGGACGGAGGACAGGGAAGATGGAAGGAGAAACGGCGGAGGGTTTGAATTTCAGGTGTTGGACGAGTTAGCGGTGTTAGTGGTTGTTTTAGTCTGCATCCAAGTGCCTCTCCAAGTGGGCTCTGTCGGTTCAGGGGCCTTCTCCTGACCTGCCCTCCACCCGGTCTCGCCCTGTCGATCGTCCTCAATAATCATCAAATTCACAGGCGCTACAGTGCTAGTGTGTTCCTGTACAATCTGTCAAGATGTGATGGACGGTGATTTGAGTTAATCAGAGCTTCTCTGATTTCAGTGCCCATACTCCGTACATTCAGCGACCGCTCAAGCTCAAGCTCAAGCTCCCGATTCCGTGAGGCCTTTTGCTCTCCGCACTGGATCCATGGAATTGCCACTCCAGGAACCGGAGTAATGCGCGCACTTGACTTGCACAGCAGATGGCCTCGGAAGACTCAGATAAGGAGACCAGGAACAGTCTTCACTTGCTCATCATGATTCGACGCATGTCATCTATGCGTCTGCCACTCATCTCCCTGAAGTCGCAGGGGTATTAAAACGTTGCATGACCGTTTTGGTCTTGAGTGAGGATCCCGGATTCTAAATGTCGATTGGACATGTAATCTTCCTATCACTTTTTACTGGCTCAAGTGAGCGATCATGGAAATATTTTAGACCCACTATACGGCGCCGTACACCCGTCCTGAAACAACAAGGATGCCCCTGTCCTGCCTGTCCTTGGCCGAGAACAAGTGCCTGAGGCAGAAGCACGGAAAGAGAGGTTCGTTAGTCGAAGACAAGGACAGCTGGAGGACAGCTGGAGGACAGCTGGAGAACTACGAGAAGTACCACTAGATTTCTCAGCTTTCTTAACGTTTATGAGCTAAAGTAGGATAAAAAGCCGTTCTTATGCTTTTGAGAAGTCGTCGCGGTGCTGAAAAAGAAGTTTGGGAGTAAACTCGAAATTTGTGGTCAAATATATATTTCCTGTCCAAGTTGCATTGGGTCTGCATGATGGTTCTAGTTTCAACAAACTGTTCAGCCCACTCCTATACAACGATGAACACGTCAAATCCACACTGGTGACTGCTGATTGAACTCCCGTCGAGTTCCCTGCGATTAGAATCCATGTGTAGCTATTTCTGGAGCCCGGAGAGACCTTCCGACGGTCTTTGTTATCGCTCTTTGTTGTTGCCCGAGGGATTCTTCGTCGTTCTCGAAGCCCGTCAACCACGGCAGAGTACCTTGGTCTTTGTGAGATTTTCGATCCGAATGCTTCTTTGGTTCTCGCCTTGCTTCCAGTCAGATTGAAAAGCCCAAGATGCTAAGAATAGGTCATCGTTGATGAAGCCCCGCCTTGTAGTGTTTTGGTCGGCCTTTCCTGTTCGGGATGGTCTGTTTTGAGATTTCCAGATCGGGCTGGCGGAACGGAGTAACACGGCCTCCGGAGGCGGCCAGAGACTGCATTTCAAGAGGGCGCTGGTCGCAAGCCCAAGTCGAGCGCGTTAACAACAAAGAACCAACAACACAATCATCGAGGGGCTCGTGGAGGAAACCGCTGTTCTGTCGCTCCTTATATCCCCCGTTTCTTCAAAGGACTCCACGCTTGGGCGGGCGACTTCTTTGTCTCGCTCCTCTTCTTTTCTCGTCATTCGTTACCGCCGACTCTCGATTTCCTTCTTCATTCGAGTGCTTCCCTGTGTTTCCAGTTATTTCAGTCAAGATGTCGAGCGATGAATCTGATTCCTTCGTGGAATCCGTCTACGAAGACAGTGCTAGCTCCTCCGACTTTGAACCTGAAGAAGCTCCCGTATGCTCGCTCTCTGGTCCACCCTTCCTGGATTTTGCTGACCATAATTTCTTTTCCTTCTAGAAACCCAAGAAAGCTATGAAGAAAGCGTCTCCGAAAAAGGCTTCTCCGAAGCGAGCGAAGCAAGCGAAGACTACGACAAAGACAGCCGCGAAGGGGAAGAAGCGGGCGAAGCCTGACAGCGAAGACGAAATGTCCGACAATGATAATCCGCTTGACCACGACTCCGTGCTCTCGCAAACCCCACCGAAAAAGACCCAAAAGACTGCCACCGCGAAAAAGGCAGGGGCCAAACCACTCGCCGATATTGAGAATGAATCGTTCACAATGGAGGGCAGTGTGGAACCATCCAAGGAAGAAGGAAAAGCGTCCGACAAGTACAAAATGGTAAGAGAAAACTCGAAATGTTCAACGCCTAGGCTAATCAATCCGGTCGGTAGCTCTCACATCTCGAGCATATTGTCAAACGTCCGGACACATATATCGGTTCTGTTGAGCGAACAACACAGGAGATGTGGGTTTACAGCTCGGAGCACGATGGAATGGAGTTTCGTGAAGTCTCCTACGTCCCTGGTCTCTACAAGATCTTTGACGAAATTGTGGTCAACGCCGCCGACAACAAGCAGAACGACGACAGCATGGACGAGATTCGCGTGACATACAGCCGGGAGACTGGAGAAATCAGTGTCTGGAACAATGGTAAAGGTATCCCGGTTGAGATGCACGAAGAGCAGGAGATGTATATTCCCCAAATGATTTTCGGCAACCTCTTGACATCCTCCAACTACGATGACGACAAGGCAAAGATCACTGGTGGTCGCAACGGTTTTGGTGCCAAGCTTTGTAACGTCTTTTCGACCGAGTTCACAGTCGAAACCCAGGACTCTCGGGTCAAGAAGCGATACAAGCAAACCTGGACGAAGAACATGACCGTATTCACCAAGCCAACTATCACTGCCGCCAAAGGCTCGGACTATACCAAAGTCACATTCAAACCTGATTATCCAAAGTTCGGCATGGACGGTATGGACGACGATTTCGAAGCTCTTCTTAAGCGTCGAGTTTATGATTTGGCTGGTACAACACAAGTGGCTGTGAAGCTCAATGGAACCAAAGTTCCTGTCAGGAATTTCAAGAAGTACATGGAGATGTACACCAAAGCTATTCGTCGGGAGCGCGGCGACGATGACTCCAAGAGCGATACGATCATCACCTGCAACCCTCATCCATTTTGGGAAATTGGGTTTGCCGTGTCCGATGGCTCCTTCAAGCAGGTGTCGTTCGTCAACTCCATCGCGACAACTTCTGGAGGTACTCACGTCAACTACATCGCGGACCAGATCTGCGGGAAGCTGGCCGAGTCACTCAAGAAGAAGAAGGGAACAGGTGCGACTTTGAAGACTGCGCAAATTCGCAACTACGTTTTTCTGTTCGTGAACGCGAAGATTGTCAACCCGGCTTTCAATTCCCAGACAAAGGAGCAGCTGACCACGAAATCAACCCAATTTGGAAGCAAGCCCGTCCTTGACGAGGCATTCCTGAAGAAAGTTGCCGGCACCGGTGTCTTGGATTCTCTGCGTAAATTCGCTGATCACAAGGCCGATTTGATGCTGAAGAAGTCCGACGGTGGCCGCCGATCGCGCATGAACAACCCGAAGTTGACCGATGCGAACAAGGCTGGAAGCAAGGACGGCTATCGCTGCACCCTTATCTTGACAGAAGGTGACTCGGCCAAGGGTCTTGCCATGGCTGGTCGCGCGGTTGTTGGCCCTGACCTGTTCGGCGTTTACCCGCTCCGCGGAAAGATGCTCAACGTGCGCGATGCGTCTTTCGACCAGATCTCGAAGAATCAAGAAATTCAAAACATCAAGAACTTCATGGGTTTACAGCACAAGAAAGAATATACTGACACCCGCGGCCTTCGATATGGCCACTTGATGATCATGACCGATCAGGATCACGATGGTAGTCATATCAAAGGGTTGCTTGTCAACTTCCTCCACGCTCAGTTTCCTAGTCTTTTGAAGATCCCAGAGTTCTTGATTGAATTTATCACGCCAATCATCAAAGTCTGGAAGGGCGATCCAAAGAATCCGACCAGACAACACTCATTCTTCACGATCCAAGAGTATGAGAACTGGAAGGAGGAGCATGCTCATGAGCGTGGATGGGAACACAAGTACTACAAGGGTCTGGGTACCAGCAGTACCGAAGACGCCCAGGTTTATTTCCGTGATCTGGACCGCCATCTGAAGGAGTTCCATACTATTCAGGACAAAGAAGCCGAACTTATTGAGCTTGCTTTCTCGAAGAAGAAGGCTGACGACCGTAAGGAGTGGCTCAGGCAGTTCGTTCCCGGCACTTACCTCGATCACACGGCCGACAAGATCACGCTAGCTGACTTCATCAACAAAGAGTTGATTCAGTTCAGTATGGCCGATAACATTCGATCAATCCCTTCGGTTCTCGATGGTCTGAAACCCGGTCAGCGGAAAGTGCTGTACACTTGTTTCAAGAGGAACATCAAGAAAGACGTCAAGGTTGTTGAACTGGCTGGTGCTGTCTCGAGTTTGACTGCTTACCACCACGGTGAACAGTCTTTGCAGCAGACCATTGTCGGCCTTGCGCAGGACTTTGTCGGCTCAAACAACATAAACTGTCTCGAGCCTAGCGGTAACTTCGGTAGTCGTTTGCAGGGAGGTTCCGACAGTGCCAGTGCGCGTTACATTTTCACCCGCCTCTCTCCATTTGCCCGACGTGTCTTTAACGCCCAGGATGATCCTTTGCTCACACACAGCGTCGATGACGGCAAGGTTATCGAGCCTGAAGTCTATATTCCTGTTGTCCCAATGGTTCTCATCAACGGTGCGGACGGTATTGGTACTGGATGGAGTACGAGTATTCCCAACTACAATCCGGAGGAGATCGTGGACAACCTGCGGCGCATGATGGACGGCGAAGAACCCAAGCCTATGCAGCCATGGTTCCGAGGGTTCAAGGGCCCGGTTACTCCCATGGGCAACGACAGGTACAAGTTTGGCGGTATCGTAAGGGAGCTATCGGAGAAGGAGGTGGAGATCACGGAACTGCCGATCCGAACCTGGACCCAGGATTTCAAAGACAAGCTCGAGGAGATCATAAAGGGTGAAAAGACCCCTTCCTTCATCAAAGACTACAAGGATTACAATACGCACACCGACGTCAACTTCATTCTTCAGTTGGATGAGAAAAATATCAAGGCTCCCATGACACAGGAGGTCTTGGAAGAGAAACTGAAGCTTTCCAAGACAATCGCGACAACCAATCTCGTCGCCTTCGATGCCGAGGGGCGTATCCACAAGTATGAAAATGTTGAGGAGATCCTCAAAGAATTCTTCACTGTGCGCCTGAAGTTCTACGAGCGCCGCAAAGTAAGTAATACCTCCTTTTTGTGTGATTTCCTGGAAACTAACTTCCGCATAGCAATACCAACTTGGCCAGCTGCAGAAGGAACTCGAGAAGTTGACCAACCAAGCACGATTCGTTCAGATGATCATTGACGGAGAGTTGGTCGTCTCGAAGAAGAAGAAGAGTGTTCTCGTCAAGGAGTTGAAAGAGAAGGGCTTCAAGCCTTTCCCCAAGGTGTCCGACGCGGCCAAGGCGGGCGAGACAGAGAGAGTCCTTGAAGCATCCGACGACGAGTCGGCCGAAAACGAAGACGATGCCGATGATCTTAGCCACGCCTATGATTACCTGTTGGGTATGGCTATCTGGTCCTTGACTCAAGAACGTGTCGAAAAGCTCCGCCGCCAGATTGGCGACAAGGAAGTCGAGATCGACGTGCTCATCAAGCTGTCCAAGGAAGACATGTGGAAGCGTGACCTTGACGACTTCATGAACGAATGGAAGTTCGCTCTCGAGGACCAAAGCACCCGGCGCAAGAAGTATGAAAAGATGGGCCGACGCACATCTATGAAGCTCGCGACTGGTGGTGGCCGTGGTGGCGGCAAGAAGCGCAAGGCAGCAGCTGACGATGATTCCGCTGACGAAGATTTTGCCGCTCCGAAGTCCAGAAAGAAGGCTGTCAAGAAGGCTGCGGAACCGAAAGGCGGGATCATGAGTTTCCTAAGCAAGCCCCTCAAGAAGGCCTCGCCTGCACCCAAGGAGGATGATGGCTCGGACGATGACTTTGACATGGACGAAATCCTTCCGAAGAAGAAAAGGGCTGCCGCAACAGCCTCCCCCAAGCCCAAGGACAACGACGGAGATGTCAACATGGATGACGACTCGGACATCGAAGTCGTCCCAAAGAAGAGTCGGGCGGCTCCTAAGGCGGCGGCGAAAGGTCGACCTGCCGCCAAACCAAAGCCTAAGGATGAGGATGACGATGAGCTTGACGATGATGATTTCATGGAGATCACCAAGGCGGAGGCGGCGAAGACGGCTCCCAAAGCGGCTCGCGGCGGCCGTAAGGCTGCGCCAAAGTATACGATGAGCGATTCCGACAGCGATGGCGAGGACTTGCTCGGTGATGTCAGCAAAATGGTCAAGGGGATTGGTGGTGCAGGTGGTTCCGCCTCGGACTCTCGCCAACTCTTCTCTGAACTGTCCCGCCCAGGTACCAGCACTGGTTTGCCGACCAGCGCAAAGGCCTCCAAGTTCTCTAACGACTTTGATGCCGACGAGACTGACTACAGCAAGCTCATTCCTCAAAACTCCCCTCGCCGCTCCCTCCAAGTTAAGCCCAAGCAGGCGGCCGACAGCGCGGATGTAGACGACGATGACGAGCCTGTCAAACCCGCCAAGGCCAGAGCTCCCGCAAAGGCCAAGTCTGCCAGTGCTGCGGTCAAGCCAGTAGCCGCCAAAGGTCGTGGTCGCCCGAAGAAGGACGCTTCAGTCGCCTCTGCCCCTGCTTCACTCAAACAAACGACCCTCTCGCCAGCGGCGAAAGCATACGCTTCAAAGCAAGCCAAGGCTACAACCAAGAAGAAGATCCTCGCCGACGAAATGTCGGACGATGATATCGATGCGATGGCCAACGACATCCTAGACTCTCCAGCTGGTGTCGCCCCCGCCCGCAAGGCCTCCGCAAGCACTGCGAGCCGACCGTCACGACGCACCAACACCAAGAAGACCTACGTGATCGAGGATGACAGTGACAACGGTGGCGGAGATGATCTGGATGATTCTTTTGACATGAGCGATTAAGTGCGTGGTTACTGGTTACGGATTATATGGGTTAGACAGTGGTTTCGCAGCACGTTGATCGTGTGAAGTATTTTCATTCTATCAATTCTCTGTTCTATGGGATTCTTCAACGGTTGTTTTTTCATTTATCAATCTGTATCAATTTTCCATTTAGTAAATACATTGAATCTAGTTATTCTAGAAGAGTACGGGATACTTGATGCTGAGTCCTAAGTAGCTTACGTCCCGTCGGCTCGATCGCACTGCAGGAACCGTTGTATCGCTGCGCTGTGGTGCGGTTACACTGCCTCCACCTCCAGAGAGTCACTCACTCGTCAAGCCAAAATGATACCGCTGACTAGATCCAGCGAATATCGACGTCCATTTGATGTAATGCAGCTAACAAGAGAAAAAAGTCACAACCTTGTTCAGTAGTACGGTGATGCAAGCAAGGATCCCAGATCCCAAAGGGTCAACACAAAAAAAGAAAAACAGCAAAAGTGCAGACCGGCCGCCCACCGAAACCACCGTCCATGCCATGCACACGAGACAAATCAAATCAAGTCAAGCAAGTCAAGAACTCCGTCCAGTCTATCTAAGCCAGCGACCAGTGCCAATACCATATCCTACGAACCAGCGTCTTCTCTTCCGTGCAACAGAGGTGAGGGATGAGTGGGTGAGTGAGTGAGTGAGTGAGAACTCTCAAGACGCGGATCATTCTTAATCAGCATGAGGGCAACGCCATTCGATATATGATAGCGTTATTACGCGATCGATAGGAAAAGTGATCTAAGCAGAAGCCCGTCGCCTCTTCCGCCCACTCCAGAGTGACGATGACGAGTCTGGTCTTGGTGGGCGAGTGGGCGCCACTGTGTTGTGATTCTCAGTAGTCGGCGGTGTCACGACGATATAATCATCATCAATGATATCGGCGTCGGCATCAACGTCGCTCCCGATGGCGTCTTGCATGTGTAGGCTGAGGAGGGCGTGTGCGGCGCTGACCTCGCACTGAAGCCTGGAGGGGCGTGCGAGGGATCTTGTGTCGGATTGATGGTGACGATGCCTAAGCTCAAGTCCATGCTGCTGCTGCTGATGATGTCTGTGCTCATGCCCATGCACAGCCGGCTGGTCTCTCCCGCGCTTCCGGCTGGGTGTCCCCTTGGCCGCGTTGAAGTCGGGATCTGCGTCACCGTCTGCATCCGTGTCCCGGTACGAGTCGGCATCGTCGGCATCAGAGGAAGGGGAAGGTCGGTCGTTCGACGAGGAGCTGCTGTTACTACCGGAATCGAGCGTCGACGTGGTGTATTCTTCGTCCGAAACGCTTTCGGCGTCGGCGTCGATTTCGCTCCCGTCTATACCGTGGATATTTCCTCCTCTTGGATTGTTCGAGGGGGCCGAGCTAGGGATCCTAGATGCGGAGATCGCTGCGAGGACTTGGTGTGGGGATGGGAGGTGACTGGGGTAGGTATCCGTGCTGCGCGGGGTATTCACGGGCGTGAACGTGCCTCGAATCGGGCTTATGGGTGACAGACAGTATGGTTCTGTGCTGCTGCTGGATTCAGGGGATGAGCCGTAGCCGAGAGAGCGCTCCGAGGTACCACTGCGGTGATAGTGATGGTGGGATTTCGGGAGGATGTGGCGGCCCATGGGGAGTCGGTCTCCCGCGGAGCTCGGGAGGTATTCGGGCTGAAGGTGTGTCAAGGGTGGTGAGCGGAGCCCGAGGGAACGATAGTAGTGTGCTCGTTTTGTTGCGTCGCGGACGATGGCTGGGTCGATGATCATTCGGCCGAAGCGGGATCGGTCGTTGGGATGCACGCAGAGTTTTGGGAAGTCGGCGCCGAAGAGAGGCGTGAGCGCGTAACGGATTTTCCAGCAGAAGGTCGTCGAGACGGCTTTGGCGGCTTCAAAGGGCATCCAGTAGCCTTGAAGGAGCGGTTAGGTGGGACGCGTTGGGATGGATTGCATGCTCTTACCTTGTGCAGCCAGTGCTCCGCCCGTGATGCTGTGGCAGATATCGCGTAGCCCGGGGTTCTGGTTCAACATCTTTGCTGGTGTAGTCTGGCTTATTTAGCGAGCTTTCTCTTGAAGATCGGGTATCTCTGATCGTACCTTGGAGTAGTCGTTGCACTTGAATAGATGCGTGGTCCGAACGAGCCCGATGTTGTAGTCCCACATCACTGTCCACACCTTGTCTTCTCCCGGAAGCTGAAAGGTATACTGGAACACTGAGAAGATCAGCATCTCATAGCCATAGAGCAAGGTAGTTTGATTGCTCACCCTCAAAGCTTTCCCGCCCCGTTAGCTCCTGGAATGTCTTCTTGTCACTGTTGTAGGGAATGTGTCTCGGGTATGAGGCAATGTCTCCGAAAGGGTGAATGCGAAACTCCCGATGTTTTTGGGCAAGGAACTCGTCTCGCTCTTCGTGCGGCGGATAGCGAACTTCCCCCTTGGGTCTGCCGCGGGTGAAGATCGGTGCATCCTTGGCCATCTTCTGCTTCTTCTGTCGTGGAGTTCGCAACATCGCGGTGCTTGATGAGATTGTGGGGGAAGGAGTAGGAAGAGGGAAACGATCCGAACTGGATGATGAGTTGGGAATAGGATTGAGGAGAGACTGTATGGACGCCATCTTATAAGCGGGAAACTCTCCACCTGCGTGGAAGGCTGTGGGATTGATGATCTTCTTGTTTCTGTCGGTGAGTTCAGCCCTCTGTGTCGGAATAGACCACTAGAATAGCGAGGGCAGCCGGGATTTAAGACAGGGTGCTGATTTATCTGTCTCGCCAGTCCAGAACCCTGTTCGGTTTGACCGCTGTTGTCTGATCCTAAGACACAGGATAAAGGAGTTCTAGAAGGTCTGGTAAAGTCTCAAAGAGGGTGGGTTACAATGAGGGTGGATGACGAAGAAGAGGGCTATGGCGAACCGACAGCAGCACTGCACACACGGGTGTCTGATATTAGGCGACCATAAAACGAGCGAGAGGAGAGATGAAAAGGAACGAGACATCAAAAGGATTCCCCTTTGTCGAGAGGTTTGCTGAGTGCAGGTCGTGATTCCACGAGTGGATACGCGACGGCATCTGCTCAAAAAGGGTGTTCAGAAGGCTTCCACTCCCCTCCTCTCTGTTTGTCCGATTCTGGTGTTGAAGTGCAGCGCGTAGACTTCTGGTCTTCGAGGTGAAGGGGGCAGCGGTGAACCCAGGTCGTAACCCAAATCGCTGATCCAGACATCTAGGTTGGGCGTATGTCTTGGATGGGGGAAGCTTTATTCGGTAGAGGAAAAAAGGGAACTTCACCGGTTCTCAGACCCGGAGAGACATCACGAGTCACACGTCAGGAAGGTACCAAAAAGGTGCTGGCGAGTCCGGATCTGCGATACTTCAACACCGGTTTGAGTATAGCAGGTACTCCCTCGGCGGTACCTGGGTACCCTGTATTTGCAACGTTCCCTATTTAGCCCTCGCTCAACGGTCGTGAGCGACGAACCTATCCTCGCAGAAAATATTAATTCTGCTAGCTCAATAGCCCGGATTGCCGCCCATGGCACGCAACTTGTCGAGGCTTCAGCTGTTTCACTTCTACATGCAGCTACCCAAGCCCAGGCTGACGCAGGCTCTGAGCGAAGAGACATGGTAGATCACGTTTCAGGGGCTCCTGCAACCATGTGGAGGTCCTGCAGAGGTGGCCGTAAATTGAAATTGTGCTTACTGCCCTCCACGCTCCAGAAGGCTCCCCTACAAACAGACAAGGAGTCGGCGGTCTAGGAAGCTTGCTCGATCGCAGCGCTAGGTACGATCGATGGCTCTCAATTGCAACACCTATCACGCGTATAGTTAGAGATACATGCAGGGTTTATTTCATTTCCGAGTCATGGAATACACATCCCTGGGAGGGCGATCAGCATCGATCGTCCAGTGTCGTCAATGAACTCGACCATCAGGTGGGAGAAGCTGCTGGAGCAACCGGAAGATTAGCCCTCCCAAACGCTGGGCCAATAGGCAAGCAGCCCCTAACGGCGCTGGTGAGCCAGAAGGGCATGATGGAGGCCTGAGACCAACGGAGAGCTGCATGAGCCTTTCGTCTTGTATCACGGGAAGCTGCGGTTGCAACCAAACGCAGGCCCACTCAGCGAGCTTTGCGGCCAAGGAAATGACAAGAATACTCTGTGGAACTGCAGCTTGGGTTGGAGTGGATCTATGCCTGGTAGGAAAATATCAGAAAGCTAAATCTGAGGGGAATAGCGAGTGCGAGCAGCGGTTTCTCTGGAGAGGTTTCAGCCACATGTCGCGAGAGCCACCGTTCTCATGTCCTTTGAATGCGAAATTCGTGGCAGACCACCAATCCATGCAGACAGTCACCTCACCGACAGACGCGTTACATCCACGACGCACTCTGAAAGGCAGAGGTTCTATCATGAGCCCCCTCCCATTTCGTCAGGCGACATCAGCGTGAGGACGGATAGGCCCAAGCCTCACTCGTTGTGCGGTAACACCCGTGTTGGCAATGTTGCTCAGCTCCGATGGACCGTTGTAAGTCTGGTCAGGCTATTAATGGCCCAGCTGGCGATGATGGTAATATGGAGCCAGGATATGGCACGCAAGTGGATGAGAGTATCAAAGAGAACCTTCCACGCAGGCTTCTATGCAGCCTGGCCATCGACAGTGGAGTCATGGAATATTACCGAGATAACCTTTGATAGGCTCATGCGCCTTTGCTTCACGTCCTGTCAGGTATACTTGAGTTCCTACTGGCTGTCTAGGCCGCCTGGTGATGCAGCTTACCTTGGGAAAAAGGGTGGTGGTCCTCCACGACGCCATGCAGGAAGACTGAAGGTATGTTGCAGAGTCAATCTATCGATCCTACTCACAGCAGAAAATGAGAGACAGACGGAAAAGAAGGAAAAGGGAAGGATAAAGAAAGAAAGGGGCAGAAACATCAGGCGCAAATACACCGCTCATCGTGACAAATTACTTGAGACATCATGGAAGATCCAGAAACGAAGTAGCACCACGTCGGAGGCTTTAGCAATCACTCATAGTGGCAAGACATCTCGCTCTGACCTGCCTTGCCAGGTTTCCCGGATGCATGGCAACAGAGAGGGAGGAGCCCAGGGTAGTCCTGACTCCTGATAGGTGTGGCGGTGTTGATTGTGCCCCGAACGGTATGGGGTGCAGGCGATGAGATGCAGCTCAGTAGCACAAGAGACGTCCAATCCTGCAGAACGAAGCGTTAAAGGGAGCCCGGACAAGGACTGGGATGAGGAGGCAGAAGAGGATGTGGATGTTGACAAGGTGCAAACACTGCAAACACGACCCCTTCCCAAAGCGGCAGAGGTTAATCTTGACAAGCTTCGACGCAGGACCGTTGGCGGGTCCCTTCCCCGGTCAATTTCTGCCCGGGTGATCCCTGTTCTTAACGGTATCATAAAACACTCCGGGCGCACATGTACAACGCTCTCGATCTGGGGAAAAGAACAATCCGGCTCGACGAGGCAGCGCTGGCGCCCAATGCTCGACCATCCTCTTCTTCAGCCACCGTTGCTCGAAACTCAAGGGAGATCGCACGCGGTAGAGGTGGGTCATCGCTCCCGCCGTGTCACTACAAGTGTGGTGGAACTCACGCTGCTCGTAACGAGGAAACGTTCTCTATGTTGGACATGCCGCTTCTCGAGGCCATCATCAGGGATCAAGGCTCTTTGCAGAGCTACACCAGTGGGCGTCTATGCTACACGCCACTGCATCAAGTTTGTACAGCAATGTTGAACATAAAATTAGAACTAACTCTATACACAAAGTAGGGGAAGAAGATGGAATAAGGCAGCGTAACAGAACGGGTAGAAGAGAGAAAAGGGGGGAATTCAGAAGTACCGGAAGAACGAGAAAAGAGAAAAAAAAAGAAGAGAAAAAAAAAGCGTGAACGAAAACTTCAAAATTCGTACCATCTCGTCATCGTACAGACCAAGCAAGTATCCTTTCCACGTAATTGAACCATTTTGCCAGTGCTTAGACCCACAAGACTAGGTCTTGCGGTCTCTGGGTGTTGAAGTAATCGAGTTCGCTCCGTCGTTCCGCATAGATTGATTGTGCAGAAGTCGGGAACCGGGGTCATACAAACCCGTTTATGCGGCCAAAAGAGGCTGCTTCTCGGTTTCGATGGATTGAGCCACGGGCTCATCCTTGGGGGCCTCGGGGAAGTCAGGGGTCTTAACAAGAGCCTCGGGCTCGGGCTCCGTCTTGACAGCGGGGCCAGCAGCCTTGGAGATTTCGGGTGAAGCTGACCGGCGGATGTTGATGTACTCCTGTGCCTTGTTGCTGTAGTCTCCGACGTACTGCTTCACAACACCGGTGGCATGGTGAGTGCGCTCTTCCGCCAGGCCCTTCAATTGGTGTGCCTGAGAGTTGATAGTTTGCTGGAGGCTATCAATCTGAGCATCGATAATCTCCCGGTTGGTGATGTATACCAAAGGTCCGAGGTACGCGATTGAAACAGCCAGGAGAGACAAGCCCCAGAAGGGAAGAATCTTGATCAGCCAGTAGGCGGAGAACGCAGCGGAGAAAGCCTAGATATCACTTCATGTCAGACACTCGCGAATAACCCAGAGTAAGAGGGTCCGCTTACGGCAACGGTGTGAACAACATTCTCCGCAAAGAGAATGCGCTGGAATTCGATGAGGACAAAGTCGATAAGCTGCTCAAAGTCCTCCACGACTGCCTCGGTGGTTTCCTTGGGAATTGTGTAGTATTTGCGGGGTCGGAACGAGCTGGCGAGGCCTTGAGACAGAATAAGTCTGCCACCGAGTTCAAGCGCAGCGGTAACTGGTTTCGTCAACAGCAATTCCAGAGTTATAGATTATGGGAGTCCTACATCCAAGAGCGACGTAGAGGAACTTGAAGAACCAGCGGAGGAGGGGGAGGTAACGGGCGGCGAAGATGAAAGCAACGACGCTGGCAAAAGAGGCAGCGGTGGCACGAGGTTGTTCCCACTATGACATGATTCGGTCAGTAATTTTCCAGCACGCAAATTGATGCGATCACTCACGCTGAGAAGGCTGTAGAGCAAGGAATGGTAGTCTGCCAGTGGTTAGTATGGTTGTCCTAGCTCAGACACCCGGTCATGCATCCACGTACAGGTCAGGGGCTGGCCGGTGGCCGTGGTCGTGGAAGGGACCACTTTTGCGCTCTTCAGATCGCGGAATTCTTGACCAGTGCGGGAGGCTTCGGTTTTGATGCTATTGGCAAGGGGGCCTATCTGACTATCAGCGTTGCTCCGAAAACTTTGATCCGAGCTGTCTACCGTTTGCGATGGAGTCCTTGGTGCCTGAAACCACAAGAAGCGATCAGTTTGTGTAACCTTCATGGGAGGCGTGCGCTCAGAGTTGGGTAGGGAAGGGTATTTACTAAGAACAGAGAGGCGGTTAGCTGCAATCCGAGTATCAAGACGCGGGCTAAAAAGGAAATGGTACCTACCTTACTGACTTCATCTGTGTTGGGGTATCTGACTTCACCGGCGTTGTCGGCCATCTTGAGGTGTCTGTGCGGGAGCTCCCAAACAAAGCTTTTTCTCAGGAAGTTAAGACGTGAGACGAGGAGATAAGGGGACAACAATTATCGTCGGGTTTCTGGCGTTGGCAGAGGATGAGGCGATGAAAGAGCAATCACAAAGACGATTGATGCGAAGAGGGGGTGGGAAGACAGGGAAGGAAGAAAAAAGATAGGAGAGATCGGCCAACGGAGAGGGTGATGCAATTGACAAGCGAGTCGTGTGCTGTGCTTCCACTTGGGTTTCCGAGTCCACCGCGGGTTCCACCGTTTAGAACTCGACCGAATCTCATGCACTGCTCAAATTACAGCTTGGAATTAACCTGACTACACTATGATACCTTTTCTGCTGGGGATGATGATTTTTCGCTTGGTTCAAGGTTCCGAGTCTGTGACTTGACACCCACGTCAGTGCTGGCCCAGACCAATCCAATCGGCATGTGATAGCACAACTCGGACCCCTTCTGAACTCCCTCCAGCTCCGTCTGGATGCAGAGTCGATTTGAAAGCTGCTCAATAATGTACTCTCACCTGCGACAACAATAGATTGTTCTACAGGAAAAAAGAGGTCGCCGAGATACAGCTTACTGACGTTGTCGAGATCCCGATCTTCATAGTGGGAGAGTCTCGACCGCTCTAAATTTAGCTGCAAACTCAAGAGACTTGGTTTGAGCCTTGATACAAACACAAACCGCGACAGTTGTAGTATACAGAGTACACTTTGGAAAATCAGATTCTGGAATCATTATTCATATTCTACAGAGAGAAACCTCGAAAGGATCTGCTTCATTTTTCTGTTCAACGAACTGGTTTGTTTGTCCTTATCGTGCAATCCGCTTCAAACAATACCTCAAACCACCCGCGTCTCAGATATATTTTCGCAGAACGGCTAAAAATGACCTGCTGATGACCTCATCCACCCGCTCCACGGTTTGTTTTGGTGCTAGCGAGGTTTCCAGTATAACATTTCGCCACCACGATCTGGATTCCGGTTCTGATATTGTATGGGGTAAAACACTGTGGGAGGTAGACTGAGTTGCGGCTGGCAAGGGATTGTAGTGTTTAAGCCAATCGATTTCGCTTCATCGGGCGATTGAGCCTTGCCAAGACTCTTCCTCTCTGTCTGAGAGAAAACCAGATTCTTGAAGTTGACTCGGCGATGTGATTGCTGCGTAGATTCAATCGTGTGTTGCCTGAAAGTTAAGGCTTCCAGTACCCAAGTCACGTGGCATGGCGGGCCGGACGCGTAGCCGATGTTTTGATGCTCGTTGCCCGCCAGACACTCTCGAACTCAATCTGCCTGTCAACAACAAGCACACAACCCCCAACGACCCGTTTTCGATGATCGCACTTTCGATATAGACTCTCCATATGGGTACCCTTACTTTAAACTAACCTTTTAATTCCCATCTTGCGTGTTCACTCGACGGCCACTCCCTAATCCCTTTGTTTACCTCGCCATGGCCGGAGCAAGCGCGAGGGCGCAGAAGCCTGTCGGCTCTGCAGCTTGGATCTCCACCGAAAAGGAAAACTCCGTGCAGCTAGTTGACCAAGAGTTGGAAGAAATCGAGTTTCCCGTGCGATATGAGATGGAATGGCTGAACGAACACATGGCAGAAGTCTTCTCAAACAATCAATTGTGCGTTGCCAGGAGAGGTCCACGACTCACCCTGCGGGCGCTAACCTTGCAGCAGTAACTTTACAGATGTTTTCAAGACCCCCGGAAAGCTACGAGGCAAAACCCCTCGCACGTTGCGGAAACGTGATGCGACCGAGAATCGAGTGGTTCGTTGATCCCTTGTGGTTGTTGTGTGGACTTGCTGACGGTCGGTAGCCCTTGAGCGAGATCTTCTCCTCGGTGCAAAAAAACAGAGTCGATACCAAATATACCCCCAGCCCTGCACTTCACCGTTCGCCTACGAAAACCACAACTATTCCGACTGTCCCTGCCCCTTTAGCTCAGGCCAAAAGCAACGCGGCAAAACCTCCTCAGCCTCAGTACCCCGACTTGACGCAAGACCTCAACTCCTTTTCACAATACAACACGGACTCGGGATATCATGGAATGCCGGATGAGGACGAAGACGATGAGATGGTTCTGACGGAAATCGCGACAGAGACTCAACTATCCACACAACCGATGGACCTTGAGCCCATTTCACTCAATGAAGTGGTGCGCCGCTCGTCCGTGGACCGTCGTACGACAGATGCATCGTTCCACTCCGCTCGCGAAGATGTTCGAAATCGCGGCGAGACCGTCGAGCCGATGAACATCGATCCTCCAAAGGAAAACCGTGAAAAACCTGGACCACGACCGGAACCGGCCAAGCAAGCCGAACCAACTCCAGAGCCAGTCGTGGAAGACAAGCCTTCTCCAAACCAGCAGACCGCGACCGCGCTGGAATCGGAAACGGAACCGAAGGCCAAAGATGTACCAAACATTGACGCCAAATCATCGCCGGTTCATGAGACGAGTGTTCAACCTTCCTCGCCTCCGCACAATGAATCCGAGAAGGATGAGATGGTCCTTGATAATCTGGATGATATTGACTCGCCGTCCGACGTGTACTCCCCCGAGAGGCCGCTCATCCGCAAGAGCAGTCTTAGCTTTGCCTCACTCCCTGCCCGCGAACCACTTACCTCTAAAAGCATCGGAGGATCAAGGCTCTCGAGAACGAGCCATATCGAACCGGTCAGGGCAAGCATTGCGACCGGATCAAACTATCTTGGACGACAAACTGGCCACCGAGCCACACAGGCTGTGGATGAGCAGACCGAGAAGATGGATGTCGACGACGTAAAGGAGACTGCGGTCGAGGAGTCCGACGTGGATGCCAAGGCGAGCAAGCTCCATAATAAATCATCTACTCAACGCTTGCACGAGAAGATCAGTATGCTTGGCAAGATGCAACCTTCGCGGCCCACGAAGTCCATTCCCGCTGCGGCAGGTCTGTCAACAGCACAGGTCTCATACCCAGAACTGCCTGCGGCTAAACCCGCAGCGAAGCAAGAGTCACAAGAGAAGCTCCCCGCAACCACTCCGGCCCAAACAACAGCCAATGCAGGGGATGACTGGATCAAGCCATTGAGCTCTCCGCTCCAGGCGCAGCCGAAGAGCCCGCTTTCCAACTTCAAGTACAAATACTCCGGTCCCGCGACTAGCGATCAGCCCGAAGAGCCCGTCTCTCCAGTTAGGTCAAAGGCCATCGAACCGGCGACAAAACACCAGTCAGCACAAGAATCTGACCCTGTTCGCCAAAGGTCTGCCACACCGATATTCTCCTCACCCCAACGGCACGGTCACCAGAAGAGTGCGTCCGTTAATATTGACAACAAAATGACAACTACGCCGATTGCTACTCCTACCCGCCAGGATGGTCCATTGAGTACGCCCAAGTCAAGGTTTCAATCACTCGTGAAAACAGCCAAGGGGCTGTTCACAAGCTCTGGCGGTGTTTCAGCAGTTGCTCGAATGGAGGCTTCGTCGCCGGACGAGCCCAAGACCCGTCTACAGCGAGCACACACTGATATTTCTCGTGGTAGCCCTCGGCCGCTTTCGGTATTCAGTCCTCCCAGGCAAGAAGGTCGCCGAACTCGTAGCTCCACCGAACGGGAGGAGAAGCGCAAACAACTGGAGCTTGAGGAGCGTAAACGGGAGGAAGCCGCGGAAGTCGCCCGCCAACAGGAGAAGGTTCGCACAATGCACATGGCAGCACGGGAAAGGTCACGGACCGAGTCCGCAGTCCAGGCCCCGGCTGTTCCGGTGCTGTCGTCGAGCCCGGTTCGAGCTCCACAGGCGAAGCCATCGAGAGAACCCGAGCCCACCGCTGACCCTGCCCCTAAGCCTACAATACAATCATCTGTTCCGCAACCGACCAGACAAAATGACCGCCGTCCTACCAGGCCTACCCGGGAGCCCCAGCAAAAGCCGAAACCTCAGCCGGTATCCATTCGAGTCGGCAGCGCTCTCGGGCGCCATGTGCCCCTCACGTCTGCTACTGAGTCAAGTATTCCCGCACCGGTGCCGCCACCATCCGCGACAAAGGCTCCCACATTGAAGAAGAAGGCAAGCAGCTCGTCGCTTCATACGAATCCTTCGACCAGCAGCTTCAAGACCTCCGGCTCGAGTCAAACGCGGGGGAAGACGCAGCTTGCGAGCGAGCGAAAGCGGGAGCAGGAGGAACGCGAGGCGCGTCGAAAGGAGGAACATAGGCGCGAGCTCGAGCGCAAACGCGCAGCTCAGCAGCTGCAGCAGCAGCAAGAAGAGGCTCGTCGCCAGGAGGCCCGCAGTCGTGCTGAGACCGAGCGCCGGGAGCGACTCGCGGAAGATCCGAAGAAGGCGGCCCAGATGCAGGCGATTGAAAAGCGACGACTTGAGAACGCCAAAAGACTCGAGCGACAGGCTAGTCAACAGCCTGATACGGTATGTTTGACTCCTCAAGCTATTCGCGTATAATGCTAACCCACCATGGATAAAGGCTGGTCCTCAACCCCAACGCGAAACCGGCGCAGGTCGCCCGCTGTCCCGACTCGGGTCGGTGCTTGGTCGCGTTCAGCCAGCGCCCAACCCGGCTAAACCGCCTAAGAGAGGCTTGGAGGAGGAGGCGAATCACCGCGCTGCCACAGCGAAGCCTGGTACAATGCAACCGTCTGGTGAGACTAAGCGGAGGAGGACAGATGATGAACAGAACGCTGCCTCTATGCGGCCAACGATGGCTCCGCCCATCCGGCAGTCTAATATCCTCAAGGTAGGTTACCCTGCGCTATTGCAGAGGAGTGTGTGCTGACTGCTTAGGAACCCGCTAAGAAGCCTTCCATGTATGGCGCTGGACAACTCTCGGCCGTACCGCAACCGGGGTCGTCCATGTTCAAGACTGGACAACCCCAGAGGCCTGCGCACCCAATGGACATGGCCAAGTACGCTAATGGCAAAATTCCTTTTGCCGAATCTTCGAGCGCTGCCGGACCGTCGCAACCGCATCGAACCCCTGGTGCTAGCGTCAGTAGAGAGGCCAAACCGTCACCGAATTATCCCAATGGCGAGAACATCCATCTTCCTGAGATAGCGACTGACAGCGAAGACGAGGACTCAGATGCCGACCTGGCGCCGGTGCCCAAATGGGCCCAGCCCAAGGAGCTTGAGCTGCAGCTCCGCGGACAGGAAGGCTTGGAGGCGGATGCCATCTTCGGGCCAATCGCACCGTTCTCACTCGAGGAGACGTTCAAGTCAGACAAGAGGATCAAGAAGTTCCGGGAGCGGACAAGTAGTGCCAACTGGGCAGGACCAGACGGGCTGACCCAGGAGGAGATCCGAAAGGACATTGCAGAGCGGCAGCGTCTGCGGATGAACGGCGGCTGGAGTTTTGACTTGTGATCATCTTTAGCAGTCACATTGGCGTTGCGGTGTTTACCGTGTTGATTGGGCTAGCATTCGGCGTTACGGTTGAAGATATTTGAATAAGGAAGGGATTGCTGCAGCTTTGGAAAATAAACTGCCTGATTCGTGTTATACCCACTTTTCAGTAGTTCGATCTCGTCCGATCTGATCGTAGGTTGACGTTGATCGACCGGTTCCGGTCATGACGTCAAGCACCAGCTCATAAACCACCTCGTCCCTTCACTTCACCTCAATCGCGAATAACCAATTGAGGAATCCAATGAAGAGCATCTTCTGCTACACGTCCTGAGCACAATACAGCAAAATGGTCAAAGACTCCAACACCGTGATCAAGTCGGCCCATGCCTACCTCGTAACAACAACAAAAGACATGTACTGACACACACCAGCGAATTCAACGGCCTGGTCAACATGACAGCCAACGAACTGCGCGACTGGCTCCACGAAGAGCAATCGCAGTCCTCGGGCTGGAAGAACGAGTCCACTGGCGAGACAATCGGCCATGAAAGGTTCTTCACCACTATACCCCTATTGAATTTATCCATCCACCCGCATCACAATCACCACAATCAAAAAGAAAGAGCGTATCTAAGGTGATTGATTATATGAATGCATGTAGCGGCCGCAAAATCGTCAACATCCTCGAACACAACCCGAACAAGGATCCCTCGGGGTACACGGACGAAGACGTCGACCATATGCGGCGGGTGGTTTCGTACTGCAAGCGGCATCTTGCGCAGGAGGAGACGGCGAAACGGAATCCGGATAGTAAGAGTTATCGGTCGCTGAAGAACTGGGGGCATGATGCGTTGAAGGAGTGAGGTGTTGTTGTTTTGGGTTTGGATTTATCTTAGGAGTACCCTATGTATGTATTCTGCGTTACTCCGGATCATCGGTGGTGGGACTCGAGGGAGCACCAAGTAATATTGTTGGGGAGGAGCGAGAGGGCACCGGGGCAGACCTGATGACCTCGCTCCGGACCTCTTTCACCTTCAACATCCTTCCGACGTCAGTGTGCATCGATACGACAACAGCTGCAGTTGAATATCATGAATCATGTGTCTTCAAAGTTCTTCTATAGTGATACTCAATGCATGTTTAATCCTTCTCCATTTCCAACTCAAGTAACCAGAATCTGCATCAAACCTTCAATATCCTGCACGGTAATTTGCTTCTTCTGCTCCCGAGCAAGAGAAACAGCACATGAGACGATATTCTTGATCTGCAACAGTCAGCTATGCTAATACTAGGCTTGACGCGACGAACCTGACGACCGTTGAGCTTGTGCCGTGACACCGCGACAAAGTCCTCGTCTGTAAACTCGGACAGCTCGGATTTCTTCGCCACATTCCGCAGGAAATTCTTCCACACTTCCTGGCGGCTGTTCTCGTCCTCGGACGAATATCTCCATTTTGCCGCACTGGAGGCTAGCGAAATCAAAGGGGCAGAGGGAACCAACGAAGAGCCTCGGGTCCAGCTCAGCCTGCAGGCGTCTACTCACCGTCTCTCCTCGCGCAAGACAGCCAGCAGTCCGCCGCGGCTTGTTTTCCGCGCAACAGTCGAGCTCGGTACGGCCTCGAGCATAGCCGTATCCAATCTACCCTTCTTCGTCACCTGGACAGACAAGGAGCTCTTCTTCTTAAACCGCCAGAAGAAGCTCGAGATCACCCGAATTCCTCTGTTCCGACCACCACCTGCACCGCAGAACAGCGACAGCGGCTCGGACCCAAAAATCTGCTGCCTACGAGACCCCATCTTCCTACCACGCTCAATCGAGTCACGGAAAATGCATTTCGTCCCTGCACCACAGAAATCCTCAGAATCATCTGCCACGGGTAAGAAAAGAACAAACGATTCGCATCTCTTATCCTGGGCTCTTATTGCAGCTCGCCGAGCCGGGGAATCCTCGTCCCCAAAAACATGTGTGACCCACCAATTGCGGTGTTCCTGCGTGAGGACCGGGATTTGGGCTGGACGTGCAAGGAGGCTTCAGGGGGGGTGGCAGAGACTGCATTTGTGAATGCGGGCTGTGGACGGTTGAAGGGGAAGTTCGAGTCTTTTGACCGCAACGAGGACTGTGATATTATGCCGTACTTCTTTTGATTATGGTTGTGGTTGCAGGTGGTTTTGCACGTAGGTTATATAGTTGATCAGATTCAAAACCACGCTTTAACGTGCGAGAGATTGCGTAGATGATACTCATCTATCGCTCTAGAAAGTGGCGCAATCATCAACCATCACACCCTCTAAGCGGCCTTCCCTCGCATCCCCATTCTCAAATCACAACCATGCGGCCAAGGCCCAACGAAGGAAGGCAGAGTCGTGTGTAGGTTCTGGCCCTCGAGCGCACCTTCCGGGCTTGGACTCTTTGACTTAGGGAAAGGGCAACGGTTGCTATGCTAACGTGACTGTAACTAAGAAGGAAGGAGCGATCCGTTGTCTAGGTATCCATCGCACCTTCCGGGTACGGAAGTACGCAACGGAGGAAGGCGCAGGGTATTATAATAAGCACCCCTACCGGAAGGAGCCATTGGTTCCCGTACCCCACGGGCTGCTTGGCAAGCCTTGCTCGCTAGGTGCTGGTATATCCATAGATACCTCTGTAAGGGTGCCAAAGGCCCGGAGGCCATTATTCCACCACCTGATGAAGTACAGCGTCTTGGTATGGGGATGATATGATGGATACGGAGGGTGAATTAGGGTTCCCTGCGCCCTGCATGCTAAACGAGAGAATATCGCCGATGGAAAACATCTTGGTTAGCCAGCTACGCGCCATGAGGGACAACGGAATTTCGGCTGTTGGGAGCACGGTCCGGCCGAGCTCCATGCAGATGGTCCCAGCGTAGAGGGTACGCGCGACGGGCAGGAGGAGGGTTCGCAGGATATATCGCCGGTTGAGAGTGAAGTCGGGGCATCGGTACCGGATATTGTGCGCTAGACGGTCTGCTGGAATACACAAGCGGCAGTTAAGAGTAGATGTAGATTTACGCCGATATAGCCGATCCGTTCAACCGGATGGTGCGGTTATTGATGAGGCTGCGACTTGTCGGGTCGAAGACACACAGTTTTCCACAAATGACAAACGGAATGAGGGACCATGTCCTTGTTTGCATTGCTCGATGGATACCTAAAGCTATTATGAAGAAGAGAATAATCAATAGATATGACTGCTGCGTCGATTGAAGGCTCGTATCAGTATAGTTGAAAAGTCCACATGCTCGGGCATGTGGATTTGAAACAAGATAAATGCTTTAAACGAGCATGCAAAAGAAGAAAGAAAATAAAAGATCGCGACAAGTGTGAATAGAGTATAAACTATTTCCCTGGGAATGGAATTTTCTTACTTGTAGGCAGCAATCCAGGGGTTTGGTTGAAGTAAATGATGGATATATTGTTGGGTCGTACTCGTAATCGTGCTCGTACCCTTTTGGGATGCGATTAGGGCAGCCCCACCAGCCGCGCGCTATAAGTCCTCAGAAGGTCAACACCACGTTTGTTCTTTTTCCTTTTTCTTACCTCTTGCTGTGACATCAAAATGGCGGAACAGGATACTGTCGACTTTCAACTGTACAGGTATACGCCCAACCGCGCCGCAGCAGGGCTCTTCGTGGCCCTCTTCCTCCTCACCACAATCTACCATGTTTACCAGGTGTGGCGCCAACGGGCATGGTACTTTACGGCATTTGTAGTTGGAGGAATATGTATGTCATTCTCTTATATTTTGTCAATCATGAGACGAAGCAGGGCGCTGATACCGAGTCTATAGTCCAGATCATCGGCTATATCTGCCGCATCATCGCCCACGAGGATAAAGAATCCATTCCCATCTACAGCATACAGGCCATCCTTATCCTTCTTGCTCCGCCGCTCTATGCCGCCTCTATATATATGGTCCTGGGACGTCTTATCACCTTCCTACACGCTGAGAAGCTCAGTATGGTTCCTACGCGGTGGATGACCAAGATCTTCGTGACAGGAGACGTGATTGCATTCGTCATGCAAGCTGCGGGTTTGTCGTCTTTCCACCTTCTCACACCTTCCGAAAAACGAGATACTGACATTATATCGTCAGGCGGCGGCATAATGGCAACAGGCACGATAGACAACTACAACCTCGGCGAAAACATCACCATCGGCGGCCTGGCCGTGCAACTCGCCTTCTTCAGCGTCTTCATGATAACCTGCGGGATCTTCCACCGGCGCATCCGACACAGCCCAACACACGAAGTGGCCGTTCTCTCAGCGCGTCTGCGCGAGCAGAAGATGCGCGGGTGGGAAACTGTCCTTGCGGGACTGTATGCTGCGAGTGTGTTGATTCTCGTGCGGTCGATCTTCCGCGTTGTCGAGTATGTACAGGGCAATGATGGGTATCTGATTAGCCATGAGGTGTTTATGTATGTGTTTGATGCGTCCCTGATGTTTTTGGCGATGGTTGTTATGAATGTCTGTCATCCGTCGACGATCTTGGTGGGATCACTGAAGGGGAGGCGTGTGGAGATGGGGGTGTTGGGCTCTGATGAGTAGGATTAGGGCTGGGGCTGTTGGTATGAGTTGCCTGTGTTTTGTTTTGTATATAGAGTTATTTGATAGTAACTGGGTTGCCACTGGGAAACACGATCCTTCTACTCCCGCCAGACCTTGTAGTCTGCTTCATACTGTTGAGAAAGGTGCGAAGGGTCTTTCGTCACCCCCATAAGAACTCCCTCTCGCTTCGAGCCTCTGCATCGACGACAGCAGCCATCGTTACCATCATCTGCATCGATTGGGCGATAGTTCACAGTGAATGTTATACCATAAGCCTCTAGTGTTCCGCACAATACTCAACTCAAGTAACTGATGGCGATTGGTCAATTCCACCCAATGTCAAGTGTTCAAGTGGAGCACGATGGGGCTCTCCGGTGGCGCAGGGCGATGAACCTCGTTTTCGCTCCGTATTCGTACGCAGCCTATTCTCTCCATCGCAAATTTGTGTCGGCCTGTTAGGTATCGTTATTCGGCAAGTTTATGTTTGAGGCTCTTCCGTCTCCTCCCCTCTGTCATAGGCTCAGAACCCCGCATCGCTAAGAGTTCTTACTCAGATCTCTAATCCGACATGGTAACCCGGAGATCGCACAAAAAGTCTCGCAAAGGCTGCGACCAATGTAAGCGAAGGAGGGTCAAGGTGCTCATCCAATGATCCTCTTCTTCTCAAACAATGCTGACAAGATACTAGTGCGATGAAGAGGACCCATGTCGAAATTGCTCACGGCGAGGCATGGACTGCACGTTCGAGCACCGCACGAGCGCCACACCCCCCACCGAGAGGACACCCCAGATCGGGACCATCCTCTCCGACGTAAGAGGCCGCATGCTCGCATCAAGCCACGATGCCCCAACCTCTATCTCTCGACCACCCAGCGGGGACCCCTTTCGCGCCTTCAACGACAGATTAGCAACGGGCACCTGGTTCCCTCAGGAATGGACGAGTCAGGATCCTGAGCTGATGCATCATTATACGCTGCACACGTCCAAGACATTGGCGCGGCGTCCGGAGATGCAGGAGGCGTGGCAGGCCACGATACCCGAAATCGCGTACGGGTACGAGTTCCTCATGCATGGCATTTTGGGCCTGTCGGCGCTGCATCTCTCATACCTAAAGCCCGAAAAGTATAGCCATTACCTCGCCAACGCGGGGTTCCACATGTCGCTGGGGCTGCGGTCCTACCGGCGGATTCTCATGGCTCCGTCGCAGGAAAACTGTTTCGCTCTTTTCTGCTTTTCGGGGCTTATCATGGTCTATATCTATGCTTCGCCGATGGATCCCCTCGAGTCGCATTCGGCGGCTGGGCTTGATTCGATCTTTGAACTGTTTGGACTGTGTCGAGGGACTCTGGTCCTCCGCCCGTTCTTTGACCACATACAGCAAAGCCCCCTGGTGCATCTATTCCGGCGGGAGTTCATGGACAATGATGCGGATCAGCCGTAAGCCTCCTCCTCCTGCCTACAGAAAGAACCGAAACACCAAATGCAGCCCGTAAGACTGACCCGCGGCCTCCTCCCAGGACAAACCAGCCGCCTCTCTTCCCCGACCTCCCCGACCACCTCTCCACCCTCTCAACCCTAATAACCTCCGAAATTCGCTCCTCGGCAGACCAGCCCACCTTCCACCAAGCCCTCTCCCGGCTCCGCGCCTCCTTCGCCTCGATCGAAAACGCCACGCCACCCCTCGAATGCGGCATGCTCTACCTGTGGCCGCTCTCGGTCGAGGAGGAATTCTTCACCTTCCTCCGACAGCGACACCCCGTCGCTCTTGTGCTTCTGGCGTTCTACTGTGCGCAGCTTCTTGTCTTTGAGGATTACTGGTTTGTAGGCGGGCAGGGGAGGGTCTGGTTCCGGAGGGTTGAGGAGGCGTTGGGCGGGAGGTTTGGGGAGTCGCTTGATTGGCCGAGGCGGGTTTTGGGGGTGTGAATCGATCAGATTAATAGGGGATATATCTGGTGAATTGCGCTCAGACTATGTAGGTATTATGCGAGGTTTTGGAGGGCCCGGCAGTATGATATGGAAATAGTACCGTAGCTATATTAGTATCACTTCTCTTTACCCCCATAATTAGCAAAGAAGAGGCAAAGGAAGGACAGGGATTATAATGAGTAATAGAATAGAGAATAGGGGAACAGGATAATAGCCAGGAATAAAAACTATAGTATAAACCTGTACCCAAGCACAAGGGCCAGGTATAAGATTATTATAACTATATGGAGCCAGGTGCACCTTGTAGTTTTCGTACTTGTTTTATTTACTTCATCTGGGTCTTCCTAGTATTCATAGATTAGTTGATCTACGCCATCCGAGTCTTGCACAACCAAAGAAAATCTGACCTCGATAGACGGAGGTAGTAGCAGTTATCTGTCCTCCGTAATAATCAACTCATTTCGGCATTGCTCTCAAAGGCAGAACGTGCTTGAACTCCCTGATCCTCGCAGCCACAAGTAGTCATCCCCCCAGTCTTTGGAACGAGCGAATGATTTTAATGTCCCCAGTTGCTTCCCGGGGCGAATCATCTCGTGTAACCTTAGACAGCCAGGTGAGCTTCCAAGTGTCACTGGCGTTGATCGAGCCTTTGGTCGGCTGATCAAAGAGTAGCGGTGACTTCTTTACAAGCAGCCTCTGCTGATACAATCACAGCTGGTGGAGCATTTCTCTTTTGAGCTGCTGTGGAGTTGGATCGGTTTGCGGGGGATTTTAGCGCGTCTCGCCATTTCGCGCGCCTCCTTTTCTCTCCTTCTGACCTTCACACCATTCACTCCCACTTCACCTTCTGGAATCCTCATGCCTCTACAATAGCCGTTACCATGCCCAAAGGCATGCACAACCCATTGCCTGCCTCGCTACGCAGTCCGTTTCCTTTTCCACAGAGAACCCACCCCCTTGCAGACCGGGCAGCTAACTTGGCAGCCCTCCCCCCTTAGGCGAGTGCATCAAGGCAACCCAGATCCTCGACTCGTTTATCAACGGCTCCTGGCGCGGAAGTCCCGGTCGCGAACTCCCTGAACGCGTCCTCGCAAATGCAAAGGTGCACCACCTGCCCTTCCTCCCCGGCGACCGCGACCGCCCCAAAACCCAAATCCAAATCCAATTCTAACACCCCTTCCTTGTCAAAAATCAGGGCCTCGCAATCCTCACCGTGACAAAAGCCGGCATCCTCGGCTCCCTCCGCTTCGGCTCCGGAATCCTCCTGGCACGCCTCTCCGACGACAACAACCCCAGTGGACCGCCGACCTGGTCACACCCCTCCGCAATCAGCACAGCAGGTCTCGGCTTCGGCGGACAAGCGGGCTTCGAACTCGCCGACTTTGTCTTCATCCTCAACGACACGGAATCGCTCGCGGCGTTCTCGCGCCTCGGGTCGCTGACGCTCTCAGGGAACTTTAGCATCGCGTTTGGGCCGCTGGGGCGCAATGCGGAGATTGCGGGTGGGGTTAGCACGGGGGGTGGGGGGAAGATGATGAGTTTCTGTAAGACCAAGGGGCTTTTTGGTGGCGTGAGCGTTGAGTCGGGGGTTGTTGTTGAGCGGCGCGGGGCGAATAGGAGGTTTTATGGGCGCAAGGTTACGGCGGCGGAGATTTTGGGAGGAGAGGTCAGGGCGCTCGAGGAGGCCGATGTAGAGGGGTTGATGAAGGTGCTTGGGGAGGTTTTTGCACCGAGGGGAAGCGAAGCGGAGAATGGGCAGGTTGGACAGGCTGGGGAAGAGGGGTCGCACGAGTCATCATCTGTGCCTCAGGCTCCATCAGCAGCTCCAGCCCCAGGACCATCGCTTGAGCCAGAGTCAGAACTCTCAGGGTCCAGGTCGCGTGAAGAAGCGCAAATTAAGCCAAGCGAGCCGCAAAATAAGGCTCGAGAGCCTTCTGCATAGTCAAGGACCTTGACGTAGGCTCCCGCATTCCTCGCAACACCATAGGACAATCCCACCTGCGGCATCAGACGGTGAAGGAACTGGGTATTAATAGGCAGACTAACACGAGCGTAATGCAGCCGAAGCAGCAAATGGGACCAATGAGCGGGCGTCAGGCACGAATTTAAGCCCGGCTTGACGTGGCTGTGTCGCACTGCGAATCACCGAGCGCCCGATGTGAAAGCTGCTTTTTCTGACGTCGAGGCTGTGCTGAGATTTAAATACCCGACGAGAACTTCATCTCGAGCGATTTTAGCGTTATATTATTATTTATTTGGGGTTTGGCAATACACAGTCATGGCAGACCGTGAGCTCAACATCCTCGCCCTCGACGGCGGCGGCGTCCGCGCCCTGTCGACGCTGTACATTCTCAAGAACATCATGGAGGCCATCGACCGCGAGAACCCGCCCAAACCCTGCGACTTTTTCGATATGATCGGGGGAACTGGGTCCGGTGGGTACGTACTCTATACTGTCAGCACTTTATTTGCCCTAGCTTAACAATTATTGTAGACTGCTCGCGATTATGCTCGGCCGGCTGAAGATGGACATCGACCAGTGCATCACGGGCTACACGCGGCTGTGCAAACATGTCTTCGGTCGCAAGAAGCGCCTCTCGCTGACGGGGATGGGGTCCATGACCAAGCGCAAGTCCAAGGCGAAGCATGATGCGCAGCGCGTGGTGTTTGCGCTCAAGTCGATTCTCCGGGAACTGGGGCACGAGGATCGCGAGATCCTCCTGCAGGATGTGGATTTGTCGTGTCGCGTGTACGTCCCTCCTTCCTTCCTTCTCTGTTTCTCCAAAGGTTATATGTGTTTGGCTTACAAGTGTAGCTTCGTCTGCGTAACCGACGCCGCAACACACAAGCTCGTCCCCCTCAGCACCTATCCCAGCAAATACTGCCCAACGGAACTCTACAAGAGCACGAAAATCTGGGAAGCCGCCGCCGCAACCTTTGCGAGCCCCTCCCTCTTCGATCCCATCACCCTCGGCCCCTCACGCCGCCGCTTCACCGACTCCTCCGCCCAGGCCAACAACCCCATCCGCGAAGTCTGGATCGAAGCAAAAAACGTCTGGCGGCTGACAACCCTCGAGTCGCAACTCCGGTGCCTCGTCTCCATCGGCACGGGGCTACCGACAATCAAGCGCTCGAAGCCTAGCGGCGGCGTCTTTGGCTTTTCAACAGCGAAGAGCGCAGACACGAGCGTTGCGGATCCCGAGGTCGAGACGAACAAGTTCATACAGGAGCATAGCGAGCTAGACGATGACGGGAGATTGTATCGGTTTGACGTGCCCAATGGGCTTGCAGAGATTGAGCTCGATTCGGTGGCCGAGATGGAGACGATTGTGGATGCGACGCAGGAGTATCTGGCCAAGGAGCTGGTGTATAAGCAGGTGCGGCGCTGTGGGAAGGCGCTGGCGAGGCCGGGGAGTAGTGAGCTTTCGTATGGGAGATGATTGCAGATGAAAAGGGGGCTTTACTATGTTGGTTGTTTCGGAGGCATAGTCACGAGCGTTATGATACCTATCGGTTCTTATTTCACACCTATACCTGTTATGCAACAAATTACTCGAGATAATACGCCATATTCCCCCCACTCCGCGCGCTCCAGCTCCAGCTCTCCATTTCCCAGGTACCGGGAGGGATTCGACGTGTTGTACTGGATGTCAAAGCGCTTGCCGCGAATGGTTTTGATGTATTCTGCTTTGTTAGCATGCTTTTCTCTTCTTATGACAAGTTATGAGTTTACGATCAAAAAGATATCTTACCCTTATAGTGCAGCGCACTCCTCGGATACATCGCCGTCACGGTATTACTCTCCCACGGCCCATTCTTCTAGCTGTACCACGCAGTGCACCCCTTCGACCAGACATTGCGCTTCAGGCTCTCGGCTGCATACCGGTTGAAGGCGCGCACGATCGAGACTTTTACCACGACGGACCTGTTCAGTTAGTCTGTACTATCCATATCCCTAGAAACTCACGGCTACGAGCGCTGGTAAGGGGTAGGGACATACTTGATATCCTCCCTCGAAATCTTTTCCACCCAGTCCTGGGCAGCCGCATGGAATGCTGACTTTGATGCTAACATCTGCGCTCTGTAACAATTAGGCCACTGATCCCCGGAGCTCTACAACCCAACATTCAACTTCTTGGTACAAGCTCAGGTCAGGGTTTGACCTCAGGCAACGATGCGCCTTTCTCATGGACAAACGACGCATGGAGAAATGCTTAAAGGATATCAAAGAGTGGATTGCGTACATCAAGGACGTGATGAGGGGAGAAGATGAGCAAGCATCCATCCAGAGACAACCCTTACCCACGTGCTCTACGATCGAGTTTGCCTTTCCAGTTGACAAGATCCAAAAGGATGCTGCAGAAGTGCACCAATGCCTTCTCACGAGGAGATGCGCAGAGAAACCGCACTTGACATACCTGCTACTGGAACAACGCCTTTTACGCTCTAAGCCGACGCGCCAAGAGAATAACAGAGGTCTTCCTGTGCTCTATGCTGCCGTTAAACCGCGTCACTTTCATCTCCGACTCGCCGGAGAGTGCTACGAGGAGGATGGCCCTTTTGAAGCCGAGTTCACGCTTTTACCGACGGACATTCAAAGTCCCCGGGAGGGAGGAGGAGCAGTCACGAGCGTCACTTACAGGCCGTCAAGACAAACGCAAGAGATCACCGACCTGTGCGAATACGCCAAGAGCCCACGGCCACGCGGTGTTGGATTGTATCTGCACCGGGCACAGGCGCTACAAGGACATCCACTTGTTGACCAACCGGTACCAGATCCTCCAGAGGAATACGAATCGCTATGGTCGCTTTTGTCGGGGATCGAAAGCAACGCAACCAAATTATCTTTGGCCCTCACTTTGGCTTCATCGGTTTTGCAGCTATCCGGCACACCTTGGTTCGCCCATGGCTGGACAGGAGATGACATTGTATTTGCCGGTTCACAGGGCAAAACAGTCATTGGCGCCCAACCCCCGTATCTTGTCAAATGTTTTCCTCCAAACCAAAGGGACGAGGGCGGGAACGTCGCTAGCCACAGTTCACGACTATGTTATCTCAGTCTGGCAATCGTCTTGGTGGAGATATGGACGGGAGAGCCGTATGAAGGATCCCGACCCGCAGATGATGCCAGCACGCTCATTGATCTCTTCGACATCGTCGAGTTCATCAATCCCCAACGGCCCTTTATGGGTCCCGGGTTTCAGGGCGCAGTGGACGCGTGCATACGGGAAGTCACCGTCGGTTCCATGGGGAGCGCTGTTCTCCAACCTCTTGAAGATGAGATACAAGATATACTTCGCAGGAAACCCAATGAGCACCGCTAAGCACAACGCTCAACGGTAGGCGTCAGCGGCGGAGACTATGAGCAGGACGTCGGTTGGCCATGCGGCGAGTTCCAGCTTTCCCAAATGTGCCTGTCGTGGCAGGCTTCAAGTGGACGTGGCAGTGGGAGTAATGGACAGGAGGTAGAGATTCAAACGCAGACGAGCAGCTAGTATTTGGTTAATCTAATGGGCGTTTTGAAGTACCTAGACAAAAGTACCTATATCTGTATACGTGGAACTTGGGAACCTCGCATGGTGTTTCCTCCCTTCTTCTTCCTCTTCTTCCTCGTTCTTTATTGACGCAGCTTCATCCAGAGGGCAGGTTCGGCCACCAATATGCGGCCAAAATAACGGACAGTATAGGTCCATCAACTCTTCAGCCAGATTACCTACCAAATGCCCTTTCTACGTGAAGATCAAGCTGTCCTAGATCGAAGTCTTCTAAGAAAAAATATCACCAGTCTCTTGATATTTTGGGTTTTCTAGGTATAGGCTTTTGCTGCTGCTAAATCGATGATTAGTGCTTTTCTCAAGTCTAGCTACGCATTCCTTCAGTGGAATATCCTCTTCCAGAACGATTTCTTTTCTTCTTTCTCAGACCAAAAAGGTTGAAGCCGGTCGTAGCTCAACGAAATGAGCTCTCTTACATCCTTTGCGATACCTTCCTGGAAGGGCTCGAGCTCCTTGCGTGTGTTCTCGTCGAGCTCCATCCACGTGAGCTCGGAGGCGAAGATTGGGGTCATCACGGTTCTAAAACCTGGTTGGACGGGTTAGCATTATCCAAGAGATTTTGCAGTACTTGTGCCTAATTTACCTTTATCTGACTGCTCGTGTAGATTGCAAACAATCGTCTTGATCTTGTTGATGAGTGCCCGGTCCTCCAGTCTCTCGTCGATGGGCAATCTTTCTTTGCTCCCCCAGACATCAAAGTAAGTGAGCCAGAATTTGAAGGCGTTGAAGCTCCGTTGTAGGGCCTGGATCACCTCGTCCTCGGGGTGCTTGTCGTCTCTTGATTTAACTGAGTTGAGCAGAAGAGTAAGATTGCTGTAGCACCTGGCGGTAATCTCCGTGATACCCATCGTGGCGTACGCCCTATCCCCGGGGCCATCGTACACAAAACCAGTGTCGAGATAGGCATCAAGCGCCTTCTGCAGCTTGCCAGTGCGGAACACATGGAACTCGTCTAGTTCCTTGAAAGTGCTCTCCACACAATCATGAAGCCTTTCACCAGCCGGCCCTGGAAGGCAGTACCAGTTGTGCATGTTGATCTCCTGCCGATGTTCTCTAGCCTCCTTGACAATCTCCTGGCCTGGTGCAAAACAGTGAGTTAGCCATATCCTCTGGTCATAAGGTTAACAACGGGGTATCTTACCTTGCAAAAAGAGGGTATGCAGACGGGCGAAAAAGTCCCGGAGCTCCTTGGCCACATCGCCGTGCTTGGTCAGTCTGGAGTCTAGTGTTCGCCCGTTCATACGACCATATTTGTGGCCCCAAGCGTTACTCCTGTAGCAAAAGTCTGTTAGTTTGCTCTCTGCTTCTTTCAATGCTGTTTCTTCCGGCGGGCCTTGGGGCAGGTTAATCACCATGCGGCTGAACCTTGGGTCGATCTCCCCGAGCATCTTTTTGAAAGCATCGGTGCACAGGTTGCTGATAGTTGCAATGTTCATGTCCTTGTATGATGGAGCCACTGTTGAAGTGTTAGGTTGGTTGAGTGGAATTGGTGAATTGTTCTCGAGTGGTGTTGGAAGTTGAAAATGTGTGGATGGCGGTCTCTACGAAGAAGGCACACATGGCTATATTTATACCTTGTGGGGTAGCAGTTTCTGGCAGCAGCATGTTTGACATTAGTATCACTTCGCTTTGTCCCCACAACCATTGAAGAAAAGGCAAAACAAGGAAAAGGACCGTCCACACCAAGATCAACAAGAAGAATCAAGGACGGAACTAAGTATTAGGAAAGGGAACAAGGGGATGAAACAACAAAGGCCATGGTTAAGAACCTTTGGTTAGAGACAAGGGCTAGCAATGAACTTGACTTGATACATAAAAAGCCAGGTGCGCCCTGTGACTTTCTTCTTCCTTTGTTCACCTTGTTCAGTGTTTCCACCACTTGTAGATTAGTTGATCTACGCCATTCATCGTTTAATGCTTCACCAGGTTTCATCTCCATCAACAGCTTGAGTCTTACAGAAAGGTTGCAAGCCATGGAGAATTAAACCATTCTCATCCAGGATTAGTAGTTGGGATGGATAGTTTTTCAACAAGTATGCATTCACCACTGTACATATTCTGGCCGCAGGTACCGAGACTCATGGCAGTCGCCGTCGACGCCCCCTTCTGCTCCTCCCTGCACTGGAAATCCGTCTTAACCTGGATCCCCATCATTCGCCTCTCATCCTCCTCTCCACTCAACTCACCACGACGACGACCAACCCCCTCATCCAACCCCACCTGCACCGTGCGCATCTGCAGCCTCCAAATAAAAGGGATGGGCACGCAGATGACCAAGATATCCACAGATGCATTCACTGCCGCGTTCCCGATATAGAAGTGAGGACGTAGGCGAAGTGTGTCTATATTGACTATTTTTATTTTCTATTTTTTTTTTTTTTTTTTTTTTTTTTGGCTGATGGTGATGGAAGAGGGGAACGAGGCACTGACCTGGTTAACGCGAACGAGATCTGGTATCCGCACAATCCAGACATGCTTGCCCAGTCGGTATTTTCATAATTAATAATTAACGCCACATGATTACTGAGATGAAACGAGGAGGAAGAAAGAGAGGAAAGGTAAGAGAGTTGTAAGGAAATAAAAGGAAGCTATTATTCTTATTACTTTACTATTTATAAAAGTAAAAAATCATGGAATCCATAATCCCTAAAGCGTGAACTTGTTTCTTTGAATAACCTTATAGGAACTGGTTCCTACTCCCCAAGCCACGCCTTGGTCGCGAATAGGCTAGTTGGTTAAGTGCGCATCGTGGCTCCCTGTTTCTAGTCCATGCTAGGGGAAGTTGGGGGCGAGCTTATACTATAGATTATATATGTAGTGGCTCTTAGCTTACTATGTAATTAAATGGTGAGCACTTTATTTGACTAGTCACTATAGAATATCAGGGTGCATGTTAAATCCTATACTCCAGGTCCTATATTCTAGAGCAGGTATTTATATATAGCGCTTCATATCAACAAAGGGCCACAAAGCGAACAACTTAGGGATAATATAGAGCTAAAAGTACGAGAATGTCCTTTGTTTCACTAAGTTAACTAGCAGGCACTGATACTATGGACCACGAGTCAATCGGCCCTCTCTCCATGGCTGCCTCACCAATGAGCACAACTTTCATCTCGGGCAGCGGGCCATGGGGAGATTTCCAGTCCTGCGAGGGGTATTCCGACGCCGTTTTGGAGTGAGATGGACCATTTACTCCCCGCAAGCTGCGCGTCGTCTGGATCGACGCGGGGTTCTCGGGGCTCCCGGTCACGTACAAGCTCAAGTACGAGCGACCGCTCGACTTTGTCAACTTGACCATTTACGAGCAGGATAACGAGGTTGGCGGGACGCGGTTTGCGATTGTGTATCCGGGCGTTGGATGGTGCGTCGCACTCTGCCCCTCCCATCTCATCTAGTACGACTTGGGCAACCCCAGCATCCTCTCCCCAATATAATTACAAATCATCTCTCTGCTCACCGGCGCAATCCGCGGGATAAACGCCTCACGGAGGTACCTCTCGACATGATACTCTTTTGCATACCCCATCCCACCATGCACCATAACCGCCCTCTCGCACGCCCGAAACGCCGCCTCGGCCGCAAGGTATTTTGCCGAATTCGCATACTCCCCTCCGGCATAACCGCTATCGTACATGCGCGCCGCATGGTAAACCATCATCCGCGCAGCCTCGAGCTCCATCCAGCTGATTGCAAGCGGGTGCTGAACCGCCTGGTTCTGCCCGATTTCCCGCCCAAAGACGCGGCGGTCTTTCGCGTAGAGACTTGCCCGCCGGAGCGCCGCGTAGCCGAGGCCGAGCGCCTCTGCGGCGATAAGGATGCGCTCGGCGTTCATTCCATGTAGGATGAGTTTGAACCCGTCGTTCTCGGCCCCGACGAGATCGCTCGCGGGGACGCGCCAGTTGTCGAAGAAGAGCGTGTTGGTGTCGACGGCCGCGCGGCCCATCTTGGGGATCTCGGTAATTTCCACGGCGGAGCGGTCGAGGTCCGTGTAGAAGAGGGAGAGGCCCTGCGACGGTTTCTGTACTTTATCTAGCGGTGTCGTCCGGACGAGGATGAGGATCTTGTGCGCATGCTGCGCAGTCGAGATCCAGATCTTTTGACCCGAGAGGATATAATGGTCTCCGGACTCGGTCTTGCGCGCCTGAGACTGCAGCCGCAGCGTATCGAGCCCTGTATTCGGCTCCGTCACCCCAAAGCAGGCCCGCTCCCTCCCCGCGATAAGCGGGCGCAGCCATCGCGCCTTTTGCTCCTCACTCCCAAACTTGACCACAGGCTCCAGGCCGAAGATATTCATATGCACCGACGACGCAGCGCCCATGCCCCCACCACACTCGGCAATCGTCTGCATCATGATCGCGGCCTCGGCGATCCCCAGTTCGGAACCTCCATATTCAGCCGGCATGCAGATCCCCAACCACCCGGCGTCTGCGAGCGCGGTGTGGAAGTCTGCTGGAAAGGTCTTGGTTTCTTCGAGGCGCAACCAGTACTCGTCTGGGTAGTTGAGGCAGATTTTGGAGATTGCTTCGCGGACGGTGCGTTGAGAGTCTGAGAGGTCGGGGCCGTTGTTTTGCAGGAATTCAGTTGCGCGCGAGTGTGTGTGGCGGAGGCCTCGTGTGCCGCCTGGGAAATGTGTGCGTGGTCGCCAGCAACATATTTGCGTTGCTCCTGTTATCCCTGGACTGCTTATGCGTGTGGATAGGGACGGGCGGATGGTGAGACTGCGCGCTAGATACGCCATGTTGCCTATAGATTTAGCACTTAATTTGGAGTTGAATGTCGTAAGCTTTGTACTTAATCACTAAACGAAGCTGCAGAAAATGATACTGGTCTCGATAAGCCTCGGTTTGGTGATCCATGCAAGGAATCGCATACGGGGCTCGGGCCCGAAGCCCGGAATCTCCGTCAAGCATCGATGCGGGGTTCAACCTGCGCTTACAGTTCTAGGACAAAACTTTCCATACACTATTTTCACAACCCACTGGTTACAATTTGGTATTACACCACTAATACTACTAGTAGCTATATAGAAACTTTATATAATATCTACAAGATCAAAGCCAGCTGGCGGGGGCACGGTTTGTGATTGAGATGGTAATCCTTGGATATAAGAAAGGCATTTCCCCCGCTGCTGCATCCCTCGGTAAAACATCGTCTTTGCGACTGACTACTCGAGCTGCCCATCATGTATTTTGTGTACCCTCGTAGGGGCCCTCCAGGCGCGCTCCTGCTGATCTCGGTTGAGGCCATATCGTCATATAGCGGGGTGGTTCTGATGCGCATCGTGGCTTCTAGTGCTGTTTGCTCGAGTTGTTGTTTCACTGGGAGTACGTGCGTTTCTACGTCTGCTTTTAAGCTGCTGCACGGGCCATTGTCTGGAATGCTCCTGTGATGATCTGAGCTGCACGTCTCTGGATCCTCTGGATAGTGTTGATCATCGCGCCTCCTCTGCTTGTGTGGCTGTTCCCTGGGACATGCCATGCCGAGAAGCCATATAACATCTGGGGTACGACCATTGCGCGGTATACATGCCGGTGATAAAAAGGCTATGCAGACGAAAATGATCCATTTTGCAATCTAGCTGCCGAGGGAAGAAGAAGAAGAGAAAGAAGGACGAAGAAGCTAGAAGCTATCTACCGATAAAGGAAAGGCCACACGTGAGGCGCTACTTAAACCTAATGTGGAAGACAACAGAGACCGGGCTTCCAACAGTCGGAGATTGACGGCATCTGTGCCCCACGTTGAAAAAGCGAGTGCTGATAGAGCCGAGAGTCGCTTCATTGCTCCCACTTCTACCTTCTCGCGGTGATAGTCCCAGCGAAGCTTGGTGTCAATTTGAATACCCAAGTATCGACATGATGCAGAGGCCTCGATGGTGGCATGTGGCCGGCGGAGAGCATGTGTGCAATTTATTTTTGGGTCTCTAGTGAAATGGGCCAGTTCGTATTCAGACTTGTTTCTCATTGCAGCCTATGTGGACCATTCGGTTCGAAAGCGAGCCTTTTCCTCGCCGGAAAACCATTGGTTACGGGTCAGTTCCTACCCAGATAAGTCGGGGTGTGCTGGGGATGATGACATCCTTCTAGTGTCGCTGTAGATGGCGCCTAACCCTCCAGAATCGGACCGAAAGAAAGAGATACTCATATTGGAAGACAGTGAAGCAGAAGAATTGACAAAGCGCACTACGGCTCCAAGAGAGAACTCAGCCATGACTAAAGAAGATGTATGCAGATGTGTCCGAACGATGGGGCTATCTAGCTAACGAACCGCTAGATATAGCTAAATGACATGAAGACATGTCACATATGTGTGGTAGAACCTTCCGTGGAAGACAAAGGAGCGATACGCGGGGCTTCCAACAAGAATAGATGCAGTGCTCACAGTGGAGCTTATCATGCTATTTTGAATGAGATCTAGCGATTAAGGCCAGCGCCATTGCAATGCTAAAACAATTCCATCGTTGGTGGCCAGTCTCCTCGCAGATTTCTGTCGACCAATTTCCTTTGACTGTACGCTCTCTGTAGCGCAGCGATTGCTTGAGTGATGGTGCCATTTAAAAAGCGATGTAATATCTGGTGCTTCTCTGCAGGAGGGAAAATCGCAGCTTCCATTGGCTGGTGCCTTTTCTCTTCGGCGATAGCGCAGTATCAAAATGAAAACAGAATCTACTCATGGGAGCTTCCAGAACGATCACCAGCCCTACTCGCAACTCATACCACGTATGGACAATATGTGTGGACTCCACTTTCATCATATCAATTGGCCTTCATATGCTTTTCTGTTTTTACTTGGCCTGGCTGCCTGCCTGGTTGGCGAGAGATCATAGATCACTAATCAAGAGTGATCTACATACCTACACCTCGGTCCCAACAATTACCGGCTTGACGCACCTTCCCCATGTGATCCAAAAGTGGAAGATGAATATAAAAGCTTTCTGGGCTGCGAGGGTTGGAGGGCGTTGTTGACATACCTCTCCTTGCTTCTTACGATGGCTACCCTGATGCGCAACCCAAAGGACTCCATGACGTCCACCTGGCGTCTGTGGGATCGCTCGCGGTGGAATGGTGGCCACTGGTTGATCGAGTTCCTGAACGTGCACCATGTCGAACTTGATCAAGAAGTCCCAGTCTATCAGAAGACCGACAAGGTCCCTTATGCATCAGAGCTGCAGTTTCATGTTTGGGTCCTTACCCACGCTGCCCTCCCACTCGTCCTTCACCAACTCTATATCCACTTCTTCGGTTACCCTCCGACATGGCTCGTGTTTTTATACTATCATTTCGCCCTAGAATTAAATGCCGTTCACGAAACACGTGTTCTCCGCCGCGTCGGCCACAAGATCGGATTCTTCGACGGAGACAAGCATCCTCGCGATGGTGTACCTGACGTGGGTGTCGGCAAGACTGCGCAGACGCTCATATCCGCTCTGGTGCTCCGTCCAATGTACACCGTTTTCCTCGCCTACCGCCCCGATGAAGGCCCAGCCTCGATCCGATGGGGATGGCTTATCTTGGAGACCGGCATGTATGCCCTCATGATTGACTTCTGGTACTATATCTTCCACCGCTCCGCGCATGAGACGGAGAGCCTCTGGAGATTCCACCGCACCCACCACCTAACTAAGCACCCTAATCCTCTCTTAACCGCCTATGCAGACACGCTGCAGGAGTTTGTGGATATTATCGGCACGCCCATTATCGCATACGGTTCGATGAAGCTAATGGGATTTCCTATGGGCTTCTATGAGTGGTGGGTTTGCCAGGCATATGTGGTGTTCACTGAGATCCTGGGTCATAGCGGCTTACGGATGTATGGCGGGGCAGTAAACCCGTGGACGTGGCTGCTAAAGCTGTGCAATGTGTACCTCCTGATCGAGGACCATGATCTTCACCATCGCAAGGGCTGGAAGCACAGCCAAAACTACGGGAAACAAACCCGGGTGTGGGATAAGCTGTTTAACACCGCTGGTCTGCGTGTGGAGGCGCATCCGGACAATATTGACTATGTCAACATGGCGAAAATTCCCTTGCTATAACAGTAGCAAGCTTCGCTTCGCATGCTCAGGCAATATATTGCACGATTGGTTTCTACGCCGAGATGTTTGAGACGATCATTATAGTGGTATTAGTAAGAACTTTGTAGGGCGCGTTTGGATAGAATATATAAAAGATAATTATACTTACGTGGTTAGGGTAGGTTAAAGACCGTAGTATTCTACCCGCAGAGACCATGCACGCCAATCTCCATATTATCTAATACCATTCACCTGGGCCAGGTAGTGTTCGGCAGGCAGCAGGCCCTCATCGTCAGATTCACTTTCGTCGTCTGAAATCTCATGGCCAAATTCCGAGTCACTATCGGAGTCGCTATCAGATCCATCGTCCGTAAAGACCTCGTTCAAATCAGAGCTGGCATCACTTTGATCCTCTTCGTCGGCAGGCCGACCAGTTGGTGGCGAGGTGACATGGTCGACACAGTGGGTAGCCCTGAAAAGTTACCCTGAAATACTGTGTAAAGAGAGTTAAGGGAGGTGAAGAAGAATCAATGGTTCGTGCATGGTGACGGGCTTCCCCCTTGATATCTAGTTATTGAGCCCCTTTGTAAAATAAATACATTGTTGACCAGCTCCTCAACGGCTGAATCCCAAGATGTGTGGGAATTGGTCAAGATAAAGGCGGATGACTGGCTGCAGGCTTCGGTGGATGCGGTTTGCCCTGGGGACAACGAAGTTGTGAGGAAGTTGGTGGAGGAGTGGAGGTCGTGGCTCTGAGACTCTTTTCGACCGGAATCTACTCATCGTTTCATTCCAATGGCGTCTCAATCAATTGATTTTGATAGAATGCGAATGGTGTGGTCCGTTCAATCGCTCCAGTTGTGATTCAACATAGTTTGTGATGCCTCCCTTGGGTAGTACGGACCAGGCATCTCTCGAGTTGTGTAAAAAAAAAACAAAAGACGACATACGAGATCTATTCTTCGACCAAAAAACAACCAGGCTGGAGCTTTTTCGAATGCTCCCTACTTCTTTTGTTCTGCAATAGACCTTAACATTGGATATATTCATGGTACCTGTGGATTCCTGGAATCGTGTTATGAATCAAGAAGGCTGCTATAGATTGCATTTTCGGAGGAACATGGAATACATATACTCGGACCAACCCTTCAAAGGAGAGAACATTGGGTCCCGCAAAACTGTTTAGAATATAAAATATCAATAGCAAAACAAATCTCAATGTTGCTTGAAGTTTAATCTCTACTCAAGGAGACTGCTTAACAGGAGCATTCACCCTCAACCACCCCTCCAAAACCCCCGTCGCCGGATACCCCGGATCCCCCAGCCTCAGCAACATCTGAACATGCCCCTCAAAGCCCTCGCCCTCAAAAACATGCAACGCAGCCTCACTCCCGGCAGCCCGCAGCACATTAACAAACTCAACTGCCTGCCGAATATCCCCCTGCCTCTGGATATGAAGCAGCAAGAACACCCGCGCATTTGGCGCTCGCGCATTACACGTCGGCGACATGGTCTCCAGCGCCTCGAGATCATTCCCAAGCGCGTACTTCATGTTCTCCGCCACGGATCCCGGGCTATCGAGGATCTCGGCGGGTGCGTTGTAGTTTGAGCCGTCGAGGGCTATCACGCCTTGGATTGTATCGATGGAGACGCCTGCGAGCTCGAGGTACCGCGTATCTGTTCCAAGGAGGGTGACGACGTGGGCGCCGGAGCTGTGGCCCATGAGAATAACACGGTTTGGGTCGATGTTTAGACTAGTTGCCTTGCGGACGAGGTATCCCACTGCATCCGCGACTTCCTGGACCTGTTCTGCGACGGACACAGCGGGGAAGAGGGTGTAATTGACCGTCGCAAATGCATACCCCAGTTTCGTCAGGTGGGATACTTTGATCGAGCCGACGGAGTCGAGGTACGTCCCTACACGCCAACTGCCGCCGTGGACGAATACGATAATCGGTGCCTTGCTCGTTGATGACGTGGGATTCCACAGGCGGAGACGCTGCGAGTCTGTGGCTCCATAGTTCATGTCTGTTCCGCCGCTGGGGACGTCGGTGTGCATCTGCGACATGAGCACGTCGACTCGCGATATGGGGATTGCGGTGTCGTCTGCTGTTTCTTTGAAGATCTCGAGGCCTGTTATTTCTTTGCCTCGAGCTGCGATGGGGATCACATCTGAGGTTGTTAAGCCGACTGTACCGTCGTGAGCTGATAGGCTGGGTTTGGAAGTGGTATTTGTGGCCATGGCTATAGTTCGCGTCGCCCAGGGCGGTGACACTTGGGCTGTTGGTATGTGAGAAAATTGTGGCAACTTAGAGTTACAGTTCTCTCTTTATGTTTTCACTGAAGGTACATTCAATACACGTCTTCGGGGGCAGGATGACGCGATGCTATGGTAGCCTGGGCTCAGGTGTATACATTTCCGCAGCCCCAACACTAAATGGTAATTTAGGCAAACATACGCGGATACGCATACGCGTCATTCTAACAATATCCCGGTTTCCAGCCGCTAATGTGGATGAAACTATGAGTTCATGCTATATAGACAGTCAGCAACGTTCTTTTTGACAAGGGTGATCAACCTACTTGATAAGAACAGTCTTTGGTTCGGTGAATGCTCTCAGAGCCTAGCGAATCGTTAGTCTTCATCATCCGCCCAGAATATCACCGAGGCTTACATATTCTCCAAACTCCCTGCCTATTCCGGACTGCTTCTTCCCCCCGAATGGAACCTGGACATTCATCTAGGCATTATTGTTAGCAGGGTGTAACTCTCAACGGACTGGCAAGAACTCACAATGCTCACGCAGTTAATCCCAACCACCCCCGACTCAACCCGCGCCGAAACTCTCAGTGCCCGATTGATATCCCGCGTAAATACCCCCGACATCAACCCAAACTCCGTATCATTCGCCATGCCTAGAACCTCCTCCTCCGTCTCAAAAGTCTTGACAACAGCAACAGGCCCAAAAACCTCATTCTTATAAATCTCCGCATCCTTCTCCGGGTTAAGGAACACCGTCGGTTCAATGAAATATCCCTGCTCCGTATGCCGCACGCCTCCAACGGCAAGTTCTGCCTCGTTCTTGCCCCGCTCGATCATGCCAGTCACACGCTCAAAAGCTGCTTTGTTGACCAGTGGGCCGAGGGCTGTTGCTGCGTCGAGGGGGTCGCCGAGTTTCGAGACTGCGGCTTTCATGCGGACTCTGTATTCCTCGATGAATTTTTCTGCGATGGAGCGCTGCACGTACACGCGCGAGGCCGCGACGCAGACTTGGCCTGAGCGGGCGAGGATGCCATTGATTGTCCTAGAAGGTATCAGCATGTGACCCAGTGCTGAAATCGATGATGAAGGTGCAAGGCTCACCAGGTAAGCGCATTTTCAAGATTCGCATCCTCAAACACCACGGCAGGGCTCTTCCCTCCCAGCTCCAATGTAACCCGCTTGAGATTACTCTGTGCAGCGGCGATCTGGATTTTTTTGCCTGTCGCAACGCTGCCGGTGAAGCTTATCTGGCGGAGGTATTAGTGTCCTACTCTTCCAGTCGAATGAACAATAGGCCTACCTTTCTGATTCTCATATGACTAGCAAGAAGCGCTCCGGTATCGCCTGCACCCGTGATAACCTGAAAGACGCCCTTGGGAAATCCCGCAGCTTCAAAGAGCGGCGCAATTGCGAGAGAGCCGAGGGGGCTCTGTTCGGACGGTTTCAGGATTAGAGTGTTCCCTGTCGCTAAACAGGGCGCCGCTTTCATGATCAGGGTTGCGACTGGTGCGTTGAATGGGTTGATTCCGGCGCATACTCTATGCCGAATGTTAGCCACAGCAACCTATTTGGTCTGGTTTGAGAGCGGGAAACACATACCCCAGCGGCTCATGCCTCACAAGCTTGACAAACCCATCATCATCAGGGAAATAGTCTCCGCGCAACTTATCCGTCCACCCAGCTATTCACTGCATATCAGACTTCCCTCCTTAACCAGTGGTTCACTGTCGAAACTTACCATAATACAACAACTGCCCCATAATATACCCCTTCTCCCTCGTGGGAATAATACTCACCGGATTCCCCGTACTCAGCGAATCGAGCGTCAGAATCTTGACAAGCCGATCATCTTCATCGAGAAGATCCGCCAGTTTCCGCAGACACGCTGCGCGCTGCGCGCCGCTGAAGCCCCTCCATGGCCCGTTGAATGCGGCTTCTGCGGCTGAGACGGCGGCGTCCACGTCTTCGGGGCCTGCGATGGGGATGGAGGTGGAGATTATGGAGGTGTCGGTGGGGTTGTACAGGGTGTATGTCTGGTTGGATTTGGGGGGAACGTAGGTGCCGTTTATGTAGAGTTTGTTGAGAGATTCTGCGTCTGGGATTGTGGTCATTTTCGTGGTGTTGTGGTTGTTCTCTTGGTGGGTGATTGGGCGGGGTAGTAGGTATGTCTGTTCTGTTGGAGGGGCAGTACTATCGAGCGCCTAGACATTCCCCGGTCTTTATTTTTCCAAATCATCATCTCCAGCTCGGTTCTCAAGGCCGAATGCCCCGCGCTTGCTTGGGAAGTACGATACGGGGCACGGGCCCGCTCCCCGTCTGCGTTGCAGGTGGGGGTTTGGGTGGGGGCTAGCGACGAGATTAATGCGGGGATCTCAAGTAACACAAGAAGCTGGGCAAGATAAATGCCAGCTCATAATGCTTTCTTGCCACATGTGGACTCGATCCTAGATAAAACGCCCCCCTCATTTTCCCGCTACAGCTCTTGACCCAACACCATGTCCACCCAAGTCGTCAAAGCCCAGGGCCCCTTCATCGGCCTGCCCACGTACCCGGACACCCCCGAGTTCACAAACCTAACCGCCATCGTCACCGGCGCAAATGGCATGTCCGGGTACCACATGGTGCGCGTGCTAGCGGCGGCACCAGAGCGCTGGAGCAAGATCTATTGTCTCTCTCGCAGGCCGCCGCCAGAGAACTTCTTTACGGATCTCGGCGAGGGTGCGAAGAGGGTCGAGCATGTCTCTGTGGACTTTTTGTCTGACCCCGAGGAGATTGCGGGGCGGTTGAGGGAGGGGATTGATAAAGTGTATGTATTGATTATTCTCGAAGCTGAAGCAGGGGCTAACTCTGGAACAGGGATTATGTATTCTTCTTCTCGTACATGCAGCCCACACAGGAGGGGAATATCCTGGGCATGTGGTCTGATGCAGAGCAACTAGCGAGGATCAATTGTGAGACCTTATATCGCATAAACAGATTCCATGGCTAACCAGACTAGCAACCCTCCTCAAAAACTTCATCAGCGGCCTCCAACAATCCACCCTCCAACCAAAACGCTTCCTCCTCCAGACCGGCGCAAAGCACTACGGCTTCCACATCGGCCCTGCCACAAACCCCTCCTTCGAATCCGACCCCCGGATTAACCTAGAGGCAAACTTCTACTACCCGCAAGAAGACATCCTCTCGTCGTACTGCGCCTCAACCGGCGTAACCTACAACGTCGTGCGACCCTCGTACATCATCGGCGCCGTCCGCGACAGCGCCCTAAACCACATGGTCGGACTAGCCATCTACGGGGCTATCCAAGCACACTTGAAGCAACCACTTGCGTTCCCGGGGGATTACGCGGCGTGGGATCGAGAGTTTTGTCAGAGCACGGCGCTGCTGAATGCGTACTTTGAGGAGTGGGCCGTTCTTACGGGGGATGCGGCAAATGAGGCGTTTAATATCCAGGATGGACTGCCGTTTACCTGGGGCAGGTTCTGGGCGTCTCTGGCTGAGTGGTACGGGACGTCTTGGACGCCGCCGGAGAGCGACGAGGGCAAGTATCGGGTTACCGAGTCGAGATGGGTGGATACGCCGAGGGGGTATGTTTCCTTTCTCCGTCCCTTCTTACCCCGCACTATTATAATAAATCGCACGCTAACAATGTTTGTCGTCTAGCTATGGTCCCGTCGGAACAACACGCACAACATTCAGCCTACAAGAATGGTCCGAGCGTCCCGAAGTGCAATCCGCATTGAAAGAGCTCGCTGAGCAGCACGGCCTCACCCTTGACCCATTTACTCCCAAGAACCGGGCGCAGATCTTCGGCATGACGGACTCAGCTGTGATTGGCGGCTGGGCGCTCTCGTTGAGTATGCGCAAGGCGCGCAAGCTGGGCTTCTTGGGGACGGTCGACTCGTATGAGACGGCGTATATGACGATCAGGGATCTGGCGCGGTTGAAGGTTGTGCCGCCGCCGGCTGTTTGAGGTGGATTTTGGTTCGCTTTGGGTGTGATGGTTTATACAGATTGTGATTTAGTTAATACCAGTTTATGAGTATTTGGAATCTACCTAGGCTTCGTAGGGATCATTCAGATGGCTCGATATCATGGCAAGGGATTAGTACACCGTCAGGTGCTCAATCATCTCTTTTAGCATGGCATGACCTCTAATTGGAAACAAACAGTGACCAATAACATCGACCATACTAAATGAGGGTCATTGGCTGATTAAATGGGGGTCACATGACCGTCACATCCCCCCAGTTTCCCCGCCTTTTCTCTTTGTTCCTCTCGTCCTCGCCTCCCCATCCCCGATAGCCTCGAAACAAGCCATGGTCTAGCCACAATGCACGCATGCGAGCGCTGCTACTCGCGAAAGACAAAGTGCGACCGCCGCCTCCCACAATGCACCTCGTGTATCAAAAGCAAATCATCCTGCCGCTACCAGAACAAGCGGCGCGATCGCCAGCTGCAGCAGGGGTACATCAAGTCGGTCGAGACACGCTTGAAACTGTTGGAGCAGGAAAATGAGGAACTTCGACGAAACTCAGCGACTCGTGTGTCGGTCATTGATCAGGATAGCCTGATTCCGAGCCAGTCGCCCGAGTCGATTCGCGACTCTACCCAGCATCAACGGGTCGACGCGCATCAGTCACCTGTACGATCAGGCGGTCCGCTCCAGCAGTCTCCCAGCGAGGAGGCTCGGTATCTAGGGTCCAGCAATGGGGTAGATTTTGTGGATGTCGTCGAACGAGTCGTCGAGTCCTCTTCGCAGAGCACAGGCGGGCTTTTTGGCAGAGTGACCGATTCTCACCGTGCGCCGGACCGAGTGGAGCTGCCTTGTATCTCTGAGCCTGTGGCGCTGATTGACCATGCAATTGCGATGCCTCTAATAGAGTCTTACTTTGAGCACTGGCACTTGACCTTTCCGCTCCTCTACCGGCCAGCCTTTATGGAGATGGTGCGGCACATGTACGCCGACCCGCGGATCTACCAGCAAGATGCCGCCGGTGCGTTTGCGTTTGATATTGTGCTGGCGCTGGGCTCTGTTCCGTCCACGAGGGCCGAATGGGGATTCGGTCACGCTGAATCACACTTTGCGCGGGCATTGACGAGGTTGGAGAGGGTATCTAGTTTCCGCGACATTAGATCCTTGCAGGCTCTGCTTCTCTACTGCAAGTATGGAATTCACGCGAGTCTGCGCGATACATCGAGTGAGATGTGGGAGGCTTTGGGGAAGGCGACGAGGTTATGTGTGGAGATTGGGCTGCATCATAATCCGTCGACGACTTCTTCACGTTGTAAACTGCATATTACGGGACAGATCTCTCCTGGTGTGCAGGTTGAGATGCAGCGACGATGTTTTTGGTGCTACTATAATCTGGACAGGTGAGTCGTCATTACCTCACGAGGACGAAATTGGCAGTCATGAAACTGACCGAGTAGAATTGTCAACATTTCGCTTGGACGACCCCTCGCTCTGCACGACGACGACATCCACGTCCCTCTGCCGTCAGCAGCAGACGATGAGACCCTCGGCCAGGTCTCCCCCACTACACTTCCCCAACAAACAACATCCCCTTTCCTCCAACACACCCAACTCCGCCGAATCCAGTCGAAAATCCACCGATGCATGTACACCAGTCGCTTAACGCAAGAACTCCCCCTAACCCAACGCCAAGCCATCCGCAGAGAAATCTTCGACGAGCTCCAAGCCTGGCGTCAAAACATCGCTCGCCTCCCACTAAGCCCCCTCGACAACTCGCACCCAATATCATCATCCTACCTCCACCCAAGCTGGTACCAAGCCCTCTACCACAGCGGCTGCCTCCTGCTCTTCCGACCCTCCGCTACATTCCCCGCAATGGAGGGTCTCGAGTCGGACCACGACAACGACGACGTCCTGCAGATCATCTGGACATCCTCGCGACTCGTCCTGTCCAAATACTCCGAACTGCTACGCGCGCGACACCTGAACTACTCTTGGGTCTGTCTATATACGATCTTCATGGCTGGTCTAGCAAACGTCTACAGCGTTGGATGCTGCGCGCGGAGGAGGAAGCGCGGGGAAGTAGCTTTTCTCCCGTCCTTCTGGGACGTGGTCTCTGATTTCCGCGACTACTCGAACATCATGACGGCAATTTGCGAGCGGTGGGCGGATGCTCGCGGGTCAAGGGAGATTTTTAATTCGCTCAGTCAGAGTGCGTTGAAGGAGTTGGCTGGGCCGAGTTTTCGGGGGGATGTTTCTAGGGCGGAGCCTTCTGGGCAAGGGAATGGAAATGGAAATGCAGCTGGACAGGGGGTTCCGGGTGGGACGCCGTCGATGTTGCAGACGGAGCAGCCCTTCGCTTCGGGCTTTGTTGACGGGAGCATTTCTTTGGATCATCTACCAGAGGATGGGTTTGCGGAGTTTGAGCCCGCGTTCGATTTCCAGCAGATGTTCCAGGAGATGCAGAGCAGTATTAATACAGGCGGGTATGGGCAAACAGACGAGGTGATGTTGGGTTTCTCGCAGGAGTGGTTTGAGAGGTGATCTTGTCTATCTTATCTTCAGTTGACCCATTTAGCCACTATTGAACTTGAATAGTCTAGATTTAATCTAAATCACTTTGTCCTTTCGGAGCTTAGAGACGTCTTCGGCTGATAGGCCCAGCTCCTTGAGTACCTCCTCGGTATGTTGCCCCAGAGCTGGCGGACCCTCACGAATTGAGGGTTTCGTTCCGCTGAACTTGACCGGGATCCCTATTGCTCATTAATAACTGACTAACCCTCCTGAAATTGGTATCAAACTCACCAAGGACCTTAACCTCCCCACTCACGGCAGCCCCCGAAGCAACGGTCTCAACCATCCCCCTAGCCAACGCCTGCGGATGCCCAAACACCTGCTCGAGGTTATTAATGGGCCCATACGGCATCCCACTCCCCTCAAAGACCGTTTCCCAGTCCCCCGTCGTTCTCGTAACCATCACCCCCTCTAGAATCTCCCTCAACACCCCCCGATTCCGCACGCGCTCATCATTCCCCCTAAACCTCTCATCGCTAACCAACTCCTCCACCCCCAAAAGTCCACAAAGAACCCCAAACTGCCGATCATTAACCGCCCCCATGACAAACCACGAATCCGCCGTCCGAAACGCCTCATAGGGGACAATCGTCGGATGCCCCGTGCCCCACCGCTTCGCCTCCCGACCCAGATTCAACCAGGACATGCCGACATTGCTCAGAATCGAGATCGTGGTTTCGAACAGCGACGTGTCGAGTTTTTGGCCCTCCCCTGTACGTTCCCTCGCGAGGAGGGCGGAAACGATTGCCCCGTGTAAGTAGAGCCCCGTACACATGTCCATCAGGCCTACGCCGGGCTTCGTTGGGCGCCCGTCGGGCTCGCCGGTAATGTGTAGCAGGCCGCCTTCGGCTGCGCCGATTACGTCGTAGCCTGCGCGGTGCGCGTAGGGGCCAGAGGCGCCGTAGCCTAGACAGAACGTCAGTAGATTGGTTGCTCTGTCTGTGTGTGTGTGCTAGCGAGTAGTTTGGGGTGTGTATAGAAGGAGAGGGGCAGGTATGTACCAGAGATACTCGCCAAAATAAGCTGGGGATTCACAGCCTTGAGCGTCTCATATCCCAAACCGAGTTTATCCAGTTTTCCCGGGATAAAATTCTCAACCCTACTTCCTATTAGTACATATCCACTATCTTCTCTTTTAGTTCGGAAAAACCAGCGCATGGGTTGGAAAAACGAACACAACATCAGCCCCCCTCGCCAACTGCAGCACGACCTTCTTCCCAGCCTCACTCTTCAGATCGAGCGCGATCGAGCGCTTGTTCCGGTTTATCGTGTTGAAGTACAGCGATGTCTTTGTGCCGGCCTCGTCGGGCTTCCAGATTGCGTCTTCGCCGGATTCGCGCCAGAGGCGGGTGTCGTCCTGACACTCTTATTAGAATGAAGGATGAGAGTGCTTGATCTGGTGGGGGGAGACATACGCCACCTTTCGGATTCTCGACTTTGATTACGTCCGCGCCGTAGTCGGCTAGGATTTGTGTGCAGAAGGGGCCCTGGTGGGCGTTAACGAGGGATCAAGAAAGACGGGATTATACATAGCGTGGGGGGGCGGTTCGCACAGCTAGGACGCGCGTGAGATCGAGGATTTTTATACCCGCTAGAGGCCCGGTTTTCGTCGTTTTCGAGGGGATGGTGCTATTCGCGCGTACCACTAATCTTGTTTGAAGTTGTACATTTTTCCTGGTGGTTAGAAAAGACGAGGTACCCCTGGCGGAGGGGCAGACGATCGTCCGCAGCAGAGGATTCATGGCTGAGGGAAAGGTCTAGCGTGGACCCGAGGATAGGGTTGACGGTGGATTTGGTAGGTATGACTATTCTACGCCATTGTCGTTGAATAGTGTAGAAGTACTCTGCTGTGGTCTCCAAGTGCTTGCCGTCGGACTTTTTGTCCGGCCTTCGGGGATTTTGTCCGAATGGTCCTTGCGTCGGCCGATGGGGTATTCTCGGGTATGTACGTTGTAGTAAGCATGTACGTTGTAGTAAGCGATGTGGATCAGTGGGACTTGATCTTCCACATGACTTCAAGGAGGATAGGTGGTAGCTGCTAGCGTAAATGATCATTTTCCATTATATGCGGCGTCCGCGCGGTTGATAGTGTAGAATAGCACGAACGCGAGCAGCATTAATTGTTCGATCAATCAAAGGACAGATACCAAAAAAAGTCCACTTATGAGAAAGGCTTCTGAGTAATGAATCCATTCTGCTAAACCTAAGAAATAACAAAGGAAAGTAGATACCCAAATCATCTCACTCATAAAACGCCTTCTCTTGCACCAACGCCTCCACAATCCCCTTATCATGCCCAAAAACCAACCGCGCCCCAAAGATCCTCACAAGCCTCCTCGCCATCTCCAAACTGCGATACCAAGCCGTATGATCCCTCGCCAGCCCCCCATGCGGATGCCCCGCCTCGTAGTTCTCCTTTACATGGAACTGATCCGTCGTCCAGAGGAAAACCCCATCCTTCTCCAAATTAACCTGCATCATACACAAGCCCGGTGTATGCCCGGGGGCATGATGCAGGGTTATCCCCTGGAAGATCTCGAAATGCGGATCCGTGAATGTCTTCCAATTGAGCTTTTCGAGGTTGAGGTAGTCGCCCAGGTACACGCCGAGGTCGGCGCCCGTGGCGACCGCCCAGCACGCGTGTTTGAATTCCTCTTCGTGCACGTAGATGGGGACGTTGCTGTCGAGGAAGTGCTCCAGCCCGCCGGCGTGGTCAAGATGCAGGTGGCCGATTATCACGGCGGTGATGTCGGAGATGCGATACCCGGCGGATTGGATTGCGGCGGGGAGTTTGTTTGCGTCGGTGTATTCGGTTCGCGGGAAGACGTCTGTTAGGGGGGCAGGCCATTTCTAGTCATCGCTTTAGTAAGGGATAATTCACATCCGGCATGTGTTGAGGAGCGGAGCGCACCACTTCTAGATCCTCAGCACACCCCGTCTCAAAGAGGATGAGGCCGACGCCCGGGTACTCGATTAAGGCTGAGAGGACGACGAGGTCGCGGCGTTTGTTGACGGGGTTCATCTCGCTGAGGCAACTTGCGTTTGCGCCGCGGAGGATCCTGATACTCTTTTAGCAAAATAACGTTGTTGGAGCATCGGATCCCGATGCAGAATAGACGTACCATGATTCATCGGCTTGAAGAGTGCCCAGGTTCAGGATATGCATTTTCGTTCCGGGCGGGCATTTGAAGGCCGGCACGCCGGCTGCGATGAGTAGCGATGCAGGGTCCGGAGTACCATTTGCTGTCATTGTTTCTAGGTAATGCTACAACTCTGAAACGGGTACCCTTCAATGTTCCTAGAAAGGAGAAAAGGTGGTAGAGGCCGAAGAAGGAGGATAGAGTAAAGAACAACGCATCCGTACTCCACCAGCTATATATAGAACAAACACCATCGGCATTCAGGGCGACTCGGATGTGTAGGAAGTACAGCTGTAACCTTGAACGCGGGGAAGCTCCTTCCCCGACCCCGCTCTGTTGGTTTACGTACGTACTTGGCCCCCACAGGGCAAACAAAACAAGGAAAGACTCCATTTACCCGCCGGAGCCGGACAGCGCGCACCGAAGGCCCGAGCAGCGGACATGTACTCCAACTACGTATAGGTGAGGGGTGTCTACTCTCGGAATAAGGCCGAGTTCGGTACTAACTACCCTAATATCGAGCCGATAGTGCTTTTTACAGAAGGCTATATTGAGTTGCGAGATGGACGATACTATGGACGCAGTGATCTTTCGAGGCCCGTTCGACGTGGTGGTTGAACGTCGACCAACCCCGGAGATTAACGAACCGACTGATGCGATGGTGCGGGTTCCGGTGTCCGGCATCTGTGGGAGGTGAGTATCCGAGGCCGATTTAGAGCCACGAGTCCCGACTCGATCTGGTGACCTTCGTGCATATCGAGGGCGCTGCGTGCTGGAAGTAGTACGCAAAGGCGCGGCGCTCGCGCCAGACGGTGTTTGGGGATGCGGAGATGGGGAGGTCGAGGATTGAGGTCGTTGTTGGTAGTGAGGAATAGGTGGTGTTTGTCGGGGAGGTGTGCGCGTACTCGCATTTGTACTTTGCGGCGAGGCACCGGCGACAGCTGGGTTTTTCTTCGCCGCATTTGATTTTTCGGGTTCTATCTCTTGTGAGTAGGAGAGGTTTGTAACGCTTCGGCCCTTGGGAGACGCACTTGCAGGCCTTGCAGCCGCGGCGGGACCTGAGGGGGCCGATGCGCTCCGGTGGTGAGCGTGTTGGAGCGTAGGCCGGCATGGCTGCTGCTGCTGCTGCAGTTCAGATCGTCATAAACTAAGCCTTTCCATTTGCGATTGAACCATTCTTCGGCGGTATTTCCAGTAAAGAAGTAAATCCCTTAGCTCAACCCCAAGAAAAGGTCAGCAGAAGGGTAACGCGCAAAGAGGGCGAGTGTCCAGAAAGTTGGAGAACGAGAGCAGAAGAACCGCGGCGCCAACACCAGAAAAAGGCTTTGGGGCTGCGGTGGGCCTGCCGGGGCCACTCCACTTTGGGGGCCTGAGGCACTGCACTGGCCACTGGCCGCGAACTATCGATTCTGCAAATGGACCAGATCGTCTTTACTTTTCAGCTCCCAGGCGAGAGCCCCGAGACCGCGTGCTTGACTGACGTTCGGAGAAGACCGTTGAACATGCACTCGAACTTAATCTATCAGGAATGCTCGTATCTCAAAAGCCACCAGATCCCAAATCCAAACTCCAACCCACCCATGAATCCCATACAAAAGAAATCCGCGTAGCGTAGCGCAGCGTCGCCATGAACATGCACCAGATGCACAATACCAGACAATAGTAGTCACAATAACCCATGTCAAGCACCACCCAATGCAACCCCTCCAACACAGCATCTCCCAATCATCCCCAAACATTCAATTTAATACCCCTCCTTGGTCGAATAAACCCCGGAAACGGGGGTCTCGACATCATGCGCCCTGCGCGCCCCGCGCGCCTCGCGTGCCTCGCGCGCCATCCAATGCAGCTGCTTCATCCGGAGCTCGCGCATATACTGCCTCTGCTCCTGGCCCATCTCCGGCTCGCCGCCCTCGCCGTGGAACCCGTTTGTCGCGAGGTAGTGGATCGAGTAGCCCATGAGTGTGAAGACGACGCAGCCGACGATCACGAGGAGGATGATGACTTCTTTTGTGAGGGCCATTTTTGAGGTGTATGAAGGTCTCGGTGGGAGGGGTTTGGAGGGCTGTGAGAAGTTGGGTTAGTGGGTGTCTTTGGGGGTTGTAGTTGGGGAGGCTGCGCTGGAGGGGGCTGAGTAGCGTACTGTAGGTAGGTAGGTGGAAAGGATGGTAGGTAGATAGCCAGTGAGTGAGCGACCTCTTCTCGCAAGTAAGCCAATGAATGTACCGAAATGAGCGTAAGATAGATAATATAATTGAAAGACTGACAGAACAGAGAGACGGAGAGAAAGACAGACAAAAACCATCAACCCCAACCCACCCAACCCATTCTTATATACACAACCACACAATCTAAATAAAGACCTCTGTCCTTGAACCCTCCCCACCCGTTACCGTTTCATCCCAGCAAGGATCCGTCCAAGCGTCCGCGATACATACTCAGGAGGGTCCGCCGCAAGACATATACTCCCCGAAGCGGGATCGAGCCGGTTGCTGTGACGTCATTTGCGAGCGGGCCAATCGGAGGCCGCGATTTTGGGGAAAAGGGCAGGCGCTAATTTCCCGGCCCGCGTATCAGAGGCGGAGCTGAGGATTCTCGTCCCTGAGGAGTCTTGAGGTGCAGCAGCTGGAGCTGGCTGGCCTTGTGGTGCCGCGTGCTTTGGTGGCATGGAAGAATTTGTCAAGCTAGACGGGCGAGGGAGATATGCTGTCCCGTGCTGATTTGTCGGATCTTGGGCCCCTGAGTTGGTTTCTTGGTTGTTGGGGATTCGGCATGGCTGCGCGAGGCGGGTTCCACGTGACTACTAGGTACGTGGGCTGAATTCAGGGACGGAAACGCAAGGTTAAAGGCATGAGAAGTTCCTGCCCGTCACAGCTTTGAGGTGCCGACATGTTGCGATATTTCGAGGCAAGCGAGCCGCTGCAGCCTAGTGTCATGAATCGTCTCTATTGCAAAGCTCTATCTATCTGATCTCCAGCAGATCCCGCCTATTCAAAGTAGCCCGGGAACAGCCAGTTCATCTTCTCCTTCGCCTCAGCACTCCAGTTCGCCTGCGCAGTGCTCAGACCAAACTTGACAGTGCCGGTGTAGTGCTTGGCCTGGATAAGGTCCGCGTTCTCATCAGCAGCAAGCGCGTCCAGCACGACAGTGACAAAGTGCTTGGCGTTGACGGCGTTGGCCTTCATATTGCCCATGACCATCTCGATGGTGACGTCGTCGCCGGACTCGTGCCAGCAGTCGTAGTCGGTCGACATGCAGATCATCTGGTAGGCGATCTCGGCCTCGCGCGCGAGCTTGGCCTCGGGGAGGCACGACATGTTGATCACGGAGCCGCCCCACGAGCGGTACAGCTTGCTCTCTGCGCGGGTGGAGAATTGGGGGCCCTCTATACAGTTACAGCGGTTAGCAACGAATGTTCTGGCACTGTATCTCACGAAGTGCAAGCGTACCCATGCAGATGAGCGTGCCGCGGTCGTGCAGCACGACCCCCTCGCCCTCTAAACTATGTCCGCAAGCCCATACGATCTTCGCAACGCCCTCATTGAATGGATCGCTAAATGGAACGTGCCTAACAACGCCTCCCTCGAAGAATGTAAACAGTCTGATGCCCTTGGTGCAGTCAATGACCTGGTCCGGGACGACGAAGTCGCGGGGCTTGATCTCCTCCTGCAAGCTGCCGACGGCGGAGAAGGCGATGATGGTGCGGACGCTAATGGAGTGGAGGGCGGCGATATTAGCGCGGGCAGGGACCTCGTGCGGCGCGATCTAGTGGTGTGCGCTGTGGTGGCTAAGGAAGGCGACCGCGATGGTCTTCTCGCCATGCTGGTGGTACAGGACCGTGATTAGGGATGATGGCGTGCCCCAGGGCGTCGTGATGTTCAGCGAGGCGACCTGGGTGAAGCCGGGGAGTTCGCGGAGGCCGGTGCCGCCGATGACGGCGATGGGGACGGGCGCTATAACGCTGGAAGTCAGCTATCATCAATCCAGAGTGTCTCGAGGCAACCCCGCGTCGGCTCACCGTCGTATGTGTTAGGGAGGGCAGCCATTCTTTTCGCGAGCTGTTTGGGCGATTCGATTCTTCGGAGGGGTCGTGTAGCGAGGCGGGAGGAGAGGAGGAGAGAGAAACGACGAAGCAGCATGCACCAGCGAGAGAATAAAACCGTTTGACAAACAATTGCCGCCGTGAAGGCGCAATTTGGGCCCAACGCCGAAAATCTCAGGGGCGGGGTCCCTCCGCGCCCCGATTGGCGCAATCAAATCGCGGCTTATCGCCGGCCCACGTGCTCCTCATGCACCCAGGCTGTACATAAGGCATGTATCAGGCACCAGTCAATTATCTTCAAATAATCGCAGTCTCAGAGCGCCCAACTTTTGTTTTCTTTTTCTACCCCTTTAGTTTAATTTGAGAATCATCGAGTGTTGAAACTATGGAAAGAATATGTGGGGTTGATTTGGCGTACTTGCTTACCTTGTAGGATACCTTTCGTCATTTTAATGATCCCAAAAAGTAAAGTATATATCTGTCAACAAGCAGAACAATCAATACCATTCGTCTCTTTAACTACACACCTATTTATACATACCACTTGTGGATAAACCAATCTACCGCGCCCCCTCATAGTCGTCACCCTCCTCGAGCGGAAAACTCTTCCAACGCGACTCCCATTTCCCTGACCCAGGCCAAAGCGCATCAACCGCTTCCCTTAGCTTACGCGGTAGCCCTCGCCTGGGATTGGGACCGTCTCCTTCCATCAGCCGGTGCTCGACCTCTAACTCGTACGCACCCTTGGCAATTCTCTTGATCTGCAGTGGCTCGAAGGCGTCAAACACCGGCCGCGCCACCAGGAAGGTCTGCCCGACGGTCATGGGAAGATACGCCTCGGGCATGCTGAAGACTTCGGAGCCAAAGGGGCGGACGGTGAGATTACGAAGGGCCTTGCTGGACTGGTTCTTGAAGATCAGGTTCCAGATGCTTTGGGCGAGGTCGCTATCTGTTGCGGCGTTGATGAGGATTTCCCGGAGCTCGATGGGATCGGGGCGATGATTCTGATATATTGAAGGGGTGCGGTTGTCGTAGTGGAGGTCTAGAAGGAGAGAGCGGAGACTGCTGAAGGATCCAATGGCTTTGTACATGGCGCATTCGTCTCTGTCGCCCTTGGTGCGTTTAAGCGGAAGTCGAAGCTCGCGAAGCAGCGGGGTACACTCTTCGATCCGTCGGACATCCGCAGGTGTCATTGCCGGGTACTTGAAGTAGTTGTCAATCACTCGTCCCCCACGGCTTCTTGTTGTGGACTCAATCAGGAGGCCCTCGAGCGAGGGCCCGTGGTATTCAAGAATCGAGTGGAGGGTTGCCACATTGCGGACTCCTCGAAGACAAAGGTATTGCAATGGGCGGAAGGCCACAATGGCCTCTACAATGCTTTGGTTATCGACTGAAATGTCTGGTTCCCGGCCTAGATAAGTGTCGAGAGAGATGAAGAGCCGCTGGAGACTTGATAGACGTGGTGCCATTTCCCGTAAGAGATCTGGATGCTCGTAGATATGGAAATCGAGCGACTTGAGCGTTGAGAGGTCAAAGATACTGGTTAAATCCATCAGGATTTCCTCACGAGGACCAGAGCTTGAGATCGTGAGAGATTCTAGCTTGGCCCTCGCTTCTGGGGGAGAAAGCGCCCACTTTTCGTTCCCCATAACTATTTCTTCATATGTACCCCAGCGACTATCCAGGCGAACCTCAAGGTGTCGAAGGTTGCGGCATGCGGCGAGGTGTGACAGGTGTCGGATCATGTAGGCCTTCGGTACCGGCGCAGTAACCTTCTTCTTCGAGTTGGCGGGACACAGTGCTGTACAGCTCCGAAGGCTAGAGAGGCAGTACTCATCCATGCGCGGAAGCGAATCCAGAAGAGGGTTTGTGTTGAGAAATGTCTGCTGATGGAGTGGAGGGTCCATGAGCGGCGTAGCCCCCTGCCAGATGTTCAACGTGCAGCTAGGATGGTATTTGGCAAGTGCTTCGTGTAGAGGCATCGGAAACCGGTTTAATGGCGCATAGTTGAACTGCATCAAGCATTTAAGACGAGATACAAGGGTCGCCACTGGCTGCCAATCCTCTTTCCAGAATGCATCGAAGGCCCAGCGCCATGCATAAGGTTCGAAACGGGATGCCGGAGTGACGCCCAGCAGGAAGTATCCCTCCAGGAAGAAGGGAAGAGCGACCCGTGGAATGTGACCAAATACGTTCGCGCGCATGTCCTTGACAGATTCGGAGATTTTACGGGCGTCGAAACAAACCAAGTCCCGCAGACAGATCAGGTCAAGGGTCCGAGCGTGTTCGAGGTATAGGGCGCCGTAGCCCGAGTCGTGGAATTCCGAAAGAAGCTGTTGTGTGTCGATACCGTTATTTAGCGTGATAGTGAGGTTCTCAAACAGCACTGGTGTTGACGCCTGCAGCAAGATGCGACTGACGCGACGCAGAGTGGCCAGGTCGTTGGTGTCATGTTCCCGAGCCTAGATGCGATGATTAGCCTAGGGAGGGAGTGTACAAGACAGACAGAATACATAGATGCAAATCAGTCGCAGTATCTCCGGCGGTAGACGGTCCATGGCTGCGGATGGTGCAAGATGGTAAGGATCTAGGAGCGGTCGGAACGGGAACGGGTTCTTATATGTCTGCTACTAGTTCAAATGCACGCAGTGTGGTGGCTTCTTGGCCGGAAGGCTTCTGGCCATTCACATCCTTGTGTCACTCCGGCGACTCCAGGTCACCAACACAGACCTCCTCTCCTCCAACAGTGAACACCATCTATTCTCTAACTCTTTATACTTCCTCTGCATCATTGGGAACTCATGATCTATTGGTGACTACACAATGGCAGGGTGCCGCCAATCCACCCTCGCCCAGTTCCACCCCGACAATGTTCGGAGGCTCCCCATGACGGCGGGGCGGAAAGGATGGCTCTGAGGGACCACCGTGTTCCAGTACGTGGCTGTCATCTGAATCGTTTCCGCCACCCACCGCTCTGTCCGATCCGCGTGATATTTGATCATGTGGTTGAACCATTCGTCCCAGGCCGACAGCAGGTCGATTTGGGAATTCGGGTTCCAATCGTTGTATTCTTCCTCGAGGTGGACCAACACTTTGCGCACGTTTCGGACGAGGACTTTGAGGGAGTCCAGCACATCTGGCCGGTTCAAATAGATCCACACTGCTATTGCGGACTTGATCTCACCCAGAATCTGCCCCGGCCTTGCGATGTTGGCGATGAGGAGAGTCCTTCTCGTGTCGTCCATGAGACGATTGTTGGCGAAGATCTGGTTGGGTTGATCAGCCTAAATGCAATAGAACCCAAGGGGAAAAGGGTAACGGATCTGGAACTTACCCTACTCTTCATGCCATTGACAACCTTCTCGAGAAGATAGAAATTATCCTCATTAGTCGACGACCCCAAAGCGTTCATCAGTCGCGCTGCTGGTTCGGCACTTAACAAATCCGCCGAGAACAGAGGAAACCTATTCAAGTCCATGTAATTGTTGTCTTGCAGGATGCCCTCGCCTCCACGGGTTTGCGGAATGAACAATTCACAAGGAATCGGATCAAAGTCGGAGTCCGACCCGTCCACGAGTCTGCCCCAGGTAGCGTACTGGAGAAACTGCGCGATGATCTGAAGCTCCAGGATATGCTCGGTGTCATGGTGCCGCCCGGTCTTCATCTCCGGTTTCAGGTCAGGGTTCCCACAGTCGGTGGCAGACATGTAGGATAGAGCATTTCGGAAGATACGTGTGTGTGCACCCCATAGCCCCGCCCGTTTGTAGGGGCGTGGCATGATGGACAGTCCGGTTTGCCAACCTTGCGGGATCCCAGGGCCAGGGGAAGTGTGGCAAAACACGCGGAACACCTTGGCTGCGACACGTTTGTCCAATTCCGAAGTCGAAGTCGAGCCTCTAAACAGGTCATCAGGGTCAGGCAACACGTGTGGGTCATCGCCATCTTCTATTTCTTCCGTCTCGCACAAATCTGGGTCCGCGTCTGGGTCGCAGGGATCGCCCAGGCAGGGCCAGGGAACATCCTCGGTCTCCAGGGTCTCGTTGTAGATCTGCGGTCTGCACCACAGACCGTTCGCTATGAACTCGGCCCCTTTTTCGATGAAAACATAGTGATTGAGCAAGTTGGGTTTCATGACGCCCATTCGGAGATTCTCCACCTCATGCTCGAGCGCGAAATCATCGTCCCAGATATCTCCTATTCTTCTTTGCCGCGCATCTGGAGAGACTTCCTTGATCATCTTGGCCGTTTCAGGTAGTATAAACTCGATCACGTCAGAGCGATACTGCGGAGCCACCTCGACATCATCGCCTTCCACGTTTGGTCCTGGCACATGGTCACAACTGCCGTCCAGCTCGTAGCCATCAAGGACATCCGCGAATCTCTGGATTGAGGGATCTTCGCGAGTCTCCGTTGTGTAGTAGCCATCTTTGCAGCAGAAGACGCGCTTTCCGCCGTATTTTAAGCAATCCCCTGTTTTCTCCATCGCGAGACGCACCGTGCCAGCGGGACAGGTCGAGCTGCAGTATCCCTCAGACTTGCCCTCGGGTGGGGGATCTGTATCGTCGTGCCAGTCACACTCATTCCAGGTCCTGATAGAGTCGTCTGGGTTATAACACAGCTTCCGGTACGTGGTTTCATAGACTGGCATATTGAGATCCCACTCAATAAACTCACCAAGGCAGCCCCTGGACCCGCTTCCATGGTGGGATTCGCCCAGGATCTCGGTCTTTGTTCTATCCGGCAGGACAGGACAGGTTCCCAGATCGCAGCGAAAAGTCGGTTCCCACTCCACAGTATCATAGAGCTGAGTGCTGTCTTTACCGCGCTCGCAGCAGGCTGTCTGGCGATCGTGTGGAAGCCCGGGATGTGTGCGTCGTAGACGGATGCGCTTTGCGTGAGGCATGTTGCGACTATCATGGTTAGAGTTGCGTGGTAGGTGAGGAGGAGAGCGGTTGTGCTTGTGTTTGGGTCTGGTTTTATTTGTGAGGTGGGGGAAGAGGTACTCTTTAGAGATGCTGTATCGGTTAGTTTGGTGAAGGCGCAATACCACCGTTTCAGGCTCTCTCGAAGGGTGATTTGCTTTGCAAGAAGCTCTGGGGTTATCTTTGGTTAAATCCCGAGCCAAGGGTTGCTTCCGGCGTCCTTTTGAAGAAGAAGGACTTTGTACGCTAGTAGCATTAGGGCGTCGCGGGCTGATTCCAGTGATATAAAGTGATACACCCCCTGGAAGTCTAATAGGTCAAACAAATCGCAGGCTAGAATACCCGAAATTATCAATGCAACTATCCCCAGCCAGATGAACAGCGGCACAATCATACTCTCTAGCAGCGCAACCAAATACGCACCACCGCCGACCCTCAAATCGAGAATCAACCTAACGCCTTGGTAATAGAGCTGCAGCGCCTCCTTGACACGCCCCTGCAGCATCTCAATATACATAAACAACACACAGCTAACGAGCGCAACCTGCAAATCCGCACTTCCACGGTCAATCTCCGTGCAGATCTTCGCCAGCGACCGCGCGTACCAGCCCAGCGCCTCGCCCTGCTGCCAATTCAACTGCGGCGCCTTCTCATCCCTGAGTCTCAGAAACACGAAATCAGCATAGAGGTTTGGACTCTTAAACAGCGTGCTAATTGCATTCACAGCGTCCCAAACCACCAGCTCAGTCCAATAGACCTGCGGCACGACACTACCCCAGAAGGCCTGGTCAAGGCCGCCGGCGAGGTAGGGCATCAGAAGACTGCAGGGGGTTATATTATGGTACGTCCCAGATGTTTATTACCCGTCTCTGGGACGATAATGTTCAGAGAAATATATTAGGGCGACGAGTTCGTCAGCACAGTCGAAAAAGTCGGGGACGACGTAAAGCTCTTTACTCCAGAAGACAGCATAGTATCAATCTTCTCCCCCTGCTGGTACGCCTCCCCAGGCCCGTGCCAGAAATAACAACCTACAAACTCGCAGCATGAAATGCCGGTACTGCCAACAAGGCCTAACAAACCGATGCACATTCGGCGCCGCATTCGGTTTCGCAGCCGTAGACGTACAAGCCGAGTACGTTCGAATTCCACACGCAGACGGTACCCTGCGGCATGCGCCAGCCGGACTAGATGATCGACTGCTCATCATTATGGCCGATATCTCTCCGACGGGGCAAGGAGGGGTATGAATTATTTGAGCAGCATAAGGCGAGGACGGTTATACTCTGCATATAAGGACATGTAATAAGACATCAGCAATGTAGACAATCCATTCTGAGGTCACTCACTCATGTATATTTCGTCACAAGACAAGCAGGCCGCACCTCAAACCGCCGACGGCGCCATCCCGCTAATACGTCCGGCAACTTCTGCCCCATATAATTCAACGTCTTCCACAGGGGATAATCAGTCACCTCGGTCCCTTCAACGATATCCTTCCACAGAAAGCTGCGACTCGCTTCATCCCAATAAAATGTCGGCCCTAACAAATGCGAGCTCTCAATCTCCCGCCACTGCGTCGGATTCCTAGCGGCAGTGACATGCTCAGCCTCACACTCACCACCGACGCCCTCCTCGGAACGGAACTCGACTATCACGAATACGGTCACGATGGTATAGTAATGATCAAACAGTTCAGCCAAGCAATTTGCCTCGTTGGACAGGATCCAATCGTCAATCGCGAGTCTTGAGAACGCGGGGCCTGGACAGCCTAGATGTCGCTCGACCAGGTCCTCCTCAAACGGCCGCTCCAGCGGCTCGCAGATGAAGTCGTGCCATTGGCTCCGCGCGACGTAGAGGGTGTCGGTTTCTGCATTGAAGGGGCGGATGAAGACGAGTTGTCCAGATTTCTGCCTGTCGAAGTTGATGGTTAGGTTTTGGTTCTGGATCCAGTTGAGAGCGACGCTGCGCGCTTCATGATTTACGTGGAATAGTGGCAGGTTGAGCTTGAGAGAATCCAGGAGGGTATGATTGAATTCAAAGTTGAGGTTCAGGTCATCGTTCATCGAGTCGTATTCGAGATCGGCCGGGGTGAGATGGCGGGGGCCCCAGCAGCCCTTTTTGTAGGGGAATGCGGCTGAACCTGTTCCCAGGGTTGCGGGGAGGGAATCGTGCCAGATGTGGAGGCGGAGTTCGGTTGGAAGACAAGGAAATAGATGAAACTTGGCATTTGCCATCCGGATCGGGTTCATTGGAGTGAGGAAGAGAATGGAAGCCACGTTGGATCCGGTAGTGAGGGGCTGATGGGGACCAGTGGGGAATCACATGACGGCTGCCTGCACTTGTAAGCAATGGATATTTCAAGACAAATTTCAGTTATGTGCAGGGATAATCCTGGACGCTACATCATCCCTATATAACCACTGTTACAACCCAATATCGACAGGGATTCTCGCCCATGTCTCGGATAGGCGCCGCCCAAAAGGAGATGAGCGCCGCACTATGAGACCTCCAAACGGTGTTGACAGCACTGGGTCCCCGTCCATCATGTCTCGACATTCTGGCACTACTAACAAGGTGTAAGATGCATACAGAAGGAAAGCGCAGCGGTTGAGTACCAGTAGAAGCCGATACAGCGCCAGGTACTTTTCGCTTACTGTTTGGGAAAGAGCAAAGGGCCGCTCGTCACTTTTATAAAATGCTCATCCGGCTGCGAGCCTCCCCATCGATGCCAACCACCGCCCGTATCGTCATCCATACCATTAGGAAAGAGTTTGAATCATCACATTCTTTTTTTTTATTCATTTAGATCGTTCTACACTTCTCAGCGGCACCAGGAAAGCCGCCTGGGTCATCCTACACAGCGCGGATGGCATGAGAGGCACGTGATACCTGCGCTGTCAACGTTCACTCAACCAACAACCCACTCCGGCTTCTGCAGTTCATCCCAGGAGCCCCAAATGAGGTAGCCTTCCTTGGGGAAAAGAGACTTGCTAAAGTCAAAAGCCTGGATAGTTCCCACGCCCAAATATCGCGCATAATGAACTTCATCCTCCGTGGTCTGCAGCGACACCAATGCGCAGTTGTGCAGTTCCCCAGGACGAGCAGATCTGATTTCATGCAGGATAATTCCGTACTTCTCGTCCGGATGGATATCGACTGGCTCCCTCATCTTCAACAGCAAGTTTGTGCCCGGCACGCTTTCATCACTCACTGGCATGTCATTCCAGTCATTCCAGTACTGGCGGTCGTCATCCTGGAGATACCGGCGGAGGTCAAGGATCTTGGGGGGTTCAAAGATCCACGAGGGGATATCTGTGATATGCAACCCCCGAGGCGTGATCTTCCCGGGGTCGCCGCCAAGGTACTGGACTTCATCAGTGTACCGGCACACCTTGACTGCCCAGCGCATTCCGTCCTCCTCGAACCGCGGGCCCGCCAGGAACAGCACGTTCTTTGGAAACCCAGCCAACATACTATACAGCTTACGCATTCGCTCGTCCGACCCTTTGACCTTGAGGATCTCCCCAACATCAAGGTTGAGCACACCGGCTAGCACGATCGGTCGATCGCCGTCCTTGCTAGACGCTCGAGTGGCGACGTTGAACCAGTTCCACGAAACGAGTTGCTCCTGCGAGAGGTCCTCGCCCTCGACGAATGGGCTGGCGACGAAGCTGACGAAGCGCTCAAACTTGGATGCGAAATCAATGGTGTGTTGAAAGTACGAGTACCAGGTGCCGACCGCGAGATAGACAATCCTCTCCTGGAGCAGAGGAACCTTGCCCTTTTCGTGCTTGGTGAGAAGCTCGTCGGCAATTGTCGAGACATTGACTGCCTTGTCTGCCAAAAGCACGTAGAGCCTGCTCTTGGCCGCCAGCCCTTCCTGCAGCGTCCACAGCCGGCGGATCCAGCCTGAACAGTAGATCACCCGAAGGCAGAGCTCGAGGCTGCTTGCGGGGCTGGACTCGACCTGCCGTATCTCGGAGTCGATGATCATCGTTCGATAAGCTGCAATCAGTCAGTGATATTCAATTGCCAGTCTTGACAGTTACACGTACCACCGAGATACGTATCGCGAATACGCTGGATTGCCAGACCGCGCACCTCACGCGCATGCGGAATACACAGCGTGTCGATCCACACCAGGACCGAATTGTCACCACGCCGACTCGAGAGAAATGCGCGATGGGCAAGTCTTGCAGCGCCAGTGTGCAGCGGTCCATACGGCCCGTTTTCGTACTTGGGGACATACTCCTTGTCAGTCAGGAGCATTCTTGCCCGCTCGTAGAGCAGTCCCAGTTGGCAGTTGGGAAGAGAGTTGGTATGTGGGTTGCCCAAACCATCAGCCCACACGTGAGATATGGAGGCGTATCGCGTGCTGCTCCGCTTCTTCACGACCTTGATTGTATAGTCTCCGCCCTCCTCCTCTGGAGGCGTAATCTCGACGAGTGGGATGCCTCCCTCCTCGAGGATCTCATGCAATGCGGGGATGTCCGCGTGGACGTGCTCACAGCTGCAACCTTCCTCCACATGCCGAGTCACATAGAGACTCTCATCGACGTTATCCGCGATGCATTCCGTTTTCCTGCACAAGGTGTGATTCCTCTTATTCCACGCCGCCTTTGTCCGCACCAGCTGCAGCAGATACGCAGCCGTGTCGACCTCACCCCCAGCCTGCCGACACTTCTCCGCATCCAGCGGGCACCACCCGTTCTGGACCATGTGCTCGGCCAGATCCGGCCGGGCAAACATCCACTTCAAGACATGGCTCGGTTTCTCATGTGGACCGTCCCGCTTATTCGCGACGTACCAGAGAGCCTGGCAGATCAGCTGGATCGCGAAGCCCATCTGCGGGCTGAGGTACGGCGTATATCGGGGAAGTTGCCCGCAGACTTTGCCGACAATCTCGACGGAGCGCTCCCCGTATCCCTTCTTTTTCCACTCCTTGGCGCTGCCAATGTATTTTTCCAGATGCTTCGTCGTGAGGTATTGCCGCTGCTCGCCTTTCTCTTCCCCGTCCCCGTCCCCGTCCCCGTCCCCTTCCTCAGTGAGAAGAAAGTCGGCCTGATCCAGGTCATCCCCAAAGACGTAGTGCAGCAAACCAAAGTACAACCAACTTCTGATTGCGGGATGATATTCTTCGGGGATCTTGCCCTGGTGGAACTTTGGCGTCCACGGTTCGGAATACCAGCCCTGGCGCACGGGGTATGTAACCCAGTCACTCCCATCGTAGAGTATGCCGTCGTACACGATGCGAAGGGGTTTCGGGGGCTCGTCGGGAAGAAACACATGCTCCGCCATTGTACCTTTTATCTGCGCTTTCAAGTGGAAAGGAGGAGTGTTTTGGACAGGTGAATCTACCCCGCCTCAGCTGAACTTCGCATTTAGTCTACAGAGAGAGAGCACGTGATGCCAAGGAGCCCCAGCCACCCTCAAGCGACGAGCTGAACACCTCGCCTGTTGGCAACGCCTGAAGACTCTAGTCACTAACCGTAACTAGTAGCATGGCGGTTGCAAATGGCCTTGCCTGACAATGATACCCAGCTCTATAACTGTAAGGTCACGAGACCTCCTAGACAGATATCCTGGCCAGAGAGGTACACCATTGATTGCCCAATATATAGTACAGTCCGTGTCTTAAATACAACCAGTAAGAATAAGTTAGCTATTACTGAAAGAGATTGAACATTTCTCCCAGAGGCACAGAAAAAATGTGATTACAAGGCCCTGCATAAAGACCCGTTCTGGTGTTGAACTAGCTGTTCACTGCCAACACAGCTTCGGCACCACAGAATATTGTCCGGATCGTATTTCTGCTTGATAGCCTCAAGGCGCGGGTAGTTGGGGCCCCAGAAAGACCATTGCCAATCGGGCTCGTAAGGGTTTGCCTAATATATAGAATTAGATTCATTGGTTTGAGAAAAGTAGAGAAAGCAAAGTTACCTCGTTAATATACGATCCGCTGTCTGGTGCGAGCTGGCGGAGAGCATACCCCTTGCCGTAGGTCATTTCCTTGATCACCTCCTCCGCAACTTCATCAGGCAAGGTGTCGTCCCACTCCTGCTCTGAAATGAGATGAACGACTGTTTCTCGCCAAGCTGGGTTCAGTGCATTATCCACTGGTGTCTTGCCGACTGTCATGGTTCCGGACAGAGAAGGGTTAGACACTCCGTTCTATCAATGTTTTTGTCAGTACCCGTGTCACATTCCATACCAGGGTGGAAGACATACCTCTGGCGCCGAGAAACGAGGTCCAATCTCTTCCAATGTTCGGGCAAAAAGATCTCTATCTTCGATAGCTCTCCGGGTTACAAGCCTCGAAGCACGAACGCTTCGCTTCGTGCCCACGCCGCTAGCGTCCGCCAATGGTCCCAGTTTCTGAATCAGCTCGTACCAAGTCTCCGTCCAAAGCTGAGAGATCTCTTTAACAACAGATGAATTGGCGTTGTTCAGGGCGTGTTCCAAGGGCCGAATCACCTTCCTTGCTTCTCCTGCGCTGCTCGCGTTGTAAACGAAGATCGTGTTATGGAAACCCATCGGCGGTCCAGTAATGGTGTAATATCCAGCGTACCCGGCATCCTGCAAATCCGCCATCTCCCTGTGTACTGTTGCGATGGTCCTCCACCAGTGCTTTGCAGATGTGTGGTTTAGCGGCGAAACATCGATGTTGACAATTCCCACCGAGGGCATCGGATGGGCCTTGACCGTAACGCTGATGATCACTCCAAAGGTGCTTCCACCCCCTCCGCGAATGGCCCAAAATAGATCGGAATAATCCCGCTCATTCACTCGAATGAGTTCTCCGTCAGGGGTGACAAGCTCTGCCTCGAGAATGCTATCCGCCCCCATACCATACTGACCGGTGGCATATCCGTGACCACCTGCAGCAGACCAGCCAACAACTCCAACATCCTGCAGGGGTTAGTTAGACTTGGAAATGGAAAACTGTGGAAGGAAGGGGCTGTATTAAGGCCGGAATGTCATACCGAGTTTGTTCCTCCAACAGCAATAGCGCCATGCTTTGCCATCGCCGCAAACAGCTCGCCGTCCTGAATTCCTGCCCCGACAGTACCTGCCATATGGGGCTCGCAAGTATCACAGGCTTTGAACGATTCGTGAAACTCGAATCCTTTCATGTTGTGTGTCCAGATACTGTGTATGTTAGTGGAAGGGCCTGGGCTGGAGTCCAATCTTGTAGGCGAGCACATACCCTAAACTACCATATGCCGAACTAGTGACCATGTTAGTGCAAGGGTGCGGTGCTGGTGTGGTTGATATTGAACGAACCTCTTTTCGGGATTATGGCCCGTATTCTTGATGTTCAAGCGGAGATTATTCTTCCTAGCAAATCGGATTGCACTCTGCACATGTGCCGCCGTCGTTGCATTTACCACGTACGGTGAGAGATTACCCAGTGAACACCCTTTTGATGCCGCATCAGGATCTCCTGATATACTGGTCCCGTTCCTGTAAAGTGGCTGGCAAGCAGCGCCGGACCAGGATGGATCCAGAATGCTGTACGGATTCGAGGAGTGGAAAGGAGAGGTGGTCCATGCATCAACAATGGCCTGGCACTCGGTCGCGTCGTAGTTGTCTTCAGACTTATAGCAGACAGCAGCCGGTGGGATGGTCTTTAGCAGCCGGCCGGAAAGGGTTTTGTTGAAGGCTGCCCATTCGTTGGCAGATGGCGCATCAGAAGGGCTCTAGCACATGGCGAATCAGTAATCGCCTGAGATGATCCTCACTAGAGAAGCATGACACTCACACATTTGCAGTCGGGCACGGAAGAAGCAGCAGTGGTGAGTTGGGTACCCAACCCGAGGGCAATAAAGGCGTACAATGAGATATGCATCTCGAAGAGCTGCTGTTAAGTATTGTTCTCTGACTTTCACAGTCTGTACAGGACCTGAGGCTCGTCTCCTTTATATACTATGAACTTCGTATACGTTTACTTGGGAAACAGGTATGTGGGGAATGGGCCTACAATGGATGACGATCAGCGCCAGTGGCGCCGTGCTATGCGTGGCAAGGAAAATCGCATCTGCTCCACGGGACGGGGATTTGATGATGTAAACGAAGCCCTCCATCTGGAATAGTCTTGAGTGCTTGAGCAGTGAGCTCAATCTTGCGTTTGGATTTCTAATGGAAAACGTGGCTAGGGGGAACCTTGAGTTGGCAAGGCCCATCACCGAGGTTAAGCCGACCTGCCCGTAATCGTATCAATAACCCAATCTCGAACGTGGGTCCACCCGATCCTATGAGTCTCTTAGCCATGGAACCGAAATACTACTCCGGAGTAGTAAGAAGACTGCTGATCGCGCCGCGCCCGACTGGTTTCTGACCCCTTGACGAAAATTTCGGTGATCAAGATCCATTGGCGGATCCCTTCATGGAACGATTCCGAGACCCAGCAGATAGGCAGAAACGTTTCCAGCTTTATTTGGCATTATCGAAAATAGCCCTACATGCCTTCCGGCTATAGTATTGATATCTATATTGGGGTAACGGTACGAATGCGACCGGTAGTTTGTCGCCCCCGGGCCTCCAACCTCCTATCAGGTAGAATTTTTGTTACGCTGAGAATTTAAACAACATGATTCCCTCCTCCCTCAAGATCGAATGGACTCCGATTTGTCCAGGAGGGGGTCGAGCACAGCAAGTGTCCACAATAAGATCAGAACCTGACCTCAAGTCATTCACCATGCCGCAACAAAAGTCAACGTCGCCACAGACGACACCCCTAGAACCAAGTTCAGGCTTTATATTGTTATAGGCTCATTGGTAGCATTAACATTCATCTTGATCATTGCCCGAGTGGCCGACAGCGAAACACCACGAGCCAGAACTAATACTTGCTTGGGGTATACCAGTGGTAAGCCGGCCCAACTTTAGAAATGATATCAGTCATACTAGTCCGTATTTTTGCGCACTTTTTACTATGCCTTTATCCTTCATCATCGCGTCACTGTCCTGGGTCATAGAAGGATTATTAGAGCATAGTTCGTAATATTGTGAAAAGTGAGAGTGCTGAATTAGTTAATGGTGGCCACGCAAGGGCATGAGAGCAATAGAAGTAGCTTGTCAACAATGCTTGCAGGTCTTTTATCTTCTTGTCGGGCCTGGACGTTATGCTGTGGGAATGCAGTGGGCTTGCAGACGCAGCAAGCGAATTCCATGAAGAAAAATAACTCCATATTCCTCGCGAAACACAGTACCCCGCTTGTAACTGGTCAACAGTCCCTTTGTTTGATCTCGTTGTATCGGATAGAAGCTTCCAGTCATGTAATTTCCATGTATTGGCTAGATCTAGGTTCTGAAAGATCTTTCCTTCTTCATGCATTCTAAACCATTCCAACCTCCACTTACGATTTGTGGAAGTATTCCGACAGCTTGATGCTCAGCTCTACATAGTGCAGGGCCGATCCCCCAGCAGTTTATATAGGCTAGCTGCTATGTTGTACCATTGTGCCGTGATTCCCAGAAGGGGTTTTGGTTGCTCAAAAAGAGCGTTACTAGCTAATGTGTATGGGACTATTCTTGAATCGAATAGCACCAAGTGTTTGAAATCATGTAGTCCTCGTATGATTTAATATGAAGCCTGGTTAGCTGACTCCGCGGCGCGCCAGCGAGCCAGGAATCGTATTCGCTTTCATGGCCGCATACGGCCCCGGGGAAGTCGTCGGGGTAAACTAGAAGGATACAACTGGTTTGACGGCGAAGCGGGGTAGTAACTAACATAGTATCTTCCCCGCGAGCATCCAGCATAACCAATGACAATCGTCCGATACTGCGAGCCTGGCAGGTTTGGCCACTTGAACAAGGAACTAGCACATTCTTGGCTGCAACCTAGGGTCAGTTTATTAGATGATCAAGGCGAAGGCGTCCACAAAGTTACATCGGTAATATAGTAGCCAGCTCCAGGTGCGCACACTGGCCTGTATAAATACGGGCCTCCAAACCTGTGATGACTCTCCCTAATATCCATTGCATCTCAGCCCGTGATCTTACCACACCAGCTAGCACCGCAAGATCGGAAGCTCCTAAAAGCGATACGGAAGTGGAGTCGATCCAGGTCCAACATGCGCATCATCCCCGGCTCCAAGGGTTTCTGTGAACTTGCTCTCTGCTCGACGCTATTGCCGCTTGGAGCTTGTTCATCGACGGTGTCCCCGCAGAGCTCGGTTTCTAACCACCCAACGAACCTGAGCGAGGCACTTCCTCCGTACCGGAATGCATCCTTGTGTGTTGAAGAGAGGGTCGAGGACCTCTTGAGTCGAATGACCCTCGAGGAAAAGGCTGGGCAAATTTTCCAGCTGCAAATTTTTATGGGTCCTAATGGTACATTTGACCCGGGGGACCCTTCTCGGCGACGAGGCAGCACCGTTGACAGAGTTACCAAGAAGTTTATGACCCATTTCAACGTGGCCTTTGCCACCGAGGACACGAAAGCCACTGCAGAGTTCGTCAATCGTCTTCAGGAACTAGCAATGGAGACACGTCTTGGAATTCCAGTCACGCTTTCAACAGACCCTCGCCACGCGTTTCAAGAGAATGTGGCTGCTGGCTTCTCCGCCGGCACTTTTTCGCAGTGGCCGGAGCCCATCGGACTGGCAGCTATACGAGATGTGGACTTGGTTCGGAAATTTGGGGAAATTGCCCGTGAGGAATACATCGCTACGGGTATTCGAGTAGCGCTACACCCACAAGTTGATGTGACGACAGAGCCACGATGGTCCCGTACCAACCACGGCTTTGGTGAGGATGCGCATCTCACTGCGGAGCTTGTAGAAGCTTACATCCAGGGCTTCCAGGGCCGTGGCAACTTTGGTGCCCACTCGGTTAGCACTGTCACAAAACATTTTCCAGGCGGGGGTCCAGCAGAAAATGGTGAAGATTCGCACTTCAGTTACGGAAAGAACTCGTCATATCCTGGTAACAACTTTGACTATCATCTGATCCCGTTTAAAGCCGCTATTGCAGCGGGTACTCGCCAGATAATGCCTTATTACTCAAGACCTCAGGGTACTCAATACGACTCCGTTGGATGGGCCTTTCAACGAGTCGTTATCACCGAGCTTCTTCGGGAAGAACTAGGCTTTGATGGTATTGTCCTCACCGACTGGAGCATCATTACTGGTTCAAGTGCCACAGGCGAGCTTATACCCCCAAGGGCGTGGGGTGTCGAGGACCTGACCGAACTTGAACGCGCTGCCTTGGTCCTCGACGCTGGTTGTGATCAGATTGGAGGTGAAGAGCGCCCTGATATCATTATCGAGCTTGTTAGGCGTGGCATTGTGTCGGAAGAGCGCATCGATCAGTCAGTCCGTCGTTTACTTCGAGAGAAGTTCCTCCTCGGCCTTTTTGAAACCCCCTTTCTCGATGTTGCCATGTCGGAGAAATGGTCGGCAATGCCTACTTCAAAAAATTAGGCGAAGAGGCCCAGCGCCGAGCGTATACTTTACTCAGCAACAAAGGCTCGATCTTACCACTTCAACCTCGCCCCGAGACCAAGTTCTTCATTGAGGGTTTCAACGTTACATATATGGATAGGCGTCATCTTACTGTGGTGGAGACACCTGAAGAAGCCGATTACGCTCTTCTCCGTCTTGGGGCTCCCTATGAACCGCGAAACGGCACGGTCGAGAGGAATTTCCACGCCGGGTCCCTGACCTACCCTCCAAGCGAGCAGGAGCGTCAGGCAGCGATTTACAGAAGCGTCCCAACCATTGTTGACATGCTCCTGGACCGACCCGCCATTATACCTGAAGTCGTCGAAGGCACCTCCGCGCTTCTTGGCAGCTATGGCAGCAGCCCAGATGCGTTCCTAGATATCGTCTTTGGCATTGCTGCACCCGAGGGCAAACTTCCTTTTGACTTACCCCGGTCAATGGAGGCTGTGAGAGCGAGCATGGAGGACGTGCCGTTCGATACTCGTGACCCGGTGTTCAAGTTTGGCCATGGTCTGAGCTATTCCACCGGCTGTTCGCCTAAACCTACATAGTACATTGTTGGAAGCCCCATTCCTTTGTCTTCCATGGAGGGCTCTAGCACACATGTGTTACATGTCTTCTTTTATGTTATCTAGCTATATCTAGCGGTTCCCTAGCTAGATAGTTTCATTGTTCTGACACACATGAATGCATTATTTTTGGCTATGGCTGAGTTCTCTCCTTGAGCCATAGCGAGCTCTGTCATCCATAGACTATTAAGCCTCGAGAAAACTAAGACTTAATACATAACGAACTGATTTCAATCCCAAGCAGTACTCTTCTGTAGCGCTCGTGAGTTGTTTCGAGTCCGATCAATCCCGGAGAAGAGACAAACCTTCCCGGCCCGACAAGCTCGGCAAAGTTCTTAAGCTGTGGGAAATAATGAGGCATGGAGGACATAATGAAAGTGGTCTGGCATTCTGTATCTATCGCGAAGTAAAGGACTTTTATGTACAGGCCTTCAGGGGTGAACTAAACTAATATAGGAAGGAGATATTATTATAATCTCTTTATAGATACTAGAGAATCTGTACTAATCACTAGATGTATTAATAATTAATTAGGAGGTTATGATATTAGTATTAACCTTTAGTAGTAAAGTTTAATAATTAATACTAGGACCTATAATTCCTAATGTACCTCCATATCTAATGACTCCTTAAAACCACCAAAAATTTAAGCAATAATATTAATTATATATAGTTAAATTGCTTCATGTTAGTCCTTATGATTGGTAGTTAATTTATATATTAGGTAATCACTGCTGGCGGGGGACCTTGCGCTGCGTTTTAATTGCCACCAGCAGCGCTCGGGGTTGGCTGCCCGCCGAGCGACTTGGGCGTCGGCGTGACCTTGAGACCACCATCAAATATGTTGTAGCATGCATCCCTTGCGGACGTGATCGCGGATGCATCGCCCTCGTTCAACCTGGTTTCTGCACCGGCCGCATCCTCATCTGCAATGCCGTAGAAGTGGTGGATAGCCGTGTTGGCCTGCAAAGTGGTCGGTTGTGCCTCTTGGTGGAGCCGGTGGCCTCCCGACACCTTCTCGAGCGCAACTGTCTCATCTGTACCGCTGTTCTTATGCCGGTACCTAAGGACAAGGCTATCGCCACTGCGACAACTGTCGCAACACTTCCAGGACCCAGGGCAAGTGCGACCGACATCAGGCCGCCCGGGGGCCCACTGGTCATTCTGGGCGATGCATTTCTGCGCCGGTGGTACCGTGTGTATGACCTTGGGCAGCGGGGCCATAGGTCTGGCGCCAAGCATGTCATAGTTGCCTACTTCTGTCGTTGGCATCCTAGCAGACGAGGTTCTAAGACAGGGATGGATGTCGGGAATGCGGTACGGAGTATGTAGGCGCTTTTGATTGGATTCTGCGCGGGTGGAGCGAGGCTCGAACATTCTGAAAGGTTGTTTCCACCAGTTATTTCGGGGCAGCTGCTCCGTCCTGTGCGTTGACGGCTTCTGCGGCCCCGCTCCAAGCTTTAATATACCTGTCAAATTGCACGATCGCCATCCGCACCATGTCGCGGGCTTCTCTTATTCTTGGCGCACTACTTTTTTATTTTATGCACACGGTTCTGTCCAATTCTCTGCATCCCGTCGGGGTGCCCAAGGAACAGTTCATTAACCAGAATGGATATGGCATTCTGCGTAACAACCAACCCCACAAGGGTGTCAGTACGTAGACGCAGGCTCTGCTATGGGGTTTCCTAGGTATTACAGAGGATTTGGACCTAGTTGCCGCTATAAGACATTGTGCGACGCAGAGCTGGCGGCTGAATGTGAGGTTCCTCTGCAACGGTTTCCCTCCGCGCCAGTCGCCGGAAGCATGTGTTTCTCTCCCTTGTGTGACAGTGTCCTGCGAGGATTGGACCAGTGGAGAATTGGGGGTCACCCTCGAGTGCAGAACCCGCTGCCCAGTGTATATCTTGGCTTGCTTTTTACATACTCGTCCTACATTGTTTTATTCATCTAGTTAGCCGCTGTAACGTCCTGCATCAGGCTGGCCGGCTTGTTGGGTCTCCCTCATCTCTAATCCTCGTCGGCAATGGACAATTGGACTCCGCATACAAAATGAGTTATGCCATGCATGTGCAATTTGGGACTTTGTTCTTCTGGTCATCTGTTCGCCCGAAGATCTCGCAGTCATTGTACGCATCATGACTGCCAGTTCTGCAAGATGCTCGCCGGACATCCCGGTGGCTAAGGGCCCCAGTGACGCTTCAGGAGATGTCCTACCAGACATTCTCTGTGTTGATGATTTCATGCAGTGCATCCGGAACCGCGAGGATCTATTGCGAGGTAGCACTGACCACAACACCTTCCATCCAGCACAGCGTCGGCGCCGTCTTGCATGACGTCTGGATCTGTTTCCGGACGACAGTCATATTGCACTACCGTCTATAAAGCGCCTATCAAGTACGCTGATCTGGATAATGGTCCTTGAAATGTCCAATGCGCAGTTAGTCAAATACCCCGCATATTCCCAAAATGAATAGGCCCTGGATCACAGGCTTACTCCTTGTGGGAGTTGTGCTGCACTCCGTTGTTGGTGATCTAGGTGACATCAACCAGGTCCAAGAAAGTTTCCCTCCCTCAACCGGCATCAGTCTGCACGTCCCCGCGCGCCCCATTACCATCCAAGACTTTTATATCTCGTCAGACGCGAAGGGAAACAACCAGTGCTGCCCTATCGGAACGGTTTTCGATGGCCGCGAGTGTATCTTTCTCCACGCGTCAGTGTGCCCTCCCAACACACTACAGCAGGGAAATATATGCGTCGCCAACCCCTCATGCCCCCCTGGGTTCCGTTTCGTGGGCAACCAGTGCGTTTCCAACCAGCCACCGATTTGCCCACCGGGGGCTACGTTCGATGGCAATGCATGCGTTGCTCACGACAGCCCAAGATGCCCTCCTGGAACAGTGTACAATGGGCGTGCGTGCATCGGCACCAGTCCAGCTGTATGTCCTCCAAACTACACAGTAAAAGGCAACGTTTGTGTGACCACGCAGTCCCCATCTTGTGGCAATGGTATGCAGTTTGATGGGCACGGATGCTCGAGCTCGCAGCCCCCCGGATGCCCACCTGGTACCCAGCTTTCCGCAGGGGTCTGCATCTCCACCAGTCCTCCCTCCTGCCCTCCGCCACTGCACTTCCAAGGCAACGCCTGTGTCACCTCATCGCCACCCACGTGTCCCCCCGGAACACGGTTTGACGGGGTTGCTTGTATTTCGCAAAGCCCACCAAGCTGCACCACTGGTGTCTTCGACGGTGGGGTGTGCAAGGACACGCAGCCCCCGAGATGCCCCCCAGGCACCGTGCTTCACGGATCCCTTTGCGTTACGCAGGGAGGTCCTGCCTGTCCGCCGGGCCACAGCCTGTCCGCCCACCAAAATCAAGTCCGCTGCTGCGTGAGCGGGCTGACCTGGGATGGGTCAATCTGCGTCCTCCGACCCGGCCCCGGCCAGTCCTGCCCACCGGGAAGCACGTTCGACGGCACCAACTGCATTTACTCGCCCACAGTCGCGCCCAGCTGCCCTGAGAACACCAACTTCAACGGCCAGCACTGCGTCTCCTCTACCTTGCCAGTCTGTCGCCCAGGCACCACGTTTAACGGCCAGGTCTGCCTTAGCAGCGATCCCCCGCAGTGTCCGCCCAAGACCAGCTTTGACGGTCGCAACTGTGTCTCGACCGATGGTCCGTCGTGTCCGCCCGGCACTGCGCTCAACGGAAACAATTGCATCGCCTCGAACCCGCCCGACTGCCCTCCCGGAACCATCTTCAGCGGCCACAACTGCTTGTCCAGCCAGCCCCCGCAGTGTCCGCCAGGGTCCACCTTGATTGGGCAAACCTGCCGCTATCCAAATGACCCAGAATGCCCCCCTGGGTCCTCATTCACTGGGCAGGACTGTGTCACCCCGCAGCCGCCTTCCTGCCCGCCGGGCTTCGCCTTCGACGGTGTGGACTGCGTTCACCAGCACCGACCCCAATGTGCGCCCGACTACACCTTTGACGGCACCAACTGCGTTTCGAACAAGCGGCCCGACTGCCCACCCGGGACCACGTTCGACGGCCACGCTTGCCTCCACCAGGACCCTCCAACCTGCCCGCCAAACACTGCCTTTGACGGCACCAACTGCGCCGCGACCGCGAAGCCTGACTGCCCGCCGGGGAGTGTCTTTAACGGTCAGAATTGCGTGCACACCAACCCACCACAGTGCCCACCCGGCTCGACGTATGACGCTTCGCTCGCGCGCTGCGTCTCTACCAGCAAGCCCGAGTGTCCCCCCGGGACGACCTTTGACGGTAAAGACTGCACCGACCAACAGCGCCCAGACTGTCCGCCGGGAACCGCTTTCAATGGCGGGGCATGCGTCTCGACGTCGCCGCCGCAGTGCCCGCCCAATACCTCGTTTGACGGCACAAAGTGTGTCTCGACCACCGGACCGTCCTGTCCACCCGGCACTCGCCTCGAGAATGGTACGTGTATTGTCAACAGAAATCCGGACTGCCCGCCGGGTACTACGTTTGATGGCCAGATGTGTAGCGCCGCTACCAGGCCTGAGTGTTACGAGATGCACGTCTGCCCGCCTGTTTCTCCGCTCGTGAGCCCGCTCGTGAGCCCCCTCGTGGGAGGTCTGGGCGCAAAGTGAGAGCGTGGGCTGCGTAGCGTGTCTGTCCGCAGACGGTTGGAAAGCCCGCTGGCTCTAGATGAACGAACTGGCAGAGAATGTTTGGTGACTTCAAATATCGAGATTTCAGAGAGCTCCCACTTGCCAATTGCGGTTGTTTTCCCTTGCCTAGCACCCCAGAGCTCCCTGTATTCACTAGTAGTCCATTACTGCTGCGAGGATGCTGCACTAGAGAGCAATATATTGTATCCTTCCCTGCCAGTCAATCCAACCGTAACAGATGGCTAGACCCAAACGCACGTATCACCACGGTAAAAGTGCCTTTGGTATGGTGACCACCGTCGAGCAGAATATCCAGGTTCAGGCGGCGAAAAACCCTGCCACCGTCAGTATTGCACTCCCAGACAGGCCATGGTGCTCACCCATCTCACCCATCTCACCCACCACCTGCTCGTTGAATGCGTCATAGACACCCGTTATATCCGCCTCTTTGAAATATGCTACAACTACAAGCATCATGACACGTAGATCAAGCACATACAGGTTGGATTACAGCAATCACCGGCTTGACGAACGCCCCAGTGGGACCAGTCTGGACAGCCGGATATCGCGGCGTCCATGATCTCAGGATCCTTGAGATCACATGCTCATGTATGGCACATGGATGATGCATACATAGGAATACACGAAATTGGCTGGATTCTTCTCAAAAAGAAAGAAAGAAACGAAATAAGAAGGACTCCTACCTAGTCGATGCTGTCACAACTCTGCAATATGCCCTACATGGGGGCTTGTCTAGAAAAGAACTTTTTATTCTACCTACATTCATCCTGCCACAGCTAACGTGCTGTACGGCAGCTGCATAGGAATCAATCGTCATGGACCAGCAGCCAGGAGGCTTGCCAAATGCGTAGATCAAAGCGCTTTTCACCGTAGAGCATACCGTAGCATGCCACCCTCCCCTCCCATTTTCGCTTTCTTCGCCTGCAACTAATTAACAAGGTCCAAGGCCGCATCTTACTTTTTCTCTCGCTCCCGTTTTTTTTCTCCCCACCTGTTGCTCCTCGGATGATGAAGTCAATATGCCCCTCCTAATTCCTTTAACCGACGCAGGACCTCCCATCAAAGAAAGTCCCAGGCGGACAAATATCCGCAGCAGTGTGAACACGCACCCCACCCTCCGGCTCAAACCTCGTTCCCGGTGGACACGCCGGCGGGTTCTGTCCAGAGTAACCTCCTCCCACACCAGATCCAGGAGTGATACTCTGACTGGGTTCTGCAGCTCCTGGTCATCCGACGGATCTCGGCGGAGTCGGGGCGCGGCACCTTTGCCCGTCAAAGAACCAACAAGTTTTGAGAAGTCGACACTGCAGCTTTTCGCCCTTTCTGGAAAGGGCGGATGCGCACAGGGCACAGGCGCCAACTCATCACGTGTGTGACGCGGATTGGCCCTTAAATTGGGCCCCAAGCCCATGTTTGACGATTGACCCAACAACTTCGAGTCTGTTTTTATCTTCTCTGAATCCCTGGCGATGGCAGAAGAAGTGATTCCGTTCGAGCTTGCTACAATCCTTACTTCCGTCAACTTGGACACGGATGTTGCTCTGGAGGCGAAACAGACACGGTTCTAGATCCGGCTCGTTGGTGATACCCTTTCTCCTCAGCTTAAGGATTGGTTAGCCGATGAGCCGGAGTTCGTCGACTTTGTTGAGTTGCTTGGAGCCCTATGTCAACCTGTTTTCCGCGAGCGGGCCCGGTTTTATGGGCACGACCTTGGGTCGCATCTTCAATATGAGGAGATCTTCCTTCAGCTAGACACTTGGGGAGAGCAACATCGACTGACCGAGTCTGCACCGAGAACAAACGTCTTACCGACCGACAAAACCGGCAATCGACATCCGAGTCAATCTGCCGCGATATGAATTAGCGGCGGCTAGAGTGATTAGAATGATCCTGAAGCGCCATGTCTACGAGGTCGAGGTCAGCGGAGTCCATTACATTTGCAAGTTAGCTGGCAGTGATTATGCCTCATTCGAGCGGGAGCTCGCAGTACTGCAGAAGCTGGAAGAGTGTCCCATATATCGAACATCCAGGCTGAAAGGGTTCATCGGGCTAGGCTCTGAGTTTCCATGAGCATTACTCGAGAAAATTCCGTACGCAACGCGTGTTTCCGACGCCGACATGGAGAACACGGACGTTGTTGTACGCAGCACATGGTTTTCCCAGATTCAAAACATTACCCAGCCCCTGCACGCTGCCGATATCGTCTGGGGGGACGCCAAGGCCGAGAACATCCTCATTGATCAGCAGGGGGAAGCATGCATTATAGATTTTGGAGTGGGCTATACGCGTGGTTGGGTTTCGGAAGCTTTGCAGGAAACAAAGGAGGGTGATTTGGAAGGGTTGCAGAACCTGAGGAAATTCTTAGCACTCTGAGACTGAGTGTTGTGGATTGATTTTTTGCTTATTGCTATCTTAGACACTTTTGGATGCTGCTTCGTTACCAGAAGCCGGGCGTGCCTGAAAAGGTTCTCCAATTAGCTATCTCTCTATTTATATCTTGCCTGCTAGCCTTCAAGAAATTGTCCCAAGCACGGAGCGCTGAGCTAATCGTAGAGGAAAACACCCCAAGCCGGAATTCGCAGACGGAAGCCAGACTTGGACCAGAAAGCCCAAGGTGGAACCGCAATCCCTGCTTAATTATATATATACTCACTCTACGCAGAGTGGCAGTAGTAGGGGCACAGCCCCTATAGGGGCGGGGGGTTGGACGCCCAGGTGCCCTGGTGCATGTATCTCCAAACTGACTCCCCTTCCCCGCACACATTATTAACCGAATCTGGCCCAATTTTTGCAGAAGGGCAAGCTTATCGGCAGCTCACCGGACGCGAAAATGGCAGACGAGGACAAAATCATTGAGCTAATTGCTGATATTTTAATTACAATCATTATCAATATTTCAACAAACTCCCCTTAAACAGACGCTAAACTAGACATTTGACCAGGGCTCAACTGCCAAAGCTAGGCTGAAGCAGGGGTTTGCTGACTTTGCATCGATACTGCCGCTCTCTTCAAGTCCTCGACCCCCTTCAGCACATTCTTCCGCGATCCGTCATAGTGAACCATCTTCATCCATTCACCAAGGGACTTGATGCGGCCAGGATGTATTCTGTTCAGGAGAGTGAAATCGCGTCGTTCAGCTCGACTCTCTCCCCAGTATCTCCACCAAACGGAGAAGTTTTGGCGCCATGTCATGGTTGAATCATCCCTGACAGCATTCGGCCCCGCGGCGAAGTTCGCCAGAGCACCAGGGAAAGGCTCGGCCAATGGTAGATATTCTTCCAGAGGCATATACTGGTGTACACCTTTTTTCCCTGTCACCTCGGTGAAGACAGCCGCTATATCCGCAAAGCTAACTTCATCTGTCGCGACTTTGAGATGCATCCCTGCAGACTCTGGCAGATTGTTGAAGAGCCAAAGAGAGTAATTCCCAATATCCTCCAGAGCTATAAGAGGTATTTTGCCAGTTTCTGAGGCATTGAAGTTGGTTATCAGCCATCGGTGACACGCATATAAGGTAAGGGTAAAAAGACTTACTTGCAGGGTTGGCCCAGACAAATGTCCCATCAGGTTGCTGGGTAGGAACAAACATGCCGTCCCAAAGCATGTTCATGTACGGGCCGGTAGTAAGCACTGAACTTTTCATTCTATCCTGTCCTTGAGCTAGGATATATTCTGCGACTCTGCCCTTGGCGTCATTATGCCCCCAGTGGAAATTCTCATCCCAGTTGGCATGCTTAAGAGCGAAGTCTGTGCAGGCGTACACGTAATGTTGAACCCCTTGATATCTCGCAATTTCATAGGCTCGACAACCATAGAACAGCTCGTTCTTTTCACCTAGGGTAAACCCATCTGTATTGACCCACGCCCCATAAACGCCTTTGAAGGCTCTATGCAAATCTTCCTGATTATCCTGCCTGCCCTCAACTAGGGATACATGAGGAAGTTTTGCAATGTCCTGCGCGCGAGCAGACTTTGCATCTCGAGTGAGGACTCTAACGGAGTATTGGTTGCTCGAGGACAAAGCTATAAAGTAAGTCAGCCCTCAGATTAAACAACTGGGAAGAAACTGTCTTAAAGTGCCTTTGACGACTGGTAACCCTTGAGCGCCAGTGCCGCCGATGACGAGGACTTCTCTCATCTTCTTCCGTCTGGAGTGTCAGTATTTTTAGGAAGTTCACGTTATTTGAGAATCAAACCACATGAAAGTAAGAGGAATACACCATGTACTTTATATATGGGTTTTCCGTTGACGGATACTAACTGATTGATGGGCTGAGTTAAACATATTTCGTCACCGAAAATCTCGGCGTCCGCATTCATCCGACCCATCGAGTCCTTTTTGCGGTATTCCACCCATGTTCGTCGCGTCGTGGTGAAACTCCTTCCTGCGTTCCCGGATCAAGATGAAGATTAGCCAGTCACAATTAATTATTCTATCGGCCGGCTTATGACATCGACATATGCCGCTGGTTCTGCTGGTTGAACGGTCCCAAGGTACGCTACTTCCAATTAGCCAATAATTGGTTGACCAGCTTGAAGGGACAAGCGGAGCGATTACTCATCTGGAGGTGAGCCTCGGATCCGGAGGGTTATTGCTGCGCAATCGGCCTCTTATAATACTATAACCCTCCGCGGGGTATTCTCAGACTGCGGTTTGACATATCTCTCCAGGCAGAACATGACGGCCCCTCGAGCGCTAAATTCTAGTGCCATTAAGGTACCTCGGTGAGTGGATTGTAGCCCTAGAGGAGATATTATCCATCATGATGACTTTTAACCGGAAATTAACTCAGGTGGATGCCTCCCTCGAAGCAGGCGAACTTTGCAAATCCCATATCCAAGTCCGCGATCAGTAATCATTTTAGTAGAAGATGCAAGGGGCCGAGGACTTGGCCAACAGGAATCGGCGACCGCCAATCAGCGCCATCCGGAGGGTTTCCAGAATATGGACTTTCGGGCGCACTAAGGAGGGTTCCGTCTCATGGAAGAGCGAAGCCAAGTGATGGTGGAGCGTGGACCGAATGCACATTATGGCCCAAATAACTATCTCGGCGTATGGTGTATTTATAATCACGCATTGGTCAAAAGTTAATCATCGCGTTCTCAACAGGCAAGCCGTACGGAAAACCAGGTCAGATCATACGTTTCCATAGGTATAAAACTGGAGAGGACAAGATACGGAACTGAGATTCAGCCAAAAAGCCGGCTCGATTCGATTACTCCACACATATACCCAAAAAATCACACATATTCTCAAGACGCAGCCAACCGTATATTATCCCGCCAGAAACCATCCCCGAATTTTCACATCTGATCTTATCACCATGCCCTGCGGTCTCGTCTTCATCACAGGAGCAACTGGCTTCATTGGCAGTGCCGTTGCCATCAAGACTCTACAAGCTGGCTATAGTCTGCGGATTAGCGTTCGCAAGGAAGAACAAATTCCCAAACTAAAAGCGGCACTCTCTGGATTTGAAGGTAAAATTGACTTCGTCGTCATCCCAGATATCACGCAGCGGTCTGCTTTTGCCGGAAAGCTAGATGGAGCTGACTACGTGGTGCACCTCGCTTCGCCCCTGCCCCATGGAACCAACCCAGAGACATACTTTGGCCCAGCAGTCAAGGGCACCACAGCTATTCTGAAGGAGGCTGCAAAGGTTACCAGCATCAAGAAGGTGGTTATTACTTCTTCAATTGCCGCATTCATCCCCATCTCGGGTCTTCCCGAGGGAGGAGTCGTCAAAGGTGAGCCCTCAGAGCCGGATGCATTTTTTTGTCTTGATTATTTTGGCTAGCTATTGACCGCATCCGCCAGAGGACAATGACTGGGACTTATCGGTCGACCAGACCGCCGACTACACTGGTGCCGACGATGAAGCCACGAGCATGAAGCTCTACCACGCCTCTAAGCTTCTCGCAAACCAAGCAAGCTGGAACTTCAAGAAGACCGAGAACCCTAGCTTCTCCCTCGTGACCATCCACCCTGCCTTTGTGTATGGACATAACCCCCTCCAGACCACTGCTGAGGAGCTGAGTGGCACCAACGGCGGTTTCTTCCTTACCGTTGCCGGTGGGAAACCCCTGGTCGCCATCACTGCTGTCCATATCGACGATGTTGCCGAGGGCCATGTCAAGGCCTTGGCCGACAATATCCCGGACGGTTCGTCGTACTTGCTCGCTGGGAAGAAGGCCTTTTGGAAGGACGTGGCAACGCTCGTGAAGAAGGAGTACCCGCACCTTGGGTTCAAGATCTCCGAGGAAATCGCCGGAGAGTCTTTGCCGGTCAATACAACCAAGGCTGAGACGGAATTGGGGATGCAGTGGCGGTCGTTGGAGCAGATGACGAGGGATGTTATTGGCCAGCAGATCGAGCTGCGCAGCCAGGCTAAATTCTGAAAAATGTCCATATAATCATTATAGATATGGAGTGATGAATGTTCAAATGGTATTACTAGGATGTTTGGTTTTCGTGCCCACTAAGGAAAGAACCATTCATTTACCTTGCACCAACAAGACTATATTGATCAGATATTGGCATGCTGGTGGACAGTAGCTACTTGGATAAAGGTAACAACCCCCAGAATTTACACGTGTTAACTAACTATTATTGAAGAAATTGCTTATTGGATGTACTTTAATCTACCCATTGGCAAGAAGCCCCGCGGAAAAATCCCAAAATCCCCGAGCAAAGTCTTTATCCTCTGGCTTGGCGTGAAACGGGTAAGGCTGGAGGTTGAATGCCTCAGTGATTGCAGTGTATGCAAGGGTAAATTTGGATAGATATATAACAGTTCACCACGATATCAAAAAGACTAGAATATTCACCACCCTCTGTAGGGATAGCCATATTGTAGAATTGGGCGCTGTATTGCAGTGATATAGTGTCTAGGACAAGCCTAAGCATGTTTTTAGTGAGTTTGTGAATCCACTCTACAGCCTTAGGCTTGTTATAATCAAAGACAACATCAGTCCCAAGGCCGCTTAATAAGATTAGAGTTGCCTGGCAAGCAAGTGGTAGTAACCTGGTATCCAGACAACTTCGCAAATTGGATAGCAAGGGTTCATGTAGCAGTGAAGCTACCATGGATGAAAGGACGGGGTTCGGGTTCGTTAATGGGTCTAGTCGGATGGGAGAGCTTTAAGCCCTGGTACAAGCCCTGGCTCACCATGGTAATACCTACTCCTGGGTAGCAGCCTCCTGGAAACTAAGGTCGTTGGGATCCTTTATCTGCAAGTCACTTTTCACTATATTGGCTAGCCGCGAATACTGGCGTACTCTCCTCGAGATTCTTCCATGCCTGCTATTATGGCATCACTAGAACCGAGACCTCTGCTTCTTAAGTCCTGGAGACTCAGCCTAATGCCAGTCCGTTATATATCCTTCGGATTCTTGCCCCATGTACTTTCGTAGCAGTGAAAGATGAAGAAGTCAGGACTTTTATCTCGCATTTTAGGCGTGTTGATTTCGAACTCCTTGTCGCCCTCGTAGATATCCACTTCCATTTCTTTGGTAGGTTCGGCATCCTCTAGACAGTCGTTGGACACTACTTAAGTGCGACTGCTTCTTTCCCAGCTGTATTGGAGGCGCAGGGGACTTACCTGGGTGGTAGGCCTTCTCAAAGATAAGGGTCTTAGGTAGCTTGCCAAGGCTGACAAGCAAAGGAAAGAGTTAAACACATCTAGATTAGTGTAGACAGTCAGCAGCACAAAGTCCACTAATGCGGATTTTGCCGTTGGGTGGATCTGCGCGCTGCCACTGGAGATGGCAGCTACGAGAGCGATGCTGGACGAGATTTACGACAACTTACCTGTGCAGCCCAGCGACCACAACACATATACCCTAGGAAGAATCGCACAACACAATGTTGTGATTGCATGTTTGCCAAGCGGCCAGTACAGTATCGCCTCTGCGTCTACTATAGCCATGCACTTGCTATCTAGCTTTCAATGCGTCAAAGTTGGCTTGTTAGTTAGTATTAGCGGTGGTATCCCTTCTGGGAAGTTGGATATCCACTTAGGAGATGTTATCGTCGGCGTTCCGAGCAGCTCCAACATAAATAGAGGAGTTATCCAGTATGACCTTGGAAAGGCGGGTCAGGGCAACAAGTTTGAACGAACAGGCATGTTAAATAGCCCACCTCAAATACTTTTAACAGCTATATCCAAATTACGTGCTATCCACCAAATGGAGGACACCCAGCTTTTAAGAGCCGTGAGAGAAGTTGGAAGACGTTATCCCAGGTTACATGAGGTCTTGGTAGGGTGTCATCGCAAAGACCTATTATTCAATGCCTGTTATTACCACGATGAAAAGCTGCCCACGTGCAAATCCTGTGATTTAATAAAACTTGTTGACCAGTCTTCCCGAATGTCAGAGGAGCCCATAATCCATTACGGGTTGATAGCGTCAGGCAACCTAGTTGTCAAGGATAGTCATTTACGTGACCATCTGGGGCACGAACTCGGAGCATGTTGCGTGGAAATGGAAGCAGCAGGCCTGGTCAACAACTATCCATGCCTCGTCATCCGTGGCATATGTGACTATGCGGACTCACGTAAGAACAAAGAGTGGCAAGAATACGCCACCACCGTTGCTTTAGCGTACGCGAAGCAACTTCTCTCTGTGACACCCTCGGCCACTGGTCTGATTTGTGCGTCTGCGAACAAGTCAAAGCCTTTGAAGAAATGTACGCATTCTAAAGGTTGATTTTGGTTCACACATGATAACAGCTAACATCATTGCAGCACGTATTCTGCGGTCCATTCGGCCCTCAAATTCAGAAATCCTATATCTTGACCCAACAAATCCTGTTAAGGTTGCCTGGAACCAAATGTTTGAAAATAATGATTTGGCAACCTGGTATCAAGGGTATGATATGGACGTCTATCATGGCCTTGTCTGGATAAAAGGCAAACCGGGCTCTGGCAAGACCTCATTCTTAAAATATGCATTCTGCCGATGCACTGGAGAGGGGCAAGCGGATGGCGTAACAGTCGCAGGGTTCTTCTCCCAAAGCAAGGGTCAGGATTATCGCTGGAACCAGCCAGATCTCTTCCGGGCTCTCGTCTACCAGCTGCTTCTGGCAAGTAATGATGATTTCTTGGCCTTTAAACGGATGTTTGACGCCAAAATTAAAGATGACAAGAAAAACGTCAAAGGGAGTGAAGAAAACTTAAGAACGTTTCTCACTGCTACCTTTTCTAAGCCTCGTCGATATAGAACCATATTTTTTATAGATGGATTGGACGAATGCAAGGTCTTAGGAATAAGGAAACTAGCACTCTTCTTCCGCGAGTTAACAACAACAGCCTACCAGGCTAATGCCAAACTGAGTGTCTGCTTGTCTAGCAGGGAGTTTCCAAGGGTCAGCGTTAGGCAGTGCCCTGAGATTTTAATCGATCAATTCAATGCCAATAAGATTCAACGCTACGTTCACCAAAAGCTTACGACGGCTGGCTTTAGTAGGAATAAACAATAGTCCCGACTAGCAGCTACGATAATTGATAAATCTACAGGCGTCTTTTTATGGGTGGCTATTGTATTAGATAACTTGTTGAAGGGCTAGGATGATGGTCTAGGATTTCGGTATCTTAAGCGGCAGCTCCAAGATACCCCACGGGAATTAGAACGGCTCTATGAACGGATACTCTCTACGATCGACGCGGAAGACATTCATGTCACCATAAGACTCTTTTATTAGGTGATCCTCTCGACAAAGCGTCTACGTCTACTCGAATGGCACCACATTTTCGCCTGGATTAGAGACGAGTCGCCATCTTCCTTGAAAGAGTGGCGAGAATCCGACTACTTTACAGAGACTGCATGGCAACTAGAGCGGCAGATACAAAAAATCTCTAGGGGGTTGGTGGAGGTTAAGTCCAAACGAATACAGCTAGATATTGCCGACAAAAATTCGACATGCGGCGACGCTGGATCGTTGGACAGCGAAGAAGGAGAGACGCGAACGGTCCAAGTCATCCACAGCTCAGTGACGGAGTTTTTCCTCAGTGGCAAGGGCTTCAGAATGCTGGGTGCATCCGTTAGTGAAGATAGTGAATATGTCCTCGGGTCCGGCCATATTAGCATCCTTTTCTCCTGCCTCGACTACATAACCATACCCGAGTTGGATGTTCTAGTGAAGCGACGAGAGTTGGCAAATTACTCGAATAAACAGCATTCAAACCGGTCTTTAAAGCGCGCTGGTAGTGAAGCGAGTTTTGGCTCCTCGGCGTCGAATTACGCAGGCTCAGCCCATTCCGGTCAATACAGCAAACCCGAAGATACCCTCAATTTTGTTCCGAAGCGTTATGGGCCCTATATTCCTACTCTCAAGAGAGAGCGAGAAGCCCCGGATGAAGCAGAGGGATGGATATCGAACCCATCACAACCATACTCTGGGAGTCCACTAATCCCTGTCGCTTCCGATGCTATAGAACGTCAATATAGCAAACCCCCGACTCCCCCAATTTTAGTTTCACAGCGTTGTGGGCCATCTTTGCCTAATGTCGAAAATGAGCGGGGAGGCTCCGATGCAGGGGAGGGATCGATGTCGTTCACATTACAACAATACTTGAAGGATCCAATATCCCCTATCGCTTTCAGTACTATAAAGCGAGCCTCAAGCGATATCGAAAGCCTTCTGCCAGACGGCAGCATGTCGCAAGCCTTGCCAGACTCTCCTGACTTTCTTATGTACGCACTCAGCGCCTTCACTATGCATGCCAAATTTGCAGACCAATACGGCGCTGATCCTAGTCGGGTCCTTGCTCGTCTTCTATCTGGAGACCTTTGGGCCCGATGGCTTTACCTTGCCGACACACTTCCATTTGACGCTACTTTGCTTTAGTTCGCTGTCGATCACGGGCTAACTTCGTGGATCAACTTTCTACTACCCTCTGGTGTCGATCCGAACCGTGAAGGAGGCGGGCATTGTTATCCGCTTATTGCTGCTGTGACTAACAGAGACACAACGGCAATCAACCTACTTCTCAAAGCAGGCGCCCTCCCAACCAAAAGTGACAGACACGATAGATCGGCCTTTCACCACATTGCAAATGAGGGCTACATAGAAGCCCTAGATTGCATCTGTAGGTATGTGTCTGATCAAGCTCTTGGCGAGCACTCGCTGAACACATTGGACGTTTCCGGGCGTACGGCTCTCCATATCGCTGTGCATGAGGGTCGCTTTCTCGTTGCCAGGATGCTGTTATCACTCGGGGCGGATCCCAGCGTCACTGATAGGGATATGAAAAGTTCTCTCCATCTTGCAGCTGAAAGCGAGGGAGCAGGTATTGCATTGTGCCGCTGTCTTCTAGAGAAGGGGGCATCGAGGATTCTTCTTTCGAATCAGCATCTCACCCCAAGTCAACTTGCTCTAGCAAAGGGCTACCTAGACCGGGTGTCGCTAATTGAGGACGATACACTTCAAAGCATAGAGGAGAAAAACGGCAGCTCATTGCAGAACCTGAAAGTTCGTCTGGCCAGCGTGGGTAGTCTGGCATATCCGGGCCAGTGGTATATTCGCGTTTCGCTGGGAGATGATATCAAGGCTCGATTTCCCGCCCAAACATGGCCACACGGCAGCCGTGCGGCACGCGAAGAAGCGCGAGTTTCAATTCCTTCTAAGCACAGGAACCTGTTCGGCATACACCTCGGCCTAGACCTGCGCCTGTACAGAATTCTGCAGTCAAGACACATCCATGAATACGCAATCTGGCAGGTGAAGTACATCAACTCTGAAACTGGAGAGACAAAAACGTCCTTGCTCAAACGACGATTCGGGTCTGATCCAGTGCCGATTGCGCTGGAGGTGACTGTGCCTCGCTCGTTGATTGAGACTTGAGCTACAGAAATGGTGGGGCCAACCTTTATAATGAGCCAGGCCCGTTCCTAATCCGCAACCGACCATTTTTGAATGGGAGAGGGAACAGCCATGAGGAAGGTCTTTTGATGTAGTGGCCGCGTTATTCAATATAAAAGTGCCAACACTCCTAACCAGAGCGAGTTTTCCCCGCAGTAGGCAGGAAGAAAGGATTGGGCAGTGGCTTGATAACACTGGCTCTGGGATGGGAGTTCCTTTTAACTTGCTTCTCCCAGCCGCGTCAGCTCCCAGATCGCGACCATTAACAGGGGTCAAAACTTATGCTAACGAGAAAACGATCACGCCACAGTGGCTGAGGAGAATAGCAGGTATGGCCGCTGATATCTCTCCCTGGGCACAGTTGATGTGGAGACCCAATGATTCGGTTCATTGGCCGTTCAGGCAACTTTCGAGCCTCAATTATGTTTCGCCAATCCGAGATTAGATCGGTTCAAGAGTAGCTGCCGGCACAGACTCTGTCTTCGGTTTTGACTATTTCTTCCTAATCACATTGCGCAGTGTGAACAGGTCTCCAAGCATAGCCCCACTTCAGTGAGAATTTGATGCTTTGACCACCAACGCTGTCAAGCTTCGCCCAGCCCCAGGTGCTGAACGCGGGGGTTTTAAACTTCGCAACCATATGGAGAATCCGCAGAGGACTGATCGTTTCTAGAGGAAATGCTGGGACAGCCGCGGAGGGGGCCGACGCTTCCATCGTCGGGCTCGCTTCCACGCCTTGCTCCTAGTGCTCGAAGTAGCCGCCAAGCTTCCGGTGCTTGTATGTCTGTTTGTACGGCGTGCCCCAGTGAATGCTAGCAGAGAAGATTTTTGAACTCAACTTCTTGTCTTCGAGTTGCTGTTTTGCAAATAAGCGCGCTTGAGCGACGTTGCTGAAGCAGCAAGAAACCTCTCACAGATCTGTGTAAACATAGGAAGGAATGGTCAGCTTAGGAGATGCCATACAATTACATAGCCCATGGCCATGCTTTCCGGGACGAGGGCAAGGCCAAGCTCTTCATTAAATGCATGTTGATCCCAGGGGTGTATATTTTGGTTGATCGGAGAGAGATTTAGATGCAAAACGTGCAATATACCTACAAGAGAGTCTGCCACGTTCTGTACTAGCAACTGGACTCGGGCTTTATAGCGGGTTCCGACTACGCCTCGGCCGTCAAGTGCCGCAATGATGTATGGCCATGGGCTGCTGGCACTATATGACGTAAAGCGACGTCGCCGTCTGGAACTAACAGTAAGCTGTCAATGGCATGTACTTTCAGATGGTCAATTTGGAACACTATAGCTATTGCACTGTGAGCTACTCGACGGACTCGTCAAAGAGGTCACCAATGATCGGGTATAGAGGCGTCATGGACAGCATGACGTTAATCCCAAATTTGATACATCAGGAAAAGTGACACCCTTCTTTCTCTTTCAAGAGTACCACATATATAGCGTTCCAGTGCGAAATTATGATTGGACAGACAAGGGAGATAGAACAACCACGGACCGGCAACACTATAATAATGGTCTCGTTCCCCTGGCAAGGATGTCATCCTCCATGCTCCCTTACACCTTGATGAAGAGACCAACGCCCCCAATATGCTTATCAAAAGATCACTCCGGGTCAGCCACATCCCATTCAAAGGCAACCCTCACGTCACAAAAGAGCGTGAAACGACCATAAGAGCCCTACAACAAGATGGCCATCGGATCTGGGGCCCCGTGCTATACCGCAGCACGTATAAAAGCGATACCGACTGGGCCGAATTTCTCCATCGCCTACAATTCCGCACGCAGAGGTTTATTGATATATCACACACTCCCGGCCTAGTTGAGGGGTTTCGCTTCACTGTGCTAGAAGACGAGGTTGCTTTTCAAGGAGCCACAATTTCAATGATTCGCGAGCACTTTACAAAGTGGACCGAAACCGCAGTGGAAGAGGAACAGGGTCCGGGTGCCCGTCCACGACATGCACAGCGTTATCGGTATTGCCTTCAGGTCGATGAGGAAGCCCTGGAGAGTGTCGTGAGGAAGTCGCCGGGGACAGACAAGCCATATGAGCAGAACCAAGAGGCTACGTCAAGCTAATCAACAAGGAGTGGGAGCCATACGACCCTTTCATTACTGAGGATGGGATGCAGTTTCTTACCGAGGACCCGGAGGAGCCCGTTGAGGGGTGTACACTATACGACGTCGGCTGGATGCAAGTATCATACGAGCGCGTCATTAGCGTCTTTGATTTCTTGCGCGGCCCGCACAGCTGGGACGTTGAATATCGTCGTCCTCCGAAACTGTGGCTGCGATAGGAACAACGAGTGGTGGCTTGGTATTTGCCTTGTGCGCTAGCGATAAAACAACTCTGTTATACTCGACAACCCGTACAGATTGTGGAGCTTGAATTTTATTCATTAAATTTCCAGATCCCTCGTTCTTTAATTTTGCCTATAAATACTAAGAAAGAACCATGACTGGTGCGCTCCCAGCTCTTCGGCTCAAAATAGCTGTCGACATCTGGAATGATATAAAGTCCCGGGACGGTCATGAAGATGATCTGCCTCTCAAAACTTCGCAGTGCAGCCACGACGCGATGGTGGGTTTGCACGCTTCGGCCATTCCGGCGCGCTTGGAGATATGGGTCCAGGGCGCGATTAATAGCATCGCTAGCCCACTGTTGTGCATTGCGCTCTACAAGGCGTATATAGTCGTCATTGAACAGATGCCACCAGGCTACCATGTTAGTGATAGGGGTGTCCTGCTGGATATATCCGGCCTGGCGATCGACCTGATTGAAGACGGCGTTGAATCGCGTTCGGTAGGCGCCAAAGGTCATATATTGAAAGACAGCAAATCCCTGGGCAGGGTTTCCACCACAAACGGTTAGAAAAAAATTCATACCGGACAAGGGAGATTGACATGATACGTACGACGCGAATGGATGACAGCAAGGCGTCTGCAGCCGCATGCTAATTCATGACGTGCTAGTTCTGTTCATGAACCTACGTATACCGCCTATAGCGCCAAACAGGCCGTTCCCCAGCCAAAATTAATGTGCCCAAGATCACGCAGGACAGGTATAGTGACTATAAGGGGGAGCTCCTGAGCAACCTATCCAAGTGCAACTATGATAATTCCAAGGAACATGTCATGAGATATATTCTCACTTACGCGGTATATACTTACTTGTGGCACGAAACATCACCTAAAACCAGCGCGGAACTAGGGCGTTTGATATAGAAATAGTCAAATTTCACACCAATACTATCTCATTCGAGGAAACATCAATCAACCACCCAGCATGTTGGGGCCAGTCTTGAGTATTATCATGCAAGCGGAATAGCCCAACTTCTCGCCAGTAACAGGGCTTCCCTCGGCACGGCGTAATAAGAAGGCGGTACCGCACAAAAGTAGCTAAGAGTTGTCTCAAAGTAAGGTCAGCAATATGTAAACAGCTTGGTAGAATAGCTTTGTCTTTTCCATGTTCCACAAGGTCTTTTATCCTGTTATTTTCATCGTATGTAGAAGGTATTGAATCTTTTGCATCGAGTGAAACAGTACCAATCTTCGCTTCTGGGCTGTGTAACACAGATGGGATGTTGTAGACCTCACGCCATTACCAGCAAGGAAACATCGGGCAGACATGGATGATCACATACCAAGAGATTTAGAAACGAGATCCAACCGCCGCGAAGCTCCTGCTCGCACTCGCTTTCTTCGACGATCAGAATATTCAAACTGGCATGGATTGCTCCGGCCCACCACCATGGTTTGAGGTGGTAATGTCAAGCAAGCTGGTCTTTAGGACAAAGGTCAAAGCACTAATCAAGTTCTCGCTGGTGGAAACAAAACAGCAGGAGGGAAGCTATACTCTACATCCTGTGGTACAGGACTGGGTAGACTATGCTGTAAAGACAAATCACGACCCTGAGAACAAATCCACCAATAACGTCTATCCGGCACAAAACATCACAGGCCTATCGGCAGTGGCTAGTCTGGGCAGTCCTGGAGAAGCCGGGGATTGCGGATGGCCCCACAGACTGACTCGGACAGCCTGACGCAGCACAATAAGCATAACAACGACTAGCGCACGGTCGGATTCGGATCGGCTTCAGGGGGAACCGAGCACATGAATGATGCAATGCCGCTGGTCTGACGACGACCTTCACCGTGTTCTTCATCCCCTCCAACAAGCCGTTTCCTAGCTGCCCTAGGAGCGCAACGAGAATGGATCTAAACCGGGGACAATCCGCATCCACTGCGAATAGCAGCAGTAATAGCGGCGCTCAAAGCAGTGAAGCCGGTGGACCGAGCGCCGGTGATGCCCCTATATCCCTCTCCACACTCTTCCCCGGCCACGTGGACTGGTCGACATACCCTTTTGTCGAATTCCGGGACTCCTCACTTGGCCAGGATGATCTCACCTTCCTGACGGCTAAAGGGTGTCTAAGTATTCCCGACACCCAGGCCCTGCACGAGTTCGTGCGAAACTACTTTCTTTACGTCCATCCGGGCTTTCCGGTGCTTAATGAGGCCGAGTTCTGGGTGAGCTATACGCGGTCACGGGTTGGGCATGATATGATTCCGTTACTCATTCTTCAGGCTGTGCTGTTTGCCAGTTCTCCGGTTAGTAGCTTTGAACTCGCCATTGACCTAGTTAACCCAGATAGTATGTCACCCTCACCACAATCCAAGCCTGTGGATTCCGCACAAAGACCGAAGCGCGGAACGCTTTCTATAAGCGAGCCAAGGTATACCAGTCACTATGTACAGCGCAGGCGTATCTATCTAACAGTCCTTAGTTTCTTTTCGATGTCCACGGCGAGGTCTGCCCGCTTGCACAGGCCCAAGGCGCTGTTCTTCTCAGTCATCATGCCTCCGCTGCAGAGCCGCAGGCTGGTACTGACTGGCTTGCGCGCGCAATCCAGAGCGCCTTGACACTGGATAACCTACCCGGGGTATCAGCATCGGCAGATTTATTATCGAAGAAACGCCTGTGGTGGTCAATAGTCCTCCGTGATCGATGCCTCTCGCTCGCGCTTCACCGGAGAACGCAGATGCCGGCGATTGACCAAAGCCTTCAGATTGATACCCTTGACGAATGCGACTTTACTAATGAGATTATGAGCTCTTACGTGTACGATCCGGCAACGAAGCGCGTGCTAGTAAAGGTTCTCAGAGAGCACTATGAGCTCGCTTTGGCGCTCTCAGATATGATGCCATTAGTATACTCATCACATGGCATTCGCGTGCCCTCGCTTTCCAAAACTGCGTTCGATTCAACGTTAGCCAGAGTCCACCGTGTTGAATGCACGCTTGACCGGTGGCTATCGGCCACGAAGCTTGCAGCTTTGATGGATTCACATGCTCACGAAAGTGTAGCCGTGTTCGTGAGTCTAGCTTACATGTACTACTAGTACGTCCCACCCCTCTTCTCTCGAGCTCGCACTAACCCATCAGCGCCGCCCGCATCAACCTCACCCACTTTGAACTTCTCACAATAGAGAACCACCCCAGCTACATCCCCACTCCCACCTACACAGCCCACCTCACCCGCGCAGCAACAACCCTCACAGAATCGATGCGCCACCTAACCAGCATCCTCGAATTCCTCGGCCACCGGGGTAAAACCCACACCCTTCCACTAAGCCTGTAAGTCGCCCTTGCCCGGCCCGCAACCACCCAGGTCATCTCACCAAACACCACGACAGTCTCGGCTGCCTCCCAATGCCCCTCCTCACAACAGCGCTGGACATAAGTCTGGCGTCCTCATCGTCGCAAATGGCCCTCCATAAACGCCGCCTCCACACCCTCGGCCAGGTCCTCCGCTCCCTCGAACAGGTCTACGAAGCCGCAGCCATGATCTCAGCAGGCATGTCGCATTTCTTGCATCTCGCGTATATGACAGTGCAACTGCCTCTCGATCGCGACACGCAGATGGTGGCGTTGTTTGGGTCTACAGATAATATCACCGGTGGTAATACGCCCTCTGCTGTAGAAGAGCAGTCAACGCCAGCGGCCGTGGAAGGACAGACTCCAAGCCGAACATGGAAAGACTTCCTCCTCCAGTCCCCACGCGCATACCTCCTCATCTCCACAACGGTAGATTACAGCTTATGTATTGGCCATCTCCCGCATGACCACGCACTACCAGATATGCTTACATGCGTCTTCCCGGGGAGTTTAAAAATCCGCTTTCCGTGGAATGGAAGCGAGGATGAGTACCGCGAAGAGATCCAGGTATGTCGCCGATCCGGTTTCAGACTTGGAATCCCGATGGGTGTTGAGATGGCTAACTGTGGCATGGTTTGTTAGGAGGCGGTTGCTCGACGGAAGAAAATGAGTCAGCGGGGGTATAAGATGGCCAGACGGATGCAGGTTGTGACTCGGAGGAAGCGGCCGGTGCTGCAGGGGGGTGAAAATGCGGTTAATTTGGATTACCTAGATCTGGGGGCTGCGCGGTAAGTATGGGTTGATATAGATCGGATTTGTGCGTTCTTCGTCTATCCTTGGCGATCGACAGGGCGGATGAGTTGATGGTATACATACATCTTTGCTAATATGCCACTGCATATCTACGGCATGATATCACTTGGGCACTGCTCCTCCGTACGTAGTGGATATACTTCATGACTCGAGATCCGCCAGGAGAGTCCCAGTGTACCGTCTGTACAAAGAGTAAGTCAGCTAAAAGAAGTAAAAATCCCCGCCAATCGCAGGGCTTCCCATCCTCCACTGGCCTTCCCCACAGCTCCACCTCTCGAGGACCACCAATTGCGGCAAGTTACGCCGCCTCCTACTAAAACCATAGCATCGCCCACCGACAGCCCGTTGATACGATGCAATTATCAGAGTCAAACATGACGGTCCCGAATCTCCCTTGCTTAAACTGTCGCAGTACGTCAGGCCCTTATATTTCCCGGTCTAGCATGACCCGCCTATTTTCCGAGACCATGGATCGCTGACTCCTCTCTACCTGCAGAACGGCATCTCAAATGTACGCGACAATTCCCTTCTCATTACAGCTTCCAGTCTGATCTGGTCGTAGCCAAGCTAACGGCATAGCAGGCGACAAAGCAAAACCAAAATGCAGCCGCTGCGAAGCCCGCGTTCTAGAATGCATCGCCGTCGAACGAAGAGCCGTGTTCCGGCGCGGGGCGAAGTGCGTTCCCGGGGTTGGGGAGTGGACTCTTGGGAGCCAGACGTGGGTGCACAGCGCGCCGAGGAAGTGGAGGAGGACGAAGACCACCTTGAGCTTAGCCGAGTCTACGGATCATACGCGGCCTGGTCGGCATGCCGATAGCCTGGATCCTCGGGAGCAGGAAGTGAAAGCTTCTGGGCAGGGCCCAAAGCTGCAGGTAATACAGCTGCATGTTCAAGCCGCGCTCGAGTCACAGTCGGTCATTCATACCTCGGGCATTGGAGGTGCCGGAAAACCTCCGGATGTCTGCATGGCTATGGCACCGTCCAATCCGATAGATGTTCTTGTTTCGGCGGCCGCAGGCCTGCAGGGCCGGTCTCCTCCTTCCACTACAGCATTGGAAGGAAGAAACGATGGAGCGAGTTGTGAAAGTCTGCAGACAGTGAGCGATACCAGTCGACGCGCACGTCCGATATGTGAAGGGGGCATCAAGCCGTTGGAGAAGGTCGAAGATTCATGTCTCCACCTACACTTTATCGACGATAGGGAGAGCAGCAAGAGCCATGGTTGTGCCTGATTATATTGCGACTGTTCCCCAGAGACTACAAGTGATGTTGATGAACTACGTCCACTTCGAGCTAGCTGTGGAACCATCGCTAAGCTGCTTGTTAGAACGGCCGTTTGGCTGACTGAAACGTTGATGACAGTCCCTGTGGCTTAGCGCAAGCGTCCTTGGTACTTGCTATAATTATGTGCTACCGTAGTATCGTTCCAAGCACATTGACGAATCAGGATTGATTCGAGTCGAGCGCCCCAGCTCAAAGCGAACATCGAGTTCGTATTCGACGTCGCGGTGACTCATCCCACATCTCACTTTTACAACTGAGCAACCACTGAGCAACCCACCCATCACTTGAGATTCAAAAGCTTTAAACTCCAAATTGCACACTGGCTCCAAATAAGAGAGATGTCTACAGCCCCGGTCATTTTTCACCTCCCCACGTGCATCGACGCCCCTGACCTCCCACCCTTAGTGGCGAGATACAAAGCCCTCCGCCTCCACGGTCTAACCACGGACCCCGACGCATTCAGCTCAACCCTCGCGCGCGAGACAGCCTTCACAGACGAAGTATGGGAGAGTCGCATTCGGAACCCGCTTAATACATCATTCATCGCCATACGCAAGGAACCAGGCAACTCCGAACATGAGAATGCTGCACGAAGTGATATCGCCGAATTAAGTACGAGAGAGTGGGTTGGGCAAGTTACCCTTCTGGGGCCCGTGGTCGATTCAACTCCGAGTGGCGATGTTGCAGGAGGCAAGACGGACAAGCCGTGGGAGGCTTTTAATGCGATTGACTTTCAGCAAGCGGCGGATGCTGTCCCGCGGATTAGGCGTGGGTCGAGGGTTGTGTACGTTCTTGTTGGGATGTATGTGCGGCCTGAGGTGAGGGGGGCCGGGTATGGGAGGATGCTTGTGGAGAGGGCGATGGAGGCTGTGAAGGAGAGCTGCGCTAGGGGCGCGTGGGATGCGGTGGTTCTCGCGATGGTTTCGCGGGGCAATAATGGGGCAAAGAGATTGTATGAGCGGGCTGGATTTGTGGCGAGGGATGAGCCGCTTGATGTTGGTGGGCACGAGGAGTGGGTGCTGGAGTGCAGGTATGAGGACCTTAGGCAGGTGGTTTAGTCTATCACGATTACTTCTGGCTGTTCTCCCGGTGCATCACTGGATACATTCAGATCTTCACCTGTAGAAAATACCGGCAAATGCTCCATGAGAAACTCGCGAATCGCAACCAGTGGAACTCCATGCCTCATCGCCGTCTCATCATCCCACGACGAGTGCAGTCCCAGTAGGCCCCCAGTCTCCCTGCACAGCAACGGCGCCCCCGAGTGCCCCCAATACGTCCAAGCATCATGCTTCAACGTCCCGATCTCGGAATTATCCTGGGGATCCGCTTCATGGATCAATCCCCGCAGCTTCCCCTGCGAGATCTCAACAAGCGCATAATCGGTCTTTCGGGGTCTCTCGGATTCCAAGTCATCAGCCCCAGGCTGCCCGATACACAATATCGGAGTGCGCGTATACAAGTCGGCAGTCTCCGAACTTGAAGGAGGCAGCGACACAAACGCAAAGCCACCCGGCACACTCGCACCCTCAAGACAAACAATCCGTCCCAGCGCCAGATCCCGGTGTGAATCCCAGACGACGCACTCGACCTCCACTGGTACCCCGCTATAACTAAGAAGCCACTTCCGTCGATAAGTCTTCCACTCGTCATCGGATTCGCCGAAACAGTGCGCACAGGTCAGGATCCAACCAGCGGCCCCGACGCACACGGCCGTCCCGGCCTCGTGCTGCGCGAAGATGTATGTTGCTTGCAGAGCGTTTGTGATGTGGTTTCCGTACCTCGATGCGAGTCTAGTTATGCTTTGTGCTGAGGCGCGCAGGCGCTGTTGCTTTTTACGCAGGATACGTGTTTCCTCTGCGTCGAGTCCTGGGAGGTTCGATTTAGCTGGTGGGATCAGCTTGATGGCTGATGTGAGAGTTTGGACTGCATCCCCGCTGGCTTGAGCCCCACGATCGGCGATCGGTATGCGGCCATTCTTGTCGTGCTGCTGAGATGCCGACTTGGCAGGTACCCGTGTGGCTGAACGCAGGGTCCTGGTCATTGCTTATTCGGAATTTGTAGACGCAACAGGGAAGTGAGTCATGCGACCCTGAGAGACGGAGAATCCATCTCCGCGCCTGAAGAAAAAGTACATATGATACGAGACCTCGGATCATGTGAGACGCACGCTAGGCCGCATTCATCTTTTGCTAGTATACGTCGTTCGAACAAAAGTATTCCCTGGGGGTTGAGCGGCCCATTCAAGCGTTAAGATATAGGGCGTATTCACGCAAGCGTAGCAGTGGCACAGGGTTTGTGTACAGTCAGTCCTCCCTGTCTGGGATCCGGAGTAAGGGGGACGGACTTGATCTTCGACACGCACACGACTAGGTCTGAGATCGCCCAGTGATAGAGGGAGAGGTACTCTGGGCCCACTGACCAAAACCCAAAGGTACTCCAACGTTCATTTGTTCTGGTGTAACGATGTTTCGGCCCACACGCTCCCTTCGGAATGATCGGGGACCCAATTCCCAGTCGGAGTATAGTGGCCCCGCAGGAGAACGCAAAAAGAACCGCATCGTCAGCTGCAGAACCCTCAAAAAATAATCGCCCTTAAGGCCAAAGTTTTTAGTGAATTAGGTCCTGGTCTGCTGGATGGGCCTATTATCATCATGAATCGCAGAGGTTGCAAAGAACGAGGCATCAGGCCAAACCAATACTGTAAGGGGGTAACTCGGAAGACAGGATATCAACAGGTTGGGACAGCAACAGAAGCTTCTTTACTGCGAGGGGCAGATCCCCTGTCCTTTGGTAATATAAGAACAGGGGTCCCTGGCAACATCCAGCCACCTGGCTGACTTTGTACCACCCCCTTGGGACCAGCAATCCGCCACCATGAAGCTCACCTCGCTACTCCCCTTCGCATTCCTCTTCGGTCCAATCCGAGCTTCATCATCAACAACCGTTATCCCTTCCACGCCCGTTCCCGAGCTTTCCGAAGTAACCTGGCGCTCCGGCGCAGCGGGCTTCGACGCCCCCAAAGTCTCCCCCGTCAACGCCACAACGTGGGACTGGTGGTATTTCGACGCAGTCCAGTCGCCTGCCCCAAACGGAGAGCGCGCCTCGGTTGTGGTCACGTTCTACACGGCCCTCCCGACAGGCTTCGACCTCCTCGGCCCCTTTGCATCCGCCGGGTACACCAGCCTGACTCTGGTCGGAACCGAAGTGACCTGGCCGAACGGAACGACAGAGACGTTCCTCATCAACGCGACCGAGGCGACGGTTACGGTATTGGGTAATGGGGCTTCCGGAGTTTGGGAAGCGCCGGTTGGTACGGCGTCGTTTGATGGGACGCCGGATATGTCGAGTTATCGTGTCGACTTGCACTCGCCCTTTGTCTCGGGGTCAATCACGCTCCGATCGGTAAGCCCGACTAGCTAACCTGATTACTATCTCGGGCCCAGAAAAAGCTGACCGGCCGACAGAATGCCCCGGCTCACTACCCATGCGGTCCACCCGTGGCTGGCCAGAACCTGCAGATCGCGCCGCACATCGGCTGGGCGAATGCGATGCCCGGTGCCGAGGCCGATATCCAACTTAACGTCCATGGAGAGGAACTCTCATTCACCGGCCTTGGTTACCACGACAAGGTATATACCCTCTCCCCTCTCCTCCCATGAGCTACTAAACACTAACACGCGTTAGAACTGGGGTGACCAGAACTTCGCCTCTAGCGTTGGGGCATGGTACTGGGGTCACGGCCGGCTAGGCGACTACACCGTCGTCTGGTTCGACTTCTTGACGCCACAGATGGACAACTACGTCTCTGCGTACGTATCACGGGGCAACACAGTCATTGCCGCTCAATGCTCGGGCATCAATGTCCGACCGTATGGTGACAACTCGGCGTACCCGCCCCTCCTCACCACGGGTCTTCCGACCGGGTTCAACATTACAGTTACCCTTCCGCTCGACGGACGAGTCTTGTCGTTCACTGCGACGGGCGAGCATTTTATCTCTGGGGGCCCGGGCCGCCACATCTACACGCGGTGGTCAGGCTCACTGGAGGGGAATATTGACGGGGAGGATCTCACCGGGGAGGCGATCTTCGAGCAGTTTAAGCTGTTTAACCAGACCGATTGACTCGATAATGGTACTAGTAGTAGCAATGCTACTAGTACGTCAAGCTCACATTCTATTTCCAGCAGTGTTGGCCTATATCTGCTGTTGCTCACCTGGTACGGATATTTGTTTCTCATCGTGGTTGGTTGACGGACTCGAACTCGTGTCGCACGTTGGCGCCGTGCTTTCTTTCGTACATTTTTCACCACTCGCTGGCTGCGCCTCTTTGTTTCCTACATCAGCCTTTGGCGTCGGCGGTTACGCATCTCAGCTCTGTATTGGATAGTTTCACCCATTAATGTTGGATAATCGCTCAACTTGATACCTGGTCCAGTATTGTGTAGCCGCCGAGCCTTGACCACAGGGCACCTCTTTATCCATCTGCGTCAGCCTACATGCACGATGCCTGCGGCGCAACCTCTTTGACCAGCCGCCCTCCTCAGTTTCACAGCCTCGGAGGACGGAAAGCTCAGCTGACGGGTCAAGAATCAGAAAGACAGTGACAGAATCGAGACAGGCTCAAACGGAGTCAGCCTTGGATACTGTGCCGCTCTCTTCTTGCTCGAACATAAAAGGCGCTCGCTTCCAGCGCATTTGGATGCGTCAATCTCCTCCAGCCCACTTCACCCTCTTCCCCACCGGTCGTCCATCCACATACAACAACACAACTCAAATCGTGACTGGCAAATACCCCCCTACCGCCGCCCCCCCCACCAAAAAGAAAAGAAAAGAAACATGGCGCCTCCGATCCCCTTCCAAGACCGGCCAGGAGCGTTCCTCACCCGCTTCAACCAAACTTTCGAAAACGAAGACCTCATCGTCGAAGCCCTCCGCCTGGCCGGGTGCTTTGGAAGTGCTGGCAACAAGGAGCTCGCCCTCATCGGGGATACGATCCTGAGGCTCTTTCTTCAGGTTGAGGGTCGTGCGCGAGGCATGAACCGAGGTATGCGAAGCTAGCCCTTTAGCTCTGTCCTCTACCTGACACAAACACAATCTAACCGAACCGATGTGTCGGCTCGCACTAGGTTCGATCGACGCCATGGTCCAGAGACAGGCACGCAACGACAACCTTACCGACCGCGGATTCGAGCTAGGCATCGACAGGTACATCCAGAACAATCCCTCCCAGGGAACCATCTCGCGAGGAGTCATGGCGACCACAGTCGAAGCGATAATTGGTGCGGTCTACCTCGACAAGAACGGCGAACTCGCTGCCGTTGGACAGATTATCGCTGCGTTCGGTCTTGGCTGGCCTGAATGATGACTTGCGCTAATTTCATGTAACGTTCGTATCCCTCCTTCTCCTTCATTATCGCGTATCTACTATATCTATCGCGCATACTAACAACCAACACAGACTCAATCCTTCCCAGACCAACGAGCACAACGCCTCGCACCACGCACATACACGCCCGTATACAGGCGCCCCCGTGGGACATGCAGCGCCGAGACGGATACCGATCGACACAACCCGTCTCGCGCTGGATGTCCCGCCTGGGCGCCGTATACCGGCGTCTACGCGCGGGTGCGAGGGGGTTCTCCTCGTGGTCTTGGATAGGCGCTACCCCTCTGCAGTTGATGCCTGCGGCAAAACTCGGACTGAAGGTTGTGTCGCTTTAGCCCCTGTCGTGGGCATGGTTGGAGAGGGGTTGTCTGAGCTATTTGTGGTCGGTGGACGGGGAGAAGTTGGAGAAGGAAGGAGGATTGGGTCTGGTTTTCAATTGATTTGGCTGCTTTTCCCATGATGACCCTCGCGCATCATGCTACTATAGTATGCATGGGTGAGGGCAGCCATGATATCGCGCTTTATAGCAGATCGCAGTACGCCGTAGTATAGTCCACGAATGCAGTCGTTTCGCGACTATCGTATCTTTGCCGTTATGAGGGGAAACACGGTCTACTGCAGCGCTCGGTCGTACCTACCATTCATACCAGTAGCAGTGGCGAGTCGCGGCTTCCGTATCCGTGAAATATGAATAAGGAAGGAGCGCATGGGTCGCGCCTTCCGTTTCTGTATATTCTCTGGGCGTACTCCGCAGGGAAGGTGCGATGAAGAGCAGCCGGTCGCTCTTTCCGTGGAGAGTTGCACGAGCTCTGTATCGCAAAAGGAAAGTGCGATCCTCGGCCAGCCCACGTCACGTAGGGGATCCGGCGTACAGCCTCACGTCGGGATATTCGAGATTCATCCGATACTTCCAGAGGAGGTTTGAATCTCTTCGTCGAGCAAGCTTTGCGGCCCCTTTGTAGGCTGAAAGTAATGCACGATTGGCAATTGGTCTATTGCCCCTTTTAAGCCTCAGTCACCGTTGGGGGCTGGATCGGAAATACGATAGCGGCGCAGCGCTGCACCGTGCGCCCAGCGGGATCCCCCCACTTGTCAGCTCACCACGCTCAGCTAAAGCTCAGCCCAATCGCCATCTGGTCAATTCAAATCTCACCTCTCCTATTTACTTTTATCCCTCCTTTGAAAACAAAGAGAGCGCCAAAAAATAAGCGCAAACCCGCAATCAGAATGTCGCACTTCTTCCCCAAAGCGACCTATGCCGAGGACCAGCCTCTTGCAACCACAATCCTCACCACACACGTCCTCTACCGCGGCTTCCAAACTGGCGCTGCACTCGGCCCGCTTACACGCGCCGCGCTCTCGCTCAGAACCAAATCACCGCTCACATCGACGTCTCTCCTCCGCGCCGCGGGGACCGGCGGCGTCGTGGGTACAGGCATTCTGAGTGTTATGCTTATCGGGCGGATGTGGGGGAGGGAAGAGATCGAGTGGAAGGATCGCAGTTGGAGGCTGATGAATCATAAGGGGCAGGTTGCGATCGATGATTGGAGTCAGGTTGGGGGTGTGCTTGGGGCTGGGTTGGGTGCGACGAGGGTAGGGATTCTCGGGTGGAGGGGCGTTGTTGGTGCAGCTGGGGTTGGGTCCTTGGTTGGTGTTGTCGGGTGTTTGGGGTATGGGTGGGTGAAAGGGGAGGAGAAGCAGTTGTGATGAGGGAGGGTGATTGGTCTGGGCTTCTTTGTGAGTGTATGATATGGTGATACCAGTAGTATAGGCGATAATGTTACTGTCTCCTCTCCACATGTTCATTGTTTTTCAGACTTTTTGTCGAAGTAGATTTGCTTGGGGGTTCCAGTGAATCGATTGAGTTCTGGACTGGCAATGCTCAATACTTGAACGTGTTAAAAAGGATAGTCTGTGGGACTTGTCTTCCGTCACTTAGGAAGAGTAGCCCAGATCAAGAAATGCAGGGCATGGGCCAAAAGTCGGGGATATAAAGTGTGTTCAGGGTGTCAAGAGGCTTGTGAAATATATAATGGTGCGATAGTTCTTGGGAGTCGGGATCATCCCCTCCGCAAAACGAAGTACTCCACGAAATCAAACATTATTAGAGTATAGACTCATGTATTTACACAGGAGAAAGGTTTACAAGGCCCTCAGGGGTCAAAAAATGGTACTTGGTTAATTAGACTCGGGCGCAATCAGTGATAGATGGACATGGAGAGCTCAGGTTATGGGCAGTTTTTGAATTGGCTCATCAAGGAAAAAATAAATGTTGCTTTAATCAAGTAGCATCATTGGTCTAGTGGTAGAATTCGTCGTTGCCATCGACGAGGCCCGTGTTCGATTCACGGATGATGCAGTATTATTTTTTCTTCCCTGATAACCAGTATCTTCGCTGTGCTTGTTCCTCTCCCACAAATTGAGGTACTTTCAAAGTTCTCCATTCTGTTTCACCTCTAATACTAGATTATGAAACCAAGTCCCTTCCCAATATTCGAACCAGCTGAAGAGAGTACATAATAGCAAAGCTTCACAAGATGAGACCTTAGCGTTTAACCCCTTCCCCTCTGACCCCACGCCCTGGTCCGCGTTGTGTCTAGAATTAGATCACACTGGGAGTAGCTTCCCAGTCCATGTCGACAGATCGCATCTCGGAGATCTAGATAGTGGATTAGTGGAAGGGCTTGCTGTACAAAAGCCGCAGCTACCTACCTTTGCTTGAACGGATTCAACCCTACGGTCTGGTGTTAGAAGATTTGATTGGATCGATAGAAACGATACAAAGAAATTTCTGGTAAAGAACAGATGACTTACATATGATTGGTCCAGTCCCTATGGCTGTCAAAGACACCAGACTCGAGGCAGAAACGGAGCAAGGACAATATGGTCTCCAAGCAATGAACCGCCGGCGTTGTTGTCGCCATTATAGCTGCCCAATCTTCCCTATATCCCCCAAGCCTGATAAGAGGCAGATAGTTTCAAAGACTGGAATCCATAATTGTTTCCTCGCGAGGAAGCTTTGCTTTATACTCTTGAACTGCAGAACAGAGGTTTGAGTGTGCTCACTGTATCCAGCGACCCCGCAACCCCACCACACCACACCAAATGTCCAATTTGGATTAGCGCTTGGTCGCGGTTTGTCCGACCACCCCGCAATTGAACAGGCGCTGCCTGATGAATATCCGTGCCTTCCAGCGCACCCACCGCCTTCGTAAAAGTTCGGTAAACTTTTACGAAGGCGGTGGGTGCGCTGGAAGGCACGGATATGCTCCCTTGTGCCAGACAGATTCATCTTGAGGGCGTGCACATTACTCTACTTTTGCCAAATGCCCTTTTCTGATCCAATGCCTGGAATGATCGCGCAGTGTCGGGCGCTTGGGGCGCTGTTCCAGTCAGCTGAATCCTGGTTTCTCCTTGTCTTTCTTGATACTCCGAGAGCTGTTTTAATGGAGATTTAAGTCTTCTCGCACAAATGGAATACGCTACTTGCTGTCTTGGCATCCGATACCCCCTCGTAGGTACTGCTACGTATGTTCCAGAGCGCCTTTCTCCAGACCTTGGGTTGTTCTGCTTTTCCCTGCCTTGCCCGGCCGGATAGTCCCGTACATAAAAGGTATGGACTCTCAAGCCACTGATCTACCACCACGACTAGGTACATAGTCTGAGTCACCTGAGCTGGTAGATCCTGAGAAAACGGCCCTTGCGTCGGTTCTAGCTGCAATGCTCATCATCTGGATCGGGTGAAGCTCTCCTACGGGAGTGGCAATAGATCAACTCAACTAGTATAAAATTGCTGGTATTAGCTCATCACCTAAAGACAGACAAAAGCACAAAATCATAAAGCTCAAACTGGAAGATAAGCTTAAACTGATTTAGGTTGCGTGGTTCTCCTCTTTTCTGGGGTCGCCACGAGGTCATGTGAGCCGAGGCATTCGGGTCGTTTTCAGAGCGGAGAAGCTGCCATCGTCATCCACTTAATCCCTTCCAAGTTCCTCACGTTCTCTCGTTCCGTATCTCGCATCGAAATCTACATTGGACCCTTGTATTTCTGAACCAGATACTATACCCCTGCAGCTCCAATCGACAACATGCCTACCGCCCTCCAAAGCACGAGCATTGGTTGGATCCTCATCTCCCTGGGCCACACAGTATGTCCATAAACCGATCGCCTCTGCGCTTCTCAACTCGGGAAGATGCGGAAAAACCAGTACTAACATGTCTCCAGCTCGGCGCCAAAGACTGGCAAGGATCCGCCCAATTCCGCGCCCTGCCGACCAACGCCGATACCTGCGCTCGCGCCGGCTGGTACCAGGGCAGCGTGTTCTTCCTTGTCAACGGTACGTTCATTCCATGCCTACTTCATAATAACAAGTCTAATAGCTAACAAAATCAGCTCTCATCAACTACAACTGGTCGCTGGCCCCTGAGCAGCTGAAGAACCCGATAAACAAGGCTATCGCGATCTTGATGACGGCCGTAATGCTGGCGAGCGGTGGATGGTACTTCAAGCGCGGTGTCTCTAGCAATGGTGTTGCGGTGACGATTATGGGTGCTTTGCAGGCTTATGCGGCTTTGAGGGAGTAGTCTGGTCACTTTTCTGCGTGAGGAGTGTCCGGCTGGGCTTGTATACGTGGCCTTCTTGGAATCCAAATGTCTCTAGTACTTTTCTTCTTGCAATGATGCTCTAAAGTGATCGGCGGGACAAGCCTGATGAATATATTTCATAGAGCTGGCGCTGCGCCTTGACTGCTGGTATTGATGCACCGTACTCTTCCAGATAGGCATCGTATGGCTAACCGAGCAACGCGTCAAATGGTTGCTTACAGAGCAGGGGTAATAGCATGGACTGGATACACTTCAGATGAACTCGCCTATCATCTACTATAGGTCTACAGAGCCCGTGGCGACGCGGCGCTCCGCCATGACATTTAACAGATGGCGGTAGGCGTTGCTGATATGTTCTTGAAGTTCTCAGGTAACCTGCAGTGTCTGACTGTCTGTGGCTTTTAGATCACAGGGCTGATGAACGAGTCGGCCTATTAGATTTGTCCGAACAGGCCCACTTGGGTTGGCTACAGCAGTCTGCCCCTACTTGCAGCTTGATGGGGGCCATTTGTATATTATTTAGAAATCGTAACGCTGTCGATCTATTAAGCAACGAGAATTCCTGGACGTCTCGTAGTCGACCCTAGACGGTGCCCTGCCATCCCCTGCCATCCCCTGCCAGTTGATACCCACCACATCTGACTATATTCGAGTCACTCAAAGTACTTCTGATCCTTCAGAACCGCAACGACCATTCACCTTCCTCAACATGGATGTCTACAGTTGTCCTCATTCCTGGCGCCTGGCACACGCCCAATCACTACTCCGAATTCACAAACGCGCTGCGCGCCCTCGGCCACGAAGTCCACGTCCCCCACCTCCCCTCATGGAACGGCGCGCGCCCAAAAAACGCCAACCTCAAAACTAACTTCGACTTCATCCGCACCTACGTCGAGAGCCTCGCCTCCGCGGGCCGCGTAATCACAGTGCTAATGCACTCGTACGGCGGGCAAGTAGGCACAAACGCCCTCTCTGGTCTAGGCGCCGAGACCCGCGCTGCACAGGGGCTTGCGAGCGGCGTCGTGGGGCTCATGTATATCGTGGCAGCGGCACTTACAGAGGGGAGATCCATGAGAGATTTCGTCGCAGAGCACGGACACGGGCCTCTGCTGGATCTTGCGCTCGACTTCGCAGAGGACCGGACGTGCGTGAGTCGGGATCCCAGGACGATGGTTGTTGGCGGTGGCCGGTCAGACAGCGACACCGAGGAGTACATTGCCGGGTTGCAGCGGTGGAATGGGAAGGGGTTTGATGGCAAACTGAAGGCATATGCGTGGCGGGATATCAGGAATGTCGGGTATGTGTATGCGACGTTGGATATGACGATCCCCGTGGATTATCAGAAAGTCTATGTGCAAATACTGCGGGATGGCGGCTGTGCGGTCCGGACGTAGGAGCTTGAGACGGGGCATTGTCCGACTTTTACCATGTTTGAGGAGGTTGCGGGGATTGTGAATGAGTTTATGGGTGGCCAGTGAATTTCTTCCGTTGTTCAAGCAGTGTGGTCAGTAGATCGAGTCCAGAATCCATTATGCTTGTTTTTAGGGTAGGACTGACCAGACATATTGTTCACTAGCCTCATTACAAATCCCTAGAGTATCAACACATAATTTCCTTTGGAATACCCCGATGCGCCCCAAAGCGTGCTAAAGGGCTCGGTCGCCAAAGCGTATACAGTCCAAATCGCGGAGCATCCTTACTCCATTCATGTCGTACTTGGAGCCGACCCAGCGAATAACAATACGTAGTTATCAACAGAAGCCATTGTATGAGTGGAACCCAGTCGTGGTCAATTGACGTGAATAGAGTTGCGCTATTGAAGAACAAAGAAGATTCCTGCCACGTCTTACCCCGCAGCTTTTTGATCAAAGTGAAAACTTCTATTCTACCTTGAATTCACTTTCAGTATTTCTGGGAATCTATCACGGCCTGCAGTCCTCTGGTGGATGTTACTTTGGTCCTTGGCTGCCTCCAACGTTACCAACATTGACCACAGTCGACAGCGATGGGAGCCATGGTATCATCAAGAACAACCTGCAATACCCCAATCCTCTTGTTCCGCATTAGCGATGCTAGGACTCGAAAGGTCGTGGGAATCGAGGTGGTAATCCTCGTTGCTTTCTTCATGTACACCGCGATTCTCTATAGACTATCCACAATCTGGGATCGCCAGTCCCTACCCTCGGAAACAAAATCTACGAGCAACAACAGCCCAAAAGATGAACACGCCGACTTCACCAAGGAAATCGCTGTCGATGTATGGTTCGGGCTCACATTGATGCCGACCTTCGACGCAATCGCAATCGTCGGAACCTGCAATCTCGCCATCATCAACCGTTGGCATTACTTTGTCTCTATTCGCACGATGGTGCTGGCCTACCTTGCGTCGATCATCGTCATTCTATCCAGCAAGCCGGGAACAACTAACTTCATTTACGAGCATCCTGGATCGGTGTTCATGCTTACCTTGGCTGTATACGCTGGTATGGGAGCGTGTTTAGACTACTTTCGCGCTCCGCCGCCAAGGACAAGTATGAACCCCCGCGCATGGACAATGTCAGAGTATGTTGGTGCTATAGGGCGCTCGGATGGCACGTGGAGCGAAGCGATTATAGTTACTGCAGTAACATGCGGCCTGGCGCCTGCTCTTACTATCAGTTTACCAGTCGAGTGTTGGGGCATCATCCCGCTGGTCAGCACTGCATTCGAGGTACGCAGAATCACCCCGTCCCTCAACGAACAGTACCCCTAAGAGATGTCTATCAACGAAGGATGACATGCTGATATTTCCTACGCACCAGGCAATTATCTTCCGCAAAACTCGATTCCGTCGCACGTGCCAGTACACCGTACTCTCAGCCCCCTTTTTCCAGGGCGGCGTATGTGTACACTGGGGCCTGAAGCAGATAATCGGTTCCCCGAGACTCTTTTCACCACCATGGATGTTCCTGCTTTTACTTGTGGCCAGTCGCCTGATTCTCGATTTGCATCTGCAGACGCTCTTTCGGAACTGTCCCGAGTTCCAGTGGGCTCGGGCTCGGGCTGTGCTTCCAACTACGCAATTGGTACCGGTAGTTCTTATTCTTCTTTTCCTTGAGATGATGCACTTGTCGGTTGTGAAGTGGGTAAAGCCGGTTTCGGTCCTTGGGATTTACCTAGCGGGTATTGTTGCGGGGACATTGCCCGGTGCTTACACTCTTGCTTTTGGGCGGGAGAAGAAGTAGACAGGTTGAGGGACTTTTGTTGCAGATGAAATAGCGGACAACCCTCAAGATAGGTCGCAAGTTAAGACGTACAACCAACGGAGGTCTGTTTCCCTTGTTCAGGGATAACCCACTACCGCCATAGAGCCCATTGGAGGGAAATATTGCATGACATCCGGAGCAGCCAGCTGAGATGCTCCGTATAACCAGCCGAGGTATCGCCGCGCTCCACACGGTCAGGAATGATAGATTTCTAGGGGCGAATCGGGAACCGGACTTTTGATGTTTCCATTTGGTATAAGGGCGCTGGGAAAAGTCGCTTTTCTTCAGCCTTTCGTGGTGCCGGACGGGTAGGAGGGTGCTCAACAGGAGGCCCCTTGTTTGTCATGGTTATTGTGCCGGATGCGCCGGAAACGGCTGAGTACTTTCTGGTCTCAACACTCAGCATTATTTAGATGGATGGCGTCGCAGATACATGACACACCCATATTGCAGCTGGGTGCAAATGATCTGATCCTAAGCGCTAGGGTTCCTGTTGTATGGAATGCGGTGCACCTGACCAGTCAAGCTGTGCAAGGTGCTTGGAGTCCCACAACGCAGAATCCACTGGCACTGACTCGTAGATGGGGTTTACTTAGGAGGGATAATAAACAGGGGTCATCAATAGATAAGCCTAGAACCCTGCATGGAGGAGCGATGCGTTCTTCAAAACACGGCGAGGCAATCAAGAAACAAGTCAAGTGAGACAGTTCGTTTCAGATTGGAAGCTTGTGCATGATAAGCCAATAGAATGACAGTTTTGTCCAGGCAGCAGGATTTTCCAATTTCCAGAGGAGCAATGGGGCCGGACCGAACAGGGCTCTCGGCAGGGCCCCGATGCAGACTGATCTCCGGCGAAGCTTTTGCTGCTCAAGTGGAGATAGAATGGCGCCATTGATTCGATACCGGCTCACCGAGTGGAACCTTTCTCTACAGTTCTTCAGCCGGCCGTCGCAGATTGACACCTGCAGGGCCCATCGTTTCCCCTGAGCCTTATGAGTCTATTTCACTGCGGATGGCTCGGCATAAACCAGGTACTTATATAGCCCCTACTCCTGCCTTAAATCATTACACCTCAACACCGACTTTCCTTGTCTTTCATTCCAGGGTCTCTGTTGATCAAGTCCCTAGTCATTCTTTGTATCGTCATCATCCATTCATTCACCATGCATTTCTTTAAATCGTCCATCGCGGCTGCGCTCCTGGGCTCTGCGCTGGTCGCTGCTGCCCCCGCAGCCGAGCTCGAGGCTCGTGGCTCCTGTACCTTCACCTCTGCCTCTGCCGCAAAGTCCGGCAAGACGTCCTGCTCGACCATCACCCTCGACAACATCGCCGTTCCCGCCGGTGAAACCCTTGACCTGACTGGCCTCAAGACCGGTACCACCGTACGTCCACCCACCATCACCAACAGCATCCCCGCTAACCCTCTGGAAAGGTCATCTTCAAGGGCGAAACCACCTTTGGCTACAAAGAATGGAAGGGCCCCCTGATCTCCGTCTCCGGAACCTCCATCACCGTCAAGCAAGAGTCCGGCGCCAAGATCAACTGTGACGGCGCCCGCTGGTGGGACACCAAGGGTAGCAACGGCGGCAAGACCAAGCCCAAGTTCTTCTACGCGCACAAGCTGAACAAGTCCAACATCACTGGACTCAAGGTGTATAACACCCCTGTTCAGGGCTTCAGCATCCAGGCCGACCACCTCACCATCACTGGTGTCACCATCGACAACTCCGCTGGTACCAGCAAGGGCCATAACACTGATGCGTTTGACATTGGCTCCAGTACTTATATTACCATTGATGGGGCAACCATCTATAACCAGGATGATTGCTTGGCTATTAACTCTGGTCAGGTTGGTTTCCCCTTCCCTACCACACTCATAATTTTGAAACGCTAATCTAAACTCGAACAGCACATCACCTTCACCAACGGCTATTGCAACGGCGGCCACGGCCTCTCCATCGGCTCCGTCGGCGGCCGCTCGGACAACACCGTCAGCGACGTGACAATCTCCAACTCCAAGGTCCTCAACTCGCAAAACGGCGTGCGCATCAAGACCGTCTACGGCGCCTCGGGCTCCGTCTCGGGCGTCAAGTTTGAGGACATTACTCTTTCCAACATCAGCAAGTACGGCATCGTCGTGCAGCAGGACTACCAGAACGGTAGCCCCACTGGTACGCCGACCAACGGAATCAAGGTCGAGGATATTACCTTCAAGAAGGTTACGGGTTCGGTCCAGAGCTCTGCCACCGATGTTTATATTCTCTGTGGCTCCGGCAGCTGCAAGAACTGGACTTGGTCTGGGAACTCGATCTCGGGTGGCAAGAAGAGTGACAAGTGTAAGAATGTTCCTTCTGGGGCTTCTTGCTAGACGAGTCGCGAGCTATCCAACCTCTCCATATACGCGGTGAGTATTAATTGAACATAGGGAGGGAACACTTCATATTATTGGACGCTCCGTCCGGGAAGAGGACAAATAGTTGATAACACAGATCGCTTGTACTATATAGATGTAGCGCTTAGCATACTCGGCACCTAATCTAATACCAATGTTGTCATAGAGCTTGGGCCAGTCTAGGGAATCACATCTCATATCCTTAGCAGCTTATTTACCCCACAGGCACCAGCTACCTGCTCAGAAAGTATTCCAGTACAGAACCAACGGCACCTGCTCGCTACCTGCCTCATCACCTGAAGTCACATCACTCTGGAAACTACTGTGATTCGCCTCAACATCCTCATACCCCACGACAGCCTCACCAATCGATCGACAATCGCATCGAGAAACGACGCGCTGACCTCCAACTCATCCAGGAAACTAGACACAAAGATCGTCGTCAATACCTCGCCGCTTCATCGAATTCCTCTAGAAGGGTCCTGATCGTGCCCGCCTCCCCCGCCTCAACGAGATCTGATTTCATGGTAATCATGGGCTCCGAGGTTACCGAGATTTGCAATTGGAGATTTTCTGCGGCGTCGCCGAGTGCGGCGGCCTGGGCCATGGATAGTTGCGGGGGGTTGGAGAGGAGGGGAAAGGGGGGCATTCCGCCGGGCAAGACGAAGAGGATGCCACTGCAACTAGCACGTGTATTAAAAGGGGGGAAGTTGGAAGGGGACGTTATAGTCTAATCAAATATGCACAAATCTGCTAGAGCAATGGCACGAGATTCAATACGTCCAGTTAGATGATTGGGAATTTCAAAGGTACCGCTAAGTGGGACACTGGTGTGTTCTTCATGAATCTGGTCGGTTTTCGATCTTCATAAAACCTTATAAATTCCCTTGCCATATGCCCAGATGGCCGTGATTATCAGCAAGGATGAAGATATGGATGAGTTCTTCTTAGAGCTCTCCTCGATGAGCTTTTGGAAGTATGAGGCACGTTAGCTCGCTTATGTAACAAGCAAGTAGCATCATTGGTCTAGTGGTAGAATTCGTCGTTGCCATCGACGAGGCCCGTGTTCGATTCACGGATGATGCATTCTCTTTTTATTTTTCTTTTGTTAAATACAGGTTGCAGATGTAGAAAAGCTATGGCCACTGTCACGGAAGTCTGCCCTTTCTGCCAGCATGAACTGACAGGCGCCACCACTCTCCAAGATCAAAGACATGTAGGCCCACAAGGCTGGTCAAGCTTGTTTGAGCACACTGTTGCTGATAGCGCGTAAAGATCGAGCCGTACCTGCATCCCATAAATATCTAAATCCCTCGCTTTCCAATCCATCCCCCAGTAACCAGGACCGTCGGCACAGACGAAACCCCCAAAACCAATCCCATCGCCCACGCAAACGTCCCCCAACCGACCCGTTGCCGAATATACCCCGCAAAGAACGGCCCAACCAGACTCCCTGCTGCGAAGGCCATATTCGACAGCCCGAATGCAAACGCGACGGCTCCGCCGCGGTTGGCGTCCAGTCGCCCGCCGGACAGTGTGGCCTCCTTAGCCTTCACTGCGAGGAAGACCTCGAGCATGAGTGGTGTGTTTGCTAGGGCGAGACAGAGGCCGAGGAGGGCTAGGAGCGCACATAGCAGAATTTTATCGTCAAGCGAGTCTGTGGTGATGAGTCGGAGGCAGACGGCGGGCGCGGTGGCGGAGAGAAATGCGCCTGATATGAGGAAGCGAGCGGCGTGTGGGTGTCGGTCGGCGAGAGACCCGATGAGTGGGTCGAGTATATGGGGGACCACGAGTGCGATGAATATCAGACCCTGGCCTGTTTGTCTCCATCCGAAGACCTCTTCCACGAAAAGGGGCAGCACGCTGTCGAATGACGTTAGCACCAACGAGACGACAAAGGTTCCCCAGAGTGAGGCGAGGAGGCGGGGTGAGCGAAGCAGGGTAGCTAGTTGCCTGAGAGGGTACTTGGTATCATTCAAAGGTTGTGGTGCTTGGGGAGTACTGGCACGTTCGTCTGCCTCACACACGACTGAACAGTCTGTTGTGTCTTCTCCGTGTCGTTCTGGCTGTGTCGGTGCAAGCCACCAGGCAGCTTCCTTCTTCTCAATGACCGCTAACCTCAGCACAAGATCAATCCCAATTAACCCAAAGGCAACACCAAAAACCGCATAATAGCCACCGTGCTCATAAACGACTCCTCCGACCAATGGTCCCGCCAGGACACCGATGCTCAGCCCCATCGAGACGTATCCGATAGCCTGGCCGAGCTCATCCTCGCCAACGGTGTCGACCAGAAGCGCCAGGCCAACTGCCCATACCACCGCTACTGCGGCACCCTGGAGGAGTCTGCCGACCACCCATAAGGCGATGTGCGTCCCGATGCATAGTAAGGCGGTTGCGACGCCCAGGACAACGAGGCCGAGCAGAAGCGGCCACTTTCGGGAATTTGCACGATCTGCCAAGTGACCGAAGATAGCTATTGAATGATTAGGATTAGGGTGCTTAGTAGGAACTGCGGACATACGAGAAAACACCAGGAATGCAGCTGAGTATAAGGCCAGTAGAATGGACGTCCACGATTGAGCTATCCAAGGCAAGGTCGGATTAGCCTAACATGTCTGCGCGCTCGATTAAAGAAAGATAACGTACTCTTATCTTCTGATATCCCAAGCTTGGTTTTGAGAGCTGTTGGTGTTACTGGTACGAGCTAAGTTGACTCTTAGAAACCTGTATTGCAATTCGGATGGCTGTTGAGTGCATACCAGACCGTACATGAAAATATCCTACACAGTAGGTCAGTTGATATTGCTGAGAGCGATAATGTGCGGAGGTCCACCGTTGACACAGCAAAGGCAATCATGAAGATAATAAATGATTTGGAGGATCGTAGCTTCAAGAACCTCGGAAGTGTCACATTGTCACTGCCCATGGCGGTTGTCGGGTGGGCTGGCAGCCCCATTTTGTCCAGATTATAAGATCAAACGCACATCAAACGCAAAGTAGGCGACAAATAAGGTACAGCGAGAGACTTGTTAGACCAGACATGCCATTATTGTGTTAGGAGAGGTCTGGAACGATAGACAAAATACATGCAAACAGCCGTCACGAGGGATTCTGCAGCAAAAGGTGGTGGGCCCGCTTTGGAAACTATTGTGCGCCTTTTTGAGCCACGTTCCTTCTTTTCCCCTATGTGGATGTTGAAGAAAGCCTATGAAAATTCGAACAAATTGGATTTTTTGGATATGTATGTACGTACATATTCCGTACTCTACTCTAATTACTGCCGTTTAGGCCAGCAATTAGGCCTGAATTTCTATAGATTTTGTTGTCGGTCTACCTCTCGTAACCAGGTCATATATAGTCGGTAATATCCGTCGTCGCCTCGCTGTCCACGTAAACTATATCACTCGGCCGAGAGAAGCCGTTGAAGCGCGTCGCAGTGGTCATGGTATAAGCTATATAAAATCAGCTTTGACTCTGGATGAAGTTATTGACTCGCAAAAGCATATCAGCCACTTACCCCCCATGTCGCAATATACAAGCCAGTCACCCACCTGGACTTCTGAATCAAAGGTCACTCCACGAGTGACGCAGTCGATGCTATCACAGGTCGGTCCCCAGATTGAGTATCGGTATTTACCTTCCGACCCCTCGCCATGTCCTTGTTTCGTCGCAGATGACGCCAGGGAATTTGATTTAGGTTTGTAAAGCCTGGGCGCCATCCGCTCCTTCTCCATAATAACATTCATGAAATTCCCATAGACCCCGTCATTCTGATACAGCATATCCGGAACCCCTTCAGCAGCCGCGCAACAAATGTGGCGGCGCCGCCCGATGACCTGGGGTACGAGCGTGTACGCACTCCGCGCAAAGTAGCGACCGGGCTCTGCAATGATTGTTATGTCCAAAGAGAAGTGGATGTCGATGGATTCGCGGACCGAGCGGGCGATAGACTCAAAATTGCTGTCCGTGAAGCCGCCGCCGATGTCGAGAATTGTGAGTCGGAAGCCGAGTGCGGATGCTTGCCGAAATACGACCGCGGCGTCCTCGATGGCTTTTCGGTAGGCGTTGGGGCTTTGGGCGCCGGATCCTGATGGCATGTATTAGTTTACAGTTCAAGCTGCCCCAACGTTATTCTTTGATGGAGAGCCACTCACCAACATGAAAACTAACCCCCACAACGTCGAGCCCCAGCTCCCACGCCTGCTTGAGCAACTGCTTGGTGGTATCTAATTGCGCACCAAACTTCTCCCCCAGCTTCACCAGCGCATGATCATCACTCGCGTAAATCCTCAGCAATAGCTGCGCCTCGGGAAAGTACGCACTGATCTTATGCAACTCATCCATATTATCAAAGGTCATTCGCGACACTCCAACCCGGCGCGCAAAGCGTATGGCTGCGGGTGCTTTGACTGGGTTTGCAAAAAGGATGCGCGCCGAATCGATGTTGAGGTCGAGGACGAGGCGGAGCTCTTCCACGGATGCGCAGTCGAAGCCGATGCCGAGGGAGGCAAGGTGGTGCAGAAGTGCTGGGTCGGAGTTGCATTTTACCGCTGAGACTATTGTTAGTTATGAATTTGTCTAGCGAGGGGGAGTTGGAGGAAAGAAGGGCACCATAGTAGGGTCGCACAGTTGGCAGGTTGCGCTCCCAGCGCGTGAGTTGGCGGGCCACCTGGCCGAGATCTGCGACGAAGAATGATTTTGTTTCTTCCTCAGAGCGCCGCTTGGACACACGTGCGGTGTAACGCTCGATAGCGAGATCGACGAGATCGTAGCGTGGCAATGCAGGGTTCTCAACCGTCTGGGGTTCGTTGGAATCGCAAAGCGCCCTCACATCTGGAAGGAGATGCATTATTCTTAAGATATCGCGCTGTATTGGGAGTTCCTGTTAAAGATTGGAGATATGACACAAAGCAGGAGGAAATGATCAACCCGTGAAGATTCCATGCTGATCAGGACTTTAGCTTTGCGCCGCGGGATCGAGATTGATCCACTGTGCAACACTGCAAGTACATTCGTAGAGAACATTTACATTTGAGTTCCACGCTATACCCCAGAAAGTGCCCTGTACGCAAGGGAGAACTGCCAGATCGATAATCCAGGACGTGGTCGGCAGCTGCATTGATGCCTAATAAGGCTCCGTACATGCACCACAGCTGAATGTACCCAGAAGACAGATTGACCCCACCCCAGCAGAACTGAGACAATGTTGAGAGACCAGGTAAATAGTTCTTGCTAGCTTGCGCCCTCACATCCTCAAGAATTGGGTCCGCCACACACAGTCGGCACACAAGTATACTATTGTTTTTCAACGCTTGGCAGTGCTCCACCGGCCCGAAGATTAAGGGCGAGATGCATTCAGCAACGCCACAGGACCTGCCATTTCGTTCCTTTGCAATCTGCCACCTTTGCCTGGAAGCTCTAAATCCTGATTGACTCGTGACTCGCTGCGTCGTCACGATCGATTGGGATGAAGTTTTGGTCACGTTCTACCACTCGATAGTCGTAAAAGGTGCGCAAGTGCACAGGATTTGGATCCCATCCATCGTTGATATTCAAACAATCGAGCTGAGTCGTGCATAATGTCATTTACCGAACCGTCAAGCTTTTCCGACAACGGCATCTCCCAACATCCCACCATGAAACTAAGCTCATCAATCGAAGCGCCTCTCCCTGTTAAGGTCGAAGATTTCCAACGTCTGGTCGAAACCTATCAAACGTTCGCACCAATAGATTCACAGACATTCATTCTGCCAGTTGTTCATCTCGCCTGGCTGGTGGCTGTTCGAAGCTATGCGGGAGAAAATACTTTCTACGTCACCGGCGACTATGCCACTGGTTGCTGCAGCGTATATGGCACCAGAATCAAAGGCTCTAGTGCTATCGAATTGAACGCGGATGATTCGGTAGAGAGCGTCTTGAAACAGCTGTTTACGGCCATGTCTCCGAAGAAGCCTAGCAACACCTGCAATGGAACGAGTCTGGGCCGTCCAGAGTACAATGCCTCGATCACCTACGGCAGCAGCGGAAAGGATGAAGCTGTAGTGAATCTATCATCGGTCTGTACGGCGCGGACTCTTCTACTTAAAGCCCTTGTACTAATCCTGGCAGACAAATCTTCACTTGAGCATCGGGCCTTCCACGGACGAGGAGTGGCGTATTCGTCTGGACTGGAATGAGGGCTCCATCTGTTCAACAATCGCACAAAACCTCTTCCACAGCGTTAAAGAAGCTCTTGTTTCCATCGCCACCTCCATCACTCAGCCCCTCGAGCTCGTCAACATCTGCTCGCCGCACCACCACGCCCAAATTGCGCAGTTCACCAAGCACGTTTCGCCTTTCAACAACACCCTCCTGCACGACATGTGTCTTCAACATGCCAGAACAGCACCGAACGCACCAGCCGTCGTCTCATGGGACGGCGATCTCACATACGCGGAGCTCGACGACCTAACCTCGCGCCTGGCGTGCTATCTCGTCGAACACGGTGTGCGACGCGGGAGCTTTGTCGTCTCCTGCTTTGCGAAATCAACCTGGGCGATTGTGAGCCGGCTTGCCATCCTCAAGGCCGGGGGTGCTTATATTTCTATTGACGCGAGGGACCCGCCCGCCTACCTGCAGTCTATTATTCGCAGAGCCAGCGTCGCCATTATGCTTACCTCTCCGGAATATGTCGAGCGGTTTAGGAGCACAGTTGATCATATAGTAGAGGTTACACGTGCATCTCTCAACTCCCTACCCGTTCAAGCGACGCCAGCCTGCGCGGGAATCCGCCCAGAAGACCCGTGCCTCATCCTCTTCACATCCGGAAGCACAGGAACACCGAAGGGAATTATCCAGGAACACCGGTCTTACGCGACCTCGATAGCAGATTACATCCAGAAGATCGGATTGGATTCGACAAGCCGCGTCTTCCAATTCGACGACTACGCGTTCGACATCAGCAACAACGACTATCTCGCCACCCTGGCCGCCGGCGGCGTCTGTTGTGTGCCCACCTCCGTAACGCCCATCGCGGCGCTCCGCGAGAATATCAACGCCTTAAAAGCGAATATGAGTTTCCTAACCCCGACAGTCATAGCGCAGCTGAAGCCGGCCGATGTACCCAGTTTACGGACGGTATGCATGGGCGGGGAACCGCCATCGCGGGATATAATAGCCCAATGGGGTGGTGATTCTGGGGCGCGGCTGATCAACCAATATGGCATGGGCGAGGCAGCGACGTTCTGCGCGCTCAATGGGAGCCCGGACGCTACACGGCCGAATATCGTTGGTCGGGCAGGCTGCGGCGCGATCTGGATCACAAACCCCGCGGACCCCGCGCAGCTCGCTCCCGTCGGTGCAGTCGGCGAGATACTTATTGAGGGCCCGCATCTGGCGCGCGGATATCTTGATGGCGTTGCCGTCCGTCCGGACGTGGGATTCCTGGCACAGCCACCGGCGTGGATGGGCGTGATTCATGGAGAGAGTCGAGCGCGGACTAGCCGAGTTTATCGCTCGGGAGACCTGGGTCGATATCTTACTGATGGCACAGTAGAGTATCTAGGCCGCAAGGACGCGATGCTCAAGCTCAATGGGTATAGGGTGAATGCCGTTGAGGTGGAGTGTGTTCTGCGGCGGTGTCTGGTCTCTGACAGCGATGCGGTGGTCGTCGATATACTGGGGCGGATGAGGGCGGACGAGGAGCCGGTGCTTGCGGCGTTTGTGTATGTTGCTGGCGAGGCCCTGGAAAAGGGGGAGCAAGTCGGGGATCTGTGCATACAGAGCGTGTCTGCGGATGATGCGGTCTACCCACTCGTGCAGCGTATGAGAGACCTGGTCGCCGGCAGTCTTCCAACGCATATGATGCCATCGGTTTTCCTCCAGGTTGACCGGGTTCCGCGTACCAAATCCAACAAGACGGATCGCCGACGGCTTCATATGTATGGGCAGGAGTTCTATGTGAATCGAATTAGCCCTTGATGATATGGTTGATGTCTCAGACAGCAGGCAGAACGGTGTTGCTAAGGAGCTAACAGAGTCTCTGGTGTATGGCGACGGAGAATCTTAAATGATTACTGATACTCGTGCCATCACTGGTATGTACATAACATCTACATCCATATAAAAAGCACACGGTAGACCCGGGATCAGCCTCAGGCCCTGCCAAGCTGGTGGCGCCAACTAACGCAACTAGACTTATTAAACACCAGGCACCAGGCCGACATGTGATTTTTTCACTGCCTGTCCTGCCTCCTAATTCTACCTCTTTCGTTCCCTTCATCGCTCCGTAAGTCCACCATCACCACCATGACCACAATGCAAGAATCCTGGTACTCTCTCCCCTGCGATGGGCGCGCCAGCGACATCCAAGTCGTCCCAGACAACCTCCCCGGCTACGTGGTCGTCACGCCCCCCATCAACAACGCCGGCGCCGAGCGCTTCCGCGCCTGCTGCTGGGGCGAAGTCTACAACGTCACGGGCCCCACAGACCCCTCGCACCCAGCCTACCCCGTCTCCTGCGGCCTTGTCTGCCAAGTGCATCCAGACTGGAAGTTCGGCGGTGCGAACTTTGACAACCCGGATGGCATGTCGGACCTGATGCTCTGCTGGTCGGACGGCGGGCGGATTGAGGAGTCCAGTGACGAGATTCCGAGGGATTGTTACGGCTGGATGAATACGCTTGTGGATGAGCCCGCGCCGTCGAGGTACCCGTCGACGCCGGTCTTTGATGACTGGACGTCGTATTGGACGTTCCAGGTAGATAGTACTGCGTTGGGGCCACATTGGGAGTCGGACCATCCGTTTCGGACGACTTGGTATCGGATTGCAGAGCAGCCTTCTGCTGTTGAGCAGGAGACTTCGGCGACGGCGGGCGGGGATGGAAGGGCTTCTACTGCATTGATTGCGACTGCAGCTACGGAGACCGGGTTTGAGTCCCCCTCGGCGGTGATTGGCGCCTCGGAGTCTCCTTTCACAACAGGAGCGCCTACGTCTTCACCTGTTGAGGAAGACAAGGTATTGACGTCGCGTGCGACAAGGATTGGCTTGAATAGAGTTTTGATAGCACTTCTGGCTCTCTACTTTGTATACTAAAAGACGTCCATCCCCTTCACGTCGAGATTTAACCAGATCCCAGAAATCGTGGACACTGTCCTGATGAGTGCATTGACAAGGAGCATATCCAGCCCCATACAAGTGATGCCTGTGTGGGAATATAGTGGCAGGTCTCGGATATCAACATGGTAGTGTGGGAGCTGTTGCCGATGTATTATGCAAAGGCCTCATTACTATCATATCGCCTCGGCCAGCCATTCGCTTCTTTTGGCCTTACAAGCACACTGTGGCTTTTCTTGGCCCCAATAAATCACCATGTTCCCCCTCGTATTCTTTCAGCCTCTTGACCGGTTGATAACCATCGACCGAAAATCCCTGCCAGTTAGACTCCACCAGCTAGGCAAATTCTAGATTGCCGTGTCGGCCGACTTGCGGCTCTGCTGATAGCCACAAATTCCTGAATCTACATAAGGGCTCACTACCGGTTGAGTAGAGTCAGTTCATGACTCTATCATTCAGATTGAGGACAAATGGGTTCAACGCTTTTGATCACCGGCCAGGAAGTCCGTCAAGCCGCGCGGGCAAATACGCACACCGGCCCAACAGCCGGTCTCGCCCCAGGCTACATCCAAGCAAACCTCATCGTCCTCCCTTCCAAGTACGCCGCCGACTTCCGGTCGCTCTGTCAGCGCAACCCAGTTCCCTGTCCGCTTCTCGCAGAATCCACCAAGCCTGGTTCGTGGGATGCGATGAAATCCTGTATCCCCAACATCACATCGACCGCACTCATTCATCCCGGCAATGACCTCGACCTCCGCCGCGACATCCCGCGCTACCTTGTCTACCGCGATGGGGAAATTGATGGAAGCGCACGACACACAGACCTCCTCGCAACCTGGCGCGATGACGACCACGTCGCCTTTCTAATCGGCTGCTCCTTCTCTTTCGAGGCCGCCCTTTGCGACGCAGGTCTAGCACCGGGCCATATCGTCGGCGGCCGCAACGTCCCCATGTACCGGACAACAATCCCTCTTAACCCCGCCGGCGTGTTCACTGGTGGAACGTATGTCGTCTCGATGCGTCTATACAAAAAGCACGATGTCGAGCGTGTCCGCGCCATCACCGCTCCGTACGCGTTTACGCACGGGGAGCCGGTTGCGTGGGGATGGGAGTCCGTCGAAGAGCTTGGCCTTGCGGATATAATGAAGCCCGAGTGGGGTGATCGGCCCCTTTGGCCAGATGGGAAGGAACTCGGACCGCAGGACGGCGGGGCGGGGAGATCTACGGACGTGGTTCCTGTCTTCTGGGGGTGTGGCGTAACTCCGCAGGAGGCTGTTGTGAGGGCTAGGCTTCAGGGAACAGTCATGGCGCATGCGCCGGGACATATGCTCGTCCTCGATTGCTTGGATGAGGTGCTGAAGGTGGAGTAGGATATGCGAGGCCTCATAAACTTGCTTAGCTGCGTTGCGTTATTGGCTATAGTTGGCTGGAGGACCCAGCCACGGAGTGCGTTTACGGAATTTACCAGGGTGAGCACGGAGTCAGGCCTGACGCTTGGGCTGAGCCGAGGAAGCTGAGGTGGGATTGGGAACATTATTGATTAAGATTCATATTAACGAAGATACATATTGACGTCGCCGACGCCCTTCACAAGTATACTTGATCCAGTCCAGAAAACTCAGCGTAAAACCAGCTTCAATCATTGTGCATAGATGGGACTGTCCAGGCACCCAATATCCGCTTGCAATGAGACCCCACGGCCGAGCCCAGCCCTCCTCGCCAGCCGCCTCCCCTTCAACCAGCGATAGCAGTAACAAGCAGCCACATACCTTGACGGCCTGGCAGCGCGCATCGACAACGCAATGCAACTCTCCCTTGAAAGGAAATACGCTCTCCGATTAACATCATCCACCATGGCCGATCCCATGACTGTAACGAACCCGTTCGCTTCGGGGTTATGTTTGACCCAGGTTGCACGGTTCGTCGAGCTCCTCGAGGGTTTCTTCGGACCAGGGGAGGCGGTCGTCGAAGAGGTATGCTCGGATCCGGCAGGCGATGGTGCATGTGCGGAGGAGGGCGTGTTCCTTTTTGGAGAGGCCTGGTGGGGGCGGGTGCTGCTGCGCGTTTAACATGGCTGGGTCGGCTTCGGATGAGAGTTCATCCAGCAGGTAGCGTAAGCGGGGATTGTCCATGGTGGACTTTAGCTGTGTGTTTGGATCCGTGTATCCCTCGTGCACAGCCCTCCAAGTTTCAGTCGTATCGGATGTTCGAATATCCTTTAGCCGTCAGCATACAACATATATCGTCTTTTTCGTGAGTAAACCTTGATCAGAGCAACACTCAGCGGCCAGCGGCTCGCGCTGACAGGGTTTAAGTGATTAGTACGGTGGGTACTGGCCTTGTCAGCGCGCCTGTAGGCTCACAAAGTTCTGACAAGCCCGCGGTGACTTGACTCCACCGCCGCCACTAACGTCCGTAGTGTTGTCCGAGGGGTCTCGAACAGTCTGTAGTGACCAGTGGTTCAAACCTGGCCGTTTCTCACCCACCCCGCCTGCTTCAGACCCTACTCGATACTATCCTCAAGGAGATGTCGAAAAGACGAAAATGAGCACGGCAGAATAGCGAGCCACTGCCTACAATGAATCCCTCATCCGTGGCCTTGGTGGGGTTGTCGCGGCATCTCGATTAACGGCTCGTTCATATGACATTATTTCGTACCAAAGTAGATTTCTATGGAATCCTGCGAAGTAATACTACATGCCTTCATAGCCAGCATTTGCCAGACCGGCACAAATCATCACTAGTCCTCCTCACCCACCAAGTTCAGGGACAAATCAAACAGCCTCCGCTCCCCCTCGGGATTGTACGCATGCGGAGCGTACCCCGGTGCCCAATTTCCTTCAGCCTCAACCCACGGTTTCGAGATTTGCACATTCTCAAGGTATATCCCGCCCATCCCGTCTAGCGCCTTCGAAACAGCGGCCCACGTCGAAGTAGCGGCGCCCTGCTCAGCACTCTTCATATTCGGAGCCAGTATAGGATCTTCAAGGATTGCAGTCTGCTCCTCCTCGGACATGAACTGCAGGAGCCCGCTCTGCACACCCCCCGGCTGGACGCTAAAGGCCCGGATACCCTGCGAGGCGTACCGGCGGTCGATCTCGTTTGCTGCCCAGAGCATTGCGCACTTGCTCTGTCCATAGGACTTCCACTTTTCATACTCCCCAACGAGATTGATGTTGTCGAAGATCACTTCTGAATACCGATGGGCGATCGAGGAGAGGAATACAACGCGGGAATTCGACTCTGGCGTTGCGGCGGCTAGGAGAGCAGGGCGGAGGAGATTGAACAGCAGGAAATGCGCGAGATAGTTGACGCCGAACTGAGTTTCGAAGTTGTCTTTTGTTCGTCCTTCGGGTGTAGCCATGACACCCGCGTTGGCAATTAAGATGTTGAGCGTTTTGGTGATGGACAAGAGTTTCTGGGCGCAAGCACGAACGCTGGACAGAGACTCCAGATCCAACTCTAGGAGATGCACACGAGGCGAATTCGCAATCTCCCCAAGGACAACTTTTGCCTTGTCTAGATTCCGCGCCGTGAGGTAGAGGGTTGCGCCGGTGGCAAAGAGAGCCTTGGCTGTTTCAACCCCAATCCCCGAGGAGGCGCCAGTAATCAGGACGGATTTTCCACTCAGTTGATCCTCCAAGCCCTCATCACGGATCACTTGAAGGGCTGTTGGTCGGGCATCTCCAGGGCCCTGAGGGTTCTTGTGAACGTCGGCGTAGCGTGTCGTCATGGTGTGGATGGGTGACGGCTGTAGAGTCAAGGTTGATAGCAAGAGATAAAGATGTTGTGATTAAGGATGGGAATTCAGGATGAATACATACTGGGCAGGTATTTATCTACCATAGAAGATGGCAATATCGGGGTGGTTGCTGACCGTTTAGGTGTCAGCGAGCTCGCGAGTGATGCCGATACTACTGTCCGCCGTGTCTGGCCCCTAACTCCGGACCAAAAGCCCCACCATCGTGAAAGTGGAGTACAATTTCGCCCATTTGCACTGGTCAAGTCATCCGCTAAACGCGGCATGCAACGTTAGCAGCCATGGACTAGTAGATCGTGGCAGCATTAGGTAAAGCGGCTGACAATCCGAACCGGTAGGGTCCAGGGCTGACCTCGTCAGTGGAGCTTGTCCGATCCATCGGGCATGACCTTGCGATGTGGGTCACCGACCTCAGGCTCTTAGACCATATTTATCATCTGTGAAGCTGTGGCTGTTGGACCTGAGGCTTCTATCTTCACCGCTTAGAACACCACCCAGATGGCCGTTCCGATTCAGGGTGTCCTTTCTGACCGCTAACCGAGTCAACGGTCCTAATTTCCCGGCAGTTGCAAAGCAACTCCTCTTGATCAAAGTCCGACCACGCTACCAGCTGTGTACATTGAGCCGGGCACTTTTGCGGAGCTGTTGCGGTATGGGACGGTGCGTCTTCGGCAGACGAGGGAGGAGATTCGGTTTGTTCAGCCTGAGATCCCGGAGCAGACAATGCGGAAGGGGGGTTTTGAGCCCTAGGCTGCTTTTCGAGCTGACAAGTGTCGTGTCTCACGGAGGCCACAGGTAACAGAATTAGCAATGAAGTTAAGCACTTCTAAAAGTTCTTTACTTTGTATTACACGTCCACGACCAAGGGGCCTGAGGAAGCGGGTGCTTACATCGACATGGCAGTGGGGTTGCAACCAAGATCCCTTAAGCCGTTCCAGCGCGCGATTCAGGCCATTTCCCCTGATAACCGTGACGCCGTCTTCGCGTACTCTATTACCACCATTGTCAACGCGACCGCGGTCCCGAGCTCACGTATATGACTCGCGGAGCCACTGGAGCAGGCCTAGCTGATGGCTCCGGGCGGTACTCCTCATAAAGGACGTCATATCTCGCCCTCTTGCCACTAGGAATCTTGCATTCACTGTAAAAGCTAAAGATCAATTTTTCTGTTTCTCATTCACTCATTCGAACCCCACAAATCACACGGTGCCCTCGATTTGAACGGGTATAGCATGGATCTCCTGTTCTCCTGGTGGTTTAGCGGATATGAAGACGTGGCTTTGGGGAAGGAATGCAGTGTCTGCACAAATCGATTTCCCTCTTCTTCCCCGCTCAAGACCTACCCTGCTGCTGTCTCATTCCTCAATCATTCTCTTTTCCAATTGCTTATACCATGTCCAGCCACCCTCTTCCGTATAGAGAACCCTCATTTCAAGATTGAATTTCCCATTGGAAATCATCGACGCTGCTGCCAATGACTCAATGAGAAAACGGCACCTCGCCCGCCTCGCCCATGCGGATGCCCTCCCTCGTCGCTTCATCCAGATCCTCAACGGGCAGCCCGAGCACTGCATTATCCAGACCGCGTCGAGACTCGTAATCCCCATCTCCATTCGCGAAGAACATCCGGCTGTAGAGCATTTTCGTAAACACCTTCCAATTATGCACCTGCAGACCTTCCTGCCCCTCCCTAAACCTCTCTTTTACCAAGCCCTTGGTGATCGTCCAATCTTCATTCTGGGTGCCGGTCACCCTCTTCACACTTTCAAACATGTCCTTCTGCGTGAGCCGGAAACTTGAAACATACACACAGCAGTTCGCGAACCGAGCGAGGGTGGGCTCCCCATCGCTCTCATCCTCCGGTAACTCCTTCAACGAGAGCAACCCCGCAACTGCCCGTCCACACTGCGGCCATGTTGTCGTGTTGATGGGTACATCCCCCTCATCAAAGAGCATAAACGTCCTCTTTGCGAAATCAAAACCGTACCGATCCGGTCCGCCACCGAGACTAAACTCGTACCAGAAGCCACAAACCAGGAACAAGTATGCGCTCACGCCAAGCTCCTTGATCTCAGCGATGACGCGGTCCCGGTTTGGAGCGAGCATGCTATCCTCGCACAGCCCGTCATTCGCCGCGTCGTGCCCGTACCAGTTCGGTAGAATGTAGGGGACGCCCGCCTTGGCTGCTGCGCGTATGAGTTTTATGATTGTGTCCGGGGGAGCGAAGACGTTCATTGTTATTATCAGGGCTTGTTGGCCGCGGAGGACCTCGATGAGGGTGGTATCGTCGTCGGTGGCGTAATCGACGCGCTCGATGTGGACACCGTCTGGGATTTGGTTTGTACTGTCCGGTCGAGTGATGGCTGTTATCGTGTGTTTGCCAGTCTTGACAAGGGCGGCTGTGAGGTGTTTGCCGATTGAACCGCCAGCCTGGGATTGTTAATACTATCAGTTGCTCTTAAAACGCGGATGGACCTACGCCAACGATCGCAACGCGCTCGATGCGGTTTGTGAAGCCCGCAGGCTGGTCTTTTGCAATCCGAACAACCATATTGCAATAGACGATGCACTAAGATCTGGATGTCTGAAGAAGAGGTATCCGTGGCAGATTTTTTGATATTTGAGTCTTTCTAGGGCACGGACATATCGGGATTAAAACCCCCGACCTGACTGCTGCCCATGCGAAGTATTGACGAATAGAAGTTCATGCGACGGAGTTAAGCGTTCAAGCCACATATTGACTTCGGAGTAAAGCTCATATATCCTACGTTTGCTCCGCAATAATCTCTCACTGGCCAACTTCGACCGTCACGTTCAGCTCGAAAAGGCATACGTCCCGGAGAGTCGGAATTTTGACCCCGACCACTCTATATCGGACAAGGATTTTCATGTACCGATAGAAAGATAGGTAACGGAGTTCAGTTCCCTATCCCGACTATCAGGCTTACGACAAGCCGGAATTCAAGATTTCACTCTACCAGGGGCACCTGAAAGGCTCCGGCGTCAGCTTGAGGGGATGAAGACGCAGCAATGCCGGTTTCGTATGAAAGGCATCTCTGTGCCGCGACATTGCTTTGAATGTGCCTATGGTGGCATTTCCAATGTACTAGTATGTTCGATTGGCCTCCTCTATATCTTGCGACTGGCTTGGCTGAGTGCAGCTGTCCGGTTCAGCGCTCCCCATCGCTCCTGCCGCTTCCGTCATGCGCACCGGCTAAGCTCGGAGGGCAGGTGCGAACGACGAGTCGTTCTTTCGAAATTGAGCGACCATCGTTCCTTGCTCGATGGCGCTGTGCGCTTCCCCCCTAGCCTCATCTTCATAACCCCAATAGTATGCCGCTTCCGGCATGGACCAGTTTGAAGTCACCTCATTGACCGCTCCGTCGGTACAGCTTGGTACCCAAGGCTCCACTCCGGCAAGTTATCCAACTTTGTACGTACGAGCCGGCTAATTTATGGACAGTCTCGATGAGAGGTGGTGGGACATTGAACTGGCCACGCGACTAGTGCTCGAAGCCACCGACCATAGGCAGAATGGGAGCTATATTTGGGCATCACAACCAGAATACTGCCAAGGCGGCGAACCCTCACGTTAGGCACAGGAACTGGCTGCTTCAAGGGATAGCAGCAGGACACTTAGAGAGCCGGCTCTGGGGCACAAACGGAACCAGACCCTCTGCAGTCGCCGTCGAACTCGCTGTCGGCCATCAATCGGCCACTGTGGTCAGCGCTGCGGTGTCAGCATAAATCCTCGGAAGTACCCATCGGTATACACAGTCACGCGCCCTAGATGGATAACTTCGTTTATGGACAAAGAATAAGATTATGCTCATGCACCAACTCCGCAGTGGCGCATCGGCATGACCGGCTTGAAGCTGTCCATGCGGCTTCGTTAACGCGGACCGAGGGCATGGCAATCCTGCAGCCGAATCCTGCGCACTCATCAAGAACGCATTTTTCAGCATCCAGCGATCTGTATGGCTAGTCTCTATGCAGGGTAGCTTGACACCTTCGTGTTTGAGGACAGCTCTCCAAAAACCCCTCTCGTTCCCCGCTTTTCCCCAGATTCTTGAATCGACGTGGGTGGGTCTAGATCTAGGTATGTTATTGTTCGTACGGAGATGGTCGTGCGAGCGCCAGCTTCCTGGATATTAAAGACCATGAAGCGGCCGCTGTCTGCTATGCCGTGTGCGCCACTGGCTTTAGCGAATTTATTTGAAACTCCTTGATCCTTCTTCAGAGTATGTCGGAACCAGATGCCAAAGGCGCCCCTGTCGCGGAAAAAGTCGAGCCAGAGGCCCGGACCCAGCACATCGACCATGTCAGCGATGGATGTGGCTCGCCTCCAATATTGTTCCCGACCTGGTCATTTGCCGGGGCCCTAGTTGTAAGTCCAACGTGGTCGCATGCTTCCTCCTGTACTATGCTCAACAGGTACTGTCGGGTTCAAGGGAACATCGTTCGGATTCTACGCCGCTCTACTAGGCTCCTTCCCATCATGGAACATGCTGGGGACAATTATCCCCCAGGCACTCGGTTAGCATCAGCCTACCCTTCCGCCTACGGTGTATACCATCCTGACTCTGACCAGGGCCCGACACCACCTTTCTCTGGGCATCCCCAACTCTCATGTTCTGCCAGTCTGCTAGCGCGATACTATTCGGACGAATGTCCGACTTCACCGGTCGGCGATGGATATTCATCGGAGGAAACTTGCTTTCGTTCATTGGCTTCCTCTCTTGTGGACGAGCCGCTGATGCCGCGACCATAACTGGCCTGGTAAGGGTGTGGGCTGAGACTTGCGGTTATTCGGAGCTGACATGTTGCAGAGCGCACTCATTGGAATCGGTACTGGAATCCAATTCATGGGTCCCTTCTTAGCAGTTCCAGAGCTTGTTCCCGTGCGGTACCGCTTCGCGATCGTGGGCTTATCGATGAGTCTTTTTGCCCCGTTGTTGGCTATGGCTCCGGCCATAGGTACAAAATCACTACCCATGCCCAGTTGATACTAACCCGCTACATAGTCCAAGCCCTCGTGCAGCACACGGATGAGGGATGGCGCTGGTGCTATTCGATCAACGCTATATTCTCGATTGCGGCGACAATATTGCTGCTTGGCTGCTATCGTCCGCCGACGTCTGCGCAACTCAAGCAGTCCAGCCCTCCGGAACATCGTCTTGATAAAAAGGAGTGGCTGAGGACCGTCGTATTTGCGTTTGCAACCGCACTCGCTACGTACGGCTTGCTCTGGGGTGACACGGTATTTGGTGAGCCACATGGCATGAACTCCTCCCAGAATCCGTCTGACCGGTCTATAGCATGGAGATTCGCTGGAGTTATAACACTCATTACGGTCAGCGGGCTAATTCTCATAGTACATGGTATATCAACTGATCGCTATCCCCCGAAATACTGCTCCCTCACTGACACGTCCATAGCCGGCATCCAAGGTGCAAATCCGCAGAGCGGACATGGAAGGTTATTCCGCAACATCCGTGCAATGGTCCAGATCACTATCGCCAGTGGCAGCTCGCTCATTCTCTACTTTATGCCCTCGACAGTGGAGCTCGTCCTTCAGATTATCATTGGGGAAACTGGTATGAAGGCGGCGTGGAATCAGGTACGCACCTGACATATCTGGATGAGACAGTACTGCCCAAGATGTACTAATAAAGCCTAGACATCCTACTTCGCTGGCCTAGCAGGAGGCTTCATACTAGCGGGTATCCTCTTGATCAAGCCAATGTTTGTCAAATGGCATCTCGCCGCGAGCGTGACACTAGCGATGGTTTTCCTTTCCGCGCAGGCGTCTATCAACTCGGAGCGAAAGACTGAGCTGCTCGCATTCGCCTCCCTTGTCGGCTTTGGTCAAGGATATGCCATGGTAATCAGCCATGTCTCTGCTCCGATGGCAGCGGAAAAGCAAGACATGGGGCTCGTGGCGGGGATTATAGTTGCATTCAGGAATCTGAACTATAGCGTCTTGAGTAAGTCGATCTATTGTTCTCGCCGCCTCTCACATCGGGATGCTAACGCCCTTTATCTACTAGATGCAATCCTTTTTGCAATTGTAAGTGTACCACCATTTGACCCCGTGCGCTCCAAACAGACCGAGCGCTAACAACCCAGTTCACACCCCGCTTCACCTCAAACCTTGAACCCCTCGTAACCGACGCAGCCATCGAGGCGGGCCTCCCAGCCTCCTCGCTCCCGATCCTATTCGAAACGATCGAGGGCATAATTTCCTCCGGCGACGTGACCGCCCTCTTCTCTGTGCCTGGTATAGGCATCCAGGTTATGATCGCGGTGCAAGAGGCAGTTGTCGTGGCTGGCACGGAGGCGTTCCGGTTTATTCTGCTGTTGGCGAATCTGTATGCAATTCCGCTGGCCCTTCTTGCCATTGCGGCGCATAATTTGGATGGGTATCTAAGTAGGGATGTTTGGGCCGTTGGTAATCCGATCAGGTGGGGAGGAGGTTTTGTAGTCGTTTTGAGGGATATCCTGCGCGGGGGCTGAACTCGAGGGAGCAGCTGGCTGCGGGTAATGGGAATGCAACGTATTATAATATTAGTATCAGCGATTGAATTCTAACTAGGTCACCCGAGCGAGGGGCTCGGAGAATCGATCGTGGTAATTATCCATCAAGCATCTAATATCTCCGGTGTGCATGCCCATGTTGATGACCCCTTTTAAACTTGGCCGCCGACGTCGCATTACTCGTACTCGTACTCCTGCCTGCCATCATACGCAAACTCTCCGCATAATCGCTCGTCCCATGCTCCGGATCACTATCCCCCGCAGCCCTCGTACAAGCAGTCCCCTGGTCCCCGTCCCCAAGCGGCCCCTTGATCTGGAAATACTCCGCCTTGGTGGGATCCTCCAGCATATACTCCGCAGCCTCCGGCAGCCACCCATTAATAAAGTCCCCATGACTACAAAACTCGTTTCCACACGCGAGTTCCAGCGGCGGCGGCGCACCCTCCCATCCATCCGGCAGGATGTCCCTGAGATCATACCGAATCGAGAACCGCAGTCTCGGGATCCGATACATACCATCAGGGCAGCGATTCTCGTTATAACCCGGGAACGACCTTGGGTTCTTCGAGTACGCCGTTTCGAACGTCTCCGGGTTCGCGCAGTCTGGGAAGAGGAGGAGGGTTTGCAGGTGTGTGGAGCATGTTTTCGTTGGAAAGGCTGCTTTCTCTTTGTTTTCTTCGGCGTCGTCCCCTTCGCAGAACCAGGTTATCCCGTTGTCGGGGTTCAGGTCTGATGAGGAGGTTGCGGAGGCGTTGCCCGCGACGACCTGGAAGTTCTCCGGGAAGGGGATTTCGGCTTCGTTGAGGAGCTCGTAGTAGGCGCTGAAGCGGTACGGGGTTATCGGGGTGTGAGTTTTGTTTGGCGGGGCGGAGGCGTTGACGTGGAAGAGGGTGGGGACCCCTGTTTCCTTTAACGTTAAGAGACGTTCGGTAACCCAGGCTATAGGGGAAGGGGATGTACAGTATACAGAGAAATCATTCGGATTACGCGCGGTCGAGCATCCCTCGCGCAGCTCGGCAGAAGTGGAAGTATTGATGTTCACGGCATCAGACCCAAAGAAGCTATGCATATGGCTGACATACTGCCCAGGGAAAACGATCGGGTCAATATTCTTGAACATGAATAGTTCGACATTGGTGACGGTGTAGGCGCGGGCGAGCCCGGCCGTCAGGAGGAAGGAGAGAAGCATTGTGCTTTGCTGCAGATGGCTGATACTCTCTTCTCAAAATATTCCATCTTCGGCGCTTTTTGTAGCTTCGATCGTCGGGTAATCGGGTGAATGTTGCAGGGACGCGCCGTTGCAGATAGATTGGCTGTGGGCCGGGCTTGCGTACCCTGGCGAGATGGTGTGGTGTGATTTGGTGGATGTGCTCCAACCCTACGCGCCAACTCCTGCGAGACCCCACGCGGACTGCTCCGGGCGAGCTTAGATTAAGGGGTTCTTCCCTGAAGCGTTCGCTCACCTGGGCGCGATGCTTCGCTTAATCTTGAATCCGGACGAGAATCTGGAGATACAGGTGATTGGCCATGCGCACTCCTGCCTCGCGCCATGCCCAAAATTCGAACTCGCTGGTGATTTGAGTCATTAAATACTGTTACGATGGGAGTACTCAGCGTGATAAATAAGCGCACTCAAGTCGTGGCAGGATATATATCTTATCAACCCCCTGAGGTTATCTATCCTCTTGTTTTATCATGGTCTGCATACGAGGTACAAATCAGCAGGCTATGGTCTTGGATATTTGATTGGACACGAGAGTGCTGTGCTTGTGGAGAAGATATATTTTCACCTCTAGATCCTGAAAATTGTGATCTATATATATACCTTATACGTTGTCCTATGACGCCTTCATCCATGACAAGTAACAAACGAGCTACTGCCACGACACTGGTAGGAAGCTAATAACCTAGTTCTACTCATCGAGTGTACTATGCGGGGTTTGCTGCAGCTCTGCTTCCTTCCCTCAGTCCTACGTCCAATTCTTAATGTAGACCACGGTCCATCATGGCATACAGTTTCCTGTCTCCGAATGAAGAATAGTATGGGCATCTTTACCACCATTCCCAAAGGACTCCATAGTCCAGAGGCCTCGCTTTTTCCACCGCCATAATAGTGCCTTGCTAAAGCGATGAGAACGCTATCACGTTGATCTTGTAAGTGGTTTTTAGGATATACGTGAGGTAGATGTCGGTTGAATGGTGAAAAGGGCGTAGCTTCTTTCATGTGGGACCATGGGCACAATTATTTGCCTACCATTTTTTAATTGAGGTCTGGAACGAAACATGGTGGCAAAGTCGGATATCGTTGTTCCTTATGAATGGGGTAGACAATGACCGTATTTTCTGAGAAAGGGGCGTAGACATCCTTGATCTATAGGGCTCCCAGGAAGCTAAGAACTGTACTCCCATGGTGTAGGGCCTTCTTGCTCTTAGATAGCTTCATGTTTCCAACATACATGCAGAATTCATCTATCTGTCGTGCCTGAGGTTTTTTCTGATTTCCATCCTCCCTGTGTCATTGTTCTCTGGGATACCAACCGCTCAGTGTTCAATGGCTAGCAGGTCAACATGGCGAGTCGTGAGATCATTTCGAAACTTTCTGCTTCAAAATTTATCAATATGTTTTCTGCAAGGGGTGACAGCAGTGCTTGTCCTGCGTCATTACTCAGATTTGCCCATTACTCATACGCCACATCCCATGGGTCGGGGACGATTTCTTCGGCTCATCAAGCGGCGGGGGTTTGAAAAGACAAAAGGAGTTAATATAGAGCTGCAGCACGCGGCATTTGTGCTATGATGTCATGCCCGCAGAAAAACAGTCCAACAAACCTCCGACATCAAAATAGATGTCTCGCTCCGAGAGCCCGCCGAATTCCCTTAGTCGAGAGATGGAGAGTGAGACATGAGTCTGGTTTGATAGGACTGGATATCTAGGTTGAATCCAAGGTTTGTCCTCGATCTCGGTCCGAGATAACTGATCGGCATTGCTACCTGGTTAAGCGATGCTGGGGGGGTTCTCCATGCCTCCAACGTCTTATAATCCGGGGCACGGGTAGGGCAACTCGGTTGTCGATCTCACGCTGGCGACTGACGATCGGCCGGAGTAATCTCGAAGTTTCATTGCCGCCCAGGATTCCATCCACCTTCCATACGCTTTTTTCGGGTTTCAGACTCGCCTATCCCTGCTCTTGCGGAGGGCGTAATCTGTTCTTGTTGCCGAGTGATGAAGATATTTAAGATGGTGCTCCCCCGTCTCCAAAGGTTCCGATCAAAGATAAGACCTTGGTAAAGAAGAATTTGAACAACCGCTTCCCAATCATCAAACATCATACGATCCTCAGAATGAAGCCATTTACTTCACTTATCCCTTTCGCACTCGCGACCTGCGTCGCCGGTCATGGTTACTTGTATGAACCCGCAAGCCGAACGCGCCAGGGCAATGAGGTACCTAGCCCCCAATCGTTTCCCCTCAACTTCCCCCATCTGACAATATTCTAGGCTGGAATCGATACCTGCCCCGAATGCACCATCCTCGAACCCGTCGAAGCCTGGCCTGACCTCGACACTGCCCCCGTTGGCCGCAGCGGACCATGCGGCTACAATGCCCGGGTCAGCGTTGACTACAACCAGCCAGGCAGCGACTGGGGCTCTGCTCCAGTGACAACCTACACCGCAGGCGCAGAAGTCGACGTCGTCTGGTGCGTCGACCACAATGGCGACCACGGCGGCATGTTCAGCTATCGCATCTGCCAAGACCAGGACCTCGTGGACAAGTTCCTCGACCCCGACTATATCCCCACTGATGACGAGAAGCAGGCAGCCGAGGACTGCTTCAACGAAGGTCTCCTCTCGTGCACCGATGTCGACGGGCAGGAGTGCGGATACAGCGCGGATTGCTCCGAAGGCGAGGCCTGCTGGCGCAATGACTGGTTTACCTGCAATGGCTTTGAGGCGTCTGAGCGGCCCAAGTGCCAGGGGGTGGATAATGCCGAGTTGAACTCGTGCCTGACGACCATTGCGGGCGGGTACACGGTGACGAAGAAGATTCGCATTCCCGAGTATACTTCGAACCATACGCTGCTTTCGTTCAAGTGGAATTCGTTCCAGACTGGGCAGATCTATCTGACTTGCGCGGATATTGCAATCGAGTAATTCGATTCCTTGCATTTGGGTACGGATTCAGGATACTGAGATGTGTACTTCCAACCGCGCGGCATCATGAGTTGTGATGCTTGAGCTCCTTTTACTTTTTCTGTCATCAGAGCCTCGATGGCTTCTCAACCATATTTGTGTACTAGTGTGATCCTGTTAGAATGGTTCGCGAATGTTAGCTCGATGAAGGCAATTTGAATGTCGGGACCATACTTCCGCTCTCACCAAGGCTCTCCGCAGCGTTTCAAAGACCGAGTTTCCCACAAGGTTTACGGGCCCGGGCCGCTTTTCCCGCCAGCTTCCACATTTAGTAGCGCCTGGACAATATTACAGTACACCGTTTTTGAGTTAGTGTTCAGCGAAATTCTACCTCCTGCGCAAAAGGCGGAGGTTGAGTTCATTTAAGCAAGATGTACGCGGAAAGTTTCTCCCACAGTACCGCAACGCGCAGAGTTGTCGAGGAACCATAACTAAAGCGACCTTGAGAGGAACGAATGACTCTGCGGAACCAAGTTGACTACGACATACAGCGACGAACCCGCGGTTTCACTCTGCCACGGTACAAAAGTGATATCGGACCTTGCACCACGTTCGGTAGCGATTCCCCCGGAGACTGTCCATCACTGGCTGTCAGGGTTCTCTGCAGCCTGAACCTTGCGCTCCGGACAATTTCCGGTCTTCCGGTCCCTCTTAACCGTCATGAAGCATGCGACTAGCGTCGGTCCATGGGCGCCTCTTCCGGAGTACGTGTGCCGTTCGCCGGGCAGATCCTAATTTCCCCGCGGCGCCGACTTCCCCAGCTTCTCCACATGTTGGAGTCCGGCAAATCCAATGTAACGAACTTGGAAAGGCCAAGGGCATGACGCAACAGTTGTTCCCAAATCCGCTGCTAAGATTCCGGTAAAGTCACCCCGGAGTCAGATGTCGGACCGACATCACGTTCTGTGGGGCAGATGATCGTCTTCTGCTAGCCAGCCTTGCGAAACCCGGGGTCCGCCGTCTCGGCTGTCGAGAATCGAGTCTAACGCCAGGTACCAATCAATTTTCAATCGGCGTGGCTGGCCTGACATACGCCGGTAATGCGCCGCGGCTGATTCTGCCTACTGTTTCCCCCATCCCAGGTATTCACCCCCGCCTTAGGCACGGGAGAGTAGAAACTTGGGCTGCGGTCGAGCCGGAGTTTGTAGATTACAGAGCGACAATCACAATGGAAATTAGCAGGATGTTAATCGAGACTGGAAGGGGCCCAGGCATAATAGATAAACGCAGAGTTTTAATTTTATATACATCAAATCAAAACAGTATATACGTGCCGAGGCCTGATGGACACACGACCACCCCAAACTATCGCTGCTAGTCCGTTGTCCGGACACAAGTGAAAGCACCCAGTCACTCTCATCTACGAGTCCGCAACCAACACCGCAGGGTTGCCATTAGAAATGGTAACACAGACCTGTCCGTTTTCATCGGCGCTATACGTTCCATCTCCAAACACATCAGTCCATGACCCCCCAGCCTTCTGCGAGTTGAAACAGTGCTCAGCCCCAGACCCAGACCCAGCATTGGTGGTGAGAACAATGAGATCACCCCCAGCCCTGCTCCACGCATATGCCGTGTCCGCAACATACAGATGGACATGGTCGTCATCGGCAAGACCGCCGACAGCTGACCTAGCGGCCGAGAGCCGAGAGATAGCTTGGTACAAGTCCGCGTCGGTGCTGAAGCTGCTCCGCCACAGATCCTCGCGATTGGCAGGGTCATTGCCACCTGCGTAGCCCTGTTCCGTTCCATAGTAAACGATCGGAATGCCGCGAGCAAGAATGACGTAGGCCAGAGCGTTCTTGAGCAGTGTCTGGTCGTTCTTCGTGCTCAGCCAGCGGGCATTGTCGTGGTTATCCAGGAACGTCCCGAGGGCACTGGGGTCAGGGAAAAGCGAGCTAATCTGATCATGCATGTCGACAATGTCCTGCGCCGAGCCAGATTGCTGATAAAATCTGTTCATGGGGTAGTAAATCGCGTAGTTGAGCAGGCCATCCATGCTGTTTGCGTACCCGGCGAGATACTCGGGTCCGCCGTCCCACACCTCGCCGATGGTGTAAACGCCCGCGGCGGCGGTGAAACCGGACCAGAAGTCCTTCTCCACGTGCTTCACCGTGTCGATGCGAAGACCGTCGAACTCGTATTCCGTAACCAGCCACTTGATCCAGGTATTGAAGAGCTCGCGGATCTCGGAGCTCTCCGTGTTGACGTCGGGGAGATCGGATGCAATTCGGCACGTTTCGATACTGCTCTGGGAGGAGTAGTCGATTGTGCAGTCGGAGTGGTAGGCGCTATCGGAGTTCAGGGGTTCGGGCTTGTTGTCGCTGATGGGGCTTCCCATGTGGTTTGCGACTACATCTGCCATTACGTACATTCCCTGAGCGTAAAGCGATTTAGTTTTCCTTGGTCTATTGAGAAGAAAGGATTGCAGGGTAGAATTACCTTTTCATGGGCTGCACTGACTAGACTCTTGAGATCATCCGCGGTGCCATAGTTCTCATTGATGCTGTAGAGATCCTGCGCCCAATACCCATGATATCCTCCGGCATGATCTGTAAAATCGTCAGCAACTCTGTATCGCGAAAATCAATTTCAAGACTATTCAAACTCACTAGCGACAACAGGGGTAATCCAAATCGCGTCAAAGCCCATCCCTCTGATATAGTCGAGTTTGGACTGCAACCCTGCGAAAGTTCCGCCGCAGTAGTTCCCGAGGTTACCGCAAGCATCTCCGCCGGTATCATCAGCACTGCGGGCGATGCGATCGGTCAGGGCAAAGTAGATGTTGCGCGACTTCCATGCATTTACGTCTGCCGCGGAGACGGTGGACGCAAGCGGGAGGAGAGCTGCCGTTAGGATATCCGCGAGCTTCATTTTGAAGGAGGAGAGGCGAGGAACGTCTTGCTCGAGGGGAGTGTGAGAGCCGATGGTGCATAAATCGATCTCGATCAAAGACCAACCAACGGCTTTTATATCTATCAAAGCTACTACTACCAACATGCCATCTCCAAACAACTTCGCTCGCCGACTGTGGGGTGATGAGATTGTGGGGGCCCTCTCCACGGAGCCCCGGCTTTTGGCCGAGACGTTAGACCGTATTAGGAGAACGATCTTCGGCAGTGGCCTGCCATTGGCGGGACTTGGCAGGGGCGATGCCAGGAAATGCAACATCTTCCGGGAGACAAGTATCTATCGAGTAAAGATATTCAGACGGAATGTCGATCCCACCCGGCCCCCAACATTCAATGGTGAATATTGGTCCATTGTCGGGCCGAAGAGCTTCATTCAGTGTTTCATGCAAGGAACCGCGGAAATTCGATCGCCGGGATATCCTGCGGACGGTAATCGCCGGACCATATGGACATGGCGTGGCATCGATCGGTTCCGCTGACTTTCCCATTGTCAATGGTAGGCGACGGCTTGCTTGTGAGTCAACCTAAGACTCATACAGCTCTCTGTCCTTTTCCCTAACTGGCAGGCGAGCGTTCTCAAACGACATATGGCCTTCACCGAATGTTCGCTGCGCAGACAAGATGCGACCGCTAAAGCCTGTGGGAACGAGGCCTTTATCGTGGGGACATTGGGCAACTGGGCTTCGTTGAGCTTCCCGGCGGAGATCGCCCTGCGGACTCTGATTTTCCTCCTTCTAACACTGTATGGTGATTACCTCCAAGCCTATAGCATAATAAGCTTGGTCCCGTGATAACGTGTGAGCCGCCACCAATATGAAAATCCATCCGGGTAATACGGCCGAAGGACTAATGACAGTGTAGGGTACAGTGAGCATAAGATGCTGAGTGTCGCGCTCAAAGCTCCGAGAGGCCGCAATTCTTGTTCACAGGGTGTATATACGTCACATCAGAAAGTGGAGAAAGCGGATTAAAATGGGAGGGATTGATGCGCTGAAAACTGCGGACAGCCGCAGGCATCCGGTAGCAAACTACCCATACCCATCGTTAGAGAGAATTTATCCAGCTGATCCTTGACGCCGAAGGTGCTCAGATCCAGATCTTTCGTATTGCTGGGGGCAGCCAGTGGGGGTGTATTAGACCGGGAGCTCTGATAGCGAGTCATACGATGCCAGGAACCTTGCCCTGAATTGTCAGTGCGACCGCTCATGAGAGTGCTGGTGCCCCGAGCCAGATGAGATCGCAGAATCGCCGTTAACTGGTCAATGAGTGCGATGGCGAAGGTTATGCCGTCGCGGGATTGCTGGACCAGGGTTCCCCCGTATATCGCTGGTATCACTCCGATGAAGGACGGCAGAGGGTGGTTTGTTTCTAGCATCCTGTTATACTGGGCAAGGTTTTCTCTGGAGATGAGCATATTTTCCAAAAGGTCCTCGACTTTGCTGGACGCAATATTATCTGTGTTTGAAGTGACGAGATGTTTTGCTGCCGCAAGATAACCAGGACACTTCGCGACTTCAGTGAATGCGTAGTCCATTGTCTGGCCTAGTAGGCTGCCCTTTCGCTGCTGCTCTTCCTCTCTGGCGACTTCCTCGCTCATCAATGTTAAAGCCCACTCAGATTGGCCAAGAAAGCAGGGAACTGCGTGTATAAAGGCGTCTGCGACAATATAAGGTCGCCAGCAGAGCAGCAAAGTTCGACCAATGCCTCTTCTTTGCGCCGCAGGGCCGCGCGCACAGAATAAATGGCTGATCCCTCGGCAGTGAGCGATCCACGACCATTCACTGCTCCCGTCAAGAACCTCGTACCCACCAAGCAAGATGGCTGCCGCTAGTGTTTCATCAGACAGTGCAGCACTGGTCTGCAGAAGAGAAGCCAGGTGGCGTATGCCCCGACCATACATATGTCGGGCGCACATGATGGCCTGTGCATCGCGCTGTATCACTCCCTTGTGCAGAGTGGTCAAGGCGCGGACCGCCCAGACCAGTGCTGGAGGAAAAGTGGACCACTGACCTCGAATAAAGTCCATCCAGTCCACGTCCACGCGGCAATTGAACGAAGCAGCGTAGATCGGAAAATGGTACTGCATCCACCCGGCGAATGATTCTTGAGTCTGCAAGTCAACCGTACGCTGGGCGAGGTTTGGAGCAAAGACCTCGTCCAATGGCGCAAGACCGTGCTTCTGCGCGACCAACGAGGTCTGGTCTTGAAATTTCATACCACGATTGTAGCCTGGGCATTCCGAGCCGTAGCTTGTACATCGAAAACATACCGGTCGCGTTTCATCGCACTTGAACTTTCAGTTATTGGCTGATTTCTTTGCTTTGTTCGCTCACCTTGACTCTGCGTTTGAGACATTGCAAACACCCTCTGCTGCGGGGCACGCCAACCATCGCTCTTTTGATGCAAGCTGCTCACTTGGACCGCGGTATTTTCCCAGTCTTAACGGAGTGTGACTTGATGGCCATGAGAGGCGGCCGGGATGTGACAAAGATCGAGTTTGCGGGGCGTTGGAGAGTGGAAAGGGCAGAGCCGCACAAAAGTGAGGCTGAAACGGAGCCAGCCCATGTGGCACGTGACGCCAGGTCAGGGATTGCTCATCACGTGGCCGCACATTATGAATTTGGCAACAGTCCCAATGAAAAGACGGTCAGTTTTCATACCAAGACGACTATTTCAGTTGGCGTCAACATTAAAGGTCCTTCATCGCTGTATCCCTCGTAGCAGATTGGCTTTGGGTGGGATCGAAAACAAGGTCGTACCTACTCCAAAGCGGGGCATCAACAAATATATACCTCCAGATCTTATCAGACCCAGCTGTCATACCTCGGCTTTTGCAAGTCGTAATTGGCGGTCGTCGCTCTAGATCTGCGGTATCAAAGACTGTATAGCCGGCAGCGCACCATCCGCAGTGGACCACACAGGGTTTGGATGCCCCGAAGGATTGAGGCGGTGCAGTTCTTGCCTCTGAGGTCTACTCGGAGGCTCAGGATTTGCAAATCCAGGGCGGCTGGTGTTCTGACCAAGGTACCGACGTCATGAATTCGACTCTAATACTCCTTATGAAACTCTACAAGTAGGTTAAAAGCCCTCAGAAAAGTATCATCAGTGGGAGCTTATGTCCCTTTTTATTGGGACATATGTCATATGCCCAGTCCTAGGTACTACCAGCCCTACATTGAAGCAGAGCATACCGATAATAAAGTGTCTTACGTATTCCCTTCCGCCAGCAAATCATGCGACATGGCCGAGTACCCTGTGGTGTTTCCTTGAATAGTCACGGTTTGGAGGATCGACATTGATGTATTTAGTGATCAATAATCAGTTTTCGAACCACCAAACGCAACAACCAATAACACTCCGTTATTGACCAACAAGGTTTGAGGTCTAGGCAGAGCCTGCAGAAAGATTAGTGATCTTGTTTAGGACCATTATATCGGTCGGCCATCTCATAATCCCTCGCCAACCCCTCGAACATCCTCAATTTGGCTGAAAGTTCCTACCCTTAGGAACGACCGGAACCTCCTTAGGTTCGCTCCAAGAGCACCGCGAACAATTCGACAAGGATGACTGGTTCCCAAGGAGACAGTTCTAGTCTGGGCCGGCCTGGAGTTGCCAATGCTGCCAAAGTGCCTATTCTAACTGGATTTTTCAGTCATTTCAATGGACACGATCTGAAGATTTTCTTTCGGTGCTTTATCGGCGCCTGGGCGGGTTCGCTCTTGATGTTCATAAATCCCTCCCTACACGAACTCGGGACAGCGACCTTTTTTGCCTGGTGAGTGAGACCTTTTGGATTGCTGTGCTGTGTAGATGATGAAATCGAAACCCTTCCCACCACTGGAAGACTTGACCGAGACTCTCTGACTCTATCTAGTCTTGTGCAACTGATCATTCCTCCAAATGGAATAGTCTTCATTCATATCCTCGGAGTCCTATCCATACTGTTTGGAGTGTTCCTGGCATACGCGTGGGGTGTCATAGCAATGAAGGCTGCTCTAGCAGCAAGGCCTGCAGCAGACACGGCCGCGCGGTTGCAATTACTTCAACAGGCAGCGGCAGTTCAGGTAAACCAAACAGGAATCACGCCGGCCGACGCCGCTCAGCGGTTAATCTACGATGGATTCATGTTGGATGCGCGTGTCACCGTCATCATGTACTGCTTCGCCTGTGTTTTTATCTACTTCCTGGTCAGTATCCGCCAGTCGGCGTTCTCAGTTTTAACATCTGGCAGGCCCGTCTGCGCGCGTCCAACCCCAAAACGGTCTTTGCCCACTTGTTCGGATCGATCATTATCGATATTTTCCTCGTTTATACGCCTCTAATTCCCTCATTCGATGGATCCTTACCCCTTCCCATTGTGAAACCCACCCTGGTCGGCGTGGGATTGAGCTTGGTGAGCTCAATCATCTTCTTCCCACGCTCAACGTCGCACACCGTCCTCGACAGCATGAGGGACATGGTTCGGCTTGTCAAGGTCCCGTTAGAAGTAACTGAGGAATCCTTGGCGAAAGATACGGAGCGGGTAGATCGAGCCTCACTGCACCAGACACGCGCGGGAATCATTGCACTGGTGCGACAAGTCGAGCCCGCTATAGGATTCCTGCCGATCGATTTCTCATTGGGCTACTGTGATCCTCGTGATGTCAAAAGCCTCGTGGTTCCAATGCAGAAGCTCGTGGCGTCGGCTATCATGCTGCTGGATTTCAACATCAATCAAGTGCACCGAGAGACGCGTACAGAGCAACTGATCAAGTTCCAACAGCAACTGATGGAAAAGGACGACTCGAACCCGGAGATGACTGGAACTTCCAATGGCCCTCCTCATCGCGTTGGACACCATCAACTGGTGCAATTAGTGAAGATTCTGGATGGGTTTCCTCACCCGAACCCGGACGGCTACCCAGATGATCATGCCCTGGCCAGGGAGTTCTCTGCATCAAGCACGGCCGCAATCAACTCCTGTCTCGAGACGCAGGATCACATTGCTGAGTGCATGCACAAGCTTAACCACGGTGGCTGGCTTTCACGAATCGATGAAGCGGAGCGTCAGGAGCTGATAAAACGAACCGAAGCGTCCTTGGATACATTGCGCGCGTCTCGAACCGTTTTCATCGATCAAACAACCGAGTTGCTCCTGCGCGAGTATCAGCCTGTCTTTGAGAGCCATGACGCACAGGCCTCCCAGCTGCCTGCCATGCATGACCTTCATGGGCTTGTACTCGGGATGGCACTACAGGAACAGCTCTCAACTGTCTTTAAAGACACCGAAGCCCTGCTCAGTCAAGTGGGCTTAATCCTCCAGAAATCGACTCATATTCGCCTGTGGCTTCCGTCGAGTCTGCGGTATGCACTCGCATGGATAGCTGGGAAGAAGGGCGATGCCCCTGCCACGGCCCAGATCAATGATACTGACCCCGATAAACCGGAAGAGTCGACGAAGGCTGTTTCTGTGGGCCTACATGTCAGCACAAAGTCCCAGACGCCGAGACGCAGCGGACTTGCACACGCTGTTCTTAATATCTACCACTGGCTCACCGGGAGCGACGGCTTATTTGCCTTGAGAATGGTCGTTGTCTCCATTGCCCTCTCTATCCCCGCCGTCATCCCCCGAACGGCCGGGTTCTACTACCGCGAAAAAGGCCTGTGGGCTTTGATCATGGGCCAGACCGGATTACTAGTATACATGGCCGACTTCACCTTTTCCGTCATCTCCCGCCTCTTGGGAACCCTCATTGGTGGTATCCTCGCTTTGCTCGCCTGGTATGTAGGGTCCGCAAATGGCCCGGGCAATCCATACGGTTTAGGCGCGGTAATGGCAGTCATGGTTGCGATCCTTATGTGGGTTCGGATCTGGTGTCCTTTCCATCTCCTCCAGGCGAGCATCATGGCTGCTGCCACCTTTCTGTTGATTATCGGGTTCAGCTACGATGACCAGTGAGTGTTGAAGCTTCAGGTATTACCCGGCTTAGCTAATGCAATACCTTTAGACATCTACCGCAATACGGCAGCGCGGGCCTAGGCTACGTCGTGTTTTGGAAGCGACTGGTCCTCGTCCTGGTTGGAGTCGCCGCCGCACTCGTCGTTCAGATGTTTCCCTCGCCCCCCTCAGCCGCACGACACGTGTCCAGGACCTTGTCGACCTCTCTCCGGACAATCTCCGACCATTATGCAGTTTTGCTGTCGTGTTGGAACAACCCAGAGACCAATACCCAAGCCCTTACAGAGCCATTGACACTCGGACTCGCCTATTCTCTACTCGATCTGGAAGGCCTAATCAAGCAGCTAGCTTTTGAATTCTCCAGCTCCCCCTTCACCAGCTCAAACACAGATCAAATTAAAGACCTCTGCCTCACCCTAAACCGCGAGGTGGGCAGGCTCCTCTCGCTGTCGTCGTCACTCCCGCTCGAATACCGCATCCGCCTCACGCAGCAATGTGGGATGTTCGACCACCGCCACATCGGTGAGGTAATGGCCGTGCTCGCAGTCTGCGAACAGGCACTGAAGACTGGAGACCCGCTGCCGGAGATTCTGCCGACACCGGTGGTTAGGAGGGCGTTTGAGTACCGGGGCGCTGCAAATGGGCCTGTGTTGGAGTTTACAGCTGCGGCGGTGCGGGACGAGAATTATCGCCGATTCTGCGTGGCTTTGAGCGCGTATTTCAAGTTTCTGTGGACAGTTGATGAGTTGGTTATTGTGGTCAAGGGTGCTGTGGGGGAATCGCATCTTGTCTCGAAGGAGGTGATGGGCGTTGTTTAGATTTCTTCCTTCAGAAAACGCTGGGACACAATCAACTAATTAGGAGGATTGTAGAAAATATGGCTTCTTGGGTTGACCAAACTCAATTTTGCATCCTTTTCGATGAAATTCCTGAAGACGCTCTATGGGATTAGCCAATAGGAATAGAAACTGAACTACGCATAACATCTTGCAAGGAGAGGAAATCATAGAGACTTTAGCAAGGTCTGCTGCACACGCTATTAGGCCATCAGCAAGGAATAAAATGAGCATGAATGATGGTGTACTAGGGAGGAAGTATCGCTTGTGCTCTGTCCATGCCTCTGTCCCATTATCTCCAACACATGCACGCATTCCGCTGCTGACTACCCAGATGGTCATGAGATGAAGTACCAGGGTTGGCCACTGACAAAGCTTGCATAACACCTACGCAAGCGCATCAGTAACGACCCAGGTCACATCAGCCGTGAATGCCGCCGTAGCATCAAACACATGCACGCCCCCATTACTCGCAACATACAGCACATTCTCATAGTGGCGCCAGACCCTGGTGGGATAGCTCCACGAGCGGATGGAGCTGCCATCACCACCCAGCCCCTCCATCGGACAAAACGTCGCATCTTCTGCGAACAGTTTCGACCCATCGTCCGCGTTCAAAAGGAGAGCGAACCCCGAGTGCCGGATGTAGCTCCCGGGCGCATCAACAGACTCGAAGGAGAAACAGCCGCTGTTCGCTAGTCCCGTCTGCACAGTCCAGGACGCCTGTTGGCGCAGAGTGGAGCTGGAGGATGCCGAGACAACCTGCGTGTTAACCGTCGAGTCCGTGTGCGCGATGTAGCGATTCGTGTACCCTGCCGTCGTGGCCTGGAATGAAACCGTCGATCCGACAGTTAGTGCATCCCCGCTGGTCAGCGGAGCCGTCGCATACCCCGCCGCGGCGATGTCGGCCTGCACGGCGTCCTCCGTCTCGTCAGATGGATACCCAGCCGTCATGGCGCCCTCGTAAAACGTCCCCTGGGCGCCGTTGCTGTTGTCGCCACCGATTCCCAGGATGATGGCGCCTTCCTTGCTCATGGGGTTGTATCCGGATGCGTTGGGCCGCGCACCGTCGTAGTACGTCGACAGCCCATCACTAGACGCAGCATTCCCGCCGCGCAGCGCCCAGTGGCCCGCCTCCCCCTTGACAATCGTCGTCAGGAAGCGATCGGTCAGCGTGGGGTCCCCGGCGTTATATGTTGTGCTGACTCCCGAGAACAGGCCGTTCTCCAGATCAGCCATGAGCCAGGGCCCGCTCCCCGCGCCGTATCCCCAGACCGTGTTGGAGCCAAAGTAGATGGCCTCCATGTGCCCGTTGCCCGTGTCCAGACTGGACGTCTCGGCATTGCCGTAGTCGAAGCAGCATGCGTCGTTGTAGTGCGTCCCGTCAAGCACGGCATACATCCCCTCGGGCTCATCCCCCGTCGCTGTCCCCGTCACCTCATTATTGCGATACCCCGTCCCCGGGGAGACGAAGACCCCGTACGCCTTTTGGCCGTTCAGCGTAACGGGCGCCCCAATCGCGCTAGCTAAATTATCGTACCCGTTGGCCTCCGGCCCATCAAACCCGCCAGGCGGCGCCTGCGTGAGATCATTGCCCTGGCCAGATTGGTCGTAGAGGATGGTGATGAGGCACGTTGTCCCCTCGCAGAATGTGTCCTGCGCTGCGGCGTTGGCGACGCCGCCTGCGGAGAGCGGGGCGATATCAAGCGTGCTGCTGTCCGACGCACGTTGCACCTGGTACAGCGGGCCAGAGTAAGAGGAGTACAGGGCTCTGGTGGAGCTGTGTGCTGCGACGCAGGGTGTACCGCCGGAGGCGTAGATGTCGCAGGGGCCAGCGGCCACGAGGGTGGCTGAGGTCAGAAGGGCGAGGGCGCGGCGCGGGCTCCGAGTCATCATTTCGAATGCTATATTGGGGATGTCTGTGGTAGACCGTTGCGAAATGCAAAGACATAATCTCGTGGACATGAGGTGCCATTTATAGCCCGCAGTTTAACCGACGGCATCGTGAGCTTCGAGGTATCTTTGCAACAGCTCGGTTATTAGAAGCATATTTACCATCAGACCCGCGCAAAACATCTCCCCGAGTCTCGCAAGACAACTGGGCAACCCCGCACGATTTCTTCCACTTCCACCAAGAAAACAAAGGGCTCGGTTAAAAAGCTTGGTAAAGCTTCTGCCCCCCGCGTTGTGGGGAAGGGGATCGACTCTTCCGAGTGAGCCGAGTTCCTCCAATCACTTCATGCAGGCCTCAAATGCTCCTTCGTCCCGCCGGATTTTTCCCGGATTGCCCCTGTTCCTTGGGCTAGTTTAGCGCGTGCGGGGCTGCAGAATGAGGGGTAAACAGGGTTGAGGATGTAACCTACTCAAGATGTACCGCGGAGGCATGCATCCAATCCAGTCAGCCATCTGACAGTTCTCTTCGTTGTCTCGGGCCAGTTGCAGAAGTAGTCTGCGGGTAATTCGCATCAGTATCCCCGGGTATTATTCGAGGCGTCCAGGGCCAGGACTAGCAGCTCTGCCCACGCACATTAAACATGTTGAGTGAACAATTTAGCTGGAAGTGATGACGAAAGATCGCGTCGGTGCTACACATACGAATAAAGAACGGAATCCCATGAAAAGGTTTAGCCAATTATATATGAAGGAGGATGTTGCTCAAGACTAGATACTTTTGGAGCGCAGTCCCATCCCTGGTGGGCTAGCCACCTGCTATGCGTTGGGCGTATCATCCCGCGTCGCCTCATCGGATTTTGTCGATAAGTTCTTTCATTGATTCCAGATTAGACTGGTACCGGACAAAATGAATCCCCTCAAGCGTCCACATGAACGAGACATTGTCTTGAATTTCCTGGGTTTGCGCTGGAAACCAAGCCAGGTCTCGATCATATGTAACAAAAAAGACAACCTTCTGGCCCTCAGTGACGGTGATTGGAGCCGGCAGCCTTAATTCGATTCCACGATTTGTGCCATAAGTGACGACATGCCGGACGTTATTGTCCGCGAACATCTACGAGGTTGCGTTTGTCAGTTTGGACAGTTCCTTAAGTTGTGGCTAGCTCACCTGTTCCGGGTCTCCCGACTCATGCTCCAGGTAATTCGTAACATCATCGGTTAATCCACCATAGATGCTCAAATTTCCCACATTAACTAGACCTCCCCTGAGAAGCAACTCGAACCAGGCAGGACACGACTGCAGCTGAAATTCGCCGAACATCGGACTCGGCATCGTACTAATGTGGATCGTCACATTCCATCGCCCTTGAGGCACACTCACGAGCGCAAGTCGTTTGTTGCCATGGGGTCTTGGGCCAAATTTCAAGACATCCATGTTATACATTATTATGCGGCCGAGTGGCAGGGCTGGGACCAGCTCCGTGTCCAGTGAGAATCCCCAGCCCAGACGGCTATACGCATCCACCTGTGGCAGCGCATCCTTGAAGAACGTATGTCTCTCAATAAACCACAGATCCGCAGCAATACGCATCATATCATGACCCAGGTGCGTGGTAGCCATGGTGTAAGAAGACGACCTGCATGTCGGGCAAATGATGGGTTTGCCACGACAGGTCTGGCATTCAAAGACGGGATATGATTCGGGAGTAATCATGCACTCCGAACAGCTCGGGATTGGGGACGTGATTGGGGGCTCAACTTGTTCAAGATTATTCACACTGTGCAGAAACAGTTCTGCCAACCAGTCTTGCAAGCTCCGGTTTCTGGTCCAAAAATGCCTGGTACTAGAAGGTTAACAGTAATAATCTAGGGTCGGAAGGATTCCAGTCTTACTCTTCTTCAGTGTGCTGTCTGGATGATGGTGAGACAGGTTCTGGCACGGGGCTATCATCCTGCCCTCCTGGGTCGTATATTGTCTGGAATTCATGCTCGGGGTTGTGCAAAATATCTGCACGAACGATCTGGCGAGGTCGTCAATGTGGTTTCCAATATGTCGAGCGTTTCAGTCGTACACATCCAGCGCAGTAGTCCCAGTCAGGGCAAACTTTGCACTTATATCTTATACCGCGAATTGTCTAAGATCCGGGTCAGGAACTATACTCGAATGCGCATCCAAACGTTGCAGTATGGAATGTTATACATACCCGTCTACAGTAATCGCACTCGTGTAAGCCAGAAATTTCGGTTAAAGCTGTCTGGGTAGGTAATTACTCAGGTTTTGCTCTCAGACTTGATAGATTAGGCCTAATATACCTCAGATCCACTACGATGAATATGTTTGCTTCCACTCCCGGCTTTTCCTAGGCACTGTCGTCAGCTTACAGAGTCAACTGTATGATCATCAGCTGAACGGGAAGATCGCGAACCTACCCCCATTCTCGGGATGGAGTGAGCCACTCGACTTGCTACCTTCACCAGAATCATGGTCCCTCAACGCGCCAGTGCTAATAGATCTCTGCTCTGCAGGGTTATTGCCTGAGGCTGTTAGACCGGGGAAGTTTGTGGTGTACTTGTGCTCCAGCAGCTCGTGCCAAAGCCACGGACCTAGATCGCTGTAATTAGAGCCATACTTCAACCTCACGAGAGGACGGAAGTTGTATGTGTCGGTGTCCTTGATCAGCATCGTGTGGTGATGAGGTAGGTCCTTCTGGAGTTCACTTATCCACCTTAGAAGTCCGCCAATGTTCTCGTCTGCTAAGCCGTCCCCGCATCCAACGAAAAGGACGGTGTTCCACATTAAGAACATCTCAAGCAACCGCCGAACTCCCTCTGACTCCCGAACCCGGTAGTAGTCAATTGGATCCAAGATGACATGGCGGGGCTGGTCATATGTTCCATGTAAATGAAATATCTCATTTTTGGACCTTCCAGGCGAACTGAATCTCACCGCATTGTCAATTCCCAGTCCGCAAACTGGAGTCAAGCCGCAATAGCGATCCAACAGGCAATCGTAATTAGTTGTAAGGATCGTGGCCCCTCGATCATGCAGTTCCTTCAGGCTGCGGAACAGCTCTGTATTCTTGATGGTCAAATGGCCGAAAGTGTTATTTAGCCAAGAGGCGAACTGGTTGGATTCCTCTAGTTCTCGTCGGAGGATTTGCGCGGCGTGAAGATGACTGGAAATTGGGCTTTGGTCGAGGAAATGGCGCGCATTTTGAAGATTCAGGTCTCTCTCTTGCGCCTTCTTCTCATCACTGGGAGGAGGTTGGCTCTTGAGAAACCGATATGCATATTCAAGCATGCCCTTCCAGCTCAAGCGATTGAGAGGATCTTTCGGGTCGCTGCCCGTTGCGCCGAGCGTTACTCCTACCCCGGTAACGATGACAAGCCTTCTCTCATGAAGAGCTGCTTTGAGATCATCCGTGGCTTGCCTTCTTTCGTGCTCCTCATCCGCGGCCGCGGCATCCAGAGCCAAGCTTGGGAATTGAATCTGTATCCTGCCTTGTCAGTGCGAAGTCTATTACTGTCACGTTATAACCTAACCTGAGGGATGCTTGCCATAGTGGTGATACTTTTTTGTTAAAGGTGCTTCCACTTGGCGTTTGTCCGAGACTACTTGCACACTTCTTGGTCAATGTCAGAAGGATTTGAGGATGTCTGAAACTGTCGAGACAAAGAACTTTCTACATCTTCCTCTTATTTTCATATATATATAAGCGTCGTACGATGGACATAATCTACGTCACCACTAGCTCCAGTCTTCTTAGTGTGACCACGAAGTCACAACTATTTCTCATTCCTACCCATGGGGCGGTTGTACGAAACCGTCGGGCCATATATTGGAAGTCATAGTTATTTTTCGCCTCAGCGAAAAAGACTGCCCGAAGCTGCGTCAGGAGATACTTACCGTTCCATAGACGTACGTCATCTGTACCATGGAAATCAGGCCGCGGGTGTCACGGTTATCGAAAACCTAATCTGCATTCCAAATGTTCTTACCTCTGATCCAATCGTCACTACTTGATTAGCCATTTCTTTGAGCGCGAGCGGCTGCTACGCGTATCAATGATTTGTCTTTTGTTTCTCATTCGGTTGCGTCAAACTGAGAGGCTAATAAAAATTGTTTGATGTAAGAATCGCGCAGTATGGAGGGGTGCATGTTTGGAGTACTGGCTGGCTGCCGCAGGCCACAACAATATCGAGAGACATTGTCCGCTTGAATGGACGGTGGGCGGATTACGTTGTACCTACTCTGTATACTCATCGCATTGCAACCCACACCGCCACTTGTATAGCGCAGTGGGTTGAATCCGCGAACGCCTGTAGAGCAGTGGTAGAAGAAAGACACATCTCTAGTAGCGTGGTTAGACTTTGATTATAAGGAGTTATTTCGCAACTACTAGGAAATTAGGACTGTTTACTTAGTTAGTAGTTAGAAAGGACACGCTAAATTAAAACAGCCATCTAGGTAGAGTTTAAAGTGGTAAAAATAGAAGCCTTTAGGTCTTATAGCCACAGCTTTACTAATAATAAATCTAGTCTAAGACTCTAAGGACTGCTACTAGTGACCCTTATCACAAGGTCATGCCCGAGGGATTGGACAAGCTCCACTGACGAGGTCAGCCCTGGAACCTATCGAGGACCCTGATGTTTCGTGCTCTGTTCACGCACATCATCATCTAATGTCACTCTCACCTCCTTCTTTTCCCAAGATGGAGATTCTTCCACGCCTGATAACCACCCGCTCTTCCAAGCGGAGTTCGATTTACTGGCTAAATTCTACCATACGGCCCGAGGGAGACTAGCTATGCATGACATCACAGTTCTGTGATCTATCTCCAGCTCGTCTGAATCCAGATTAAAACCATTAGCGAAACGCCAGGGGTGGGTGGTACAGCCGGTTCGGCGTACAGTTTGTGGTGGTGGGTGTTGTGAAGCGAGGCTTGATATAGTACAAATAGAGCTTCGTATACGGAATAAATTCCGTATTGAATCACAGTGATTTCCAATCAATTTGCTATTTGTCTTGTATAAGAACCGTCAGGTTTTCAGATGTGAAGGATAATAATAAATCTTCCTCTGAAATAAAATAGTGGGACCTAGGCGTATAGGCTAATTGTAGTCATTCAGAGGTGGTGGCTACTTGTTTATCAAGTTCTTTACTGTTGCTTGCTGGCCCCTCGCTGAGGTTTGTTGGTTCTGAGTGGGGCGGAAATGGAAAACTATCACATGGAGTTGAGGAGGACACTGTTCCTGTAACTAGTTATTTATTGTCCTACGCACAGTCTTCCTTCATCGTACGATTAATACAACGGCCCGCCCAGACCGAAAAGGGAATCGACCAATTCGGGCTCAATCTATAATAAATGGTAGACCATGTCCATCAGTCAAAGGAGCGGTTGGAGACATTCATGTACGCGATGAGAGGTTCCCAACGAGCAAGGGCGTCGAAGGTCGAAAGAAGGATGATCTCAAGATGAATCGTGCGCTCGCTTCGGAGAAGGGGACAAGAGCGGGGACTCCTCTAAACGTGGAGACTACATGTTTGATAAGTGTCTTTCGTCCATCGTTGGTTGTCTCAAAGGCTCGAATGAGATTTTCTTCCATTAAAACAACATCTCTCAGGCCGCAGACGACGCCCGTGATGCGGTTGTGGAAGTCGTCACGAGGATAGGTCTTGCACAAGTATGCAACTATGGCATCGACGTGCATCTTCTGTGAGCTGGCGACTAAGACCGCCGATCCGTGCTCAAGAGCTGCAGCTGCCGCGGCTAGATTGATGCTGATTGTTCCTCTGAGGACAATTGCCCACATCCCTTTCAATTTGCCGATAGATCGTAATTGAGGCTGACTCATGTTGGCCCTACAGTATATGGAAATCAGAAGCGAAGATGGACTTTGAACTGAAGAAGTTTTGAAATAAGTGTGCATTTTGTGTGTGAATATTGGCCTCCGGGCGACGGGCCATAGAGCCACTAATGAGTGTCATAGGAGACATCAGGGCGACTTTCATGTAGGTTGAGAGACAAAAGCATGCAGCAGCACCCAGTGAGGATCTCGACAAGATAATTCAACCCTCTACATAATCCGAATATTGCCGCCTCAGGGTCGGGCATGGATCAGGGAATGGGATGAACAATCATGGACAGCATAGACGGACCCACTTTCGGCCGAGTCAACTTCCATATCTGGTAATAGGGCAAGGAGTCATCATTGATGACGAGAACTGGCCATGTGGTTTAAGGCACTCCTAAAACCGTCCTCCGCTAGTACATTGATCTACAGGTCTCTCGACATATCTGTAACGGCGCTCGGTCATGTTCGGTCTCCGGTCACTACCGATTCCGAAAAGAAGCTCGGCAGTATTTATTGCAAGCGGATGACGCTCTCGTGACGAGGCATCTATATATTTGTCCTTTCTGTACTTTTTTTCTCAGGTGATAGGCAAAAGCACCAAGTCGACCTTTGAACCTTTTATCAACATGTCGGACTTTTCTCAATACGGTGGCGCCAGCGCCGAATGGAGGGATCTCGAGAAGACAATACCCGCCCCACCGGCCATTGAAGGCATGTCATTGACCGAGCACAGACGTTCGATCAACACCCTCCGAGAAAAGGCATCCGCCGAGGCTATGGAAAACTTCAAGGATCAGCTGCATATCAAACAGCACGAGATCCCGACTCGTGACGGGTCGAGTATTCAAGCCCGGAGTTACCGACCAGCATTTATGACTGACAGATTACCGGTCTTTCTTTACTTCCACGGCGGCGGCTACATGACGGGGACCCTCAACACGGAAGATGCCACCTGTGGTCGGATTGCAACCACTGCCCAAGTCGTGGTATTACACGTCAACTACCGCCATACCCCGGAGTTTCCGTACCCGACGGCTTGGGACGACACTGAGGATGGATTCGAGTGGCTTCACCAAAACATCGAGTTGCTGAACGGCATTCCAGAAAAGGTCATTATTGGAGGTATATCGTCGGGAGCGATGCTCACAGCTGCACTTGTTCTCCAGAAGCACCATGGCAAGGCTCTCACGAAATATCCCGCTATCGCTGGTCAGGTTCTGATGGTTCCGTGCCTTGTGCATATCGATGCGTACGAGCCCCAGTTGAAGCAGCTGGCCGATCCTTCGGTGTCTTCGTACAAAGAGAATGAGCATGCTCCACTTCTCCCCGTCGGGGCAGTCCGAATGCTCGCCGATCTTCTCAAAATCAATAATCCGGATCTATTTGACCTCCGTATCTCGCCCGGCAACGCCTCTTTAGAACAAGTTAGAGGACTGCCCCCGACAACCTTTGGCATTGCGGGCCTGGATCCGTTCAGAGACGAAGGCCTTCTCTTCTCCAAGCTATTAAGTGAAGCTGGGTAAGTTCACGTCTTGAGACCCTATATCCTAGTCTGCATGCTGATCCCAAGGACTACTCAGAGTGTCAACAGATACCTATCTCTTTGAGGGTGTCCCGCATGCTTTCCGACGCTTTGGGCAGCTGAGTCAAGCAAAGCGCTGGGATGCAGTTATGTCCCACTCAATTGAATGGTCGTTGTCCCAGCCCAAAGCCGAGGGATTCAACGTCAAGACCACCGGCCCTTGATTGCTGGTGAGAACGGTAATAGTCTTCTGGCTCGGCTGCCTGAGCTATTTGGTCGAACCTTCCGTACAGTTAGATACTGTCGAGCTAAGTGGTGTCTTTAATACACCCGAAATAGTTTAGTTTCATTTGTGTTGTGATTTCTATGTTTGTATTAGGCGATTCTCAACACTGAGAATCGGTCGACTTTCAACCCTCTACTCATGTACGCAAGGACACCTTAACGTGACCTCGCATCATCCGCTCTTTTCATCTTTGCTTCAAGTAGATTATGTCGCATACTTAAAAATATATCATTGATCATGTTCCCTTTGACTACTACGCTGACGCCACTTCTAAGTGTTCAGGAACTATACAGTTTTTCCCAGTCTTCAAACCATTCCAATTCCGGGCTATGCCGGACCCCGCTTAATGGTCGTTTGCAAAGACTGGCGCCTCTTACCGGTGAAACCTCCGTCTCATTGTGGTGGTAGAGCTCAAATCAAACGAAACTCAATAGGCTTTGATTCCCCAGCTCGTATTGTACGGAGTGGGGCGGATACGGCCGAGAAACATTCCGTTTCAAGTAAAGATGCGCTGTACAGTGCATCCAAACGACCAAAGAGCCTAGAGCGAGGATGCTTCCTAAGCCAGTCCTGCTCAAGTAGACCTTTGAAAAGGCAGGCCCTCCATTGTTAGAAAACTCCTGAGGTCTCAGAATCAGTGACAAGAATAACACCTGCACTTCAATCCCTCACTATCATACGCTTGATTCTAGCAACATGGCTTCTGATATAGATACAGACCATCTCATAGTTGGTGCAGGACCAGCCGGATTGGCATTGGGTTCCTTTCTTAGCCAAAATGGTGAGTGAGGCTCGGTTAGCCTGTAGTATCGCAGCGTGATGTACCTATGATCAATCCAACAGGGAGACTGATAGATGATCTCCAGGCCTGAAAGGACTCATCGTTGCTAAAGCTCCCGCCACAGCAAATACTCCCAGAGCTCATGGATTCAACCCGTTTGCGTTTGGTAAGTTCATCCAACTGTTCGAAACTCTCGCAGCGCGGCTCTCGCTAACGTAGAAACGTAGAATGTCTTCGTGATATCGGCCTTGAGGACGCGACACTTGACCGGGCGACACGTGGTCCTGCGTACCAATCCCTACGTTGGTGCCGCAGTATGGTGGGTGAGGAATATGCTAGAGTGCTTGGATTTGGCGGACATCCCGCGAGTATGGTACGATTTTTCACGTGGACACATCTTGTATCGTCGAGAGTTCTATACTGACTATCATGTATAGGCCGCCACCGCAACCATCTCCCCATGCGAGTATGTTGACCTGGCACAATCCAATCTTGAACCAATCCTGCTTCAGTATGCATCGCAACACAACTTCCCAGTGCGCTTCTCATCAGAGTTGATCAACGTCGAACGCCGCACGGATGGCACCGCCAACGATCCGTCAACCATCATCTGCACTATTCTCGACCACGTAAGCCAACAGACTTACATTATTCGCACCCGATACTTGTTTGGTGCCGACGGAGCCCGCAGCTATGTCGCCCGTGCGCTCGACTTTAAGTTCATCCACAAGCCTACCGGAGGAAATGCATGTAATGTCTTCTTCCGCGCAGACCTCGGACATGTGCTACACGAGGGACGTCTTGCAGGACTTCATTGGATCTTACAGCCCGACCGCACCATATTCCCAGGCGTCGTCGCCCATTTTCGCGTGGTCCGACCCTCAAAGGAATGGGTCATGGTTTGCTTTGGACCCGGAGGAAAGAATCCCCTCGAAGGAATGACAGCCGACAGCCCAGAGATTGTTAAGCTCGTGCTTGCACTTATCGGCGACGCCTCTGTGACGATCGACATCCTTGCCGTGGATCCTTGGACCATACGTGAAAGCGTTGCCGAGGAATACCATCACAGTGGAAGTAATGTGTTTCTTTTGGGTGATGCAGCACACCGACATCCGCCTGCCTTTGGTCTCGGGCTAAACACCGCCATCCAGGATGCGTATAACCTAGCCTGGAAAGTTTCATATGTCTCCAGACGGTTAGCAGGTCCCAGCCTACTAGATTCATACAGCGAGGAGCGTCAACCGGTTGGTGCTACTCTTGTCCGTGAGTCAAACAATGGCATACGAGCCCATGCAAAGATGTGGGAGGCTCTCGGCATGTTTAAACCCAGTCGCGAAGAAGGCCTCAACCAGCTTTCTCGACTGACCGAGGCGACGTCCGAAGGGGCGGCTTGTCGAGCTAAAATTCGCGATGCGCTGAGTGAAATCGAACCGGAATTGCAGAGCTTGGGTGTCGCCTACAATCAGTGGTACACATCAAATGCCATCGAGCTCGCGGACGAGCCTAGCAAAAGCAGACCACTATTAAAGGGGAACCCCATCACCACGCCCCAAATCAGCACGTTCCCAGGTAGTCGACTGCCCCACGCTCGACTGGACCTCCCGACACGGCGGAAAGTCATCTCAACACATGATCTAGCAGGGAAGGCTGCGTTCTGCCTTTTGATCGGCATTGGTGGTGAAGCGTGGGTGAGGGCTGCTAGAAACATTTCGAAGTCAACAGGGATCCCCATCAATGTGTATGGAATTGGCTTTGGGCTTGACTATGCTGACATCTACGGTGAGTGGTATAGTAAGCGCGGTGTTGATGAGACAGGCTGTGTGCTGGTACGGCCCGACAGGTATATAGCATGGAGGTCGCACGCACTCGTGTCAGACTGTCGAGCTCAGCTTATGAAGGTCCTTGAGTGGGTTTTGTTCCGACACGAGCTGTAAATGAGCTGTGGACGTGGACATGTCGCTTCGTGTTTAGTATGCAAATATATTCGTCATTCGAAGTTTCATTTCATCCATCATGTCCAAGGGCCTATATTTTGAACCGTACGGTATAAGGAGCAACCGGATGAAAAAAATGCAAATAGTCACTCAGCTGTAGATCTTGTACTGTCCCAAAGTGACGGAGTTGTACGGAGACTTTTGCGGTGGGGCTGTAGACCAATGCTCGTTAGTGGGCTGTCTAAACCCACCCTACTTGTGTTTGTCTTATTGCATATAGCATGTTCTTCGCCGGCAGGGATGGGATTTCTATTTCCGGATTCGGCCCGACATGGCGCCGCTTTTTGCTCAGTGACTGGCGCCGGGATGGGTGAGCATCCAGCGTGCACGGAGTGCTCGGGGAGTAATCCCGGATGGGTCCGGGAGTAACTGGGACGAAGCTGATTCCTCCCTGATTGTTCCCTGACGAAATGCAACGTTACTCAGCAGCCCTTCAGCGTCTTGCACACCGCCTGAATAAAAAATGCAATGCCAAGCCAACCCTTTTCGCTTCAAGAGGCTATCTACGTCATCCTCTAATTCCAGTTCAACCTCCAAAGTAACCAGACTTTATTATACTATGTCATTGATTGCCAACTTCCACTCTACGCAGCATCTAATAGCATATTGTTTTTGCAAACATGAGGCTACGGCCTTAATTTTCTAATATAAGTTACCCCTCTATAGCCCAAGGATGATTTCCGCTATAATACTTATGATAAATGGGAGACAGGAAATCTTATTTCACTAGATTAACTAATGTCAAAGAGATGAATAATATACTCAAGGCCAGGAGCTGGGTCCTTTCACTAACTATTAATAATATCTATGGGTATAGGCTAGTGCGCGTTGCATCAACCTTCCACTTAAGCCACTACATAGCTGGCTTTGCCCACATGCTGTATCACGTATTTTGTATGTACGGCCTCTTAATCTAGAGTATTTTTACCACGTGCTCCGTGTTCTATTAGCAGTCTTGTTAGTAACCCTGAAGATCTGAATATTTTTGCAAGAATAGAGAAAGAAGATTATCTAAAGAATTAAGATAGAAATGGTAATCTAAAGCTAGATTCATGGTTATAATCTAAAGTTTTGAATTACCCAAGGAGCTTATCCTAGAAGTTTCATGATTAAGTATACCCTAAGTATAATTGTGATATACTATAGGTATTTAAACTATAAGCCTTGCAAAGCAGCTGCTGTGTTTGAAGATTAAGAAATAGCTAAGAAGTCTTTTCTACTATATACTTACTCCCTCTATATACGACCGAGTATAATCGTTGATATTGCTAGGTGACCGAGAGCAGAAACAGTAAGAGACTTAAAGAGGGCAATAATAGACCCCACAATCAATCTGAATCGGCCAGATATCAAGTCCTTTTCTTCCTGGATTGCATCACCAATCACGGAGAACCGTAGGATACGCGTGTATATCCCGTCCAGGCTTTGCTGAGGAGATCCTTCAGCCACTTTATCATTGAAGATCATACTGAGCCGCATGTCTAGTCGGTCCACGCGCCCTTTGGCACCGCCGAGAAAAAGACAAGCTGTAGACGCATAGATGAAGAGCCCATCAGATTTCCTGGCCAATCTCACAAGGTTGTCCCCTCCAGGCCAATCGTCGATGGAGCTCTTGGCGGTGATCCGCGTAAGTTGATGCTCCAAATATAGGGTAATGTCGTCCTTGTGCTCAGAAGTCCCCGTATCGGGAGCCAAGGCAACTTTATTAAGCTCATCTTCAAAAACAGAGGCTCCGGTCATGGTACCAAAGTCGGAGCGGACGTGTGCTTCGGGCCTGCTGGTGATGACGAACTTCAGCGATATCGAACCTAAGGGTGGTGCTTGAGCGATCAGTTGAAGGAATGCCGCCAGGTCAGCCTCGCCTTCGCATTCATCCAGCGCATCAATAACCGTAATCAGTGTGAGAGGAACTAGCGTGCGGCTCCCTAGCGACCGAAGAGGATTGACGACGAGATATTCCCACTGGTCATTGAGCGACTGAGTTCCGATGCTTGGGTGTTTGGAGATCGAGTTGCAGACATCCCCTTTGATATCAGGAATTGTCGTTGCAATCTGCCTGCAGATTGTGGTAACTATCTTGCTCGCATTGTTCCGATCAGGCTTGGTTCGATCAAAGAAGAAGCTGGCTCCGAGGAATGTATTACTGGTGGACTGTTGTGAGGCGCCTGCGAACAACGGCGTCTGGTCATGGCAGGCCGCAGCGAGAGTGCGAGAGACGGTGGATTTCCCTGTACCCGCCATTCCCCTGAGCCAGTAGATAGTCTCCCTATCGCTGGCATTCTTCCAGTCTTGTATGTGGGTGAGAGTGCTGATCTGCGTCCCGTCCAGACATCTCGCCTTATGCTGATCTTCCCAAGAGTTGAACCCTGCGCCGCTGGCGATCGACAGGCTATTCAAGAGATTGTCCTGCTTTGCTGCCTATGGATTGATTAGCGTAATTGCCAGTGAAGATCAGATCAGGATGTTTTCCACGCACCTTTGCCTCATCTCGAGCCTCAGTTATAGTGCTTTGAGCCGTTGTTATCTGTTCACTCAGCCGCGCTACCCCAGTCTCAATCTTGCGCAGGATATGGCCTTGTAAGGCGCCAAGGTTGAGATCAATCGACCTCTCAATGTCCAAGATGGTGTCGAACATCTCCTTCCAATCATCCGCGACCCTCACATCCGCGATCCATCGAAAAAGACCCGACCGCGAGAAATGTTTCAAGAGCCGCATCTGATACCTCAAAATCATCGCGTATAGCTTGACAGTCTCCTCCTTGATGCTCGTCTCGAGATCCTCAACCGACTTATCGGAACTCGATCCGGTTTTCTCCACTGGAATCTCGATGTGCGTACATTCAATGACTCTATAGCGAACTAGGAGCCCCGAGATGCGCTCGAACCCATCGATCGCGTCTTCCTCTTGAGTGAAGGACTTGGAAATTGGACCAAGTAGCACCAAAACGCCGGCCCAGGCGAGCGCCGCATGAGGCTCCGAGCTAACCGTCGCAGAGATTAAGTCCTTCACGCTCAGGATTGCATGGACCGCTCGAGCTGCCTGCTCTTTGATCCCGATAGACTTCCCCGAAATCGTCATCGTCAGATGTGAGGCTTGGATTTCGTCAAGACGATTGTTGATGAAATCGCGCATGCCTGTTTCCTCGGACGTTGCGTCCCCATCTGTTTGCTGAGCAGCACATTGTCGGGAAAGGGCGGATTCGTATGCTACAACGAGTTTCGCATCATCCTTCGAAAGCTGATCATAGGCCTCTTTCCACAAACCTTTCAGCTCCAGGGTTTTGGGGTTTGGGGCCGCTGGCGGATCTGTCGGTTGGGGATCCGGCGTAGCGTTGGTAGGAGCCTCATTCTCGTTATTAGGCTGAGGGGCCGTCGCTGATGCGGGGTCGGGCCGGGCTCAGCTGAGGATCCGCCCAAGAAACGCTTGAAGCGATGTCGCAGGGGCAACTTTGACTCTGGATTCTTCGATGTCGGCATTGTCAACAGCGCGTAGACGCGAGCCTCAAGGCCGTCCCTGTTTGTGGAGTTGTTCGTGAGGCAGGAACGATTATGGGTGACGGGCTCCAATTCAAGAGGCAGGCGCGACCTCCAGGGCTCTGGGCAGGCAAACGTGCCTTCCTAATTTGAGAAACTTTAGCCGATAGGCTCTGGATGCACTACTGATGGTAGTACCCAATTGCATTGCTGGTTTGCACAGCGCTTCTGCACGTTATGCCACGAAATCTACAGGGATTATCCGCAGCCAACGAACGGTACATGATTCGTCGCTGGGCTGGATGCGCAAAGTTATGTGAATAAGCCTATGGCGATATCTATCTATCTATCTGGAGCAGCTATTATTTAATAGTTGTGTTTGCAGGATAGAAAACGAGCCTGCTATTGTTTGCATTGTAACCCCGTGAGGTAATGCCCGCGGCCACTGTATCCTAGTCCGTCCCGGTGTGGCATGGCAGATCCAGGATATTAGTCGCAGCGGGAATACTAGTAGCCACGCAAAGCTGTTTGTATGCTTCACGTCCTTCCAGTCACTGAGAGTGTGCCTTTCCTCCTGTGGTTGCTACAAATTCAAAAGCGACCCTGCGTAGAGAACACTTGGGAATGGGAAGAAACCGGGCAGTGGCCCGCTCAATGCACAGCAGAGCCCTGCTAGCTACACACCGTATGCCTTACCTCCTTCCTAGGCAGTTACCGACTCGTGGGCAGATATCCAAGCGACACTTAAGCAGATATCAAGGTACTTATTGAGACGCCTATCGAGGTAGTATTGAAAGTAGGTGTAATGAGTTCGTTGTGCGTCTGGCAGGCTCCGATACACACACACTATTTCTTACTAACAGCCATCTAGTTCACCAGGCACTGGGTGTGTATTGCAGATCCAATAAAATAATTGGCCGCTTCCAAAGCTACCTTGAATTCGGAAGTCTCTTGCAATGCTTCTGGCCTATAAGAAACGGTAAATCTACAAGTGGTATGTCTCCATGCAAACTAGACTGGTAAGTTGCCTCACGAGCTTGCCACCACTCAGACATTTCATTCTCAAACTTGTCAGCGGATATGGATAAGATGTAAAGACGGAAGTTAGAACCCATAGCCTGAGGAGAATGGTGTTCGTACTTCGTCCAATGCAACTCGAATCTAGTGGACAGGAACACTGCCTTCAGCAGTTGCCGCTGCATGGATAGTCATGTGGTAAGTCAAACTACTACCTCGTAACCTCATATATACCCAAATAACCATCTAAGCGGAATATTCCGCAGGGTATGCTCACTCCAGGGCCTAGCTCCCCTCCTTCGAGCCCCAAAAGTCCACTTCCAAGGAACAGCGGCGGGAAGAGCCCGCGAGGCTATCTTTGCCAGGAACATGGCCTATCATCTTACGATCATGTGGGGTAGCAAGCGGCGAGATCGTCGGGCATGACTGTGGGTCCAGATCCTGGTTGTGTGGTACAGCTGGGGTTGAGACCCGGAGAACCCCGTTTGGGAGATAGAGGACCCTGTTTGTAGGGCCAACACCACGCACGTACAATGCACTAAACTTGCATTCACAGCCAATTTAGAGAAGGTTATTATTGATACAATAATAATATCATAAGATTATTGTGTTCCCAAGTCCTCATCCCTGAAGAACCCACGCGCCACCGCCCCGAACCCTCCCCATCGAAGCACAATGGCTTGAAGCCACCATGGCGCCACTACAGAACCCCATCAATCGGAAGCCAGACCCAGATTCCCAAAAATGATGTAAAGGGACGGCTAAGCCTGAATGGGAAAGCTTGACGAGGGGCTTGGGTTGTGCAGAACTATCTTTGGAACTCTTGGCGTGCTTTGTCATGGCTTACAGTATGTACACTGGGGTTCCCCTTCCAAGACATCCCCAGCTCGGTGTCACTTCTCGCCACGCTTCGGGCAGCGATGGGCAAATCCATTGAGACATGCTTGAGACATCGTTCGTGATGATTTTACATGGGATGAGAGATGAGGGACGATGGGAGAGGGATGCAGGGTATAAATATCAGGATATCGCCCGGTGGTTGAGGATATCATCACAACAATCAAATCCAGTCAATCAAACAATCCTCACATTCGCTAAAGTCACTCGCTTACTTTAACAACCTACAATCGTTCACAATGAAGACCACCTTCGCTGCCCTCGCTCTCTCCCTCTTCGGCGCCGCCGCTGCCGCTCCCGCGGCCGCAGCTACCACCAGCAGCTGCCCCGGCACCGCAAAGCCCTTCCCCTACAGCGTCGACGACGTCAAGCTGTACCACCTCAAGGAGAGCAACACCTGGGACCTGACCATCCAGGTCACCGAGCGCGACGCCGCGGGCAACGCCCTGGGCTCGACTTCGTGCCACAGCGCCTGGTACGCCCACCATCCAATCCCCGCCTCCTTCTCTCTAAATGAGATAATTCAAGAACACAGGCTAACAAATATATCTCAAAAATAGGAACGACGGCGCAACCTACGTCGCGCGCGAGATCTGCGCGGACACGCACTACTTCTTCTGGCTGCCTGAGGGCGCGCCCAACCCGGAGAAATGGAGCGTGATTGTCGACGGGCCTAATGGCCAGGGCGAAGGCGTGATTGAGTTCGGGAACAAGTACCAGTGCGGTGCTTATACTGGTACCGTGGGCAATATTGATCGTCAGTGCACGACTACGAATGGCGGGTGGTTCTTTTTGCACGAGAGGGAGCAGTAAGGCTACTTACTACTAGTTGGAACTGGAACTGGAACTGCGCTACGCGGAGTGTTGGGAATTTGTCCAGAGTGATCTGGAGATCTGTGCTATAGTATGGCATGGATTGGCGAGCATTAGTGGTGTTGACTCGATTTGGTTTTATTGTTATCTTTTACTAGAATGGTGCTGTGTTCTAGATTACATTCCTTTGATAGAAAAATATGCATTGCATTTGACAGCAACAACCCCATCTCATTTCATTAAATATCATAAAACTACTCGCAGCTATAGCCTAGCCGCCAGAGTTCTCGAATCATCATCTAGTCAAATCCGAAAAGCCAGCGCCTCCTCAGGCTTAACCTCCCCCCTGGTCAACCTCGTCCAACCCCCCTCAATCCCTTTCTCACCAACGACTCCCTCCCCCCAAACGAGCCTGAGATCCGGTGCCGCCGCCTCGCGATTCTCCAACCAGTGCGCCCAGGCCTCTTCCAGCCCAGCGAAGAGCTTCGTCGCGCCCTGCAGCGCGAGGATAGCCTCGAGAACAGGGGACGTGTTGAACTGGATCTTGCCGTGTTCTGCGGCGGAGGAGAGTGCTGCGCCGACTTCGGATGGTGTGTAGACCTGACCATGATTATAAGTATTTTTCTTCTTCCCGGGGTTGTTCAAAATAAAATTTTGTGTGGGATGTAATACCTTCTGCTGATTCCCAATATTCACCGTCACAAACTCTGCCTTCGCGAGGATATCTCATCCCCTTTGACGAGCTTATGCACCGCCTCAAACCCACCATCGCGACTCCCAAAATCAATAACGACTATCTTCGCCGGCTTCAGCGCCGAAATCCACCGCGCAACCTCTTCTGAATTTAAATTCGTATAATCAACCGCCCTCGTCGCAAACCCCGCCTTGAGCGCATCCGCCGCAGCTTGAATCCCCGCCGGCGCAGACGTAACCTGCAGCAAGCCCAACGGTCCCCCATTCGCAGGTCGCAGGGCGAAATTGTGCGCGACAGCGCGCGCGGTTTTCGAGCTTGCAGCGAGGGAAATCACAACTGCCTTCGAGAGATCCGCATCGCTATCTGACCAGGTTTCCTTCACGCTCGGGATGCCCGGGTACGGGTGGATCGCGGGGTTTGTGACGGGGTCGGGCATGAAGACGTATGAGGAGAGGATGTAGCCGCACTGCCAGAGGGGGCGCACCGAGGCTTCCCACGCGTGTCGCGTCTCGTCATTGCTGTTGCTTGTGGAGACGAGGTAGCGGTTGTATAGTGCGAGGGGGGTCTGGCGGTGCGGGGAGACTTCGATCCAGTGGGTTTCTGGCTCATCTGGTTCGTGTTTTAGTGCGAGATCGACGATGTGTCCTGATGCGGGCTAGTAGCCCCAGAGCTTTGTGCCCGGCGTGATAGAGGGAATTGTGCTTTCGAGCACGGTTCCGAATCCCCATGCGGGGACGATTCCCCACGCGGAGGCGTCTTGTAGGGGGCGGGTGCGTTGGATGGGAGTGGGTATGCGTTCCACTAGTGTAGCTGGGTGCCGAGGAGCGCGTAGGTGAGATTGTTGGAGGTGAGGCTGAGGAGGGACGGCCGGATGCGGAGGGAGGAGGAGGAGGAGGAGGAGGTGGCGGCGAGCGGGGTGGTTGGGGGAGGGAGGGAGAAGGTTGCGTGGGTATTGTTGTCTGTTTTGGAGACGACGTGGACGTCCATTTTTGCGGGGGTAAATTATGGGGTTGTTTCTTTGGTGTCTGGTGTTTGGATAGGATCTGTAGAAGCAGGGTGCTGCGTCTTGCGCTGCCTGGCTTTCGCTTTATAGACATCGTTACGGCGGTAATAGTCTGGCCACGCGTGCTGTAAGCATGGAGAAAGTTTCGCTTACTGTACGGAGTACTGGAGGCGTGGTCAAGCTCCAGCCGACCCTCGACATGACCGAAGCAGTGTTGTCATTGGTAATTTCGCTAAGCTAAGATGAAATGCAAGTGAAACAAAACAAGCTCAACTTGGCGGAGGCTTCGAATTCAGCGGGGTTGACGGTAGCCTCACAGCTTCTGATTGGCGACTTCGGTTATGTAGGTTCGAGCGGGCTTAGCTCTGGCTCGTGCGCCCATCAAACGATACCGAACAAACTCGCAGTTACAACGACCTGGCTGGCTAATGCGTGTATTGCTCGACCATGCGGCTGAGCGCAGCTGAACATGCCACAGATTAAACGGTGTAATAGCCTGTCCATCGCCCTAGCATTGGCGTGATTCGTGATATTTGTGAGAGCATAATCCTGGTTTATGACAACTATGTACCGCGGGATGGTGGCTGCCGAGATCACCTGTCTCCTACTCCGCACTGCAAAATATCTAGTAGACTGATAATTATCTTCTGCCTGCGTCCTATTTCTTTAGCTTGTGCTGAACATTGCTGATCCGCCCGGCCATCACGAATCATACGGAAATTTGGATCATTCCAAGTGGGCGCCATTGCCCGCTTGCTTCCCCCCAAACCCATTGACACAGTTAGGCAAGTATATTCTTTCTTGGGAAACCCAAATCCAGGGGATAACGGAGATAATAAAGCTATGTCGGTAGAGGGGCGGCTTATGTATACTAAGTCTGAAGAATCCCATCCGTGCCCTTTGGGGGTGGAGATTGTATGGAACCACATTTGTTGACCTGCTATTATTCAAGCTGAAGATGGGTATTCGCATACAAGGCCAGGATGATCCTTGACAGAGCCGTGTCGGCCCGTAATAGTGGTCTGGTTCGATTATGGCTCCATCTGTGTGACTTTTGCTACAGTTATAGTACTTATCCCGGCATAAGTATACTAGTCTTTAAGCTTGTTAACTTGCAATTTAATAATTCCATGAAGCACATACTCCATTGGATTTTTTTGGATTACAACCCCGGTCACGCCATTCACCAAGTACTAACAGCTACCATGCACTGCAGATCACTCTTGTTAGGCCCCCTCTCCTTCCACGAGAACGAGGTTCGTGCAGTCGCAAGGGAACCACGCGCAGAGTGGAAGCAATCATACTTTTATCAGCTCCCCTGCAGGTCATTCAAATGATTCAAAAAAGTGGATTTACCTTTTAGCGTGGTGGCAGATGGGGGGGAGGATCTATTAACTTCTTACTCCTTGTTCCTGCGTGGAACATTTGCGGAGTCCTGTTATTCATTAGTTTGCTATTCATGCCCCAGCTGCGTGTACTTAGTACAGCTAGTCATTTTTTCTCCACTGCTTGCCTGTATAGAATGCAGCCGGGTATCATTCTAAAAACGCAGAGCTTCTTCGCTTTGCCAGTCTAGTGGTATATCATTAAATTGTGTGCGGCTTTTGCAGGTTGCATGTAGCATATCATAATCGCGTAGGTGTTACAATCCATTATTCAAGTGCATGGTGATATAGCGCCGAAGCAGGTGGGTAGCAGGCTGGCTTGTTCAAACCTTGGAATAGGCTGGCTCTTGCCAGTCTCATTCTACATCCTGAATTGCTTGTTGACACCTAAATCCGTTTCCAAAGCCAGAGCACCACGAATGTGCCTGATAAAAGTGCAGTATATATATATTTTTATGACAAACAACTGTGGAGGAGTGAATTAAACCGCGCAGCCCACATATGACACAGTGTAAACACCTGGGCAAGTTCGAGGGCTTTCTCCCTCATAACATGTGGAGGAGATTTCTTCACAAATATAGTAAAACTTTAAGGCGCGAAAACTAAACTACCGCAGGATTAGCTGCTCGTATTCGCGCACCAATCACGATAAACTAAGAAATGATTCCGCACCTCAGCCTCAAGCCCCTTGGAGCTGCCGAGCACAGCGCGCACCTGTCAGCGCTCGCCACGGCCCAGCCAAGAGGTCAGCCCTATACCCGAACCAGGGAGAACTTGCGCATGTTATCTCCGCGCAATCCCAAGCTGCTGACAGATTCAGCTGCGCATCTCCGGATGGATACCCTGCAGCTGCTTAAAAACCTCTCCTCCGACTTCCCGTCCGTCCCTCTCTCCCTGACTCTAACTAGAGAACGGCGAAAATCAACAGCAACCAACCATGTTCCGCCGCGCAATTTTCATCGCCGCCATCACCGCCTACTACCTCTCACCCACCTTCTTAACCGACACTCCAAAGGAACCCCCAATCGCCGGCCGCGCAAACACAGTCCTCTACCTAACCGACAGCTCCAGCGGCCTCTCAAACAGCCACATCGCCTCGGCCTTTGCACTGCTCGAATCCCACCCACAGATCCAAATCTACTGGGCCTCCTTTAGCACACCACCGATCGAGCCCCGACTGAAGCGCATCTCCGCCGCGGCGCGGACGAAGAACCCAGACGCGAAACCAATTATCTTCCACGAGATGCGCACAGCGAGCATGATTGAAAACCTGGACAAGGTATACACGTCCCTTGACGACTTCATCATGCCGTGCGGACTAGCCGGGTACGATAAGATGCTGTCGATAATCGAGACGGTGGTGCTCCCCTGGAGTGCGGAGGAGTATTATGCGATTTTCGCCGAGACGGTCGAGTTGATTGAGAGTGTTGATCCGTCCGTCGTTGTCGTGGATAGCATCCAGCGGCCGTTCGTCGACGCCGTCCGGAATACGAATCGGCGCTTCGCGATCCTGAGTCCCAATGCGTTGACGGATATCATCGCCTACCGCCAGCCGTGGGCGGAGATGTTCTGGAAGCTTCCTGCGTGAGTCTTTTTTCCCATTTAATACTCCCTTGATCTAGCCTACTAACATGCAATATAACAAAAAGAATGATGTCCGGAACCCCCTACCCCATCCCCCTCTCATCAATCCCCACAAACATCTACATGCAAGCCCGCTTCATCTGGCGCCTCATAACCTCGCCGCGCCTCCGCGCCGCCCGACGAACCCTCACAACCCTCGGCGTGCACGACCCCATAAACATGCAAATGCACTTCGACGACGTCCCGCTCATCTCTGGCGATTTCCCCGAGGCCGGACTCCCGCTCTCGTACTACCCGCCTAATGTTACCGTCTGCGGACCGATTGTGCTTGATACGGCGCCTGCGGAGGTGCAGGATGGCGGGATGGTGCGGTGGCTCGAAGGTAATGGGGAGAGTAAAGGGGAGGGTGACAAGAGTAAGGGTAAGGACAAAAACATTCTAATCTGTCTCGGGAGTAACGTGGCGTACAACGAGCGGCGGGCGCGCGCGCTGGGCGGGGCGGTGTTGCGGGTTCTCCAGCAGCAAGCGGATGTAAAGGTTTTGTGGAAGTTTGTGAAGGAGGGGGAGTATGATGATGACGATATATGGAGGGGGCCGCTCGAGGCGTATATTGCCAGTGGGAGGTTGCGCATCGAGACGTGGTTGGATGTGGACCCCGTTTCGCTTGTTAACACGGGGATGATCGATGTCTGGGTTCATCATGGAGGTGCGAATTGTTATTACGAGGCTGCTATGTTCGTTCTCCTACTCCCGATCTCGGTTAATATGGTGACTCAGAAAAGCTAATTTGCATATTCCAGGTCCGGCGTCCGCCAGGTGATCCTCCCGCTGTGGTTCGACCTCTACAACTTCGCTCAGATCGCCGAATACGCTGGCGTGGGTATCTGGCCGGGGAAGGAGACGGCGCCGGAGTGGGATGTCGAGTCGCTGAGTGAGGGGTTTCTGACGGCACTGCAGGGTGAGAAGGCGGATAGGATGCAGGAGAAGGCGGATGCGTTGAGGGAAGCTGCGGCGCGGTATGATGGAAGGGGGTGTGCGGCTGATGTTATTGCGCGGATGGCGGGGGGTGGACGGGAATTGAGTTGAGTTGAGTTGATTTGGACTATGAGGTTTGATGGCCTGGTGAGGCGGGCGAAAGGTGGTTGGTAGAATTTGTGTTGGTGTGACGGACAGCGAGGACCACCTGACTGTAAATAGTTCGTATATCCTACGAATTACTCTAGAACTGTAGTAGAAGAGAAATTTCATATGGTGGACTCTGAGGAGCATTACTTGGGTATATACGGGCTGAATGTTGCACTGCATTAGCCGATTCTAAGCCAGACTGTATACAAAGGGATTGTCTTGTCCCTTAAAAATGGCTGGGATTAGGACGAAGCCCAAACCACAGCCCTGCAGATAGCAGTGCGCTAGTGGTTGCTGATCTGCGACAGGGACTCAGCAACTCAGATACGACAAACCACGTAGGTTTGACCGCATGGATGGATGACCTTCAGGGGCCAAGTAAGTGGCTCGGGGAATGACCGAGATGGGGACTCGAGTCAGAATACCTCATCGGAAAAACCCCGCTGCAAACTACATAATTCGTGTGGACGGCTCATTCTGCACAGTTAGCGAGGACGATCGCTCCGAGAAGGATTACGCGCTGGCGCCTGCAGATGCGTACTTATGTACCTTGCATACCTCGGCCCTCCACTGTTCAGGGGCATATGAGTGCCAAGTCGAATTCAGTGAATGCCGAGAGGGATTTAACTCGAGTCGGAATTTCCCCGTGCGTTCCAACTTCCTGACACGGTTCAAGGCGGCGCGTTTCAAGGCTGCAGGTGGACATGACTCATGCAGTAGATTCGACAGTCGTACATGAAAGCCTTGCGAAAGCAACCATGGAACGAATCCCGCGGGGATCTCAGATTCATCCCGTGACTGTTGACAGTTACCAGAGAATGGACTGGGTCTTTTGTTGACAGCCTTCCAGGGACAGATAATTACATCTCCTGGATGTCGGTTGGTTATCTAGTTATCTCGTACCCATATCCTGACTCTCCGATGCTGACATTACACGCCGATCAACATTCAACCTCTGCCCTCTTTTTCTTTCACTCGCAACGGGGATCGCTGTCCTTTTTCCGCGTGAAGCATAGTGTGCCCCAAGGAAAAGAAGAGTCTAGACTCTAGCGGTACACCTCATAGGCTCATTCCAATGAAGCCGTTCTGCACAACGATTAGCTGCGTTCTCCACCACGCCCATATCAGCGTACCCAAGCCTTTGTTGTTGTTGCTTGGCTCGAACAAAGAAGCTGACCAGATGACTTTCGCAGCTTTCATCGCCATTGTCGATTAGAACTCCGTTTCCAGCACCGAAAGCCGCTTCTCCAATGGCATAAATACCTTCATCTTTCCCCCCCGTTTCTGCCTTCCATCAGACGTCCTTCCTTCTCATCCTTCGTGATGATAAACACTCGTGGTTCCAGCAACAAACGACACAACAATGACAACTCTGCGCAGCCGTCGAAGCGAGAAACACTAGTGGTACGAGGCAGGCTTCGAGAATAGGAAATGACCTGCAAGCAGCAGCCAACGAATTCCTCCCTCGCCACAGAGAACAACGTCCCCAATGTTCCTGTCAACGGTGGCAACAACAACAACAACAACACCACTGCAAGTACTAGCATCATCAGGTCGATTTCATGCATGTTCCAGCAGCGAGAAGACCTTTACACGAGTATGTTTTCTTCCCGGCTCCACCTCCAGTTTCCTTCAACTAACGCTCCCTGGCACACATGCCAATGCCTCTGGTCCCGCCTGCCAAATTAATCGCCCTTGGGACTGCATTCTCCAGCCCTCTTGTTGAAACCAAGCGGATCCATTAGCGTTGCAATTGCGGGGAGAGCTTCGCGAATCTGGCTGGTCCTACTGCGTGCGTACCTCCAAATTGTGTGACTGCTCCCGTCAGTGATGGGCCGCCTTCAGCGGCGCATGTACCAACTGCATCGGGCACGGCAAGGCCAGCGAGTGCAGCTTCCGCAAGTGTAACCCCCTTCTGTCGCAGAATTCGATCCTTCAATTGTGAGATGCTCCTCAAGAAATTTCCCTTCTTTGATTGATGATTCCCAGTGAAATCGAGGACTCCAGGACTCCTCCCACACCCCGAATCAACCTCACCTGCAACGTTATCCGCCTGGTACGCGCCCGGGACGTCTTCATTAGATACATTTCTCTCTCGAGTACCAGTAGGACAGAGTTCGATCGGCTGGTGGCCTCTTCCTGGTGATCTGCCGTCTGTTGTGGTCTGTTCAGTTACAGGGTGGGGGATAGCGGTACCCGTTGGATCAAGGTCTTCTATGTCGGCTCTTGAAGTGCTGGAAGCCGCGCACTCATTCTACAAAGGCCATTCTCCTGTATCTTGAGTTATTGCTTCAGTGTGCGTGGTTTGATGGGACGACTCCGGGCATTCTTGCCTCTCAGTGGTTCCCCCGCTCGATGTTCCCGAGCTGCGGAGGCTTCTGAGAGGAGTTAAAAATGAAATAGAAAAGCTGGCATCCGGACCGGGCGCAAGTGAGAATGGATTAGTACGGTCGGGTATTACAACACGAGCGGATTTATTAGTAGTTGACAGTGGCAAGGAATCATCCGCGTGAAGTTTCCGCTTTGATCCTACACGATCTTTTCTATGGTCATTCCGTGCCCGATATTATACAGCCACGATCGCAGCATAGGTTCGGAATCTACCAAAGTCGTTTTTGAATTCAGCCTCAACTTATTTCTTTGTTAGATGCTTGTGATCTCGGAACCACTGGGGTAAATAATCTAGTTCCTGCGGCTTCCATGAGGGCAGAGTAGATCACGCTAATAGAGAAAGTCAAGCTAGGTACATGATTAAACTGTTCATCAAACATGACTCACGCTTGCATTTTCTGGCTCCTTTTGGTGTTGCTGGTTCCGGAGGCCCAGTAGCCTGAAGGTTAACTACTATCTTGAATTTATCATCGATCTCTTGAGTGCTTTGAGAGAGTTGCCTAAGAGTCTTGAGCCTTTGGTTTATTCTTACCTAGTAATTATTATTCGCGTCGATGGCTACATCCAAGTCAATATGTAATGGTGAAAAAAGGGGAGATAGAAATAGCAAGAAAAACTAATAATTTAAAGAAAAGACTTACTCTATGAAGCACGTTCGTTCAAGTCTAATAATAATTCCTCGACTAATTACATCGTCTCTTCCTCAAACTGCACATCGCTCGGATAAGATCGTGGATTAATAAGTTTTTGAGGAAGGCCTAACTCGATAAAGTTATGGTCCAATTCCGTTATCTAGATTAAACCCTTCCAGCCATCTAGTTATAAATAATAATAGCCGTCTTCTTGTCGCTCGGGCGTATATGTTGGTGCAAGGATAATATCAAGCTAGTGAATATTATTGTTAACCTCCCCTTTGTTGTCTTCCACAAGCTGAATATTTCTAAATAAAGGGTTAATCTTCCCCGCCATCGTATCACTAGCAAGTAGAATTTCAAAATGCCTCGCAAGGCCATTGTCGCCCTCGAGAACAGCGGCAAGTGATTGCGATAGGTCAAGGGTTAACTACAACCTTTACTGTGTGGGAGAAAAGTGAGCACGGAGCTTTGTACTGCAAGCTATCAAGGCTGGATTGCACCCGATCCCTGAGGCGTTTTGCTCTTAGGTACTGGAACCCATCTTGACGAGAGTTCAGTTCCTAGTGAAATGTGAGGAATAGGCTGACTGAAGGTTAAGGATAGGTTAAAAGGTGAGATTTTTATCTTGCCCTTTAAGATTATCTATTCAACGCCAGCACGATCGCCCAAAGATTCGAACTGAGAATTATCTTATTCAAATGGCGACGCTACGGCAGAACAGAGCGCTTTAAAGCCGAGCTAAACGCGAATACTAAAAGGTTGTCTCAGTTGAGCCACCTACAGGAGGGGCCACAACGAAGGTCCATTAATGTTATTGTTACAAGGAGAAGGAGGCAGAAGGAAAAATCTGTGCCTGCCAAGACCGAGGTTCAACTCCAGGTTCGGGTTTAGGAAGTCTCCAAAGCCAAGAGTGAACGGCCTATAATTGCGGTGTATTTTTATTTTATTATTATTATTATTATTATTATTTTCGTGAAAGCTGGCTGCTATCCGTTACAAGAGTTTTATTTTTCCGACTTCGGTCCATCATTCAGTGGGGTTCTTTAGCAAGAAAAGGTGGGTCCCATGTATGTATTATTCCACGCTAGTCCACACCCTGTAGAAGATTTGGAATCATGGTGACTAGCGAAAGAGAAGGTCGTGGTAAGTTTACAAGGTATTTTTCAAATTCTAGGCCGCTTAGCTTGTGGCACATGCTCCTGAGATCATAATAAAATCCACCATCTTCTAATAAAGTCCAACCATAATGGATTGATTTTTAACGTTGCTTCCTAAGCACCTTCCTTTTTCTCACGCATCTAGTTCCGAGCCGCTGAATACTGTGGAACCTTTGGTAAGTTAGTGGGCTAAATAATATGTTAAGTAGCCATCCTGGTTGGTAACACAAGTATTTAAGCACTTAGCAAATGACTAATACATAAATAGGGAGAAATCAAGGACTTGGTATACTCAAAATCAACAGCGCTTTTAATCCAGCGGCCACGGCCGTTTGGCACACGCATGTAAAGAGAGAACCTAAGACCGTACACTCAATGTGCCTGCAGGAGGCAGCGTACTAACTACTAGGAATCAAGTCAGCTGAGTAGCGGGATCCCTAACAAGGGATGGACAGGCAATCCTACCCTCCATCGCACTAGAAGAAAAAAGTATTCAGTATTAGCTCCAGCACAATAATAAGCGTTATGCCTAGTGAGTGGATTGGGTGGCAGCAAACTACACGAAGATACCTATTGCGATTGCTGAGGAAGTCCAAAAGGTTCAGTAAAGGAGTCAGAGTCCCTCCATTCTTAATAGGGCAGGCCGCGCCGATCATACGTCCAGTGAAGACGAAGTGATAATAGGAGTTCCAGGCTCCTTAGCCATGTGTACCGCTCATGGATGCCAACAAGGCAAAGGCTCTACCACAGGTGACCGCGAGCCGCCCTACCCCTGTTGTCTCTGGCGTCCAACCACTGCTACATGCAACACTGATAATGCTACGTACGCCTCAGTCCTTAAGTCCGACACTAGATCGAACGCACGAACGCAACCAGCTCGCAGAAAGAACCCACTTTTTGAAACACACTCTCAGTCTTTGCCAAATACCGGCCAGCTGAAAAGGCGGCAACGGCCTCT